AAACTTGAAATTAAAATACTGGAAACAGATTTATAAAGGGAGCATGTATTATCGTTATTTTTGTTGCAGCGGGAAATTGTTATCCAATGGAACAAAAAATATCATATTTGTCAAATGCATGAATAGTTAATTAGAATGCTACCATTATTATATCTCGAAATAGTATTAATTGAATTTTTATGTCAAACCATTAAGCACATTCATCACTTATTTCTCTCCCTATTTACAAGTTAGAATTTCCTTGTCCGGTTATTTTCAAAAAAAAAAATTCTGAGAAAATGGACGTTTTTCGTTTATTGGATAGTGGGAAGATCATGCGAATTAAATAAAAAATCAATTCTCTTTACTATGAGTGTAACTTGTTTAGAAATTTCAGTGTTTCATTAATATCTCTTATAGTCTTAGAATGGATAAATAATATTGGTTTTAATCATTTCTAAGCCAATATAAAAGTTACTAATTATTTAAAAAAAATCCACTGCCACAAATTTATTAATACAATTTTTAATATAATATTACAAATAGGCTAATCTTAAAAAAAAATGCCCTTACAAGGATTTTTTTAGTAAGAGTGCCAATCAAGATGTAGAGTACTATAATTGCTAAAGTTTATGTAGTAATCTTAGTTTTAGCCTTATTTTGTTCTTAGAGGATTACCTTCCATTGCGCCGCTAAATTGATAGAGAAACTTGGACTACACAATATTCGAGAGGCAGGAATTTTTATATCGTGCAGTCTTTACAAATTTAGCCAATTGGAGAAATTTTATAACGCCCAGTAGACTTATCGTTCAGAGGGGCACCCATAAATGATATTGAGTATTTTGCTACCAAGTATCACTGGTAAATATCTCGACACTATGTACGACGAAGAGACCATCGCAGTTCTTCTTGACTCTCGCATAAAGCCGATTGTAACCCGAGTTTCCTTCTGTACGAAATGCAATGGATTATCACCTTAGAAGGTGAGGTGCGGACAAAAGAACGTGGGCAGCAAGTTTTCTCACATCCAAAGGACTTGACTACAAACCGAAGAGGGGTGGGAATGCCAGCAATCAGCATTACTACGGGTGACTGTGTGTACACAGAAGGTGGGGTGGAAACGTACAAAAGGGTTTCTTCCAAGGATTGGTCGTTCGTTATCGGAAAAGTATTTCATGTGACCGCTATCATGGCCGGAACAATTTGTGCTGTAGTTTGAGTGCGGATTCCCTCTCAGTTAGCTTGGTGGGCCAGTTCTAAATAAAATATTGTGCGACTCACTTAGTGTCAAAATAAAACAGGGCAGCTCTCTGGTGTTGTACCTTGTAAAGGATGGTGGAAGGTAGATTGCCAAACAATTTGAGTGTTTAGATAAGAATCTGCTGTCTTCATTTGTTTGACTCTTTTAAGTTGTTGTTCACTGCTGTGTCATGAATAATCAAATCAAGGAAATGCATAGTTTTTGGAGAGCGACGGAATTTTGATTAAATATAGGAAGCTGTGGTGTATTGTTTTTCAGTTTTTTTCTTTGATGTTGGCTTTATATGATGAAGAAAAGCTTTATAAATACTATTTGAGCTAGTTAATTCAAGATGACATGACCAGAAAAAAATGTTTCGACGTCCATGAATTTCATTACAACGGCTTTGCAGTTTTTATCAACCAGGGAAAAAAAAATATATAAATAACAGATGTTTTTACAAGTAGTTCTGAAATTTAGTTGACAATATTATATAGAAAATTTACTGGAATTTTTGTACTGTCGTGTTTAGATTTATTATTTAATTATTTTTGACGCCTAAGTATTTTTTAATTTTTTTTCTATTTTTTTTTTTATTTTTAATTAAATTTTTATTTAAATTTAATTCATTTACTTCTATATGCAAAATAAATTTATTTTGACTGTTTAGATTTAATATAAATCTCAACTGAATAAAGACGTACCGATAATGAGAGGATTTAAGTTTCTCAAGTATTTGGAAGTCCCTGTGGAAGAAAGACAAACTTTAAGTTTCTTAAAAAATCCAGACTTGGTACCAATCCCTAAAAGCCACCAAACATGGGGGTTCTGGTCTAACTTTGCCTACTGGGGTACAATTGCCTTTACAGTAGGTACATGGATGGGCGCTACAGCAGCATTGACAGTTGGGCTAAGTTATCCAGAGACTATCGCAACATTTATTCTGGGGAATGCTCTAACAATTGTTTACTCACTGGCCAACTGTTATCCAGGTTGGGACTGGAAAGTTGGCTATACTCTTTCTCAAAGATTTACCTTCGGTATCTATGGATCTGCTTTTGGTGTTATTATTAGAGTTTTATTAAGTATTGTGAACTATGGCTCAAACGCGTGGTTAGGAGGGTTATGTATTAACCTGATATTAAATTCATGGTCACACCACTATCTAGAATTAAAAAATACTTTATCTCCGCATGTTGCTATGACCACCAAAGAATTGATCGGCTTCGTTATTTTCCATATTGTTTGTGCTTTATGCTATCTAATGAAACCATATCAAATTAATAGGATATTAATAATTGCTTGTGCCGGGACATGTTTCTCAATGCTGGGGATAATCATATATCTGTGTCATGCAAATGGGGGTGCTGGTTCATTATTTCACACCCAAAAAACAACGGTTAGTGGTTCTGATAGGGCTTGGGCATGGGTCTACATGATATCATATTGGTTTGGCGCTGTTTCACCTGGTGCTGTAAACCAAAGTGACTATTCCAGATTTGGTTCATCTTTAAAAGGAATTTATCTTGGAACTATTGTTGGTTTAATGATTCCCCCAAACCTAGTTCCAGCATATGGTGTTATTGGTGCTTCTACTACACAAGAATTGTATGGTGAGTCCATGTGGATGCCAACAGAAATCTGTAATTATTGGTTAAATCACGGCTACCATCCTGCAGCTAGAGCAGCCTCGTTTTTTTGCGGTGTTTTCTTTGCATTATCTCAAATTGCTTATACCATCTCTAATGCTGGATTTGCAAGCGGTATGGATCTAGCTGGTTTATTACCCAAATACGTCAATATTAAGAGAGGTGCTTTTTTTACTGCTATTGTATCGGTTGCTGTTCAACCTTGGAACTTTTATAATTCCTCCTCTACCTTTTTAACAGTTATGAGTTCTTTCGGTGTTGTCATGGTGCCTATACTGGCTGTTATGATTTGTGATAACTTCATTATCAGGAAACGAAACTATTCAGCATCACAGGCTTTTATTTTAAAAGGTGAGTATTATTTTACAAAGGGTTTCAACTGGAGAGCGTTTATTGCGATGATTGTGCCTATGGCACCAGGCCTGCCGGGAATTGCATGGCAAGTCAATCATAATGCTTTTAACAATAGAGGTATAGTCAATTTTTATTATGGTGACTCCTTTTTCGCGTTTGTTATGTCATTTTGCTTGTACTGGATTTTGTGTATTATATTCCCCTTCAAAATTAACGTTCTACAGGATGACAAGGACTATTATGGTGCCTTTGATGAAAAAACCGCCATTAAAAAGGGTATGGTTCCTTACAGTGAATTGACAGAGGTTGAAAGACAAGAATACTTCATTCCAACCGCTAATGTGGTCATGAAAGAAGAGCAACCAACTGAGTCGGATAGTGAGATATCACGTGCATATGTTGAGGAAGGAACTGAAAAGGGTAGCACAAAGGACGGAGTTGCAGAAATATGATTTATTTAGCAACTTGCACTGAAGTTGCGAATTACAATTACATTTTGTTTTCTTATTTGCTAAAAAGACATTTATATATATAGGTAGATTTTTTCATTTATCATTGCTAGAGAGTATGTTTAGTACGTAACATTTTGAAGTCCGATTCAATAGAAAATACTGATGATGCTTATGTGAGTAATAACTCTTTAGTTTTGCTTGTCTTTCAATTACATATTTTACTACCAAATCTTAAACTTTTAAGATGACTGCAAACCAAATTTCAAGAGATTGTGTAGTATCAGGTAAAAGTATATAGAATCATTTAAGTTTACATAACAATGCAATATAATAGACCTGATGAAGTGTTTTTCCCTATATACAATTGCCCTCTTTATTGCAAAATCAAGCTCTAATGAACCTATTCACTAACATAATAAACCTACCAAAGAAGAGATTATTTATCCTGCAGCTATTGCCAGGAGCATACAAGTAACAATTAACATTGTCCCTACATGAAACGAAAAATGAGTGGTCCCACCATCACTTACAGCTATGTTTACTGAGAGTGACGGCGTTAATGCAATATTTGATGGCAATACTGCTGTACTTATTGAATCTCCCGTACCTTTGGATGGTATCCGACTTTTCGTTCCGCTGGAAATAGTCTTACTCACTCTTAGAGAAACGGAGACCGAAAAATCAGATAAAGATTTATTCGCATATAATTTGGTGGAAGAACTGACACATAAATTTTCTCCCGATTCAGATATGTTGGATGGTAAGTAAGAGATAACAGTAGATTTGCTACTGCCATCATCCTCTGCAAATGTGCTCTTTGAAACTGGTGGTTGTGAAGACAGTGAAGGTGACCTGAATACACCTTCATCAACTTGATCGTATGATGCCGCAGTAGTAACATAAGTGACTACTCTTCCTAGGGAGTTCGTAGCAGTGATATGCAAAATTACCTCCGTGACAATGTGTCCATCTGTAGTAATTATCTTCGTGAAGTCCGCCTCGCCAAGATCATTTGATTTAACCGGAACCGTAGTAGTGATCTTCGTAGGTTTGTTATCAGAATTCATCGTCGAACTATATCTTGTAGAACTAGTTGACGTTCTTATAGAACTATTAAAATACCTAGTTCTCACAATGGGTGCCAATTTGGGAGTGAGGATAATAGTTTTGGGTGATACAACACATTGACCATCAGAGTCCGTGGTGGTGATGTGCGACACAACCTCGGTGATCGTGTGCCCATCAGACGTCACTGTCGTCGTGTAGTCGGCAGTGATGGTCCTGACAGTGGATGTCACTGTCCGCGTCACACCATCCTCGCCCACAGACGGGAAGTACGAGATCACAACAGTGTCAACTACTCCGTCAGACTCGCTCACCGTCCGCGTCACCACAGAGGGCTGCGAGTACGGCCAGGCAGACGTGTGCACGGCTTCCCCAGCTTCGGCATAGAACATCCGCGTAGTGGCATACACCACGCCCTCTCCATCAGAGTCCGTCGTGGTGATGTGCGACACAACCTCGGTGATCGTGTGCCCATCAGACGTCACTGTCGTCGTGTAGTCGGCAGTGATGGTCCTGACAGTGGATGTCACTGTCCGCGTCACACCATCCTCGCCCACAGACGGGAAGTACGAGATCACAACAGTGTCAACTACTCCGTCAGACTCGCTCACCGTCCGCGTCACCACAGAGGGCTGCGAGTACGGCCAGGCAGACGTGTGCACGGCTTCCCCAGCTTCGGCATAGAACATCCGCGTAGTGGCATACACCACGCCCTCTCCATCAGAGTCCGTCGTGGTGATGTGCGACACAACCTCGGTGATCGTGTGCCCATCAGACGTCACTGTCGTCGTGTAGTCGGCAGTGATGGTCCTGACAGTGGATGTCACTGTCCGCGTCACACCATCCTCGCCCACAGACGGGAAGTACGAGATCACAACAGTGTCAACTACTCCGTCAGACTCGCTCACCGTCCGCGTCACCACAGAGGGCTGCGAGTACGGCCAGGCAGACGTGTGCACGGCTTCCCCAGCTTCGGCATAGAACATCCGCGTAGTGGCATACACCACGCCCTCTCCATCAGAGTCCGTCGTGGTGATGTGCGACACAACCTCGGTGATCGTGTGCCCATCAGACGTCACTGTCGTCGTGTAGTCGGCAGTGATGGTCCTGACAGTGGATGTCACTGTCCGCGTCACACCATCCTCGCCCACAGACGGGAAGTACGAGATCACAACAGTGTCAACTACTCCGTCAGACTCGCTCACCGTCCGCGTCACCACAGAGGGCTGCGAGTACGGCCAGGCAGACGTGTGCACGGCTTCCCCAGCTTCGGCATAGAACATCCGCGTAGTGGCATACACCACGCCCTCTCCATCAGAGTCCGTCGTGGTGATGTGCGACACAACCTCGGTGATCGTGTGCCCATCAGACGTCACTGTCTTAGTGTAGTCATATGTTGGTGTCAAGTGTATTGTTGTCGTAATGGTATTGGTTGGTGTACCATTGGAATCTTTTTGGGTAATGTGTGATATTAAGTCCGTTTCGAATTCACCATTTCCTTTATCTATCGTAGTAATGTAATCAGGTTCAGGAGTAAAGCATTTGTTGTTTATTGGATCATAGAAGCCTTTACCACATAAGGGAGGATTAGGTTGAACTGCGCATGGTGTTGCAACATAATATATTGTGCTAGTAAATGCAATCTCATTTTTGGCACTCTTAGTTGTTATATACTTAGTGCTATAAGTCGTGGTCGATTTTATAGACCTGCACTCGAATTTGTATCCAATATTTGCCGGACATTTAACACTATCGGGAATTGAGAAAAACATTCCCGAAAAATCAGTTTGCCGAATAGGCGAGTCATTGAAATAGTAAGCAAAGTCAAGCTGTGCGATAGCATCTCTGTTGTTGAAAAACAACCGCAATGGATAATAAATGCCGCTTTCAAGATAGACAGTGACGTTTTTGTTCACGCCTGGCCATACACTATACGCAACGTATTCGCCAATGTTATCTTTCGTTGCGTCGTGACTACAGCAATCAAATGCATTATCTGCCCCAAAGTTCATTAGCAATAAGTCATCAGCTAGTAATTTGAAGGTGTATTTTCCAGTCTTTTTTGGTGAAAGGTAACCATATAATAGCATAGTGAAGTTTGTGATGGTAAATGGTTTTGGAAAGTGGAAAGCCAAAGGCAAAGTTGACACAGCAGGTATACATGCAGGGTTTTTTGCCAAGAAATTCAAAGGACCAATAATTCCTTCTGCTTTACCAAGTAGCTTATGCGTTAAGTACCCTGTTCTTGGAAACATAGGATCCAAATAAGCACTGTCCCAACAGTGATCATCTGTGGGTCTGAGGGCATAGGAATATATCTCCATTGACAGGCCTGGCTTGAGTTTAGCGCGGATCGAAGGCGAACAACCATGCGCGTAACCGTTTTCGGAGGAGTCCTTTTTGCCGTAGAACTCAGGAGCATATTCATACGCACATGTGAGTTGTAAGAAAAATAACACAGGAACAATAAAGCAGAGCCACATTTTGTCTCAAAACCTTCGAGGCCCTGATCATGAAAAGGTTTTCAGACACAACTACTAGGTTGAAGCTGAGTAAGGTCCTTTCGGTAGAATACTTCGGGAGAAGTAGTAATACCAACTTTTATTCTTAGTTTATTTTACTCTAATAAAAGGTAACTCAACAAAATGATCTCTAATCCTCTGCCAAACAAATGTGGAAATATGTTGACAGTATTTATATAGAAATAATATAGTGGAATTATATAAACCGATAAGATTGCTCATTGCTAGTCAGTTGCACTTTGTGTAGCAAGTTTTATAACTTACTTTTCTAATTAGGAAAAAGTCTGACTGTAATAAAGAGTTTCAATTTCACATAAGAATGATCAAGATATGGTACATTGTCCAGCAAAAATCTTCATAAGCAAGAGAAAGTATTCTTATAAAAATGCATTACTTTGCAGGAAGTGATATCAACAGAATATCAACAGCGTAATGGAATGATAAGGAATTGCCAGACAAATTAATTCTGAATAGTTTGGCATTTGAGATAATGGCTACAGATATGAGGATGGCTTATTATATCTATAGCGCTATCTTAGCAATGCTGCTTTAACTTTGTACCAACTTCAAAATTCTTTCCAATAAAAGTGCTGCCTGTATTTCAATTAGCACCAAGAATATCAAAAAAAAATTTCAGTTCAATAATCTCTCCCAGTGTTTTCTCTAAGGCAATATACCTAGGACAGTCATTGATTCGAAAAACTAAGTAAAAATAAATAACTAAATAAAACAGAATAGATTGTGCATGGCTGATTGGTTGCCAAGACGATCTTTACACTTATCTACCATTCTGTTTTTCTCGAACATTTTTCGTCATTGATAGTGGAAGTTTCCAGTTATTTTCATGCTTTTTCATTATCATTGACCTAAGGAAAGGACTGCAATCAGTATGGAAAGAATAATGGTAAGGTTGAAGCTTTTTATCCCAAACTTGTCTCTTATCAATTGAAACGCATTTTCAGTGAGATTCAATTTTTCTAACCATTGTCTTAGAATTACAGAATCTCTCCAGTGATCAGCAGTAGCAGGCACATTTTGCCCTCAGAGATGCCTTAGCGCACTCTCCCTTCCCTCCTTCTTCTCTGTGTTTATCTACTTCTCTCTCCCGTCTGTCTTCACTAGCCTTATTCACCAAATTTGCCTGCGTAATTTTGCCATAATCCGTTCCCTGTCTTCTTTGCTGAATGGTACATCTTTATCATTGAAAATCGCCTTTTCTTTTTCTTTTTCTATTTGAGTTTAGTGCTTTACCCACTGCGCAGCTTGCTTTACTTCCTTCGTTTTGAAGGTTTTGACGTCTCTCCAGTAATGTAATTCACGAACAAAAGAATGCTACTCTAGAATAGAAGGGGAATGTGTACCAGGTGCAAAGAATATTTCAGTACCTGCCAACAGTCAATGAAATCGCTGCAGGGTCAATCTGTAATATCACATCGTTATAGTACACATTGCGGTAAGATGTTGGTTCACCCACAATGACAAAGTCTTAACTTGTTGACATTTCTAGTGCAAGTCCTTCGTTTTACTTTCATCAAACGTCGCTTCAGGCAAAGGTACTGTACTTCTTGAGCTCTCACAAACTGATAACTCCAAAGCCTCGTAACTACCTAATAAGCCAAGCATATACGTTTTTTATTCATTCCTCCTCGAGTTATGCGATGACCCGAAAATATATGTAGGAGGGCATGCGTGCTGATAAACAAAAAGCACTGGTGTTCTAAGAGAGAAATATTGATCTGCAATATATATCTCACTCAAAGTTTTTCCTTTTTTATTCTACGTAGTTTCTTTTAATGTCATATGCGTGCGTTGCAGCTCCTTTGCCAAGGATTACTACAGCATGCAAATCTATCATATTAACATTCGCACAAATATACGACCAACTACCGCAATAATGCTGATGCTCTTATCAAAAGGGACTTAAAAAAAAGTAAATGGGTTTCTTAATATTTTTTCGTGATATGTAGTTCATTAATAATATATTTATAACAATAATAAAGCAATACTATATATCTTCCCAGCTTTTACTCTTCAGGGACAGAATATTTCCATATTGAGGTATTCTCTTAAGAATCGCATCCCTAGTATGGACGAGAAATAAACTATTACCGGATAAGAGAAACATCTGAAATTGCAGAGCTTGACATACGTTACTTCCTAATACTTGGTTAATAACTTACAAGAAAAAAATATCGAGATTATCTGAACGCAAGTGAAACTAGGGAACCAAATGATGATAAAAATCAATAGGGACATCTTTGGTTACTGTTTATTCATTTAGGTAGTCCTCAATTTGAGAATTCAGCTCTAACACAAATACTCGTGTGTACGTAGTGTTCAGTTCACTTATATGTGTCTATAAAAGGACTCATGATAATAGATATTTGTACTATAGATAAGTTTCATCTTAGTCTTCTGGAATTAATTATGTGACGTATTTGTTTGATCATACATTACCATTTGAATAACTTTTGGAAAGAAAAGGACATAATTACAGAAATAAGAGGTTTCACAGGATTAAAAAGCATAAAAACATACTACAATATACTTGTGTTTTTGAATACATATCAACTGCAAAAACAGCTTGATAACAGAAATAAAAAATAGCAAATTATTATATTAATACCAAAATATGTAAAATGTCGAGAATTAAAATAAATCATGCTGGTAGTATGAAAATAAGGGTTTGATTTTGAGTAGGAATTTTGAAAGGAAAGAGTTATTATCTTTCAGGTATTGTCTGTTCGACAAGGACAAGTATGAGAATGCTTAAAGCATGCGTAGTTATTTGCTTTAGCGGAATAAAACTGAATTGATAGGAGTTTTTCATTCATCTTATTCATAGAATACTTCATGGGTATTTGATCAAATTTTGAAATATGTAAATGAATGAGTCAATCAGTGAATATTTAATCTGTCTAGAAGTAGTTTAGTGTCTATGTGGCAACCGATAAAACTATAGATTGTTCTACCAGTGTGTTCGTCAATTATGTTTGAGAGAAAAGTATAAAAATTGGGTTCCGTGCCGCGTATTGCGGGTTATCTCAAAAATGTTAGTGTATTATTTCATTTTTGTTAAAAAAATATGATTGGATGTATTGTTTACTGTTTCTGGTGAACTCTTTCCATTAGTGCAAGTATACTTCATTCTCAATTAAGGTGCAATACCTTATTTGATATTGTATCAATTCGAAGCAGATAGAAAGCTTTTGGTACATTTTATCATATGGCTAAGAGGTTGAAGCTACCCCGATGATATTTGTTCCCACTATTAGAGTAAACTATAATAAAAATTAATTCTAATTTTATTCCATTTTAATCTAAATTGTTCAATTTGGTTGTTAATCATTCAATACATAGCATTTTAAAGCTTGTCTATCTAAACATAACTGAATAAAGCACTGAGGACTAAATTTTTATTTAGTTTTGTCCTAAAAATGTTACGGGAAATTTAAGTATTTATTATACTTTATCTAACTTAAATAATTTCAATTATCGATACTACAGTATCCAATGATAAACAAAACATATTTTTCTGAAAGGTCCTAAATGTGTGGCTAGGAATGGATCTAGCCTCGGATTGTGACTGTTTTGGGTCTTATTTCATGGGTACTTTTTTATTTTATTTTTTTGTAATCAAATTGAAATTCCATTAAATAGATTTCCTTCTATTATATACGGATTGTGAGATAAAAGAGTTTCAGTTTCAATCACTTTATGACATTGTAGATTAGTATAATTGCATTATAATTAAGACACTGATATCAAAATATCGTCTTCTCCTCTATTTATTGTCTGGCATACACAAAACCACAGGGGATAACATAAAATGGTTGTAAAATACATGTACAGATCTTGAAATTATGTAATGGTTAAGTAAATGATAAACTCGTTAACAGAAAGTGTCACACTATGCCAATAATAGGATAACTTTGTCTTTCACATTCCATATAATATTGAATTGAAACAAATCTATTAATCCGAAAGAAGAAACACCCTATCGAAAACATATATGTAAGAACATTTGTTTTTATAGCACATGCTTCCGAAAATATATCGATAGCTTGCTTGTACTTAACTAGAGACACTAGTCTAGAGTTAATTTAGATTGTACATAGCACTATTAGCACTAAACCAAAGATAGGCAGTCCACCATTTCTTAGCGTGATAGCTACTTTTGGTGCGCTACCTTCAGCAACATTAATTGTGAATGAAGGTGTTGGGATAACTTTTGATTGGATATAAACTGAGTCATTTGAAGAAACTGGAGTGGCAAAAGAAGAACTACTTATCACATTCTCCGTAGAGGTGATAACTCTTGAAGAGGCGCTTATCGAGGAAGTAGGAGCTGTTTCAACGGCCTCTGAGTCTTTCAAAGAAGTTGATAAGTGAGACACTGGTTAGGTTGTATCGGAATTCCTTTTCGAGTCTGAATTAATTTGTAATGCTGTGGATTTAACGGAACTGTTCAGCTCGGTAGTCGTTCCATCTATGTTTCCTGGTGTGGGTAACGTATTACTGGAGATTTTAGATACCTTACCAGTAGATATCTTACCAGAATTCTCACTTTGGGGTACCGAATATGAATAGGTTAAAGATGATTTCAATGATTGCGTACTAAACAAACTGTTTTTATCATCAATTAGTGTCGTGTAGTCGGCCTCGCCGGCATCACTTGGCTTCAATGGGATCGTGGTGGTGATCGTCGTAGGCTTGCCGTCAGAGTCCTTCGTAGTGATGTGCGAAACAAGGTCGGTCTCAAACTCACCGTTGCCCTTGTCAATCGTCGTCGTGTAGTCGGCCTCGCCGGCATCACTTGGCTTCAATGGGATCGTGGTGGTGATCGTCGTAGGCTTGCCGTCAGAGTCCTTCGTAGTGATGTGCGAAACAAGGTCGGTCTCAAACTCACCGTTGCCCTTGTCAATCGTCGTCGTGTAGTCGGCCTCGCCGGCATCACTTGGCTTCAATGGGATCGTGGTGGTGATCGTCGTAGGCTTGCCGTCAGAGTCCTTCGTAGTGATGTGCGAAACAAGGTCGGTCTCAAACTCACCGTTGCCCTTGTCAATCGTCGTCGTGTAGTCGGCCTCGCCGGCATCACTTGGCTTCAATGGGATCGTGGTGGTGATCGTCGTAGGCTTGCCGTCAGAGTCCTTCGTAGTGATGTGCGAAACAAGGTCGGTCTCAAACTCACCGTTGCCCTTGTCAATCGTCGTCGTGTAGTCGGCCTCGCCGGCATCACTTGGCTTCAATGGGATCGTGGTGGTGATCGTCGTAGGCTTGCCGTCAGAGTCCTTCGTAGTGATGTGCGAAACAAGGTCGGTCTCAAACTCACCGTTGCCCTTGTCAATCGTCGTCGTGTAGTCGGCCTCGCCGGCATCACTTGGCTTCAATGGGATCGTGGTGGTGATCGTCGTAGGCTTGCCGTCAGAGTCCTTCGTAGTGATGTGCGAAACAAGGTCGGTCTCAAACTCACCGTTGCCCTTGTCAATCGTCGTCGTGTAGTCGGCCTCGCCGGCATCACTTGGCTTCAATGGGATCGTGGTGGTGATCGTCGTAGGCTTGCCGTCAGAGTCCTTCGTAGTGATGTGCGAAACAAGGTCGGTCTCAAACTCACCGTTGCCCTTGTCAATCGTCGTCGTGTAGTCGGCCTCGCCGGCATCACTTGGCTTCAATGGGATCGTGGTGGTGATCGTCGTAGGCTTGCCGTCAGAGTCCTTCGTAGTGATGTGCGAAACAAGGTCGGTCTCAAACTCACCGTTGCCCTTGTCAATCGTCGTCGTGTAGTCGGCCTCGCCGGCATCACTTGGCTTCAATGGGATCGTGGTGGTGATCGTCGTAGGCTTGCCGTCAGAGTCCTTCGTAGTGATGTGCGAAACAAGGTCGGTCTCAAACTCACCGTTGCCCTTGTCAATCGTCGTCGTGTAGTCGGCCTCGCCGGCATCACTTGGCTTCAATGGGATCGTGGTGGTGATCGTCGTAGGCTTGCCGTCAGAGTCCTTCGTAGTGATGTGCGAAACAAGGTCGGTCTCAAACTCACCGTTGCCCTTGTCAATCGTCGTCGTGTAGTCGGCCTCACCTTCGGGTGGAACAACCTCCATACTAGAAGATAAATGAGGTGCTTGAGCGTCAATGTATTCCCTAGTTGCATTGAACAGTGTGCTGTCAGTAATAATCTCACCCTTATCATTCGTGGTGATGAAGAACGAGATCCAGTCCGTCTCAACATAGTCCGCAGCAGTGGTGGCTGTGATCGTCACAGGTGGGGGACTGTACGTCCTGGTGCTGCTAGTGGTGATCAACCCACCAAACTCGTTGGTGGTCGTCCAGTAGCTGATGACCAGGTACTCAGTCACTTCGTTGCCCAGATCAACAGTCTTGGTCTCGGCAGGAGGCGCAGGCCCGAACGACGTGTGAGGAGCCTCAGGCAAGTTGTACTCACGCGTAGCATTGAACAGTGTGCTGTCAGTAATAATCTCACCCTTATCATTCGTGGTGATGAAGAACGAGATCCAGTCCGTCTCAACATAGTCCGCAGCAGTGGTGGCTGTGATCGTCACAGGTGGGGGACTGTACGTCCTGGTGCTGCTAGTGGTGATCAACCCACCAAACTCGTTGGTGGTCGTCCAGTAGCTGATGACCAGGTACTCAGTCACTTCGTTGCCCAGATCAACAGTCTTGGTCTCGGCAGGAGGCGCAGGCCCGAACGACGTGTGAGGAGCCTCAGGCAAGTTGTAGTCACGCGTAGCATTGAACAGTGTGCTGTCAGTAATAATCTCACCCTTATCATTCGTGGTGATGAAGAACGAGATCCAGTCCGTCTCAACATAGTCCGCAGCAGTGGTGGCTGTGATCGTCACAGGTGGGGGACTGTACGTCCTGGTGCTGCTAGTGGTGATCAACCCACCAAACTCGTTGGTGGTCGTCCAGTAGCTGATGACCAGGTACTCAGTCACTTCGTTGCCCAGATCAACAGTCTTGGTCTCGGCAGGAGGCGCAGGCCCGAACGACGTGTGAGGAGCCTCAGGCAAGTTGTAGTCACGCGTAGCATTGAACAGTGTGCTGTCAGTAATAATCTCACCCTTATCATTCGTGGTGATGAAGAACGAGATCCAGTCCGTCTCAACATAGTCCGCAGCAGTGGTGGCTGTGATCGTCACAGGTGGGGGACTGTACGTCCTGGTGCTGCTAGTGGTGATCAACCCACCAAACTCGTTGGTGGTCGTCCAGTAGCTGATGACCAGGTACTCAGTCACTTCGTTGCCCAGATCAACAGTCTTGGTCTCGGCAGGAGGCGCAGGCCCGAACGACGTGTGAGGAGCCTCAGGCAAGTTGTACTCACGCGTAGCATTGAACAGTGTGCTGTCAGTAATAATCTCACCCTTATCATTCGTGGTGATGAAGAACGAGATCCAGTCCGTCTCAACATAGTCCGCAGCAGTGGTGGCTGTGATCGTCACAGGTGGGGGACTGTACGTCCTGGTGCTGCTAGTGGTGATCAACCCACCAAACTCGTTGGTGGTCGTCCAGTAGCTGATGACCAGGTACTCAGTCACTTCGTTGCCCAGATCAACAGTCTTGGTCTCGGCAGGAGGCGCAGGCCCGAACGACGTGTGAGGAGCCTCAGGCAAGTTGTAGTCACGCGTAGCATTGAACAGTGTGCTGTCAGTAATAATCTCACCCTTATCATTCGTGGTGATGAAGAACGAGATCCAGTCCGTCTCAACATAGTCCGCAGCAGTGGTGGCTGTGATCGTCACAGGTGGGGGACTGTACGTCCTGGTGCTGCTAGTGGTGATCAACCCACCAAACTCGTTGGTGGTCGTCCAGTAGCTGATGACCAGGTACTCAGTCACTTCGTTGCCCAGATCAACAGTCTTGGTCTCGGCAGGAGGCGCAGGCCCGAACGACGTGTGAGGAGCCTCAGGCAAGTTGTAGTCACGCGTAGCATTGAACAGTGTGCTGTCAGTAATAATCTCACCCTTATCATTCGTGGTGATGAAGAACGAGATCCAGTCCGTCTCAACATAGTCCGCAGCAGTGGTGGCTGTGATCGTCACAGGTGGGGGACTGTATGTTTTCGTTGCTTCTGTAGTTATCACTGAACCCACTTCATTTGTTGTAGTCCAGTAGCTAATGACCAGGTACTCCGTCACTTCGTTGCCTAGATCAATTGTTTTCGTCACGGGGGGAGGAGCAGGACCATATAATTTGATAGTAGTCCGAACAGTAGTGGTTGGTTTGCCATTTTGATCAGTCTTTGTAATGTGAGATATCAAGTCGGTTTCGTATTCACCATTGCCTTTGTCAATTGTTGTTGTATAATCATCCTCTGGAGGAATGTAGCATTTTTTATTAACTGGATCGTAAAAGCCTTCTTTACAGACAGGATTGTTAGCCTGGTCAGCGCAAGGTGTAGCGACGTAGTATATGGTGCTTGTAACGGGTAGTTCATTAGCTCCTAGCGCAGTAGTAACATACTGTGTGCTGTATGTTGTTGTCGAATTTATGGACCTACAATTTAGTTGATATCCAATGCGTGCGGGACATTCAGCACCATCGGGGACGGAAAAAAACATACCCGAAAAATCTGTTAGTGGAGCCGGAGAATCGTTGAAATAATAAGAAAAGTCTAATTGGGAACCACCATCTCTGTTGTTGAAGAAAAGCCTTAGTGGGTAATAAACACCTTTTTCAAGGTAGACTGTAACATTCTTATCTTGATTGGGCCACAGGTTGTAGGCAAGAAACTCACCAAGATTGTTCTTCGTTGCTTCTCGATTACAACAATCAAACGCGTTAGTTGCACCCAAATTTAAAAGTAATAGATCATCGGCTAACAATTTGAATGTATATTTACCACTTTGTTTGGGTGCCAAGTAACCGAACAACACCATTGTGAAGTTGGTGACTGTGATTGGTTGTGGGAAATTAAAGCCAGCTGGCAAAGTATCAACTTTAGGAGAACAATCCTTATTCTTTGCTAAGAAATTTAGTGGCCCAACAACGCCATCAGCCTTTCCGAGTAGTTTATTCTTCAAATAGCCGGAACGAGGAAATTCTGGATCCTTATACGTTGCATTCCAACAGTATCCATTGTTACCATCCATAGGGTAGGCGTACACTTCCAGAGATAAACCAGGCGTAAGTTGTGTGCCCACAGAAGGAGAACAACCCACTGGGTAATTAGGAGCATTTGATAAAAAATCTCTTTTCTCTAGAAAGATGTTCTCGAAGTTATACGCACTTGCGCATTGTATAATCAATAATAAGCATATGAAAAAATTGGACAGCATTTTGTCGGGATTTTCTTTATTCCAAAAATGAGTCTTTGCAATATATTTTAATTATAAGTCTGATAAATGCTCACTTTAACCTATAGATAATATATTGTATTTGTGATTTATTGATTTATTTCGTCTTATAACGGTATTCCTTAATAAATGCAGTAAGTAATAACCAATTCTGGTATTTGTATAAATGAAGATTATGGAACTTTGAAATTGGAAGATAAAATTTATCAAGGCATACAAGTATAAATAGATAAATTTTGTAAAGAAGCAAGCCTCTAGTTATCCATATTGGTACATATATATATATATATTATCTAGAACATAAATTCTTTTAAATTCAACGGTTAGTTAGCTGAAGGTTCTGTTGGGTTTATAGGGACAAACTGAACATGGATGCAAAAAATGTTAAGTATAAAGTACTTCCAAACTTCGAGGAAAATCCTGAACTGTTTCTGCAAGGAGTTATTAATAATTATGGAGTTGAAAAGGCAAAAGGACAAGATAAGCCATTGTATTATGCGCGAAGTTATACTTGTGTGCCCGTTTATGGCATCGCTACATAAATATTGAATCAGACAAGAAAAACTGCATAAAAAACGGAGCAGTTAAAGAAGAAAGGGATAATAGAATTTCCGAACTTCTGGTACAATTAGTTATATGTTTCTGTACTTTTTTTTTTGCCTTTCTCCGAAGCTTTTAATCTAAAATGCTATCAAGGCGATATGTAATGAAGAAAGGATTTTCCTAAGAGAAAAGCTCTATGTCTTATTTCTTTTTAATATCTGCGTTATTTTTCGTTGTAGGCCAGTGAGTAGTAAGCACCCCTTAGATTCATGTTGCTGTTTGCATAATCCCAAGATTACACTAAGAGATTAATGTACTTAAATGGGCAAAAATGTTATTAAGACTAAACCTCAAACTAGAATTTTATCCCATGTACTAATCGTTCTTGATACTCCCCCTGTGCAGAGACTTCTTGAGAGGAGTGGGATATGAAATGGTTAATCCCGATCGTCCGGAGAAAGGCCAACTTCCTCAACAAATGAGAATTATAAGGTGCTGGTCCTGGTGCAACTTCCAGTTCTTATGTTTAAAGAGATAAGAATTATAGAGAAACACCTGCACAAATAATGCTTGTTTAGTCATTATGTCCTGGCAATAATCTTCTTTGCACGCGGGACCCAATCTAAATCCCGAATTAGTAAGTACCCTTCTTCAGAACAGAAAGGTGGGCAGATCCACCCGTCGGTTACTATGAATCGGAAAACTTCCAGTATTCAACACCGGCGAGATGCTTGTCCTTTCCACAAACCTTTCAACATTTTCCGGTGTTTCTTAGGTTCTCTATGCGTTACTAGTCAGTTTTGTAGTTCCGTGTACGAGACTCTCTAAGGGATTTTCCCATCCCGCAACTAGGATAACAAATTACTAATACGGGTACACTAAGCAGGGAATTGTTCAAGTCATCCTACTAATTTCGCGCATAAACGTCCGTAAACACAGAATTGCACGCACAAAATGCACTAAATTACATTGTGTTGCTCTAGACTAAAGAAACGGCTCGGAGTTAGGCCAATCGGGATTCTCTTCTCTTAATCACCCCCTTAAAGTGGGGGTGAGTTCCGATACATGGCAGGGTTCCTTCTGTGCTGACCGGTGTCTTCCATGGCAAAAGGCAATGTTCCGGTCGGGAAAATACCGCAGCAACTTGTGGGATGGACAAATATAGTCGTATATCTTGAGTAGGTTTGAAAAGTCTGACTAACAATCACCGGTACAACCAGCCTTTCTAATTACTCTTTGGGGATTTGCAGAAATTTGTAGAATTCTGTTTTTTCACAATACGTGTGGGTAACTAGAGGACACTACGAGTATAGGATTTCTGGTCGGGTGGAAGGAAGGGTTGGTTCAAGGGCAACGGCTAAAAAAGCATGCTATTGGTGATAGAATCAAACCGTCCTAAATCCGGACCCACGTTGGTTGGGTTTCTAATTGCTGTTTAATTGTAATATTAAAGGAGTGCAGACCCTACAGTAGCATTTCATTTTCATATATATGATCTGTTTGTGAATGGACGATTTGTGCTATGAGCTGAGAATTTCGTTTACTTGAATGATGCGTAGTTGTGCAGAATATTCCGCAAACTTTCTTGCTTCGGGGGCTGATTGTTGCTGTGTTGATTAGAAAGGGTAGTCGTTTTTATTGCTTAAAGAAATCGAAATCCCGTATTCTCAATCTTCTCAGCACAAAATCAGTCGGGAAGGATTTTTATTTGGACCGCAAATGATTATTATCTTTTAGTGTCGTTACACCAGTCCGACAGTTAGTCTATAAGTATATTCAATAGTTTATGATAGGCCATCAACAGAATACTCTAACAAAATAAATTTGCGGTAACTTTTCTTTCTAGTACCAATGAACCAGTATACGTATCAGCAACCAATGCAGAGTTATAAATACTTTTCATAATAATTGATCGTGGATATGTATAAATTGTACCACCAATTTTTGTTCAGCAATTGTATAGGCTAAATATTTATCAGTAAGTAAGCAAGATGTGAACTAGCGATGAATAAAAAAAGTCATGTTCTGCAAATCCAAAATGAACAATAAGACTTGAAAATGTCTGCTAACAAGTCTATTTTTAGAAATCGCAAGTAAGAATAGCTGTGTATAATACCTACTGTAAGATTTCCACACAAATTAAATAGTAACAAAAAAGGTTGATCCATCGAGGATCGAGTTAATTGTAGAAAAATTACTAATAAAAATTTTGCACAATTATCTAAGTTGCCGTATCCATCACCTTTTAATACTTTGAGATTTGCAAAAACTTCCTTAATTGGCTATAAGATGCACCCTGTAATATGCTACTGATAAATAGTTTGAATAGAAATGTCTTTATTAAATACATTTGTCTAACCTACGTTATCCAGTTTTTATAATCTATTATTTTTGAGAAAAGAGTTTTTGCAGTCCCCAGGCTGATTTTAACATATTATGATTGTGAATAAGTGTTAGTTTGTATCCTAGATATCATATGTACCATACCTAACTTCATAATTGGTAAGTATGGTGGTTCAAGAATGCCCTTTAAAACTGTATTGCAAGGTTAATTTAGTTGAGATACCGCAATTTTTGTCATGGGTAAATTTTCTTACATTTATGAAGAAACTCGAAGACTTGCCAGCTATTTTAGATCCACAAATTTCCTAGTTGTGAGACTAGATTGATAATAGCTCTCAATTAATGGGGTCAGTATCCACTGCCCTAATGTTCTCTGGTTATGAAATATTTATGTTTTGGTGAACAGGTTTTAGTTTACTCTACATTGGGCCGTTGTTGCTATTAGTGAGATAGCTATTCAGAATCTAAACATGCGTTTAGTAACACTATTACAAGAAAGCATATTTGATGTGATGTGATATACCGTCCAATTGGCAAAGCTCATCACATAAATACTCCCTCACTACCTATTATATAACAAACCTTTTTTTGATGAATGAATAACCATTAATATATCGAAATAGTGTGTGGCTGCCTAATGCTCACTTATTATGGAGGGAATCCATACCATTGCGGTAATGTTGCATATCTTAAATTTCAAATAAAAAAATCCAATAAAGCCGAACTCATATAATACTGACAACTAAGTTATTTGAAATAAAAAGATATATACTTCGTACTTGCTTAAAATTTAAAGTCACATGACCTGTGAGGTGACTTGACGTATCCGTCGCACTTTGCTGAACGAAATAATCGAAAGTCATCGGAAGAATGAGCTGTAAAGGATAACAGTAACAATTGAATGAAGCCAAGGCAGTTGAACTATAATATTTTAGCATAGCGAACCCATCAATTTATAAACAATGATTATTGGTTTGCTAATATAAATTAATGGATTGCAAAGAAAGAATCTCCTACAATCTAGACTAAAAGCTGCGAGTGCTTCATATGTACCAGATATAAGACGTAATGGCGTCGCAATTTGAAGGATTTGTTGACATACATTCAATATTTTACTCTACATTTCATCCGACTGAAGGGTCGAAGGTAAAGTTTGATTTCCCTCCAAGGAGCCTTGAAAATAGTGGTATCAATTTCGATTCAATCAAAAACTATGTTATTCCTAAGCGTGCCCTATGTCATAGACTCATCACTTTCAAATACGGCAACTATAGAATTGCTTGTTACCCTGTGACAGTTAACTCTTCCATCTATGCTAGAAACTTTTTCAGTTTTAACTTTGTGTTCGTGTTTCCTTTCAATTGCGAAACATCACCTTATGAACCAGCAATCGAAAGGCTAGGTAAAATGTTTAGAGTGCTGGAAATTCAAAATCAGATATTATCAAAATCAGAAAATGACACCATAATGTTTAACTTGAAAAGTGCCGATAAAAATTTCAATATTGATAATGACAGTTCCAATTATATTTTAGGTGATGACATCAGTTCTATAATGACTACCCAACAAAAGGACAAGTACGAGAGATTAAATAACATCATATCTAACATTAAAAAAAAGCCATCCAATTTCACCATAAGCGATCTATTAATGAGGCTTTATCAAGATCTAAATACATACTCAGAATGTCTTATTCCCATTGATGACGGTAATGCTGTCGATATCAAGCTTTTCCCATTGCTAACTCCACCTACACCATATATCTCAATTGAACATGTTCCTATCTCTCTGGTAAACTTATTCAAAATAGTTGATGTGAATTGGGATCCTATTATGCTAACCATTATACCTTACATTAATGGTATCAATAACATATACAGAATATCACAACTAAGTCATAATGAAGAATCATTGGTAATTGAGTGCATTAGGCATTTAGTTTACTATCGGTGTATTGTGTTGACTGATATCTTTGAGTTTTCAAATGTTTATGCCCCAACTTCCTCCTTAAGACTTTTTCTGCTAGATCCCAACATGGCCACTGAATGTCAGTCATACGTAATGTTACCAATAAACTCTAAAATGAATGATTTGAGTTTATATCCACATCATGGGAAGCATTCAGCTTTTAATGGCGACATAGGTTCTAGAAACAATTCTGTATCGACTTCATTGTATTCATTCAATGGCAATGACTCAAGACCACAATCAAGGTCTTCGTCAGTTGATCAGAGTCAAACTAATTTTTATAAGAATAAGAAGCAATCTGAAAGTAGCATTTCTACAGGGAATTCTAACAATGGCCAGAATATACACAAACACCTACCCACCCGATCGCTCTTATTCGATCTATATAGATCCCTTTCACAGGGTATAACATTGAAAGAATGGTATATGCAAAATCACAAAATAATTCGTGATAATCGTATTGATGTGAGAAGATTTATCACCTTCGGCGTCTTACGCAGGATAATTTACAGATGTGAAACCTACTCAGTTATAAACTCAACTGATCATCTACAAAATTTATGGAAGTTGAATGAACTAGAGAATCCAATTTCCATGGAAAACATATCAAAATTGCAATCAAATCATATTGATAGCTTGGCTGCCGATGAAGCATTAATGAATGCATACAAGAAATTATCACTGAAGGTGCCCTCTAAAGGTGCCTTGAAAAGTCATAACACTAGTCATAGCTCATTTTCATTAACCCCAACTGCACCAGAAATGGAAAATTCACAAGCAAAAAGGAACAAAAGGCTCTCAAAAGTATCTTTTGAAGCTCTTCCCGAAGACAGAAATGGTTTCCGATGGGGAAGTAATATAAAGACGCCAATCCAAGAGACCACTTGGAAAAAGCTATCAAAGATGCAGAGAAGAATTATGTTGAAGGCATTAGCCGATGCAGAAACACTTGACAAGATATGTGTGCTACTAGAAATGCCAAGACAAAATGTGGTTAATATACTTCATGAACTTGGAGAGCTGAAACTCATCAACTGTTGAATCATATTAATTATAATATAGCAGACTATGGTAGTTAACTAGATTGAAGTAGTAAAAAGGTGACTCATCTGCAAATACCTCTAACATTTCCTTCTGTCAACAAATTATTCTGGTTATTAGGAAAGGTTAGCATTCCCATATTTTAAATGAAAAAAATATGGAGTGGGGTTCTATTCCAATACCATAAACTTAGAACGCTTAATTTATGAGGTGCAGTTTTCTAAAATACTGTTTTGACGTGAAATTGATATGGAATACATTATAGCTGCGACTATTTGTCAAGATATGAAACTTTTTATTTTTTTCTATATACTATAATAAAGTGTATTGAAGAAGAGAGGCAGCGATATGTGAAGCAAAGACAGCTACAATTATTTAGCAGACCGGACTATTATTTATGATTCCAAACAGAATGGAAGTGATAAAAAATATAAAAACTTATCCTTTTGAAAATAGATTGTTGAGTAAACAAAGGTTGAATTATTAGAAAGAACAAATGATTTGTTTCAGTTGTTTATCTGAATGATCTGGTTATTCTAAACAATATAATTCTTCGGTATGTTTGATGATCCAAGTAGATGAGGTATTTCTAGGTACCTGCTCGGCATAACAGCAACTCTGAACCATCAATGACTAGAACCTGTTAACTCTATCAACAAAGTTTTTGAGATTTACAAAATATTGTTGCTTTTCTCGATACAGCAACTTTCTTGGAGGTGTATCCACAGGAGGATCTGCAGGATCATCAGGATTTGTTGGATCGTTAGGATTTTCAGGATCTTCTGGATTTGATGGCTCTTCTGGATTCTCAGGATCTACAGGCAGAGGAGGAACTGGTGTATTAATACCTGTGGGGCTTGCCGTCTCTGTGGGAACGTCTGAAGGATCGACATTCTTTGTTGCAGTGGGTACTATCTCACTACCATCGTTAAAAAAACTATCTAAGTTTCCACCAGCTCCATTAAATGCAATAATATTTGGTGACATTCTCTCGAGATTTGTTAGCTTTCCCTTGGTACCGAAGTCAATTAATCTTTCTTTTAATTCTTCAGGTGTTAAAGGAATGACATCAGGAGTTCCCAGGCCAGGTTGCAGTGAGGCAAAATAGGCCAATAACCCGGCAACTTGAGCAGCAGCAGCAGATGAACCAGTAACGCTGATTTCATTGGTAAACTGATTCCGTTCAAGATTTGGATATGTAGTTCTGACTCTGTCACCAGGACCATAAATATCAACGCAAGATCCCCAATTGCCCCTATCTATTGGTTCATCAGTAATTGACATACCAGCAACCGTGATAGGCTTTGAAGAACTAGCTGGGCTAGAATTGCATGCATTGATTCCTTTAGTACCTGCACCAACTACAACGTGAATACCGCTAGAGACCATCTTGTCAAACGCTGTGTTCAGTGATCTAGATTTCGCACCAGAGATGGAAAACAGGACGACTGCACCGAGAACTCCATTCTTTTCTATTCTTTGTGGATGATGATGATTCACAAAAGACAAGCCCTTGATAATGTTGGAAACTGTACCACGGCCTTGCCAGTTCAAAACTTTCACATCAATCAATGTAGCCTTTCTAGCTACTCCAACCTCTCTTCCACCCACAAGTCCTGCCATTTCTGTACCATGACCATTCATATCTCTCTCATCTTCATTTGGTGTTATTACGATACCACGGATAGTTCTTTCTATGTAATAGGCATGTGTTTGGTAGACACCAGTGTCCAATATATAAGCATCAATGTTTTGTCCGCCGTTAGGGTCAAATTTGTATTCATTGAAATTAGAGAGTCCCAACTTTGGTCTGTGAGAAATTCTTGCCAGATGCCAGTGAGAGTTTGAATCAGTTTCTTTATCGTCAATTGTCAAGATAGAATCCATTTCAACATAATCCACAATGGACTGTTTTCTAATAAATTCTACAACTTCATCGGTAAAGTAACCTACGTAGCCATTAAACCCTGATCCAATGTCAAAGGTATATAGGACTCCACCTAATTCCTCTGTGCTAAATTCTTTATCTCTTGTATGATGGAAGAAAGGGTCATTAGGTGCAAGAGAAATTGAACCGCGAAGTTGTAGTTTAGCCACTGTCTGAATATGTAATTTAATCTCATTCGTATAGGCAAAGTTTTTGAACATAACAATGTATCTATATGGTACAATATTATTTTGGATTTCATCATTTTCACCCAAAGGTGCTACCAAAGGTGCTTTTACATTTCCAGGTCTTTTTGACTGCTTAAAAAAATTATCATATTCTTGACTTTCTGATGTTTGTTCCAAAGTGTTAATATCAGGTAAAACAATAGCATTGGACAATGAAATAATCCCAATAACTAGGGTAATGATGTTACTTAATCTCATTTCTCAAAGGGTCGGCCTTTAATTTTTTTTAAGAGCGTAACTTATATTCTGACCAACTTAAACTAGCGAAACTTCAAAGTAAATTTTATCCGCTGTTCTTTACAGTTCGTTTGATCGAGAAATTATTTTATAGTTCTAAAAGCCCAGTAAACTCTTCCGTTTCGAACAAAGCTCTCCAATGGATATACAACTGCACAGCCTTCCTGTATATACAATATAGATAAGTATTGTATACAATTAATTAACGGATAGTCAAAAAGGCCAAGAATAAAAAAACATGAACATTTATAAAGCCGAGGTCACTAAAGGAAAGGATAATCAGAAAGGAAAAGTAGCCCAAAAGTAAGAATTTCGGTGGTATTTATACCTCAAGAGTTTTCCTTTTACCGTCCCTCCACTTGTGAACCCCATATGTAACCACTACAGCTATTCTTATGACTCTGACAGTTTACATTACCTACTTTGGACTTCACTAGCCCCTTTTTGTATGTTCAGCGGCTAACTTAATTACTATCAAATTGCATTGGTCCGCGACATTCTGTGTAAATTCCGTCAAAATCATCAGATCTGGTCATAAGCAGACATTTGCTGCTTAATGAGAACTATGTCCTAGACAATGTGAGATCCCTGCTCTCCACTATTTTCCCACGCATGTCCCTGCTAGACAATAGCATTTCAGCATCTACATAGAAGTAGTTGAAGTAACTTCTTCTAAATTTAATCACCTTAAGCATTCAAATTCTGCACGACAATTAAACAACAAGTATTAGTTCCTACGCACTGCCTCATGCACTCATTTTGCGCAGGAACCCAAGAACTACAAATCGATTTTTTTAATGAGCAGGGTAACTAGGACAAATGCATCCCACCCCCCTCATTCCCTATCAGCGGCTATATCTCCTCTGTCCCACTTATATCTCGCAGAGATGGGACAAGCCGCATAACAGATAAACACGGAAATAACGACATCAAAAATTGGGACATTTTGTATTTTTGATGTCTGAAGTTGCGATTGTTTTTCCTATTTCGGTATATTATGCTTATTTATAGCAGCCAAGTTGTATTTGAAGTATTTGCGTTGGCAGGTGTACGGGGGATTGTCAATAGAAACGTCTACACACCAAATATATGTGGCTACCGAAGCCTACAGATTCTAGAAAAGCAGTGGGGAACAGTGACAACCAGCTTTCTTATGCTTATCCGCGTATGTATATATTTATATGTGTGTGGGGAGGGGCAGGGGGGAGGAGGACGGAAGTAGCAGCGGCTATAAATTCACTATGTTTCTATTGGCGGCTATTTTCTTACATTATACAGTCTTACCATTAATCGCTGATTCTAGGAAGGTCATGGTTACAAGACATGCAATAGAACGGTTTGATTTCCATTTTTATTATCCCTAATGGTAAGGTATGCTGTCTGTAACTGAGATATAGTCTTGTTTTCTTTCTCATTACTATATAGATAATCTGTTTATATATGGAAAAGTACCACGATACCTAGGAAATAGCTACCGTGATTATAAATGCACTCAGTAGACAGCAAGTGAGTATGATGACTATACCGTTGTAGTGGTGTCCCATGCCAATATATGTATAAAAAATGCTCATATAACAGTACACAGACTAAAATCCATCAGGGGGTAGGACGGATTTATTGGATACTGCTTCATTCATGATTTTAAGTGGATGAGTTCGTTCTTGCAAGAAGAGAAGCTTATCTTTACACGATGAAGTTAGCCACTTACAAGAGCTTAGTCTTGATGATTTCTTGTCTGATCTTGAACGTGTAGTAAGTCATGATCAACATAATCACAATCAATGGGAAAATCCACAGGGATATCTTCCACAGCAAAGTATCGACATCCTGCTTACTACTATTAGCTTTTTGGGTGGCCTCTCTTATACGTATTTGCTCTTCATATAGAGATTCTAATTTATCATTTAGAGATAAAAAGTCCTTAAACTTCTCCTTTTCAATAGCATCAGCTTGTTCTTTGTTCTCATCACTTTGATTAAACACTTCTGAACGTTTTTTAACTATTATGTCCAATAGACCTACCATCTGTAAGATGAAGTCAGTAGCCTCCTTCTCAAGACCAATCAGTTCATCCAACTTTTTGTCCAATACAGAAATATCATTGGCAAGTAATCTTCCTTCAACACTGTCCAGCTTCTTGTACAGATCCAAAGTTGAGATACTGTTCCCCTTCTTAGTGTCAAAAATATCCTGTTCCACTATCTTTTCCTTGCCTGTATCTTTGTCAATTTGTTTTGTGACGAATTTTGGTTGAGGCATAGGATTGGAATTTGGAATCAAGGAGTCCTCAACAACACCGTTGTAGGCATGCATTTTCAAGATTTCAAAGGACTCAGCATTGTTATCGTTAACTGCCGTGACACCAAATCTATATAAACCTTGAGGCAACTTCACTTTGAAAGTTTGGAAACAGACTCTGTTGTCAATTTGCAACTTCAACATGCTCTTATTGTCCTTGTCGTATGTCAGTCTGGCCGTGGTTGGTACAGCACTATCTTGGTATGCTAGCAAACAAGATCCAAAAGATTTCTCATGAACAATCTCGGGGGTAAATGCAGTGATCTTGTCATTAAGCTGGGCTCTAATACTTGGCCCATGCACTTCATTGGTATCTAGATGCAACATAAGACCATCAAATTTAGAAGGACCGTTGACCATGGATTTATCCTTCAATGTCTCGTCAATTTCTTGTTCACTTGATCCTGTGACAAACCAAAATGCCATAGCTGCTTTTGAATCGCCTTCAAAGCCGACATCACGGAAAGTCCACTCAATTGTGAATGATGTCTCTAAGTTGAATGACTTCTTTAACCACAGCGAACCTTTGCTGTTCTTTGTAGGCGTTAAGATGAATCTGCCTGCTTCCAGTTTTGTTGCATCTGATGTTCTCCAATGTGCAGGGAGTTTATCGTTCAGCTTCACCAGTTCAGGCAGCGAATACTCTAGATCTAGTTTCTCCTTATCCGTTTTGCTACCGTGTGAATCTGTCCCGTGAGCATACACAGCAGAGCTCGCCAACAAACCCGTTAATATACTTCCAAACTTCATCGCAAGACTAGCAGAAAAAAATTATGGATGTAGCAACCTGATCCTGCACTGGTTGTGACCGACTTGCTTTGTATAGTTATGATATCCTGGCGATTTGCTATAACCAAAATATGATGCTCTCGAAGACAATTAGACTCGTATATTCCCAATAAGTTGGGCTGATTTCTTCGCTAATTTTCTTGATCTTGTGTTTAGCAAAAATAACGTCTTCGGGACAACTTTAATCTTTTTTTTTTAGAAGTTAGATGAAAAAAAGCAGGTACTACGGGGGTTTCTGGGACGGGGACAAGGCAATTTCGTGAAGACAATGGGGAAACTGAGCAATAACGTCTACCGAGCAAGCCATTGAATAGGTAAGGCTGTGACTACAGGATGTTACTTGCGGATGCGGTGCCATTAGCTTTAGAAATAGAACTTACGTACTAGTATAATGCGGAAAAGAAAAGGAAAAATCTAAAAGAAAAAGGATAAGTAAACGTCTATTTATAATATTAATTAATGCATGGTGAAAAATGGTTTACGAGAGCCATTTTTGTTTGAAATGAAGTAAATTATATGTGTCCGAATGGGAGGTTAGTATTGAAACTGATCCCACATTATATTCATGAAATGAAATGATGAGCCTGGAATAAATGAAAATCTGAAAGAAAGGAATAAAATAAATAGTGAAGCTGTTATGGGGACTATTTCTTGTCTCTCTTAAGTTCTTCAATTTCTTTAGTGAATAGTGCTCTTGGTTTATATCTGATTTGGTCCTCTAGAGACAGGTGCCTCTGCTTCACCACCTCGCCGTTCTTATTCACGTACGATATCGTAGACTCCAGCTCAGGGTTTTCTTTCAGCAGTTGGTTATGTCTTCTTCTGCGCTCTGTTTCATCTATAACATCATCCGATGCGAACGGGTTCTTCAATGGCTTCTTAGTCACCAGGAGATCATCCTCGGTGTCGGAGTTCGTCGTGCCGTCTTTGCTCGAGACGTTATTCCAATCCTGAGCCATCTCGAAAGTGATCACTTTGTCACTGGGAGTACCGGGCACTTGCTTTGCCATCTTCCTTATCTGTTCGTCGTTTTCTGCATCGCGAATGTGGCTCAATTGCAACTTAGGCAGTTGCAGAGGCGACGAAGACCGGGAAGGTGACGTCGACGTCTCGGGCGGAAACAGGGGCTCTGTCTCCTCCGCAAACAGCGTCTTTGTGATGCTCTTATACTTCCCGCTCGCGTCGCCCAGCAGAGAGTCACACCCGGAGTCACACCCGGCCCCCGCGTCGTCACCAAACGTCCTCTTCACAGACCCACGCCTACCTTGCAGCGGGAACGGCGACCTCTCCGGCGACTTCAGCCCGTTAAACGTAGTCTTCTGCGGCTGCAGGGCAGGCACACTCTTGAACTTCTGCACCGTGGATGGCGTCACAGGCGCCAGCAGCTGCGACCGCTGCGGCGTACCCATCACAGAGTCCCCATACCCATGCATTTCCAGCGACCCGGAATCGTGCCTTCTCTGTCTCGACCTAGGCGGAGTAGAAGGTGTCATTATCTATTTTCGCACTTGTAAGCTTTATCCGTAACTTCTTGTTCCTGTCCTTCGACGTCCTTTCCCAGACACAGACTCTACAAAAAGCTCTCACTTTATATATTAGCAAAACCTCAGCCATTCTATATTTTGTTGGTGGTTCCCAGACTTCACTATTTTAGTCCCTCCACCCAACAAACACTATTAGCCCAAAACCTGGGAAACCCAGCGAAACCAGCACTTTGCGCAAAGAGAGGGCTGGGCTCGTCTGCAGACACAAGACGCGTAATCCATTTGTCTTCCTGGTCTCTCTCCCCACCCCACCCCAAAGCAAGAGAAACACCCGTACAAACCTCTTGATTCTTTCACACAATCCCCCCTACCCAGGCTGCCTCTTACGCGTCTTCCCATTGCACAGAACCACCCGCACAAAGAACTAAACTTCCCAACAATAAATGCCACTTAAAATACCTATGTACGAACATTTCCACCAGCCATTTCTGTATAGTTATGTACGCACTGGATCATGTGAGTGTAATTTGCTGTTGGGTGTGGTGTGTGGGTGGATATAACATAAAACGGCCGGGTCCAACCCATTGTGTTGTGACTTTATTCCAGGCATAATAGCCCTACCTTCTGCCTGGACATACATCTATTATGCGACTACATACAGATCACAGCTCACACAGACAGCGTTTTTGGGTTGTGGTTGTAGAGTAAAACACTTTCCCTGTTCACAGACACGCATTAAGCAGTAATCAGAAGTCCAGAAATTTTTACACTAATAGCCCAACAGCTTGCTGGAAAGAATAGCGATATAAGTTTTGTTTGTGCAAATAGACAGAAGAAAGCAGGTTTTTTTGAAGATACAGGAATAGGCAGACTGAAATGAACGCTCTGTATATACACGCGCAGAAGCAGAAGACGCAGTTGCAGCAGGATATCGCGAAGTTTGAGCAGGATAACTTGACAGCGCCGATCTCTTTGCAAGGCTCCATATCCGCGACGCTGGTGGCATTCGAGAAGACCATCGAGCAGTACAAGCAGCACTTCGACAAGCGGAGAGCCGGTGGAAGTAATGACGAGGAGCAGCTGGATCCCAAGTACGAGCTGCGGTTGGTGTCGCTGAAGAAGGATCACAAGGACTTCGACGCGAAGTTCAAGGAATTGAAGCAGAAATACAACGAGAATAACGCCAGGAGTAAGCTGTTCGAGTCACCGCTGGATGCACAGACCGGTGGAGAGTCTGTGATGAATCAGAGGAGAACCGCTACCAATGACCACACATCGCAACCTGGGAACACTTCTAGTAACTATGGTCTACCGATGTATGATGGGTTGCAGAAGGAACAATCTATATTCCAGAGAGGTAACGCACAGCTGGACATGATCTTGGAAATGGGACAACAATCGCTGGATGATATTATGGAACAAAACCAAATCCTACTGAAAGTCCAAGATCAAATGTCTCGTAGCTTAAGGACTTTGGGTGTCTCCGAAGAAACAATCCAAACCATCAATAAACGTGTGTTCAAGGATAAATTGATATTCATATTAATAATATTTTTGTTTCTGGTCGGTGTCTACTACGTACTAAAATGGTTCAGATAATAACCACGACAAGACCACACTGTGATGCATTAAATTTTACTAGATAGGCTTCAATTATCCACATACTTATGTATTATATTTTATAATTTTTTAATTCATAGAGAATAGCATTCATGTCATCACATTCAATTCTCCTTCTTATAGCGCCTCTAGTGTACTGAAAAATCAATCTTTTAAGCCATTTTTTTTTTATAATCGTGCTAAATACAAGATACATTAATAGTTATATATACATGACGTTGATGAACTAGTGAAAACTCTCTCATTGGGGTTTAAAGTTATTATCGTTTCACTTAAATCAGATAATTTCTTCGATTGTCCTTGTAGTAGAACTGCTGGTACATTTGTGGGTTTGCTTTGCTTAATCTTTTTACCTATACCCAATTGACCGGAATCATTTCTCCCCCATGCTACCAAACGACCATCGTCAAGTTTGCAAATTACATGATGTGGCCCAGTGTACCACTGCTTCACTTTAATGTCGCCGACAGGTTTTGCGTTTTCAAATTTTATCCGGGTTGGTTCTTGCTGAGAGTTTTTATAGATACCATTGCCTAATTCCCCTTCCAATCCATTACCAAATGCAAAATAATGTTCTTTATTCATGTCAATTGCTTTTTTACTTTCACCAACAATATGCCCAGATTTAGGCGACGCTTTCATTGTGACATAAGACGTTTCAGCACTGCAATTCAAATCTATGCATTTTATATCCAGCGCATTTGCCCCAGGGAAATGGGCGTTGAATGCACCATTGATAATCTTTGGGTAAGGAATTGATTCAGATTTATATGAAATTGGCATAGCCAATTGACCGAACCTATTCCATCCGAAACTATACAAGTTTCCTAACGAGTCTCTGGCTAATGTGTGATAGTCTCCACATGCAACTTGTTCGATGGACTTGCTGATGACTTTGCCTGATTGGTCGAATGAGTTATTTAGCATTTCAATTTCATGGAGTTCGTGCGCTACTGGAAAGGTATCAAATTTTGAAAAATAGGGAATCCCGAATTGACCAAATGACTCTTTATTTCCATCCGATCCATCAGTCGAACAGGTATAGGCCTTACCATGGTTAGATATTAGGACTAAATGATCTTTACCAACATCAAACTGAGAAATCTTTTTCTCACCTTTCCTAGTATTAAATACATGATTAATATCAATTTGGTTATTGTAAACCGGGTACTTACGCCAAGGGAACAGCCAAGATCTATGGTAGTCCAAATATTTGGACAAATTATCAATGTGCCCCACAGGTATTATCAAAATCTTACCGTCTTTGTTCAATGCATAAATAGTCTTACCGGATAATTTCAATTGTTCAAGCTTCTGTCCTCTTAAAATAACATCATCGGAGAGTATATCAACTAAATTACCTGCTTGATCAACACCTAGACATTTTTTCTTATCATCTAAGATAATGAGATCTTTTAGTTCCTTGTTGAATGCTTCTTTAATAGCTTTGGGGATGGTTGACTTATTCATCTGTCCAAACATCAGAACATGTGTGCCTTCTTTGGATACATTCCCTACCAAAACGGGCTCTTTCTTGGCAAAAATAGCCTCAGAGCCATCGCTAGGTAGTTGATTGCTCTTACCTAGCATTATATATTTGCTTTTTATATTAGGCCAACTTAGGTACAGTGTTGCTCCACCACCAATTAAGACAAACAACCCTAATCCCTTGAAAATAGCGTTAAGTTTCATCATCTTCACATAGCGCGACTCAATCTCCTCCTGAGAGGCTTGATGTTTCACATCTTTGGTCCAGTCGTAATCAAATTTGTTCAATCTCTTGGCCTTGTATGGCTTACCTTCCAGTTTCTCACCAAACATCTCACTTTCATCAAATTGCGGAGTCATGCTATAGAGTCGCCGCGAATGGGCAATCAAGCATCTTGGCAATCTCGCGGATACCCTAGACAACATCATACTTTCTACCACTGTCGTTCAACCTTGGCAGGTAAATATATTATGTATTATAAAGTAATTACAACTGTTTAGCTCTGATGAAGTTGATCTTTTATTTTATTCAAGGCACAGCTTACCCGTTATTTTTTCAAAATCTTAACTGAACTCGAACCTTGATTATTTCCACTCACCAAACTTGAGAATGTGTACAACTAGTTACAATAAGAACAAGGTTAATACGAATTTCAAATGCCAAATAATATAAATCAAGCTATGAATATATAATTGAAGAAAAAAAAATCTGTGCAATGAAGTTTAATCAATGAGTACTCCTGCGCACAGTACAGGGGATGTTTAGACTCTAAATTAAGAACCTCTGTGGTACTTGACAAGCCAAGATCCTCCTCACTAAACCATAACGGCATCTCTGAACAGCTAATGTATTCAAGCCTTAGTTAGCGTGCATCGTCAATGTGCCAACTGTAACTCATCAATGCGAACCTGGTCAAAGTATGAATGTGAAAATTTTTTTTTTCGATTACATCGCATTTGTTTGTTGTGCGTCGATTTGTTAAGAGAAATGAAAAAAAAATCGAATGAGCGATGAGATGATCATCGATGAGTTTTCGTATTCGTTACAGTAATAAAGATTCATCTGAGCAGATATACTTGCATTTTCTGACACTATTTTTAATAATTGCGGAGTTACGTTCATGCTCTCTATTATATTTCTCTGAATTTTATGATCAATCCCTGAATTCAATGAAAAATTGAACAATATAATTGACATAATTGTCCCGACCTATATCTCACGAGTGGTAGGTAGTTCTGTGAACGATTCAATTGGTAATTAGAGGTTCTACTTTGAGGACTTTGAATTTATTCTGAATTTGGACTGGTCGGTAGGTCAAAATTGGAATGAAGAGTACACAACAACTTGGGCAAGAGGCTCGCGAATTTGAGTTCAATCCAAACATCCCACTCCATCTGTACCTGAAGACATGCGTCACCTTGCTGAATAATGCGTCGGAATGTTTTCAACGTGGTGACAAGTCTTTATCATACTTCTATTATTTTCGATATGTGGACCTCTGCACAAATAAGCTTCCCAATCATCCAACTATAAGGTCAACTAGCACTGGATTGGATAATGATAGTAAACTATACGTCCAAGAATACAAACAGCTTCTGCGGTTGGAAGTACCCCATATATTGAAGATAATGGAAGAATTGAAAACAGAGCTCGATGCCATGTACGAAAGGCACAAAGTCTCACTGGCAAATAATATTGCTAGTCCAATTTCGTATAAGCATAACAATAGGATGGATGCCTTATTGCATGACTACTACACAGAAAGAGGTTGTACAGGACATTCAATGCAGCACAAAACTAGCCTGCACAAGAACGAAAATTTCAACGAAAGGATAAACTTAATGAAGGATAGTTTTATGGGTAGAGCACCTAATGGTTCCCAAGAAGTCAGAAATGTCTCAAATACATTTTATCCTGATCTACCGACTCTATCATAACACACCCACATTCTAGACAAAACTTAAAGCATGAATAAAAAAATTCGTCCCTAATTTCATAATGAACAAAACAAACACTTACCGTGAGTATTTTGTATTCATATACCACTAATATAACACACTAATGCATTTATTATTATCTAACATCATCAAACGTTCCAGTTTCTTATTATTGAATATATTCTGGATATCATTTCGGGATTCAGGTCCTGGATATCGTCTCTGCGTCTTGCGAAGTCCTTTAATAAAAGGAGAAGCTCTCTCTCAAAACCGTTACTACTTTCTAGTATATTTTTTCTTCCAGCTGGAACATCAAGCAAATGTGAAGACTTTAATGCTTCAGAACTTATAGAATGTATTAATAGCTTATCGATTTTCTTTTGCAAGGAAAAGGTGGCAGTTAAATTTAATAGTAGTAGGACAATAACTGTAACTAGTAAACCAATTAATATCCAAGTAAACCATTTCACAGTTGGAGGAGTCTTTTTTACAGTTATCTCGGTTTTCTTTGTAGTTGAGGTAGTTTTTTCATCCTTTGGTGCACCACCATCATTGCCATTTAACTTTTGCTTTTCCTTTGTTTCAGTTTCTTCGGCAAGAGTTACGACTTCATCAATAGAATTCTCCTTCAAATATGTTCTTAACAATTTTTCTATCACGTCAGCTGCTTCAATCTGTCCTGTTTTACAGGAGGATTCTATCATACCTTTTATCCAACTTGAACCTGTCCATTCTACCCAATATGATATTTTCATGCTACAGCTTGTAGCATCATTCCATCTAAACATATACCTTGTCTTTGTGGAGAAATTGTTTCCGCTTGGGACATTGGGCGTCTTTGTTTCCACAACCACATTAATTGCATTTTTATAGTCTTTACTTATAAGTTTCTCAAGTACAACACATTTAGTAGACTTGGGTCCAACAGAGTAATTCAGTGCTTTAATATATGTGAAGCCTCTCTCATTTTCAATTTTGTCAAAAGACCCAAATTCAGAAATACTTGAAGAGTCCAGTTCTTTCAGATATTGATTGTGAAATGATGGCTCAGTCTCACTGAAAATAATTTCAAATACCAGACCTGGGGGAGCATCTAACGTAATCTCCTTAAGAACGTGTTCGTCATTATCTTCCGGAGAATAGTCGAATTCAGTCTTCTTGAAATACAATGGGCCATTGTATACTATCGGACATGATGGCTTAAGTTTATGAACACGCAGTTCCTTGGTAATCTTGTAATCTTGTACAAAATCCGCCGAACCTTCTCCTTCAGTATCAGACGAACTACCTGAGGACTCATTGACATTGTCCGTAACTAATTCAGTTTCATCAATAGAGAGAATAGCTTTATTAATGATATCATCGTTATTGTTAAGGTTCCCTACATTATCAGGAGTAGTCAACAACCTTTGGAAACTACGTTTCAGCGTTCCAGAGTTATCAATAAATAATGGACCATCAATAAGCTTTTGCAACGGTGATGATGATGTGGATGATCTTCTAGAGGTCAGATTACTTGCACTTAATCCATTGACCTCGGCGGCTCCCACCTTTTCTGGGTGTACAATCTTAGGGACAACCACGTTGGTATTGTCCTGATGTATCTTATTTCTTTCTGACCAAACAGTCATTAGTATATCAAATGTCACATCCGTGGAGATGAATCCTGTCAACACATAGATGCTGTCGTCTGCTCCCTCTATAGTGATAGCTTGTGTTATGGTTCCTCCAATTGATGATGATAAGGTCTTTTCAATGTGCTTGATATCAACCAAGGGAATAGTAACCTTGTTCATCCAGTCCACAAAGGACGAGTTGAACGACAGGTGGTTCTCGGAGATGTAAATCCTACCGTTATAAGTATGTGATTTGTGCATCAGACAACCGAAATCATCTATTAGTCTATCAGTGCTTGGAATTGACCTGAAAATAGCATGGAATGCCTCATCTCTTTTGTCTGATGCATAGTGATATTTCGAGTCTGCAAATAAATCTGAAGAATGGTAGCCATTGGCAAATGTGCTCTTGCTGAAAGTGGCCGCGTCTGATCCAGAGTTCGATGTGGAACCATTTGTAGTAACTACAGTTTTCCTATGCAGGAAAGCTGGCACCATTGAGTCAAAAAATGTGGGGCTTCTCGACTTATTCTCGGGGTTCAAGTCTGAGCTATCATTGACTTGAAGAGAATCCTTTCCCTCGTTGGAATCAGCTACACTCAGTTCTTCTAAGCTCCTTGCTGGTGAACTTGAGACAGAATTAACCTCAGACAGTTTAGGGTGAGCTGGATCAGCCTTGTATAAAGACGTATTGGACTTCTTTAAACCCATATAGGGCGAGACATAATCCTCCATAATCTAACTTTAACACTGTCCTATCAAAACTCAGTATCTTCAAAAGAGTAGTTCTTGTTTAAAGTCCAGCTGCCAGGTCCCTTTTATGAATAAATTTGTGTATGTTAAACTTTATATGCTATAAAACTTCCAAATCAATGTGTGATCTCCCAAAAAAAGAAACAAACTGTAAACAATCCCTTAAACGAAGATAGGCCGAGCAAATCCATGGCAACAATGGTAAGGTAAGGTAATCCACTCAACCACTTCATTAGCATAAAAACCTGAGACATGGCAAGAAATCGATTATAAAGGATAGCTGTGTATTTGCTAAAAACTCTTGAGAATCATCGCCCCGTAACAGCCATTGAAAAGGGGGGTACCACTGTAAAGCTGGAAACGCACAGTTTCTAAAAGGTTACATAATACCCATGATTACACTCAAGTTATTACACTCATCCTGGAGAACAGTAGGCTCATCGCTGTGTAGTACCACCAGCTTGCAGGTAGCCCGTAGTATGGCCATCGCCGACATCACGACACACTACATAGTTAATAGACCACGTGTAAGCGGTCAAAGGCCACCGCCTTTAATAAAAGTGAAAAAAATTTCTGGCGAGCAGACCTCTGGTGGTCGAAGGCTATTCCAGAACTGATAAGTTATGGCGGAACAATAAAGACGGAGCCGCTGACTATATCTAGGGTATAAATAGCCAGCGTTGGTAATTCGAGGTTCAGCAGGCATTGGTCACGGTTGCTGAATTGTTCTTGCCAATAAAACTGGGGAGGAAAGGAAAAAAAAGCCCTCTTCAGGCCGTTTCTGGAGTTTTAACGATAGAAATAGAAATTGAAGCCGGGACTGAAAAGAAAAAGATAGAAGGATAGAGGGACATAGAAATAACACAGGCACAGAGGAGAGATCGGTTGCCAATTGTGAAAGGATTTAGAGATTTTTGCAACTTGTTTCAAGGACAAGTCCTAGTGTGTGTCTCTTCTAGGAATACGATTGTTGTTCTATTCTAATAGAGATAGGCTGTTCAGGTTACGAATTCAGCAAACCTCAACTCAATTAGAGAGAGACTATAAAGGTAATTGATAGATATAGTAAAGAAAGTCAATCAGAACAGTTTAGGACGTTGGCCTATTTTTGAATGAATAAAAACTCATTCCATTCAATATAATAGCACAACACAGGCATGAATGGGACGAGAGCTGCACCAGGAGTAACACCGAGCGAAGTAGCTATGAATGGCAAGAATGAAATGGAGGTAGTTGAACAAGCACCTATTCCAAAGACAAATGCCAATATAGGGCTTAAAAGCCCTGTCAATACGGTGGAAGATGTTAACCAGGAGGACTCAACAAACTCACCTCCACCCATTCCTCATGTAGAGATTAATCAAATGCCTTTGTCTATGATAATAAGGAATCTAACCGTATATACAGTAAAGGAGATTTCTCAATATATGAAAACAACAGTTCACATGAATACAGCAGATACTTCAACTGCTAGAAAGATGAGATTTTTGAATCTGCTGATATTTATTAGGAACCAATTTCTGAAGTTGTACGTGCTGATAAAATGGTGCCGGACTATAAAGGAAAACAACTTCAATATAATGATTGATTTACTAAACTGGTTTAGAGGTACAAATATGACAGTCAATAATTGCATCTGGGCACTGAAATCCACTCTGGAGTCTACAACAAATGCAAAATTGCCCAATGTCGATCTTGTAACGGCACTTGAAGTTCTTACATTGGGAAGACCAAATTTACCTACCCACGATTTTAAGCTGAGTGGAGAAAACAATGAATATGAGACCGTGAATGGTCAATTAAGAATACCCACAAAACTTATTATGCAAAGATTAAAGGATCTCAACATAATTGTGATGATAAAAATTTCATCGATCGACATTCCAAAACAATTCAACAACTATGAAATTAGAGATGGAAGAGTATATATCACTGTTCCAGGCGAATTTGAAATTCAACTCTCCACTATTGATAGACACTCACCTTTTTTCTTTGTTGATTTCAAGTTATTATTTGCTGGTACAGATAGTTTATTCAATAAACCAAGGCTTGAAAAGATTATCAATGATGTCTTACTAAGAAATAAGAAACCATTATACTCCTTGTACAGCTTACTACATCGTTACGTTCTTACTTTACAGCTTTACATGATTCATCTAGAGCTGTTAAATTTGGAAAATGATGGTAAATTTTCTGGCGGGAACCTGGTGCATAGTTACAATGCCAAGAAGAGTTTAATAGTAATGAAATACTGGAGAAACGGGAAGCTAGGAAATAAGACAAAGATAATTATTGGTGTTGACAGGAAGTCCGAGGATTTAGTTCTCAAATGGGATAACGAAAATGCCAAGCAATCGATGCATATGCCACTAGTTTATACACACGTTGTCGGAAATGTTGAGGCAATATTAGATGAGATTATGTTCAACCATTCTAGGCTAATTAGAGCAGATTTACTATCTAGAGGTGTATTTCAGGAAGATGAAGAGGATCCAAGTGTATTATTATTTCAATTACCCACTACTTGCTTATCAACTGCTCCAATACAGCTTAAAATCGATCTTGTTAGCGGCGTATTTTATTTCAAGAATCCTTCCCCACTTTTGCTTGAGTATGTTTCTCAAATAAACAGAGCGGAAACACCCGAAGACCTAACTTCTGTATTACAAAGACTCAAATTAGATAAGATTGTCCACATTATACGAAACATGTTTGATAAAACAGGTTGGGTATGTAGTAAGGTAATCAAATTGGATAATCCAATAGCAACCTCTGTCAACTCAGAAGAGATTAAAACCAATTTACTACAAAACGATATGTTCATTAGATTGGCGTCTTGGCCTGTAAACTGGTACTTAATTTTGACAATTGTGTCATCTAATTCATCGTGTATTATAGAAAAGCGCATTGGTAAAATAATATCTACAAGTGGCAAATGGAAAGTACAATATTTAGATACAACCAATGTCCTCTCATTGAAATTAGAAAGTATAACCTATAAGAAAATCATCTCACTACAGAAGAGTACTTTGAACAGGATTATTAACCATACTTTGATTGACTCATTAAATCATTTGAAGACACGTAATAAAGTTTGTTCTCCTGATTTGATTGTGAACTCACTACCAAAACATCTATTAGAGGATGAGGTGGATGACAAGGTACCTCATAGCATTGAAAATTATCATCACATATCATTAATTACCATAGAGTTGGAATCCTTCTTAGAGGGATCTAAAGCCCTTAGTGGCATTCTTGAAAGCACTATGTTTTTGAGAATGGATTACAAAAAGTTTGAGATAAGACTGTATGGAAAATTCAAAAGAAGTACAATGGCATTCCATTGCCAGTGTGATGATCTATTGATTAATTTTGTGGAACGAGAACCATTAGCTTTTTACTTGGCTGAAACCTTTACAAATCTAAATGAAATTGTTCAGTATTTGACACTTTTCAGACAAAAACTAATGCAATTAGTTGTTTTAACTGATGTTGTGGAACGTCTACACAAGAACTTTGCATCTGACCACTTCAAGATTATTTCATTAAAACCCAACGAAGTTACATTCAAGTACCTAAAGTCCTCGACTGACGATAAAGACTGTACTATAAACATCATCACAAATGAACAAACAATAAAAAACCTGACAGTGAAATTATCAGATAAAAATCCGCAGCATATCATCCAACCCTTTATCGATAACCAGCAATTCGAATATCAATTTATTTTTAGCTATTTGCAGTTTACTTCACCACTTTTCTGTTGCCTGAAAGAAATTCTTGATGAATCAAATAAAGAGGAAAGATTAGAAAATGCAAAAGAAGAATCAGATTCAACCAGAACTTCTACATCTATCACGTTAGGTCTTCATAATTTGAGTGAATATCAATTAGTATATTTCAACCCTGAGTTAGGCTACAAAATTACCCTGATATTGGAATTGAAGGAGGTTTCAATTAATGGGAAGAAGAAGATTCAATTTTATGTCCATTTCTCTCAAGATGAACACATTACAACAAAATCATCAGCTTATCCACTAATCCATCAAGTTAGAAATGAAATTTTTATGCTAGAAATGAAAAAAAGGGATGGAACTCCTAGTCTCATTAAACTAGATAACACAAGGAATGTGATTAGACTAGGAAATGGTATTTCATGCGATTCTGATTCGATAGTTGAAGTACTAATGAGTATTAATAAGATACTTCTTGGTGATTCAAAGTCCGCTCCTCAGATTACTACAGTGCCACCAACTAATAAAACCATATAACTTATGTCAGTTTTTTGTAGTGTATGACAAGATTTACATAACCAGTAGATATTGGTTAACCTCGACACGATAATATAATTAAATACTCAAACTGTTTTAGAAAGGAGAGATTGTCAAGTTAAATATGCACGAATCGAAGCGGATGTTGTATATCACATATCTTTTACATGTGTCCACTAATATTTGTAACTGCTTTCAATAATTATTTAGATTGAGTTTGGTCAAATTAAGCGTAACTATGGATCGAAAATAAATATTCTATTGGTAAATTGTAGAATCTGAAAGGACAATATATTTTTCATAAATATCATATTATCAACTAAAGATAAACGCTTCATACTTTGAAAATACTCGACAGTTATTCGATTTCGAAACATATGAGCTTCTAAAATATAGAATTCTTAACAACATCCACATACATTTTAGTACCAAAAATTTGGTCATCTTGGAAAAGCAATGAGCTTCTTAATTTACTCACAGTTAAAGTAATCAATATCATGTATACTAATAATATTGCTGTCAATAACCACTGTGTATTAGCTGCTATTTTTACTTATATTTTCTAACAATTCGATTTAGGAAGTAGTTGAAAATTTGATGAACAAAATCTGCATAAAAGAAATTAAAAACAAATTTATTAGATGACCTGATTAACACTTTGCAGTTTGCGATAAATATCTTCTCTCTGATTAAGTTTAGTATTGTGTGTAAAAGGCACATAAATTTGTTCAGATACTGAGGCCATACTTTTAATACTTTTATGCTACTGAAAAATGCAAAGCCTCGAGATAATAACCGAATAACAAAACACATTACTTCTTTAAAAAAATTCAATTTCTAACATGTGTTGTATTATTTTTTGTTACTATATTGTTCTTGCTGAAGATACAAAAACTTCAGAAACCTTTCATCTAGTTATAAAAGATGCCTCATCGTTAGACAATCTTTTTGAACAAGATATTTCTTAATATAATCCGAACTCACTCTTATTTACTGGAACCATCTATGTTACTTCACAAGCAGCCTTAATTGTTATTACATCAAATGAATAAACTCTGACTAGCTACAGATTTCACCCAAGGGCTCCGTAGGAGCTATAAATCAACATGGTAAATTATGTACACACCTCTTATAATTTTTAACAAAGAAAAGGCTGACTTAGCCCACACGTTCTGGGGTACAGATCAATGACATAAAATCCAAATGACAGTAATGTGCTATACGTTTAACCATTGGGTTGGGATATTTCTTTAATTAGCCGCGATAATTAAAATTACAATTCAAGGCGTCAGCGTATATGCGCAACATATTTGCATAAAAACAGACACCAATAGTACCGAATCTTAGAAAAATAAGAAAAATATTGAAAATATTTCAAATTAGTATAGACCCGACTGTAATTTTGATCAGAAAGAATGGAATTAAAAAGTACATCAACAGCATGAAGAATTAATTAGACGTGACAATAACAAATCATATTCACTAGAAAACTAATTCCAGAACAGCGTATCTTTTAAGCTGGAAATAACAATACTTAGATTTGAAAAAGAGCAAATATTCCTCCACACTTCAAAGACGCTAAGACAACACCAATTCAAAAAATCTGTTACAGCACTTTACCACTTATTCAGGATACAAAGGAGAAGATAGTAACAGAAATATCTGCTCTACTACTACTTTGGCACCTATTTCGACTTCCTATTATCTGTTAGAATATTGTATGATGGCATTGCGTTCAAGATTACCACAACTTCAAACTTGTCTAAATTGCTACATTAGATATTAAGTAAAGATCCTCCTCAATGGGAGTACAGTTTTAAGTAAGACAGAAGTAGATATATTGAAGTATGAACGACATATCTCCTGTATATGATATCAGTTATTTCTATGAATCTGTACATACTCGGCTAACTTCAATTGTTCAAAGAAATGCTTGACCATTTTGAGAAATGCAATTAAAATCTCCCGCAATCCACGCACGTTAGAGATCCCGAATAATGAACAATTGGTAAACTAAACTAATAACTTTCATAGATACTGAGAGTTGAAACACTCCTTAAAATTATTATATGGCATCATCAGTGTCATATAAGGGTGGTGCTGCCTGATCATAAGGAAAAGGTTCCATCGTGGGTTCAATAGGTGAATCGGAATTCATTAAGAGATCCACTAATTTTCCTTCCATAGCTTGATAGCTGTTTGTTATCATAGTACCCTCAATTAATCTCGAGAATGTTCTTGGTGCATTGGAATGTGATGTCGAGCTTCGTTCCGCACCTCTATCAAATACAAAAGGATGCTCCGTGAAACACAACGAATTTTGAACAAACGATGTATTGTTTTCCAAAAATGGAAGATTATTTTCTTCAGATGTCAATATACTTCCTTCTCTGCTGAAATTATCGTCCGTTTCTTTATATAGGCAATGCTCAAGACCTGTCTCAACAGACTGTGGCAAGTCTGGCTGAGAGAGATGGTCAACTCTGTTGGATGTCATTAATAGTGAACCGATTTTCATTCCTGGATCTGTGAAGGATTTCATTGTAGGACGTACTTCCAAGTCTCTCATATTTATTGACAGATTGGTTGATGTTGGCTTTACTGAATTTTTCGACCTCTTCCTACCACTTTTACTAAGTCCTGTACAATATCTGGTTGACAATGAATGCATTTCAGACAGCGACGGATCAAACTGAGCGGTATTTTCTAATTTATTTTCTTCTAAACACACCTCCATAGCGACTTGTGTTGCATCGATTTTTATAGCACTCTTGACAGGCTTACTATTGATAGTAAACACAGGTTTCTTATTATTCTTTTGTGGGTTCTCAGCCAGGTTATAATGCAGCGCATTGTACTCAATGATAGCTTCCAATGCACTTTTATCTATTAAAACTGATGAATCAATGTTCTGGGAAGTTAAATCTACCTCATTTGAGTATCTATCTACTTTCACATAGCTATTGTCATCAGTGAAATTGAACCCAGACTCATTTGCATTTCTTACACAAGCCTTTCTTTTGGCAGGTCTCTGGCAATTATTGTAGTTGTTATTTAGTGATGCATTTCCCCTCTTCCTCTTATTTTGCTCCTTCTGTCTCGACCTATTTTTTATGCTAATGATACCAACATTTTTAACTGGAGACGGGCTACTACCATTTGTCGGAGATGAGACTTCATCAAATATTATTTTTTTTGGGGGAGAGTAATTAGCCGGTGTATAATTAGATGGTGACCTACCTCTAATAATTAGGGCCGGTGTTTCCATCTCCTCAATATGAAGAAATATGTATTTTCTGCCATTTGGCAATTCAAACGGTTCAGATGTATTTTCAAATATTTCTTTGGATTCTTCCGATTGTAAAAATTCTGAATTTATTAGTGATGATTCGGTAACTGCAACTCCAAACATGACATGTAACTTGAAAAATCTATTTTGATCAAAATGCTTATCAACATTGTTAGATGCAGAAAATTGAACTCTTTCAAAACGGGCAACTTTCTTTATGCAATTATCAGGATACAGGCCCAATATTGTATCTATCGGATAATTGTTCAGCTCTTTATTGCGATAAAAATGAAAAGTTGGATCGAATTTTTGCTTTTTAACAATATTCCTCACGTTTGATGCTTCTCTAATTACTTGATGATTTGGTAGTGGGGATGGAATAATAGGGCATATATCTGGTGAAAATTGAGGCCCTTTATCTCTCTTCGCCGTATGTTGCACTAGCGGGATATCATTATCATGGTCATCAGTTGCTCTTATCTTAACTGCAAAATACTCTACAGGCAATGTTCTATCAGAATGTAGATCACTATATTTCCTCACATTGAAACATATATCACTACCTTCAACAGTTTCATCATTTGCCGGGAGTGCATCTATTGTAAATGAGTGGCTTAGAAATTTTTTATAGTCCCAACCGTCAATTGTAAAAGCAGCAACTAAAGTAAAGTAGTTCCTTTTATATCCTACCCAGTCGTCACCAATGTTATCAAATCCTCTATCAATTCTTTGTAGTAGTTTCAAATTCATAAGCTCACCAGTCTCAACACATCTTAGGTTTCGAAATCTTCCCCCACTATAAAATGGCGGTCCTACTTTAAATTGAAGAGTGGACCTAGGCGCAATTCTCAACTTCCTTTTATCAAAATAATTACTGATAGTACCATCTTCGTTTATTCTAGTCTTTATGACATACTCCGGCTCCAGGTCTCCGGAGTCATCAAAATTTTCATCATCGGTACCATTTAGCTTGCTTGCTGCACGTCTCCTTCCAAGCTCTACATTGCAATATTTCTTAGCCATTATTTAGTAATCCTTATAGTCCAAACCTAAAAGCCTTTTGCTGCTACAGATTACCACTTATTCAAAATGCTATAGCCATACAATGAAATCAAATTAGCTTCTAGTAACTATGTCCCTGTTGAAGAAATAATAAACGCTGCAAATATAAGGAAGAATATTCAAAACTTAAGAAATATGATCTGATGTTAGCACTGGCTCACAGTTACTCCTCCTGTGCTTAATAAATAAGCAAGTATCTCACCAGATAAATGGACTTGGTCAGCGTAAAATTAATAGCGATTCCTCTAGGAAACGGAGACTTTCGACGCAGCTATGGCCAACGAAAAACAGCAATATCACCAGTGAGAGCAAGTTGGTAAAGATTAAAAGTACCACAGTCCAAAAGTTCCAAAAATTTGCTTTTGTGTCAATCGTAAGATTGAGTGTCTGGTTGTGAAGCCTATACGCCCTTTTAATTCGGCGGCAAATACAATTTATTTTCTGAAAAAGATTAAGCGCGGATGTATCACGTGATACATATTATTTAAGCTCTGGAATAGCGTATTGCCCCTTCTCCGCGTAGGCAAATGTCCGTCCCATTTATATCTGGTAGGGATTATCATATAGGTGTGCAATGCCACCTATATGATATTTGTATTGTGGCTCTTACCAATGGACAGAAAGCTGTGATGATGACGAACAGTTTATAAGTTTTCAATAGTAGAAGGACAAATATGATAGTATGCAATGTGATTAACATAATTTATTCTATAATCGATGCTAGATATTAGTGTTGTAGTGATAAAAACAAACAGTTATTAAAATGATAATGCCATTTAACGTGACCTATAGTCATATCGTTAGAAGTATTGAAAGCACATACTTTTGTTCATCCTGGGTTGTAGGAACTTGAAATATTTTGATACAGTAGGCCTTGAATTATTACTTGTGTTTAGGATGTTTAATTGATAGAGCATAGACATCCAAGTAGTTGGTGAACTCATAGATAATTTCGTTAAAGAACAAGCCATGAATCCCTAAAGTGACTCCGAAACCTAACCAGGCTAAGGCAAAACACGTTTGAAATATATCATGTCCTAAATACTCAACAACCACGGATGCAGTGAGAAGTTGAAGAATCGGAATAAACATTGGGAAATGAATGAAAGGGAACTCTTGCTTTGTTAAATGTGCCACAATAATTCTACCGACCATGAATGCAGCAGTTAGACCAATTGATAAAATTAGTGGAAGAGAAATAATTTGAGGATAGCTCAGAATCAACAAAAAAACTGATCCGGAGTAAGCAAAGAAAGGGATCAGCCCTCTATTTGACTCTGTAGTTGCATTTTCAGTGCCATGATTAGTAACAAAAGAGTCCTTGTAGTATCTTTGAACATTCTTCAGGGACGACTTAACATTAAAAATGACACCGACAAACAAAGAGAACAAAAATATATCTAAAAATGTTACCCCGTAGGTGTAATTATTAAATGTTAAGTTGAACCAAGCGGTGTGCCACATTAAGTCCGGTCCAAAAACCCCCGTTAAGAAAAGTGAAGAAGCTATGGTTAAGATTCCTTCAACAGGCCCAGACATTTCACTTAGAAATAAAATATGTGTGTGATACTCTTCCCATGTGCTTAAATAAAAGTTCAACAAGCAACAAAATTGACAGAACAAAAATTTTGGTGTATATCCCACAGATGCAGCCGAGCAGAATAAGAACAAAGATAGAGTTGTGTTTAAAGCATCAATGCTATGATCAAATAATTCACCTAATGGACCGGATTGGCCAGTTAGACGAGCATGGATTCCATCACAGCCATCAAACGTCTGGTACATAAACATACCGAATGCATAGGAAATGTAAGTCCATCTTGGAGTTTCTTTATCTAAATTGGGATCATAATACAGCACAATCAATAGGTTGAACAGGATAAATCCTAGTCCTGATAACGTGATAACGTTAGGTGCCATCCATGAGGGAAATATCTTTTGAAATTTCAGCCAAAATGGCTTAAGAACATATTTCGACACAACAGAGAGATCCTCGCTTTGATACTTGTAGTATTTTAAGTTCGCTATTTTGTCTTGAGGAACAAAATAACCCATTTTCTTTGTCTCTTTTCTAAACTACTACAAATCCTGCTTTATAATACGCCAATGCTAATAGTACAGTCTATAACGTGTGATCGTGATTCAAACTCAAATGCACGATCTAAATTGGAATTAGCCAATTTTATCTTGAAAAAAATAACAATGTCTTGCAAACAGTAATTATACCGATAGCAATTTACTCACAGTATGAACAACTACAAATATCTGAGTTAAAAACTAACTATATTGCCATGTTTTCATATTTTCGGTTGAAGGTCATCGCGTTTTTAGCATTTTAGCTTTTTAACTTTTTTTTTTCTCTTTTTCGCATAACTTTCACATGAGCTTAGTCAGATGACTTGTGTGCATATATAGACTGGCACTCCTATTATGTGGAGCTGAAAGTCTCCCCTTCTTCCTGTATGCCTTATTAGACGTCCAAGATCGGGATGCAGTTCCTCCAGTTACGTTATTCTACTTCTATACCCGAAGTCAGAATGCCTGTCCGTTAAAAAAAAAAAAGACACTAGAATTCATGCCCTCTAACTTATCTTAAGCACCTATTTGCATGTCAACAGCATCTTTGAGACCACTGAAAGAAGCTGTTCATTTTCACATGCTGCTGCAACTCTTTCCTTGTCGTTCAACTGCTTGTTCACCTGGTTTTCCGAATTATGTGTGCCTTCTTTTACCATAATTGTGATTCTGAACCGCGGGGGCAGAGATCTCTCCAGCCTAACTCTAATTCCCAGACCAATCAATGTAGCTAAGGAACAGTGAGTAATAGTTGGGGTTATCTTAATTAGCACTTCGGCGATATCTGCTGGATTCCCACTATCCACCACCTTGATATCCTGAAGGTTTACAATCGAAAGCTGTGCCAGCGTTAGAGGGTGTTCTGGGTCCTGAATGTAGGCAATCAAATCGTAGATTTCTTGCTCATCGACCGGATCATAATCTTCACCGTCTTCTTCATTACTTACACAATCATCACCGCTATCCGAGACAAGATCTGGTACTTGGTTTAATGAAAGCAGTTTGTCAAATAGCTCGATATTCTTCTGCAACGATGAATCTGTGGAGTTCTCAATCTGTAACAACATCTTCTTCCTTTCCAAAGTAGTCTTGTTGCTAATACCGTTCAAAAGCAACTGATTTGAAGCATCCTCAGCTCTCTTTGGAAGATCACTCTCATCTAACACATCAGGATTCTCATTAATATACTCAGACATCTTGGTCAACTTCCTAATTCACTGCTTAGTTACTGCTGGTAGCATCACAAACTTACTGAAATGGCGTACTCACACAGGTTTTATATAAGTTCCTTGCTAAAGTCATCGCTGATTGTTGGTACTAAATCCACTTAGTAAGCACATCGTGTGCAAATTCACTTTAGGTCACATGACATTGCAAGTAGAGTTGGAATACGGGTAATAGATATGGCTATGATTGCTAGATAATATGAATTTGATTAAGATTGATTTATTAAATATGGACATGTATATGATACAGTTGCGCATGTTGGTTTGTTGGATAGTTTTTATTACAAAATTTTGATGCAAACAGTCAGAAAAACATGAAATGATTATTTACTATTCTGTTTGTGGAGACTTCTTGCTGCATATATTGCCTTTAACCACCTTTCTTTGTACTCTCCAGTTCTTTCCAACTTCTCTCCAGAATCTTGTGAATTAAGTTCAGAGATTGGTTGCCGTGGGTGTTCAATGATTTGACATTTTCCTGCTTGTATGGTGATGCTATGATTATGTCGTCTAGCACCACGATATTCTTGCCGTCCCATCTAGTGTCTGATACAGTCTTGGACAATGCATCGAATATATACTGTCCTTCGGCTGTGATACCTCTTTTCTTCATATCAGCTTCTCTCTTGGCTTCCTCTATTCTTGTGTTCAGCAACTTCTGTACTCTCTCCACACTCACCGTAGAAGGCTTGATTTGCTGTCTCTTGAAGCTGTTATATGGAGGCTTGTCACCGATCACTTCCAAACTCTTGATAAAAGAGCATTTGATGATCTTAAAGGATGGGTTGGCATTATTCTTCTTTGGCAACTGGATGGTCAGTGTGTTCGACATGGAATTGTACGAATAAATCTTACCATCAATCACATCATGCAAAAGATTAGTGATCTTAACCCTGAAACCTAGTGCTTGCTCTAAACTGAAACTCATTATGTGTAGCTGGTATGCCTTCCTTCTATGCCTATGCCTATCTATAAAAAAAATCTATTACACAATCTGATTGAACAACTACCTGGCCATGCAAATACTAGCTTGAAACCTATGACAAACAACAACCAATCTAAGACAGATAACCTGTAAGTATACCTACCATTTGAAATTGCGTTTGACTATTGTAGATACGATGAACTTTTGTCACTTACTCTTCATAATGGTAAGATGTCACTTTCGGATTTTTTTTTTTCACTTTTCTTGGATCAATGATAGCCCATAGTTTCCAATGCTAACTTTGATATCTATTGTAAAAGTATAGCTAGCCTATGTACAGATATTAAATAGATCGTGCTGAACACAGTAGTTTTAATGCTGTGGATGCGTCATTCAAGGCGTCCTGTGGGAACCCTGCGATACGAGCCACTTTCAGTGCATCCGATTTTTGGCTGATGCCGGGCCTCATCTTGTGATCGTAATAGAACTTGTTTGGGTCATTTGTTTCCCTGATACTTGTCTGGAAGTAATGTATACGGTGGGTATCTTCAGAGAGATCCTGGTCTGCCACTTGTTTCAGTTCCTGAGCGTAGTGGGTTGCAAATAATGACCTGCATTTGTTGTTTTGCAAAAGGTGTTTCAGAGTCCCATAGGCTACAGCAACGCCTTCTTTGCCACTAGTTCCTCTACCTATCTCATCCAAAATTGCTAACGATCTATCTGTAGCTCCATTCAGTATGAGGGACGTTTCAACCATTTCAACCATAAATGTGCTCATATCATTATAAAGATCATCTGCGCTTCCGACTCTGCTATATATCTTGTCGACAAGTCCAATATGTGCTTTCCTACAAGGTACAAAACATCCTATCTGTGCTAGTATTGCAATGATCGCATTCTGTCTCAGAAAAGTTGACTTACCGCCCATATTGGGACCACTGATAACCCATATATCGTTGCTTGATAAATCACAGTTGTTCGCGGTAAAAGGTACCAAATTTTTTTTCTTCAATGCATCCTCCACTACCAAATGTCTTCCATCAACAATCTCGAAACTTCTGGTCAAATCCACTTTCGGTTTAATGAGCTGTTTCTCCTCAGCTAATGTAGCGAAAGAGCACAATGTATCTATATAACCAATAGCATCAGCAACAACTCTAATATCGTCACTCTTCTTTAGAATTTCGGAGATGAACCCATCGATGATGCCATCTTCAGCATATCGTATACTCTGTTCATTTTGATTTAACTTATCAGCTAGATCGCTCCAGGATTTATGCATCAACCAGCACGTTTGTGAGGATTTTTGTACTATAGTAAAACCAAGACTTTCCTTATTCTCTTTCAGGTGTTTTAATAATAGCGTAATCACAGTCGAAGTTGCTGTTACATGGATTACAAACTCACCCGATGCTTTCTGTTTTAGTAAAAATGATTTAACTCCAAAACGATCGATAAAGAATGTTTCATAGTCTTTTCTCAAGTTCTGCTTTTGACTTAACAATTGCGAACGTTCAGCTAGTAATGATTGTATAGCAGAGCTAAACTCGGGATTGATTATCAACTTTAAACTGTAGCCATTATCCTTGCTCTTTAGTTGGGCTCTTTCATCAGGAAGGATAGTCTCTTTTATGGCTATCTCTCCCTCTGTATTAAAGGTTCTCTCACCCTGATATATTATATGTTCCTCATTTAAAGCATTAGAAATCTCTTCCAAAAATAATTCAGGAAATGTTAGTCTTTCAATAATCTCACTAATTCCATTTTTAGATTTGCCATTACTCTCCTTTAATAGGTCATTGAGTAAACTTTGTAAAACTTGGGCTGTTTTTAGTGATTTCACTAGTTCCAGCATTTCTAGAGGTGTCCCTCTACCAAAGTTGAATTTCTGCAACAATTTTACTATATCTTGAATCTTTTTCAGCTCAGATATTATTTTATCATGGGAGCGCTTATCAGCAAGAAAAAGCGATACTATACTTTGTCTTAACTTTATTTCTTTGATATTCATCGATGGACCAGATAGCCATTGTGATAATAACCTAGTCCCCATAGGTGTTACAGTTCTTCTCATAGTGTTTAGGAGCGTTCCTCTTTTTGAATTATCACGTATCGTGCTGTGCAACTCTAATGCTTTAGTCGTTCTGGAGTCAATTTGTAGAATATCCGTTGTAATCTGTCTCTTTGGAAATTGGAAGTTTATTGCGCATTCTGGCAAATGTTCAGCTACGTAGGATAGAAGATTCCGCAATGCTGCAGTCTCCTTTATAGAGTACTCGTTCAATTCCATCCTCAGTCTTTGTCTCATACCAGACGCCCTAGTAGCAGCAAACATATCAAAATAAGTATCGAGAGTTCTATATCTAGTGGTTGTAGTATAATAATTGATGAAGTACCTTTTTAGTTCTGCTAACTGTGGATACCAGTTACCAGAGATAATATCATCTGAGAGCTCTCTCGCATTTAATAGGATCTCTTTCGGTTTTATTCTTGTAATAGCATTCATAAGATCCTTTAAAGGCAGCTCTTGGATATAGATTTCTCCAGTGGATATATCACACCAAGATATCCCAATTCTCAAGTTATCCTCTGCAACATAATTAGTAAAGTTCTCAGGAAACTCAATTGTGAGCAGAAAAGTATTCTCAGAGTAATTATCTAATGCTTCATCTATAAATGTGCCTGGCGTTACAATTCTAGTAACACGTCTATAGAATCTATTATTTTCATTTGTTGCGTAGCCATCTTTCTTAAACTGTTCTGCAACTACAACACTGTAACCATAATCTTGGACTAATGCCTTCAAATGTCTGCTTAATTGAGGTACAGGGAAACCAGCAAAAGGGACTTTGCCATGAGTATAAGTTCTCTGGGTCAAGGCAATGTTCAATAATGGCGCATATGTCGAAGCATGATCAAAGTATAACTCAAAAAATGAGCCCATTTGGGTAAGAACAACATGGTCTGGGTACTGACTAATTAATTTCTGCACATATAACAGCGAAGGAGGCAATGTTTTAGTATTTGTCGACTCCTCATCTATCGTTCTAGTGATTCTAGCATCATTGGCTATGAATTCCCCTAGCTTAATCTTGATCACCTCTTGTTCAGTAATTCTGCTCTGCGATATGAGCCTTACAGGAAACCTAAGCTTACAAAATCGTATTCTAGCCAACGACAAACATCGCAGCATAATATTTGAGGTCAGGTAGATAACTTTACCTAGCTGATTGAATACAGCTTTGGCCAATTGACTTTGAATCAGATGCTTTGGCTTCCAAGTTAGTCGCAACTCATCTACTTTTTTTTTTCACCTTTGATCTGAATTAATTTGGCATGGGTTTACTTATGTAAATCTAATTGTATGAAGAGATTGATGCAATATGCAATTATTTATTGGTATGATGCTAAAAATTTGATATATTAAATAAACTCTAATCGTTACCATTACCCACACAATTACTGCATTGATCACTATATCTATCACGCACAGTAATGATGAGGGCGAATGAAAATATATTCTGAATTTATGCTTTCGTTGACTGAATCATCAATTCAAGAATCCTTTACAACTTGGAGCTCCACATAAGCATGGAAGTCTTTCTTCTGCATCGGTTTCTCGTTCAAATTTGTAGTCGTAGGTCAGTTCTTCATTAGCTGCAATGTCACGTAAGGCATAGATAACAATCCTACGCTTACCACCAACTTTAATAATCTTGGCAGTACAACTAGGTTCACAGCAATGATTAATGAATCTGGCTATACCACCTTTCTTCGTAGCATCGATAACAGTATGCTCATCAATACGGAACAGATAACTAGAACCAATACCGTTTTTTATGTAGCGCCTTTCTCTCATCTCGGCAACTGGCTGTCTTATTCTTTCACCAACATATTCAATAACCATTTCCTTAGCATTGATGGGTTCCAAAGCGTATAAGCCCCAGTTATGAATAGCTGACCTTGCAAATGTTACCGGTTTCTTTCGCTTATTCAACTGGTTCAAAGAAAGTAACTCTGATTCAGTACCAGTGGCAGCTTTCTGAGCTTCAATATTCTGCTGGAACCTTCTGTTGGATGCTCTATTGTCTCTAGATGATGAGATCTCAGCCAATGACCCCTCACCAGTATCAGCTTTATTGACACTCTTTTCTTTAATAGCTATATCAGGGCTCTGTTCTTTTGATTCATTATGATGGCTGACCGTATTCAAAGGCTCATGAACCCTTCTTTTATGAGGCAAGTATGATGATTTCAATTTTTCAGGAATATGTTTGAACTCCGATGCAATAAATGGAATATTTTTCTCAAATAAGGTTTTGTCAAGAGTTTGGTTGTTGAGACGCAGTTCGTTATTAGTTGAAGATTGTGAAATATCGGCCATTTGCTTAATTTTCCATATCCTATACTCAAGTAAACCATTGTCATCATCAAATTCCAGATCCTCGCCCGCAGGAAGGCATTCTTTCAAAAATTCCATATCCTCTTCATCCTTAATTGCATCTTGAAGATCAAATAACGATACAGTATCTATGTACTCAGAATCATAGGTGTTTTCAGGGTACACTGTAACAGGGAACTGTGTTGCAGAAGGTAAATATCTTTCATTGACTTGTGAAGCATCATCAATTTCCTTATCAATAAGATTCTCAGTTCTGTAATCAATCTTATGATGATAGTCCATTTCCTCGTTAGTTTCTGGAGTTGAAAACATATCATCCTTCTTATCCTCATTTTGAAAATCATCCATAATATCATCTTCGTCCTCACTTGATGACGAAGTAGACATATTGTCTCCTTCAGTAGGATCATCTGTAGATTCCAGTCCGGACGTTGGTGAGTCTTCTCTAACTTCATCCAATAGATGCGCAAGTGGTTTGATCTTTTTCTGGGGTAATTCTTCCTCAGCTTCTTCATCAGACAGGTATCTTTTTTGTCTTCTCTTTGGCTTGTTGGTGTAGCTCGCATATAAATTGAAAATATTGAAATCTTTAGATTTAGCCTGTTCTGCTTTCTTCTTTTCCATATCTGCCTTCTTAAGTTCTTCCTGCTCCTTCCTTTTTTGGACGAGTTGTGGGAAATTAGATGGTTGAAGAGTATCAAAAACCGCTGGTCCAATCATAGTCTTCCTGATCTCGGTATGCAGAGTTTTTGCCAGATCTTCGATTATGTATTTCGAGGCGGCGTCAATTAATTCTTCTTTATTATTGTATCTTACAATCTCTACTTTTTCTTTGCTGTCAGATGGAACATCTTTGTATTTCTTAGAGAATCTGGATGTAAAAGGCTCAATTAGTATGAAATTGATAGGGACGGTAGTCCTTTTCCGTCGCGAAGCCATCGTTAATTTTCCTGATTCTGCGTCCATACATAATTTGGCATGTTCGAGGTTATTGAAGATAATATAAAATCCGGTAGCATGTTCTAGGAATCTAGAACATTTGTAAGCCTTAAGTTTTGATTTAAAATCTATCAGACGAAGACCCATCACTGAAATAAACCTCCTCGATATATAAAGTGCCGGTCTGTTATTCACTATCGGTCTGAGATCTCCTGGTATAGTTTTTAATGGCTTTAATATACCTTTTTCTTCTTTATTCAGTTCTGCAGATTTTTTCAAAGCAGATTTCTTCTCCTGTTCCATTTGGAGTTTAACCTTTTCAGTTTCTTTAGATAATACGGTTATTCTCTTATTCATAATATTTTCAAGTTCATTATTCTTGTTCAAGAGAACATTAAAATTACAACCTAGAATGCAGCATTTTTGTTCTTGGCAACTCTTTACCGCTTGGTAAGCTGCTTTTGCAGAATCATTAATCTTCCCACTCGGATGAGTATATTTAACTAGATAGAGATGCAATGGTAAAGCTGTCTTCGGGTCACTGTAAGATGCAAAATGAGCTAATTCACCAAACTTACGAAAATAGTTCTTAATTGAAATATCTGGAATATTGGCCATTTGTGTATTTGAGAAGTTTTCGGCAAAAACAACCACTTCTGTTGACGGTGGAGGGCCCAATGAGAACTTATCATACGATATTCTAGGAACCAGCGTTAGTTCTTTCCTGCACTTACGAGCAGTTCTTTGTTTCTTTTTTGTTGAAGAGTTCCCAGTATTTGGAATTGTAGTTTTTCTAGGATCCGTTGATTTTTCATCAGGCTTTCTGCTCTTAATCACTGATTTCACTTGACCATTTATAGTTTCTTGCTGAACAACAAATCCTACTTCTGGCATATCTTTGTTCACCTCAGTCCACTTTTTCATCTCCGTTCTATGAGTTAGTACTTTCTCAACTGGGTCAAAGTAATGGTATTTACATGTAAGCTGCTCGATATTTTTGTATTTGACTGTTGCCTTTGGCCGTAGTGAGACATTGTGTTGGTTATGATTTCTGTTTGAAACAATACGTGACTGCTGAGGGCCCGTTGGGATGTTTACAGGTCCATATGACTTACCATTGCTGTTTCTGCCACGGATATAGCTTTGATCTGTATGGTTGGGACGATACGCGTTAGGATCTTTCGTTTCACTGTTACGCGCTTTGTAACTGTACTGTACTCTGCTTGGGGCTGAAGGCAATTTGATTTCAGCATCGTTATGATGGAACGATCTCCTACTGCTGTACTCGGTTGGTGTGTACCTGCCCTGCGGTACATTGTTGCTGGATCCGTTGTCATTTCTGGAATACTGCCTGTTGTTGTATTGGCCGTTACCTGCACCTAAACTCTTTTGGTAGTCCTTCCTATAACCAGACTCATCAGGTTGCCCCTCATAGTTATAGCGTTGACTACCGCGAGATTGGTAATAGCTGCCATTACCATTACGCGATGAGTATCGGCTTTGGTTGGGATCACTCTCATCGAAGTATCTCCTGTACTGAGACATACCAATATAGCACACAGCACTAGCGGTAAAATAAATAGTTTTATATGCACTCTGAAGAGAACGCACTTGTACTCCACAGCCTCTATATTACTTTGAATACTTTCAGCGATGTGAAAACACGAGTTTTGGTCGGATAACTGTCGTGAAAACGGGAAATTAAAACCTGCGTTCAGTAGCTAAAAGTTACTAGACGCGTTGGTATATATCCTGATTAAGTTATGCACTGGATAAGTTTCTCTTTGACCTCACCAAATGGTTGTTCATTACTTCAGAATTCTGCAATTTTTCAGTTCTTTTAAATTTCAAGAACGTTCGGATGATTTTTGGCAAAAACTGAAAAGTCTAAAAAGGTGACAATAATGGCAAGCTCTAATAGTACAGAAGAGTCTTTCTTTGTTACTGTCTTCTCCAGGCATTGGTGTGTTGGGGAGCAAATTGGTTTAGTGGTATTTTGGATATAGTGAGGTTGAAGATGTCGAGCAGGCAAGTTCAGCAGTCGTTGCAGGATATTCTGGGGTATACGGATCGAGAAGAGGTTGATTGGGGGAAAGGTTACTTGAAGAAGTTGGTTACTACGACTACCACGTTGTACAATACATCTGCGAGCAAGATAGTACTTACTCCAGATGAGGAAGTGGCTCGTTGTCACATATGTGCTGTTCTTGCAGCGGAGAGGTTAGCGGAGAAGCATATGCCTGATCTGAAATACTATACGGATAAGATACCCTTGCAACCCAGTAGGGTGAACAATCTTATGGGATACTTTAAGCAGAATTTGTTTAATATGTCCCCTGTAAAGGATATGAGTTGGACACCGAGTCCGATGAAGAGAAGAACAAGGTCACCTGTGAAGAATAACGATCGATTCACAGCGCAAGACCCACAATCGTTGAAGAAACAGCTGTTTGGTACACCTACAAAGAGCACGGGATCTCCATCACCGTTTGTAGTACCACAATCTCCGGATAAAAGTAATAGTAACAGTCCTCGGAAAATTAGAAGGAAATTGGCTTTTGAAGAAGATGACGATGAAGCCGATGAGTCAGTAGTACCAAGCAATGACTCAAGGTCTAACTCAAACAATAACTTAAGAGAAGATTCTGAGACACCAAGCGTTATAGATAGCTCTTCAACAGCTCCTGTGTTTGGTAATGTCGCCATAACAACACCAAGTAAGAGGGTACTTGATGAAGATTATAAAGAAGATGATGAATCTCGTGAATCATCAGTGCAAACAGAATCCAGTCCAAGAAAGAGGCGATTAGAATCTCCAAGAAAGAAAAATTTATTATCATTGTTGGAAAAGAGGCACGTAAATATTTCTGCTGCAGATATTATTAAGATCTGCAACACATTCGAGTTACCAAAAGACGTTGCATTCCATGTCTTAGAAGAGTATTATGCAAGATCTTCTTTCCTTACCTACTCCTGGCAACTCGTTGCTGGTCTAGTCATAAATTGTGTATTTATAGTATTCAATGAGAGAAGGCGAAAGGACCCAAGGATAGATCATTTGATTCTGACAAGAATGCAAAAAGAAATGAAGAGTAAAGACCTTAGTGAAGTCATAGACAGCACAAAAATGGTCAAAGAACTTCTCGAAGGTCAACAATGGTACCGTGAACTAGAAGTTAAATACAACTACTTTGATGGAGCTAGTTACAATGAAGTATTGGCAAAGAAGCTAGGATCTATGTTACAGCCTAACAACATCCTAGCGACTGAGGATCAATATAAGAATTGGTCAAGAAGAATAAGGGAGGATATTTCAATTCGTGAGCTATAGACATTTAATACTAATATGTAATTGTAATTGACACTTCACTATAAAAGTAATGATAGAAAGTAGTTTAGGTACAGGGTATAAAGTTTTAAATATTTACATATAAACAATTAAATGAATTAAGTAAAATATTCTAGTGTGTGATTAGAAAAAAATTGAGCAAATACGCGAATAAGAGGACATGCAGCGGCAGCAAGACATTTTAAAAATGTAAAACATATAAAGTAAATGAATCGATGTCTCTTCCACCGCTACAAAAACAAAGCATTAGGTATATTGGTTGGCATTATATTAGTATTGGTCAGATGCAAGTTATCAGTTGAAATTCCAATTACAAATAGAAAATTGAACAGTTGATAATTGAATTTTCTGCAATAAACAATTGAATAGATGGTGTGTGTCTTTTTTCGATGTTTTCGACAGTTAGTTTCAATTCTTCTTAGAACATGTTTTGAGCTTGGTAAGCAGCCAAAGTTTCTTCGACCTTCTTGCTAACAACTGGATCAGCTCTGATTCTCTTTTGGACCTTGGTGGCTTCAGCGAATGTGATTGCTTGTAATTTTTCATCAACAGTTCTAGCCATCTTGGCGGCTTCCTCGAAGAGTTCAATAGCTTCATCGACCTTTTCTTGTTGTAGTCTCAGTTGGGCCAAACCAACCTTAGCTTGTTCGGATCTTGGGTCAGCCTTGCAGGCATCTTCAAGTAATTGAGAAATAGTAGCAAAATTTTCTGGAGTTGGTTGTCTAGCCAAGATGGTAGCCTTACCAACTAATGGAGCGATACCAACATGGATTTGCTTTTGCAAGCTTTCCAATCTGTATGCAATATTGTACTGCTTAACGGCTTCGTCGATGTCACCCTTGTCGGCAAGAATTTCAGCGTAGAAGTTTGGCACTTCTGGAGCAGTTGGGAAAGTCTTTCTAGCCTCTTCAAACAACTTTTCACATTCAGCCATCTTGTTTTCTCTGTAAGCAAGACAAGCTAATTGGATGTAAGGGAAGATGTTCTTTGGATCAGATTCCTTAGACTTCTTGAAATCCTCGCCGGCCTTTTCGTAGTTTTGGGTGATGAAATACATTTGACCACGGTGGTAGTATACTGCGGCGTTGTTTGGATCTAGAGCGATAGCCTTCTCAAAGTAGGAGAAGTAGTCCTCAGATTGGCCACGGTCAGCCATAGTTAGAGCCAAGTAGATGTAAGTGTTTACTCTTGGGTGCAAAGCCAAAGCCTCTTTCAAGTTTTTCTCTGAGTTATCCAAGTCATTTTTCAAGAAGTCGAAGATACCAAGGTATTCCAACGCGGTGGCGGCCTTTTCTTTGAAAGCAGCGTCGTTGTTGTTAGCCAATTGTTCTCTGTAAAGCTTAGCGGCCTTGGCAAAGCATTCATCAGCCAATTGGTAGCCGTCGGAGGTGGCACCGTATAGTGCCTTCAACCCACGGACCAAAGTCACATCAGCTTCGTTAGATTCGTCATATGCAGGGATCTCAGTTTCCGGTTTGAAGATACCGAAGAAAGAGGAAAGCGAAGTGTTTGATGGAAGTTCTTGTCTTTCTCTTGGCTGTTCGGCTTGTGGAACGGAGGCGTCGATACCCATGTCTTCCTTCAGGACGCGCAATGCTTGCTTGTTTAAGTTACGTTCTAGCATAGGCTCGATAGAGCTGCCGTTAAAGTCGCCATTTAAGGACAGTACGGAGATATCGAACATAGCGTCCTGGTATCTACCCATGTTTTCGTAGGCGGAGGCTCTACGTAGCAAAGCCTTGGAGTAGTCGGGTTTCAACTCCAGTGCTCTTGTACTGGACTCGACCACTTTGTCCAAGTCACCTAGGGAGACGTAACAGGCCGAGATGTTGGAGTGGAACACTGGGTCCTCATGCAGCTTGATGGCGTGGTTGTAGAACTCAATTGCGTCTTCGAACCTCTTCTCCTTGAACAAGGCGTTACCTTTGTCCTTCAAAGCGGTGGCATAGACCTTCTTTTGATCTTCGGAAGACGCCAACATAGCGGCCATATCTGGCTTTTCCTCATCACCATTGATGGTCAGGTAAGCCTTGTCACTGGTGGCAGGCTCCGACGCGGTAGCCTTCTTCTTCTTCTTGTTCTTCTTCTTCTTGTCCTTCTTGGACTTCTCAGTGGTGGCACGAACGTTGCTATAGTAGTAGTAAGCACTAGCGGCGGCAGCAGCCGTAGCCACTGCGGCAACAGTAGCCACAACAGCCTTTCTATTCTTCAACAAAGCCATTATTTACTTCCCTTAGTCTCGACCCTCTGAAGACCAAATGCATACAATCCCTAAGCATTGATTAAGAGCTCCCTGCAAATATACGGCTATAAAGTTCAGACAGTGTGCGCAACGAAGGAAAAAAATAGTATCCCATAATACGTATACCAATGTGATGTCCCGTACAACACGTAAACATCTCTAACGAAGCACATGCAACGTATAACAGTACCTCTGCAAATAGGGGAGTTAAGTTTGTTGTTGTTTGTGTCTCTTCTCTATTAAGGATTTGTTGTCGGGGGGGGGCCAGACCTGCGCGTTCTCTTAGCACTTTCCTCATACATCATATATAGGGGGGGAGAGAGATGAGTTACACCTGTACGGCTGTTTCAACGGGTTGAGCCCATTTGCTATTGCCATCCCTTCGAGGTGCGGGTGTCCCTCTGTTACCCGATTAGGACAACGCGTTCCCTCCTTGCTTCTGCGCAACTGTTCCCTGCTTTCAGTGATTAGCTTCACCCTCTTTTTTTTCTCTTTGGGCTTAATCTCTCCGGGAAACTGGGGGGCCCCCCTCCTCTAGCGACGCATATCGCTCCCATATATATATGAGCAGGTTCCGGGGGGTTCAGGGAGTTGATTCTGTGGATCTGTTTTTCTCTCTCGGCGGCAATTGTGTATCTCAATTACGTAGAATATCCAGTAGGAAACACCAGATCTGAGAAGGAAGGAAATTCTAAATGTCTCTGATATCTACCGTGGACGACCACACGCAGGACACTGCGAGTGTCGCCAGTGGTTCCAGTGCCACTAAGAAGAAGTACAACCCAAAGGTTTACCATGACGACAACCAGCCGCTGAGCAAGGAGGCGATGTACCGTGCGAAGCTGAAGTACGGCGTGTACAACTCACCTATCTCCGGGGGTGTTGGTGTCGGCGTTACTGACTACAAGGCCGCTACGAACAAGGCTGCGAATGTTGCGAACGATAACCAGACCACAGTGGAGGCGTACCGCCGGCTGTACGTCGACCAGGGCGCCGCCTCGGCGGCGCTGAAGGTCGGGACGGAGCCCGTGCGGGAGAAGCCCGACGTGCACGCGGAGAAGTTCAAGCAGAACCGCGCGCTGAACCTGAACTACACGTCTGCCGCTGCGAAGGCGCTGTCTGTCGGCACCGAGAAGCTGTTCACGGCGTCTGAGGAGGCGCGCCACGCGGGGCAGAAGACCTACAGTATTGTGTCGCAGGTCTCCGCCGCCAGCACCTCGCGCGCTATGGACATGTCTAAGGTGCTGAAGGGTGCCGAGCGCAAGGCCGAGTCCCGTCTGAAGGAGCGCAGTGAGCCCGAGCGCAAGGAGTACGTGAAGAGCTACTCGATGACCGCGGGTGCCGCCGCTGACTACGGTGCCGCCGGTGGTGCTGCGGGTGCTGCTGGCGCTGCTGGTGCGGCCTCGCGCAGCATCGACCTGAACTCCGATGTTATGGCGCGTGTGGCCAAGCGCTCTGAGCTGCCACCCAAGCAGGAGGGCCCTACCGAGAAGGAGAGGAACGCCGCCAAGTTTGCGCTGGGTGCTGCTACTGCGGTGAAGGACCTGGACCCCAAGAGCATGCTGCCTGAGGACTTCGCTGCGCGCGAGCAGCAGAGGCAGGAGTTTGTGAGACACATGACGTCCCAGAAGGTTCTGTCTATGGCGCGCGAGAAGGTTGACCGCGAGATGGCCTCCATTGACAAGCAGCAGGCTGAGCGTCGTCTGTACGACAACGACTCGTACAACCGTGCTGCGGTGGCCATTGCCCAGCAGAACTACCAGAACAAGCTGAATGCGCAATCCGAGAAGGCCGGCAAGATCAACATTGGTGGTGGTCTGTTCTTGACGCCACAGGAGGTCGACAACATTGCGCATGGCTTGATCTCGCCTGTGCTGGGTGAGGTCTCTGAGCGTGCAGAAGCTCAGCGTGCTGCCGACACTGAGATTGCCACGCGTATTGCCACTTACGAGAAGGACTTGTCCAACTGGAAGAACTTGCAACGCACCAAGCAGACTAACGACAAGAACGTTTTGGAAGTTAACAGCAAGCGTATTGCTCTGGAGAAGCAGGAGGCCAAAGATGCCGCTCAGAAGAAGTACGATGAGATGATCAAGAAGATGGACGAGACCGTTGCCGAGAAGAAGAAGCAATTGGAAGCCGCAAAGCAGAGACTAGAGGACTTGCAAGAGGAGATGAACATGAAGCTCGGTATGCAAGACCAGAAAGTCGAGGAGGAGTTGCAAAAATGGGACGAGAACCGTGAAAAGGATATCGAGGCCGCTCGTTTGGAACAAGAAGAGCTAGTGAAGCCATTCCAGGACGAACTGGACGAGGCTGAGAAGCAACACGAGGAATTCCTGAAGGAGCGTGATGGCATCGATACCGAGATCACCGGTTTGCAAGAGGCCATTGAGGGTCACAAGAAGAAGATTGAAATCTACGAAGGTGATATCCGTGCTCATGACAATATGCATGTCGAAGAAGGTGGTAAACTGGAGAACTTGGGACAAAACAAGGAAACCTTGGCAAACACCTTGAACAACGACATCATTATTCTTGCCAATAAGACCAAAGAACAAGCTGAGTTGTCTACCAAGCAAGCCAGATTAAAGCAACTTGAAGTTGATGCCATGGTCAATGAAAGAAAGAGTGAACTAAATCAAACAGAAATTCAATTGAAGAAGGAGAAGTTACAATTGCTAGAATCCATGAGAAACAAAGCCCAAGCCCGTGGTGATGAAAAGATCGACGAAGAGAAGGTCAAGGGATTGTTTGGTATGACATCTGAAGAATATTTGGCAAAGCATGCTCCAAAGAAGGAAGAGCCAGCGGAAGAAAAGTTGGAGACAGTCGCCGAGGAAGCTTCTGCAATGAAGAAAGAGAAGCCAACTGCGGCTGCCGCCACTACTGCTGCCGCTGCCGCTGCCACTACACCAAAGAAGCCTGCATCTGCTCCTCGTGCCGCCCCTGCTGCTGCCTCTCCTAAATCTGAAAAGAAGCGTAAGGGCTCTGTTTTTGATAAGTTTTTCTTGGGACCAAGAAAGGCCCACATGATTGAAGAAACAAGAACAAACCAGAAGGTAGCTGAAGAAAAGGCCAAAATGGACTCAGTTAGTAAACCTCACTTGGTCTCTACGACAAACGAACATGCTAAGCCACACGCTGCTGCTACGGAGGAGGCTCCAAAGAAGGTCGATGCTCCAAAGCCTGCCACTGAGGTAAAGTCGTCTGAAGCTGCTGAAGATGAGGAAAATAAGCTTGAGCACACATTCAGTGGGTTTTCCCAAGGATCTGTAGCTGATGATAAGGGTACAACTAGTGGTGCTCATTCTGAAACCAAAAAGGATGGTTATTTCAAAGAAGTCTTTTGAATTAGTCTAAATGCTTAATTTTTAATTAAAATATATTCTAATATTGAGAATTCAATCTCTCAACCTGTTTTATTTCATCTTTCTTTCTTTTGCCTTAGTTAATTGATTTATTAAACTTTAATTTCTATTGTCTAATTTTATAATTATAATCGACCTATATTTTAAAACTATAGCTTCTGTCTGTCTGAATTACGAAAAAATTAAACATTTTGGATCGCTTGACATCCATGGGAACTTAGTTTAGGATATATTAAGACATTATATGGTATATAAAGTTGTTCAGAGCATCTATCATAGGGTATTATTTATAAATGAAGATCAGATCGAACATCCGGATTAGGGAAAAAAGTGCTAGGAATAAAATATAGCAATAGCGGTAAGAATGCATGATACGTTTTGGCTCTTGAAAATGTAGTTTACAATGCGATAAATGTGCCAATGCAAATGATGAATAAAAACAGGTGTAGTCTTCTTAAACCTGGTTGTTTATATTTATCTCGTCAGCGTCCGCGGAATCTTCGAGTTTTGCTTCTGATATAGTGGAAGCAAAACTTGATTCTTTGGAGGAAGAGATTTCTGAGTCGTACTTGTAGTAGCCGTGGATTGCCTCAATTTGGTGGAAGTACTTGGAGTACATGTATCTGCCACCCATGTAGAAATCCCAAGAGATGATCATGAAGAGGACACCGAACCAGAAGGCCAGCAGCCATTCGAAACAAGCACTCTTTGAGTTGTCGCTGATAGCTGCAAAGCAGATGGCCCAAACGACGGCCAATGCCAACCACACCACTTTCATGCTAGCACTGATGATGAATTTGTTGTACTTGTAGCCGGCTAGCTGGTACCATTTCAGAGCGTGGATGGCGTCAGGGTTCTCTGAGGAGAGCGGGTGGAACAGAGCGTATCTTCTGCCCATCATGAAGTATTGTGCTGTCTGGCAGCACACGGAGAAGAACATTAGCACTACGAAGACACCGACCATGGACAAATGCACATGGTGGTACAGTGCTGTGGAGAAGATGGTGCACATCAGCAAGGCCACTTCACCCAGGCCACCCAGGATCACTGCTGCGAAGATGAGGTTTCTCTCGTGCCTGGTATAGTATGGTGGCATAAAGTATTTCTTGGAGAGTATAGTCTCGTGGTACTCGACTTTTGAGTAATCTTTGTTCGAGGAAGACCTCAGGAACCCCGGCCAATGCCCGGACCTTTGGAAGAACTCGCAAGCGACTGTGATGACGTAGCCGAGCCCTTGCCACCCGGCACATGAGATGAACAGCGGTCTCAGGTTAGTGGCACCTATATCCGAGATGTATACGGGGAACTGCTCAGTGTGCATGAACCAGTAGATCGGGTGCCCTTGCGCAGCCCAGCACACCAGCATCGTGATCAGCATCCCATACCATGGAATAAACGCAATCCATGGCACAACGAAAAACCAATTGCCTGGTCTACCAATCATTGTGATATTATCTTTTTACTTGTACAGCTCTGAAATTTGCCAGTATTCACACACACACACACTAAAGACTATTATATTATTTTATATTTACATATTTGTATATGGCAAAAGAAAAAAAATTTTGTCCTTCGATGGAATGATTTACACTCCAGTTTCCACTTCAGCGAATACGTAATTGAGCTGCACCGTAAGCACTATTTGCTGTCTTGCAACGACACTTCATAGCCATTCAAAATCATCCATCAACATTTGACCCCCACCATCCTCCATTGTTATGTTATTGCTAAATGCAAGATCCTTTCAGTTGTTCCGGAGCAAACATTGAGATACTTCAGCATCGGACACAGAGATATCACGTAGACCCCCGATTCAGAAAAAAAAGAGAGAGAGAAAAGCCCTAGAAACTGCCGGAAAAACGTATGAAAAACATATGAAAAACCATATGCAAACCCGGAAAACCGGAAAAACCGGAAAATCTTTTGTGTTTTCTCGATTTTTCCGAAAAGTGTCGAAAACAACGTACATATGTACTTGTCATCTGATTAACGTATTCTAGTATATTACATGTGATGTTGACGTATATTACGATTGTTGGGATTTCTGCAAAAAAAATTTTTTTTTTTTTTTTGCAAAAAATTGAAGTTTTCGATGAGGGAAAGGAGGAAAGTTCATCTTTTCTAGTTGTAATATATTAGGATAAAGACTTAGAGAGAGAAAGAGAAATAGAGTTTATCTGATCCGATAAAAGGAGACGTACAACTAACACATTAGCAACTATGATTATTTACAAGGATATCTTCTCTGGTGACGAATTGTTGTCTGACGCTTACGATATCAACGAAGTTGATGGTGTCATCTACGAAGCCGACTGTGCTATGGTCAAGGTCGGTGGTGACAACATTGACATTGGTGCCAACCCATCTACTGAAGATGGTGAAGACGATGTCGAGGACGGTACTGAAGTTGTCAACAACGTTGTCCACTCCTTCCGTTTGCAACCAACCGGTTTCGACAAGAAGTCCTTCTTGACCTACATCAAGGGTTACATGAAGGCTGTCAAGGCTAAGTTGCAAGAGAAGAACCCAGACGCCATCCCAACTTTCGAGAAGGGTGCCCAAGTCTACGTCAAGAAGGTCATCGGCTCTTTCAAGGACTGGGAGTTCTTCACTGGTGAATCCATGGACCCAGACGCCATGGTCGTCATGTTGAACTACCGTGAAGATGGTACCACCCCATTCGTTGCCATCTGGAAGCACGGTATCGACGAAGAAAAGATCTAAGCTCAGTATAAATTGAATTCTCTTTGACATCTGACCTTTACGACATTTTCTAATTCGCCATTCAAAAAAGCCTTACCCTAATCGGCAAGTTTTTTCGAAACATAACTCGATCAATTCTAAGCATAGATTGACCCGTTTTTTTAGCGTCTCCGTCTCCTATATAAATATTAAATAATTATTCTAATCAACAATATACTGAAATTTGTTACAAAATTAAGCTCGCCATCGGGTGTTTGGCAAACATGCCCTTCTCCTCAATAAAGGCCCTGCATACTTCCCTACATTTCACCAAGCACACACACACATATACACGCGCACACACGCACATCAAGCGTGAACTATTGTAACGATAATGAGAGCCTTTACCCTTCAATGGCTATCCAGATAATGGCTACCAGCAACACTGTGACCACCAATATGGTTATAGTAGTACCTTCATACGATTGGTTCTGGAGAGGGGGCCTCTCTTCGAATTCGCAGCAATCAGTGTGAAGAGGGCCTAAACAAAGGTCAAATAGAGTCGAAACGCTTGTGTTGAGGATGATGCCCATAGGGTATAAGTGTTTTGAGTGGAGTTATCTGTAGGAGAAGAGCCATTGGATTGCTTTCTGTAAATAAATTGGGATAAGAGGTTTTCACAGTGCAGGAGAGGAAGCAAAAAGGTAAAGATGGCGCACTACACACTTCCCGGTGTGATGCACTATCTGCAGACCGAGTTCACCAAGAATGAAAGAGACCGGATCACTTGGGAGCTGGAGCGTGCGGAGATGAGGGCCCGGATAATTGAGCTGGAGAACGAAAACAAAGACTTGAAATATAAGCTAGTATCGATCCAAAACGGTGAGGCTGAGAGCAGATCAAGCCAGGAGAAGGCAGATAAGAGCAAAGAAAACAATGCCACAGGGTTGGCTCCACTGATAAAGTCAAAGCAGGCGGTACAGGATAACGTTAAGGAGATCGTGTACTTGCTGAAGAGCCCCAATGCCAATGATCAGATCGAATCCCTCAAGAATAAAAGCAATACGACTTATCAGGTATCGAGGATGGCTTTGAACTCCTCGAGTGACTACTCAAACGGTTTGTCAAACCAGGCATCAACGAAGTCGCCTGGTCAAGTGAAACTCGATAACAAGGGGAGAAAAAATGAACTTGATGCCGAAGATCAGTCTGATGAGCGTGTTAAATTCGAATTGGAGGAAGTCTCAGACGCAGACACCGTCTTGCCTTCTGATGAGTCTGATACGGAACATTCATCAAAGAAGAAGCCTGCCAAGGTCGCATCGTTATTCAAGTCTGACGTTCCGCAGGCAAATAGATCGGTCACAAGATTACCAGAGTATGTTAAAAACATGAAAGTTTACAAAAATATGATTTTGATGAATACAGACAAGAATGATATGATTCTCGTTGATGTTCTCAAAGATAATAAATTATCCAACCCTAGAAGGTTTGTTTTGAACGGCCTTACTGAAGACTTACTCGACTACTTCATTGTTGGCGAATCTCAGATCATGACTATAGATGAATCGGGACTGAAGTTATGGGAGTTAGGAAAACCGGATTGCATAAGTCACATAAGTATTTTCAAAGATGGGCACATAAAGCATATAAATTACGAAGACATTATCAGGGTAGATTTCAAGAACAAGTGGTTGCTATTTGCAACGAAGGAGAACGTTGTTATTATAGAAGTTGTTATCACTAAGAGTTCAAGTCCTTCCCACTTGTCAATAAACAAGAAACACATTGTTGAGACATATAAGAGCATTGTTGATGTTGTACTCGGAATGACTGAGAAGTCGTTTATTACAATTTGCGGCCCACCTTATGAATTGAACATATACAACTTTCAAGGTGAAATCTTGCAGACTGTCAGTTTAGAGAAGCATATGGCTGGTACCATGCTCCTAAGAGATGAGTATGCAAAAACTAGTTTCCAATTGAATAAGGAATCGGCGAAACTGTTAATACAGATAAACAACATTATTCTGGTTTATAGTTTTGATCAGAAGATCATAGTGCTAAAAAGACTTCTGAAAAATATTCCTGCTTCAATCATGTTTAAATCATCTAACGATGTTGTCATACTAGCATATTCACCAAAGAGGATAGAGTATAGGACTTTGGCACGGTTTGATTATATCCAGAAAGTGATAAGTAACGAGGGTGAGGGTACCGCTGAGGAAGTAGAAGACTTAAGCCTAGTAAACGAATCCTATGGCCATCAGATATCTGCAAGAGCATGTCCCATGGATATCATTACTTTGAATAAAAAAATGATGCTTTTAACTGCTGGGGATACCGGTTTATTGTCATTAGACCAGTTAGTAAACTCTAAATAAGAATACTACATTGGATAATCCGAATGTTGCTTTCATCACCACTAGTAAGTTTTTACTTCTTACCTATTCATATTGCATCGTCATTTCCATACATATAGCTTATTTGCTTCTTTTGCAAAAACCAATAACCATCAATTGACTTACCTACATAAAGCATTAGTTAATTTTAATGTAGACGTACGTAATAGAATTTTGGTTGTGCTAGTTTCGATGTAGAAATACATTACAACACTTTGAAGTCCTATCTTTTAATAGGTAAGTACTCCTCTCACGTGATTCAAAAAATTGTCTGTGAAAGCTACGCAGAGGACATTTCTACCGAGAGCTGGTTCCTGATCCGCAGAATCCTACAACATCATACAGTTAAGTAAGAGGGCATCGAACAGCAATTGCATTCTTATATAATTCATTTGCCAACTACTCAGTAAATCATATAGCCACGTTTGTGAGACATAAGCTGTGAGAGACAATAGAACATATAAGACAACTTTCGGACTTGAAGATGTTTCACTTGGTCAAGGGACTATACAACAACTGGAACAAGCGAGAGCAATACTCGATATTGATCCTCGGTCTAGATAATGCTGGGAAGACGACTTTTCTCGAGACACTAAAGAAAGAGTACTCGATGCATTCGAAACCCTTAGATAAGATAGCACCCACAGTTGGACAGAATGTGGCTACGATACCAGTAGATAATAACCGCAGCATACTAAAGTTTTGGGATGTTGGTGGGCAGGCATCTCTGCGGGCTATGTGGTCTGAATACTATCCTCAATGCCATGGAATCATATTTGTGGTGGATAGTACTGATAGATCAAGGATTGATGAGTGCAGTGAAACTCTGCGAACAATAGTGATGGATGATGAAATCGAAGGTATACCTATTCTCATGTTAGCGAATAAACAAGACAAGCCTGAAAGAATGGAAGTACAGGATATAAAAGAAATTTTTAATAGGATTGCCGAACATATGAGTGCAAGGGACAGCAGAGTACTGCCGGTTTGCGCATTGACCGGAGAAGGTATCAAGGATTCCATTGAATGGATGATATTGAGACTGCAAAGAAATAAGAATGACAGACCACCTGTTTACAAATAATCAAACTTATGGGAAATGCTATTTCTTGGTATTCTTTTTTCTGGAAGGACTCTAACAAATGCAGATTTTTGAAAAATTAATGCTCATGGTAATAATTACAATGTGAGAGGAACTAGTACCATGATCTGTGATAGTGTAATAATTAATAAATATGATGAAAAGGACATTATATTCTGATATTTGTAATGTATAATAGGTATAGGAATTTATGAGTTTATATTTCTATAGAATTGGATATGATACACTTACATTAGGGCAACCACATGTTTCCATCAAATGGTCAGGGCTTCAAAAACAATTGATTGGGAGACATTTAGTCGTTTCTTTCCTCGATGTGGAATACTAAATAGTTTGGCAAGCCGAATACTTCGTAGTTCAATCTCTTGGCCATCTTAGCAAACCCTTCAGTCTCGATCAAATGGTAAAATGGGAAAGTTGGGAACATAGCACCATCTCTGTGTACTTCAGCCTTTACCAATGTACAACCACCGCCGACACCATCCAGCGACATCAATTCATTTGGTGGTCCGTCTGGTGTGTAAAAGTGAGCCATCAATGGTCTATAGGTAGCAATCTCGGCATAACCCTCAACAATGATTTCGTCGTCACCCATCTTATCACCAAGTTCTTGAGCAATTTGGCTATCAGCCCAATTGTTGAAATCATATGGTCTAATCGATGGCTTGTTCTCAGCCTCATCAAAATATCTTTGGTACACATTAGCAGCCAAGACTGGTTTGTTCAAAGCTGTCATGTCTTGGATCAATGAAGGTTTTGTCTCAATTATGTCAGCATCTAACCATAGTACCCAAGATGTATGTGGACCAATTGTAGAAAATAGCAGTTCGTTTCTTGCCAACGCCATGGCACTTCTTCTCTCCTTTTGAACAGCCAGCGCGTGTCTCTCCTTCTCTTGTAATTTATCGAATCCCTTAGAGTCCTGACGTAGGATGGTGACTTTTCCAAATCTGTTGTTTTTCTTGTCCGTTTGAGCTCTCTTAACAGCGGCTTCAAGTTGTTTTAATGCAGCGTCACCAGATGCAGATTTTGGGATGATAAATCCTAGCTCCAGTAGGTCTCTTGGGTAGGTCAATTGCAATAGATTGTCCCAATAGGCCTGGTGGAAAGTTTGCATAGGAGTTAATATCAAAACTTGTTCCTTGTTGACTGCTGCATCACTGGTGGAGTGAAGCTTGTTAAGGTCATACTTGGCGACATGTCCATTTGGAATTCTGTCGTCTTTGTTGTCACGGAACATCCAGTTTCGGCTCTTGACTTTATAAGAATATTTAGGCATCTTGAACTTAGAGCTGTATGGGAAATAGAAAGTTCTCTCACGCTCATCAGCCCATTGGAAGTTCGCCAGGGAACCAGTACCAAACAGACCGTCGCTATCCGACCTGAAAATCAGGAAAACTGTCAAAAGAGCAACAGGAACCAGCAGCAAATAGAGCGGGTTCTTGCGCATACGATATTTGGTAAACTTCAAACCCATCTTGAACACCCAAATACGTTTAGCACTGCAATGTCAAGCAGCTATCAATATTTTTCGTTATGTTTTCCGCGCAAACCTTGTGAAAAGAGGCTCCTTTCTTGTTTCAGCACACTTCAAAAGAGGATATACGGCTCGGATCAGACTAGCACTCTCTTCTACCTATCACTGCTCCTCCAACCAGCGGCTAATACTCCACTGCCCAATCCAAAATCATACGTGTTGTTTGTTTGGCCTTGGCATCGTCCTCTTAAAATGTGATGCGTGCCTTTCCCCAGCTGTCGCGAATGCGCAGAAAACTTTTCTTAGTATGACGTTTTTAGTGATGTTGTTTCTTGGGTAATAAGCACCTCATCATCGTCTCTGTATTGTCTAGTGCGTTTTGGCTGATCTACCGTCCGTATACTTTTAAGATTATGTAGATTATGTTTATTATGTTTATTATGTTGTGGAGGAGGGTGTGAGTGCGGGAAATGCAATATATATGTCTATTTGGTAGGTCTCTCGGACCATATCTTGTTGCAGATGCTGAGGAACAGCTTCCTGTCGGTGTCTGCGGTGCGGGAAGGGAACTGGAATTCGTAGCTGTGGTTGTTGATGGTAATGGCTCCTTGAACATCCTTTGTGAAGGCTCCCTGGACATCCCTCGTGATGTTAGGCGTGGGGATCGCGCCGTCCTCGATCGCCAGGTGCGAGTGGTCGTCGTCCTCTTCGCACTTCTTGTCACCGTCGCAGTTGGCCTCTACACACGTCTTCTCACCTTCTTCCTGGTCCGCCTTATACTCGATATCCTGGTTGGTCTCCTGACTGGTGATGTGATGGTTCTCGAGTGTCCCCTGACCCCCAGTACAGGTATCATCTCCAGCTCCACTTGGGATTTCAGGCCCAGCTTCTGCTTCACCTTCTGCTTCTGATACTGCTACTGCTTCTGCTTCTGCTTCACCATCAACCTTGTCCTCGTCTCTTTCCTCGATGCTGTGATCATCTTCGCAGTCGTCTTGCGAGTCTTCCTCCGCGACAGTGACTCCCTCCGCGACGCCATGCGTGATGGGACTCATTATATCGACGATCTTGTTCTTGCCTCGATGCTCCACCTGGTAAGGCTGCGGCAAGAAGTACATCGGCGTGGGCACATACTGCGGGACAAACAGCGGGATCCTGCGCACCGTCGGCCCCACATACCTCACCACAACGTTGCGCTTTCGCTTGAACTCCAACGGAGGCGGTCTCTTCCGCTTCAATGACTCGTCCACTCGTTCTCGTTTCACTTTCACTTTCACCGGCATCTAGTCCTATTCTGATATTATCGCTCACATGAAATCGCAAGCCAGGTTTCTGCAACCCTCCCCACTAACCTCGGCAACAGCACAGATATATATAGTCCCCGGCCTGCCATTTGTCCGCAACCAAAGACTCCTTGATAAGCTTTACCTGAAGCAGAACCACGAGTTGAGGTCCATCTCCCAAAAAAAAATGATCCCAAAACTTTAAAGTTTCGTCCTGAGACAACGGATATAACCAGAATGGAGCATTGCCATCAGCAACCAGTGGACAGAGGGACAAAACGGAGGTCGTGTCCCTCCATTGTTTCCCAACTTGCCATTTTATATCCCAGGATCATCGCATCGCATCGCATCGCATCGCATCGCATCGCAGTAATTTTTCACTTTTCGCTCCGGATAAGAAGTCCTTGAAGAACTCGATTTTGAAAAGTTTTCATTGTATTTCAGGACTTTCTGGAATGCAAACGATAAAGGTGAAAGCAACAACTCAATTGTCTGTAAACAATGTCTCAAGGTGCTCTGTATGCTAATGCCCGTGTCAGAACCATGGTCCCAAGGGCCTTGATTCGCCACTTGAAGCTTGACATCGATATTCTGGACCCTGCCCAGGAAGAGGAGAGGTTTGCCCGTGACTTCCCATGGAAGAAGGTTCCTGCCTTCGCCGGCAAGAACTTTAAGTTGACCGAGGCCATGGCCATCAACTACTACTTGATCAACTTGTCCTCTGACGAGAAGTTCAAGCAGCAAATGTTGGGTGCCACTTTGGAGGAGCAAGCCCAAGTCATCAGATGGGAGTCCCTAGCCAACAGTGACTTGATCATGCAGATGGCCGAGGCTTTCTTCCCATTGATCGGTAACGTCCCATACAACAAGCGTGTTGTCGATGCTGCTTTGGTCAAGGTCGAGCAAATTGTCTCCTTGTTCGAGGAGAGATTGACCCACTACACTTTCTTGGCCTCCGAGAACTTGTCTCTAGCTGACTTGGTTTGCTGCGCTATCTTCACCAGAGGTTTCGACTACTTGTTCGGTAAGCAATGGAGAGCTGAGCACCCAGCCATCGTCAGATGGTTCAACCACGTCAGAAGCACTGACATCATGAAGGAAGAGTACAAGGACTTCAAGTTCATCGACAAGCAAGTCGAACCACCAAAGACTGAGTCCAAGAAGCCTAAGAAGGCTGAGAAGAAGGCTGATAAGCCAGCTGAAAAGCCAGCTGCTGAAGCTCCACAACAGGAAAAGAAGCCAAAGCATCCATTGGAAGCTCTTGGTAGATCCACTTTTGTTCTAGATGAATGGAAGAGAAAGTACTCTAACGAAGACACCAGACCAGTCGCTTTGCCATGGTTCTGGGAACACTACAACCCAGAGGAATACTCCTTGTGGAAGGTCGGTTACAAGTACAACGACGAGTTAACCATGACTTTCATGTCCAACAACTTGGTCGGTGGTTTCTTCAACAGATTGTCCGCTTCCACTAAGTACATGTTTGGTTGTTTAGTTGTCTATGGTGAAAACAACAACAACGGTATCGTTGGTGCCGTTATGGTCAGAGGTCAAGACCACGTCCCAGCCTTCGACGTCGCCCCAGACTGGGAATCCTACGAATACACCAAGTTGGACCCAACTAAGGAAGAAGACAAGGAATTCGTCAACAACATGTGGGCTTGGGACAAGCCAGTTGTTGTCAACGGTGAATCTAAGGAGATCGCTGATGGTAAGGTCTTGAAATAAGCTGCATGTCCTTAGTGTCAGACTCTTTTTTTCTAGACATCTCCTGGGCTGATATAAACCCAACTTCCATCTTGATATAGTATAGAAATAGGAATCTTGAGTTGCATCCTTAAGTACTACATAAAAAAATGATATAATTGTCTTTGTTTTCAACTAGGTTGGACAGATATTCAGTCTCAAAAACCACTAGAATCGCATTCTTGCGTATTCATCCAGGTTTTAGTCTCGAGCTCATCGCATTTTGGCAAAAAAAGTGCAAAAAATCAGTGATTCAGTTGGTATTGATCTGCTTGTTGTTCATGCAGTAGTAATATAAAATCAGAATCATATTATTATATTTATTGGTTGCTAAATTATCTGTGAACCACTGCACCTCTTTAAGCTTAATTTTGTGAGCATCATTAATTTTGCAAGCATCCTCCAGTGAAAATATTATACATACCTAGCGACTTTAGCGACTCAATTACTGGCATGATGACTGAGCAACACGAGACTATACAGTCCGTTACTGATGGGATATACAATAACCTGGTTACATCTATGATACATAGCATAGTGAGTAAAGAGACCGCTAGGGAAAAGCTGCTGCGAAGCCGGTACGGTTCTTATAAGCAGTACCACTATGATCCCAACAGCCAGTTGGATATACATGGTAATCCAAAGCAGCAGGACAGCTCACAGTATTTCTATTGTGAGAACTGTGGACGTGAAGTCTCTGGTAACAGATTTGCAGCACATCTGCAGAGGTGCTTGACCAGAGGAAGCAGACGCTGAAATAATGTCACAGACCCCCCAGAAATGATATTATCCAAACTATAAAAGTTATAGATTATTATGTGTTAATACTAGTAATTGTTGGTTTGGAACTGTGTGTCAGAATTAGTCATGGAAAGTTCTGGCCCTTATGTCTTCCACCATGTCGGCTATATATTAACCCCCAAACGGGTGTAGCCCATCATAATGAGTTAGCTGATCATATCGAACTCATTTAGGATTATTCTTTTGGGAAGTATAGGGCTTGTGTCTTGTATTGAGAACTCTGCCAAAGGTTATAATTCCCCATGCAGCTGTTTGCATACATGTTTGATAGGACTCAAAACTCGTAAAGATATTAATTAGTATAAAGTCTATGTAAAAAGGCCAATGTGCCCTCTATATTGATACTTTAGAGCACAATGAAATGCATTTCGTTATATACCTAGGTAATCTGCTGCCAGCAACAATTCCAGGGACATCTCCGTAGGGACATCGAATTCAGGTACATCCTCCTTCTGTGGGTCCGCATCCTGGTATTTCAGCTTATACTCCAGGTACTCAATGACTTTCTGCACCACATCCGAACTCATCTCGGGAAGATCAATGTGACCATCTTTCTCCTTGAATGGGCCTTCCAGCATCGACTTCAGCGTCGGCGATACCAACGCCGCTTCCCTTCCAATACTGAACTCTCCTCCATCCTTCGATACTAGCACAACTGCAGTCATTTTAGCCCATATAATATTGAATATCGCTCGTTGTATTCTGACTCTCCCAGTAGAACTGCTCGACTGGACTGCTTATAAGTAATTTCAAGCTCATCGCCTGTTGTCACTTTCTTGGAATTTAAAGGCTTGCGAAGCTAATGTATTGGGAGGAATAAAAGCAATAGAGAAACAGGTCTTACAAGGGAATTGAGATATCAATCCATAATAAGAATTGGCAGTGATCTCTACAGGGCTTATAGGAACTATAATTTTTAAGGATTGCAAGTATGGCGAGCCCCAGTCTGCATTGGGAGAAGTTGGGCGATAAGTTTTGGCGGAGCAAGGAGGTATGCCAGCTGAACTGGTTCGGGGGTAATAACAGCAGTGGGGATGATACATTGGAAATGAGCTGCTCAGCAACATGTTTGTCTCTTTTTGCTATCGAGGTTGATAATTCCGTACACGTATTTGACAGAACAGGGCATTTCATTACCAAGACGGCAATAGATCAGAAGTTTGGGAAGCTAGTAAAGCTCGCCTTTACTGAAGATGAAGACCTGGTTCTTGTTTATACAAATGGTGTTGAGATTTTAAAGGACTGGAATGTATCTGATAAGATTTCGGTTCCTTTAGTGGTTGATGTTGATGACACAATATGGGATTACAAGTCTGGTGTGCTTATCCTTCGAAACTCAAAAGATATTTACCAATTAATTGATAATAAGCTGGTCTTATTGCATAAGAACACTGAAAACTATGAGATACTTGTAAAAGATGGTTGGGATTGTAAGAATGGGGATGTGGTTATCTTGGATTTGGATTCCGTTTGGAGGTTTGATCTTAGGAGCCATCACTTCAAGAAAATTATAGCAGGATGTCATTATCACAGATTATATTTGTCATATAACGGCCAATTATGTCTATATAATGGGAAAGGAGACAGGCTTGATTTTTATTCCTTGAAAGGAGATGATCTCAATAGGAATATCACTCTACAGAAGGCGCCTCGGGATATTAAGTGGGACTTCGAAGGAAATCTTTCAGTACTATATGAAGACGAACTTTTCTTATATAACAGTCAATCACAATATGTCAGTTTCTGGTACCCCTATGGAATAGTACTATTAGAAATATTTTTGGATGGAATCTTGGTTGTGACCACTAACCAGCTCAGCTTCGTTACTCAGGTGAAGGAGAGTACCTCTAGTATATTTAAGATTGGTTCAGTGACTGCTGGTGCTTTACTCCTTGATGCTTTCAAAGAGCTGGAAACAAACTTACCTAAGGCTATCGAAAACCTGAGAAGTATAGATTTATCAACAGCAGTGGTGGATTGTCTAACAGCATCCTTGGAAGAATCGGATGTTAAAGTACAAAAGCAACTTCTCGGAGCTGCATCATTTGGAAAGGAATCGCTCCCCTACAAGTCATTTGACTCTAGTTTCTTCGTTAGTATTTGCAATAAATTGAAGATCTTAAACTTTCTAAACTCGATTGACTTCTTCATAACCAATGATGAGTACGACTATTATAAGATTGAAGGTATTCTGGATATGTTGTTGAAAATGGGTAAATACTATGAGTCTATCAAACTCTTAGAGCTAGCTAATAGACCTGATTTAAAACCTAAGGTATTTGTCCAGTGGTGCATCGTGAAAATAAGAGTATCATCAGATTTGGAAGATATTAAAATACTGGATATTATTAACAAACAACTAAGTGTCCTGAATACCAAGAACAATGTCCCAATGGCAACAATTGCCGGGTATTCCTATTCGGAAGGTAGGTTTAAGTTGGCGCGGGAGTTGTGCAAAATGGAGAAATTAACACCTACCAAAGTGGCAATGTTAATGAAATTAGAAGATTACAACATTGCAGTACAGGAATGTCTTCATGAAGGTTCTTGTGCGTTAACAATCTCACTATTGCTTGAATTAAAAGATAAGTTGCCAGCATCTCAATTTACTAAACTTTTGATTTTAGAGATGAGAGATACTCAGTTATTTCCTTACTATGAGCAAGACAACTATGAATTTCTGTATGACTATTTCAGACAAATTGATGAGTATAAGGATTTGGCGCATGTTTTAAGGCGATCAGTTAATAAAAATCTTTCTCTGCAGTCGATACAACCTCAGATCCTTGAACTTTATAACACAATACCACACAAAACAGAACATCTGAAACAAGATATATCATTGATACAACGTGAAGTGAAAAGAAATCAATATATGACTGAGATTAACAATAAATTGGGGACTAACTTTGAGAGAGAACCCTTGAATGACGTCTTAGCCAAGTTGATAGAATTAAAACAAGACCGTGTTGCTAAAGATCTTGTGAAAAAATTTGATATCCCTGAAAGAAATTTCCACATCACAACATTAAAGGTTCTAGTGAAACAGAAGAGGTTCGAGGAGTTATCCTCCTTTATGACAGGGATAAGACCTGCAATCAGTTACCAGTACATATTCGACTATATCAAAAAGCGTGGGCACAAATTAGAGGCATCAGAATATATCTCACACCTTCATGTGTCGTATTCCGACAAGATGGCCCTATATTTGGAATGTAAGAACTACAGAGCTGCGGTTGAACTTGCTGGTCGAGAAAAGGATGTAATGGGACTCAAAGACGTATACGCAAAGATCCCCGCCAACGAGCCCCAGGTTAAGGCGCTGGCTAATCAAATACTAGCAACCTTATAATGATGGCACGGTAATTATAGTCACACAATCTATGAATTGCAAAATGCATGTTATATTGCTTGTCTTCACTATTAGCTTTTAGAATATCTCTCTTATTGTACGGGCTGATCAACTTAGTATACCTTCTGCGAGTGTTTCTGTGCGAGTGAAAAAAAATTAAGTTGCGATGAGCTTTAAAATTTTTCTTGCAGGAAAAATGTTAGCAGGAAAAGCAATAGCTCATCGCAAGAGTTACAGTATGGTTGTGTTGGGTATATCTTAAAGATATAGCCAAACTTCCTCTTATATATTGGTAGCTCAGAGCAAAGTTTTCGAATCTGATTCTCTATTTCCAAAAGTAGCTATCATACAATCGGTCAGACCAACAGTTGGGAAACCGAAGGAGCTAAGATTAAAATATTAGTATGAGCGATAGAGTACAAGAAGCGAATGTTGGCGAGTCCGCTGTTGACAATGGTCTTGACATGAAGACATTATTTGTGAGATCAATCCCTGAGAGTGTGACAGATGAGCAACTTGCTGATTTCTTTTCAAATTTTGCTCCAATCAGACACGCAGTGGTTGTTAAGGATGTTAACAAGAAATCAAGAGGTTTTGGTTTTGTTAGTTTTGCAGTTGAGGATGATACAAAGATAGCTTTGAAAGAGGCTAGAAAGACTAAGTTGGATGGTGCTCAATTGAAGGTTGATATTGCTAGGAGAAGAGACCGTTCAGGTAAAAATGAGGACAAGTCTGCACAAAAGGAAATCGACAGGAACAGCAGTAAGAGAAGCTATGGGGATGAAAATACTGAAGGTGGAGAAGAGGATGAGTCATCATTATTGAAGGGTAAGCCTAAGTTGATTATCAGAAACATGCCATGGAGCTGTAGAGACCCAACCAAATTAAAGAAGATCTTTGGAAAATATGGTGTTGTAGTTGATGCTAGTATTCCAAGAAAAAGAGATGGTAAACTATGCGGGTTTGCATTTGTAACAATGAATAAAATCAGCAACTGTAAGAAGGCCCTCGAAGACACAAAGAATCTAACCATTGATGGAAGAAAAGTGGCTGTTGATTTTGCTGTTCAGAAGAACAAATGGGAAGAATACAAGACTAAATATGAAAAAGAAGATGACGAAGCAAAGGATGACGGAAGTGATTCCAGCTCCGATAAAGAAGATAAAATATCAGTTTCCGATAGTGAAGGCGATGAGGATGGCGAAGATGTAGAGGAAGAAGAAGAGGTAGAAGAGGAAAAGCCAAGAAAACAAAAGAATAGAAGAGAGGACTTTTCTGTTTTTGTTAGAAATGTTCCTTATGATGCTACAGAGGAGTCATTGTTTGATCATTTCAGTAAGTTTGGTCCTGTTAAATACGCTTTACCTGTCATTGACAAGAACACCGGCCTCGCTAAAGGTACTGCGTTTGTTGCTTTCAAAGATGAGAAGACATACAAGTACTGTGTTGACAATTCGCCACAAACAGGTGCTACTTCTTTGTTAATTGGTGATGATGTATTACCGGAATACGTTTATGAGGGCCGTGTTTTGGCAGTAACGCCAACACTTGAACGTGAGCATGCTGACAGGATTGCTGAAAAGAATGCTGAAAAGAGAAAGGAAGCGTTGGGTAAGGGTACTGGTGAAAAGGACAAGAGAAATCTCTACTTGTTGAATGAGGGTAGAATTGCAGAAGGTTCTCAATTAGCATCCTTGTTACCTGCAAAAGACATGGAAATTAGAGAGAAGTCATATAAGCAAAGAGTCGAACAAATTAAAAAGAACCCATCATTATTCTTGTCTATGACCAGACTTGCTATCAGAAATTTGCCAAGAGCTATGACAGATAAGACTTTGAAGGCACTAGCAAGAAAAGCTGTAGTAGAGTTTGCCAAAGAGGTTCAAAACGGTGTAAGGCATCCTTTGAGTAAAGAAGAAATTGTACGTTCTACAAAAGAGAAATATAAATTCATGAACCCAGAAGAAATCGAGCAGCAAAAGAAGAAGGACAAGAAGCATGGTGTTGTCAAGCAAGCTAAAATAATTATGGAAGTTAAAGGTTCCACTGTTGGAAGAAGTAGGGGTTATGGTTTTGTTGAATATAAAGATCACAAGCATGCTCTTATGGGCCTGAGATGGTTGAATGCTCATATGGTTACCACTGAAGAAATATTGGAAGGTATGACAGAGGAGGAACAAAAATCAATTCAAGGTGACATTTCTAAGGGTAGGCATCTGTGTGTCGAATTTGCATTAGAAAACGCTGGTGTTGTCAACAGAAGAAGACATCATGAAAAGCAAAGTCGTGAAATTTCCCGTAAGAGAAAGAGAGATGAATTTGACACCGAAACCAAAGCTAAGGAAGAAAAAGATAAGCAAGAGTCCGAGAAGACTGGTAAAAGTGGTTTGTCCGATGCGGTTAAAAAAGCTATCGGTATGAAACGTAAGAAGAGAAGAATGGGGAAAAAATAAATTCATTCATAATAGATTAATCTATGCATGTATAATATATATAATTAATGACTAGTCGTTACAATGCAATTGAGCATTCTCTGCGCATTTAGTACCATTATACCTTTACTCGATTCTGGCAATTGATGAAAACGCGCCGCTCTATCATTTCCTCTTTTTCTTCATTGGTTCCATGTTTCTTGATGATTGAGAGGAGGAATTACCAGAAACAGCTGCAGCTGCTGCAGCTGCTGCTGCAAGTATTCTTTTATTTACACCTAAACCACCAAGAGTGGCAGTACTATTATTCATTGTCGGTTGTACAACCTTTGCTGGAACCTTCGGTTTATGTAAACCTAAGTTCAAAATATCATTATCATTAGTGTGAATCCTTCTGGCTGGGTATTTGTAGTTCAGACCTTCAAAGACATTTTCACAAACTGGCATGTCACCATGAGTAAAATAGCTATGGTCAAGAGCGTTTATGGCATCTATTCTTTCAATAGGGTTATAGTTCAGTAGGTGATATAACAAACTCAGAGCGTGTTTATCCCGACCGCCAGCAGAGTGGAACCAGCCTGGTAAATTGTCTCTATACTTAGGAAACTTGGAAAGTTGCTCGTATTCAGGGTACTTTTGTAAATGAGGCCATGATTTTGGGGTTGGGGTTCCAAGAATTTTTAAAATACGCTGTAGTTGGTTGGCTTGGAATGGAACGGTCTTTTTAGAATCCATCTTGGCTTCCTCACCCTTGAATATCGGTTGTAAACCTATTAATTCTGCAAATATACAACCAACAGCCCACAGATCTATAGCAGGGGTGTAATGTCTTGCTCCTAATAAAAGTTCTGGGGCTCTATACCAAATTGTAACGACCACCTTATCACCAGTATACATTGTTTGTAACATATTGGAGAATTTTCTCGCTAGACCTAAATCACCAATTTTGACAACACCATCCATAGTAACCATAATGTTTGCGGGTTTCAAGTCTCTATGAAGTACCCAGTTTTGATGTAAATATGATACTCCATCAAGGATCTGCCACATAATTGATCGTATCATTCTAGGAGGGATCATTCTTTTTTCTGGATGTGAGTGAAAGTGAATGATTTGTAACAGGTCATGTTCCGCAAATTCATATACCATATAGATGCTTTTCTTTTGTAAAAAAATCTCAACTAATTTTGTTAAGTGGTTATTGTCTAGTTCTCGACACAATGCCATTTCTCTACAAGCACTTTGAGAGATACCTGTGTAATGTAATTGCTCTATACCATCCTTTTCTGTCTTAAACTTCTTAATAGCATAATACATTGTAGTTTCAGCTTTCCTTCTATTATCTGTATTTTCACTATTTCGTTTGTCTCCTGATATTATAGTGCTAGTTGGTACTCTGGGGTTATTAGGGTTATTGCGTGTAGATAATTCTGGATTTGTGTTACCTCCAGCACTGATATTATTACTATTTGGACCGTGTGCGCCCATCATATCTCCATATGTGCCAGCATTTTGAAGACTACTAGTATTCGAGAATTCAGTGGTTGGTTTGGTATCCTGAGCTAAAGAATCAGACCCCGTACTAGAACTGCTCTTAGATGATTGCCTGCTCTTAGCCTTGTAGACTTTACCATATGTACCTGCTGCTATATATCCGATGATTTCATATTTGTCCAACACTGACACCCGCGCATTGTCCTTTCTGGTTCTGTAAGGCGCTATTGTAAAGACATCATTGTTTGCCATGAGCATGGGAGTTTTTCCATGGCTAGTGCTTGCCCCAACCATGTTGCTCTTATTGAGACCCTGTTGCAAAGAAGACATGTAACCACTTTGATTCTGCCACAGGTCCCTTCCGGAGTTCTGCATATTCCTAGGACTCTCAACCTAATAATCTCAGCACTAAGATTTTTTGTCTCTCTCTCTCTCAAAGTATGATATTACCGTTTTCCAAATGTTATAGTATAATTACCATTTAATGCTGGGTACAGCGCTGTTGTATTATCTTCCCAAATTAACCAGTTATTATTAGAACAGATAGACTTGCACGCAGAGGTTCTCTGTTTTAGAAGTCCTGAAAACAAATAAAATATCAGTAGTAGTCGCACTCCAATGTTGCTCAACTGGTTGTTGCTAGCTTGTAGTCCAGTAACGGCTCATAAAAGATGTTAAAGTCGTTCATCCCAACTATGCTTTATGACTTTAAGTGATGCCCAACTTGCTGATTCGCTGCATGCGGGAAGGTCGAAGCGAGTTGGGGACTGTAAGAGATAGGTCACGTGATAAATAATTACTATACAATATTACAAATATCATCATATTGAACACGTTGCTCATTGAAGCTGAACTATATATATTGTGCAATGTGTTGTATTGTCCTGGTATATATTCTATGTTATGTGGATCAGTTTGTGGTGGTGCGCAATATCGACAGAATCAGCGTTTTTGTTTGATATTCATTCTGTTGAGATATGTTATAAAGTAATAATTGACCTGGTTACACTCTGAATGGTCGGCTATCATTAGTCTATAAATTTGAGTAAGTCGTTAAGGGTGTTTTTGTGCCTTCATTTGGGCTTCAAGTATTTCAGTAGTTTTCTGATGGGCGTGACTATAAAACGGCCGCAATGTGGAGCCCACCATATGCTCAATATGATCCTCAATGGATACAGTAGCTTGACAATGGTGTATGATATTGCTCCAGACAAGATTAACCGGTGCCTATCGAGGTCCTGTCCGTACTTGTCACCCACTATTTTGTCAATTGCTTTAGAACATCGCTCAAGGAGGTCAGATAGATAACCTGGGAGCTCTAGGTCGTTGTGTATATCGAGATTGTAGATAACCCACCACATCCCGAACAGCGGTACTATTGCGGTAAGTTCATGTAGTACTAGAAAGGAGGTTAGTGTCGTGATCGTACCTGTCTCAGAGACAGTATTGAAATATTGATGAAACCTCGGGTTCTTGTTCAGTCTACTCAGCAACCTTGAATTATTGATTATCTTGTGTAGCTTATCCTTGTACTTGTCAGTCTCGGCACTGAACACAGGGTTATTCTTACTGAAAGGCCTCTTGACTATACTGTTCCTGACCAAACTTCTCTGAACATATGTAAACCGAGGTAGAATGTTATCGGTGGCCTTACTCAATGGAGTGGACGTTTTAATCCAAAACATTGCGTGGTCCAAATCTTATTACTTACAAAGTTTGGAGTATAATATTGAATTGGGATAGTAGTAACCCTATGCTAATACTACAATTACATTTATACATGACGTTCGTCTCGATTTTATGTTTTTGTTGCGGATAGAAGACATCCCAAAGTCCAGGAAAAACTATAATCCAGTCAATAATTATGAACTAATGATAGCCAAGAGACTGATTGGTTGGTTAGAATGCTTTCATACAGTCATGAATTCATACATATTTACAGTATTTACATTATAATTCTTAATAGCAGCTATGGAATATTGTTCGTTTCTATGTACAGTGATTTTATTCAGATGCAATGGAATCAGCACACCTGTGACATAAACTATCAACTTCTGGGGAATTGTGCTTCCAGCATCTAGGACATTTATGCATTTCACTTTTCGTAACTTCTATAGATATGCTTGTACCGTTATCTAAAGTAATTGAGTTGGACGATGGCATATCACCAATGTTAACGTCCACCTCAGCGGTTTGCAAGACATCACATAATTCTTCATTACTGTAGCCAGTCGATTTGCTACAATTGATTATAGCTTTAGTTTGTGAGGGTTTTGTTATAGAAGGATTACCCAACGTAGCAAATTTAGATTTGTACTCCTTGACAAGTGGAAGTATCACTTGCTTGAATTCGTTTACAACCTCTGGATTAATTTCAGTTAGAGATGGCCACTTTCTAGTGACTGCTTCAGCTTCATTATCACCATTTAGCCACTGTTTGGGTAAGAAGTTCCAAGATTCCTGAACAAGAATTGGAAGAATGGGTGCCAGCATTGCTCTATAAGCATCGTAAATATGAAACAACGTAGTTTGGATTTGTCTTCTTTTTAAACTTTCTATGGAATCAGAGTACAATGAATCCTTGGAGATGTCAAAATAAAAGGAGGATAGTTCATTGTTCATATGGAATTGTAACGCCACCAGCGCCTTCGAGAAATTATGCACCTTGTATAATTCTTTAGTTTCTTCAAGAAGCTTGTTAACCGATGCCAAGACATACTTATCTACTGGTCGAAGTTCAGAAGTATTCAACAAAGAATACCTTTTCGATATTTCTAAGTTGCTGATCAAAAACCTCATCGTTAACCTACATTTCTTCAATGCTTCGGCTACATGTTTCAGAACTGTAGGTCCTACAGTTACATCAGTGGTAAAATCTGCCTGAGCAACGAAATACCTTAAACCATCAATACCTAATGCAGGCAGGTTCCTCTTCTTATCTCCCTCAATGATGGATTCAGGTGAAATGGTATTACCTATTGATTTGGACATCTTGATACCCTTTTCATCCAAAGTAAAGCCGTGAGTGATCACCTCATTGTAAGGTGCAATTTCACTCATTGAGCAGGCGACTTTCGTTAATAAGGAACTCTGAAACCAACCACGATGTTGGTCTGACCCTTCCAGATATACATTAGCTAGTGGCTGAGGAACTGTTGAAAGACCTAGTTCCTTTTGGTAAAATTCCCTTATTATATTCCAGGTTGAACCACTGTCAAACCACACATCCATAGTATCGGTACCTTTAATAAAGTCTTTAGCCATAGTTCTATAATTCTCTGGAAACCAGTCACTAATATCATCTTCAGGAGAAAACCATAAGTCACTTCCATGTTTGGATATACGAGTGATGATGTATTCTAGGAGTTCATCATTAATTAATACCTTATCTGGATTAGATTTATTGTGAAATACTGGTATTGGAACACCCCAGGATCTCTGTCTCGAAATACACCATTCATTCCTACTCTTGATAAAACTTGATAATCTATTCTCGCCACGCTTTGGATAGAATTCGACTTTCTCTAAACTTTTTATAGCCAAGTCCTTGACATCGTGTAGATCAGCGAACCACTGAGGCGTCGCTCTAATTATTACAGGTGTTTTCGCTCTCCAGTCATATGGATACGAATGAGTGTATTTGTGTGCCTTTAACAAAGCTTGCTTTTTAGATAACAGATCTAAGATTACAGTCGTTGTTTCAGAATCTAAAACCTTTCTACCTAAGCCAGTTCCACCTTCCATAAGTAATTCCTTACAATTATCCGGAAGTTCATTTAAAATATATCTACCTTCATGATCGACAGGGGAATAAATTTCGAGATCATTTTCAATGCCCAGAAAATAGTCGTCATGACCATGACCTGGGGCTGTATGCACTAACCCGGTACCAGCATTATCCGTGACATGGTCACCATGAATAAGAGGTCTGGCGACTATATCAGACACCAATGGATTGTAATAAAACAGGCCCTTTAGTAACTTTCCCTCAAATGTCTTCAAAATCTCACCTTTGTGATCTGAACCCAATTGATTTATCAGATTATTTTCCACTATGACATATGAACCATCGAGTTGTAGTAACGAATATGAAAAATTCTCATTGAAGCAAATAGCTCTATTTGAAAACAATGTCCATGGTGTACTTGTCCATATTAAACATGAGATCTGATCATTTTGAAGTTCATTTTCTAGCTTCAACTTATCTTGCAGGTGCGCACGGGAATCTGCGGTTAACGGAAACTTTACATAAGCTGCTGTAGACACATGCTTTTCATTGTATTCTAGTTCACTTTCAGCAAGTGCAGTCTTCGTCACTGTCCCCCAGTAAACTGGTTTGTTCTGTCTCTTTATCAGACCCATGTTAAACATCTTTTGGAAGACCTTGAGCTGATTCACTTCAAAGCTTTTATCCATGGTCACATATGGATCACTCCAGTCGGTCAATATACCATATTTCTTGAACTGATCCCTTTGCTTATCCAGCGATCGGAGCGCATGTTGCCTGGCCAGCTCCCTAACCTTGACGGAGTCCATCTTGTCTGCATCCCTAAGGTCCTTTAAAGCCTTCATCTCAATAGGTAAACCATGGCAATCCCATCCAGGACGATAGTAAACGGTTTTCCCCTGACTCAATTGAAACCGGTTGACGAAGTCTTTCAATATCTTGTTCAGCGCGTGGCCTAGGTGCAAATCACCGTTCGCATACGGCGGGCCATCGTGCAGCACAAAAAGCCTCTCTCGCACAGCAGCCAGCTTCTCATCCTCACCTTCTACCGCGCCCAATTCCCTCTTAAACCGCTCCAGCTGTTCAGTGTACACCCGATCAGAACACAAGGGCAACAACTCCAAACTGTTCGCCAGCACCGACCTGTTGGGAAACTTTGTCTTGCTCAAATGCAGCGTCTTCTGATATGCATGCTGCGCATATGACCTCCTCAGCGCCAAGCTCATCATTGACCTGTGTCTGTGCCTTTGCAAGCTATGAGTGAACCCAACTTGAATTTGATATAGATGACTTTTAGCTTATTCTCCTCGAGAAGTAAAGTCACTGAGAACGTCAAATGAGTAATCTTCGAATTTCAAAATTTGATGGCGAAGGCGATGAGCTTCTAGCTGACAGTTGCAATAAGAAGACTATAAGTCCATGAACTCAGAGGATCTTTCTGAGTCGTTTCTTGATCCGTGTGAGGACTGGACCGTGGAGTTTTCATATATTCTGCGCGGCTTGCGAACGGGACACTATTAAATGTGCTAGGGTTCGATAAGTTGAATTAGAAATTGGCTATAGGTTCAACCCTTCTATAATAAACAGTTATTTAGTGGCAAAAGTGCAACTTGAAGGCATATAAGCTGCTAAGGAGTAATAATTTCAACAGTATACGAAATACAAGGATAGCCGCAAAAAAATAGATGGTGAAGAGTCTGTTTGGCGAGAAATCGTTGAGAAATGGAGCGCGATCCCAGTTGGAGTTGAACAAGTTTTTAATCCACAAGTTTTTGAAAAGTGTGCTTGCGAAATACTCCTTGTTACTACAACCTTCACCGCCAGGCAACGACTTAGCCTCTCTATGTAGGATATTTGAAGGGATTTTGATCAGAGTACGTGGCAACAGGGCCCAGTTCAAGAAAGTTTGCTGCATCATTATCAAGTTTTTAGAGTGCTGTCACAACGAGTACAACTACATGCAGTTTTTGAAGCACGACTTGAAGAGGTTGCTGGTGACAGCTTTCGTGCTGAGTGTACCAAATAATGGCACAGATGAGGCGGAGAGGTCTATAATACGAGACAAGATATACACTTGCTATTCCAACGTCACTGGTTTGAAAGAGGAAGAGATCATAAACTGTTGTTCGATCACAAGACCAATTCTTATACGTCGCAGCCGTGAGCAGTACAAAGCTATCAGGTATAAGCAGATGAAAGACGCTCGGCGCGAAAGAGACCCACGAATTATACAACTCACTAATGATATGAACGAGGACACCGCCACAATGTCCGATCTGGCACTCCATAACTTCCTAGAGCCTTTCGACATCACGTCCACCTTCACATTCACCAAGAGGAACAACATCGGAACATCAGCCCCCGCCTCGCTCGGCGCCAGCATGATGCTGAACATGTCCCGCACCGATCCCACAGACCCTTGGAACGGCAGCACCGGAGCTCCACCATCTTCAGAGTACTACAATAACACAGACGGAAGTGTATCGAATGAGTACGTCCTCGGAACAGAAATCCAACGGTTCAACGAGATCACAAAGAAATTGATCCAGAGCAACTTCAACGTTCAATGACATATATCCATATATAAATTATAACCATAAATAACATGATGCCCCCCCTTTTCTCCCATAAACTTACACACTAAACACACTACACATCCAAATATATATTGACCTCTATGCGATGACTATACATATCACTTAAAACGACATACTTAAGCATCGCCCACAGTCCCAATCGAATTTTGGCAACAAAACTTTCAAAGTGTGTAACGAGCTGCAAGCGATGATTCAAGTCAAGAAGTGTATATTTGGATTGGCATTTGTAGTCCTCTCCAACCGCTGAATATAGGCTACAACATCAGCAGTGCAGAAAATTTAGGTAAATAATGTCTACGGGAGATGATCTGCTCTTTTACAAGCGAGCCACTGATGCCGTAGTTTCAACGACGCTAGGCATAACGAGTGTGGAGCCCACTATAAGAGAGCTTTTAAGGCGTATCAAACAGGAGCCAGCTTGGGGGTCGGTACAGAGATCAAATGAAGTAGAGGTAGAACAGCGCTCAGTACCGACTACGGTCAGCACAGCGAGCTTACATGTGACGCCGATGCTAAGCGATGTTTACAAGGCAAAACAAGAGGAAACCACCATGTCACCGGTGATAAGCGAAAAGAATGCAGTGAATAGCGGCGATAGTGATCGTTCTGTGAGAGTCAAGAGCGAGGGCAGTAGCACTAAAAGCCATAAAGTCGTGAAGAAAACTAGCACCAAGCCCAAAGATAAAAGCAAGAGCGAAGAAGACACTGTGTACCACTACTGCTCACAGTGCTCGCTCAAATTCAACAGATCTTCTGATCTGCGGAGACACGAGAGAGCACATTTACTGGTGCTACCTTATATATGCACACAATGTGGTAAAGGTTTTGCACGTAAAGACGCTCTCAAGCGACACTCAGGTACTATGACTTGTAAGAGAAACAGAAGAAAACTAATGGAGGCTGCTGGTCGGGAAGTTAGCGAACTCATAAATGAAGCCATAAAAACGGGCAGAAGTCTGTGATTAGTGGAAAAGAGTAAAGATACCGAGAATCCCCAGAATAGAAACCAACTATTTGGATCTTAAAGATTATTTGAAGACTGGACATTTCTAATACAACAATTAATTACATAATAAGTTCAAAATATAATAATTCTTTTGTACTATATCAAGCTTATTTGCATAGACAGAGCCATATATCCCTAATATAGTCCTTATTATGACGTACGTAACATGCTAAACGCTATGAAGAGGCAATAACATCGGGCTTATTACTCAGATGAAGGGTCTCTATACAAGAACAAAGTCAGGTAGAAATTCTAAAGAAATTCCAGATTTTATTGTGCGAAAAAAATGTTATTTCATTATAATATGTAGGTGCTTTTTCCTATCTCTCTTGTGCTCTTAATTAAATATCGAATACTAGAAGAAGGAAAAAAATTGGGTTTAGATGTGTATGTTAATTGTATTTGCAAAAATTAAGTGTCATTAAGTTATTTACTCAACTTCGGCATCAAAGCTTTGGCCTTCAACCAATTCTGGGATGGCTTCGTCCTTGGCTTCACCAGCGTTTTCGTTAGCTTGGGCCTTCTCCATTTGGGCAGCTAGTTGAGACAAAGCTTGGATAGCCTCACCACCAAGTTGGGAGATGATACCTGGGAACAATTCTTGCAAGTTCTTCTCTTGGGCCATACCGTAGAAAACGGAAGTGTTGTGTTGTGGAGCAACTTGGACACCGACCTTGTTGAAGTGCAAGACCTTACCGTCGTCCTTGAAGAAGTTAGCCTCAGCAACATTGTCAATGGTGACAGCGTGCAACTTAGCCAACTGGTTGTGCAACTTGGTGTCGTCCTTGTTACCAGCGCTACCAGAACCGGTCTTCTTGGCTTGCTTTCTTCTGGTACCACCGACCTTGTTGCCGGCAGACATCTTCTGCAACTTCGCTAGTTTCTCTTGATCAATTGGCATTATGTGTTCCTGTCTCGTTTATCCTCTGTTCTGTCCTACAAGAAACACAAACCGATTCCCAGGACGTTTCAACTCACCCAACTCTTATGTATGAAAGTGCCTTCCACCTGCATTCGTCGACACCGCAGAATCGCCATCGTCGCAATTTTTTTTTCAAAACTGGAGAACGCACATTCACGTAGTTAGTGCTACGATCCACGTGATATATACACTCATTTCCAATGATAAAACTGAATATATACATACTTGATACCGTGTACTCTCTTTGGATGCGGTATATATCAGGTACATTGTGCCCGAAATTAGAAGCAGACCTGGCGTTCTTGTGCTATTGATATTGGTATCTATGTATAGTTCAATCCATTGCTAGTTGTGTTCTAATAGAGTACTAGGCTTGGTACTAAGTCAATTGGTAATTATTAGAATGCCGTTGTTGTTATTTGGAATTCAAATGTATGGATGGCATATTTACTCTTGTTCATACTTATCTATATGGGAAGCAATTTTCCATAAACCACTTATTATTGATGTGATTACTAGCGAGCTTACTACCAATACAACTATTAGAACTTAGACAATAGCATAACTGTAATGTACGTGGGTGGAATTTCCCGAAAGTTACTGGAAACCTGCTGTACTTGATTTACAATTATCATTTCAACTAATTTTCATATCGGTCAAAGTCAAGACGCGGTCGTTGACATCTAGTAACTTGACTATACTGAATAAGGTCCAATAATAAAATAAATTCAAGTAGACCGCTTACCAAGAATCGTTAAATATGTAACCGGGTAGCATTTTGGCAGGTCGTAAAAATTTGGTTTAAGAAATGTGCTTTAAATATCACAGTCATTTATCACTAGACACTGAAGAGCCTTGATATTAAAACTCTCTCAGTCAAATCGTTACATATGTAAGAGTCCATACAGAAACACTGGACCAAGATGACACCAATGAATTATACTACTTATTCAATCAATACTCAAGCTAGCGTTGGTTAGAAACTTTATATTTAGCACGCTATAGATAAACTCATCTGCAATTTATCACTACAATATCCACATTAAATTTATCATCTTACATTTTCTGAAAGCCAGTAATTAATATTTAGTTTATCTTATCCTAGCACCAAGAATTCTAGATATTACTAGACACTGATTATCTCACATCTCAGCAACTGCACCGCTAAATACAATTACTGGAAGCCATAAAAAAAACTTGTCCTTGCTTAATAATTGTCAGGCAATATACATTAACGTAATACCAACACTCGATACCTGGATGCTTCAAGAGGATTCAGAGAGACACAGACCCAAAAGCATTACTTATCAGTAATAACTCACCAACTTCTCTGCAGAGCCATGAAAGAAACTGCGAACATGCACTAGTTACCAGGAATTCGCGAACCGGCCAAGGATGGACAATTGAGTATCCTATTATACAAGGTGGATCGCTCATTACAAGAAGTACAGGCAACTAAGAAGTGAAGCGGATGGATACAACGAAACCTCTACAACTCCAGCAGTATTGAGTATGGTATTTAGAAAAGGTGTCGGGGCTATATAAAAAACAGTGCTCTTTTGTTAGTAGCATTCTGTGGAGCCCATCACCGTCCGAAACTCTTCTCATGACATCAGACACTTACCGCGGTAGGAACACCCATCATTTCATATTTCAAACTTGTGGAGTTCATTTTTGGAGTTTCACCCGTTACATCTTGAATTTATCACCCTGAACTTCCTCTCCCAATGGCATTTCTCAAATGACCGCCCTGTAATCCTATCATAACGACCTGAGATACCCGCTGTAGAGAAGCTATAAAGTTTATGTAAATCCATTCCAGGAAGGCCGTAAATCATTCTATGTCTAAACTTTAAAGTCACAGAATATGTCGCAGCAAAAGGAATTCCAGAATTTCGGGAATTTCTCGCATTCCTTTCACACCCGTTTCACGTCATCAACAGAGAACTACCTGCACAGCGAGCGCGGGATCTCACGCTTTCCCATTGTCTCACGCTTCCCACAGATTATCTAAGACAATTGCTCCTCCCACCCTCTGCCCCCCAGCATGAGCTGCAAAGTTGTACATCCCACTTGTGGCTCCCTTACCAAACTCCTACAAGCGTTGGCAAGCAGGAATTTTGAGTTATAACTGTAACTCTCTCTGTTAGTTCTGCAATTGGCCTTGGCATGTGCTAGATGCTAAGACTTACTACCTATCAATTAGTTTAGCAATCCTCGCACAAATATTTCCGTTATATCCCTGGCTGTTTTAGTAAAACCATTTTCCTACCGATGACTACATCATCATCCAGTTGAGAATTTGCTTGCAATCCTAGATTTGATGAACTGCTTCATGACTCACACCTAGAACCTATGAGCATGTGGTAAATAGCAATGACAGAGAGTGTGCTTTCTTCACCTATTGAGAATTCACGCATTGAGACCTTCAAATTACTTTCTTGATGTAATGAAGACCAGCTCTAATGCTGTTTGGTTGTTCAACAGTTGATAATATTATTATCCTGCATTCAACTCTTGATTGACTTATCCAGCTCTTACTAACATTAAACAATCTTACTTCTTTATCTAAGAATAAACTGATAGATGCATGGCTTTCATTCGAAAGAAAGAGTGATGAGGTACAGAATTCTGATGGAAACCCAGGTTTTGGTACTGTACTGGAGCATCCCACACAAAGGTGATGCTAAATGGCTTTACAACCATTCAACGACAGCTGGCTTATCATGGATGAACAATTCTACTAATATGATATACGTCCGAACAAGGGTAGAGGCACCAGAATTAGATATCCACAACTTCGAGCGCACCAGATTACATCTACAATTGACGACAAGGCTGAAGGATATTGCGATGAGGACTTTTATATTTCCAGGGTCTAGGCTCGACAGTATCAAGATGGTGGACAATTACAATGGTTGTGACTTTCACGGCTAGGACGGGCTCTCGAGGTCTTATTGTGTTGAAACCTAACTCTGGCGTGCCTTCAAATACTGTTACCTGGGTAGGAACTCATTCACCGAGCATGTTAGTAATTGCGGCCAGTTCAGCTAGTGTGGATACACTCGAACATATACTAGAGTTTCAATGAACGTCTATGCTTCACCTTTGATAGACGCTGTTGGAGGTACAGTCGTCACCACCAGTAACTAACATGTTCTCTGATAAATGTGCGAGTGTTGGTACACTATCGAAGTTCAGAATATTCGTGATTGGGTCTTTAGATGAGGTAGGCGCCCCTTCGCACAGTGTCTGTATGTTCACAGGCAAGGACACCAAAGGACTGCGACTATGGTCTCCCAACCACTTGCAGAAATATGAACGGCAATGCTATAGACGTAACTGGTGTGCACCAGAAGTTCAACGATGCTCTTACTTTGGCATGTTCGATGGCAATGAATCTACATTTGCTCATTTTGTAGGGTTGAGTGTACTCTAGTTTGCCATTGCTAGCTCTGCCTATATTCTAAATATTTACCACCGTGTATATAATTTAATGATCAACAGTTCATAGTCTCAATTGTCTTCAGCAAAAGGCTAAGTACCATAAAACTGTATCTGTGGTGTTTATTAAGGAACACTGCTGTATTACATGGGCAATTGCATGTTGAAATTTGAGTGCGCTATCAGTCATATATGCCAAATGTGAACAAAACGTGAAAAAGATGAGTTGTGAAAGAAAAGCTTGCTATGCAGCTGTAATATAATGCAATGGTAGTAACTACACGATATGATGTATATGGCATTGCATGTGGTCTTCAGAGAGCGATTCGATATGCAATGCAGTGTGCAGGCATGTACTTGTATAGAGATGAGTTTTGCCCTGGAAAGTACTGCACAACGATGGGGAGCGAGAAGGGAGCTGGAAGACCGGGATCGATAAAAGGAAGAGCAACTGCTGAATAGCGGAGAGTAAGTTGGCTAAGAGGAAGGGAAGGTATTGAGAGCAGTGCAAGACAATGTCGTCCTCTCAGTTTAAGCAGTTGGAGAAGCTAGGTAACGGTACGTATGCGACTGTATATAAGGGTCTGAACAAGAGCACTGGTGTGTATGTTGCGTTGAAGGAAGTGAAGCTGGACTCTGAAGAGGGTACGCCCTCGACTGCCATCAGGGAGATCTCATTGATGAAGGAGCTTAAGCACGACAACATTGTGAGGCTGTATGATGTGATACACACGGAGAACAAGCTTACGCTGGTGTTTGAGTACATGGACAACGACCTGAAGAAGTACATGGACTCGCGCACGGTTGGGAACGCTCCGCGGGGGCTGGAGATGAACCTGGTGAAGTACTTCCAGTGGCAGCTGCTGGAGGGGCTGGCGTTCTGCCACGAGAACAAGATCCTGCACAGGGACCTGAAGCCGCAGAACCTGCTGATCACGAAGCGCGGGCAGCTGAAGCTGGGCGACTTCGGGCTGGCGCGTGCGTTCGGGATCCCCGTGAACACATTCTCGAGCGAGGTGGTCACGCTGTGGTACCGTGCGCCGGACGTGCTCATGGGCTCGCGCACGTACTCCACGTCCATCGACATATGGTCCTGCGGGTGCATCCTCGCGGAGATGATCACCGGCAAGCCTCTGTTCCCCGGCACAAACGACGAGGAGCAGCTCAAGCTCATCTTCGACAAGATGGGGACCCCGAACGAGACCACCTGGCCCGGCGTCACCTCCCTGCCAAAGTACAACCCGAACTTCCAGCAGAGACTGCCCAAGGACCTGAAGGCCGAACTGCAACCGTACGTCAAGGAACCCCTCGACGACAACGTCATCGACCTCCTCCACGGCCTCCTCCAGCTCAACCCAGACATGCGCCTCAGCGCCAAGCAGGCCCTGCTCCACCCCTGGTTCTCCGAGTACTACGAGTCCTAAACCTACATAGAATAACAAAAGCTAAATACTAGGTCTATATAGCACAGGCTGTAAGCTAAACCTTATAACACTCAACGGCCACATCACTACAGACGCCCATAATGTCCCAGAGAGTCCCGCTCCGTGCTCCGCGCTCCGCTGCAGGGAAGGCCAAAACAAACACGAAATTAATGCTGTGTTGAGGGGGTTCCTGCGCGGGTTTCTGAGGAAATCAACAAGGAAAATGACAAAAGACCCGTATCATGTCCGGGTAAAGTTTGGAAAATTTTTGTTTGGAACTTTTTGCGGGCGGTTTGGTGGGAAAAGTATAAAAAGGGCCAGTGGGGGGCTGGTACCGGTGGGCTGTCTGGGCGGCAAGGCAGGCAGTGCTGGATATACCAATTGATACCGTAGGGGGAACTGAGAGAGAAAAGAAACAACACGATATGTCGTCGCTTAGGGTGCTGGTGTTGGGGGACAGTCCCAACACGCTTTTGTATGCGTCGCGGTTCCAGTTGGCGAAGAGTGTTGATCTGTACCATGTGAGCGATGGTGTGAGTGCGGTGTTTGAGATCGAGACGGTTGCGTATGGGTACGACAAGTTTGAGCTGGCGCACCACTTCCGCTCTGTTGGGGAGCTTGTCGGGGCCGTGAGCGGTGTGTTTGATCTTATCATACTGAGTGCGTCGTCGTTGCAGGAGTTGAGTTCTGTCGCCGCGCAACTTAAGAACCTGGTGAACTCGAACACGAAGATATTCCTGGAGAGCAGCGGGTTTGTGCAGCTGGAGCCCTTCGTGAAGATGTCCATGGACGCCGCGCACGCCAATATCTTCAGCATCGTCACGGACTTCGACGTGCGCCAGGTCGCGCCAAACAGCTACAAGCAGTTCCCGCTGAACAACGTGACTAAGAACTCTCTGTGGCTCGGCGAGTGCAAGCCCGCCAAGGGCGGGTCCTCCTCGTACTCCAAGAACGTCGTCGCGCTGTTGGAAACGTTCGAGAGACTGTTCCAGAAGCTGTTTCCAAAGGACACAGTGGACCTGTGCAACAAGTCGCCCGTCGACTTCCTGTCGAAACAGTGGTCCATCGCCATGCCACGCATATGCTTCGATCCGTTGCTGATCATGCTCGAGGAAACCAACCCAGCTGAGCTGAACAACCAGATCATCGCCAAGCCCCTGATCTCCGGCCTAGTTACAGAAGTTATTACCGTGGCTAGGAGCATGGGTGCCAAGCTAAACAACACGATGGACAACGAGACTAACCTCCTTCAGTCCTGGAAGGAACAGTACTGCCTATCCACGCACGAAATCGAGACGCCGGCCTTGGTGTACCACTTCATTCACCGCTCAGGCCCTCTTAACATCGACATGTCGCTGCTGCAGATCATCTTGTTAGCAGACGACTTTGGCATCAAGACACCTTATTTGGAGTTCTTGTACTCTGTCATGTCGCAGTACCAAAAACTAAACGAAGGGAAGTCTAAGTGGTTCAAGAGGGTGGACGAGAGACAACAACAGAACGATGGCTCGAATTTCGAGATGGCAGCTTTAATAGAAGAAAAAGCCCAATTGAACGAGAAGCTAAACTCATTGACTCAGGACGTGAAATCCAAGGACGAGAAAATTCAATCGCTGATGCAGGAAAGAAACCAGAACGCTCAGATGTCCGGTGATCTACAAAATCAACTTGACATCTTGAGAAATGAACTAAATAAGGAGAAACAGAAATCTAGTCTTGCTATCCAGGAATACGAAAATAAATTAAATGCAACCAACAATGCAATGGAGCAGATGAAATTACAAACGGCGGCACCAGCCATCAAGAATATAGCACAGGATGAATACAAACCGACAGGTACACCCAATCTGAACGATATTGCTGACATCGCAGTGTTTGGTGTTAATTACAACTCACCTGAAGTGCACAAAGCAACCGAACCACTTGCTGGTAAAGAGGCCGACAGAAATGAATCGCAGGAAAAGCTCACTCCAACAAACGATTCCATGGACGACTTGAAGAGACGCGAATTGGAATTACGCAAAAAGGAACTAGAATTACAAGAAAAGGAAATCGAATTTCAAAAACTTGCAATGCAACAACAGCAAAAGCAACCTGCTCTTCAGAACCCTCAACAATTTCCCGTACAGCAGCAACAGCCTTTCCAAGTGCCACCTCATCAACAAGGTCAAGCTTGGGGTAAGGGCCAACAAATGGTTGCACCACAACAAATGCCTATGAGCAACAGTGGAGGAAACATCCCTCAGATGATGAATGGTAATAGTAGGAAGCCATCTTTTCCACAAGTACAACAGGCTGCTAACATCAGAAACAGTAGAGCTGTTCATGGCGCCATGCCAACACAGCAACAATCTACTGCGTCTAACTTCGTTGATCCGGTCTCAGCAGGTCTTGTCAATAATTCATTTGAACAGAATACACAGGGGCAATTTATGCCTCAGCAAGGCCATATGCCTCAAAATGTAAAGAGAACAAGTAGAAAGAATAGACATAGTAATATGCCTAATATAGGAAGTGCATCTAGCATGGGTCTGAACAACTTCAGCTCTGTTGGAAACAATGGAAGCCAGAGCAGATTAAACTCATTGAGCACATCTAACATGCCAGCCATTCAAAACAGACTCAGACACACCAACAGCAACTTGGCATTAAACAATATCAACAACAAGTCGTCATCCAGATTGAATATGCCACAGCCAGTGAAACAAGGTGAAGCTCCTATGAACGGTGGTGCATTAGGTAACCCATCTCAACAAAGGCAAATGAGTTCCAGCACTCAGTTGGACAATGTTGGTGACATTTCTACCAACTCTGTAATTCATAACTCGATACCATATCAAAATGGTGGCATGGAGACTAGTAACTCCCAACCACAGTTGCAACAGTACCAGAACACTCAAACTCAAAACACAAAGGAGTACACTCAGAGTCCACCTCCAATGCATCAATTTGGCTCATCTAATAATGGGTCTCCAGTAGCAGCTCCCACAGCTACATTCTCATCTTCTCAGGATTCCGGAATCAACGGCTCCACTGATGAAGAAGCTAGTGAGAAGGAAGGTAAAAAGAAAAGATTTGGGCTCTTCAAAAAGAACAAGAAGAAATAATTAATATAGACTGACAGGATAAATGAACGCTCGGACATGTAGGTAGGAATATAGACTCTTTAATTATTTTTTAATATTTTTCAACTATTAATTTGTCAATTTTTGTATTAAGAATATCTTTTTAGTAATTTTGAGATAGGTTTTTATTATCCTCATAGACAATGGGCTATATATAACAAGAACCCGCTAATGCGTTTGCTCTTTGGATTTGAAGCTTAAAGAGTAATTGATTACAAAAAAGTTAAATCAACTGTTCGAAATTTTTGGTACCAAAAATTAGTGCAAAAATATTAGACTAAGTTTCTGATGGCATTTTGCATTTTTAGCTTATGAAGATGATAGCGTCCTTTCAAAGAACTACATCTGAGAGCAAAAAAAAAAGAATGGTCTCTAGCGGGATCGAACCGCTGATCCCCGCGTTATTAGCACGGTGCCTTAACCAACTGGGCCAAGAGACCATTTTAATTAGCTGTTTGTTCGGTATTTTTGAACGACCAAGTGACCACAGCTGTAATTAATTACGATGTGGTTTGTGATCTTATTTTAGCTGATTATGGCTAATGAGGAATATACTATACTACCTTATAAAGAATTGAATAATTCCTCTTATAATGAACTTTCAGCAAAAATATCAAGACTTAATTTCTCAGTAAAAATTTTTATGATTCTATTCTGTGCTTTGTGAACGATATTTCCAAGCAAAATCGTTTTCGCAACATTATATATATTAATTCAATCGACCTAAAATATACAGTGGTTTGTATATTTACTATACATATCTTTTTACTGAATACAATCTGTCCCACGAATTATCAATTGTAAAAAAAGAAATATACACGAATGTAACTATTTAATTAGAGACTGTTCCAACACGAGGCAACTAGGATATTATACTCTACAGTGATCACCACTGTTTTAAAATCTTCTGCAAAAATATAGTGAACACATTCAGCTATCTTGATATAATATTTCCGTACTCTGAATCATCAAATGTGGCTGTAGATCTATCCTATATGTGTTCAAGTACAGTGATAAAAACAGCAACATTTTATTTGCATTTTATAATTTCAACCTCAAAGGATCACTGACAATATTAAGCTGTAAATGAAATGCATTATAAGTTAAATTGAATAGGTATTTTTTTCAAGATATAATTTCATCAATAGTCATTCTACTATCTAAGGTGAGCACAATTAGACATATTCCCAACAACACACGCTTTCATAGACTATATCCATATTCTATTAGCTATGAAGGAGTTACCCAACTTAAGTAAGAAATCATAACAGAATACGATAAACTGTTAGTCACATGTTTTTTCAGTCAATTTTTCCTTTTTGAATCAAAAGATTCATAGCTCATCGCAACGGTTACAATAGTGTTAGCAGTTAATATAAGCAATCTCTTGATATTGTCAACATATCACAGTATATAGAATCCGTTAAGCAATAATGACTGAGAAGAAGACTGCCCCAAGCTTTCAGTTTATGAAGGATGAGAGCACCAGTGTGCTGGGTGGTGAATGGGTGCCAATGTACTGCACCGATGAACCAGTTGAATTCAGCAAAGGTGATTTTGAGACCGCCATGCTAAACGTTATCAGAGAGCCCAATATCAACTCTACTGCAATTCTAAGAGCAGACATCCTGGCTGAAAAATTCTATGACCTAGAAGGAAATGAGCAAGAGTTGAGTACTGACGATAAGCCTGTTTTGAGTGAGAGTTTGCCATACGATGCCGACGCAAAGCTTGTTAATATCGATGATATAACTACAAGGAAAGAACTTATAGAAAACAAAGAACTAGAATTGACAATTGTGAAAGAATTTGTGAGAAGAATGATACCGAGAAATCCTTACAAAGATGCCTTGATTAACCAAACATGCCTAGTATACAACTCCAAAAAGACAGAGAATAAGGATACTTCACTTGTGCTATACATTCCACATTTTGAAGATGAAGCAGATTGTCCATTCTATATACCTCATGTTCAAAAAGTGGCAATCCTTCTGCATGGCGGTATACTATCGGTGCATTACATACCATACGCCGGCCAGAGTGAAGACTTGAGGAAGGATAATGAAAGAGTTGTAAGGACAGCTTTTAGATTATTACAAACTGCATATAAGCACTCTAAAGGTGTAATGCAAGGATACGAGAAAAGGGTTAATCATGATCAAGTAGTAGATAGAGTGCTATTTCAAGATACGTACATCCAACTGAAGAAGAAATACTCCAAGTTTCTGGTAGATAACTGGGCTGAGTCTACGGACCCCAAGAAGCATGTATTTGAAGATCTAGCAATTGCTGCGTTTCTGTTGGAATTCTGGAAAACTCAATATGGTGATGATTACAAAACTACTATGCAATTTAGGGACATGGGTTGTGGTAACGGTGTTCTTACCTACATCCTGATAAGTGAAGGTGTAAATGGTGTTGGTATTGACGCCCGCAAGCGTAAGTCTTGGAGTATCTATCCAACAGAGATACAAAGGCACTTAAAAGAACAGGTTATTATACCCTCCATACTATTGAGACCAACACCAGATGTAAGAAGGTATATGCCATACCTGGAAGACAACGGTGCTATGTTCCCTATCAAAGTAGAAGATGGACTAATAGCACCAGCTACTTTGGTTTATTCGAGTGCGGATTTGATTGCATCACCAAATGTGAACATTTGTGAATTCCCAGATAATACATTCATTATTGGTAACCACTCTGATGAACTAACATGCTGGATACCTCTTTTGGGCTTTCCATTTATGGTCATACCATGCTGCTCACATGATCTGTCTGGTAAGAAAGTTAGGTTCAACACAAGGGTACCTAAATCGGAGAAAACAACACCTGCTATGAAGAATAACATAAAGATAAATTCGAATAACGTGAATAACAGCAACAGTACATATGCTGGTTTGGTGAATCATGTCGAATATTTGGCAAAAAAGGTCGGTTGGAAAGTAGAGAAGGAAATGCTACGGATACCAAGTACAAGGAATGCCGCAATTATTGGTACAGACAATGCTTATGCAAAGGAATTTCCGACCCCTGATATTTACAGGACTATTGAGGAAGAGGGGGGAGCTTTAACCTGGGTTCAAAATACAATGCAATTAGCGAAAGCATCTCCAAGAAACCATTGATAGAAGCTTAATTTTTTAACAACTGTTTGTTTTTGATTTTCTATGTACTAATAGTTTTGACAGATATGCGTATACATATAAATACTTTTGAACTTCTAATCAGCCCTTCTATGTAATATTGATGGTTTTGCTAATGGTATAATGGTTTATACTATTGTTTTCACGTCTTCTACGGTATTTTCTTCGAGCTCATCGACTTTAGTGAAAAAATCATCGAGAGTAATAGCTTTTTGTAGTTATACCATATAAAGAGACAGTCACTGGATATTCACCAAAAGCGGAATGTTACAACAAGAATCACCTTTAATCCCTCATTGATTTGTTAGACCCTATACTTACGTTTTGAACACGGCAATGTTTCCCAATATGCTTCGACATCGATTTCACTACAGGTACATATTTGGTGCTCTTAATCGAAGAACAATATCTAGCTATGGACTTTTTGAGAACAACCAGTGGCTGATACGAAAACCTCAATTAAAATACCTCAATGCTAAGGAGCGTAAGAACCTGGACACATTCAAGCTTAATATTGACCCCGAGAAGCGGAAATGCATATACACCACAGATAAAGAGTTCAAGAAAAATCTGGAGAATGCGCTAGCTCATGTATATAGTACCCAAATTGAAAACAGCGCCCCAGATCAGGTAGAGTTTAGAAAAGTTGCCTGGTTGAGACTCAAAGATATGTTATACAACCAACTGCTTGATAAAAACCTCCCGGCGAAGATAAATGGTTATGACCCAGGTCTAATGGAGACCATAAGTCCCACACAACCGCAACATATAATACCTCACCTTGTAAAAATGAATAAAATAGATCAATTAATATGGAAGAAAATAACAGGGAAGACAGAGGGAGTAACGAAGTATGAACAATTTCAGTATCTACTTAGCAGTTATTATGACTGCATATTGAACCAGGAAATAATACCATCAATGCTTAATACCGGAACTGACGATTCTGTTCATTCGGTGGATTTTTCTAACCCAGCAGAATGGTTTCCAGAAGCCAGAAAAATCAGAAGACATATCATAATGCATGTTGGCCCAACCAATTCAGGTAAAACTTTTAGGTCATTACAGAAACTCAAAGCTGCTGATAGAGGCTATTATGCAGGCCCATTAAGGTTACTTGCTAGAGAGGTTTACGAAAAGTTTAAACACGAGAATGTGAGATGCAACCTGCTTACAGGTGAAGAAGTAATAAAAGATTTAGATGAAATGGGAAATGAAGCCAACCTAACCTCTGGCACAATAGAAATGATACCTTTGAATCAAAACTTTGATGTTGTAGTATTAGATGAAATTCAGATGATGGCAGACCTGGATAGAGGTTGGGCTTGGACCAACGCTTTACTAGGTGCAAAAGCTAAGGAAGTCCATTGTTGTGGTGAGGCAAGTACGATTCCCTTGATTAAGAAAATCGTTGAGATGACTGGTGACAAGCTCACCATAAATGAATATGAACGAATGGGTAAATTAGTAGTTGAAGAAGAAGCTCTTACAAAAGGTTATCACAGTCTAAAAAAAGGTGATTGTGTGGTAGCGTTCTCAAAAAAAGCAATCCTGGACTTGAAATTAGAGATTGAAAAAAAGACTGAATTAAAAGCTGCTGTTATTTATGGCTCACTTCCTCCAGAGACAAGAGTTAAACAAGCTAATTTGTTCAACAGTGGTGAATTTGATATATTGATTGCGTCGGATGCTATTGGCATGGGCCTGAATTTATCAATCGATCGTGTGGTATTCACCACGTCAAAAAAATTTGATGGCAGAGACATGGTAGATATGACTAGTTCGGCGATAAAACAGATAGGTGGTAGAGCTGGTAGATTTAAACAAAATATACATGATAACGGTGAGCTTCCAGTTGGTTACATCACTGCCGTAAAACCAAATGTTCTTAAGGCTGTCAGGGAAGCAATAAATGCTCCCATTGAGTACTTAACTAGTGCGACTACATGGCCAACAGATGAAATTTGTACCCATGTCATGACTAGATTCATGCCAGGCACGACTTGTAAGACGCTACTGGAGACCATTGCTGCAGATATTGAACAAAGCTCTAACAAGCTGTTCCAGATATGTGATTTGAAAGCACGAATGAGTGCGATAGAGATCATTGATTCAATGGAGGACATAACATTCTCCGACAAGTTGCGACTGAGTAACGCACCATTGAAGGATTTCCCATTGGTAAAGGCAGCATTCAAGAAGTTCTGCGACACTATAGCTAGGGGCCACACTAGAGGCCTACTATCTTACAGGTTCCCATTTGACATACTGAACCTTAAGTACATTTACACCGAGAAGCACGGACTTGAAGAATACGAAGCACTATACAACATCATCATGCTGTTCTTCTGGCTAAGCAATAGGTACCCGAACTACTTCATAGATCAAGAGTCTGCTTCTGAACTGAAAAACTTCTGCGAGATGATCATCTTCGAAAAGATAGACCACCTGAAGAGAAACCCCTACATCCGCAAGAAATTCATATCGCCATACCTGAAAAGGAGAAGGTAACACTAGCAACTTAACTCATGTACATACATAAGCACCCTCGAGAGGCAACCGAACTATAGATATTTATTATAACTACAAGGCCCATACATACTAATCTTCTGACACGGCTCATCGCTTACTGAACATTTTTTCGGTTTTTGCAGCTTTTTTTTTCAATCAAAGCATCTTGGTGGAAAAAAAAGTGTTGAAACCGTACCAACACATCGGAGATAGAGGATTCTAACGGTACGAAACACCCAAACGAGCATTAGAAACCACAAACCTTGTGCCAATTGATATCAGTTGGAGTAATAGGTTATATATATCTTGACTGTAAGCTTTCTTTCCCATCTTTTGCGCTTTCTCCTGGATTCAATTGAGCATAGTTGTGTAAAGATAGCTCTCGAGGAAAAATACACAACCCTAAAATATACTACTAACGCCATGAGTGATACTGTCTACATTGTTTCTGCTGCCAGAACCCCAATTGGTTCTTTCCAAGGTGCGTTGGCCTCCAAGACTGCTGTTGACCTAGGTGTCATTGCAGTTAAGGGTGCTATGCAGAAAGTGCCACAATTGAACCCTGAATCCGACTACGACGAAGTGTTCTTTGGTAATGTTATATCTGCTAACTTGGGTCAAAATGCCGCCAGACAAGTTGCCCTAGGTGCTGGTTTGAAGAACGGCATTGTTGCCACCTCAGTTAACAAAGTGTGTGCTTCCGCTATGAAGAGTATAATCCTTGGTGCCCAAGCCATCAAGTGTGGTACTGCAGATGTTGTTATCGCTGGTGGTTGTGAATCTATGACCAACGCCCCATACTACATGCCTGCCGCTCGTGCTGGTGCCAGATTCGGTGAAACCAAGATGGTGGATGGTATTCAAAGAGACGGTCTGAACGATGCTTACGACCACCAACCAATGGGTGTCCACGCTGAGAAGTGTGCCCGCAACTGGGAAATCACCCGTGAACAACAAGATGACTTTGCCATTGCCTCTTACCAAAAGGCTCAAAAGGCCCAACAAGAAGGTAAGTTCGACAACGAAATCGTTCCAGTTACCATCAAGGGTTTCAGAGGTAAGCCAGACACCCAAGTCACAAAGGATGAAGAACCAACTAAGCTAAATGTTGACAAGTTGAGATCCGCTAGAACTGTATTCCAAAAGGAAAATGGTACTGTCACTGCACCAAATGCTTCTCCAATCAACGATGGTGCTGCTGCTGTCATCTTAGTCTCTGAAAAGAAGTTGAAGGAACTAAACCTAACACCATTGGCCACTTTGAAGGGTTGGGGTGAAGCTGCCCACGATCCAGCTGACTTCACATGGGCTCCATCCTTGGCCATTCCAAAGGCCCTAAAGCATGCTGGTGTTGCTGATATCAGCCAAGTCGATTACATTGAACTAAACGAAGCTTTCTCCGTTGTTGGCTGTGCCAACACTAAGATCTTGAAGGTTGATCCAGCCAAGGTCAATGTCTATGGTGGTGCTGTTGCCATTGGCCATCCTCTAGGTTGTTCTGGTGCTAGAGTCGTTGTCACATTGCTATCTGTGTTACAACAGGAAGGTGGTAAGATTGGTGTTGCTGGTATCTGTAACGGTGGTGGTGGTGCTTCCTCTGTTGTTATCGAAAGGGTCTAGATTTGCTAACATTCAAATGACCATGGTCCAAATCTACTGGTCTTCACATAAAAAGTATTTACTTTAATTAATAAGTAAAATAAAGAGCATATGTATCTTACATCATATATTTAATTTGCTTTCGCTATTATTGAGTTTTATTATTTGGGTTAAACACGACTATAACTCCGCAATATATAAACATCGTAATAGGCAAATTTAGTGCATTGAAAGATGATTAGTTATTCAAGCCTTATTATTTTACAGGATTTCTTCTCGTAACCTATTCAGCTGCATAGAAATCATACGGTGAATGCAGAGATATGAATTTATTATACTCAGATTGTATCAGATTAACATAATAATTAAAGAATGTATATATTAAGTTTATAGTAAGAGCTAAATATCCCATTTCGAGAAATCTGGGATGTCAACATGAAAGAAAGGTAAATTAGTACCAGAAGCCGCCAGGACTTTGGTCTTTGATCCGATATTTCTTTGGCTTTCCAATGAATCCAGTTCATTGAAACCATCTTGTTCTGATTCCCTAAATCTTGATAGGTGGTAACTCGAGTGTCCAGCAATGATTGATTCATCACTGTATTCCTCATTTGTTGTACCAAAACCTAGATTTCTGAGACCACGTTTAATCCAAGGTGAATAAATACCAACGAAGTGGAATTCAACCTGTCTATCAGCGTATTTATTGACCGCTTTCCTTAAATCAGCAAGTGATTGCAAGGCTGTGGCATCTGTGTTTGCCACTTGACTGAAGTCCAAGCAGACCACTCTCAACAATGGTCTTTCATCCTTGTCATTCTTCTTGTAATGTTCGCCATCGTGAATGTGTTCGATTTCATTTTCATTTTCGAAAGTGTCTACATCAGTGACTTTTCTCTTGAAAACTGAAACAAATTTCTTAACATTGAAAAACTTCTTCAAGTCTGGAGCTTCCCATTCACCAGGGTCATTCCAAGGACGGTCCCATTTATGTCTATGCTGAATCAATTGACCTCTTCTAGTGACTCTCTTGATTTCATCAAAGATCAAGTCATAATGTCTTGAACAGTTGATATATGTATAACTGTCGCTTAGGCGGTACACTATGACGCCCGGTGGTGGTGGTGTTATACGCACACTTGGGTTTAGTTCTTTCGAGTAAGCGTGATCGAATGGAACCCATTTGGTGTAGTATCTAATATCAGATGAAGTCTGACCGTTTACAAGCTCACCATTAATGCTGCGAGTCTTGACACCCGCATTAAACTTCTTAAGGTCATTTGAAGAAGTACCTAATTTGTCTTCTGCGACAGAATTATCAAAGTAGATACCTTCATCATCGAATGATTCATTAGAGTTTTCAAAAGAGAAGTCGTCATCATCAACAATCTTTGGGTTAACAACTTCAGCAATCTCGATGCGACCCAAGAACTTACCTGCTGGGAAAGCGTTATTGTATAACAGAATAGCGCAAGACCAGCAAACAGCGAAGTAAATACCGTTTTCAATTGACGAGAACACAGTGATGAACACAGTGGTGATGAAGCCGATGAAGTCGAAGACGTTCATCTTCCACAAGCTCCATGTTGTATGATAAGATGCAATCAAGTCAAACACAGCATGGATGATAACTGCAGACAGCGTGGCCTTTGGGATGTAGAAGAAAGCGCCAGTTAGACAGTAGATAGCTAACAAAACACAAGCTGCACTGAAAATACCAGAAAGTGGTGTCATGACGTTACATTTAGCCTTTAGCGCGGATCTAGAAAAGGAACCGGTAGCTGGATAAGCGTTGAAGAAAGTTCCTAGCAAGTTACTAACACCGATGGCGATAATTTCTTGGTTTGGATTAATCTTGTAATCGTTGACTCTACCGAAAGACTTAGAGATGGCTATGTGTTCTAGCAAAAGGACAATGATAGAGGATGGGATTTCAGCAGCAATGTTGTTTAGGATACCGTGTGGCAACTTCATGACACCGGTGTGTCTCAAACCCTTAGGCACTGTGCCTAGCACAGAAATTCTTCTCTTATCCTTTGCCACGCCTTTAGTGATACCGTAAGATACAGCAGTGAACAAAATAATGATAATACCATTTCTTGAAGCTTGCAAGTAAAAGTAGAATGCCTTCCAGTACTTGTTGGCACGAGGTCTAGAGTTAGCTGGGAAGTAACGGTCAGTCAACTTAGGACCCATTGAGTTACACCACCATTTCCAGAAGAACAATGTGAACAGAGGAATCAAACCAAAAGCGGCGTCCAATTTCGTGTCTGGCAAATGTTTCAAGGAGTCAATGACGACGTGGTAGGTGGATCTTCTTGTGTTGACTTTCTTACTGTAACCCATTAAACCAGGAATCTGACCCCAGATGATATTGAAAGCGGAACCAGTCATGAAACCGGCAACAGCATTTAGGGATATCAACTCAACTAGGAAACCGAGACGTAAAAGACCTACACCTGTGGCAATGATACCACAAATGAAGGCCAACACGGTGGCAATGATGGGGCCTGTAATACTTGGGTCCAAGTCAGGATGCTTTTCCTTGACTCTAGCGATAACTTTAGCAGTTTGCAATGACATAACAGCGACGGGACCAATACAGACATCCTTAGAAGTTGCGAAAAAGGAGTAAACCAAAGCACCGATGAAAGAGGAGTACAAACCGTACTCTGGAGGCAAAGTAGCGATCTGCGCATATGACATGGATTGCGGTACCAGAACGGTACCAACGGTGATACCTGCGATCAAGTCAGAAAGGAACCATTTTGGATTATAGAAAGGCAACCAGTTGACCACGGGGAACAACGACCTTATGTAATCAACTACACTAGCCCAAGTGAAATAATCTCTCAAGTTGGTGTCGTAGTAATCCTTTAACGTGATGGTGTCTTCCTCGTAACTGGGAATACTGTAACTCTTCTTACCATAGGTGCTATTGTCAGTTATCGACCTTTCAAAATATTTCTTAGTGTCTAGCCCTTTCTCTATATCAGCACCAGCATTAGTGTTAGAAGGGCGTTCGTTATTCTTGAATTGGTTGTATTCCAACTCAAGATTATCTAGTTCCTCCATTGGTGTCTTGAATTTAGTTTATTTTATTTTTTTCTATTGGATTCCAAGTACTATTCCTACATCGAGAATACGATCATACCTTTGCAAGTTCTTTTTATATTTTGCAAAAGTTTCATGGGAAATTGAATGGAAATAGTTATTACGGGATGCACCTTTTAGCTAAGAGCTATCTACCCAGAACAGGCCGCAGAGGAAAGGAAATCAATCTTTGTTCTGCACACAGCTACCACAGAGATTAGCACAACAACCTGCCCTGCCCACCACCACCACCAGAAGTTCATTGAAGCCATTGCATTACAAAAGTCCAATGCCCTAAGAGCAAAGTGATTTCCCACACAACACATTCTCTTCAACAATTGACGCTGTTGGAATCATCCCCCACCACCACCGTTTTCTTTACTCTGTATCCCTGTGCGTTGGTGTAACTGCAGTTGAGCTTTTGCAGTACAAGAAAGTTTCAAAAGAAACATGCTAGAAAAAAATCACACGTGACTCAACTACCCTCCTCGCCATGGCATGTGTGAATCTGCGTGTGACTCAGAAAATGGGAGATTTGAGCCACAGTTTTCTATTTCGTCTTTTTCCACCACCTTAAAAGCACAGCGATATGGATGGCTTTGGAGAGACGTTATCAGTGATTGGTATCTCCACGTGTTCTTTTCCCCCCTACCCTGGTGTTGTTGTCGTGCAGTAGTATTTTAATGGTTGCGCGTGATTACTTCGTTATAATGTATACTATGTTCCTGCCCGTTGCGGGTCTCACTTTCTTGGGCGTTTTCTAGTGCGATACTAGCTGCGATACCCGGCTGTACTGCAGCTGTGCTTCTGCTTCTGTGTCTGTGTACGTGTACGTATAGGTGTACGCTCTCTGCAGTAGCTGCAGGTACGCGCGCGCAATGGATCTGTCTGTCCTAGATGTGCCTAGAGTGCGCTTCAGTGTCCGGACCAGTTCGTCGGCGTGGGGTCGGGACAGCGGCGGGTGTTGCACCGCCAGCAGCCGCCACAGCGAGTGCACGTCGCTGCGCACTCTGTTCTTGAACTTCGCCTCTGACTCCAGCGCTCCCAGCGGCGTCAGCTCCCGGATTGTCAACGGACACTGCCGGAACGAGATCTCGCTGCCGTTGGTGTTGCCGTTGGTGCTGCCATTGGTGGTGGGTGTTGCCATCTGCACTTCGCACCGCAGTAGCCGCCGTCTCTTCAGGCGCTTATCGTCAAGCAGCCGCTGCTGCACGAGCCACTCATGCTGCTCGAACATCTGCCTCAGCGTCTTGTTGTGTGGGATTCGTACCGCCATCCCCTTGCCCAGCTCCATCGCGTCCAGGATCTGCCGCTCAGTGACAGTAGGCCAGCTGGCCACCAGCGCGTGGTACTCAGACTGGTACTGCCGCAGGTGCGCGGGTAGCTCGTTCATCGGCGCTAAAACGTGGTGCACATGCGTCACAAGCCTCAGCAGGTTGCGCGTGCTCAGCCGCTCATGGCAGTGGCTCACATGCACTGCAAACTGGTAGTACACGTCGCGCTGCCGGACCATCCGGTCCCAGCACCGCGCTACTATCTCATGGCTCAGCGGCAGCAGCGGCAGCCCTCGGAACACTTCTAACACCCGCCCGCTCATCCAAGCTATGAAATACACTATACCCCAGCTCTCTCAACTACTTCCGCCCTCCTCCCCTCCTCCAACTATGAAGGCTATCGCATCTCTTTAAATTCTATGCTTCTGTTAATATCATGGTGTACGTAACACCTGCAACTGGCTTCCCCCCCCGGAGCGATGAGGGTTTCGGGAAAAGGGACAATGCCGTGGGGGACACAAATCACGGGAAAGGGTGAGCAAAACACAAACAAAAGAAAGCTGTTGTACAATATTTGGCGTCTAAGAGGGCTTGCCATAAAGAGACCAAACGTAGGGCGATGGGTGCAGTCGAGACGGATAAGGAGAACAACGTGGTCGGGACGCTGAGGGAGAAAGGCCCAGCGACGCCCACGCAGCTGCTGAAGCGCACGCGGTCGACGCTGCTGCCCAAGAAGAACGGGCAGCGCCAGCCGCTTGCCAGCAAGGACAAGAACTACAACAGGTCGTCGAGCTACTTGTCGCTGAAGCGGAACAGCAACCAGAAGAAGCTGAAGCCCGCTGTGACGCGTGCGGGCAGCACAGCGAACAACGCAAACAGGAGAGTTACTAGTCTGATATTGAAAGATATCGCTAGTGGAGACGAGAAGGAGAGCGCCAGCGAAAGTGACAGCGAGGACGACGAGGAGAGCAACCCGCTGGCATTGAAGATCAAACAGGCGCTGACACATAGCATTGCCAGCGCTGAGGGTAAAACTGGTCTTCTCAACGGGAAAAGTGGGTTGCGTAAAATATTCAACGACCGTGACCTAGACAGAGAAATAGAAGTTGCCTCAGTGAGAGAGCCAGAAAAACCTTACGAACCAGAAGGGTACGAACCACTAGACGACTCCGACCTGGAGAAACTTAAACTGAAAAACGCCATAAACAGACCCACTTTCATAATGGATTCTCCACGCGCTATTTCAATAGTCGGTGATGACTCTCCTCAGTTGCTACCGCTTGATCTAGAGGAAAGTAAGCTGGAAGAAGGTGTGCTAAATGATAAGAATACAACAGACGAGGTCATTACCCGAGCAAACACACAAGCAAAAAATGCAAACATTACTGAGAGCATTGACGATTGCTCCTCTGTCGAAATTGACAGTATATACGATGGAAGGGGCCTGGACGAACAAGAGTTACTTGATCTGCTGGATTAGATCATCTAACGCGATACTCTCATATTTTTTGTACTATACACAAATTTCAATTCTTGCATCTGGTTACATCTTTGCCTTCTCTTCAAATTTAGACTCACATCTCACATTTACAAAATAATTGTTTTTTGCTTTACGTTTGCTGTTTTATAAACTAGTTCATTTTTGTATGCATTCATATTATATATATATACATGATATCTTAATATACTAAATAGTGTTACTATTAATGAACATGATTAATTTACTATGTACAAAAAAACATGCAGTACCTTTTTCAAGGCGTTCTCTATTGCTGAGAACAGTTGGGTGTCCAAAATGGACTTTCACCCTTGTCATTAGTATTATCATACGTGTCTTGGAATTTTGGTAGCTCATCACAGTTTGGAATTTCTTTAACGATCTCACTAACGTTAATGTTTTCAACGTTCAGAATACTCTCACCGGAAGTACTAGATTCACGTTTATTTATTGTGGAGGGAATAATGTTTCGAACAGCTCGATAATCGTTTACTTCCATGGTCCAGTTATCTGGTGGGAAAACAATGTCAACAATGACATAAAGATCACCGTTTTTTAGAAGCGTATTATTGTCATTGGCGTCTTCCCTGCGAGGCCAACCCTCGTTCTGAATTCTGACAATATCGTTTGGTCTGATGACTTTGCCTCTCTTGGAGCTCCATTTGAGTACTCTGCCGTCATAAGTTTCCATCAGCGGCTTTTCATCAAAGCCGCAGATGGCATCAGCCAAGTCTATCTGTTTCTTGATAATAAGGTCATAGCCATTTCTGACTATATCATATTGGGGCTCTTTGACCTCTTGTATCTTGATGACCAGGTCACCAACCTCAGTGCTCTCAAGGTCTTCATCAGCTTCGCCCTTCAATACGATTTTATCACCATCCAGTGTACCTTTCTTGATGTTAATAGTGACGACTTTGTTCTCCTCAACCATACCGACGGTGCCACTGGTGATACAGTCGGGACACTTGTTCTTTTCGCTCTTGGGCAGGTTCCTCAGCTTACCTTTACCGCCACACTGCCTACACTCGATCAGTTCGGTGGTCACGAACCCAGGGGCCAACTGCCGCAGTCTCTGCCTCACACCTTGTCCCTCACAGCCCTCACATACGTTCCAGAAGAACTTGGCGGTCTTCTTCTTCACGATAGATGCGTGGCTCTTCCAGCCCGTCCCGTCACACCGCTGGCACTTCTTCTTCCTCTTCAAGTTGAAATTAACCTTCTTTCCCCGGTAAAGCTCGCTTGTTTTGACTTTCAAGTCAATCTCGATATCATCCGACTTGTAACGTCTAGCGCCACGCCCCGAGTCAAAGCCAGAGCGATGGCCAGGGTGCGAGCCACCATTAAACCCAGAGAAGAAATTCATGAAGTCATCATCGCCATAGGGCTGCGCTTCAAACGCCAGCTTCTGGTCGTACTCAGCCCGCAGCGAAGCATCACTAAGCACCTGGTAAGCAGCGGTAACCTCTTTGAAATCAACATCCGGCAGATCATCGCTGCTATCTTCGCCACCTTCATTCCCTCGCGCCTTGTCGGGATGGTGCCTCAGTGCCAGCTTCCTATACGCCCGCTTGATCTCGTCCTGACTCGCGTCCTGCCCCACACCAAGCAACCCGTAATAGTCCATCACCGGTTCCGTGCTCTCTTTGTCCCACCTGCAAAGACATAGGGCATCGCAACCGCATCGCAAGTTATAATCTCTAATTTCAGCTTTATTTTTTCACCTCGAGAGAGCCCCCCCTTCGGAAAATTACGTCATTTGATGGCAGACCCCCCCCTTCAGCAACACCCCCGCAATAAAGGGTCCTCTTCCCAACATCCCTCAATTCCTGGCATCATGGTAGTTACAACTAACATACACTCGACTGTTATCGCATGTCACAAGTTATAGCCCCCCTCTATGACGTATCCATTGTTTTCTAGTTCAGGGATACAAGGCTGTAAAATCCTTAACCCAGCTCAGTTGCACTACACACAACGGCACAATTGCACAAACTGCACAAGCTGTACAACTGCACATCTGCACAACCAAGTGTTTACCATATGGTTGTAAGGTTGCAATGCAAAGGTCATCCAATCCAATACTTTGATGTGTGACTGAACTTATATTCCCACCCCCCCCTCTCGCGTCCGGGTGATAAAAATTTGTTCTCGCCAGAAATAAAATGGCTCACAATAAATAGTTTTAAAGGTTCCTATATATAAGACGTTGCAATTGCCAAGACACCAAGGATTTGCGCGCTAAAAAGATATTCACCATGTTACGTAGTACTACATCGAAATCACTATCGAAAATGCCACATGCTATACCACCACAATGCCGTCGTTCTCACTCGAGTTCGATATTCCAGACTAAGAAGAGGCTCGCCCACTTGGAGTCCGATAGACCTTACCTGACCCACCTGCCTCGCTCCATGAACTCAAGTCCCAACTTGAGATTCCACTCCTCTGCTTCGTCTTCCTCGCTGAGGTCGTCTTTCCTAAACACGGAAATACACCACCATAGCCACAACAACCTGCCTTTCTTGCCTGCCGAGCAAGCTACTTTGAAAGACGTGAACGAGTGCGTCCTGAACGCCAAGTACGCTGTGCGCGGTGCCATCCCTATGCGTGCCGAGGAGCTGAAAACACAGCTGATGGAAAACCCGCACTCTTTGCCCTTCAACGACATTATTAACGCCAACATCGGTAACCCACAGCAGCTGAAACAGAAGCCACTGAGCTTCTACAGACAGGTATTGTCCCTGCTGCAGTACCCTGAGCTGATCCCCACGCTGGAGAACAATCCCCAGACCATGATCAAGCAAGACGCCATCGACAGAGCCAAGAGGCTCCTGGACGACATTGGCGGGTCCGTCGGTGCTTACTCCTCTTCACAGGGTGTCCTCGGCATCAGGAAAACCGTCGCTGACTTCATCACAAACAGGGACGACGGTATCATTGCTTACCCCGAAGACATATTCTTGACCGCGGGTGCTTCTAGCGCCGTAGACTACTTGCTGTCCATCTTCTGCAGAGGCGAGGAGACAGGTGTGCTGATCCCAATCCCACAGTATCCACTTTACACAGCCACTCTGGCCCTGCAAAACTCTCACGCCCTGCCATACTACCTGAACGAAGAAACAGGCTGGTCCACCGACCCTGAGGAACTAGAGTCCATCATCTTAGACTCCATCGAGAACAACATCAAACCAAGCGTTCTTGTAGTTATCAACCCAGGTAACCCTACAGGTGCCGTGCTATCCGAAGAGGCTATCGAACAGATATTCACATTGGCCGCCAAGTACGGTATAATCGTCATCGCAGATGAAGTCTACCAGGAAAACGTCTTCGAAGACGTAAAGTTCCATTCAATGAAGAAAGTCTTGAGACAACTGCAAATGAAACAACCAGGCCTCTACGACAACGTCCAATTGGCCTCCTTACATTCCACCTCTAAGGGTGTCTCCGGTGAGTGTGGCCAAAGAGGTGGTTACATGGAACTAGTTGGTTTCACTCACGATATCAGACAAGTAGTCCTAAAATTGGCTTCTATCTCCTTGTGTCCAGTGGTGACAGGTCAAGCCCTTGTTGATTTAATGGTTTGTCCTCCTCAGAAGGGCGAAGAATCTTACGAACAGGATCAAGAAGAACGTAGAAACATTCACAAGGAATTGCACAAGAGAGCTACTCTATTGCACGACGCTTTTGTCAAATTAGATGGTATCTCTTGTCAAAAGCCACAAGGTGCCATGTACTTGTTCCCAAAACTTGAGCTACCTTACAAGGCTATCCAAGAGGCCCTTCACCAGGACATGAGCCCAGATGAATTTTATTGTAAGTCATTGTTGGAGAAGACTGGTATCTGTACCGTGCCTGGTTCCGGTTTTGGCCAGGAGCCAGGTACTTACCATTTGAGAACTACTTTCTTGGCTCCAGGAACCAAATGGATCGAAGACTGGGTTGATTTCCACCAAGAGTTCTACAACAAGTTTAAGAACTGAGGTAAATCGAAATGATATGTCACTTTAGGAATCTTTTTGTTAACATTCAAAGTTTACTTATCGCGGATTTTATTCTAGATGAATTTCATATTTTCCCTCCCTTATCAAAATATTGCATATTTGTGTCAGTAACACATTATTTTTCTATCCATTTCAATTCATCCACTATTATACTTTTTTTCCCGGCATTCCTATTCATAGTTATCTACATTTGTTGCATTCAATGCCACTCATTTGCAGGTCGATGCTACTTTTGCTACAATATCATCAAAAAGGAAGATTAACAATTTTTGGTTCACTTTGACTTTATTAGTCAAAAATAAATTCACACTGTATTATGAAACTGTTAGTATGCATTCCTGAAAAATTTTAATGCAAATAATTATGGCACATTAATTTAATGGACACTCCTTTATCTTTATCTAGTCATGCTGATAGTGTTTTTATTTATGAAATTATGTTATGTAAGTGTAATTGTATATTTAATTTAGATGCAATCATTCAAGAACATTCTATACACATCATTGATTAATGATAGATTGACTAAGAGTTCCTTTCACCATGGTTGCGAATCGAAACAACTAGTTTTCCTTTTTATCATCTAGAATTGACGTCCTTTCGACTATTGGTTGGGATGGAATAGAGGAAATCACCGAAATCAACCAGTATGGCAGCCATCCAAGACAGATGATGAACCACGTCCAGCAGCCAAGGGTGTCCCAACTAGTGATCATCCTGTTATATATAACCGAAAAACTTCCATTGAAGTCAGTATCCATAGTGGCAGTGAACAACCAGAGTGAAATGAATGGGTTTGTTATGAATAGAATAAATGTATTCTTCAAAATAGATTTCCTTGACTCGTCTGCAATTGTCTTTGTGCTAATGACAGCTAGTTTTGTTAATGGGAATGCTAAGAGACCTATCATAAAGGTAAGTGCAAAATTCACCATCAATAGGGATGTAAGTATCAAACTGTAGTATATGCTTCCAATACTCTTCAGGCGATATGCAACTGCTTGGTTTATAACGTGTATATTTTTCTTTGACATGACCAGTGGTAAAAAAGTTAAGGCAACGCTACCGAATAATAGTGATTCTACAATGGGCAACATAATCAAAACTCTAGAAATCAAAAAGGAAACAAAAACTGACGCCGACAAAATAATGAAAGGTACCAAAGTATTAACAGATGAAAAAGGAATTGATAAGTAATCATTGTTAATCGCACTATCTAACGAGATAACTGCAAATGCGACTGATATAATAACCGCACTTGGAAGGTAATTACTGATTGAAACGAAGTTTCTAGGAGCTAACAACAGATAGAAGAAATAAGATTGATGGAATTTTTCCAACAAGTTATTCACTGACCTAAACATTGCTTCAGGAATTCTGCCAAAACAAGTAATATCTAATTGGCCTTCATTGCCATGGGCTCTTAGAGTAACTGACTGTATTCTCCATCCACTGAACGCTTCGTTACCATGTATGCGTTTAACACCAGAAAGGGCCCAATTCTTAATTCCCACAAACATTATTTTTAATCTTGCAAAATAATCGGTATTATACATTTCATTTGGTGGTAATCCATGTAAAGAGACCTTCATACCCTCATGCTCAGTAATAGATACAGCTATGTTTACCAAATCGAGATTAGGTAGTTCACCATTTAGACCGTCATATGAAATCTCTACGTATTCAAAGAAGTCACTCTTGCTTGGATAGTCTAAAACTACTGCAGCTTCTATTGAACCAGCTGTCAAATCTAGCGAGGTATGATAAGCATCAACCCATGCCCTTAAAGCCGCTCCTGAGTCCTCACTGAATACCACAATAATGTTTTTGGACCAAACGGGCCAACGTTTAAAGAATTGAGATAGTGATACACCTAACGCGGCACCTCCAAGATTAAATTGGTCATCAACATTTTTCCATGGAATGGCAAGGACCATAGCCTCTGTACCATCACCTCTAGAGGCGTGCAGAACACCGTACAGTGTCTTCCCCCATTTTTCATGTTCATATAGCGCAGTCTTTAACCCCTGTTCTTGTAGCCATTCAGCAACTACTTCATTACGCTGATCGACACTACTATGCTCCAGCGTTTCTATCTGACTTCTGTAGCCTCTTAGTATATTCCACTCTGTTTCCCTGAAATAACTGTAGGCCTGAGACGGCATCAATGCATTCTCAGATATGTATGTTCTTCTGTATTGCCCATCCAGCGGAAGTATGGCCAGCAGTACTATCGCAACCACCACCAAAAGGTTCGATACCCGAGGCAATTGCTGTAGCAACTTCGTGATGGCTCCTCTTTCCGAGAGTCGTCTGTATACCTTCTGGAGCAACGACATAATTGTAAAACTTCAGGACAACTCGCTGTCTAAATTATTGCAATAGTCCAATTGTGGGCACACGAAAGGTTACTTGATATATTCAACAATTCCGGGCTTCTGAGGGTAAAACGATTGACAAGATCTTGGCTTTATAGAATTAGAGTTTTCATGATCTCAAATCCGTCTGAAAAAATGGCAGAAAACTTGTTTGCGCGAAGCTGACCTTGGTGGGATAATCATAATAAGAAACTCATCGGTCGCCTATTTCAACAATATCGAAGGCTAAAACCATTCACAAAACACCAAGAAATACAAATCAGTAAGCTGGTGTTGGTACTTAATATTGCTATAAACTGGTGTCAGTGCAGCGCTACTATAATTGATCTGAGAATTCCTCTTTTGATCACAATTCTACCCTCTGTCGGTGTTATAAATATTGGAGTAAAATAACTTAGCAGTGAACTGTTGTAGGTAATACCAAGTTATCATACTTGTCTTCGAGGAATAATTCTTCAGAACACTTGTTGTTGAGATTGTAGAAGGCAAGATAACACGAGGAATATGAGTTACTTCCAATCTTCAGCGGGGTTTAGAGGTGAATCTTTGGGATTCAAGAGGAATTTCAGCTGGGTATTTCTGGTGGATTGGATTCTGACAGTTATTCTTACCCTTGCAACACTATTCTACTTATCTAGAGCGTTTGCCTATGGGGTTACTTTCATATTAGAGTGGCTTTTGTGGAAGCAAGCGAAGGTAAAAGTTAGCATAGGAGCACTGAGAATCTCTCTACTAGCAGGAAGAGTATTTTTCAAGAACTTAACAATCATTGATAAAGACAGAACAATAACGATTCTGGAAGGAAGCATTACATGGCGATATTGGCTCATAAGAACTAGGAAATCTGAGTACCGTGTTGCCCAAATGGCACACGCTTCTGCTGGTAGCTCCGGTAATTCAGAAGATGATACGAAGTTTGACATCGCTAACTATATGGAGAAACAACTTAAACTGCCGTGCCGATTCTTATTTGAATGTGAAGGGTTTGAAATGTTCATCTATAATCGCACTTACGCCTACGATAATATTGTTAATGTATTATCGAAAGTTGAAAGAGAGAAATTTGAAAAGTTTATGGCTGAAAACGATTTTCTAGATCCATCAAGTGATGGTAGCAGTGACGATAAAATTGAGGAAACTTCTTCAGCTACTAATTCTACAGATGAAGAAACTATAGCAAATGATCGAACCTTTCAGAATGATACTAGAAAAACCTTACCAAGATACTTAGAGGCTCTGCCCATTGAGGCTTTATTGAACAAAGGTTCTATTTTGATTGGTAACAAATTCACTCCATGTGTGCTAATACTAAGTTTTGAAAGTGCTGTTGCCCTTCAAGATGTTGGAGAAGCTCCATCAAAACTTGATCTCTATAGAATGAAATATGAGGTAAGATTAAAGAATCTTGAAATTATGATGAAACAAAACATAGATTATGACAATGAAAAATCCAGGAATTTTGAATTTGATAAGGGAAAATTGTCGAGATTATGGCATCGTTTCACCAGGATATTCAAGTTAGTCCCATTTCCTTTCAAATCCAATAGAAGAAAAGAACAACCACATGATAACTTTATGCAGAAATGGAAAGGTTTATCAATGTATAGAAACGATATGTTTGGAGAATTTGATGAGTTTGATGATATAGAATTTGACATATCAAGCCATGAATATGCAAAGTTTACCAGTTTGCTGAAAAGTCCGCGAGTTACAATTCATCATGATTATGATATGCCTGGGTGGGTGCCGCATGGTGCGCATCCCCCATCATCCTATGCCGACGGTCCGGATGTCGGCAATAATATGGCACCCCCACAATATATTTTCGAGATAAACATATTTGGGGGTACGGTATGTTATGGTCCATGGGCTCAAAGACAAACAAATCATTTACAAAGTTTATTATCACCCTCCGTTTCAAGAACTGCAAAACCAATCAAGAAGTTAAAACCTGGCTCCAAAAGAATATATACGGTACTTAAATTAACAATCAACGCTATGGAGGATGTTACCTGGAGAATCCCAACAAGAGAAAGCAGTAAAGATGTTGAGTTTTTAATGCATTATAAAGAAACAAACGATGACTATAGACCATTCGGTTGGATAGACATAAAAGTATCTAGAGACAGCTGTGGTATATTTGATCTTGCTATGTGTCCCACATCCAAAGGTTTTAAAAATACAATTGATGTACAATTGGTAGACACTGAAATTCGGTCTAGTGTCAACCATGATATTTTTCTTAAAAGCAAATCCTTTAGCTTCAATTGTGATATCGGCTACCCATTAGGCTGGAATGCTGAAGCTAATTGGACCATTATTATGGATTCAAATCAGTTAGAATTGTTTCTTCTACGGGAGCACGTCACTCTAATCGCTGATACATTAACAGATTTTTCATCTGGAGAGCCTGTACCGTATGAGCTTTTCAGACCATTTGTATATCATATCAAATGGAACATGAAAGGGTATTCTTTCTACTTGAATGTCAATGACCATAATATTGTCAATAATCCTCTGGATTTCAATGAGAATTGCTACTTATCCATTCATGGTGATGATTTGACAATGAACGTTATGGTACCAAAGAAAACTATCACATCACGTTTTACTAATATGACTTACGACATTTACACTCCAATGTTTCGTTTGCTGTTAAATACACCTCCATGGAATACGCTAAATGAATTCATGAGAAATAAAGAAGTTGGTAGATCACATGATTTCAGATTAAAGGGTTCTTACCTTATTTATTCCGAGCTTGATATTGACAATGTTGATACATTAACAGTTGAATGCTCAAGTCGTGGTACTGCACTGCACATATACGGATTTGTTATTCGATACTTGATTAATGTCAAAATGAATTATTTTGGAGAGTTTTTTCATTTTGTAACATCTGAAGAGTATACAGGCAATACAAGACCTACTGATTTGGAAAATATTATTTCAGAAGACAGAAGAGATGACGATTTCTCCAGCTATGAGTCTGTATCACGAATATCATCTAATAGCTCTGATAAGAACCCCAAAGCCAAGAAAAAACATAGTTTAAAAAAATCGGATCTTAAGCGTACATCAAACGAAACAGATATTTGGTTTACATTCTCCGTTTGGGACGGTGCTTTAATTCTACCGGAAACGATTTATAATGCAGATCCATGTATTGCTCTACATTTTGCCGAGCTCATTGTTGATCTTAGAAGCTGCAACTATTATATGGATATTTTAGCAACCGCCTGTGATATAAACCTGAAAAGATACGTTGGCAAGCGTGCCGATGAAATATATGAATATGTTCATTTGAATAATGGTAAAGATCACGAAGTACATGGAACACTTTCTGATATTTATATTCATGGTCACAGAATGTATGGACTCCCACCGACAGAGCCTACATATTTCTGTCAATGGGATATGGACTTCGGCCACTTGAACATTGATTCCAACATGTTTTTCTTGCAAGGTTTGTTTGGTGCCTTTTATAAAATCGGTTTTGGCTACAAAGATCTTGAAAATATACTTCTATATGAAACGGAAATTATTGATGATATGACGTCACTTACAATATTCATTAATACAATAGATATTAGGTTGAATGATGTTGATACTACGGCACATGCTGACTTGAAACTGGAAAGATTTTGTTTTACATTGATTGATTTTGAAAATGAAAGATATTCCAAAAGAATGGACATAAAAATTCCTTCCCTCGAATTTAACATTTTTTCAAATGAAGACAATGATTTGAGTCTATTGAATTTTAAAGTTGATATGAACTTTACAAACTTTGTTCAGAATCAAGATTTCAATAAACACCGCAAAATTCAAAGAGACTATATTGTATTGAATGATGCTCCATATCATAGATGTGCATTTTTATTACCAGAATCATATCAAAAATCTCGTATTTATAATGAGTTATTTGGCGCTATTGCCCCATCATCTTCTTTGCCACCGCTTCCTATTCCATTAACAGCTGACACTATAGAGTATGTTTTGGAAGATTTGCTGGAAGACTATATGGGCTTGTTCGAAGGAAACTATGATATAAAAGAAAGTAGTGTTGAAAATTTAGAACTTTCTGCTATCGAGGCTACCAGGGCAATAACTGGTATCGGGGCTGAAAGAACTCATTCAAATCCAATTACTTTATCCGATTATGCTGTTGAATCTGATAACTACGTTGTAAAAGTTGAATCAATAGTAATTGATATAAACCCAGCATTATACACTACAATCGAGAAATTACTAAAACACATTTATGACCAAGATGCAGTACAAATTATTGATGGCATTGAGATTGGTATTGTCAAAAGACTAAGTAGTATACACGATGGTGTGACAACGATGACTAATGTTAAGGTTCAGATTAAGCATTTCAATTTGTTCTGGGGGGAGAAGGAGAGTGACAACGTTTCAATGTTTTTCGACAAGATGGACTTTGCTTTGACAGAAAAAACATTGGAACAAAACTCCGAAAAAAATTTACTAGAGATGACGGTCTTGGCGAAAATTAAGGCTGTCAGATTGACAGTTGTGCAGCAACCAGGATTAATTCCGACTCAGGAAAGACCGCCAGCAATAACAGTTGGCGTGGAAGGATTTGAATTCTGGTCCACTGCTATTGAAAAGCAGGTCAACTCCATTAGCGTATCTAGTGCAGATATCACGGTTGATGACGCTCAAGTTGAATGGTTTTTCAAATACATTGTTAGACAAAAGTATTTTTTTCTGGATATGTTGCAGTCTTACAACAGAATACAGAATAATAGAATAGAGTCACAAAAAGAACTTATTTCAAGATTAACAGCCGCTAGTGAGTATTATCAAATTAGTCATGATCCTTATGTCATTACAAAGCCAGCTTTCATTATGAGACTTTCAAGAGGACACGTGAGGGAAAATAAAAGCTGGAAAATTATAACTCGTTTGCGGCATATTTTAACATATTTGCCCAAGGATTGGTACCTGAATGTTGGCCAACCTTTAAGAGATAGAAAATTTGACCCATCACAGGATGCAAGAAGTATATTCATGTCAATTTTTTCCAATTGGAGAAGTTGGGAGTTCTCAGATGTTGCTAGGTCCTATATATATGGAAAATTATTTTTGAATGATCATGCAGAAAAGAAAAAGCAATCGTTACAGAAACTGTTCAAACTCAATATTGGTAACTTTTTCATGACAGTGTATAGTACAAATTACGATGTCGACCATAGTATTGTTGTTAGCAACGCAAAGCTACTCTTAGAGCTGACTCCATCGAGCACCGAACCTAAAGAAAACAGTTTGCAAAGAGAGGAACTAATAGATATAAGTGGTACAGTTGATGTTATAAAGGGTAAACTATCAACTAAATTATTGAAACTACAGAAACTTATTCCTATTTTAACTGAAGGGAGTGAGAAACAACCTGTTAAACCTCCTCAGGATACTATACCTAAACCATTCAAAATGAATGCTGCATTTATGGTGAATAGTTGTGACATACAATTAGTGATGGACGCAACAAAGTTAAATATGAATGTAAATGATGGTAGGATCAGTGTTTTGTGGGAGAACTTACAGGATTCAACTGCACAGGCTGGGTCTGTGGTATTGTTTTCGAAACATACCGAATTAGTACTAAAGCATATAAACTCTGTTCTCGCTGAGGGTCGTGTCTCTAATTTCTATGCGACATTTACAACTGATACATGGGCACAGCGGCCAACCTACTTAATCCATTCAAAATCATCTAGTATACATTTTAGAACCATGGCTAAAACCGAAAGATTAGTAGAAGCTATAAAGGATATAAAATTAAAGATAGACCAAATTAGCGAACAACTAGAGCTTGAAAGAAGACTAACTCAGCACCCTACTGTTTATGATCCCAATAAAAGTAACGTTATTGCTTCCTGCTTGTTTTCAAATGTTAGCATGGACATTATGCCTGTTTCTCCATTCGCATTAAAAAATTCAGCAAAACAAATTGATTTCTTCTACAACAAATTTGATTCTGACTCGTGGCTAATAAAATTGAAAGATACTGATTTTTTTTTAACTTCTGATCAAACTAAGGAGCAATATATGAGATTGTCCATGAAAAAACTTCAAATTCGTGTCAATGTTTCATCATCTAAACCAAAGTTAGTGGACATTAACCTTTCAACTAATTTAGTAAAACTAACCTTTTCTGAACCAAAAAATATTGTCTATAGTTTTCTGAAAGATGAACGTGTGGCATCAGAAAGTGTTCATTTGTTACAAACATTGAAACCATTATTTTCCATATCTGATGACAAGGAAAGCACACCCCAGTCATACCAGGAGAAAACAGAATACTTGTGGTCACTAGATTCCAGCATCGATTACTTTGGTATTCTTATCCCAATGACTTCTACTTATTACGTCATGGAATTTCATTCATACGTGAGTTCCATCTCCAACGCTAACGGTGCACCGTCAGGAAATTTAGACATCACGGGACACATGTCTGTTGAGAATATTCTTTTCCTCATTAAAGAAAGTTCTTTACCCGATGGTCTTTCAAAAGTAATCGACATTGCGGTGAATGTTTCAACATTACAGAGAGTTGATGACAATAGCCGGTCTATACAAGTCGAAAGCTCACATGCAAGAATATGTCTTTCACCCGATTCTTTACTACGTTTACTCTGGGGGTTTAATCAAGGACATAAATTATCAGAGCATTACCTCAAGTATCACTCTAAATCTTTGTGGCAATCGTTTGCAAAGAGCGATGATAAACAACAAGATACAAATTCAATTAAAAGTAATGAGACATCTTTTTTCTCGTCAATTAATTCTATCCACTTTCTATCGTACAATCTTTGTGTGGGTTGGCTATTTGAATATGAATTAGGACCTCCAAAGGGACTTATTACAGGATATAGTAGACTATTTTCAGCATATGAGAATTGTATGGGAAAACTTACAGTTATTGATTCTTATTTTGCTGCCGCGCAAGGTAATACCTCTTCTACTTTTTATCCTGAAACCAATGTGAAAGAACTATTCAATAGGTTCTACTTACCAAACATGCAGATTTTGTTTTGGTGGAAGGTTATTGAAGGAATGAAAGACGTTTACGTACGTTTCACTGGTGAGACCTTAGACGTTAAATACTTGTCAGATTTTATGTTAACGATAGAATCAACTCTTCATTCGATTAAAATGTTTCAAAAGTTGAAAAAAGAATTAATAGTGGAAACACCAAAGCGAGAAGTAGTACATATCAAAGAAGACAAGCCTGTTAATTCTTCTAACAATATTTTGAAAAATATAAAGTCCGTTAATTGCCATTTTAAATATGATGGTGGTACTTACAGTGTCTTTAATATATCAGATGGATCATTAAACCCAACACCTGCAATTGAAATTAAAAGTCCGGTAATATCTGTTGACGTATTATATAAACATGAAAAACAGAATACCAAGCATCATTCGATTAGATGTTTGGTTAATATCGATCCCACACATAATGTTCTCTATGCCACTTGCGCTCCGCTTGTCAAAAATTTTGTTGAAGATGTCAGAAGTATTTTCGGTAGATATGAATCCGAAAATAAACATTCTGAGACAACTCCTACTTCAGTACAAAACATCGATTATGAAAAATTATTAGAGGATTATGACCTAGCTATAACTGTGACTTCTGCAAAGCAGCAATTAAGTTTAAGCTGTGAACCAAAAGCAAAAGTTCAAGCTGATGTAGGTTTTGAAGCACTTACAGTATCAATGACTACAAACCCATTTGACATTGACGAGCCTTTGGCTTTTTCATTTTCAATCAAAGATACTAAAGCTTCCATAAAGCACTTATTCTCTCGTGAAACTAGCACTTCGTTTGGGGTCGGTTACCTAGATCTAACGCTGCTGTTTACGCACACGAATAGGATTAACACCTATGGAACAAGTTTGATATCAGATATTGATCTGTACTTCAATGTCAAACAACTACAGAATTTGTACCTATTTTTGGACATATGGCAATTGAGTGAGCTGCTCAACCCAGTAACATCCAGTCAAGAACAGGTTATTCGAAAAGACAAGAAGAAATCAGTTGATAAGCCCATTCATAATGAAAGCCAATTGCCTTGGTGCTTTACTTTGATTTTCACTAATGTAAAGGGTGACATCGATCTTGGACCATCTCTTGGATTAATCTCGTTACGGTTAAGTAGAACATGGTTGGCAACAGATCACTTCTCTGGAAAGAGGCAAATTTTACATGCGTTTGTGGATGACTTGCTTTTGATATCCGAGGGTAGATTAAGTGGTGTTGTCAATATAGATGGTGCAAGTTGGGTGTCTGAAGTTATATGGCTACAGGATTCTAAGCGTGACAATATTCCGCTTGTTGCGCTCTCACTAAATACTGATAAAATTGAAATTAAAGCAGCTTTTGATTATCATATGTTCTTAATTGGTACGGTTAATAACATTCTCTTCCAATTGCATAGCGAACGTGATATGGTAGGAGTTGCCCCCGATTTACTGAAAGTTTCATTTTCTTGCGAAGAGATCAAGCTCTGTTCAACAGCACTTGTTGCTGCCAATATCTTGGATATTTACAATACAATAATAAGAATGCGCCAGGACACCAAAATATCCTATATTGAAACTCTCAAGGATTCTAATATGGAAACAAATAAGCAAACTCTGGCTTATAGAGACATATTGAAATCCCTTCAGTTATTAAGAACCGATCTGACTGTCAGTATTTGCTCTTTACAACTTCAAATTTCTCCTATATCATTATTCGATGTTGAAGTTGTTGTCATAAATGTTGTAAGTGTGTCTGCTAGATCTGAAACCCATTCTGAGGCGAAATTAACTACATCTCTAAATATGGAAGTTTATGATGCAACATTATCTCTTTCAACAGCCAAGCAAGAGTTAGATGAAGATGCATTATCGAAGATTACTGTTGCTGATTACATGACTTATGCATCTAAGATTCGTGGCGGTACAATTATTGAGATACCGAGGATGGGTGTACAGATGACAACCTGGCAAGAAGAGAAAAGCGACATTTTAGAGTATTTGTACTCCTGTAAATTCCACGATAAGGTTGCTGTGAGATGGAACTTGGGCCCAGTTAACTTTATGAAGGAGATGTGGACTACACATGTGAAGGCTATTGCCGTTCGTAGGTCTCAAGTTTTAACTGGTTCATTTAATGTAAGTGAGAAGGATGTGGAAAAGCGAATTAAGGAAGAAGAGAACATAACAAAGTTAAATTATGTACCTGTTGAAGAACCTCAAATAGATATGCCACAGATCAAGGACCTTGGTGACGCCACCCCTCCTGTTGAGTGGTTTGGTGTTAATAGAAAAAGGTTTCCCGCATTCACACATCAAACAGCAGTTGTACCAGTTCAGAATTTGGTTTACCTTGCTCAAAAGCAATACGCGAAAACCCTTGGGAGATCTAAATAATCATAATATAGTACGTGTTTGAATAATTATTTCCTAGCTACATTTCAATTGGACATGAAATTATTTGCTGGTATGTAACTCTATTAATTTTATGAATAGTCTATGCCCTTCCTACCAGATCTTCATTAACTAGTGCCGCACTTTTTGTCATGTTTTCATGCTTGTATATGCCCACTAGTTGCTTAGTTAATTCAAACATATTATTTCTCAAAGAAATCACAATAAATTGCGCATTTTTTGTTCTTTCCTTTATGTAATTAGCAACAATAGAAACGTTTCTGAAGTCCAATGCAGCATCAATCTCATCCATAACATACAGTGGAGTTGGTTTATACTTGTGAAGGGCAAACACAAGAGCTAAAGAACTCAATGTTTTTTCACCACCTGATAGATTGCTTATATTCCTCCAACTTTTTTTGGGTGGCATTACACTAAAAGTGACACCTTCTGAAAAAGGATCTAGACTATCCACTAATTCCAACTCTGCGTTACCCCCGAGAGTAATCATTTGATACATTTCTTTCAGAGTCATAGATATGATCTTAAAACCTTCCATGAACTCATCATACCTTTTTCTTTTTATTCCTTCTAGTCGGTCTTTTACCGAGTCTCTAGATTGTACTGCGCTATTAAGATCATTCTTTCTTTTATTAAACTCCACAAACCTTAATGCATATTCCTCTAAAACATCAACATTTGCTTCTGAACTGGTTATAAAATCATCAAGACTCGTTATCAATAGTTCAACCTCTTGAGGATCTACCTTGGCAAGCTCAGATGCAGATAATACGGGGATTCCAGGATTGATGAAACCACCTTGTGAATCAATTTCCATTTTATTTGAATCTATATCATCATTTTCATCATTATGATTGAAGGATTGATTTTCACTAACTGCAGAGATTCCATCATCATCTGCGTTTATAACAGCAGATGTATTTTCAAGTTTAGGGTCAGATTTGTCAACCGAGGCATTTTCTTCAGTCATGATAGTGTTCAGCACTTGAGTAACATCTCTGATGGTCAGTTCAGATAAAAGATCATTATATCTTTTAATGCTCTTTTTTAGTGATGCTTCTGAAGCTTCTAGTTTTTCTAATTTATTGTTATATTCCAGTGAAATAGATTTGTAGTCGCTGACAACTTTCTGATGCGACTCAAGCTCATTATGCTTCATTTCGATCTCATGTTCTAATTTTACCTCATTTTCTTTCAGATTCTCTATTGATTCCTTAATGTCTAACAGTTTTGATTCTATCTCCTTTGATTCGATATCAGCATTTTCAGCATTCTTACTGAAATTTGTTAGTTCCTCATTAGCTTCTGTGAGTTCCTTATTAAACTTTTTCAGTAACGATTCTTTCTTGAGTTTGTTACTTTTTATCTTCTTCAATCTCCTGGAGTTTTCCGATATTTTATTTGTGATATCTGTGACCAAAAGGCTTTGATTTTTCAGTTCATCTCCGCCTAACTCAATAATCTTGTCTTTAATAGTCTTTATTTTATCTTTAGTAGATTTAGTTTGTACATCAATATCATCGAGCTTTGATTTCAGTTCCTTAAGCTTTGCCAATAATGTTATTGATGGATCATTTTGATTCTTCATAGACTCTAATTTTTTTCGTTTTTCTTCCAGAACGTTTATGTTCGAATTTATATCATTGTGTGCAGTTTCGATATCCATTTCTTTTTTTGAGACCAGATTGTCTATTTCTGGAGCTCTATCCCTGAGTCGTCTAAGTTCTTCTTCCATTTCATGATAGGCATCTAAAGCAGATTTATATTGGTTTTCTTTTTGATTTAGTTCATTTTCTATGGCCTGAACCTCTTCAGGAGAAAAAAAGGCACTACCCTTACTAGAAGATTTACTTAATTTCATTAATCCCTTGCTGACATTACGGCCACCACCTGTCATTGTACCAGAGAGATCAATAAGATTACCATCAAGTGTGACTACTCTATACCTTTTCTTCCCGTATGCAACTCGATTAGCTTGTTCCATATTTTGGCAAACCAAAGTGTCCCTTAAAACACTATAAAAAGCATTGTTGAACCTTTTTTCCTTCACAGTTATTAAATCAAATAATCTCTGACTTTGATCAGGTGTATCAATTCTGTTAGTGTTAAAAGTGTTTAATTTATCCAACAAAATAAAACGAGCATATCCTAATTTATTTTTTCTCAGGTATTCAATACATTGTTGGCCTGATTCTACCGTATCAACAACAAGATCATTTAACCTTGGGCAAGCTGTAGAAATAGCTACATCGTATTTTGGATCAATGACTGCTAAATCTCCGAGACGACCATGAAAGCCATTAAGTCTACCTGACTTTTGAAGTCTTAATAATGCCGAAAGAACCTTATTATTATTTTCTGTTGCAGAGTAGGTAGATCGTATTTCGATTGCTTTTTGTCTCAATGCTTCTACTTTTTCCCTGACGTTAGCTAAGGTAGCTTGTGCATTTTTGCATTCCCTTTCGCCTAATTCTCTCTCCTGGATAACTTTCGTTTTTTGTTCCAATAGACTTTTAATTTCTTGTTCTTGAACCTCAAGGTCTCTCTTTTGAGACAATATGGCATTTTCTAGACCAGCAATATCATTTTCTAGTCCTTTACGATTTTCTTCAATTATGGAAAGTTCAGATTCTGTAATTTTTATCTCTTTTTTTAATTGCTGTGATTGTTCATTCCAAGGTGAAAGTTCCTTTTCATACTCTGCAATCTGAATAGTCAAATGTTCTGTCTTTTCTCTCAATTTTAGTTTTATATTTTCGAGTTTTTCTTTTTCTATATCTAGATTTGTGGAAAGTACTGTAGTCCCCTCTGCTAGTGAACTTTGTTCCTCAATTATGGTCTGTATTTCTTGATCAGTACTATTTATTTTATCTTGCAGAATTTTACTTTGCTCTTCAAATTCTTTTCTTTTACTATCTAGGTTATTGACTATCTGCTCGTTCTCCACTTTTTTGTTTTCCAAAGTCCTCTTAGTTTTTGAGAGATTGACTTCCTCAGTGTGAACCTTTTCTAAATCTGCTTTTAAAACATTCAAAGATGCTGTGATGTCACTGATGTGGGAGTTAGCTTTCCGAAATTCATCTTCTTGTTTCGTTTGCTCTTGTTGTACGTTTGTTTTTTTATTTAATACATCATCAAGTTTTTTATTGTCCTGCATTAGGTTGTACTGATACAATTTAGACTTTTCTAAAACCAATTCCTTCTCTTTATTCAAAAATTGAAGGGCTTCCTCTTTACCGCTTTCCAATGAATTTTTTTCTCTCTCTACGATCGAGAATCTATTCTCTTTTTCAACACAGATTTCGTTCAGGGACTCTATTTCCATGCTTAGTTTTTCGATGCTTTCCTTATACTTTGATGTACCAATAATATCCTCCAAATATTCTAAGAGTCCATCGTCATTCTCTTTCTCTGCTTTTGCTTTCATTTGAGCAATATTTTCAACTTCACCTTGAAGAATTAAAAATCTTTTATGATCTAGATCAATACCTTCTTTTTTTAGTAAAGTAGTTACCTCTGTATAATTACTTTCTTTGCCGTTTACAAAATATTTCGAAGCGTTATTCTTGAATGCTTTTCTTGTGACGACTAGATTACCCTTCGTTTCATCAATAGTCGTTGAGCCATCATCCTTATCTATCACATATTTAAAATGCACTTCCACACTACAGGATTTCAAGTCTGGAAAAGTCTCAGATTTGTGTATCAGATCCGATAGCCTGTCCTGTCTCATCTTATTAGCTCTGAAACCAAATACAAACAGCATAGAATCGATGACATTAGATTTACCTGAACCGTTAGGTCCAACAATAGCTGAAAAACTGGTATGAAACGGTCCTATGACCTGCCTACCAGCGTATGATTTGAAATCATTCAAGACCAACTGATGTATGAATAGCCTTTCCTTTTTGACATCCAATTTTTTACTTTCGTATAGTTTTTGTAATTCTGCTCTTGAGTTCTTAATTGGTGATAGTTCAATCAATTTCAGCCTCCTCGTTGGAGATCTTCCAGGCGATCTTGGGGGTGATTGCGAGTAAGACTTGAAATCTCTTCCCCGGGCTGAACCCAGTGATTCCGGCGGCAGTAGGCTAGGTATCTGTAAGTTTTGTGATCCACCAGTGGGCAAGACGTTTCTGTTTTCAGATCCCAGTAAGTTTCTCGGCGTTATAGCCCTGGGACTCTGCTCGAACGTAACAGCTTTCGGCGTATGTATAACATCTTCCTCCTCATCTTCCTCTGTGACTTTCTGCCTCTTGCTAACGGGCCTATCAGACATAGTATTGAATGTCTGCCTGCACTTAATAGTATATTATCTGACTTTAATTAAAATCGGTGAGTATCGGCCTCCCTTTGTCAATAAAACTCAAAATAATTTAGCCGTTACCTTTCGGCTAATATAGTCCGCAATATTTCTGATCCACGAATATATGTCGCACCACTTCCAGCAATAGAACTGTCCACAGTTATGCCGCCAATCTATGTGTATAATCGAACAGTCGCTATTGATTCTTGTAAGCGACAGATCGGCACAGATCAATTATAGCGGGAGGCCCATCGGTGTTTACTATGTAAATACACCAATAATATGATGAGACACGAAAAGGAAGAGATCAATGCTCGTAGTATACGTATCAAATCACATGTTCTATATTTTGTAGACAATGATATTTAATGAAATCATGTGACTTTTATGGTATTTCTTTCTCTGGCTGTTAGACATATTTGAACTGAGATGGTTTTTTGCGGGTAGCTGGCCCTGTATTGCCAACAACTTCCCCATCAAATATGAACACACCTGGAAAGCAATCCACGTGAGAAGTTCCGGCTCTTTAACTCTCTTAGTTGCAAGCACATATAACCAAAAAAACACCCAGACATCACATTGTTCTCATTCTTCTTTTTCAGATTCGCCTTTCAGATATTTATCGTGAACAACGGATATGTATCTCGGTGTACGAACAAAAGGTATCATGACTTTATTTCTTCGTACGGGTAATTCTCCATTGTGTTTCTACTTGGGCAAATTGAGGAAATCGTTTTGGTTGAAGATCTGGCATGTGTGCAGTGATTCTTTAGCAGAAGTGGTATTGTTTGCCGCCGACATCATATTCTCTTCTCCCAGGTTAGCTGATCTTGGCGGCTAAAAGGCGTGGGAGAGTAATATAAAGTACTATCTTCTTCAGCAAGCTTTTTTCTGGTTAGCGTGCGAGTCTTCTTTAATATCTGTATTTGAACCACTTTTTTTTTGACTGATATTGAGTTTAGCGGCAACTTTCCAATAGCAACAACTAAAAGCTATGACTGCAGATCAGGCGATAGTGATAGACAATGGTTCCTATCAGGTGAAGTTTGGCTTGGCGAGCGAGGTGCGGCCGCGAGTGGCGCTGAATGCGCTGGCGAAGGACAAATATGGTGTGACGCATCTCTCTAACCAGGTCCAAAATATCAAGGACATTTCTTCTGTGGTGTTCCGGAGACCGCACGAGTTGGGACAGTTGACATCGTGGGAGTTGGAGAGTTGTATTTGGGACTACTGTTTGTACAATCCAGATGAGTTCGGTATCGATTGGCAAAGCTTGGAGAACAGGCATGTGGTGCTGTCCGAGACCTGTATGACACTGCCTGAGCTGAGTAAGAATACGGATCAGGTATTATTTGAAGAATACGAGGTCGATTCTCTGTACAAAGCACCAACAGCTGCATATATCCCTTTTTACACTACAAATGAGAATATAAAAACCATCTCTGGAAAATCTGATCATGGGGAGCTCGACATTGAAGAAAAAATTGAAGCTGGCAAGGAATACAACGACTTCAGCTTGGTGATAGACTCAGGTTTCAATTGTACATGGGTGATACCTATTGTTAAGGGTGTACCATACTATAAGGCAGTTAAGAAATTAGATGTTGGTGGTAGATTTCTAAATGGTCTACTCAAAGAGACAATATCATTCAGACATTACAATGTGATGGATGAAAGTATCTTAGTAAATAATATTAAAGAACAGTGCCTATATGTGGACCCTGTATCTTATTTTGAAGCATTTAAAGCAAAAGGCAAGAATAAGATCGATTTTGTTTTACCAGATTTTCAAACAAGTTTTCAAGGGTATGTACGAGATCCCAAGACAGCTCTTCCCGATAACGCTCAGATATTGACACTAACTGACGAACGTTTTTCAGTCCCTGAAGCATTTTTTCATCCAGAGATATCACAATCACTGAAGCCGGGTATTATTGAGACTGTCTTAGAAAGTATCTACATGCTACCTGAGTTATTGAGACCCTTGATGGCGAGTAATATTGTATGCATGGGAGGAAATTTTAACTTGCCTGGTTTCACTGATAGACTAGTGTCAGAACTTCAAAGGCAATTGCCCACTGATTGGGTTTGTAGGGCGAAAATATCATCAGGAGATAAATCGCTAACCGGATGGACAGCTATGGCTAAATTCGCTCATACAGATGCCTACAAAAAAGCACGAGTTACTAAAGAAGACTATTTTGAGCACGGCTTGGATTGGACAACTAAGGAACGGTTTGGTTATCAAAATTGGGTATGAAGAAATATTTTATTACCTAAAAGAAATATGAGAGTTGAGCGTAATATTCCTATCATTGCTATTGAGTTCTCACATGATAAGTCTTAAATTCTATTCGTATGGTATGATACACATTCTTTTATTTACCGTTTTCCTTTTTTGGTCATTTGATGACTTGCTCGAAAGCTGGAAAAAAGCGGAACACGAAAAATTAAGCAATTTAATGATGAGATAGAAGGTGGTTCAAGTTTTATAACCTGCAATCTTCCCGAAAGCTAATCTATTCAAACGCGTAAGTTATTGGTAGACATACATCATAAAACTATTAACCATTAAGAACAATTATAAAATCTAAAACTGCTATTTTTTGCTCTATTGTTAACCGGATTTTTAGACTCCATAATAGATCATAGCGGTTTAGGATTCACACATAGAAAGCTAGAATTCAATCTACAATAATATTTATCAAGCCAAAAGAAACTTGATTAAAACTCTAAAAGAGATATTGACCTAATATTACAGGACACTAAGCATACCTCATTTTCAGGAAAGACTTCCATGATTCTGCTATTCTTTTTTTATCTTATAGATATTATATCGGCAAGCCAGCTCTCGAATCTCCGAAGTTTACTAAATGCAGAAGAAATACATAGGCCTATGCTGAATTTCAGCTCGAGCCGAAATAATGAAATACAATTATTGGGGTCTATAGAAACTTTCAATTACTATAATTACCAAGGACAACAGAACTTTACTACTGCTTCTTCAAGTCAGAACGAATTAGAATTGATTTATTACTCAAATAATACATTATTACGTCTCGATGCTGTGCCGACAGATGTCGAAATGAGACATATAATCCCGTTTATGGATGATTGTTTTATTCTGAGTGGTATTGGGACCATCTCAGGCATAGAGCTTAGCCGACAGATTTTACTGAATTTAACACAATTGTCATACCAGCCAATTTTTGAAAAAGAACTTGGAATGGTTAAGAGTATATTTGTTGACAATGAAGTGGTTTATTTCGGAGGAGACATAACTTACAATAATAACGGTGTTAGCGGACGCAGTGTTGTGCAATGGAATTCAACTACTAATAGCAGTAGTCTTCTTCCCTTTGGAGGTTTTGGGTCCAATTCTACGGTAAATTCTATCATTCGCTTGGAGAATAACAACTTACTTTTTACAGGACAATTCGCTAAGTTGGAAAATAATAGCTTTGTTTCTAAAACGAATAGAACTAGAAACTTCTCAATAAGTATGGAAGATAGTGAAGTTGGCCAACAAATTTCATTAAGGCAAGCGACTTGGAATGCCAACAGTAACTTGGATGTTGATGCCTTTATATGTCCAAATTCTGATCAGCAGGCCTGGTATTCCGAAGGATCATATGGTGTTATAACTTGTAATTTTCCAAATACATTAACACTGTCCAAAATTAGAATATATAATACACCAATTACTGACAATCAAATATCACTCTTCAGATTGATCGCGATACCTGGCAATGGTATATTAAATTTAACATATTTGGACCCAATATCGCATGATATAAAACATTGTACTGAAAACTGTCCATTATTCACCAGAGAAACACTTCTTAATGCTATGGGGAATGTAACACAAGAATCAGACGTAATACGATTCATTAATAATAATAGTACTAACATCAAATGGAATGAGTATTATCAGGAATTTGCATTTGTGAATCAACTCCCTATTACATCACTGCAGTTTGTAGCATCTAATTCATACTACCAGAATGTCGGTCTTTCAGGGTTTCAGATATATCAGGATTCCTTTCCAATTTTTCCGAATAACTCCTTCAATGAGCCCAATTGTCCCAGCTCCAATGATATAGCTTCGTATGTGAAACTTTCAGGCAATGGTTGGTTTACTGTAGCTAATGATAATAGTTATCTTGCTAACAGTTACATCCCCAATCAGGGAACAAAACCTAGCATAACCTATTTTGTTGGAATTAATGTTCCAGGTGAATATGTTTTGAATCTCGTAACACCGGGTTGCGATAAAGATAACACGTGCTCGACAAGAGGAATTGTTAATGTAACAACTTTTGATAATTCTAATGGTAATATATTAGGGTCAGCCCTTATATACCAGAATAACAATAATCTAAAATATGATCAGATATTTGCCGGGGTTTTAAATAACAGTATCTCAGTACAAGTGGAATATTACTCAGGAATTAATACCAATACCGGTACTGCCACAGTAGTAGTTGGTGTTGTTGATGTTGTGAGAGTTTCAATATCTAGCGAATTTATTAGCGATCAGATCGACGGTGATCGATCGTTACATCTAAACGGAATATTTGAATACTCTCCTTCCAATTTTACCTTTGATAATGGATATTTAACCGGTAAGATCGATTATACTATTCTGGATGACTTTGGCGTATCAAATTTTAATAAAGGGGCATCTATATTTGCAGTCGATCAAAATCAAAATTTATACCTAGGTAGCACTAACGGTAGTGTTTATGAGCTCAATAGTCTTAATGGAAGCTCTGTGCCATCTACAGAAAACAACCTAAGTGGTCTAATAAATGGAATGTATAGTGTGGAAGAAGGATTAGTAATTTTCGGTTCGATTGCTCATAGAGGCCGGGAATATGGGGCTGTCATCTTGAATAAGAGCATTACCCCCCTGGACATAGTTGCCAATGATTCCATACAGGCATCGTTTAATTCAACCCTGTTTGGTAGCAATTTACTTGTATTCGATAACTCAACTATATTTAATATGACATCCTTTATGGTCTTTGAAAATACTAGTTATCGAAATTTAGACCTCAGGAACGCCGGTAAAAACTCTAATGACGATATGCTGTTAGTAGGAAATATTGTGAATAAGGGATCTGCTATTGGAAATGAATCCCTATTGATTTCATCTAATGGAACATACAGTCCCTTTAGTCTATCTGACAATGATACTATCGAAGGAGCAATTTATCTCAATGATACAAAAGCTTTGTACTCATTATCATCCGGTAATGTTAATTATTTTCAACTTTCTGATAAGCAACGATTGCCATGGACTTGGCAAAGCACTGTTGTGCCAGTATTTTATTCCAATGGTCAGCAACTGCTTGGTGCTATACAAGAAAATTCAAATAAAAGTCAAATTGTTCTGATAGATTTATTTTCATCTCAGGTAATAAATGATACTGGAAATTTAACTATGCATAAAATAAATGCCATAGTTAACTTTGCAAGCAATGCCACTGCTTTGGTTGGTGGTGATTTCTCACTCTCTAATCCAGCTTGTGTGGGACTCTGTTTATATAACTACAACAATTCAAACTGGTCATCCTTCCTGAACAACTCCATAACAGGTAATATAAGTCAGATTAAGTTTAATGATACACAAATGTTACTAAGTGGGAAATTAGAAGTCAATAAAACAGCTGACATCAATCTTCTATCGATTAATTTGACATCCAATAAGCAAGATATATTGCTGTATAATAACTCTGTTGTGCTTGATGATTTTATTCTAGTAAGGAACCTAGTAGTAGGATGGAATTCCACCGACATATTCATTAGGAATGTGACACAATGGAGCAACTTGAACATATTTGATGATGGAACAAATGCTACAATTAACAGAATAGAAAATTTTGGAGCTGATTCTAACCCTGCCTTAATCATATATGGTCAGTTTGATAGTATGAAATATGGGACGATTAATGCTGTTATATACGATTTCAATTCGTGGTATCCATATTTTGAGGTGGATGTAGTTAGTCAAACTGCAACTCCTTTGTTCTTTGCGGACCGTGACCAATCAAGTTATGGTAATACTAGACACGTTGTCCCGGACCATATAATAGTAAGCTCGTCACATAGTAGTTCAGCACCGTCATCCTCATCTTCACACAAGACAAATGAGAAACCTTATAAAATCCGTAGAGGTTTTGTAGTCCTCATTGGTCTAGCCCTCGCACTGGCCACATTAATTGTTCTAGGAATAACGGGTGTTGTAATTGCTTTGCTTTTCAACCCTTCTGTCAATGGAGACTATGATATTATTAAAACTAATGATTCTGATAATTTTGCTGGCAGTAATATCACGCCTGAGAAGTTGATTAGAGTATTGTAATATATTATGCAATTGATTTTCTAAGCGCTGTTTTTAACACTAGAGATCTTGCAGAAAACCGAGGATACAATTACTAAGCATTTATTTGGATTATTTTGTATATATTCCTGCACATGAATGAAATGATTTTACATCAGGATGGAACTGAATTTAATCAATACCAATATTTCCATTACAATGATTCACTGCAAGTCATAATTACTTACCTCAGCAAGCATGTGTAATATTCTGATTTATTTAAGCCAATTAAATAGTAAACTGATGATATGCATTTCTTATTGGGTTTTTTCATTCCCTATTATAGTTTAAAGAAACTTATTATAAAGATTTTAAAACAATGTGTTCAATCTTGTATTTCATATAATATAATCATAACAAGAAACTTTAAAATATAATGAAGCCAACAGTTCTTAATGGTAAGAAAATTAAAGGTTACTGCGCAGATTTAATCTATACATTTACTTTCTTTTGCCAGTAGCGCTGGCAGTTGCTTCTCCATTTTTCATGTTGTTATCTCCCAATTCGATTAAATTAGCGGCAGAGCTTTTTCAGTCACAAAAGAGAAAACTCAAATCAATTTTTGAAGTATTGCAAAATCATTACTGGTTCCATTCTAATACAGATATTTAATGAACTACACAATCTTAACACTTATAATTAGCATGCATTAATGATATCATTAGGTATTCACTTGTATTTATTAGTACTTACCATAAGATTTCAAAGATACTATTCATTTCTTGATCACTCAAGAGCAGCGTTAATATAGGAAAACTAGAATAATAATTGGACAATATGATGGCGATCGTTGATGAAAACTATAAAAATAACAGACAGGAAGAAGCACTACAATTCATAGGATATATATCATTTGATAAAATTAACCAAATGAATAATAGGATGCTAAAAAATATTGATCAAAATATTAATACCTCTATAGAGTTGGTAGAGAACGTTAAGGATAGGTTTTCTAAAGACGACCCCTCTGTTAACTATAAGAGAGGAGAAATAACCTCAAATTATGACTCCCAAAAGTATAACGCTCAGTCGCCATCCATTTCCAAAACGTTAAATTATTTTCAATCCCATGAAAAGAATGTTATTATGGTTGATGACCAGCCTTTAATACTAACCAACACTAACCACTTCTCTCCCGACTATCCTCCATTTTACCGCACTTATAAATATGACCATCGTCTAAATGAATTGGGCGCCAATGATGTTGTAAGCGCTATGGTTCAAAATGAAATAAACGATAACAATGATTACTTTAACTGTGAATTGGAGTACGTAGAAAAAAAAACAAAATTTCTTCATTGGTATGATTATGTATTGTATCATTTATTTAGTATTGATCGTCTAGGCTATTTTAAGCTTGAAATATGGCGGCAAAAATATCAACATTCACCTTGGAAATCACAGATTAACGATAGATTATTCAATGCGGACACCAATTCAATAAACGAATCTATGGGTGATGAAGATTATGATCCTGAATCTTTGATAAACACAAGATCAACCAACAAATGGTCAAATTCCAAAAGAAGTGGATTTACATCTTTGAGATCATTTTTTGGAATGGTTTAAGTAGGCTTTAAAGTATATAATGTTCTTATCGCAAATCTCAAAAAATTTCTGTTTATTATAAATAACAATATTAAACAAATCAGAATATTGAAGATTTTCTTGTCCAATTGTAATATCCATTTATGCACTATTTTAATACAGTGGAAACATCAATTTGAATACCAAAATCTCTAGCAAATTAAAAAAATATAGTAGCTACTATGTTAAAATATGAAAAGTCAAGTTAATACGAAGTACCCTTTATGAGGGAGCTAGGCATTTCACTCACTGGAATCTGCTATACCACCTTCACCAATCACATAAACACATTCACGTTCAGGCATGTCCGGAGAGTCTTGTAACTTTGCTACTCGTTCGTCACCTCTACCTTTTCTTAATAGAATACGAGTAGCAGAGGCATGGGCTAATACATGACCGCCGACAGGTTTTCTTCCGTCTGCTGAAGCAAACAGAGCAGATGCACCTGGATCTGATTGTACTTGATTTGTCATAAATACAGCTAGATTAAATTCTTCTGCTAACCGATTTAACTTGAATAGATGCTGATTTAATTTTTGCTGGCGCTCGTTAAGTTCTCCACGTCCACAATAATCAACGCGAAAGTTTGCCATAATTGAATCAACAATTATGAGCGTATATGAACCAGAGCTCAACTCCTCTCCCAATTGCTCGACCAGTTCCATTTGATGCTCGCTATTTAGTGCTCTTGCATAGGTAATATTTTCAAGACAGCTATCAGGGTCAAGATCGTACCTTTCTGCTATTTGTTTAATTCTTTCCGGTCTGAAAGTTCCTTCAGTATCGATGAATGCAACTTTACCTTCACCACCTCCCATAGATTTGGGCAACTGTGCTGTCACACATAGTGTATGTGACATCTGTGTCTTCCCGCATCGAAACTCTCCAAAAACTTCAGTGATGCTCATAGTCATAATTCCACCACCCAATACACTGTCTAATTGCTTAGATCCTGTAGATATGGAGATAACTTTTTGTCTAAGATCCATTTGCACTGTAGCTGGTACAAACCCAACTTTAACGAGCTTGTTGGCGGCTTCTTTGATCTTTTCAACCTTCACCTCACTGAGTCCCTTGATTTTCACCAGATTCCTCCTTGTAGTGGACTGAACAGTATTAACTGTGTATATCCCACTTCCTTTCAACTTCTGTATATCAGATGCATTGATTCCATAGTTCTGCAGCTCATCAATGGCTATAATTGAGCAGTCGAGAGCCTCACTGGTAGTAGTGACTGTAGCTGACATATCGTTCTGTTTATAGTAGATAGTCTTAAAAGATACATTTTATTACATAACAGAGGTAGAAAGGAAAGAACATGGTCCTGATGCACTCTGCCAGCCTTTTTATACTACTTTTTCCAAGGCGGTTAAAATTCATTATATACGACTACAGTAAATTGCATTGCATGTTAGTCAGTTAAGCACAGCCGGTATTATAATTACAATTGTTACATCAAGATAAACTGATATTTAGTAATTCATAAGCGCTCCCTATGCCATGTAGCAGTTATGAGTTTAGAGGTGACGCTGAGGTGAAAAAAATAGTGATAATAAGTTATTATATATGATTAAAGAATAGGAATATAAGATACGTACCAATAATTATGAGAGAAACAAGAGAACAGAGGTGTGTCAGTATATTTTCATTTTGTACACAATTTATCAATTGTGCAGGACCATAGCTCTATTGTTCTTCAATGCAGTTCTCTTTCATTTTTTAGTCTCTAACCAAGAAATCGTTCTTGGTGAAGTCCCAAGTGTCTTCTGGGATTCTACCTCTTAGAGTTGGTGTTTCAGTGCCCTTAACGTAGACATCTTCGAACAAGATAGATAGCTTGGCCTCTGGTGGGGCGGACTTGTCTGCGAGTTCAACTTGTTCGTCGACGTATTTTCTGGCAGCCTTGTCATAGGCCTTAACTTCTTCCTCAGTGGCGATGCCAAGCTCTAGCAAGTGCATCTTTAGACCAGCAATAGGGTCGTTCTTGGATCTCATGTGTTGGATTTCATCTCTGGTTCTGTAAGTGGTACCTGGGTCAGACATGGAGTGACCACCGTATCTGTATGTTTCGTACTCTAGAACCAATGGACCTTTGCCGGACAAACACCATTCCTTGGCAAACTTGGAAGCTTGGTAGACAGCCAGGATGTCCATACCGTTGACTTTCAAACCTGGGATGTACTGACCACGCTTGAAGTACTCGGTCATAGCGGAGGATCTAGCAGCTGCAGTACCCATACCGTACTTGTTGTTTTCACAGCAGAAGACCACAGGCAAGTTCCACAGCTTAGCCATGTTGAAGGACTCGAACACCTGACCTTGGTTGGAGGCACCGTCACCGTAAAGTGTGAAAGAGCAAGCGTCCTCGTTCTTGTACTGGTGAGCGAAGGCTAGACCGGCGCCGACTGGCACCTGGGCACCGACGATACCGTTACCACCGTAGAACCCTGGTGCGAACAAGTGCATGGAACCACCTTTACCGAAAGATACACCAGATCTCTTACCCATCAATTCAGCTAGGACAGCCTGCACGGAGGCTCCCCTCATGTAAGTGAAACCGTGGCATCTGTAAGAAGTAATAACGGAGTCGCGCTTGGTGATAGCGTTCTCGATACCAACAGCAATGGCTTCCTGACCGACGGACAAGTGACAGAAACCTCTGATTTTTTTAGCCTTGTACAACGCATCACAGGCCATCTCCATTCTTCTGATAATGACCATGTCCTTGAACATCTGCAACAGAGAGCCCTTAGTGGCTGAGTAGTTCAAGCTAGGTGGCTCCAGCATGTATCCTTCGAAGGAGGTCTCTGGCAAACTGATCTCAACGTTCTCGTTCTCATCTGGAACCGGCTGCGACTTCTCCTTCGCGGTAGCCATGGTACGCCCGATACCGACAACCGACCTGGCACTCAAAGCCAATGGCCTCTTGCTCGCAATTGATAGCATATTGATATATGTGTGTGCTGTTCTTGGCCTTATCTTCAGCTAACCAGCGCTGCAAGAAGTGCTCCATTGGGCTCCTTTTATCCTGATAAAACTTCAAAATGTTTGGAGGGGGGACCCCTCCTTCGTTGAAGCGAAAAGGGTAAACTACGGCGTATGATGTGACATGCTACTGGATCAAAGTATAAGCCCAACGGGGTTAACGTCAATACAAATGCGAGTACAATGCGAGTACAATACGGTCGATTGATTGCTTTATGTATCTATTTCTATATGCTATCCCTGCAGTTGTATAAGCTACTGGCTTAGATGCTGGGAGATTAAATAGCGGTTAGAAAAAAAAAAAATAGAAGCTAATAGAAAAGTATAGTATATTTTTTGGGTTGGGATTTGGGATATGGGCAGTGGTAAGTGTTGGATAGTGGGGGATAATAAACAAGAGGTAAATGAAACTATCCTGGATACTCGACCACAAAAATAGAAAAAAAAAAATTACAGGGATTAGAAAAATAGGATAATGATAAAAAGAGTTTCAGTTATGATGGGTTGTGGAATAGATGCTTATATGACAGTTGTTATAATTAAAGAACCTATTGAGCGGTCCCCATTATTATCACAAAAGGCAAAAAGATCTAGAAAACAGAAAACATAAAAAATAGAAAATAAAAAGAAAATAACGCCGGTGCATTGGTTGTGATTACCAGTTTTATCAGCAGGGGGTGGCTAGAATTCATCATTTTGGTGGTTCGTCATTTTGTTCATCTTGAGCTTCAGACATGTCGGAAGTCCACAAGGTCAAGTTATCTCTTAGCAATTGCATGATTAGAGTACTGTCCTTGTAGGATTCCTCGGACAATGTATCCAGCTCGGCGATGGCGTCGTCGAAAGCTTGCTTAGCCAAGTGGCAAGCCTTGTCTGGGGAGTTTTGGATCTCGTAGTAGAACACGGAGAAGTTCAGAGCCAGACCCAATCTGATAGGATGTGTTGGTGGCAGCTCTGTGGTGGCGATCTCTGAGGCGGTCTTGTAAGCCTCTAGGGAGGCCTCGGTGGCCTTGTCCCTCACATCACCACTGGAGAACTCAGCCAAGTAACGGTGGTAGTCACCCTTCATCTTGTAGTAGAAAACCTTGGACTCGCCGCTGGTGGCGGATGGGATCAGGTGGGAGTCTAGCACAGACAGTATGTCGTCAGAGATCTTCGTCAGCTCGGTCTCGATCTTGCCACGGTACGTGCGGATCAACTCAACCTGGTGCTCAGCCTTCTCTTTGCTCTCCTCCTTCTGCTCGATCGAGGAGATAATCCTCCAGGACGCTCTGCGCGCACCAATAACATTCTTATAAGCAACCGACAGCAGGTTACGCTCCTCAACACTCAACTCCTGACCACTCGAGGCCACCTCCTTCATAGACTCAACCATCTCCTCGTACCTCTCGGCCTGCTCAGCCAGCTTGGCCAAATACACACTATCCTCACGACTTGGCGACATTATGCTCTCTCTATCTCGCTTCTATATCTCTGTTCAATTGCACAGCGCTAGTCTTTTTGGGGGGATTGATTTCGCGACTTCCCAATCCCTTCCCGCTTTATATATTGAGGAAAATTTGTCTCACACTGTAAAGGAAAAGGAAAACCAAATTTCAGCACACAGAGAAGTGGCACACAGAGAAGTGGCACACGCACACAGCGGAGTGAAGCACAGAAGCACACGCAGGTGGTCGGTGGGGGGGGGGCAGGGAGGCGAGTCTCATTTACATTCCCTCTTAGAAAGTGCCGCACCAGCTCTATTTCCCCCCAAAAAGGGCGTTATGCTATGGCGGGGCGGGTGCTGCGGTGTTTTCTGAGTGGATGTCAGAGTGCATTTGTATGTGGTGTGTGGGTGGTGATGTAACACACTCATCTACAAGCCCTCGGTGCGGTTGTACGGTACGATTATATCTGTATACCTGTGTACGAGGGCACTTTGGAAGAGAGAGAGTGTGTCTGTGTCACTGCGTGTGGGTATTGGGCGTGGGCATGTGATGTGTCGCGTTGTACTTGGGCGTTCTTGGCTGGGATCTGCAGGTCTCTGTGCGTCTGATTGGCTGCGCGGGGTCGGAGGTGGGGAGTGTGAATTACCCGGCTTACATTTTCACCTGGGGTGCGTGTAATCGTGGGATTCCTGATTCAGGAGAGAATGCGGGAAAACTGGAATCCAGAATTTGTGGGGAGGGGCCAGGGGAAGCAAGACTGGACTCCGGAGATGTTTGGGTTTTTATATTAGACGCCTTACCACAATGTAAGCTAATATACGTATATATACAACTACATGCAATGCACATTTGTACTGGCACATTTGTACTGGCACATTTGTACTAGTATTCTGATAAACTGGTGTGGATCATCTTGTTCTTGGACAAGTAGTCTATGTACTTCTTCCAGATGCTGTCGCTGCGGGAGAGGACGCTCGAGCAGCCCACGATCACCAGCGAGTTCTTGGCCCTGGTCAGTGCGACGTTCAAACGGCGCTGGTCTTTCAAGAACCCAATGGTGTTGCTCTCGTTGTTTCTCACACACGAAAACACAATAACACTCTTCTCGTGGCCTTGGAAAGCGTCCACCGTGGACACTTGCAGCCCGTTCACTATGCAGATGGTGTTGTTGCTGCCCATGCTTTGCTCGTTGACACTGAAGAGATCCTTCTCCTCGCTCTGCTTCTCGATGACCAGCCCGCGCGGGTTGATCAGCTCGTCCGCTTGCACCATAGTCGCAAGCTGCTCACGCTGCCCGGCATACGGCGTGATGATACCGATGTCCTCCAACGGCACGCCTTTCTCGATCACCAACATGTGCACGACTTCCAGGATCATACGGCACTCGGCCCGGTTGTAGTAACTCACTGTGGTCACATCACGGCGCCTGACACGGTGCAGTTGCTCGCGGTTCTGCGCAGTGGCGCGGTAGTCGTAGAAGTACACCGGGTGCGCCACTTTGTCCAGCTGCTTCTGCTCAGCGGTAACACCGTCCTGCAGCTCGTTCTTGTAGATCATGGTCCGCGGGAACTCACTGATCGTGGGGTGCATTCTGTACTGCGTGTTCAACATATGCGGGTTCTGGTACGTACCGTTCTGCAGAATACGCTCAAACAGAGACAAACTCAACTGCGGAATGTCACTGAAACTGCTCAATTGCTTGTCATCACCAACAAACACGAACGTCTTGATACCAGGCAGCGACAGCGGGATCAGTGTAGACACCTCCGATGACTGCGTCGACTCATCCATGATAACAACAGGTATCTCCTTGATCACCTTCAGCTCCGTAGAACCCGCAGCCACATTGGTAGAAAATATGATCGTACACTGATTGATATACTTGTTAACAATGCCTTCTTTGTCCCTGAAGTACCGCATCAACGCGTTCTTGCTAAAGGATTTCGTCTGGCCCATGGCTAGCTTTCTAGCGGTGTCCCGAGATTCTTCGTTCAGATTCTCACGCACAATGTTATGTAGACATATCTTCCCCAAGGGGTGGTCCATACCATACTCTTTCTCTTTGGTTCGAGATACTATTCTTAATATCTTAATATCAGGCCTCTTCTCTATAAATTTCTCAGCAATGTTGTCTATTGCGATATTAGAAGCCGCCACACATAAAATGGGGAAAGAGTTGAAATGCTCCCTCATTTGCAGAATGATCTCTTCAATGGTGGCTGTTTTACCAGTACCAGGCGGACCTTGCAATATAGTGACTTTGTTGTTCAGAACATTTTGAATAGCCCTCTTTTGTGAGTCGTTAAATCTATCATTCGTAAATTTCATTCTATTGTTGAATTCCAATTTCTTGATGTCCTTTTGACCAAGAAGCATATCAATAAATGTCGGGTTATCAATTCTACTCATGGCAAACAACACCCTCTTAGCAGAAGCCGATAATGGCAAAAACTTGAATTTCTCAGATGATTGCTTCACTGGTAGTGGCTTGTCATTCCACCCAAACAGCTCGATCAGCAAAACCATTTGGTTTCTTTGCATATCAGTTTCTTTTATGAAGGCATACCATAATTCTGTTTCATTCAAATTCGAAAATATAATGGGTGAGTTGTTCTTAAAGGGCATCTTTTTTAGTTTGATGTCTACAGGGGTCATTAGCTTTTCGATCTCCTCGTTATTCTTCATGTTGATAGTTATCAGGAAAACATTGTCGACAGAGTTAGCTGGCCATTTGATGTTAAAATTGAAAACAAAATCGTTCTCCAGCTTCTGCTCTTGAAAAATCGCATTTGAAAATTCTCTACAATATTCCTTCAAATCATTAAATCTTAATTTTGGTTGGAATTTCTTGTATTCTTTATGAACCACACCTTCTTCCATCTCAATCTCTTTATCTCCCTTATTTCTAGCCGCCGTATCGGCTATAGGCTTATCATCATTTTTTATTTTGTTGCTACTTCCACTTTCGTTATTCTTCTTCAAATTGGTTTTACTTGTTTGCTTTTTGTCGCGAACGCTGTCGTCATTGGTTTTCTTTTCATTTTTATTGTTCTTCTTTTGAGGTTGTTCCTTGCGTTCCTTGCCATTCTTCGATTTAGTTGCCTCTTTAATCTGTCCATTACTGTTCTTGCTACCACTACCATACTTGGATTTTGATGCTTGGCGGTTTTCGTTACTTTTATCGCTGTCCTTGCCATTAAATTTCGCTACGGAGTTGGACTTTCCATCTCTTTTCGACTTTAACCCTTCTGTGTTGGTTGCAGTTATGCCTGCTTTCTTGTTTTTAGCGGACTTGTCATTCACCTTACTCTTTTCAGAAGAACCTTTGCTTCGTGATTGTGATTTTTTTTCACCATTTTCTTTGGATTTCATCTTCTTTGGATCCTTCATTGTCCTGCTATCCCCTCTTCCAACAGCTTTGCTTCCTGAGTTTGTTACATTTTTTGTTGAACTCGATTTTCCTGGTTTGGAATGTTTCACTGAATTTGATATATTAGATTTTGTGGATTTTGCAGCATGTTTAGACTTATCTGGTGCTCTTGAACCAATAGACGGCCCACTTGGCGCACTAACTCCTCTAAATGAGCCCAATGTGATATCATTAGAACTTGTAATTTTTGTATTTGCCAGTCTATTGGTGTTACTCACTAGGTTAATCTTTTCCATAACAGTAAGTTTCTTTTCCTCACCACCAGGTGTGGATGCCCTACTCCTCATAGGTTTCCCTTTACCTTTGCTCCGTCTTCCCAACTTTCTCTTAAACTTGCCCTTCCTCTTTGGTGTTTTTGAAGGTTCCTTAATACCCAACAATGTATAAAGAAACCTACCAGAGCTCTCTGAGACGTACTTTTGGGCTTCTTGAGACTTTATAGTAGAGAGACACTTATCACATAGCACTGTATTGGGATTCAAAGCATTCAAATTAGATTCATTACCACACTTATCACAGCAACAGTCTCGTACCTTCAAATACCTGTCCCAGAACTTAAGAATTGTACCATTGGACAGCGAATATAATGTGCTCGGTCTTTCAGATTCAGTGTACTCTTTCTTGAAGCATGAGTTACACAGCAGTCTCATATCATCACCTTCAAACCTAATAATCTGTAACATATGAATGTTGGTATCATCACAATCCTCACATGCGACCTCGGAGTTGCCATCGGCATCGCTAAGGACAGTCTTGTGCCTCGTAGTTGACAAATGCTTCGTAATACCTTCCGCATCGCCCTCGAGGGAACATGTCTTGCACGCAAACATAACTGCTGTACTTTTAAAAACTCTATCTTGATGCAAAACTACTCGAGCACTATCAATGGAAAGCTCACTTTGTGATAGTCCCAGCACTACCACCGACCAATCTTTCAACTATATGCATATTTGAAATATTTTTTTTTCACCTGTAGCAAAGTGATTTACGGTTTGCACGCAATCTCGAGTAAAAAATAAGGTCCTGCGCACATTGTCTGGAGAAATGGATCTTGAGACATAGCACCATGCATGAACAGCAAACAATGGAGCCATGCATATCTAATCTTGATATTGAGGTCGATAGTTATCACAGACTTGTTGTGTCATCTAGTTCTAGTTTATTTGAGAAAACGTACTGAAATCGGCTGATATTGAGACAATTGAACGTGTTCCAGAATTTAAGGTACATTAGTTTACCGATTCCTGCTGAACTAGTGGGATATACAATAATAGTAAAGTAACAATTTCAGTTGTATCAATCTATCTTGTAACAGTCAGTCCTTCTGTCCAGCGATGTTATTTACAAAATGAGAATAAAAGTATACGCAATCCATTGAATATTGAGCCATATTGTCTTGGGTTATCTCCCAAAACGTTCATTAAGGGTTGGACTAAGGGCCCCTAAGTGCCAAATTTGACACAACTAATACATTTCTCACCATTGAGCATTTTTATATCGGTTATTCCAAGAATATAGGCCATTTGAATTACCTAATCCAAACAATAAAGACATGTCAGCATTTTCTGATACAGATTTTGACTCTAACAGGTATTCCAAGTCGAGACCTTCCTATCCGCAGAGTTTCTACGAGGCACTCAGCAGATATCACAAGGGGAATAGAAATATCTTGATTGATGTGGGATGTGGACCTGGTACAGCCACTTTCCAACTCCAGGAGTATCTCCCATTTGACCAGTATGTGGGTTGTGACATGTCGCAACCGATGATTGACACTGCGAATGGTAGAGCTCAGTCTCAGAACCTCAAAAACATTCACTTTCACCAGGGACCATACCAGGACTTGTCGTTTTTGAAACAGATAGGCGATGGGAAATGTGATATGGCTACATGTGTGGAAGCGGTCCACTGGTTTGATCTCAAGGAGTTCCAACAAGTAGTACACGATTCTCTAAATGAGAATGGCACATTAGCCATCTGGGGCTATATCGACGCAGTTCTAGTCGACTACCCGGAATTTGACCAGTATTTCCAGGACCTTACCTATGGTGACTCCAAGATGGGTCCTTATTGGGATCAACCAGGGAAGACCATCTTAAGAAACAAGTACGAGGCAGTACAGATTGACACGGGCTTGTTCAAAGACGTTGAGCGCCATGTCTTGACACCTACCGACATTAGGAAACCAGGTTTTGAAATTAGCAAAGAATACTTACCAATATGTACGACAATGCCCTTATCTGGACTTATGGACTACATCAGAACCTGGAGCGGTTACCACAATTGGAAACATGACCCAGCTAATGCCGATAAAATGGACCTAGTTGAAGAGACTCTTCAACACATCATAGATTCAGATAACGACATAGACTCGGAATCCAAGTTGGTAAAAGTAGCATGGAGCTCTTTCTATATCTTCGCAAGGAAAATTTGAGTGTCCTCAGCATTTCCATATCTAAATAAGTGCAACATGTAGATCACCTGCACATATATCTATATATTCTAACCAGCAAGTAATGCTTCCATATTGTTTCAAGCACATGGTATACACAACCAATTGCACCCCCCCAGGTCCCCCAACTTTACAGAATAGCAAGAGTGTTCGATGCCAACTACACCCACAAAGGCGAACTCTCATAGAAGCTTAAAGTAACAAAACCAAAAAAAAGGTGTCAAAATAGAGGAAAATCCAACGAAATGTAGAAACTCAGAAGTGTAGAAACTCAGAGTTGTAGCTTTACCATTGTATCAAGAACTTACACAACACCCATTGTGTCTTTATCTTAACGCACCCACTCTCATCTGCGCACCTCGATGACCATCTCCTAACTCCATTTGCCTCTTTATGGGTGTCTGTTAAGTGAAAAAAATCCAACTGAAAAATGCTCGAAGATACAGCACAGTAATGTGCAAATAAAAGTGGATGACTACTAATTTGATTATTAATAGTCATATTGGTGGATTGTTGTAGTGAGGAGGAGGGGTATATTATAGATGGATAAACTGGGAGGGGTGTGGGGAGTATGTGCATTGTATCACACCCTTGAGTTTAACTTGTTTGTATATATTTAGGTGGCATTAGTACTACTAATGTCTCATTTCTTGTGTGTAAGACTATAACTTTACAGAAGACTACGTGTATAAATTGTAGTTACAAAACAAGAGAGAGAGAGTATGTCTGTTGTTGATATAGATAATGTGGAGCAGTTTCTGGATTTGGCCAGGACGAAAGCTGGTAATAAGCTAGTGGTGTTGTTTTTTTACATGCCTTGGATGAAGTCATGTAGAGTCTTGAAGGAAGTGGTGCTGGCGTTGAGCAGATCAGTAGGTAAGAAACATTCCACATTTTTACAGATTAATATAGAAGGTAATAGAGACATTGTGTCTCTTCTGGGTATCACACAGGTTCCAGCTTTCTTCCTGGTGAGAAAAGGTGTTGTGATAAAAGCACTAAGCGGTGTTGATCCCAGAGAGTTTTTAGCAGCATACCATGAATGTGTAGATAATTCCAACTGCTATGACCATGACCTTGACGAAGACTCCCAAGATATCAAATCGGATGATACATTACAGGAGCCCGAAGATTTCTACTCTGAAGATACCGAAAGTTTAGATAAACTGGTAAACGCTGCACCAGTGATGGTGTTCATAAAAGGAAGCCCCTCTGATCCAAAATGTGGTTTCTCTAGACAAATGGTAAATATACTGAGATCCCACCAGATACGGTTTGGTTTTTTTGATATACTAAAGGATAAGATTACAAGACAACAGCTAAAGGATTACTCAGACTGGCCCACATTCCCACAATTATATATTAATGGCGAATTTGAGGGAGGCCTGGATATAGTAAAGGAATCGTTATTGGAAGACCCCGATTTCTTTAACAAGAAGTTATCACTGTAAGGCGATCATATCCATAATGCAATGCTTAATTTTATCTGTATAAATTTCTATATATATGCTAAAGGAAATAAAAAAAAAACAATTTTGGAAACCATCATGTCATTATTATAGGTCATCAAGATCCGAATCAGAAAGATTATCATCAATTTTGTCTTGTGATCTCTCTACAACTTTTGGTGGTTGCTGAGATAAAAACTCAATCAATGAGTTATCTGCATCATCATCAAGTTCGATATTTTCAGTTTCATTGTCCGATGAATCCTCAATATTTTCCTCAAATCCAAAGTTAGTGTTCAATATTTCGTCACCACCAAATGTATCTATTTCATTACTTTGATCTTCTTCTTTTTGTAGAAGTGCCATTTTAGTTTGCCTCTCCTGTTGTAGTCTATTTATCGAAGTAAGTTCCTCTCTTTCCTCGTCATCTCCTCCCGCCAATTCCAGTTCCGTCTCCACCGTCTTCAGCTCACCACCAATCCTCTCCAAAATATCTATATCTTCGTTTACCATAAACGTCTCCAAATTTTGATTGATTATGGCTTTATATTCAGAAGAATTTTTTTCCATAGAGTCAAGGAAATATTTCAAAGATTTTTTCTTATAGTTTCTCTTTTTCCTGATATACGGACCATAATAACCCATAAGTAATTTGATAGTTTTATATTGCTCATATGATTGGTATTTCTTGAAGTTAATAAGATTGTAATCATCCATTGAGAAGTTGAAAACATGCTGCAATTTTCTTATCTTCCCTTCTCTTGGAAAATATGTTTTCCCATGTAAAAGACCATCACCACTTTTCACTGCTCCCAACTTGTCTCTAACACTTCTAATCAAATATTCGAGTGACTCCAGTACATACGCTAGTTTATCATTCTGGCTAAAAGTGTCTGTTATTGATAATGCGGTGGTGAGTGGTATATCACCTTTATTGTACGTGACGTAGTTTTCAAAAAGACCCAATTTGAAATTGTCATTAAATATTGTACCAGTATTTGATGCAATGAGATTATTTATCATGTCATTATCATTGTCAAACTCACGGGAACCGTAAATTATTTTACCAATGGCATGAAAGTATGAAACATTGTTTTCTCTCAAGAAGGAGATTTTATTATTAGATGAGCTACAAGCCCAAAATTGTAAGTTTGAGATACCTGATCTAATATCTCCTGTATTTTTTGCAACATCACTAATATAACCGCTAACATCATTCCATTTTCCATTGTTCTTAAGTGTGCCAGCATTCATATGACTCACTATATTCAGATGCTTTTTCATCAGGGTTGCATTTATAGGATTAAATTTTATTCGTTTTAATAATGGATGTGATAATATTTGTTGACCCAAAACAGTCTCTGCTGTAAATAAGTAATCTGTTCCGATATAATTGAAATTCTTATTATCGTTTTCGGGTTTAAGTTCACATTCAGTCAAACAAATTATTAGAGGTGGTAGTAAAGCTTCAGGACTATACAACCATTGTAATAAAAGTTTCTGAAATTCTCTTCTAGTTTCTTTATGAGTAACGTTCGGTAAGTCTTCAACTAACATTAATGACAAATTGCGTCCCGTCAAATACTTTGCATGTCTCAAATATTCTGCAAAGCTATCCATATGGGATTGCCCAATTAAATTACTATTATTATTATATTCGTTTATCACCTTCCTATTATCTGTCGTGGAGTAGTTATACGGTCCAGCCGTTAGATACTCCTTCCTGATATTTGGTATATACTGCTCTGCCAGTAATTTAATAACTGTACTTTTAGAGCATCCACTTGGTCCAGTTAATAATAATATCCGTGGTCTTTGCATACTCGAGTTACTTTGGAGCATTGACAGGAAAGCCTCCTTCACATCAGCGAGCTTCCTTTTATGCAAAGCTACCTCGTCAATGTTTCGAGGGGAACAAGTTATATACCAGGCGCCATCTGTATTCTCTTGTGTTACATGGTTATAGTTAGATGTGCTTTCTAACTGTTCCAAGGTCTTCCGTAGGCTTCGCGGTCTAAACAACTGACTGATCTTCACCGGCGAGCTGGCCCTAGACGGTGTTCTAACAGGTGTACTCTTCCCTGAAATATCCATTTCATTATAAATTTTATTGACTCTTTTTTGGTCCACTAGCCAACTCAAGATAAATGTAATAATAAACACTAGCGCTAATGAATGGAACCAATTGCCAATTCGCTAAAATGTAGGATGCTAGGCTACTGACATACTCTAACATTTCGATTGTCTTTAAGAGCTCATCGCATCGCATCGTCAATCACGAATATAAACAATTTGAACAAATTTCACATACTGAAGGCATAAGGTTAATAGAAGTTAAAGATTGGGCCTATTCCACCCTTCAGTCTCTTACCAAGATAACGGACCAATACTACAGCTCTATATTATTAGAAAGTTAGCATAACAATATCTTTTTACTCTACTTTTTTGGGCGTTGTATTTGGCCGACTCTACTTCAAGATCTTAATAAATTAACAAATAGAATTGAAAACAAGAAATAAGTTATAATAACAAAGCAATATGACTGATGAGAAGTCCAAGAATAATATCAGAGAGATATATCGTCATGATCAAATGTCTAACCAAGTGCTGAATCGAGATAGGCGGTTCGAGGACAGGAAAACCGATATCAAGACTGATGCTGAGATGTCTAATCCCAAAACACTCCGAGGTCATGTTTCACTGAAGGATATGGGCAGTGGACTTAATATATCCAAGTCGACTGATGAAGATAAGGCTAGGATTTTGGAGGAGTTACAAGATGAAAGCATATTAGATGGGGATCAGGAAGTCCCGGAGAGGTCTCCAGCTCTACCACTAATGCAAAATAAGTCCATTCTGGAATTGGATGATGTACCCAAGCTAGTCTACACTCCCACTGATTCTAGTAATCGGGATACTTACAGTAATTTACTCACATGGTGTACTGATTTGTTAGGAAGTGATGTTCCAGAGGATATTATATTGGGGACCACGGATCTTATTATCTCTCTTATTAAAGAAAAAATAACAGATACTAATGCTAAGGATTTGAAGCTAGTTGTAGAAAAAGAATTATTTACACGATTAAGAGATTCAGACTTCAACAAACTTTTGAAGCTAGTTGATTCAATATCGGATTACAAACTTGTGGATAACAATAAAAATGTGGAAGATACTACTGTACCACTTGTAATTAATGATGGTGGTGATATTATAGACACTAATGATTCCTTAAAAAACCCACTACTTATCGATGACTCTGTTCCTAAAGATAATAATGACTATAACGAGAAGATTAAAAACCTTGAAAACGATAAAGACAGCATACTAATCAAGGGCAACAAATCATATTTACCAACTGATATCCCAGCTACTCAATTAACCGAAGAATACTTGGTAAATTTATTTAAAACCGAAATTCCAAATAACGATCCTTATGTCCTGTACAGTAAAGTTATTGCCTCAAATACTGATACAAACAATATGATACAGAACTTGATTGAGTCGGTAGGCGATGATGTGAGTTCTACACTGATACAATTTATCAAACACAATGGTATAAAAATCAAATGGGCACATGAATTTTATAATTCTCAAGGAAATGAAACTAGTGTAATTGAGAGAATAAAAAATAGTGGCCAAGCTGATATAGCAGAAGAGTTCAAATTACTTATAAATGGGTCATCACGCAAGCGTAAATCATCAGAAGACAAATCTGAGTATGATTATCCCGACAGTATTCCTCAAAAAAAACAGGATACAATGATTAAATTCAGTACTAATGACTTAAAAAATTTAGCCTCAGCTAAAATATCTGGCAACCTTTCACAGAATATAACAGTAACATTACCTGAGGGGTCATTTAAAAGGGTAAGAGAAAATTTAGAAGAAATCCATATCCCTGCACCACAGAAGCCTGTATATGAGTCTGAGTTAATTAACATATCTGATCTTCCTAAATGGGCTCAAAAGGCTTTTCCATCGAAAGAAGTTACGACTCTTAACTATATACAATCCAAAGTGTACCATAAAGCCTTTCACGACGATAAAAATCTTTTAATGTGTGCACCTACTGGTGCAGGTAAAACAAATGTTGCAGTATTGACAATATTGCAAGTCTTATCGCAATATATTAATGAAGATACGGACTCATTAAAACTTAACGACTTTAGAATTGTCTATGTTGCACCTTTGAAGGCGCTAGTCCAAGAACAAGTTAGAGAATTCGAAAGGAGACTATCAAATTTTGGTATAAAGGTATCCGAACTAACTGGTGATACAACACTAACTAGATCTGAAATAGAGAAATTTCAAGTCTTAGTTACCACACCTGAAAAATGGGATGTTCTGACTAGAAAGAATGACGAAAATGATATTATGCTAAAACTAAAGCTTCTCATCATTGATGAAATTCATCTTTTAAACGACCAACGTGGACCTGTATTAGAGAGTTTAATAATGCGTGCCAAAGAGAACTGTCGACTAAGATCAAATCCTAGGATTATTGCACTTTCTGCTACTTTACCAAACTATGAGCAAGTTGCTAAATTTTTACAAGTTCCCGAAGAATCCATATATTATTTTGATAACTCATATAGACCATGTCCATTATCACAGGTGTTCTGTGGTGTCAAGTCTACTAATTCTGTAAAGAAATTATCTTTTGTGAATGAAGTTTGTTTTGAGAAAGTCTGCGATGCAGTTAAAGATGGCCATCAAGTCATTATTTTTGTACATTCCAGAAAAGAAACTACTCGTACAGCTAAATTTATTGCCGATAAATTTAGCTCTCTTGAAAAGAATATACTCTTTTTCGAAGAAAACTCGAGATCAATTTTAAAATCAGAAGGCGAGAACTCCAAAGATATTGATCTCAAAACTTTATTACCTCAAGGTATTGGAATTCATCATGCCGGTCTAGCCAGAGACGATAGATCTTTATCTGAAGACTTATTTGCAGATGGTGTCTTAAGAGTATTGGTGTCAACCGCTACTTTAGCTTGGGGTGTTAACTTACCAGCCCATACTGTTATAATCAAAGGTACTGATATATACTCACCTGAGGTGGGCAATTGGATAAGACTATCTCCTCAAGATTTACTGCAAATGCTTGGTAGAGCAGGTCGTCCTAGATATGATACTTCTGGAGAAGGAATAATTATCACAAATCAAACAGATATTCAATACTATCTGGGAATTTTAAACCAACAACTTCCAATAGAGTCGCAATTTTTATCAAAATTTGTGGATAACTTGAATGCTGAAATTTCTCTCGGGATGGTGAAAACTAAATTGGATGCAAAAAGATGGATAAAGGATTCGTACTACTACGTTAGACTTTGCTATGATCCTAGTACTTATCTTCCGGAAAACTTCAAGGAGATAGATAACGATAAGCGTATTTCTTGTTTCATATCAGGCTTGATTGATGCTGCTATTGAATTGCTATTATCTATGTCATTAATAATGATCGATAAAAGAAATGGTACATATATTCCAACAAAGCTGGGCAGAATAGCTTCTCATTACTATATTAGCTGCAATTCAGTTGCAAAATATTTTCAGAGGCTCAAAAAGACTTGTTCAAAGTCTGAGCTGTTCCAAATATTCTCAGAATCAGAGGAATTTAAGTATGTTAGTGTGAAACAGGAAGAACTTATTGAACTCAAGACCTTATATGACAAATCACCAATCCCCGTTTCTGTGCCCTTAGAAGAACCTTCTTCTAAGATCAACCTTTTACTACAGGCGTATATTTCAAAAATAAAGCTCGATGGATTTGCTTTAAATGCAGATATGATTTTCGTTACTCAAAATGCTGGACGACTTTTGTCAGCAATGAAAGAAATCTGCCTTGTTTTTGGCTGGTCAACCACAACAAAGTACCTTCTGGAGTTAACTAAGTCAGTACACTATCAAATGTGGCCCGTCTGTACACCATTAAGACATTTCAAAACTTGTCCAAAAGATGTAATTAGGAGAGCAGAATCTTCTAGCTTTCCTTGGCAGAACTATCTCAAACTCACAAAGGCATCTGATGTTGGAAAGGTTATAAGAAATGAGAAATATGGGAAGTTGGTATTAGATTTATTACAACGGTACCCCAAATTAGAAGTGAGCTATATCTGTCAACCTATAACGCCAAGCTTAATTCTGATACAACTGGAAATTCTTCCAGACTTCGTTTGGGACCCTAAAATTCACGGATTTGGCGAAATATTCTTTGTATTGGTAGAAGATGTTTCGGGCTCGTCAATTTTATTCTCTCAAAAAATTGTTATAAAAGAATCTGATGTGGGAAAAGAATATGTATTGAGTATTCCTATTCAATTATCTGTATCACAACAAAAAAGACTCCCCCCAAACATCTTCATCACAGTTACTTCAGAAAAATGGAATCAATTCTCTAAGGTCCTACCAATACAACTGAATAATTTGAAACTACCTAAAAAACTTCCATCAAAAGAAATTGTCAACAGTATTGAATCTCTGAATTTATCTAAAGAATTACCTAGTGATTTTGTGAAGGCACTTGGCTTCAATTCTCTGAACAAAATTCAGAGTGACGTATTTAACGAAGTATATCATGGAACCGAGAGCTTATTAGTTTGCTCTCCACCCTGTACAGGAAAAACAACACTAGCATTACTTGCCACTCTTTCACATATAATTAATACCAAAGGTAGAATTATTTATGTTGTGGGGAATGAAAAAAAACTTCAATCATGTTATGAAAAATGGATGATCTTTTTTAAGTCAATAAATGATAGCATCAAGGTCGGGAAACTAGGAGGCAATCTCCAAGATAACTTAATTACTTTTTCTCATTCTCACATAACTCTGACTTCGCCGCAGCAGGTAGAAGTGTTAACTCATAGGTGGAGGAAACTGAAATTACTACTTGACGTCGACCTCCTAGTTTTTGATGATATTCATGAAATAGGCCAGGGACTGACAGGAGCCAACTACGAGATTGCTGTTTCTAGATTCAACTTCATCAAAACCCAAGCAGACTTCAACCCAAGAATAATAGCATTTAGTAATTGCCTCTTGAATCCATCAGATATTGCTGGTTGGATTGGAGTTAAAAAAGAAAATACACATAACTTCGCGACCGACGAAGATCAGAGTTATAGGGTTATAAATATAAAAGCGTTTGAAAATATATTTGCGAACGATTATACAAGATCAATGCTATTATATGCAACTAGTTTTGTATTATCATCGCAATCAACTCTGGTGAAAAATGTCCTATTAGTAACGACCGGAAAAGTTGGTGCTTTACGTGCTGCAAATGAAATACTAGCCTTATTGAAATCAAATTCTAAGCTTCACAAAATAAGTGAAATAACCGACTTTGGCATTGATCAACAAGACATGGAAAAGTCTGCTCAGAAGTATCTATCTTACGGTATCGGGCTATGTCACGAAGGCATGAAACATGCTACAATCTCTAATATAGTTAATTTGTTCAACGCTGGTGTAATTTCTGTTCTAATATCATCTAGATTCACAATGATTCAGAATATCAAACCAAGTCAAATTGTTGTTTTAGGCACAAGCTGGCATAACTGTGGAGAAAGCTCCCCAGTACACTACTCAATAAACGAAATTATGAATCTAGCTAATTTAAGCTATCATCATTCATCAGATGTTACTATTTTGACCGATTCCAACAGACTACCACTTTATAACAGATTTTTGAATGATGGCATACCGGTTGAAAGTTTTCTTTATGAAAAGTTGATTGATTTGTTACTTACTGAGGTAGTCATTGGAACAGTAAAATCCAGGCAAGATTGCCTTGACATACTAACTTTCACTTATTTCTACCGTAGAATTCATAATAATCCATCTTATTATGGTTTGAAAGATGCCAGCTCCTTATCTATATCAGGTTTTCTCACTGAAATAGTTGAAACTGCTATTAATGACTTGAGCACTTCTCAATTGATTAAGCTTGTCAAGGGTTTAAGCTCCGACGATATTCATAATGAGATTATTGAAGAAACCACATGGTCCAGAATTTCCACTATTCATGGCATCTCTGCTGCTACACTAATTGGTTATATCCAATCCTTAGATGGCAAAACAACATTAACTGATATGTTGCATCTTTTAGTCAAGACTTCTGAATTATCAGCAATTGAATTTCATGAGGATACGCTATCAATAGTTCATAAGTTAGCGGCTTTAGTACCATTGAAATTCCAAGGCATATCTAAAATGGAGTATTCTTCATACGCCTCTTTTGTTTTATTACAATGCCATTTTTCTCGCATTTCTATTCCTTATGAACTAGCAGACCATATCAATAAAATATTACTTGTGATACCGCAATTGCTCAGCTCAATGATAGATATACTTGCCAGCCAAGGCTTAATGAGTGCCCTGACTGTGATGGATATGTACCAAATGGTAATGCAAGCATTATGGGACATTGATAGTCCTTTGAAACAAATACCATACTTTACAAATGATATCATAAAGATTTGCAAAGAAAAGAACATTGATTCGGTATATGACATTATGGAGTTAGATGATGACGTAAGAGACGAAATATTATCCTTTAATGATTCCGAATTACTAAATATTGCAAGCTTTGTTAACACTTATCCAAATATTGAAATAGCTCATGAACTGGACCACAAGGTAGTTCCAATGGGAAGCTCACAAAATATTACCATAAACATATTTCGAGACGATGTACCTGATTCGCTTGAAACTATAACACCATATTATCCTGCAAAACACCTTGAACATTGGTGGATTGTATTAGGTGATGTTTCAAAGCAAAATGTCTATGCTATTAAGTATGTTAAACTCCCTTCGGAGAGCAATCACTTTAAACTATCATTCTCGTTACCGGAACGAGGAACACATAAATTAACTATTTGGGCTATCTGTGATTCCTACTTTGAAGCCGATAAAGAGTCATCATTTGAAATAGAATGTGTATGAAATATATATTATTATTCTCTAATAATTTATTTATGCAGTATTAGATATTTGATTATAATACAATGAAAGTCATACCAATGAAAAAAATGGAACTGAAGCAAAAAACGAAATACATCTTAGGCATTTAGCCAAAAAGAAAATATGTGGCGATAGGCTAGTTTATCATTCCTCATCGGCAATCATATTTATGTCTTCATCATCATGTAGCATTCCGGCAGACGCGTTGTTCTTTTTTTCATGGTCATTTTGATATTTTATTAAGTCGTTATAACTCCAAACAGATACGCCTTGTTGATCCTTGGGATCTGTTGGTTGCGCCATTGTTCTCAAAAACTGCTTAGCATTAGAAATTGCCATATCAGTAGACAAATTTAGGTCAGCTTCTGAAAGACCCTGTGCAATCCACTTAGGCAATTGATTTCTTTTCCTTGAGAAACGACGGTCAGCCAAAATCATTACTCCATAATCATCCTTACCTCTTAGAACTCTTCCCAAACATTGGGCAGCATGTCTCATAGCATCAAAAGACAAGAAGTCATTTTCTCTGATTCTATAATTTTCTCTCATGAACTCTAGTCTAGCCTTTAAAATTCTAGACTCTGTGTACTGGAAAGGAATACCTATCATAAGCACAGTTCTACCATATTGATGATCAAAATCAATACCTTCTGATACCTTACCTCTGGCCACAGACAATAATATGGCGCCTCGTCCATTGGAGCATGCCTTTCTATATGTTTCTAATGCCAATGAAGTTTCTTGTGCGTCTGGAGTTTCCACAAGTATCAACTTATGCTTCCAAACTTCATCCAAAATACCCATTGTTTGCCACATAGAAACAATACTTTCCATATAAAGATACGATGGGAAAAAAACAACCATACCATCCGGTGTGATTTTGGCAAATTCCACTAACATGGAACCATAATTACGCACAATACTAGGATCATTACGAATTTCAAATCTAGATGAAATAGCAACCTGATCAGAACCTTTCGTTACTATCATTGGTAGGAATGATTTTTTTGCTAAAGACATAGAATATGATTTCTGTAAAACAGTTTCAAAATTTAGCATTCTAGGATACATATCCAAAGGTGAAATTGTACCAGAAGTAATAATTACAGATGAAAATCTTTCAAAGACTGGTTTTATGGCTATCGACGCATCCAGACAGGTGAATCGCATGATTGGATTTGGAACTGCAGCATTTTCAATCTCATATGGCTCAATTATCAATGTAAAACCATCTTCATATGTAGATACAAGAGTAGCAAATGTAGCAATATCTTTTAAAGCGGCAAATTCCTCTACATCTTCGATTTCAAGCGTTCGTACCAGCAATGATAATCTCTCGGAACAAAATCGTAAAGGTTTTCGATCTATGAAGGTAAGTTGCTTCAAATGTTGTAGGAATGACCGAGGGGTTTCGGAGATGACATGCAATACTTTCATTCTTGTCTTCAAATATTCGATAAGTCTCTTTAAAAACGAGATAAAGTGTTCAGCTCTTCGTATATTACCAGGAATTGCCTCCTTTAATAGATCCTGTGGTAAAACTGGGGTTTCAACAAATGGCTCTTCAGTTTGTGTCATTATGTCCTCCGCGTGTAAACCTTGCACAAGTTTTTCATACTCATCTTGCAGTTTCCTAGCATCCACTTGTCTTGCTTCTGCAATCCTTTCATTTAAAGTATTTGCACCTTTTGTTGCTTTTCTTAACACATCATTAGTTAAATCGAGGGATAAGGACTCAATACAAACGTTATCAATATTGTGCGCTTCATCAAATATCACTATACTGTCCTTTGACACCTCATGAGAAACACGTTCAGCAATCTTCGGATCGAGCAGATAATGATATGAGTATATGATAATATTGCACATAGAGATCATACGACGAACGATGAAGTAAGGACAAAGAACTTTTTGTTCGCAATATTTTATTAACTTTTCAAAGGAAAACACACCATTTGGTAGGTAATTTTCAACATCAAGTTGATATAAATTCTCATGGTAGTCACAAAGTTCTACATTTGCTTCGGGATCTTCTTCCAGCTTCTTTTTAGCTTGACCATTAGTCATTCTTCTACATTTTTCATCAACAATAGTACCACTTCTTTCTTTGCTGACCTCTGGATGCAAACATAGATTCTTTCTAGATGTCAGCCCGAGTCCCCTAAACTCTTCTTTAAAGCCCAGCTCTTTAGCTCTGTAATCCATCAAGTTCTCCAATTCAACCAGAGCTTTCTCAATCTCTGACATAGTACGTGAACAATATATGATCTTTCTATGCTCCGGATAATGCATCTGGTACGCAATCGTTAGAGAAAGCAATGAAACAGTTTTACCTGTGCCAGAAGGCATTTCCAATATACTGTTACCACCGGCATCTAGCGTCCTCTTGATATCCCGCATATACTGGTATTGCTCCGGGTATATCTTAGGGTATGGAAACAACACCGGCAAGTCGTCAATAAAGAACTTCATATCAACAAAAAGTCTAAAGTTTAGCTCTCTGGTCCTCTAAATTTGAACCTAAAATGCTCCTATAATGCAATTACTAATATATTACCAGTAGTAAACTAATCCAATTATGCTACTGCTCTGCTTGAGATGACCAGAGTAAGTTCTTATAACTTGGCTGATCTATCTCTGAACTTCCAAACGAGCTTCTTAGAGTCAAAGATAACACCTAGGATGCACCAATATTTAACTCTACATATCACTAATATTGATCCGTTTTAATTGCTTTGTATTACTTGGTTTTTCAATTTTTTCGCACATAGTGAAGAAAATGCGGACAGGCCCTTCCAACAGCTTTACTAGCAACACACAGAGCTAGTGGTAATCACGTGTAACATGTATTATACTGCGTTTGGGAAGTATTATGTACAGTTCAACACACCTGCTATAGCATAGATGATATATTTATGGTATTAGGTTTTCCTAATTTGCTTGCTATTTCACTGATTCATGGTTTTCATCGGACTATTTGTGTTTTGCTTTATTTTTATTAGCAATTTGAAAGGATATTTACGATATTTTAGTATTTGAAAATATGCAAAATCGGTAGGAATATATAATATCATTTAGCTAGTCTATCTGACGTGCAATAAATAAATAGCTATTGCTTTTTTTTTATATTTTTTGTATTTCGTTACTATCATAATCTTGGCTGGATTTTCTGTTCCTTCTTTGATTCAAAGGCTTCGTGATGCAGTTGTTGTTCCTTAGCACCAAAATGCTGGTTGATCAGGGCACACAGCTTTGGGAAAATGATGTCTGAAGTATCCCCAGATATGGTTGCCAGTATACCCTGCTTGGCGTAATGTTCCTTGATCGGGCCGAGAGTTTTCTTGTACTCTTTCATCCTCTTCTTGAATACCTGGACGTTATCATCTGATCTTTTCACCAGTGGCTCGCCAGTAACATCATCCTTACCGGCAACTTTAGGTGGGTTGTACTGCAAGTTGTAGACCCTTCCACTACCCACATGGATATATCTGTTATCGATTCTCTCTAGGATAACCTCCTCGGGGACATCTAGCTCTACAACCAAATTTAGCTTTGCGTTGTTTTCCCCCAATGTACTATCTAAAGAGAAAGCCTGTCTCTCAGTTCTTGGAAACCCGTCCAGAAGCCACGATGACTGCGGGTTCAGCCACTTCTCCTTAGACAAGTGCGCTATGAGCACCTGTGTGATGACCTTGTCCGGAATCAACTTCCCCTGCGCAATGTACTTGGCCGCCAACACACCAAGCTCGGTGCCTGACTTCAACTCATGTCTCAGGATATCCCCCGAAGAAACACTCTTAAGCTCAGGTAACACCTTCAGAAGCTTAGAGGTCTGTGTTCCTTTCCCAGACCCAGGTGCCCCCAGTAACAATAACCGCAAAGGCCTGGCTAGTCGCAAACTCATTTTATTCAATCTTACTCAGTCTCAGTTCCAAGATAAGGACAATCTGATACGTTGTCCCTTGCCTTTCCAACAGTCATTAGGCTATCCATCCTCGAACCTACAAGAGCCCTGTTTATATACTTTCCCCTCGAGGCTGGGTTCCCCCGGATGATTTACTCTAAAAACGTCATTCCCGATGGAATTTCACTGTTTCCTAGTATCATTTCACGTCATCCTGCGGTGTTTTCTGTGATATGACTTCGGGCAAAATGGGCCGGGATTGTGGAGGGTGGGGACCCTTTGCAATCTCCCTTCGTCCGACGACCCGTCAATGCGCAGTGTAGTACTGATGGGATAGTTTTGTAGTTGTTATATTTCTATATGGTTATTTGACACTTACATACAGCTTATTGAGATGAATAATAAGATCATTTTTGTGGTATTTAGTTGTGGTTTTGATATTAAAGATTTGTATATCTGAATATATAGTCAGGGTTGTCCTTCACTCCATAATTCTGTCGTCATCTTTCATGACTTGGACCATGTCAGTGCCAGCTGATGATCCAACACCTGGGATACAAGGGATCTTCTTGTTCAAGTGTTGCAACACATGGTCCCTTCTCTTGAACCGTTTGCCACACTTTGGGCACGAGTGCGGCTTCTCCCCAGAGTGTACGGATTTCTTGTGTCTGGTGAGGTGGTGACCCGAGGAGAATTGTCTCTTACATTCCTGACACACGTATATCTTGCCTGAGTCAGAAAGGATCACTTCGCCCTTCTCAAATTTTGGACCTTGCGCTTCCACGGATTTGGATTTAGATCTAGCCTTGTCGGTTGGAAGCTTGGTCTTCGATCTCGAAGGCCGCATCATAGAGTTCGTTAGTTCGATGTCCTTATTTGCAGCTGCGGCCAAGGACATCAGCGGTGATGATTCGTATGTCTCGCTACTAATCTGCCTTAATCCGTTCGAAGGTGAGTTCTGGAACGCGGATAGCCCCATGTCAAGCAACGAGTTCATATTCTGGTTAGGGTTGATATTATTCTTGTCATCCATCAGGGCAGGAGATGCCGCCTGGTAATTGCTGTTGTTCACCGGATTCAAGTTACTTAATTGTTTCTCAGTAGGAATCGGGTAGCTTAACGTAGTGTTTAGTCCCAGCGGAGACCTGACCTCGTTTTGCAAAGAAACAGGACTCTTCGATCCCTCCCTAGAAATATTGAGGGTGACGATGTTAGGAGATTTTAAGCGCTTGATAAACGGCATGTTTGACCCCCCAGGCGACATTGGAATCGGAGAAGGCATTGAGTTAAATGTTCTCTCAAACTGGTTCCCATAATATGGAACAGGTTTCGGCGATACTACTGACATACCTTGTTGCACATTTGATCCACTGGTGACAAAATTGCTTGCAGCATTAACTGTATCATTAGAACCACTTTTCATTTTCGAGTTGGCTTCGTTAGGAATATTAATATGATGTAGCCGTGGAGAAGATGGCCGGCTATTAGCCATTGAGGTCAGACTCAGAGCCAGCATATTGTCATCGTTATTATCTAGCAGTACAGGATTGGACCCCAAACCACTCCTCATCGGGCCAAAAGACAAGTTTGATAAAGGTGTCCCGTTTTGAGATCTTTGCTGCTGTTGTTGCTGATTTTGCTGATCCTGTATGTTTTGTAGTAATGGAGAACTAATGTTTGAGTTTCCAATCAATTGGGAAGGTAAGTTAGTCTTCCTTTTGAATTTCAAAGTTGGGTCATCTAAAGTTGGCTCAACAATGTTTGACAGATCTATCATTTTAGATAAAATTGGAGAAGACATTCTTTGTATCGATTGATTGAAAAACAGATTCGTTCCGGGGCTATTAGACCTAAGAGGACTATCACGCGCAAAAAAAGGATCATTCTTCAAAGATGTCTCCATTCGAGGAGAGTTTTGTGGTGATCTATTCAGCAGCTCGTCAAATCCTCTCAATTTTTTAGCCACACCAGGGACATTGGCTTCAATTTTAGTTTTATTACTTTCCATTTTTATGTTTGTTGCGGGGTTCGAGTTATCACCAAAAGTGTTATCATTAGATTGCCTTTGTACGTCAACAGAGGCATTTAAATCATCTTCGTTGCTATCAGTTACTTCTTTCTTTACATCCTTTATAAGCTTACTGTTATCGTCGTTATCTTCATTTTTTACTTCGTCATCCTCTTTAGTAGCAGAAACATTTGATATGGTTTCATTAGAATCTACTGTTGAGCTCTTTCTCTTTTTTTGAGGGCTATCTTCTGTCTCGGGATCCTCGATTTCTCTTTTCTTTTTGAAATTTGACCAATTCTCAGCCAATTTGTCTACGTCTACTTCTACCGAGTCGCTGATACAACGACATTTACCGGCCTTCTTACCGATTTCGAGCCAGTCCTCCAGAGCAAAGTTGACAGACTCTGCAAGGTTATAACCATAATTAAATCCAGCATGGTATCCGTATGGGTATGTGATAATAAACTCATGCTCATAATGCGTAACTTTGTTACACTTAATATTATTTTCTTTCAGTACCTTGGGTGAGACCAAGAACATCTTGTGACGAAGAAACTCTTTGCATTTTGATGCTTCTTCTGGAAACTTTTCCTTCATAAATTCATAAAATTTTTCGTGATCCTCTTGTGGGATGGAGTACCATTGTTTTGGTGCTCCGAAATGAATATAGTTAATAGAGTACAGATCCTGGTCTTCTAAGTGCCAAGTGAACGAAGCCTTCCACAGCCCTGCGTAAAGATAAGCCTGGTTTACACCCGGTATGTCTTGGTCTATATGTGACAGCACATTCGGAAGCTTGGCAACATTCCACTCTTCTAGATCAGATGGGAATATCGACCCTGAACTATCTGCGCCGTACAACGGTGTTGTGAAATTCAGAGTCTTCCAGTAGTAACTCTCTAGGAACTTCAGTCTCTCCTCGTCATCGAAATCTCGGATATTCTCAGCATTATACTCCTTCATGAAGTTTTGGAAATCTTCTTCCGTAGCTGAGTCACAGTTCTTCAACTTGATACCGCTCGAGGACCGTCTTCGTTGCTGTGATCTCTCATTGTCCTGTATACTCTCCTCAGACTTGTTCTTCAGACTGCTAGGATCGTCCGGCACGCGGAAGTCATACGACAGATCCTTCCACTGTATCATATTATAAGTCTTGTTCTTCTCCACATTAGAAATCATATACACACCTTTCGATCCACTAACATGCTGCTGTATCGGGTTCCTGATCCGCACTTCGCGCAAAAGGTCTTCGCGGGGCTCCCGACCAGCCCGGTCAAGCCATTCACGGGGCGGAATTACCTTCACAATACCACTCGCCATACCATGCGGACGTATCTTCTCCATATACCCCATGAAGTCCTTGAACTCCTCCCACGCAGGCCGGAAAACAGGCACACCGTCCACTACCTCCATTGCTTTCTCCCGTCTCGATCTTTTCGTAGTACCTGCAGCTCAAAACCAAAGGCGCTTATTCGGGTACGGTTTATCTCCTCCAATCGCTTAGCCGCCAAATACCTTCTTACACAGCGCAGCTCACCCCAGTTGGTATAAGAAACTTATAACGTCCCATCCCCTAAAAGCTATAAAAGGGCCACTCGTCGCTCCCCTTAAAACTTTTTTCAGAAAAAAAAAATTTTTTTCAGTTCGTGTCCTGAGATGTTGACCTATAATCATGTGATACTAGTTCGGCTACAATGATATGAATGTGCTTTGGTACGTCAAAATCATCTGATTATTCGTATCTAGTGTGGAGGTCACATGAATTTTCAGTCAAAAGTTCGTATATCGGTATAACTGAAATTTTGCGATGCCCTGTAAACTCTCTGGCAATGTCATACAGACACACATGCACTATGTAGTGTGGCCTTTACAATACAATATTGGTCTGTGGTTCAATCAAATATATGTAGCTGTTGCTCTCCCAATGCGCTAATAGTTGAAAGTATCTTCTTGGCAAGTTTTTTCTTTTAGTTGGTGGAAACACATATGTTCAAGGCAATTAGGCGTGTTTTTACGATGATTCCGAGGATCCAATTGACTGAGAAAGAGACCAGGATATGCAACTTGTTGAAGGACTACACTGCGCATTACAATAGCTTGCACTATGGACAGGAACCCCTGACGCTGCGGATCACTGGTGGTTGGGTCAGAGACAAGCTGCTGGGCCAAGGTTCCCACGACCTGGACATCGCCATCAACATCATGTCCGGTGAAGAGTTTGCAACGGGATTGAACGGTTATCTGTTGGAGCACTTCGACAAGTACGGTGTGAAACCACATAGCATCCACAAGATCGATAAGAACCCTGAGAAGTCCAAGCACCTTGAGACCGCTACCACAAAGCTGTTTGACGTCGAGGTGGATTTCGTCAACTTGAGGTCCGAGGAGTACACTGAGGACTCCCGGATCCCAACTACCCAGTTTGGTACCCCTGAAGAAGACGCTCTGAGACGGGATGCCACGCTCAATGCGTTGTTCTACAATATCCAGCAGGACGCAGTAGAGGACTTTACGAAACGAGGCTGGCAAGACCTGCAGGACGGTGTGTTGCGTACACCTCTACCCGCTAGACAAACTTTTCTCGATGACCCATTACGTGTTTTAAGACTAATACGATTTGCCTCAAGGTTCAACTTCAACATCGAAGCCGGCGTGCTGAAGGAAATGCATGACCCTGAGATCAATGAAGCTTTTAATAATAAGATATCCCGTGAGAGAATTGGTGTGGAGATGGAAAAGATATTGGTTGGCCCAAACCCTATTTTGGGTCTGAAATTGATCCAGAGAACACATTTAGAAAATGTCATATTTCTATGGCACGGGGATCAAAGTGTTATTGAATACAACAGGAAGAATTGGCCTCAAACAAAAGATGTGGAAGATATTTACAAGAAGGGCATTTTCAATCATCACTTGAAGAACTTCATCCACCACTACAAGGACTTCTTATCAAGATATTTGAAATTAAGGCAGGCCATCGAGACGAAAGACAAGTCATTCCAGCAAAATTTCCTGTTGGCCTCGATTCTAATACCTATGGCTGATTTGAAGATAATTGCTTTGCCAAAGAAGAAGCTTAACAATACTCTACCTGTTTCCGAAAGTATCGTCAGAGAAGGCCTGAAATTCAATAAGGCCTCTTCTATAGTTGTAGCCAGATGTGTTGAAAACATTGCAGCCTACAACAGCATGGTTGAAAAATATCTACAATCTGGTGATTTGAAAAGGTCAGAAGTGGGTACATTTTTAAGAGAGCTAAGAGGAGATTGGGAGATTGTCCATTACGTCTCTTTGATGGATCAGTACTTAAAATATATATCCCGAAAGGATAATGTTGTTAATATAATAGACAAATATGACCGCTTCTGGAATTATATTCAAGAGCAAAACTTACAAGACAGTGATAAAATGGTACCAATCATTGATGGGAAACGCATGGTTAAAATATTAGAAACAAAACCCGGTCCATGGTTAGGTAAAATAAACGATGAGGTCATACTGTGGCAATTTGACCATCCACAAGGCACTGAGCAAGAACTGATATCATTTATTAAGTCCATCCTGCCAAATTACCTTCAATGATTATATGTCAGCGATTTTATAGATTCCAATTTATTAGATGCATTTATATATACTATTTGTTTTTTGCTCCATAATAGTATATCTTGAAAAACCAGTTCAATTTGCTTGAAATTCATTGTATCAATCATTCTATATAAATATGTAAATCTCTAAACGCAATTATTAAATAGTTTGTGGAATAACATAACTAATGGTCTTTGATTGCGTAAATGTCAGGATTGTCCGAAGAGTTTTTGTGTGGAATATTGTCTTGATAAAAAATAAATGGACACAAATTTCCATATATTCCTATTATCATAGACAAATGCTCATGATTGTCTTGTATAACTATAATGGTCGTGGTTATAGTTAGTTGCCATAGTACAAATCATTAGATAATGCTTTGAAAGTTGTATCAGTTTGTGCATTTTGATTATTCATTACCTGATGATCAGGTATTTGATAGCCTCTTGAGCCATATGCAGCATGGTTCTGATCTGGATTCTGACCAGAAGCAAGACTATCGGGTAAAAACTCATGGCCTATGGGCAGATCAGTATCAAAATTAAAATCAAAATTGGAGCTTAATTGTCCTTGGGTACCTTTTGTTTCCATTTCACAGTCGTCATTTAAAATTTGTCTGTTATTAGGAGCCATATTATCTAATCCTAATGATTTGTAGTCAAAATCTTCAAATATGGAGTTATCATTGTTGTTTTGTTGTGTTTCGTTTGTATCATCAATTTGTGTTTCATATAAAAAGTTGGTCATAAAGGAATCCATTGCAGTATTTGATCGGGTGCCTCCACTATTAGCGCTTCTATTAAAATCGTTGTCATCGAAATGTTTGGTATTATTATTAACAGCTAGCTTACGATCACTTATATTTGTATCAAGCAGTCTCATCAGGTCTATTTCAGATTTCCTGGTATCGCTACAATCCTCGTTCGGTCTTTCTTCTTCATCTAGTTCCTGAATCGCGTTGTTTGATATACCCCTCATGGATGATACACCTTCAATTGGGGTTGGGACATCATTTGTGTCAAACGGTTCTGAATCTGTATGAAATTCTTTCTCTGTCATATAAGATATATCACTTGTTTGTCTTGAATTGCCGACTGCCGTTTTACCACTGAAATACGTAGTAGATAAAGAATTGATATCAGTTGCAGCTGGAGTAGACGTATTTGAGTAAGACGTTTGTTGTCCTGGATGATTCGCAAAATACGAGGTCCCTAAAAATGATGAAGGAGTAGTGGCTAGATTTGCAGTGTGGTGATTGTTGCTGGTTGGCGTATTTTGAAATTTTGAGAGCTCCGATATAGATTCTTGCTTCTTTTTATGATTAACAGTTCTTTTACTTTGTGTGTCCAAATACACCTCAGTCCCAGTTGAAGGACCCAAATATTCTGGTGTAGTTAGCGGAACGAGACCAGATAGATCTCTAGAGTGACGACAAGTCGATGAACTCCTAGTGTTTGATCTTGGTCTCACTGGAGATGCAGTTCTAATGGGTGAAAAACGGTTTGCTATTGATGCTAATGAATTTAATGATGTAGTTCTATGAGCAGATATTTTTGAAACACCTGACTTTGTAATATTCTGTGTGCTATTTTGAAATGTTGTATTGGAGTTTGAAGAGCTAGTGGACCCGCCTGTATTCGCTCTTTTCCTATGAAACAGCTTCGTGAATGCTACCGAAGCGTCGTTTTCTTCTCCAGGTTCACTTATGTGACCTTTCATTAGTGCGTTAAAATTGTCATTTGTATCAACTTTGGTAGACTCTGTCAGCGGTGTTATATTTGTGCTGTTTCCAACATTCATGCTTGAGATAAAAGAAGTTATACTTGCGTTGGACATGTTTGAGTTTCGTGATATGTACGGATCCGAGTATTGATAACTATCAGTGAGGTTGCTGTTCTCGAATTCTGTAAATGGAGTATTGTGTGATGAAGGGTTGCTTAAAGTGGTGGTAGTTGACATCTTCCTTGCCGGTTTTGTAACTTTACTTGTCAAAGAAGTGCTGCTCGCAGCCTTCATAGGAATGGCAGAAGATGACACAGACCTTTTGCGATCCGTGGGCCCTACCCGTATAGCCGGTTTGGCCAAGTTTGGATCAGGCAGTGACTTGGGAACCATCTCGTCTTCTGCGAAATGGTTCAGTAAGCCCTCAGCAGATTTTGCGGCGCTATAGTTCAATGCGAGGTGATTGCTCATCTTATTCTGATTATTAATCAGCATCGCGTTGAAATCGGTGGAAGCGTTGTTGTTCTTGGATCGGTCACTCCCACTGCAGAATTTGTTGTATTTCAAGAAAGAGCCATACGATCTCCCTTGCGAATTGGGCGTGCTGGAAGAGCTAGACGTATTCGAAGTATTCGAGGAGCTCTCTGCGCTATTCTCGATCAGTCTGGCCGCCAGATCCTTCTGGGCATCCTGGTGCGACTCGGGCTCCAGCGGTATAACCTGCTCCTTCGACGACCCAAATATCTTCAGCATCCGTCGTCTAGAGGACTTGCGCTTCGAGGTCAGCACATGCTTGTTGTCTAGAATAGCAGCCTGTGTCACCGCAGAAGTCTTCGGCACCACATCCGCAACATCGTCCGCCTTGTCGTCATCCACCTTATCCCCAGTCTCGTCGTCATCCTGCACCGTGTAGTTCACAAACACCATCTGGCCCTTCTTGGAGCTCTTCCGCGACCGCGGAGTCGCCCTGTTCCGCTCCTCCAGCAGAATCTTCTTCGGACTCGACACAGACGGCTCGTTCTGCACAGCGCGCAGCGGCGAGTTCACAACCTCCGACACTGGCGTAGACCCTACAGACTTCCCGCGCTTGTAGTAATGCGGAATCCGCCATTTGTTCACGCTGTCCGCACTCTTGGCCTTCCCTCCAGACCCAGAGAGAGAAACCATCTCAATTATTTCCTAGTCGCTGGATCCTATCAGATGGATCTTGCTTCCCTGTTGGATTATCGATCCCTTCTTAAATGCCTTGATCCTATTTCAACTTACACGCTCTTCACTTCCCTGGAAAGCATCGAGAATAGAGCCCAATCCAAATTTTTTTCTTTCTGCCTTCAAGCTGGAGCTTTTCAAGCTGGAGCTTTGGAGCTTTTCAGGCTTGGTGCTTTCCCACTGCGTCCCTCGTCCGTCCTGCCTCGTCGCACTGACAGCTTCCTACCCAGGGCGTGCTCTGTGCGGCCGTTTATTAGCAAGTTCTTTTTTGAGTTCTTAAGTGCTTCGAGGAAACTCAAAAAACTATAGTGCGTCTGCGGGTTTCTCTAAGCAATTCAAGAATGATAAACGGTTTTTCTCTCTTTCTTTCTTTTATTTCTGTTCTGCGTTGGTTTCTGTGAAAGCAAGGTTTTCCTCTCTTTGTTTTCCACGTGGGTTTCTTAGGGGGTGCACAGAACACTTCGTGGAAGTAGTTGTTCGTTGATAGGTACTGTGTAGCCAATGAATAAATACGTAGTGTGTGATGACTATACGAGACGGCGCCGGATCGATGCCCTTGGTAAGTGATGGCTGGCGTGGCTGGCGTAGTTGGACGATTTGGTAGTACTTAGCAGTAATAATAACAAAAAAAGACTTTAATATACAAATATAATTCTATACAGCCGTTTATCTGAACTCACGGCTCTTGCGCTCTTCCATCAGTGCTGCGGCGTGGGTGACGCCCGGCAGGTCGAGGGATGCGCGCGCCCTGTCGACGGAGTAGCGGTTGTCGAGCTCGCGGTTGGCGAGCATGGAGTCCCTAGTTCTGTCGATGGACTGTCTGACTGTTTGCTCGAATGTGCCTAGCCCGACGTTGGCCTGAGGTGAGTTGAGCAGGTTCTGCTCCTCGCGCTCCGGCGACTCCCACTGGGTCTGCGGGATGTCGGGTGTTCTGCCGGACATCTCGAAGCCACGCGGAGTGCCGTCCGTGCCGCTGATGATGTTCATTGGGATCTCCTCGGTGAACACAGAGTCCCGGGACACGTTGCCACCGGCGTAGGTCTCGTCCTCCAGCACTATGCCTTGGCCCAAACGCTCACCGAACTTGGCACCTTTAGAGATCTTGGGTCTGTTGGGGTCCGTAGGATCGTAGCCAACGGGGTAGTGGTCGTAGTCGCCGCGCTTCCACATCTCTCTGATGATCTGCACATCCGAAGGGTTGAAGAACTGCGTGTAACAGTCCCAAGTGAATCTAGGCAACAAACAGAAGAACACACCAATGAAAAACACTGCCCAGAACGATGGTGAATCGTAGATACGTTCACCAGCTTTCCATAGATCCAAACTGGTAAAAGAACTGGTCCAAATACCAGTCCAGCCAATGACAACAATGCACGACAGGAAGATGAAAAACCCACTGAACCAGTCCCATCTGTACTGGTGGATCAATATGTACAAGTTACATGCAAACACCGCAATGGTCGTGACAATAATACCAACGTAGTATCTGTGTTCTAAACCCATACCATTCTTGGTAACAACACCATTTCTCTTGTAAAGCAGATATGGGAAAAAGAAACAAATGACCGATTGATAGAGACCATCAAACATATACCACAAGAACTTCGTCTGGTTCCATTCCAGTCTTAGAATACCCACTCTGTAAAGCTGAGGCACAACAAGGGAAATTGTGTCATTAACATCTTGGTCAAGAATACCTAGTAGAATAACTGGAATAGATGTGAATGCTAAATTGTAGAACATCAGGTAAGTGTATTCGAATAAATAGGAACCGTCAAAATTGTTATAAATACCATACCAGAATAGTGCCAGCGTGAAAATAACATTCTTATAGAAGAACTCGGGAATCATTTCGGAAAGACGTTTGTAAGACCATCTACCATGAACCAGTAATAATCTAGTCAAGTATCTGAATTGACCAATAGCATAATCGGAACACATGACGGCTTGACGACCTTCTTCACCGGCAATACCAATACCAACATCAGCTGATTGAATCATAGCAACATCATTAGAACCATCACCAATAGCCAAGGTCATAACATCCAAAGTATTCTTAACCAGCTTAACAACAGCAGCCTTTTGAGCTGGAGAAACTCTACAACACAAAACAGCCTTACAGTTTTTACATAATAGCAGGAATTTTCTTTTCATATCGTCACCTGTTAAGGCAATCTTCAACGCATCACCATCTATCACAACAGCAAAATCACCTTTAGGGAAAGAATGATCACCCTTTGCGTTATCTAATTCCATTTCAGATCCGCTGAGACCAAACTTCTCTCTTAAGTACTTGGAAATTAGCGAATTAACAACTTCGTGAGGATCCTCACCATACTCAAGGACATCTTCACCGGCAGTTTTAACAACAAGTAACTCCATATCGTTATTCAACAAATTACATGAAAAGCCAATATTGATAGCTGTTTCGACTTTGTCACCAGTTAGAACCCACAACTTTATACCAGCTTCCGCTAGTAATGCAATGGATTCTGGTACACCGTCTTGTAAACGATCTTCAATGGCAGTACCACCCAAAAGAATTAAGTCTCTTTCTATAGAGTCAGAAACTATTTCAAGCTGTTCCTCTCTGTTAGTTAATGATGCAGCTGCAATATCATATCTGGCATTCCATTCAGTGTATTCAGACCATGTTAGTTCTCTTTGAGCAAGACAAAGAGTTCTCAAACCCTCCGTTGCGTACTGTTCTAAATGAAGTGCAGTCTTTTCTAATAAAGTTTCGTCATTTTCGCCAGCCTTAGTACTCAATCTAGAGTAAATAACAGAATCAGCACCCTTACAAATTAACAGTGCTCTAGGTTCATCATTTGGGGTAGCACCAGGAATTTTAATGATACAACTCATTCTCTTCCTAGCAGAGTTAAATTCTAAAATGTTCAAAATTTCAAATTCCTTTTGAATACCCTGTATTTCAACAACCATACCAGTTTTAGTTTTACCCATGAAACAAAAACCGAGATCTCTTGCAGTAGTAACCAATGCAGCTTCGTCTGGAGATTGAGCCTTCATTTCAAGTTTGTTGGGATTAGTAGGACTAGGTTCAGTCAGCACAGAATGGCATAATGCGAGAGCCAACATGAAATGTTCACAACATTTCTTTTGTATATCCCCGTTACGCCCCTTGAAATCTTGAACAATCTCCTTTGAGATAAACGTAATTTCATCAGGGAAAAATTGGGTATTGTTAGAAAGATTTCTCAAATCATTGATCATGACATCTCTGTCTTTTGCAATTTCTTCTTTTTCTCTCCTACCTTCAGCTTCAACATCAATACCTTGTCTTTTTCTTAAACCTGCTAACGCTTCTGTATAAGCCCTACCATATGACACACCATTGATTGTACATTTCTTGAATTCCATAACATTCTGTGTTAGAGTACCAGTTTTATCCGAGAAGATATATTCAATCTGGCCCAAATCATCTGATATATTCCATGATTTAGGAGTACACGGATAGTCTAATTTGGCATTATACAACAAGACATCACCATAAATGAAAGCAGCCTGAGCAGTTTTTATAATTTCCACAGAAATATAAAGTGAGATAGGAACCAATGATTGATAAAGAATAACTGCGACCCAGAAAGATACAAAACCATTAGTGGCTGGATTACCAGCAACAGTACCAAATTCAAAGAAATCTCTTGATCTAGGATGTTTGTCATAATCAATACCATTTGCCAAACCAGAAATGAAACACAAAATGAATAAAACCAAAAAGTTAATCAAAACTGAAAAATTCAATTCTCTAGAAATACGTGATTTTTTTGTTGGAGTGACACCTGCGTTTAACATAATTTTAGTATCATCACCAGTAAAAACAACAATACCCATTGCCCATTTTGTGTTTCTTAGTGTACAACCACGGAGCAACATGTTGTTGATAGTTACAGGTTCGTTTCTCAACTCGTTATTTGTCGAATCCTTCCATTTCAAGTTACCTTGGTAAGAGTATAGGTTCGCATGGGGACCTTCACTTTCAATCCAAAATCTTGTCCTTGCAATATCTCTCGACGTCTTTATCTTATAACTACACTTCAATGCTTGTCTCACCTTCAAGTTTGTTTCACCGTCAAGATTTTTTGTCTCCACATAACATCCACCATCAGAGTCAGAAGTTGATAGTAAAATAATATCAGCTGGAATTTCATCATTATTGTGGATACGAACTATATCTCCAACCTTAACGCTCTTCCAGTAATCACGGGCAAACCTAGTATCAGTTCTTGGTGGTAATGTTCTATCGATAATATCAACATCTTCATCCTCACCAACTATATGGCCCATATTATCGTAGTCCAATGATGGTCTGTTATAATAATCTGCAGAAGGTCTGTAACTATCCATTGAGTCCAATGAATTCCTAGGTCCATGCCCATTTCTTGTAGATTTACGTAATTTACGACGCTGTCTCTGTAACCTTCTCCTCTTACCATCTTCGGTCATTCTTTCTTTGCACCATTGGATAAACTGCATTAGTAACCTACTATTTGCCTTTTTGAATCTTCTCCATAATGAGACATTGTCTACAGAGACATTTTCATTTACAACACCTTCTAAAATGTGAGTTCTTGTATTATTAACCTCCAAATCTAAAATTGTTCTTCTAGAATCTTCAATACCATCCTTGATAGCTGTGATTATAACAATCACAATAAGAGGCACTGCACTTAAGCCGGGATTGGTAACACCAAATATTTGGAATGCACCTAAAATAATTAAAACCAAAAAGTAAACATTGGCAAAGTTCTGGAATTGGAACAAGAGATTTTTCGGGAAAAAAGAAAGAGGGGTATACTTTGTCGTCCGAATTTTATTTCTTGGATATTCCATTATAGGATTACCTTCTTCATCTAACATTTCTTCCGGGAGGGGTAGGTTGTGGTATACTGTTCGCAGCTGATCAGCTCTATTCGTTGATCTGTCATTTTCCTCTTCTTCATCTCTGCTAAAATCATCAAAGGGATTTTTGATATTTTTCTTTGCCCACTTCAATGTCTTATTCCTAGACATGTTTCCAAATTGGGATTTGTGACCCTTTACTCTCCTAGTCCCCATCCTCAACCTTTTCATCTCTCGGCTACTATCGTTATGATCATCATTATCTAATGCCACATCGTCAAACATACCGGTCTTCGCACCACCCAAATGAGGGGTAGGTTGGATTGATGATATCTCAATGTCAGTATCGTCTGCCAGAGTAGTTTCCTTCTCCTCCATCTTATGACCATCATTCCAATTACCTGATCCACTTGTGTGTCCGTTACCATTTGATGACGAATTATTAACTGTATTATCTCCTTCCTCAAATTCAAAGGCATCATCAAATGGTGAGGTGATGAAATCACCATTTCCAGGTTTATTGCTTCCTGACATATTATAGTACAACAAAGAAGTAAATTTTCTTCCTACAAAAAAACTGTGGGCAATATATTTCTCTTTTCCTTAGGCGTCAGAAACTCAATCAATAACTCCAAATACTCAAATTCCTTAATAATAACGAAAAATAACTTTCTTCATATACCTTGCAAATCTTGGATAAGCCGCCTAATAGAGTGATCTAGTGACTTCAGAAGTTCCCTATTACTATCTTATAACGCGTTTTCAATCTTGATCGGTAAGCACTTGATAGAGTATCGGTCGGTAACAAAACAACAGGAAAAGACGGGAGTTAAACGTTTTCTCCTTAAACCCGTGTTCCCTATTTATAAGAAACCGTTAGTTGATAGTTAGATTGAAAAGTCCGTTATCAAGACCTACTTCAAATATTATTCGTTACTTCCAGCAAAAGAGATTTCTTAGCAGAAAATGGCTCAAAATGGCTTAGGACTTGCCAGTTTTCCCTTTCTTCTCACCGCAGATTGAAAGGGGATTCGTTGTATGTGATTTTATTTGGATGACGTATAAGAATGGCTATGATATGGTTTCGTGATTCAGCAATAAATCTCTATTACTATGAACTGTTGATCTAAACATGGGGATAAATTTGTTGTTAATAATAGATACACAAATATAGAACACTGTGGTTATTCCAATAATTTCCATTTCTTCGATATAACTGGGAGAAGGAAATCAGTTGCAATAATAACAAAAGATGTAAGTTGAAAGTAAAAAATAACCAATCCTACTGATTTTCCATAATCGTGGGATTTCTAAACTAATCTTAAAATATATCTTCTAGTTTACAGAGAGACAGAAAATGCAAGAATACACTCTAGGTATTTTGCGGAGAAGTAAAAAATAAGCTCGTAAGAGAATAGGAGCTTAAGTTAAAATAGTAATAATTTAATTTTCTTCTTTGATGATATGGCGAAGCATGCGTGATAACTTCATTAGCTAAGTCCAGATAATGATCTTTGCCATAAGGGAATGGTGTAACGCTTCCTTTTCATTGATAAAAATAAAATTATTGTAATTGGGGATGTGCTGTTTTTTAAAGGTGAGTATACTTTATTAGAAAATGGCTAAGCGATCCTTTAAGTTACTTAAGCTTGTTGAGCTTCTTCACCTTGAGGTTGTTGTTGTTCTTGCTTGAAGGATTCGTAAGCAGCAGATGCTTCCTTGAAATGTTGTTCGAACAACTCGTCGTTTTCTAGCAATGGAACGACTTCTTGTGGTGGCAAGTCCAAAATCATACCAGTGATCTTACCAGCAGCTTCTTCGTCATTGGTTCTGGAGAAGATTCTCTTGTATAGCTCTTCACCCAAAGCTTGTCTTTGCTTTTGTTGGTAGAATTGGTTGGCAGCTGGACCGTTTCTAGCAAAACCACCTTGTGGTGGGACACCGTAAACTGGACCGTTTCTGAATTGGTGTGGTGGCATACCGTTCTTTGGCATAGCACCCATGTTGGCCATTTGTGGGTTTGGACCGTTGAATGGAACACCTCTTGGTGGCATAACACCGTAGAACATTGGTGGCATGAATTGACCTGGCATACCAGCGGCGGCAGCAGCAGCGGCGGCAGCAGAAGCTTGTTGGAATCTCATTTGGTTTCTAGCTTGGATTTGTTGAGCTAGTTGAGAACGTCTGACATCCTTTCTTTGAGCAATGGCAACGTATAATGGCTTACCGGCAACGATTTGTTGGTTCTTTTCAGTGATAGCCTTGGTAGCTTCTTCTGGGGTGGAGAAACAAACAAAACCGAAACCCTTGGACTTACCGTTTTCGGTGGTCATGACCTTGGCAGAAGTAATGGTACCGTATGGGGCAAATTCTTCTTCCAACTTCTTGTCATCGATAGAGTCATCCAAGTTCTTGATGAACAAGTTAATACCTTGGTACTTAGCCATCTTTTCCATTCTAGTAGCTTCGTATTGCTTCTTCAATTCTTGTTGACGTTCGTACTTCTTTTGAGCACGGTTAACGTACAATGGTTGACCCTTGAATTCAGTGTTGTTCAATTCTTCAACACACTTGACAGCGTCTTCGTGGTTAACGAAGTTAACGAAACCGAAACCCTTGTTTTCACCTTCTGGGGTTCTCTCTAGGACAACAGAGTCGGTCTTACCGAACTTGGCGACTAGTTCTTCGAATTCCTTGTCAGTAGTTTCAGTGTTAATGTTCTTGATGTAAACGTTAGTGAAGTTAGCCTTCATTTCTTCGAACTTGGATTCACGTTCCTTCTTGGACAAGTGTGGACCGACATAAATCTCTTGGCCGTTCAACAACATACCGTTCAAAGCGTCAATAGCTTCGCTGGCGGACTCGTCTTCTTCGAAGTGGACGTAACCAAAACCCTTGGACTTACCGGTCTCATCGGTAGCGACCTTACTGGACAAAATGTTACCGAAGACAGAGAAAGTGTCATAAAGAGCCTTGTTGTCGATGTCTGGGTGCAAGTTCTTGATGAAGATGTTACCAGCACCCTTCTTTCTTAGGGAAGGATCACGCTGGGACCACATGATACGGCAAAGCTTGCCCTTGATTGGAGTGAAGTTCAGCTTTTCAATGGCGGTCTTGGCAGCGTCGTGGTCATTGAAGTTGACGTATGCGTAACCCAAGGAAGTCTTGGTGATAGCATCACGACAGACACGGATGGAAGAGACAGCACCAATTGGGGAGAAGATGTCGTACAAGTGAGCTTCGGAGACAGATGGGTCCAAGTCACCAACGTACAGAGAGGCAGAGACGGTCTCAGATTGGTTCTCCTCGTTGGTACCTTCTTGCTTATCTTGCAAAGAAAGGTTTTCCAATTGTTCAGCAGTCTTTTCAGTAATGTCAGCCATTGTAACTTGTGGTATTATTTCAGTTGTAATTATTTTTTTTTTTAAATTCTCCTCTCTTAGATGTTATTGAACTAGAATACTATGTCCAATATGCTTTCTTTGCTCAGGGAAATTAAAAATTCAGATTATTATTTCAAGTACTAAAAAAAATTTTCTTCTTCAAATTTTATATGTGTGAATAAATTTTTTTTTCTTTGTCAAAAGGTAGTATTTCTTCTTGAAATAGGTTTTCTTGATTAATATTTTTTTATAATTGGGTTTTATGATTTTTTTTTAGATTTTTTAGTTGTATAAACTTAATCTTTTTTTCAATCAATTGTTGTGTTCTTCAACTTCTTTTTTTTGTAACTTCTGGGTCAAAATAGTTCCAAAACAACAAAGGGATCAGAAAGAAAAAGTTATCTCTTTTTTTTATAGGCAGAGTATGGAGTTCCTCAAGTTAAAAAACAGCAGTCGTCCTCTATATACAACAGCGAAACCTTATATAAACAACTTATAAGACTAAAATCCTTCAAATGAAAACTTTTCAAAGTTTTTTTGTTCAAAGACACAATCCATCAGTAAAAAAAAAAATTTTCCAAAAACGTTCGCATCGCTTCTTGGGAGAAGCTTCGATGAGGGATGGGCCGTTGTGTATGACTCGTGTATGAGCATTTGTATACTATGTAGTTAGTGTGTGTGGGGGGGGGGGGGTATTGGGTTTAATATTACATATCTACTTACTTCTCTGCGCTTGTTATCTTCTTGTACATTTCCATTAGCTTTGCGCTCTTCACTGCTGCTGGCCAGAAGTTTGAGCTGTAGGACCAGAGGTGTTTCCTGTGGCGGTCCGGGTTCTTGTTCTTCTTCGCCTGGGCTTCGATGTAGTCACCGATGGCTGTGAGCTCTGATTTTAGGATCTTGGCCCATTCTCTCCTGTCTAGGCCTTTGCCACCACGTCTTAAACGCTTCAGAGAGGATCTCATCGAGGTCATCGTATGTCTGCACTCTTCCTCGTCCATGGAGTCGTATTCCTTCGCATGCGCGCCACTTGTGCCGTTTTCGTTCTCCTTGTTGCCATCTCTCTGCGGTGAGTTGGTCTTCTTGTTGCGTGACACCAGCGAGGCTGGGCCCTTTGGCAGTGCCTTTATACGTTTGGTGGGTTGGCCCGGTGAGTCGAGCTTGCCCAGCTCAGGTGTGCCAGAGGCACTGGTCTCCGAGAAGGAGCTGGTATTGTTGGGTTTGCGGTTACGCTTCCTTGGATTAGCAGCAGTCTTTCTGGATGACTCTGATATACTGGATGAGCCGCTGGCACCAGTGGTGGGCTTGCCGTCGTTCTGTAAGAAATCTATCAGATAGTCAACTCTTCTGCCGAGGTGCAGTGCACCAGGTACTTTCTTGCTCTCTCTGCCCTTGGACCTCTTGCCACCTGTGGCATCTGGTGTCTCTTGTTTCACTTCCTCCTTGACTTTATCTGTGGCCGCTGAACTCACATCGCTCAGGAATATCTTGTTGGTTAGTCCCAAGAACGGGTCATCACGTATTTGGGCCCACGCACCGTAACCGTACTTATGGATACCAACCATCAATTTCTCGTCATCCATTTGGTTCCAGTCACAGTTCCAGTTGGTCACCGGCTTAGGATGTGCTTTGTCGAACTTGAACTCAAGTGGGTCATTCTTGAAATGCGTCTTGAAATAATTGTTTACAAACTCTAGATCTCTGCACCTGTTGACAATGGATTCCGCATTCAAAGACTTAACTTTGTGGAAAGTAAATAGGATTGCCTTCTTCTCCCTACGTTTCATCGTCAACCTAGTTATTGGATTATCCTTCTCTTGTTCCTCAGCCTTGATTTCACCGGTCTTCAGCTTCATCTTGTATTCATGGGCAGCTGCTTCAAATTCCCGAAGCGTTTGTGTTCTCTTGGTATCTTCTTCTTCATATATGCTCTTGGCTTCATCAAGTAGCTCTTCCAAGATTTCTTTATACTTCTCGATAGATTTTACCGGCAATGTCCCATCTGCTATAAGTTCATCAAGTTTATCAGTAACATCACCAAAGCGAAGAACTGCCCTGTATAGAGCCCTTACCTCAGAGTCGCCTATAGAATTTAGATCGTTGGTTTTAGCTCTTCTACGAGAAGACCTGCCATCTTCATCATCAGATGTAACGGTAGATCCCTCACCATTTACACTATCTTTTATCTTCTTCAAAGCGTTGTTTCTTCTATTCATCATCTCTAGCTGCTCTTTGACGTATTCCTCGTCCTTGTGTCGCTGCTCTTCATCTTGTAGTTTCTTTAGTTCTTCTTCAGGAATAATATCGTCCCAATCAACATCCGCTTTATAGTCAGTAACTTCGAACTGCTTCAAAAATTCTTCACCACCAAGGTGAGACTCTCCAAGATCAGGTGTAGTGACATGATCTTCAGCATGGCTTAAAACATCGTCTAGATTTAAGTCTTCCAACTTCTTTTGATTATCCTTTGCAGCAAACATATTGCCTGCACCAAATTTTAGAATTTCGGATAATTCACCAGCAGAGGGCTCGGTTTTCTTTGTATACTTGTTACCATCTGTAACACCAAGGGAGATAATAGCATACTCTAGAATCATTTTCTTCCTAGCTCTTTCAAGGACTTCTTCCTCTACAGTATCCTTAGATACTAATCTGTAAACCATAACATGATTTTTTTGACCAATACGATGAGCTCTTGCCATAGCCTGTAAATCGGCCTGTGGATTCCAATCCGAGTCAAAAATGATGACTGTATCGGCAGTCATTAAGTTGATACCAAGACCACCAGCTCTTGTGGAAAGTAAGAAAACAAAATCATCAGAACCCGGTGCATTGAAATGATCAATAGCAATTCTTCTTTGATTTGAAGGCACGGTACCGTCAAGACGCTGGAAATTTATACCTTTGATAGAAAGATAATCTCCTAGAATATCCAAAATTCGGACCATTTGAGAAAATATAAGTACTCTATGGCCATCCTTTTTCAGTCTAGTTAAAAGTTTGTCTAAAAGCACCATTTTACCTGAAGACATAATTAAGCCTCTCAAAATATTCTCTCTCGACATATTTCCTGCCCCGAATTTCTCTAGAACTTTCTCCTCCGCAGAATCAAATAGATATGGATGGTTAGACGCTTTCATTAAAGTATTCATAATGTTTAGCATTGAAAATCTCCCACCTTTGGCTCCTGCTGTCAATGCTGAGTAATTTTTAGTCAAGATATTTTTATAGTATTCGGTTTGTACATCTGACAATTCAACACGAAGAATTCTTTCCGTTTTTGAAGGTAATGACTTTTCAACATCTTTTTTCAGACGTCTTAGAATGAACGGTTGTAACCTCTTATGCAAATCACGAATGTATTGCTCTTGTTCTTCATCTTGGTTTTCGAAATCAATTTCTTGATCAATGGTGAATCTTCCAGGCATTAAGAAATTAACAAGGGCAGCAAGTTCTTTGATATTATTTTGTAGTGGTGTACCAGTGATCAGTAGTCTGTTCGCAACCTTGAAACTATTTAGAGACTCGTACAGTGACGATTCAGCATTCTTAAGTCTATGCGCTTCATCAACTGCTAGAAATTGCCATTTTATACTTCCCAGTTCTGCTCTATCTTTCAGAATGTATTCATATGTTGTCATTAGAACATTAAATTTAATCTGTTTTTTTCCTTTACCTTTTGGATTAGAGTAAAACTCATATTCCCGTTCAATATCTCTGGATTTTTGATTGCCCATGTAGCATATCACATCGATATCTGGAGCCCATTTTTCGAAAGTTTCAATCCACGCTGGCATAGTAGATAACGGTACAACAACTAAATGTGGACCGTTTTGTCTTCTGGCGAATATCAGCCAACTTATAAATGCTACAGTTTGAACTGTTTTACCAAGACCCATTTCATCGGCCAATATACCGTTATCATTCTTGGACCATAGGAAAGCCATCCAATTGATACCAGTCAATTGGAAGTCTCTTAATTCACCACCCTTAATAAATGGGGGTTGGACACTAAGTTTTTCAAACCTGGGTCTCTCTGAGGTATAATTACTAGAATATTGTGGAAGGATTTTAGAGTTCTGCCTGCTTTGGAAATGTTTCACAGGTTCGGGTGCAATTTTTACTATTTCAGCAGCATCTTCCCATGTTGCTTCATCATAATTCAAGTGACGCCATTTCACTAGATATTGTAACTGTGACGTGCCATCTTCCAGTTCGACTCTCTGGCTATCGATGATTCTCTCAGGATTGGTAAACTCCTGCAGTTCATCTAGACGTCTCTCATGTTCCATATCCATTATTTCAATATCCTCTGGAGTAATGTAAGGATCTAAACGAACTTGCTGCTCCTGTATAATATATTGTTTACAGTAGTTATCAAGCCTCTTGATACCTTTTACACCTGCAAGACTTTCATATGTCTCCCAAGTGTTATGCAAATGCGATTGGTCGGTCCATTTAATTTGAAACTCGTAGTTTTCTTTGCAAACATTAAGTTCTGGTACAATCTTTGCTAAGTGCTCCTTATCTGAACCCTCTTTAATTCTATGTGTAATAACCATGTCAATACCATGTACATCCTCCTGCGGTGGTGTATTCGACCTCGCACGTGACTCTTGATCTTCATCCAATAGTTCATCCTCATCGGAGTCAAACTCTTCCTCTGATTCTAGTAAATCGTCGTCAGAGTAATCGATGTTGTAATTGACCTGTTTATTGGCTCTTGAAGAAAACCGCGTTGGAATTGCTACTTGTTTCTCTCTTTTCACATTTCTGGTAGCCGCTGTCTTCTTTTTGTAGGAGTTACCGCGTCCTGAGCCACGCGAGGATCTCTTCTTCTGAGGTGACCCGCGATAATCGTCATCGTCATCCTCGTCCATGTCGTCGTCATCTCCATCCTCGTCATCGTCATCGTCCGCTGCCGAATCATTGTCATAGTCATCGTAGTCATCGCTTATATCATCATTTGCGTTTTCGTCGTCGTCATCCTCATCGTCAACCAATGCGGACCTCCTCTTACGTGTCTTCACAGGAACATCGTCCTCATCTTCCTCGTCATCAACATAGGGACGATGAGCAACTGCACGATGAGACCTTCTTAACCCATACAATTCCGGATTCTGTAAAACTTCTTCGTCAATCTCCTTCATAATGTATGTTGTTCGTTCTTTACCTTCCAAGCAGGTTTCTTACAGGAAGTTTGACTGCACTAGAATTATAATTACAAGGCCCTTAAACGTCTACCAACAATATAACAGTCTGATGCCAAGGCGCTTACAGTAGAATACTACTTTTTTTTTCTCCACAGAGTATTATTTCTCTTTATCTTTTTTTCCTTTCCTCCCGCTTCAATACCCTAGTGCCAAGCTGGTTCCTGTCCCAATTCTATCTCTCACCCAATTTATTCACAAAACCAACCTTATCGCAACTCAAAAACACAGCATACAAGATCAAACGTATCAACAACTGCTTCACATTAAAGAAGTCCCTTCTTCTCAGCATTTTTGCCCAAAGTTTCTGCTATTTTTTCTTGTTTTTCTGAAAAACTTTTCGTTTCGAAGCTTCACCCGTCACAAACCACTTTGCGATGAGCTTTGATATAAACAGAGGGACTTGCTATATTGATCTCTACTTGTGTTCCAAATGGTTGTTCGTTGTTCCCCTAGTGTCAGTGTTGTTACTACTCCCAACTGAATATGGTATCCCTTTGAGAGTCTTTCAAAGGCTCGCATTCCGGATTCTGTAGCCGGTGTGTAGATATGTGTGTATACTAATGATAAGTGATATACTAATATGAGAATTGATATACAGAGTACGTAATATTGTCTATTCTTGTAGTTTCTGTGTTGTGCTGCTGTGGTTATCACTACTTGCTATGACTTACTTTCTCTATAAAACCAGAATGTGCGAAACTTTGGCAAGAGACTCATAGACCTTTTAAGAACGAAGGCACAGGATGACAGTTGAGAAGTGTGGCATATGGGTGTTGGGCTACGGCTCGCTGATATACAAGCCGCCTCCGCACTATACGCACAGGATTCCCGCTGTGATTTACGGGTTCATGAGGAGGTTCTGGCAGAGCTCGGTGGATCACAGGGGCACGCCGGATTCACCAGGCCGTGTGGTTACGCTGATTCCTCATGATGAGATCATGAAGACACCCAGGTTTCTGCAAGACTATGTCAAGTATGAGAACCACGGGAACCCTATCACCAACTTGCAGCCCAATGATTTGCACACCATAGGTGTGGTGTATTATATACCGGCAGATCGTGCTGACGAGGTCAGAGAGTACCTCGACGTTAGAGAGCAGAACGGATACACTTTGCATGAGGTTGAAGTGCACTTGGACCTCACTGAGAGCGACTCTAGCGACCAAGAGCTTATGGCTGCGATCCACCAATTGCCAGAGCATGAGACTACGGGGAAGAAAGTCCTGACTACAAACGTGTATATAGGAACAGTGAGCAACGAGGCATTTGTAGGACCAGAGACAATTGAACAGACAGCATCCGTCATTGCCACAAACGTTGGTCCAAGTGGAACCAACTTTGACTACTTGCGTATGCTATGTGAGTCAATGGCCTCTATGAAAACATGCGAAGAGACAGATAAGTATTTGGAACATTTGTTCAAAGAGGTCAACAGAATTAGAGATACCTTGTAGAGATATTAGATATATAGCCACTTCATACTGTATTCCTCTATACTTGCTAAATAAGAATAGTTTTCACCATTTTAACTATATGTGATTAGGCTTAAGTTCGCAGTGATGCGCAACCAAAACTTAAAAATAGGTTGCATACCGATGGCAAAATGAAGTATATTTCTCGAAAGACCGGTATATTAGAACTTAGCTCAGTAATAAGAACACATAACTAGGCAATTACAAAAACTGCTATAATGGTACAATGAGTTCTGATCAAATCCCCAGCGAATACTTTGATTTAATTCGAGATGTCCTGAAGAACAAAGGTGATGCTACACAGGAACGTCCCTTGAAGAGGAGGAAGCGGAGGAGAGCTGTCACTTCAGAGCTGGAAAGTGGATACGAGAACCCCCAACCTACTGAAGCTAAAATTGTGGTTAATTTGGATTCGGATCCCGAGCTCGAGGACAAGCTAGGGGCATCGAATACCATAAGTTTAGTGTCTGATGGAGAAGTACAACACACTGAGGCTAGCGAGGACGGTGCTGAATCAGATGAGGCTTATGAATCAGAGGAGTTTGAAGATGTGTCAGCAGATGAGATGCAGATGCCGTCTGATAACTTGTCAGTTACCATTAATGTGAATAAAAAAGATAGTCAGTCCAAGAAGGAGAGTTCAAAAATTCAGAAGAATATGTGTTCCAATGAAGATAGAAAGTTTAGGACTCATATGCATTGTTTGTACTTGCTGTGCCTTATGTGCCATGGTCATATAATCAATCACTGGCTAAATAACTCTAAGATGAATCGGAAACTTAGTGGTATGATTCCCGAGAAAGTGTTTGATATGCTACATCCGGAGAAAGATGAAGAGCTACCGCTTAGAAGTACCAGAAAATTATTAGATGGCCTAAAGAAGGCAATGGAAATTTGGCAAAAGCATTGGAGGATAATGCAACGCTATAAAGGTGTGAATTGTTACATGCGCTACTGGGATGAATTACAAATTTGTGATAAATCCCGTAAAACGCTAACAAAAAATGATTTTATTAAGGGAATTCTTAAAGGAGTGGGTGATAGAGATGTAGCTACACAAGGGTTTGTTGCACTACTCAGGTCATGTAATGTGAATGCCAGATTAGTTATGTCCTGCCAACCTCCAGATTTTACGAATCTCAAAAAATCTTATGGAACCGAGAAGAAAGTGTCTTACGAAGACATGACAAAATATCCTGTATTTTGGTGCGAAGTCTGGGATAAATTCAGCAAGAAATGGATTACAATCGACCCATTTTGCAAGAAGACCATTGAACAGGTCAGACTTTCCTCCAAATTTGAACCTAGAGGTGTATCACCATGTAAAAGGAATGCCATGAGATATGTAATTGGTTTTGACCGAAAAGAAGGTTGTAGAGATATAACTAGAAGATATTGTCAGTGGTTTAACTCAAAAACACGAAAGAAACGTATAACAAAGGAAGCATTTGGAGAAAGATGGTACGAGAGAGTTTTAGCTTCTTTGCACAAACGGAAACGTACAAAAATTGATGACTATGAAGATGCATATTTCGACCAACGTAACCAAGATGAAGGTATGCCTGATAATATGCAAGATTTCAAAGGTCATCCATATTATGTACTAGAGAAAGATATACGACAAAATCAAGTTTTGAAAAGTGGATGCAAAGAATGCGGCTACTTAAAACTGCACAACAAAACTAATCAGGTTCTCAAAGTGTATTCCAAGAAAGATATTATTGACCTGAAGTCTGCAAAACAGTGGTATATGGAAGGTCGAATACTAAAGACTGGTGCAAGGGCACTTAAAACTGTAGAAAAGAAAAGGGGCCGATTTACTGACCCTGAAGAACAAGAAGAAGAGCGCCTTTACCAGTTTGATGACACAGAGCTATATGTCGCACCTCTTGCTACCAGAAGTGGAGAAATTGAAACAAATACATTCGGGAACATAGAAGTTTTTGTACCATCGATGATACCTGCCAATTGTTGCTTGGTGGAAAGTCCGGTTGCTATCAAAGCTGCTAGTTTCATAAGGATTAAATTTGCTAAAGCTGTTACGGCTTTTAAGTTTGAAAAAGGCAGATCTGTGAAACCTTCCATTACGGGTGTAGTGGTTGCTCTGTGGTTTAGAGACGCCCTGGTTGCAGCCATTGATGGCATCACACAAGCGAATGCCGAAGAAAAACACATTGAACATGAATTGGAGGCGCTATCATACTGGCACAATCTGATAACAAAATTGAGAATCAAAAACAAACTGAACTCGGAATATGGTAAAGTGAACGAGGAGGAATCATCAACAGTGGTGTCACAACCTTTAATTGCAAATAGGTTTGATGAAGAAACAAGTATGACCGATTCAGGCGATGAATTTCCTCAAGGTGGATTTCTACCCACTGACATCAATCACGATGGAACTAGCCACAATGAAACTAGCGATAATGAAATCGAAGAACCTGGTGGGTTTGTACCTACAAATAGTAATAGCAGTAACGCTAACCCAGATGCCGACTACCATGACAATGAAATAGTGGGTAACGGCGGCTTCATAACTACTCGAAATCAATCACCAGCAGGTGTTACGGAATATGAGGAAATAAAGGAACCCGGCGATAACTTGGAACCTGAAGATATTGACAACCAGGAGTCACATCTCGATGAAGACTATAAGGACTTTATGGACGAATTGGACATGTCTGAACAAGATATGAGTGACTAATACCAAAACTAGAACTATTTAAGTACTTTTGTTAGTTGTATACTTCTCCATATGATAGAACATAGACTACAAAGCTCAAAATCTTCGAGAGGCTATATAAATAATATCGTACGACTAAGGAATATTTCTTCTAGTGGGTGAGCTCATCGCAGAATTGATTGACTATCATAAGCAGTAATAAGAGCACATTTAGATGTTTTAGCACATATCGAGTCAGACTTGCATATTACCGAAAACTTTAAAATATAGTACAGTCATTAGTACCTACATTCTCAATTTTTTTCATTTCAAGTTTAATAAGTTTTAAAGGCTTTATTTGGAGGTACAATCTTTGGTTAATACATTATTGCAGAACATTTCTCTTTTTACAGATATCCTTTGACCAGTTAAATAACAAGTTAAGGTGAAGAAAAGTAGAACAAAACAACTAGGCAATTAATTTTGGTATAACTGAGGCAATGAGTTTTCTCTCGAAGCTCTCAGAACTGAAAAAGACAAAGCCAAAGACTGTGATATCTCCACCTCAAAAAGCTAATAAGCAAGAGGAAATCTCGTTATTACCAAAGAATTATGTGCGAGAAGAAGATCCAGCTGTTACAAGACTAAAGGAGCTGCGGCGTCAGGAATTATTAAAGAATCCCGAACTTGCTAAAAAGAAACAGAAACAGGTGCGCAAAACTCCTTCAAGTTCAAAAGCTTCAACAGGTAAGAAAGACAAAAATGGTGATGATAACATGTTAGTTTCTCGTTTTAAGAGGAAAGTTGGTTCAGATAAACCAGCTGTCCCAATTCAAGTCAAGAAGAAGCCACAGCCAATTAAAAAACTATCATTTGAAGAACTGATGAAGCAGGCTGAAAATAACCAAACAATACCGGTAAGTAAAGATACACAGTCAAATGGCGCAGGTGAAAAAATCAAAGGAAGCGCCAAGCTAAATAAGCCAGGTTTTAAAACCTCACGACCAAAGTCCTTATCCCCAACCACCCATATAAATAAAACAGACCACGGGAAAGACAAATCAACTGCTAAGGAAAAATCAGAACCTGTAGTAAAGATTGGAATACCGAAATTTGCTCAACCAAATGAGCGTTTGAAGAAGAAACTTGAAATGAGGCAACGTGTGAATAAATCTAGGAGATACGAGGATGAAGAAGATGATATGGATGACTTCATTGAAGATGACGAAGAAGAGTACAGCTCATATAGGACAACATCTAAAGATCCTGGATATGACCGTGATGAGATTTGGGCAATGTTCAACAAAGGTAGGAAAAGATCATACAATGAGTATATGGATTATGAAGAAGAAGACGACTTTGATGCAATGGAAGCAAATGAAATGGAAATTTTAGAAGAAGAAGAAGAAGCTGCAAGGATGGCCAGATTAGAAGATAAGAGGGAAGAAGCTTGGCTAAAGAAACACGAGCAAGAAAAAAAAAAGAAGAAGTTAAAGTTGCAGAAACGATAAAGCAGAACACAACTCTCAGTACTCCACAGAAAATAATACTATCAAGAAAATACAATTGAACCATGCTCTGATTTTATCACAATAGGTATTGTTTTCTTTCTGTAAGATATTAATATGGCCTGTAATTATGGATTTGTCTTCTATTCACACTATAAAAGATAATCATTTCTGTCTAAGATATATATCGTACTCATAATGAATTCATGTCAATAATTGTCTGAGAATAGATTATTCAAATATGTAGATTCAACTTTATAGTAAAATTCTAGACAATTGTTAAGTATCGCACGTGACTGGAGACTGTGATATAACAATCTGCAAAAAGTTTTTCATGCAACGCAATTAAATAAGCCTTGTTGGCGCAATCGGTAGCGCGTATGACTCTTAATCATAAGGTTAGGGGTTCGAGCCCCCTACAGGGCTTATTATTTTTTAGTATTTTTTTTTTAGTGAATCTGATAGTTGAAAAATATGCCAATTACAACCGATTCATAAGTATCACTGTGATTGATAGAAAATTATTTGTAATTGTTAATGACTTTAATGCTATGCTACTTAAGAAATGAAAAATAAATATATAAAATAAGCTATTCCAATAAGAAATAAAAAAATAAGAAAAAAAGAGATTTTCAGTTGATAGACACTAGTTCAAACTTGTTTGTTGGCCACATTACTGGTTAAACTCTCGAAAAGTGTACGCTTAGGTTTCAACTCATCTTCCGCTATGTCGGTGTTTTTTACAACCTTAAATGACCCTGTACCGATAGACATTGTTTGACCCAAAATAATACATTCTGAGACACCTTCTACGGCGTCTTTCTTCATATAAAAGGCAGCGTCAAACAAATGGTCTGTGGTTTTTTCAAATGAAGCTAGTTGTAGAACCGAATCTCTCATTTTACTCAAACCAAATCTAGTAATACCTAGTACTTCACCTTTGAAAGTCATCACATCTCCTAGAAGCTGAATATGACGTGGATCGACACTCATACCGTGGTTACTCATAGTATAGTCAATTTCACCGATGATACTTGCTCTAGCTGCTTCTATACCTAAAACGTTAAATATTTCTAGAACGTGGTTAGTTGCAGTTTTTGCACCAATAACACCGTCTGTGCACATAACGTCTCTTAAACCGTAACCTTCAACCAAAAGTTCTCTCTTACCATCGTCTCGAATATTAATGACCGCTCTTGCTATATCATTCAAACCTTTGACCATGATACTAGGCAGTGCTCTACGCAAAGTCTGCATTCTATAGAATACATCATTTTCTGTAGGCTCCTTTAATGAAGTCGATGAGGTTTTTGAACCAAAACCTTCAGGTAAGACATTGATAGCAATCTTGTCTTTGCCTAATACTGTTACATCAGATGTCTGGATTTTTAGTTTAGGTGCTCTAGTGATGGCAATCGCTATATCTTCTATAGTTAGCTCTAATTGCAACTTATCAATTGTGTTTAAGTCAACCTTAACTTGTAGATAGGCCATGTTCTCTTTATAAACATCTTGAATGTAGTAACACACATCAGATAAAAGCGTTTTTTCTATTCTACCTTTAACAACTCTAGCTGCTCTTTCATCATTGTTATTTACAAGGACGGCGTTAATAATCGGGGTAGAAATAACCTTTGAGGCATTAATAATTTCCTTAATACGAGGAACACCTAATGTAACATTCATGGACGCGACACCAGCAAAGTGGAATGTTTTTAATGTCATTTGGGTACCAGGCTCACCAATAGATTGTGCACCAATGGCACCAACAGCAGTACCTGGTTCAACCTTTGCACGATGATATTTCGAAATAGCAATTTCCAAGAACTTCTGAACAGCATCTTCTGTTATTCTATACAGCTGCGTAATAGAGTGTTGGACAATGGCATCTATATGTTCATTTTCGGGGTCATAGCCTTCAAGTTCACTTTTCTTTATCAACTTTGGTAAACCTCTCGATTTTCTTAGCTTAGCAAGTTTTTTTGCTTTGTCAGTCATAAACTCTCTTAATGAGGCATAAAATAATCTCTCTGAGTCATGTTGATCGACATAGTCATCTAGTTTATCATCTTCCGCAGAAACTGGACGACCTAATGTATCATATCTTATTAGTCTTTTCTCTAAAGGCTTCAATATATTATCAACAGTCTTCTTTATTTCATAAGGTAGTAAACCTCTGTCTGTATTATTGAAAGTGATGTTGTATGCATGATCCCATGACCTATTGAAATTAACTGGTTGAGCATTACCTTCCATCTCAAGAGGATCCAGACCATCACCACCGTATGTGAATTGGACAATACCGTTGGAAGATGTTCTGACTGTATTATCATATTGACATGAAAGATCTTCCAGAGATTTCATCAAACGTCTGGACATGTAACCGGTTTCTGCGGTTTTAACAGCAGTATCAACTAAACCTTCACGACCTGAAATAGCGTGAAACAAGAATTCTGGTGGAGATAACCCACTAAAGAAAGAGTTTCTGACAAAACCTTTAGACTGAGGTGTTTTGGAATTCTTGGGGAAATGAGGTAAAGAACGATCTTGGAAACCATCAGGAACACGATTACCAGATATAATTTGTTGACCGACAACCGCCACCATCTGAGAAACATTCAATGTAGAACCTTTGGAACCACAGGTTGCCATAATAAGTGGGGCATTCAAGTTATCCAACTCATTAATACAAACATCACCAACTTCTTCTCTAACCTTAGATAGTAAACCACCAATCTTTGCTTCTAATGTTTGCTCTTCATTACAACCTGGTTGAGTTTCCAATTTACCTTTATTGTATAAATCAATTAGTTCGTCACACTTTGCATAAGCTATTTCAACCAGGTCTTCTTTCTTTTGCTTCAAATCATCTGCTGGTGTGACATCACTTATACCAATAGAAAATCCTCTGTTACCTAAGTATCTCGCGCACAGCTTGGCCATCCTATTCATTGCAGAGGCAGCTTCTTGTGGACCAAAATCTCTTAAGATAGTATAAAATACAGAATGTTTCTTACCATCACCTAAAACAGACTTGTCCATGACACCACTTAATATTTGTGAGCCTCTCACAATTACAAAACCATCATTTTGTGACATCTCATTTGGATAATGCTTTTGCTTTGGTGGTATGTACACCTTATTTTTTGCATCAAGATTAATTTTCACTGGAGAGTTCTTATTAGGCTTTATTAGCAAAGAAAAAACTTGCTTACCTGTCCATAGATAACATGGTTTCATAATTGCTGGAGGAGGTATATCAAATTGCAAGCTACCATCGGACATCATAGATAATAATTGAGTTAATGAAGCTTTGTCAAAGAACGAGTCTTTATGTGAAATAAGGTAAGAACCTGTGATGAAATCTTGTGTAGCTGCAATAATAGGCTCACCAGATTTAGGAGTTAGTAAATTATTTTTCACGCCCATTAAATTAATTGCTTCTGCTCTTGCCTCCTCAGTTTGTGGAACATGTAAATTCATTTCATCACCATCAAAATCCGCATTATAAGGTGTGCAGACACATTCATTAAGTCTGAATGTTCTCCATGGCCTAATTTTGGCATAATGTGATAAGATAGATAACCTATGTAATGAAGGTTGACGATTGAAAAGGACGACATCTCCGTCTTCTAAATGTCTCTCAACAACATCACCATACTGTAAGTTATTAGCCAGTTTTTGCCTGTCACCGTATCGTAAGTTTCTTCTGGCTTCCTCATTTTTTTTGAGTAGGTAATTTGCACCAGGATGGACATTTGGACCATTTTGAACAAGTTGTCTTAGCTTCTTGATATTGTATCTGGTGACCTTTTCAGGGAAGGTCAATACCTTAGCAACAAGTTGAGGCACAGCAACTTCATCAATTGATAAGTTTGGATCTGGTGAAATAACTGTTCTACCTGAAAAATCAACACGCTTACCAGATAAGTTACCTCTGAATCTACCTTGCTTACCTTTGAGACGTTGACAGAAACCTCTTATTGGCTTGACTTTACCGCCACCTGTCGAAGAACCCGGTAACATAGCCGGATTGATTGAGTCTGAATTGATATACATAGCGACAGTCATTTGCAGATAATCCCAATGCTCCATCATATTATTGATTGAAATACCTTTCTCGATACCCGCTTTGATCAAAGACGATGTCCATACAATTTCCGTCAGTTTTACGGTTAAGTCGTCCTCATTAGAGGCTGGTGAATCTTGCATCATGACAGATGGTCTAATACATACAGGTGGAGCAGGAATATATCTCCAGATGTAAGTCTCAGGTCTACCAGCCTTATTTGTTGCATCTATACCTAAAAGTTCACAATCTTCACTTGCAATTTGCTTGAATAAATTTAGAGTTTTAAGTGGGTTTAGATCATCTGTTGCTCTCTTAACGTATCTTTCAAGTTCAGGATTATGTGATAGCACCTCTTTCCAATCACCAATCCACTTATCTTTTTCTGGTGTGGATTTCTTTCCAACCCATCTGAAAGTATCATGAATAATTTTCAGAGATGCTGTACCAGCCCCTGCAGCTGCTTTCTTAACTACACCATTCAATGCACCACAGTGCAAGCATCTTCTCTGCTTCTTACATTGATCTAGTACTTTTTTCAGTAATGCCATACGCCTCAAATTATCCACACCAGGTCTGCGTAACTCTGATAAAAAATGCCTCTTATCTTGTTCACTAAGTAGTATAGCCGAACATGTTTTACATATACCTTGCAATATCTGAATAGTTGCCTTGAAGTAACCGACATGGAAAACTGGCAGAGCCAATTTTATATGCCCAAAATGACCATGACATGATGCTAAGTTACCATGACAAGTAGTACATTCCATACTAGATGCAGAAACACCCATACGAGGATCTAATGCACCACCTTCTTTAGGGCTTCTATTGTTTTCTAAATCAAACAAATCTCTGGACGAAATTTCTAACTCAGATTGTGCAACAATGTCCGCAGGACTTAGGGCACTAAACTCCAGACCGCTAATCCTTTTAGGCGTCTCACCAATAACAACTTCCTTCATTCTGTCTCAACAGTATTTAGTATCGCAATCAAAATAATAAAGCTCCTATAAACTATCAACCTATCACCAAAGAAGAAAAACTATTATGAAGCAAGTAGTTCTGATCAAGAGAACCAGAAGTGCACAATGTTGATATTATAAGTGCTTTGCTTAAAATCGGCAGTAAACTTGAACAACAAAAAAAAACACTAACTGGGAATGATATCAGTCTTGACACTATTTTGCACTGGTCTCCACTACAACTTCGGAAAATCACTTGCTAGGCAGATATGTATTACACAATCTAGAAGAGCCAATTGTCAATATCAAAAGACCTTTATACACTATCTTCTTTTGACAACTTCTCGATGCGATGAGATCAATTTCCAATTTTCGTTTTTTTTTTTTTTTTTTTCAATTCTTTGAGAAGCTCATCGCAGAAATTTTTCAGTTTATCAATGACGGTTCCATGCGACGTAATACATGATGTACATTAAACAAAGCGTATAAGCAGTGCTATTCCGTACTATTGTAGTGTTGATGTAAGTTCAGATACGTAGTGATTAATCTCATTTTTCATCCACTTATAATTTTAAGTAACTTATAATATACAGATAAATGCGTTTATTTATGTGACAATGACGTTTTTGAGCCTTTTTCTTGCTATTTATAGAATGTTCAGAGTTTATTTCTTGTGTTTTTTGCTCTTCAGTTTACTGACAATCTTGTTGATGTCATTCTTATCGGTGTGCTCTTCTTTACCATGCTTAGAGTCTCTAGAACGCTTCCTACGTTCTTTCAAAATCTCTTTCATAGCTTTAGTTTCCTTGAATTCAGGTTGAGATGGGTCAATTGCGAAATCATGATCTTCAAACACTTCCTTGAATCTGTCATCGTCCAGGTTAGGTTTGAAATCGTCTTCTACAATTCTTTGTTTTTTCTGAAATTTACCTTTCTTACTCTTCTCCTTTTCAGAGCGGAGAATTTCATTCATATTGAAATGCGCCTTGGAGTTGATACCACTGTTAGACTCGTTTTCATCCATCATCAATAGTTCAAGTTCTGCCTTCTTCTTGTCTGACAATGGTTCATCGTGCTTGGACTTAAGTTTTTGCTTTTTCTCTTCCTCCGATTTCTGCTTTAATTCCTTCAGCTTTTGCTTTCTAGCTTTACGTCTCTCCTTTTCTTTACGTCTAACCTTTTCGATTGTTGTCTCTTCGTTATCTTCACCATCCTTATCCTCACCTTCAGCATTGGCCTCGTCTAGTCCTGGCGTAAATGTAATTTCCATATCCATTCCCTCGTCTTCATCTGAACCATCCTTTCCGTCAATCTTTAGTGATTCTCCGACAAGGGATTTCAATTTGTTTTTAGCTTCCTCATTCACTTCCTCTTCTGATTCATCACTGTCAGACGCAAGGTAAGCCTTGAAGTCCATATCTTCGATTTCCTTTTGTGTGAACGCCCTCTTTGCTACTTCAACTCTATCCACAGGTGTTTCGTCCCATGTCAACTTAACATTAGAATGTTGTAGTGCATCAGTGCTAAATTGGTGTGGTTTATAGTTTTTTGGAAGTTCCTCACATTGATCCTTAGGCTCATCGTCAAAATCCATGCCGTCAGGAACATATCTAAGATCGATTATATTTGCCGTCGATTCGTATTCTGTACCGTCACAGTTCTCGTAGATAGCCTTAGCGGATTCGACATTATTACAATATATGACAGCATAGTAATATCTTAAACGGTCAAGCTGGTATTGACGTAAGGCCCTTTTGTCGACCTGGTCATCAGCATTACCTTCCTCATATAGATCCTTGATATCGACATCAGATTCCTCCTCATCCTCACTTGAGTTCTTCTTCTTCTTCTTCTTATTTTTTTGGAATAATTCCCTTGGTGGACCTTCAACTTCTTCTCTTTTCATTCTTTCTTTACCAAATTCACTTGGGTAGATACATATTTTTTCAATTTTACCGCCTTTTGGCAAGAAACTTGAGAATGTAACCATCATATCAACTGAACGAACATGGTCCCAGTCTAGGTTAACCGCCGCAAGTGTCTTAGTGGCATCACCGGTCTCTACCTTGGTTTGCTCTTCTTGAGCCTCGTCACCGCTTTCAATCTCACTATCATAGTCGCTATCACCTGATGTATCAGAATCTGACGAGGTAAACTCATCCTCAGAACTAACATAATCACTAGGTACTTCACCTCTGGCTCTATCAACAATCTTCTTAGACTTGGCCACATCTCCCTCATCGGCGCTCTCTTCTTCAGCACTTTTCTCATCTTTCTCAAAGTACTTGTCAAAATCCTCAATATCTTTGCTGGATCCTTCCTTTATCTTCCTACCATACTTGTCGACTTTAGCTCTCCTAGCAACTTCCAAATCTTTCTTGCCAAAACGGTCATCCAGTTTTATCTTCAATTGCTTAGAGTTACTCTTCTTAAACTTGGGATCATTATAGATCCTTGAAAATCTGGGATCGTTACTCTTCTCCTCAGACATAACTACAGTTTTAATTGTCCTATATGCCGGGTCTTCTCTATTACAATAATTTCATGCTTACAAGATTCATACACAACTAATAGTATTCTTTATACCTTTGCGATGAGCTCATCGCAAATTTTTTTTTTTTTTCAAAATTGCCGAAACTTTTTTCAAATTTTTCAGGAAATTTGACAAAAACTGGCAATTTGCTTAGAAACATGCGTAGGTGCGTTAATGTTTCCTTGCCGATAATAATAACAAGCTCATCGCAATATATAATAGTTGTTTAAGTAACAAATGGTAGTATCTGCTCTTTTCGGGGCCATTGTAACGCATAGTTAGTCTACGGCGAAAGTTACAAGGTAAGTAAAGTTCTGGATGCAGTGGTTAGTTTCGAAAGTATTAAGTATTTGCAATTAGGATTCGCAGTATTTTATGTGCATGTAGCCAATATATGTAATAATAGCATACAGTATGTATGGCCTAATAGCTTTACATTGTACCTCTATCTAATCAAACTGAGATAACATTTGTAGATCAGAGTACATATAAGATCATCGTTTCTTGCAGCTTATTGCCGAAAAATTAGGGAGCTCTTTGTGCAAATTGAGCAACTCTGTTCAACAGCCTGTTGTGTTTGATTGATCCATATAAAGAGGTGGCAGAGGTGTTTTTTTACAACAGTTTATCAATCAACTAGAAAGCAAGCAGCACTTCAATCGACATTTAATTTTATTTAGATCCTATATTATCAATGGGTCAGACCGCATCAAGCCCACAGGACAATAAAGAGTCAAAATCACATCCGCAGTTTAAGACTAGAGATGAAATATTGCAATACTTTAACACACGGGTGGTTAAGCTGTTTACAGTCACTGAGATTGCTGCATTTAAGAAAAGGTTTAATGCTATAGATCTGAACGAACCTATCGATGACACACTCATAAAGGAAGCCCTTTATTTGGACGCTCAGCCTAATGTGTGGTCTGCGGTTTCAGAGACTATACGGTTGTTACAAAACTTTCCTTTGTTTCACCAACCAATCGCAGATAGTATCACTGGATTTGGTTTACTAAAAGTAATAGCAATTATAAACGTCAAGAGATTTGAGAAGCTTGTTAATACAACAATAACTAGGTATGATATAACAGTCACACTGGGACTATGTGGTCAAGCAAAGGAATCAGAGAACAAGATAAAGTCTACAAATTTGGGTGATATTTTGAAGACATATGATCATATTGAAATTGAAAGTATTCATATACCCTATGATAAGTTAATACTCTTGGTTGCATGGTTGTTGACTTTGGTTACAGGTGTCGCAACCACTAATTGTAAAGTAGAGTTGTCGGATACTATAGCTAATTGGAATAATTTTAAAAGCTCAGCTATAAGCATCGCTAATACAATAAGCACCTCGGCACTTGGAAATGCTAATGATATCGGCATTCCAGCAACAGATATATTGAACGCTTTCAACACCATTATGATATCCCTTGTACCGTACATGTCAAATCTCTTTGAGCATTTATTATTTGGCGTAGACGATTTAATTGATCATGTAAACGATTTAGCCAACCTAAGCCATCAGGATGTCCTGACACCATCATTATACGCACAGGTTATTATTGGTTTACCTAATTCCATTACTATTACTAAACTACAGAAATTGTACGTTGGAAAAGAAAGTGGGTTCTCAATGAGATCATTACAGTCCAAAGTTTTTCGATGGAAGGCACCAACTCTTATGATTGTAAGTGGTACTAGAATATCGGATGATGAATCTTACGCAGATAGTAAGAATCCAAGATATAGATCGTTTTTATATTCATTCCCTAAACTAAGAGAAAATGATCAGAACCTGGATGCGATACATTTGACAAAGAAGAAAGTTACGTATGCTGTCTACATTGATGAACCTTGGAAGGTTTCAAATAAAGAAAAATTCGGAGCAACGAATATGACAATTATGGAATTAACACCACAACAAAAAACATATCAATCGTGTATGGAAAGAACTATGTATTTCAATACAATAGGTGGAGGTATCGGGGTTGGAAGTGAGCAACCTATTGTCAAGCAAAATGATATTAAATTTATTCCTGGAAACATATCGTTGACAATGGATAGCAGTTTAGAGTTCGGTGTATTTAGACATGTAGGTGCTGGTGGAGGCTTTAAGACTAGCTTGCTGGACAATGATGATAGTAAAAGCTTTGAAATACGTTTTATAATACAAAATGTTGAGGTGTGGGGTTGTGGGGGAGAAAAAGAATTAGCCGAACAACTGAAACAACTAGAATGGGAGGAAGCAGAAGCAAAACGTAGACAAACCATAAACCTGCAAAGCCTTAGTGAAGATAAAGCACTTTTGGAAATGGTTGGTCTTGTCGGTCAGCATCAAAGTGGTGGCTCAGTCTGAATATAAACTCCGTAGTGCTATGTGTTTGATATTAACTTCACGAATACAATGTATTTAGCATGTACTTGACTACGATATATAATATTATGATATATGCTTATTTCTTTGACTTGGTTTTATTGACAAGCTTTTTCTTTATGTGTTTCTTCACCTTAGTTTTCCTCTTCTCCCTCTTTGCTTCTTTGGCCTCTTGCTTTCTTTGCTTTTTGAGATCTTTGTCTTCATACTTTTTACCTTTTAATTCTTTTGGAACTTCCTCATAGCTTTCCGCTTCCGAGTATTGCTCTTCTTCATCAGAACCATCGGTGTCGTCATCACTACCATCATCACTTCCTTCGTCTTCACTGTCACTTATGTTTTCATCTGATGAATCCACATTTATTTTAGATGCCTGGGCAGCAATATAATTTTTCTTATTATCCTGAGCAAGTAAACTCTTCAGTAAATCGAATTTACCATCGGTAAAACGATCAAAGTCTCTTTCTTCTAAACCTTCAAGGTTTCTAACCAGATGTAAAGACCTGAAAACTTCATCCTCAGCTTCATCTTCCTGAGTCCTTTTTATAGGAATGTTTGTGGCAACATATTTCCTTAGATCCTCATAGCTGTTCATATCACCATCAAATTTATCCAAAGTATCTGTTATAACAAACTGAAATATAGCTTTCTCTTGGAAGATTTCGATACCCATCTTCTCAAAGTATAAGTTAACATTCTTAATATCCATACGTAAAAAGTCTAAACTCATTGGGTGTTCGGGTTCTACACTCTGGGAAACATCGATCATATATAATTTTTCTTTGTGAACAATAGTGTTATATTCTGATAAATCTGCGTGAACTAAACGGCAGACCTGGTATAACAGTCTCATATAAGAGACAAGAATATGATAGTAGTAGTATATTTCCTCTCTATCTTTGTATGGGTAATCTCTCAATTTAGGTGAGGCAAATCCATCACCTCTATTCAAAAATTCCATAACAAGGACATTATTTTTAACTTCTATTGGCTCAGGAGATGGTATAACACCCATTTGGTAGATTCTTTTTAAGTTACGAAATTCCTTTTCAGCCCAGATCTTTATCATTTTTCTAGGATTGTGTTGAGATCTTGAGTTCCTAAATCTAAACTCACCATCCACATATCTCTCACGGTCCTTGAAAATAAGGATCGATGTTTTGTAGATTTTAATTGCGTATTCTTTTCTTCCTTCCCTTATCAAGTCTTCCGCGGTCTTTGCTCTGTTTTCAGAAATGTCTATATTTCCTTTGGATGGTATAGCATTGGCATCTATATCCTCTTTTGGCTCATCACTCTGCTGTTCTGTTGCCATCTTACTACCGGCAAAAGCATGATAAACATTTGCCTCTTTACCAGTACTTAAACACCCATTTAAACCAGCAATGACTCCTCTGTTAACAAGAGCATTCAGAAACCTCATGGTACGGGGATCTAAAACATTCTCCACAGTGGCTCTATTGGCTTTATCTTTATTGGTCTTCGCTTTGTTGATTGATAGTTCATCAGTTTTGATCTTGTGTCCATACTTATCCATTATTTGGTTATTGATATGATCAGTTGACACTTTAACATTGCGAAACTTATCACTTAGATCGTCCATCTTGTACTTGTATCAGTTAAGGCGCTAGCTAGAAAATGTTTCAACTCAGTTTTTAACAATATATTCAAATGCACCAAGTTATATAATTCCTTACAGATGAGCTCATCGCATTTTTCAATAGTGAAACTTTTTCAGCTCATCGCTTTTTCTGGGGAACATTTGAAAATTTGCAATTTGGCGAGATATATGTTCAAAATAACTGAATATCAATTGAAGCCTCTAGTGAGCTATTTATTTTGAATATTAAATTGTGTATCAATTTTTTATCTAGTGTACTATTACGAATTGTATATAATAATCTAAATAGATGAAAGCCTATTAATGATATTGTATGCATTCTCGGTTTATATTACTATTAAAGGTCTAATGTTGCTGATAAAATGAATGTAGTACTAAAATTTTTTGAAGTAATGCTTCCACTTTCCAACAAAAAGGCTGTTTATCTCATCAATGTCTAGATAATTTTCTTCAGAAATGGGGATACAAAAATTTTTATCCTTCACATCTGCAAGAGATTTTAGATCGTTGAACCCGAAATGATAGTTTAGAAGAACATTCAAAGCGAAAGATATCAGAATTTGATAGTTGATTAGCACTTTATTGTCTCGATAGACGTCCCAGTTTACTTCAGAATACTTTTCTTTGTTAATTGGTGAGTTTTTAAATGGTTGTGAGTTCATGGTTACAATTATATCTATGATCCACATAAATAGGTCATGGTTTACTCTTTCCAATATGTTCCACCACGTGTTGGAGTTCAAACAGTTGGCATTGAATTCATGTTTGAAACTATCATCTTGTAACATATAAGATGCCACTACACCTGATTTTTCGAGTATCTTGGAATCAAATTTATCCTTAGTAATCTCATTAAAGCACGTCATTTGAATTAGATTTACCATTTCCCACACTTGGTTCAAATTCTCAAATGAGTCATCTATTAATAAATGATGGAATAATAATTCATCACCAGGTAGGATACCTTGTTGAGAGATGGATTTCAGTTTTAACATTAATACCAAATCATCAGATACATCATATTTCCCACCGGCTTTGTTTTCTATATTTGCCGTTATCAAGTTTCTTATTTCAATCTCTTTTGTCTTAGTTAGTTCAATTCTGTTCGACAATTTAATGATATCGTCAAAAGATTCTGTAAACCTTTCTGTGACTAAACGAGCTTCACTCTGTAATACCATATCATAAATATGATTTCTTAATTCTGCATTTATTGGTGTTTCCCATATTATTTTTTTTAAACTTTGTAGAGAGGATTTCCGTGTAATATTTCTATCAACTAGCAACACGTACTTCTGTTTATTTGTTTCATCTTTTATAATTTTTGAATCTCTATCTTTGTTCTTTTCAAGCTGATCCAAGGAGGCCATACTTAGGGTCTTCGATATTTCTCTTTCATGTAATTTCTTTTCTTCTGGATCCTTGGGTGGTAGCCAGCTTGGTCTTGTATGGCTCACCGCGTCTAGTTTATTTTCTGAAACTAATAATAAGTCTTCCATACCTTTCTCACTGGCCTCTTTAAATTCTAAAGGAAGGCAATCTGCAGATGCAGTTCTTTCCGAGAGTTTCGATTTCGAAAGTTTAGTTGAGGAATGTAAGTAAACTGAGCTCAAATGCTTCGTTGTATCCTGTAAGTATTGAAAATCAGATACTTTGTTCACGCCAGGTATTGGAGAAGTAGGCATCTCAAAAAAATCAAGCATTGATGTGCTTGATATGGTGCTTGCAAAAGACATATTTGATTCTCTATTATTCTGAGACTGATTCTCACCAGGAGTGATTCTTTCGGTTATGGTGCTACTAGAATTGGTTGCACTGTCCTTTTGTCGAGTCGTGTTTAGAAAAGAGGTTGTAGAATATGAAGACATAGGGACATTAAAGATAAATGAGCCGTCAATATCTCCCTCTTGTAGCTCTATTATTCCATCCTGTTCGTCATATAATTTTTCTTTTCTTTTGATAACGTCTCGCAGTGCATGCTCAGATTGTTCTTTTCTCAGTCTATATCTTTGTGATGGGGTTAATGCAAGCTTAGATCCTGTCCCTGCATTTGGGATAATGGCCGATGTACTATTGGAGAGGTTATAAAGCTTTGACCCAAATTCACCGTTAGGTACCGATCTATTATCTTGTTGTGGTTGAGAATTATATCTTAGGTTCGGTATACTACTGTTCTTTCCCATAAAAGGGGGAGTTGGTTGTTTCATTGCACCATTCATGCTCCTATTGTGGGACATGTTCACCGATATAGTCTCACTCTGAGTTCTCTGTAACGGGTTATTTCCCGACTTCGTGGAACGATTGACCGATACGTCTGACTTCTCACCAATACTATAGGAGTCTCCGTTTGATCTGTTCTCGATAGACCTGTTAGTCAGTGTGGCATTAGTAGAAGAGTTGTCCACAGATTTATCCATCCCAAAAGAGTGGTCTTCACTATCGTTCGTGGCCACAGAGATATTCGACTGCGTATCAGAAGAGCTAGTCGAAAAGATTTCAGAACTCTTAGTAGTCATAATAGAGTCGTTCGATATCGGCCTTTCACGACGCATACCGTGTTCTATCTTAGGCGGCTGAGGCAGAGCCTCGCTCAACATCTGCATCGTGTCCAGCGGATCAGCGTGCCCATGGAATAAATTATCGCTGGGTCTTCTCCCGAGACCCAGGCCCACAGCCTGCGCAGACCCGCTACTTGTCCGTGATCTCATACCACTCTCCTTCCGGGAGCTGGTTATGCCGGCCAGTGTGCGCCCCGACTTGCTCTCCACACTGGGTTCCTCCGGAAGTGTCCCCAAATTACTACGTGGACGTATCATTGTGCTCCCATTCACCTAAACTTGTTTGTACTCCCAAATACAATCCCGACTGTCCCAGTCTCTCCTTTTTAAAAGAAAACTCCCAAATTTAGCCAACTCCCAATTGACGCCCAATATTTAATAACCTGGTAGTGTTCCTGGGATAACACCAAGCTTGGCAAAGGCCGCAACCCAGACGTCAGCTGGCAAGTTACAGTCTGTGAGCGTCGCCCAGCATTGATCCAGGAAATCGAAGCTTCCAAAAGTTTATGGATTTCGAAGAGAATAAAAAAAAAAAGAAAGAAAACAAAAAGCCAAAAGATTCTTCCAAGGAACATTAGTGCATTGTTGTGCGTCTCTTTCTGAGTTGCCGTCCGTTTATACAAAGTACAGCATTTTCACTTCAATTTATTAATAAATTGCCGAAATAGAAGACCAGATAGTGCGGCCTCAGAGCCCTTTCCTGCAGAGCCGTCTGTGTGATTTTCATTTCTTTTTCTTCCTTGCATCCCTGGAATCTCGAGAGAAAAATGGAAGAGTCACGTGTTCCCTCCACCTGAGTGGTTTTTGTGCCACTTTTGGCCTTCTCAGATGGCTGGGTTCTAGATCTGGGAGGCGTTGTATTACGGCACGGTATATACGTGCGAAGAAACTGCTGTGGGAAGACGGAAAAGGACAAGAATGGCAATTGGGGAAGAGGAATAAATTGGCAATGACCATTTTCGGTATGTCTATTACCAGAATAGGAAAGTGTAATTATATTTGCAGCAAAGTCTTTTATACTAAGAGGCAAGTGTTTCCTAATTTGGACACACTACAGGTTTTATACATTTTCATAGCCGTGCCTATTGCGTCGGTAGAAGAAGAATTGGTTGTGGGCCTCTACTTGGCATTGTGTGGCAGCGGCACCGTTAACGCAAAAGAAATGTCCTTATCCTGATTCGGAAATAAGGTTTATTCAGCTTTAGTGTGCCCAAGTGTGGTATAGCTCATTGTAAGTTGATTGAAAGTGATACCCAGTGACGCAAGTATCCTTGCAAGCTGTTTTTAAACTCAGCACGCATGCTAAACTAAAGAAACAGAAAGAAAGTTCTATATTTAAGATCTATATTTTGCTAATGCTTATTTATCTTCCGCAGTAATCTTCTCCAGCTGGGACTTCAAAGCGTGCTCTAGGGCTGGGAATCCCTGTTCGTACATCTTCAGCATTTTCTCAAGCTCATACAACACCTGTGGTTTCTTATCCATCATCTTGTTGGTAGTGGAATACACATTTCTGTCTAAGAAGATGTCCATTTGTAGCTGCTTGGGTGGTGCTTGCATAACAGGTAAATCTGCCAGGACACTCTCGTTCGACCCATTGTTTGCCGTAGCTGCTGTTGCAGTTGGTGCTGATACGTTAGGAGCGGTTATCGCTATTGGATTCCCACCGGTCACAGGAGTACCAGCAGCTGTCACAGTATTTGAATTCGGTTGTGTCGTAACGGTTTTTACCGATAATGCAGATGCAGATACATTCGAGCTGTTTAAGTTTACCGCCGTAGAATTACTATTCATGGACGCAGTTATCGTGGTCCCAGTGTTCCCGGAGTTCATACTAGCACCATCGCTCAACACACTATTAGGCGTTAGTTGTGGTTGGTTCTCTTGGTTTACCTGTAGTGAGCTGTTCGAACTGCCACCACCACCTATGTTTATAGACGAAGCTGATAAATTTGCACTACTCACACCTTGGTCCAATGTCAAGGAATTTTTCCTCTTGGATGTACTGTGAGACCTCTTAATTTTGGCATTGAAATCCATGCTCTTCTCATTGATTGGTGTCATTGATACAGGTAAAGCAGAAGTAACGCTAGTGTTGAAACCAAATTGGTTGATTGAGTCGTTTGTTGATGCAGGTGCAGTAGCTGCGGCAGCTGTGTTCACACCGAGATTTGATGGAGTACTAGTTGTAACCGAATTCTCCAACAACTTATTCCTTGCACCAGCATTTGTTGGCAGAGGCATTTGTAGCTTTAAGTTTGGATTCATTCTTCTGAATTCTCCGTTGACTCTGCTAGAGCTGTTACCTAGTGGTGTGAATGGAATTGCAGCACCATTTTTATCTAACACTACACCAGATTTTCCATCACTTGGGCTGTTATTCATGCTTGGCTTCCCTACAATACCCATCGGACTACTAAATGATGGTGTATCGTCTTTTCTATCAACGGTATTTGACATTGGTTTCATCATCGGTGGTGCAGAACTTCCGCCAAGATGTGAAGCAGTTGACATAGTAGGGGAGATATTCAATGGCTTATTTGGCGAGCTTCCATTAGCAAATAACCTTGATGGGGATGGTGTCCGATGATGTGATTTGGTCGCGGAGCTTAATTGACCGTTGGATTGGTTATTGACAGTGCTGCTTTGTTTGGGATTCTCTTTTTGGTTGTCTTCGGTTATATTCTGCTTCAAAGTGCTCAAGGATGATTGTACTTGGTTGTCATTACGATTGGCCCCTGCACCAACAGTTAATCTCCTTGATACACCATTTTGTTGCTTAAATGATAGTTGTGGATTAGATACTGTAGATGATCGTGGTTTTGTTGGACCACTTGACGTTTCCTGAGATTGTAATGTGGAAGTAGATGTTGGCAACTCCTCTGGTATTTCAATCTCGATAGATGTTGGAGCAGCAGTTAATGTACTACTCATTGGTCCATTACCCTGTTGGTACTTATGTGATGTAACCGGGACCATGGGGGAGCTTTGACTATAGTATGAGCTTCCCGTAAGTACTCCAGGGTATTTCCGGGCTTCACTACTTGCCGACCCCATCGTATCTTCTGAGACTCCTCCATTAAAATTTGTTTTTATGTGCAATGAAGATGAGTTTTTTGCCAGAACTGGAAGCTCTGTAGATATGTCAGTTTCTTCACTGATAACTTCGTTGTCTTCAAAAAGTTGTAATAGCTGTTTTAATGCTTTTGTTTCCAACCTCTTAGATGCATTTGAAGGGTTGCTATGAGATCCGGTAATGTTTGAAGCTGTACCAGTTGCTTTATTTCCAAATTGGGTTGTAGTGTGTGATATTGGTGCGTTTAACGTGGAGTTGTGTACAATTGTACCCACATTTCCCTTACCTATAGTTGTTCCTTGATATGTTTTCTGAATGTTATTATTTGTGTGATACATGTAGTATTGATCTTCTTCTGGATATGCAAAATTAAAATGGTCTACTTGGTTGATGGGCCAATCTGGTCCTGAATCCTGTGGAATAGCATCCATCTGGATATTATTGTCTATGATGTAGTCATTAGAGCTCAATGAGTCGAAGTCCCATTTGACATCAATCTCAGAAAGTTCTTCCTTCCCATCACTGCTGTCACTCGATAACCTCCTTTTTTCTTCGTTAGTTAATTCTGCTTTTGCGTTCGGTATATCGTCAGCCAAGTAGGCACTATCTTTATATGACTTGTTTTTGTCTCTGAATAATAAGTATCTGGATATTAGCTCTTTCAATATCGTTGTTGGGGTTGCTTTGTGTGTTTTGATAAATTTGGTTTTTAAAAGCTCTTCCGCAGAAAGTCTTTCCTGAGGGTCTTCATCAAGACATAATGCTATGAATTCTTTTAGTTGTGGTGTATAATTACGCTCTTCCAGCCTAGGAGGTTTAGATTTTATAATTAATTGCATTGCTCTTAGCGCCTCGACATCACAATATGGCGGATTTCCTGTGGCTATCTCATAAGCTGTTATACCCAGAGACCATATGTCAACTTTAGTATCGTAGTAAACACCTTCCATAATGACTTCCGGAGCCATCCAGTACGGTGTTCCTGCCATGGTTTGTCGTCTCAGGCTGGTTTGATTCAGTTGGGCAGCCACACCAAAGTCACAGAGCTTCACTTGACCTTCGTTTGTGATCAACACATTTGCTGCTTTTATATCTCTATGAATGACGTTATCCTTGTGTATCACTTTTAATGCGACTAGCAACTCCCTCATGATTACACCTATATATTTTTCATCTATCTTGCCAGGTCTCAGTAACGATCGCAGAGACCCACCTGCACAGTATTCCATTATAATCCATAGGCTTGTCCCCCGAAGATACGATCCATAGTATCTAGTAATATTCGGTATCTGCTTCAAAGAGGCTAGAAACTGTATTTCTCTTTGCACGTCCTCAACCTCATCTTCAGAAGAGTCCAAATTCAAGACTTTAATAGCATAAACTTGCTTGGTTTTCACATGGTAGCCCTTGTACACTATACCAAACTTACCTCTTCCAATAACCTCGGTCCTCTTGAAAGTAGAGCTAATGTCTTTCTCTTTGTCCTCATTACTACTCTTCATTTTACTCCGTACTTTTACTAATTTCTTAGTACTCTGGAAAACCCAAAACGCCTGCTATACCTGTTACGCACTTAGTCCATGTAGTTCTAACCACGATAATCACTGTATCTAACTCAGATCAATACTTTACTTGCTTGTTTATGTTGTGTTGTTCCTCTAGTATACTTGATCCCGCTCACAGAAGAAAAGAAAAGTCAGAAAGAGGCTCTTGTAACGCAATAACTTATGTCAAAGGACCCCGTAACAACTTTTTATGTCGTACTAGGACCACTTAGACGCCGACCAGAACTGAAATAATACTGGCAGGAACTGGTATGCTCATCGACTTTTCCCGCTATCCCACCCCCAAAATGAAAAAGTTCGAGTTTCGCCAAAATTTCTGATTTCACCTATTCGTACATGACTATTCAAGATTCAAAAAGAAAATGCAGCTGACCTTGCTACGTGGTTCATGATTGGAGATCACATGAATTTTCAAACCTGATCAATGTCAATACGTTGTGGGCTCATCGCGATGAGCTCAAGCAGTGTATGTTACATGTACTGTTTAATGGCAGTCAAGAAACTCCATAAATTCTGAACATTATAGTCACAAATTCACGCATTATTACACGTACTACAAGTAAAGTTGTCTCATAGCACAGATTCTGTAAGTTGGGTATATGTGTGGATTAATCGGTATTATTATTGGTCTTTTGACTAGGGTTGCTCTAGCGAGTAGTCTGGACGTTGGCACTTCTCCTGCTATCCTATTCTCTACCCGGCTGAGTGAAGGCATATTGGAGTACTACGACATGTTTGATAGTGGAGCTGTGGTCCCGCGCGAGGATTTCAATACTGTGTGTAAGACACTTATTTCGCATTGTAACTCCGATGCTGTGGTGTTTGTCAATCAGCCAGGCCTTTCCCTCGGTGATTTGTCTGAATATGCGGACCAATTCCAATACTTGAGTTCGTATGTGAGACACAGTTCTTCTGCCATGAACATTGAAAGAGTGTCAGTCTCCCAGGATGATCAAGAGAGTCAATTTGAGTCTTTGGTTCGCTATGCCATGGACACATGCAATATCTACGAGAAGGTTGTGATAGAACCATATGAGGCCGATACATATAAGGCATATATCGATGCAGAAAAGAAAGTCATTTTGATAGAGCTGCCTGAATTTTTGAACACTCAAAATGAGACTGACCGCATGGCTCTGATTAGTTCAAATGATAACAGATTAAGGAATATCCTGGGCCAATTGCCATCACCCGATATTTCTGTTATCTATACTTCTTTTCAACCATCTAATTTGGCTGCCGATGAATTTGCTGAAATATTGCCAGCGGCCTTTGATGTATTCGACAAGAATGCCGCTGTGGAGAGAAATATCAGATTGAAGGACGCTACAAGGCCCGGCTTTATAAACTATAGACCAAAGTTTGGTGATTTCAACTCTATCTCTCAAATCAAGCTGGACAAGCAATTTCTGGAAGAAAATCTGGGCTTGTTGTCAGCAATTCTAGTGAGCACAATTCTATATTTATTTGGACAACGGTTAAGTTCACATTCAAAAAGCCAAAACACGACTAGTAATAGCGCCAAAAATACTACGAAGAAGGCCGAGAGGGGAAACTAGCTCTCCAAGGAGAAGAACTCTTTGACGAATTTAATATTCTATGAGTGGGTAAATTTTTATTTTATTACAGTTGAAGTATGATCTTGCATAAATATATTGAGGGATTTTCTTTACATAATTGTTAGTATACACATAATACAATATTTGCAGTTATATTATTAATATAACATAAGGAACATTAAAATGAGGAAATGCTTTTCGCAATAAGATATAGTTATTTAAGTTGCGATGTTAGAATGTAATCAAATGGGGTTGCAGAATAAAAAAATGTACAATTACCTCCCTGCTGAAATGCATTTTACTTAAGACTTGATGCAAATTTTTGAACCTTCTTCCAATCTCTTGATGTCAGCATTGTTAACTGATTGAGTTGGTTTGGACTCTACTGCGCCGGCAGCTGCAGGTTTTCTGTTGTGGGTCATATGACTTTGAACCAAATGGCCAGCGGCAAGAGCCGCACACAGCGACAGTTCACCGGCAAGAACTGCACAAGCAACAATTTTAGCTAGTTGTCTTGCATTCGCACCAGGGTTCGTAGGATGAGGGCCTCTGACGCCCAACAAATCCAGCATAGCACCTTGGGGATCTAAAACAGTACCACCACCAATGGTACCAACTTCGATAGAAGGCATTGATACCGATATCTTCAAATCACCATTAACGTCATTCATTAAGGTCATACAGTTAGAACTCTCGACATTTTGAGCTGGATCTTGTCCTAAAGCTAAGTAGACTGCAGTAACTAAATTAGCTGCATGGGCATTGAAACCACCGACAGAACCAGCCATCGCTGAACCAATCAAATTCTTAGAGATATTCAATTCAACCAGAGCTGAAACATCACTTTTCAAGACCTTTCTTACAACGTCACCAGGGATGATGGCTTCAGCTACAATACTCTTACCACGACCTTCTATCCAGTTGATAGCAGCAGGCTTCTTGTCAGTACAATAGTTACCAGAAACGGAGACAATCTCCATATCATGCCAGCCGAATTCTTCGACCATTTGTTTTAACACAAATTCAACACCTTTAGAAATCATATTCATACCCATCGCATCACCAGTTGTAGTTCTAAAACGAATAAATAGTAAGTCACCAGCAAGAGCAGTTTGAGCATGTTGTAGTCTGGCAAATCTAGATGTAGAGTCAAATGCTTTCTTGATTTGGTTCTGACCTTCTTCAGAATCTAACCATATTTTACAGGCACCAGCTCTGGTTAAAGATGGGAAGCGAACGCATGGACCTCTAGTCATACCATCCTTTGTCAAAACAGTAGTGACACCACCACCGGCATTTATAGCCTTGCAACCACGCATGGCAGATGCAACCAAGCAACCTTCAGTTGTGGCCATAGGGATATGATATGAAACACCGTCAATAACCAAGGGACCAATAACACCAACAGGTAATGGCATGTAACCAATCACATTTTCACAACAAGCACCAAAGACTCTATCATAATCGTAGTTCTTGTAAGGAAGACGATCTGTAGCAAGAACAGGAGCATCTGCTAAAATAGAGATGGCCTTTCTACGAACGCACACAGCTCTAGTGGTGTCGCCTAATTGTTTCTCTAGAGCATAAAGAGGAAGCTTACCGTGGATAACCAACGAGACGACTTCCTTGTTCTTCAATTTAGAGACATTTCCTGCCTTCATTATAGCTTCCAGTTCTTCGATAGGTCTCTTCATAATCTCATCAATATTTGTGTCTTCATCGGAAGAAGAATAAAATGAGCTTGTTGACGTTGAGGTAGAGCTTTCAGAGGTTGAGATATCTTTTCCTGTCGTTAGTTTTGGTCTAGATTTTTCTACTGTGACCTTCTTTTGCTTTACTATTTTTTGTTCAGCTTTTGGCTTGTGTTTGGATTGAACTTCCTCGACAGTATATTTGGTGTGGATACGGGAAGCATTCAGCAAATAAATGTTAATCAATGAACTGATCACTAGAGCGAAAAATACTAATTTACTGACAAAACGATCACGAATTGCAACACTGATATAACGCAAAAGGGAAAGAATGGAGTCTTCCACTTGATGATATCTTTTATATGGCTTGTATGTCACAGAAATGATTGAGATCAATACGGCGTCGTGAAATTGGGACGAGTTGCTTGTCTTTATAAATTCTGGTAATCTAGGAGGTTTGTTGCTTGTGTAGAAGGCTGAGAAAGCGTCAGTAGCCCAGTCACTACCTAGATTGTAAAAGTTAATCATGACAAAGAAAGCAATGAAAGCAAGTTTGACAAATACAACAGCATAATTAGAATTAAACAACAAATTTCTAGACTTATTCTCAGATTTCGAGATGATGTCTGCAGTTGTTGAAACAATTCCATCTTCTTCTAGAGTTTGTTTGATTAAAGTTGATCTGTGAATTATATTGATTTCTAACTTCAGGGAAAGGACGGCTGAATAAAATGTTGCTGTTAGTAGTAGTTCATATGCTAGTATGAATGCTGATAAAATGCAAAAATTAGTTAGAGGTTGGACACTGCTTGCGTAGATTGAGCATCCGACAAAAGCAATGATACAAAGCAAATGATCTTGTAGTAATCTACCACCTTCTTCTAGCATCGCTTCATATATGATTCTATATGTAGCAACCTTTTTGGAGATATTGTACGATTCAAATAGATGTAGAGCATTAGACGCTAATCTAACTTTGTGGTTGAATCCAATGACAACCATCAAGAATGGTAGACCTTGAATCAAACTTAAAGCAGTGACTTCCTTGTGCAACAGGCATTGAGAGGTGAACAAGGCTAAGAACAAAGCACAGGCTGAATTGACAAGAGTAGCAAGACTCAACCAAAAGCTAGACCCAGTTTTTCTCATGTCGTTAAATAGACTGAAGATGGTGTACATCATCATTGAATAGGCAATTACGATGATAGATATGTCAAATGGATCAGATTCGTTTATATTTTTGATGCAAATTTCATAAAGGTCAAATAATTTTTGTTTAATTTCAAAGATATCATTGATTGAAGTTGTTAATCTCCATTGTGTTCCATCAGGTGCACTTAATTCTGATGAGATTTGAAGATCTTTTTGAATAACATATTTTTCTGACTTCGATTCATAGATTGTATCATCAATGAAAGGCTTGGAAATAGTCATATTCTCATTGGCTTCAAACCTCATATCAAGCAGATAATAATGTTGAGTAAGTGGTAAATCGTTAGCTTCGGTTGAACTGATCATAGACCAGCCATTAGATTCTGGGTTTCTATAGTAATGTGTACAGTCATTAAATAGTTTGTCCTGATCTTGATTGGATGCTTTCGCAAATATCGTTTTTGAGTCTAGTTGCCAACCATTAAAATAGTATTGGATAACAGAAAGGTAAGCAAATGCAGATATCACAAGAGTTACCAAAATGACATGGATAGGTTGTTTAGCAGACAGCTTGGATGCATATGCAATTGGTCTGGAGATTCTGTTAAAGCCCTCGAAAAGTAAAGGCATTGTCTAGCTTGTTTTAACTTGTCTATCTTGTGATCCGACTCAGATCGTTCTATGAGTTTTGGAATGCCAATAATTTTTTGATACCACTATTAAAAGGAATTCAACTTTAAAGAAAATAATTTCCTTCTAAAAATTATTTCAGATTACTAAACAGCTAAATTAAGCGGTTTGAGTTCTGAGACACTTCGTATCGTCTATTTTTCTCAACAATTATTGGTGTCAAACGAGCCTGATTCAAAATCTTTTTTTTTTTGTCAAAAGCGTTTTGGAACCGAAAAAAAGATGTAAGATTCAAAAAAGCTTATCGATGATAGAACAATGAACTCCAGAGTTTTGGCAAATTATTCTAATGGTATTGTAAAAATTTAAAAAATCTATTATCTCAATTTTATTACCTTGGCAGAATATTTTCCTTAAATATTAGTAAACCGAATTCTCTTCTAATTATTGTTTATCACAGTGGTCATCTAATATACTGAGCCAGTATTTGAGAATAGAAATTGATTTGAAAACTGACTTGGCTTCAAGGAAATGAGATATATGTAGTCAATTGAGTTGCCAGTGCCCTTTTACTTTATATTAAAATTAATTTACAATTTTAAGAATTGCGCACAGATTACTAAATCGATATTTCCTTAAAAATATTGTAGTTTATAAATGAAAGGGATCGATAGATGCTGAGATGCCTGATAGTAGATTAATGTTTAGACCGAAAAAAATTTTCCTTAGCAGAAATATGTTTCGTAAGGGCCTGCAAGATTCAGTTATTACCTCTATTATTTTGGAGTATCAAATCACCAAGGTATCTTTTCCATTGAAAATTCTTAAAGCGTGCTACGAAAGAGCACTCTATCACACTGTTTTGTTAGTATAATGAGGGAAGAAAGTCGAGCAATATCTTCTACTATAAACTAAGAATACTACGTAGCAGCAACCGTTAATATTTCAGGAAAAGTCAATGCTAGGAGAAAAACAGCTTTGTAGTACAATCGTCAACTTCGCAGCAAATTGTATAGAATATCTGTAGTCAATTTTCTAGCACTGGCTTAGAGCTTCGGTCCCAGGAAAGCGAAAGGGTTTTTCGGGTTTTCACGATGAGAAAGGTCGAGAGTAAGAGCACAAAAAAATTCCTCTCTTATGACCTAACCAGGATATGATCATTTTCTAGAGCTAAGCAACAAAAGTTTCCACGGCTTTATCTGAGGCACAGCGAGGTTCCAATTGAGACAATGGGTTTCTTAAGTTTGTTGAACTTCGTCAATACGATGAAAAGCAAAGAAAAATTGCTTTTTACAGTCCATTTCTTAAGTTACCAAGACTGCCCTCTAATCTTTTAAGACCGATATACATTTGCAGGTGGTGTGCAGTATAGCGGGAAGCTAGCTAGCATTGAGAAGACTATGTATTCTTTTTTGACCACATTTCTAGGATACGTAATAATTGTTCAGTAATCTTAACGTAGTTCACATTTTCCCTAGCAAAGTAGCTTATTACCGTGTGTTGGAGGCTAGTTCATACAAAACGGGGCCCCTTTCCATCGTTTATATACGAGCAACTCCAATTGTAACTAAACGAGACTATAATGATAAGTTGTCACTGTCCTTTCGCTGCTCAGTAGGTTATATGGCCTTTCGGTGTCTTGGAGAATATGTACTTTTGTGGGGGGACTAAGCTATAGTTGCGCTTTGGGATGGACATGTCAATTGTAGTATCGTTAAGCAATGTCATTAATTTCATTGAGAGTTGTATTGTCGTAAATCGCAAAGTCTCATAGATGTTCTTAGAATTTCTCATTACAGAGTATTGCAGAGGTCTCCTGTATATCAAAATTCAATGGCAGCTGCAACTAGTGGTATAATATGACTCTCCATTGCGCAAATTGTAGCATATGGGGTAGATGCGGCTATTGCATAAAATAAAAAATTGGAGTAATAGGATATACATACTTTGGTGTAGCTTCGTTCTTTCAAATGTGTAGTCTTAGGGATGATTTTATTTTGGTATGAGTTTGAAATGGAACAATCGCAAATGCCAGTTCAGGTTCTATAGCTGATATGTAACTCAATTGAACCTATCTTTGAAAAATGGTAAATATTCCTCAGTTAGGATGCTTAACACAACATACCCGCCCAAGGTGTATCAGCTGAATCTTGTCGGCAGAAGCTGACGCGTCTTCATTACTTTTGATTTTCTAGAATAAAAGACGCGTCGCAGACAGAAAATACAATATTTAGCCGCCAAAACTATTTCATACAAAAATTTACACTGCAGAAGTAATTCTGTGATTATTGACTTTGTTAATATAATATAAATAAGATATATAGTATATATGGTTGTTTTGCTTTTAGGTTCTACTTAGATTATACTACTTAGTCATTGTGGATAATTTCATCATTTAGAAAGAATATGATTTGAAGACGGCTAAAAAAAACATGACATTTTTAGCAGCAGTTATATCCAATGAACGCCAGAGCAGTTCCGAACTTGAACATTTATAGATCTTACATGTTAAAATAGATGCATTTTAATATTTAGTTCACAAAAAAGGTTAAGTTTTCAGTTGATGATTGTTAGTTAGAAAAAAATATTAGTTAAAGTACCTGCTTATAATGAGGATGAAATAAAAGAGTAAATACTACAATAGTTATATTTTGCTAGAATATGTTTGCTTATTTGATGGACACCAACTTGACATCGAAAGTCAGCTCAGAGTTAGCTGGGATTCCTGGTAGGGCTTGCTTACCGTAAGCGTAAGGGGCTGGGATAATAATTCTACGTTCACTACCAACAGACATACCTGCGACACCGACGTCCCATCCCTTGATAACTTCACCACGGCCTAGCTTGAACACAAATGGCTTACCACTGGTGTTCTTGTCAAAAACTTTACCGTTCTTTAGCTTACCGATGTATCTCATACCAACACGGTCACCCTTCTTGGCAGCTGGACCATCGCCAACGGTACGATCTTCAATAACGACACCACCTTCAAGAGTTCTTCTCTTTGGGGTCTTATCGGCCTTCTTTGACTCAGCCTTTTCCTTTTTGGTTGGTCCTTCTTCCAAATCCTTCTTGAACTTAACCTTCTTGTCCTTGTGTTCCTTCTTTGGTTCTTCTTCCTCTTGCTTTCTCTTCTTGTTCTTAGACTTGTGTTCGTGATCGTGGTCGTGGTCGTGGTCGTGATGGTGGTGATGGTCATGCTTCTTGTGCTTGCTCTTCTTTTCCTCTTCTTCAGATTCTTCCTCCTCAGAAGCTTCGATCTCTTCAACAGAACCAGCTGGGGCAAGTTCGTCCTCGTCTGGAGTCAAATCGTGTTCGTCACTGTCTTCAGCATCGTCGTCAGAGTATTGGTCGTTGTAGTAAGAGTCAGATAGCTCATCATCGTAATCAGAACCGTCTTCATCTTCGCTATCGTCCATGTCACCCATTGGAGTGTCGAAAGGATGCTTGATGTAGTTACCAACCAATGAGATGGCATAAGAACCAGTGACAATGAACTGGATTTCTTCTTCTGGAGCAATAGTTAGATCCAAGGTTTGTTGGTATTGGGTCTTCGGACTTAAAGTAGCCAAGACGTATTCTTCGAACTCATCGTCATCGTCTTCCTCATCCAAATCAGAATCAGATTCTTCTTCTTCTTCCTCATCCTCGGATTCGTCCTTCTTCTTACCCTTAGACTTCTTAGACTTCTTTGCTGGCTTTTCTTCTTCTTCTTCTTCTTCTTCTTCCTCTTCGTCATCGGAGGCCATTTCGTCCTCGTCATAGTCGCCATTTAGCAAATCATCGTATTCTTCATCGTCAAAGTTTGGGTTTCTCTTGACAATTCTCAAAGTAGATGGCTGTTTTTGGTCATCTAAAGCCTCAGGATCCAGGGCAGCCATAGTAATACGCACAGTAACTGGCATCTCAATATCGATGGCTGGAGTTGGAATGTATGGCAGCACATTCAAGCTGTAAGTGGCCAATGGTAGCATATCAGACATTATTGCAGAGGTTGTTGTTTATACTATATGTGTGATGTATAGCTATCGAGACAGAAATAACAGTACAAAACCAATAATCGCCACTAATAACCAACCTCATCGCATATTATACAGTTTCCTACTGCCCTTATATTTCAATTTTTCTCGAAACAATTTTTCACTTTGAAAAATTTTGGAGTCGCGTTCGACGTTACGCCACTTACTATTCCCAGTTAGGTATAGCAATGGTGTAGGTGTATGGGGCGTTAAGGGTGATGTGGGGCATGTGATGTATACAAGGTCCAGTTAATAGGGCCATTGGTATGGACCTAATGTGAGGGCCAGTTAGCTTTCAATTACGATGTTTTTGGACGCAAGGATGGCGTTCTTGATCAGAGCAAAAAAGCATACTTTGTAGGGTTCCATTATATAGAATCAATTACTAATTAGTGGTTGTGATGTTATATGATATGATATGATGTGATGTTAAAAAGGGTTGTTTTATTGTATTTTTATAAACTAAACACAGTTTTTTGTTAGTAATAGAATTAGATAATTAATAATTTTTTCCTTTCTTTACTTATATATGATGCTTAGAAGTTCAACAAGTGTGGCTTGTCACCGTTCTTCAAAGAGAAGGAAGCAGCCAAGTATTGCTTCAACAATGGGGTCTTCTTGATGTTAGCCAACAAAGCCTTGTCGACGTTCTTTTGGTCTTCAACACGTTCAGCCTTGACTTGCTTGGAGGAGTTTTCTGGGAACATTTGAGCTTCCTTCTTTTCCTTCTTGTTTAGCTTCTCTCTGGCGAAGTATTCGACGTTGAACTTAGCAACATCAACACCGCTCAAGTCGACCTTGGTGGAGGTAGCAATGACGTAACGAGCGTTGACTCTTCTCAATGGGACACCGTTGACCTTGAATGGACCGGAGACCAACAAGGTGTTGTCTTCCATGTGCTTCAAGTAGACAACTCTCTTACCTCTGAAACGACCAGCCAACAAGATCAAAACGGTACCTGGGACCAAAGAAGCACGTAGCTTCTGTGGACGAGCGGTCTTTCTGGTCTTCTTTGGGACAGCAACGTCTTCAGCTGGATACCACTTTTGAGGCTGTATATATGTCATCTTTCCAAATATCAGTAACTTGTCAGCTCAATTTTCTACTGTTCCTACTGTATATGGCAATTGTTTGCCATAAACTTCGAAAATTCGAAAATTAAACCTTTTTGTAATATTTGAAAAATAAAAAAATGTTAGTAAATCTGTAATTAATAATCACTGATCGATCAATCCCACCCCATAGATAATAAGCTTTTGGTTTGCTCTGTTTTAGTCCAGACACATATTCCGAAAATTTTGATGTTACAACACAGTATAGGTAGATACCATTCGGGTCACAGAATATTAGTCTCTTTTCCTCAAAACCACCCAACGTAAACTGCACACTGTCAAAGGTATCATTTTATTTGCATAATGCAATTATGCACAATATTTCTACAGCCAGTGGCAATGTTAAAGTTATCAATTTGAATCCGATTCGAAATTATATCATATTATCGCTGCCTATTGGCTGTTTTCACTTGTACTTCTCCTGTTATCCACATTAAATTTCTCAGTTGCTCTGTCTACCATAGCTCTCAAAACAGCCTTCTCTGATTATTGGGTATTTGGATGATCCTCAAAAACTGGTTTCTCTATCCTCAAACATACTTTTAGCGCGGTCATTTCCTGCAAATAGATTTGGTATTGTTTGGTTGTTTTTGTTAAACAATATAAAAGATACGTACAATGTAAACACAAAAGTTGTTATATAGAAGTTGAATATAATACCTCCAGAATCACAAATATGTCCTCGACGTACCAATACTCAAGGAAACTGTTCCAAGAGGTTGGAAGTGCCATTACCGCTATTGCAAAAGTTCAGATGAAAACTCAGAGTTGGTTGCGATGACAAAAGTCGACAACGGGGACCTGCACAAGGTCTCCCACCAAACTGGTCTGTCCACTCCACTAGGCAGGGAGTGCTGGAATTGTTCCCCTGCCTAGAAGGTAAGCCTGCCAGGAAAGGGATCGATGCTGAAGCCACGCTCCTTCCAAAGACCCTGGCACCTCCCGGTAAGGACTACTAATGCTTCCACTCCACTGGCAGCTCCCAGTGGTGGGGGAAGGGGGGGTGTGAGACTAATTCTTTCAAGAAACTCCCACTGGGGTGAGAGCCACAGGGGGAGGGGAAGCATTCGAGTTGCTTGCACAAGCCGGTAAACTGGCATCAGTAGTACAAGGGGCCATGCCATAACGCATCCATTCGGTTGCGACACACCGCAAAGGTAGCTCCATGAAGGAGATGGCACCGACACCCAAGGTTGGTTCTCCCGCACTGGAATCTGAGAACAGAGAGTAATAGTGGGAAGACTTCTTGGGCAGGCAGGCAAAGGAGAGCAGACTCACACTTCGCTGTTCCGGAACGTGTTCTGCTTTGGCGAAGCAATAGTTCTTGCCGTATCAGGTTATTACAACAACATGAAAATCTCGAAAACTAACGATAAAATTTTTTGAGATGTTTTGTCAGGGTGTATGGGTGCAAGAATAGTCACAATATTTAATAATCTGTGATAACTTCAAGTTTAGGAAAAGTCGGGTCATCCCTCTTTAATGACTCCATTTGGGATGTCATCAAATGTTTCGTTAATCACGGCACTATTGGCGTAAAGAATTTCAATATTGCAGCATATTATTCCTCCAATTACATTTGGTTTGGTCAAAAACAATATATACATTTTACTGCTGGTCAAGATAATTACTTATGCGTTATACAATTATACATAAAAAAAACTTATTCAGTTCTGTATTCCATTGGTACTTCGGGCACTGGTGGTGCTTGGTCCGCGTAGTAGTCGATTAGGACCGTTACATGACCTTCACCCACATTAACTGTGATTGGTTGTCCCATGTGAACACTAGGGTCCTTCAAACTAACTTGGCCGAACCCGACTTCCTTATCCTTACCTAAAGTATGCACCGAGACAGCACCTAAGATAATGTTAGCTTCTGGAGAAGCTTTAAATTGAACGTCCTCGTGAAATTCAATGTCCCCATTGTTGTCAGCTTTACATTTCTTAGTCTTGTAAATATACTTAATTCTGCCTGCCTGTGTTAGTGAGACTTTAATTTGAATGTTGCGGCCCAAATTGTCACCGGAAAGTATTTTTAGAGTACCAGTAGTGGCGGCATCTGGACCCAAAGTTCTAGCAAACGTACTAGCAGTAGAGATCCTTTCAATACCTGGAGTAGATTGATTACTCGAAGTGTTGTGGTCACCAAATGTTTCTGACATTTGTTGAGGTGGAGTATCTTGAGTGTTATGGTCATGATGGAATGGCGATGTGATGTGGCTAGCACCAAGACTCAACCCATTCATACTAGGCTTCTTCATTTTAGGGATACCTAAATGTGGGCCGCCTGATTCCTTATTCTCCATATCTCTCTCGGTTCTTTCTTTGGCTTCCTTTGCGATTTCTTCGTTGGTTCTATCATCAATGCCGGATTTCTTGTGACTTCTATGGCTATCAAAAGACTTTCTACCTTGGCCTAATGACTTGAGTAGCTTACCTCCTTTACTCAAACCTCCAGCTGCAGCTCCAAGACCAGCACCAGCAATACCGGCGACATTTCCAGCAGCATCGGCGACATTTCCTGAAACACCGCCAATTGCCTTTAATGGCGCGTCAGATAGACCTCCACCATCCTTTTCATCAAGAGTAGGTTTCACATAACCAGGATTGAAGGTGGCAGAAAGCTTAACAGAACCTTGCGTATTGAGAGGTAACTCCCAGTCATATGTTCTGTTGATCTCCATTTCAGATAGGTTGATGTCTGCATAGCCCAAATCATCATTCGAGCCGGCTCTATCCCAATCCCAGACACGCATAACCACGTTAGATCTCGACCTTGATGGAATTGGAATTTTACAATGCTCGTTCCATACTGGATCAAGAGTTTTCTTTTCGGTGTGTGTCTTATAGACACGTTTTCCATTGATATATATACCAACGAATGGATCAGACTTACCGTTTCTATCAGCTGCCATTAGATGGGAACCTGATATAATGTTTAGGTTCAAGTAGCCTGTATCCTGGACTCTTTCGTTGCATGGCAACTCTTCTGTTATAGGGTTGTATAAGAACGTCATCGTTACCTTTGAGTCATTCACTTGAAGTTCAATTGGCTTTCCGTAACCTCTATGTAATAACTCTTTGGTATCAAAAGCTGCTTCCGCAATAATATCGTCAATAGATTTTACGATTCTCCTAGTTGTGATTCTCAAATACAATTTACTGTATTCCAAATCTCGAATGAATGCATTTGCACTTTGAGCATCAAGATTACCGCTATTTGAACGCTTCGAAATAAAGCATGGGAATGATATATCATCAAATGCAACTTCTAGATAAGCAGGTGCATCACTCAATCTAGCTTCCGATATCTGGAAGGTCAAAACACCAGCATAGTTATCTAATAACTCTTGGAGTGGTACCTTTTCTTTCTTACCTAGTTTCTTTTGCTTGTCTTCAAATGGATCATTTACTTCTACCACTTCATAATCATCTGGGTTTTTCTCCATGCGCTGTTTCAAGTCCTCTTGTTCTTTCTCAAATTTAGATTTCTCTTCCTTCAATTCTAATTCAAGTGGTTCAATATTAGCGATTTCTTCTGGAGAATAAACTGGAACAGCAGGAATAAAAGCAAATGAGGCGTTGATAAAATCATCAGTTTCACCACCTCTCTTGTCCAATATATCAAGCTTGACAGACTTGTCAAGTTTATCATAAGGTTGGTACCTACCCGTCTTTTTATCACGTTTAGCAAACTTGGAAACAGGAACTCTTGCAGAACCGATGAATCTATCTGAACCAACAGATTGGTAGTCGGATAAACTTATCGTGATTGTTTGACCATCTGATGTAACAGGAACGTAAACCATATAATTGAATGTTGGAGATCTGTTTTCAGACTGGTATTTCGACCTATATCTTTGTACATTGTTCAATGAAACAGAAAAGTATGGATCAATGTCACCAATACCGGATAGGGAAGAGTTGATTTCAGCATTTCTAACAAATATCTTCAGTACACCAATAGGATCTGATAAGCTGTTGCTAGTGACTTTGATCAATCCTGACATTGGAACTGATTTCCATTGTAAGTCTACATTGATGTAACCTTGTGGTGAAGCCTCAAGTGAAGATGCACCCATACTTAAGGAGTCCATGATCTCAGATGCTGTTCCGCTGTATTCACACAAGAACTCTCTGTGTGATTTGTGGTCATCCCAAATCTTCAAAGTGAGTTTGCTATCAGTCTGAGATGGTACTAAAAATTCAACAGATTCTTCCCAATTAGGTTCATTATTACGCTTGACCTTTCTAAAGGTCTTTATTAATTGGCCATCCATAAGCAATTCAGCTTGTGGATTCAACGTACCTGATATAGAGGAGGAAAGATCAAGATTCTTTGCAGAATGTAAGACAAGTTTGGCAATTCCCACACAGCTATCATTATCCTCTTGTTCCAACTCATCCTCATCCACGTTAGTGTTTGGAGCATTGGCACTAGTGGTAACATTGTTATCGTCGTCATCATCTTCTTCTTCAGCTTTGTTGACAGATGGGAACCAATGAAGGGAGTATGTAATCTTACCACGGTAGGAGTTTGAGACCTGCAGATTAGCTGTTTTATGTTCCAGTAGACTGGTTTGCATCAAGTCATCTAGCTCAATCTCAGCTTCACCGATCATAGAATCCTTCAATACACCGTTATGATCATAACATTTTAGATGTAATTTTTGCTGTAGGTTATTGACCAATAAATATTTTGTTTCATTCCACGTTGGTGACTTAGTGTCAGCCTTGACATTAGTAACAAGCTCTTCATCGGTTCCACTAACAGGATTGTCTAATTCAAATGTTACATATGGATTGACGTCGCTTGTAATATCAGCAGCGGTTTGTAGGTCCTTTGCTGAAATGACAGTTACAGCAAGAACACCAGAAGCATCGTTCGATTGTGCAGCAATAATTTCTTCCATATCGATATCCAGATGGTTAGGAGCAAACAGCATTGGTCCAGCTATGGAGTTGATCATATTCTTGACAAAACTCTTCAACCCTGGTAAAAATGACATTATATCTAAACCTAATGTGTCACCACCAATTGGTTTCAACACAAAATCGATCATAGGTGGTTCAAGTAATTGCACTGAGACAGTCTTTATGTTTGGAAAGATGTTACCAAATTTCAGCATCAAGCGAACATTACCGGAACAATTTATATCTTCCGTAAGCACTGTGACCTTCTTAGAGACTATACTCTTACCCAAGTTGACTCCCAGAGCAATTCTTGGATTGATTTTTTCCCTAGCCTCGACAGGTGTCATATCAGATTCATCGTTTGGTGTGAATGCGAATGATATATCAATCTCAAAGGAGTCCTTACTTGTTTTACTGTAGGATCTAATACCCTTAATGGCTGGCGCTTTCGTACCAAGTGTGAATTCGTCGATAGATAGTGCATCGATACCATAACCTGGAGCTACTTCAGCCAATATTGGGTTCACGTTTTCCTTCACCTGTTGTGACAAAACAGGCATGTAGATAACCCAGAATTTCGACAAGAAAGAATTTAACCATAGAGTTTCTTCAACGCGATCAGAGATCGTTTCATGTACGGTGGTTCTTTTCAAGTCATCTCTAATGTTTCTGTTGAATCTATTGTATTCCATGTTGTAAACAGTACCTGTTGCGAAGAAAATAAAAATCATAGACCACCATGAGAACCCGATGTATGCAAAAAGCCAAGAGAAAAAGCACGTACCCATGATTGTAGAAGTGTTGAAATAGAGATCGTTGAAGAACACTTCTAAAAGATAAGCCCTCACAGCCTTTGAGCTGACATTGGAAGGTTTACCGACACCAGATGAGTGGAATTCACCAATGTGAGACCAAGGATACATGTTATCCGGAGTATTGTCGTCTAACACTTCGTCGAATTTCTTACCCCCTGCAATACCATATTTGTCAATTAAACCAGGGCCATCAATAGATGTATCAAATTTATTTTGGTCTCTTGATGGCGCAGAACGCAAAGCTCTAGGGTGTACTTGCTCCAATGGAACTGATCCAATGGCACCTTCCTCATTGGCAGTTGGCAGCTGGTTAGCATTGGCGACCGCTGATGCCACTAATACATCCTCTGGTGGCTTGTACATTTCCCCAATTTTCGACTCGGGGACACCACCTCTGGGAGCGGCATCATCCATAGCGCTAGGCTGCGTAGATCCGCCTTTATAAGTGTCCTGCATTTGCGATGTCAGGTTACCCTTCTTGGTATCCTTGCCACCAAGCGGGTCCTGTGTCGGATCACTCTGCATTTTATAACTGATGTGCTATCTCTTCTTTTCTTCGGTCGGTCTAGTTCAAAGATGATTCCTTTAGTTTGCAATTAAAGTGCGTATACTCCTATGCAAAAGAGTAACTTCCTTATATAGCTCAGTTCCTCCGTCGTCTATCGGGTACTATAACCAATTGGCAATTTATATAGAGACAACTAATAATATAAAATTGCTTATTATCCCTGTTCCCTTCGTAATTAAATTTCTTCGTTTTCCAATGGGCGAACAATGGAGGAGAGCAAACTGCAGAGAAACAACCGTACAGATGCTAAATATTTATAGGCACCACCCCTTACAATTTTTTAGTATGGCGTAGCTAGTGATGAATATACGGTTCTGTAATACAAATCTAGTGTGATTTACTTTAAATTTTATAAAAGCATGTGTATAATGTAGCTCATGAGTATTTTGAAGCCAGTTCTGATCTTTTTCTAATGGCCCTCTTGATTTGGTCTGCAGAGAATAGTTCTGACTCGCACACTTTGTTCAGGAACAGGTGGTGGAAGTTTCGGTTCAAATCCAGCAGCCTGAATGAGCAATACACTATTTGTAGGCACACTGAGTCACTGATCTTGTTGTGTAGTTTCTCGTCTACCATATCCTGTAAGGTATATTGAATTACATTAGAGATGAACTCTAGCATGGGAACATTAGTTGGAATAGTGTTCTTCTGTTGTGCACTCATACTCATGTTCTCTACAGCTTCTTTACTTTCTTTACCTTCTATACTTTCTTTATCTTCATTACTTTGTTCACTACTATTCTTGTCTTGTTTTCCTTCTTTGCTTTGTTCGCTACTTTCCTTGCTTTGTTCACTACTTTCCTTGCTTTGTTCGCTACTTTCCTTGCTTTGTTCGCTACTTTCTTTGCTCTGTTCGCTGGTCTCTTTACTTTCTTCTTCAGCTTCTGTACTTTGTTCATTACTGTGCTGGCTGTTTTGATTTGTTTTTTCAGTGATCTCTTCTTCAGTTGACTGTTCTGTTTCCACTGCACTGTCTCCTACTTCTTTATCTATGAGGTCATCAAGCAATGGTATTGACAATGGTATCCTTTCACAACTAAAGAGATTTGCAAAAATATTCAATGACATGTACATGTGTTCTCGCAGCACCTCGATTCGCCTCTTAATCATCATCTCTACAACGGAGTCATTAATTTCCGTGTTGGCTATGGTGTATGACGTTACTTCCTTTTGTATGAACTTATACCTCATCGACAGGAAAACTATCAGTAAAGAGTCGCGGCTCTTCTCGTTGAATGGCGGGATCGCAGACAAGTATGTTAGAATTTTCTTCAACGAGTTGATGGTAACATTGGTGGATAGCAAATTCACAAGTCCGATCAGCATTGTCTGCTCAATCTCACTTAGCACAGACTTGCAGATCTCATCTACTATAGATGAGTCAGTAAACTTCGATCTCAGCGAACTGGTATACGTATAAAGCATAACAGCCTCTTGGTAATGGCCAGTGTTGATCGAGGCTCGTGCAAGGAGTGGGAGCTCCATTAGCTCGTTCAGACTGTCCAATTGTTCTAAAACCGGCACCAGATTGGAAGAGTCTGATGAGTTCAACCCATTGGTGTCCTTGTTCTCCATTCTGGCCTTCAATTTGGACAGAGCCTGGTGGAAATTGTCCTTATTTGCCTCCGTACTGTTAGCTGCAGTGGCATCGCTGTCGACCAGTCCGTTCTCGATCAGCACTTCATCAAACGTAGCAATGCCTGTCCCACTGAGTGTGGTGCCAGTGCCACCTCTAGCCGTACCGCTACCGTCCTCCTCACCAGTACCTACTTCCCACAATTGATCCAGAAGGTCTGCCATCGACTTCAGCTTCTCACGGGTATCTCCTCGCAGCAACTTCGTGACGATCTCCTTGTCATTCTCCAGCATCAACTCCCGCAGACGCTTCTCCGCTGCTGATATCTCAGCATCTACCTCAGCTATATCCTCAGTTATACTCCCGTCGAGCGCCTTCGGCGAGAAATACCTCTCATAGTCCCGCGTCTCGCTCTGCAACACCCCACGCAAAACTTCGACACCGTACTCACCATCAAACCCCTCGCCAACTAGGTCAGCCAGTATACCATCCATGACACTATGTCTTTCACTAAAGCTTAGACCAAAAGGGAACAAGAATAAACCTTAAAATGTTAGGCAACAACTGCTATGTATACGCTCTGTAATGAATCCTTTATAACTCTTTTTTTCAAAATCAGCTCATCAGTAGAGCACCACAGCAGGAACCACATAAGGGTAGATCCCAACCGCACAGAAACTGCTGCAGAGAAAAGGATCCATCTGATTGACAAAAAATTAAAAAAAGAAGGAAAAGCACTCACGATGGGGGTCGAACCCATAATCTTCTGATTAGAAGTCAGACGCGTTGCCATTACGCCACGCGAGCTTATTAACTTGTTAAGTTTTCAGCTTTGATAACTTAACTTTCTTCCCTCAGTCCTGTTCAACAATTTTCCTGCAGTGATTGGACATCTGTTATGTATAAACTAGTCTGTATATAGATACTTAGATTATGCGACTACGCCAGTCATATAAGCAGATACGTAATCTCTCGATCTGGTGGGATTGTAGTTCTCATTCTCCTGTTCACCCTTTACAGGGGTCTGGAGGTGTTTCCCACTTCGTTGTAGAACTTATGGGAAGTCTGGGAACAAGTGAGAAGCTATGCACCATGCAACGCTGGGTTGTATAACACCGGGTATTATAGACTTGTTGCCGACTTTCTATCATGTAGGAGATTGCAGTGCTATAGCCGTCTTTTGAACGGTTTTAAGGTCCCCTTTCAAGGATTATGTCATTGTCGGTGTTATAATTCGAAAAGTGATAACTTTCTCGAAGTGATATTTAAATGGGGCATGAGGTTTCAAGTTTGCCATTTTTGATAGTAGTAGAACTTGTCTATCGTGAACACCAACTACTATACACAAATAGCAGAGTAGTAAAGATATAATGAAGTCATTTGAAGTTCAAGAGCCATTGCAAAAGAGCATTGAAGGGTTTGCCCAGAGCAATCCCTCTCTGGCAGTTGTGCCGGAGGACAGAGTGTTCTACAGAGCTGGGGACAAGAGCCAAGTGGCACTGATCTCTGGTGGTGGTGCAGGTCATGAACCCGCTCATGCAGGTTTCATCGGTAAAGGTATGTTGACCGGTGCTGTTGTTGGTGACATATTCGCTTCTCCTTCGACAAGACAGATTCTGCACGGTATCAAACTGATTGCCAAGGACTCTAATGGGATCCTATTGATATTGATGAACTACACCGGTGATGTTCTGCATTTTGGTCTTTCCGCTGAGAGAGCTAGAGCACTGGGCATTGACTGCCGTGTCATCGCTGTTGGTGATGATGTCGCAGTCGGCAGGGAAAAGGGTGGTAAAGTTGGTAGAAGAGGTCTAGCAGGCACCATTCTGGTCGAGAAGTTGACAGGTGCTTTCGTGACTCGTTTTGCTGGCCAACACAATCTTGCAGATGCTTACAAGGTTGCTGACATCTCTCGTAATGCTTTGGTTACAATTGGTTCCTCAATTGACCATTGCAAAGTCCCAGGAAGGAAATTTGAGAGTGAATTGGGTGAAAACTCAATGGAACTGGGTATGGGTATACACAACGAACCTGGTGCTCACGTCTTGACTCCAATTCCAGCCACAGAGGACTTGATTGAGAACCAAATGCTTCCAAAACTGTTAGATCCATCAGACAAGGACAGATACTTTGTTCCATTCGAGAAAGATGATGAGGTTGTGTTATTAGTGAACAATCTGGGAGGTGTCTCCAACTTGATCATGAGTTCCATTGCTGCTATCACCACCGATTTATTGAAGAAGAAGTATGGCATCGTCCCTAAGCAGACAATTACTGGTTGTTTGATGACTTCTTTTAACATGGATGGTTTCAGTATTACCTTGATGAACGTTAGTAAGATCTCCAAGGAGATGAAGGCTGCTTTCCCAGACAAAGAAATTGACGTCATGCAATTACTAAGAGACCCTACCGATGCACCAGGTTGGCCAATTAGCAGCTATGAGCTGCCACCAACTGTGGATCATGAACTATTGAAAGATGAAGAAATCCCTCATGGTGTTGGTCACTACGATTTTGACAGCTTTGCCAAATGGATGAAGGGTGCTGCCGCAAATGTTGAGAAAGAAGAACCAAGAATCACTCAATTGGATACCCTAGTTGGTGATGGTGATTGTGGTTACACTTTGCTCGCTGGTTGCAAGGGTATTACAGATAACTTGGACAAGATCTCAAAGACTCATTTGTCTAGTGCCATGGATAAGATTTCGGAGTATGTCGAAGCATCCATGGGTGGTACCTCTGGTGGATTATACTCTATCTTGATTTCAGGTTTTGTGCACGGCTTGCAAGCTACTTGTAAAGACAGCAGTGAAAAGGTTACCCCCGAGGTATTGGCCAAATCATTCCAAATTGCTCTAGACACCTTATATCATTACACTAATGCTAGACCAGGTGCATCAACAATGATCGACGCTCTAGTGCCATTTATTGATGAGTTTGCAAAGACTCATGATTTCAAGAAGGCCGTTGAAGCAGCAGATAAAGGTGCTCAATCCACCGCAGACATTGTCGCTGAATTCGGAAGAGCTTCATACGTGGAAAACTCTCAAGGTATCCCAGACCCTGGTGCTGTTGGTCTAGTAGCATTTTTGAAGGGTGTTGAAGGCACTATGCAATGAATGATTCCTAATATGAAGTGATGAATATCTCTCCACCCAGTAATGACCAAATGGGGGCTACCCTCGCAATAGCTATATATATAAGTAGATCATTGGTTTCTTTACCTGAAAGAATACTGACATAAAGTATATAATTAAAACTGTTAGTTTTCACTTTATCTTTTATACATTGTGCCACCTGTTAACTTACAAGGTAGGAATACTATCTGACTTACTTATACCACTCGATATATGTATCACTAATAACGTTGAGTGTTTTGCCATTCGCCAAAAAATTTCCAGCAAAACGTGAATTCGCCATAATAGTGGATGAGTACTGAAGCCTAACTGTGCGAGTATATAACGTTTGTAGCGCGCACCCCACTTGAACTTCGGCGGTCAACAAGCTGAATAACGGATCATACGAGTTGAATTGTTGCCGGTAAGATTGACAGCTTGATATACTAGAAATACTATCGTCACGATGAGTACTGATTTCGATAGAATTTTCATGAACCAGAGCAAGTTCGGTGGTAGATTCAGAATTGCTGACTCTGGTCTGGGTTGGAAGGTGTCTACCTCTGGTGGGTCCGCCAGTGCACAAAACAAGGCTCCATTTCTATTGCCGGCCACTGAGCTATCCACAGTCCAGTGGAGTAGGGGTTGCAGAGGTTTCGAGCTGAAGATCAACACCAAGAACCAAGGTGTCATCCAGTTGGAAGGATTTTCTGAGGATGATTTTAATATTATTAAAGGTGATTTCCATCGTAGATTTAGCATCCAAGTTGAGCATAAGGAACATTCCTTGCGTGGTTGGAATTGGGGCCAGACCGATTTGGCTAGGAACGAGATGGTTTTTGCCCTCAATGGTAAGCCTGTCTTTGAGATTCCATATGCGCGTATCAATAATACAAATTTGACTGCCAAGAATGAAGTTGCTGTTGAATTCAATATCCAGGACGATACATATCAGCCAGCTGGTGATGAGATGGTGGAAATGAGATTCTATTTGCCTGGGTCTGTGGTTGTTGATGAAGATCAACCAGCTCCGAAGAAAGAAGGTGAAGAAGAGGGTGAAGAAGCTGCAGAAACAGAGACAAAAAGTCTCGCAGAGGCATTTTATGAGGAACTTAAAAATAAAGCCGATATTGGTGAGATTGCTGGTGATGCCATTGTATCATTCCAAGATGTATTCTTCACAACTCCAAGAGGTCGTTACGATATTGACATCTACGAAAACTCTATAAGACTGAGAGGTAAGACTTATGAGTATAAACTACAGCATAATCAAATTCAAAGAATTGTATCATTACCAAAGGCAGATGACATTAACCATCTTGTCGTCCTTGCTATGGATCCACCACTTCGTCAAGGTCAAACTACATATCCATTCCTTGTTCTTCAATTCCAAAAGGATGAAGAAACAGAAGTACAATTAAATCTATCCGATCAAGAATACGAAGAAAAGTATAAGGATAAGTTGAAGAAGCAATATGATTCTAAGACTCACATCGTTATCAGTCATGTATTGAAGGGTCTAACGGGCCGTAGAGTTGTTGTTCCTGGTGAATACAAATCTAAGTATGAACAATGTGCTGTCTCATGTTCTTACAAGGCAAATGAAGGTTATCTATATCCATTAGATAATGCATTTTTCTTCCTGACGAAGCCAACATTGTACATTCCATTCAATGATGTTAGTAGTGTTGTCATCTCAAGAGCTGGTCAAACATCTACTTCTTCAAGAACATTCGATTTGGAAGTGATACTTCGTTCCAACAGAGGTTCCACCATTTTTGGTAATATCAGTAAAGAAGAACAGCAACTGCTAGAAAACTTCCTAAAGTCCAAGAATTTGAGAGTTAAAAATGAAGAAAAGGATGCACAAGTAAGATTACAAAGCGCTTTGGGTTCCGATAGCGATGATGAGGATGTTAATATGGGTTCCGCTGGAGAAGATGACGAATCTGTAGACGAAGACTTCCATGTCAGTTCAGGTGACGATGATGATGAAGTTGCTGAAGAATTCGACTCAGAAGCTGCAAGTGAAGGTGAAGATGAAGATGAAGATATGGACGGTTCTGATAGGCCAACTAAGAAACCAAAGACTGAGTAAATGTCCTAAGTCTCTGTGAGAGTAATATTCCTCTCAAATATGTATTTTTCCATAGTCTGATAAACATCATGACAATATAACAACTAATTCTAGTTCAAACGTAGCACTACTCTGTCGGAGCTCGACGTTGATTATATAAATCACTTCATAAAATACATTAAAAAATCATTAAAAATTACATTTTTGTAGCTGAAATTTATATTTTGTTGGAATAAGACGTAGTTATGTAACTCTGTCACGGTGGCCACTTATCACCATATCAAGTAATGATCTCAATAACCACATTTGATTTAATTCGAATGGACAACTGGTATCATAAATAGTCATAGAGTAAGCATTTGGTTTAACATATTAAGTAACTTGTAACCCCAACAAGACAAAAAGTCAGTGGCATATTATATACACAATTGTTTAACTGTATGAATGATGGACTGAATTTGACTGATGACCTCCAGGTCTTATGTGATATGTATCCGGAGCTCACACTCAATGAGCATACTGACTTGAATAACGGTAAAACGGCTGAGTTGGTCTCTGGGGCTTTGGACTTCAATATTAACTTCCAAGAGAGTTTGAAAGTTATATTTGAGGACTACCAGCTCACTTTGGAAGGGCTGACATCGAATAAATTGTTATTCACCGTTGACCCACAGGGATATCCCAGTCTAAGAACAGGTGTCACACTGGAAATTAGCTCACAATGGATGACGGAAGATGACATAATGAAGATTATGGATGCACTTGACAAGGAATTTGGAGATATGACTGACCCTACAACTGATAAATTTGATGCCTATACTCCCATTCTAATGCTGGTATTTACATTTCTGCAGGAGGATACTGCATCCATATTGTTCCCTGACAATGTCAAAAATTGCTTATCGAAGGATGAATACTCAATATATGAGTCTATGAAAGAAGATTTCGAAAGGATACAACACAATAGCAACAACTTTGATTGCTGCATATGTATGGAGACCAAAAAAGGGAGGCATATGGTAGAACTCCCATGTAAAAACACCGATAGTAGACACTATCTTTGTAAAGACTGTTTAAAATCATACTACTCGACATTAATTGAAGAGGGCAGTATTGAGAATATTAGATGCCCAGAATGCCCATATAAGCCTATCAATTTAGAAAAATATACGGACTATAAGAAAATGAAGCAATCTCTGTTCATGCCACAGATACCCTTTGAATTTTTCCAGAATATCTTGAGCGATGAATTGTGCCAAAGGTATAAAGATTTGTTTTACACACAAGCAGCCACCAAATTATCATCGCATTGTCCTTTTGCTTGCAAAATATGCCCTAGATGCGATTATTGGTGCATCAAAGAAGATTTAGATGACTCCCTGATTCAATGCTCTAAATGCAGCTTCGCATTTTGTTTTATATGCTCTCACTCATGGCACGGGTATACAAATCCTTGTGGTAAAGCAGAAAAGATTGCTAACGAAATAATTGAGGAGTATATGGAAGACTCTACAACTAGAACCAGGAAGAAAGAACTGGAAACAAAGTATGGTAAAAAACGATTACAATCAGAATGTGAAGAATACCTAGCGGATAAAATGCTTGATCTTGCTATCGAGGAAAAAGGTTCCAATCTTCAACGTTGTCCCAGCTGTAGATTGGTTATAGAGAGAAGTGAAGGTTGTAACAAAATGAGGTGTGCGGTATGCCATACATTATTTTGCTTTATTTGCGGTTCGATACTTGATCCTGATGATCCTTATTCGCATTTCAGAGAGATTATATACCCATGTTATGGTAGATTATTTGAAGGTATGCCGGGAACATAGCAACTAGTTCATTAAGACTGAAGATATGCTATGAAATTATATAAGAAATATAACTATAATGAACATCTATGCATAGAAATCACTTTGATGGTCTCATGAATAATATTTATATATTTATTAAGCGTCAGCTATATATCTATAAGACTTGATAGTTTTTGGACGTATTGTTTTCGTGATATACAGGGTCAGCAAAAACAAAAGTTCTATGCTTTAAGTGATCAGTAGTGCTAAGTAAGAATACCATGACTGTGGGAGTCTGACTGATATCTTAAAGACCATTTAGGGCCTAAAATGTTTACTAATAGCAGATCAATAATTGTAAAGATCCATGATACAACAAACATGAAGAAGGACAATATTGCGACTAATCTAACAATAAATTGTAAAAAGGAAATTCTTACATCAGTAATTTCAATGGACAAAGGCTCAAATCCGTATCTGAAGAATATACCAGGTATTTTTCTCACAGTTGCTGGATCAGCATCGGTCATAGAATATTTGTAGTCATTGACAGAGTATTGAAAAGTTTCGATTTCCACACCCAATTTCTTGTACATGGTTGGTACAGCTGAAATATAATACATGTAGGCGCTCAATGGATGCTCTTTATCAAAACGTGCTGTTTTGTCAAGAGGGTTATCTATATATGGATAAAAATCACCAAATGATAACTCATTTATGGCATGCGCAAAATCGATTTCCTCCTTTGGTGCTCTTTTACCTGGGTAACCATAACCACTGGCTGTAATCTGAAGTTCACCTTTGACTCTATTAACCGGTACAGAACCAAAGATATGACACCCATTAAATTTTGGCAAATATTTCTCAGATTCAGGATCATTCTCGTCATAAAATTGTCTGGTATCTAATTTCTCTCTGAATTCAGCAGGAATGGCTTCACCCAAAATCTCATCAATATCTGGTGTTACAATTGAATTTACACCATTAACTTTGGAATCATATGGAATGAAAAAGGGCATATCTTCCAACTTAAGGTCTTGAATGACCAATTTTCTATCCTGCGTCTGGTCCCGCACATTTATGTGGATGTTTTCACATTTAATATTCACATACAGATCCATGTTAATCTGAGCGGTCTCCCGCACTACTTTATCGACAGTGTATTGCTGATCAATGTAACCACCAAAGAATTTACCAAACTCTGTCCATGCAATAAATAGTAAGAAGATATAGGTTAAAATGGAAGTTACACCACCTTTGGTAGACTTCTTCTTATAAGTCTCATCAGTCTTAGGGAAAGCATCAAACGTTCGCAGGCCGGCCATCTTTGCAATTGTCCAAAAAACAACCTTACTTTATATTCCCACTAAAATATGGATCTTTTTTATTCCACTAACAGTTGAAGTTTCCTCAGACAAGTCCAAATAGTAGAATCTTAAAGCTCATCTAAAAAAATGTATTTATTCCAATAAAACAATCCTTTGCAATGGGCCGCAACTTCTCGTCTGACTATTAGTATTATTCTCTGGGTAGTCTCGATCTGCACAAAATTGCAGTGCGAAGAGGTGCCGAACAAATCCGCGTGTTGAGTGATGATAATAGGCGCACCACCAACTTAGAAGACAAGTAATTCTGATTTTAACATTGAATTGGCTATCATAGGGTCCAAAATTCCCCAGCACAATCTACAACATTCCTCTCATTAATAAACTATACTTTGATGAGTTCCTCTGTGCCAGCTGGTAGGAAGTCTTTTGCCTTTGTATATCTGTTCGCTGCGATAAAAACTAGCGGAAGCATTAGACATTGTACTATGTATCTGAAACAACTTATCACGAAGCCACTGCCCACAGTAGTCTGTAACAGGTCCCAATTATTGCTATGGGTGTCATTGTTCAGTACATGACCTGCAACCTGGGATTGTGTGTCCAGCATTTCAGTTGGTTCTAACAATTTCAATGTTCCTAAGTAGACAATAGTTGCCAAATAAGAGCTGGTTGAACTGACCATCAGAACCGACCCCCATCCTTTCAATAAAAGAGGCATTATGGTGTGGTGTTTCCCAAATATCAGCACAAACCCAAACCCTAGAACAGCAACGACGAATGCAGCGCTTATTGTGATTTCCGCCAAATGCATATAAAACATTATCTTATTCACTACCACCAAAGTGTAAGCCACTGTCACACCCTTTGCGTAGTTTTTGATTCTTGTATTACTGTAAGGCTGGTCATCTGTTGCCAACAACAACTTTGAGAATGCATTGTTCCTATAATTATCATTCCGCAGAAACTTTCTCATAGAGGAGAGACCTAAATGGTAAGTAAATACCAAAGAGTCTCCCAATATCCGAGTGTTGTTTTCGTACCGTTGAGTCAGCCTACCCAGTTGTAAACCGACATCCCTTACGAGAATACCAAGTACATCCATTCCACAATCTCCATTAGCTACACAGTATTTAGTCTTACCCGAGGTTTTCTTACAGAACCCAAAATAGTTGATCTTGAATAGATTGTCTGTATCAAAAGTATCCACAAGGTTTTCCTCATTGTATATGTGCGGGTCAGCCAGATACTTGGACCAGCCCATGTCAATGGCCAGATATGAGATCAACCGCAGGAACTGCCTCACACTCGATACAAAGTCCTTGGTTGTTCTAGACCCTGTGACTATATTTACATTAAATTGCGGTGTACACAGCGGCAGACCAGTGGAGATCGAGCAAGAAAAATCTGGTAAATACAGCAACAGTTGTGTTATTGCCATGAAAAAGAGCAGCACCCATAAAATAAACCGTTTCACAATGAGCATGTTAATCGATCTTGCCCCATTTATGATAAATGCAATGAAAGATCAGATACACAGTAATTCATGCCATGAAAATGAATAGGAAAACCCAAGGAAATATGAAATTGAAGTACAAAAATTTTGGGAATAATTAGCTCTACTGGAACAACTACCTTACGCGGTTCATTCAAACTTCTATCTTTTGTACACAAAAGTGTCTCATTTTTACCAGTTCAGAAATCTAAAAAAAAATGGAAAGTGAGATAAATCTCGTGGAGCACATCTGCTGCATAGGAATTTCACATTGAATTGGTAGTTAAATAAACAATAAATGACTCAGTTATGGGCCAATTCATGAAGACTGCCACGGAAGGTAGTTCCTAGTGTTTTATATTTTGCTAGACGCTCATCGGTTTTTCCTGATTTTTTCACTTTTCTCGGAAAACGCACTTGAAACCCGAAAATGTCAAATTTCAGATCAAAACTGATTGTATAACACTGAACTGTACTAGTTTTATACTGCCTTTGATTGTGGGTATAGGTTTTGCAATACCAGCGATAACTTGAGATTTGGATTAGTAAAAACAAGCTTTTGATTTGAGTGCCTTGGAATAGTGTCTTTTTTTGTGTGATCAGTCGAGGTAGACGCAATTGGAATAGGTGTAGTAAACATTAAAAATACAGATGGCTAGGAACCAGAAAGAGCTGAACGGGTGGCAGATACTAGTTCTGGATGAAAAAGATGAGTTGATTGACTATTTTGAGCAGAAGAGACCGAGACGTCGCAGAGGCGCTGTTGAGAGACTTGGAAAAGACCAGATATTTCTGAAGCAAGGCGACGAAGGTATGCTTCTATCTGTTGGTGATACGATTGTGGTTAAGGAAGACATCAAGAGCAATGGTATTTATCTTATACAAGATCTTCGATTGAATACGCCAGGAAACCTTATAGAGATATGGGCATTTGTGCTGCTTGGCCGTGATGAGATAGACGCTAGGTCTTATTTACAAGAGATACTCCCAGAATTTGTCAAGGATAATGGTGACGAAGATAGTATAACAGAAAAATATAAGAACTTAGTTCATGACAAGGAGTTATTCTTCACTGCGACACTTATTGAAATCAAATTAGAGCAGATCATCGATAAAGCGAAAGTATTAAATCAGACGGAATGGAATTTATTGTCTACAACAGACAAGGGTTACGAGACTACTTATTTCTTGCGCTATGCATGCGAACCTTCGTCTTCCAATTTTGTAGCTATAGATATTGACAAAGAGTCTAAGAATATTCACGAGTGGATGCCAAAGAAAAGCTTAGAATACTACAAGCGGCTTACCGAACCATTAGAAGTAAGAAACAAAAAGAGCCCTCAAAAGAGAGAAGTAGTTAATCTATCGGAAAGTAATGGTATTGACACCGTTGAAGAAAAATCGATAAAAATGTCTGGTAATGTTGTTGATAACTCTGACAATAAGCCACAGAGTCCCATAAAAAGAAGGCCCGGAAGACCCAGGAAAAATGAGGTCAATCAGAAACAACCAGAAAAAATTGTAGAGACGTCTACTGCCAATGTGCAAAATCATGACACCAAGGTGGACAATATTGATATAGTGTCATCTACCATACCTCAGAAGAGGAAAAGAGGGAGGCCGAAGAAATCGACAACTTTGATTATTAATTCAAATGTGGTAGAAAGTACAGCTCCAACCAAGAGGTCAACGAGAACAAAAAAAGCGCGCAAAATATACACGGAGGATAGTTTTGATGAAGATCCATTGGACAGCGACGATAACTCAGGGACTGATTATTTTACAGATGCAGATGATGGCGAGTATAAAGAAGAAGAGAAGATATCTGAAAAAATAGAGCAAGATGAAGAGGAGTTGGAAGTTGAAGAAGACGAAGCTCAAATCTCTGATGAAGCCGAGCTTTTGGAAGATGACTATCTTTCTGATAATGACACAGCTAAGATAGCTCTTAATAAATTAAAAAAGACCGAAAATAGACCATCTAAGATGGTGCAAAAGTCATACCAGCTTGAAGATTCTTCCAGAAGAAAGGCTCAGAGCAAAGGCTATTCAAGTCAACCATATACCACTGGCTCAATTAGGAAATTTACAAAAAAAAATGTTGTCAGAGCCAAGAAAGGGTATACTCCTTTTTCCAAACGTTATAAGTCTATTGATGATATTCCAGATTTAATGAAAATGGCTGACTTTAACCAAGAATCAACATTGAACTACTTTGCTAAACTTGGAAATCGCCTAAGTACAGGAAACGATAGTCTTGAGGTAGAAACCATATTTTCAAAAATCAAAAAGCAATTAACATCGTCACAAAATAAGGACGCAATTGTGAAATCTGGTAATATATCAGATCATCTTCCAGCCAGAGAAAATGAGTTTGCTTCAATATATTTGAGTGTTTACAGTGCCATAGAGTCAGGGTCAGCTACAACTGTGTATATTGCTGGTACACCAGGTGTCGGTAAAACACTGACAGTAAGAGAAGTCATTAGCGACCTACAAGCTGCCTCATTACAGGGTGAACTGCCGAAATTTCAATACGTTGAAATTAACGGGTTAAAGATGGTGAAACCGACTGATAGTTACGAATTTTTTTGGAATAAAATATCGGGAGAGGAATTGACCTGGGCTGCTGCGATGGAGTCATTAGAATTTTATTTCAACAAAGTCCCAAAAAACAAGAAAAGGCCAATCGTAGTCTTATTAGATGAGCTTGATGCATTGGTGACTAAATCACAGGACGTTATGTACAACTTTTTTAATTGGTCCACTTACGAAAATGCAAAATTAGTTGTCATCAGTGTTGCGAACACTATGGATCTACCTGAAAAGCAACTTGGTAACAAAGTTTCATCCAGAATAGGTTTTACAAGAATCATGTTCACTGGTTACTCTCATGAGGAACTTAAGACGATCATAAAATTCCGTCTTCGCGGTTTGAACAACTCGTCCTTTTATGTGGATCCCAAAACTGGTAATGCTAAACTGGCCGAGGCTACAAGTAACGAAAATGTTCCGGAGGGTATGTTGAAGGTCAGACTAAAGATGACAGACGATGCTATCGAAATTGCCTCCAGGAAAGTTGCAAGTGTCAGTGGTGATGCAAGAAGAGCACTAAAAGTTTGTAAAAGGGCCGCCGAAATTGCTGAAAAACATTATATGGCTAAGCATGGCTATAATTACGATGGTAAAGCAATTATTGAAGACGAAGAGGTCAGAGAAGAACTCGAAGCTGGGAATATTCCTCAAATCGAGGAAGATAATGATGGTGAAGTTCAAATAGTTAATATTAATCACATTATGAAAGCTTTGAATGAGACTATTAATTCCCATGCCATCACTTACGTAAGTCGGCTTGCTTTTGCAGCGAAGCTTTTCATTTATGCAATATTAAATTTGATGAAGAAAACTAATACACTGGACCAAACTCTGGGCAATGTCATTGATGAGGTAAAATTATTAATGGATAAAAATAGCGGTAACAAGAACTTGCATGACATTCAAAAAGCTCTATATTCTAGTGATCATGATGGTAACATGGAACTGAGAATCCGTGCATGGGACTTCAACATAAACCAGCTCATTGAAGCAGGTATCTTATCAAGACAATCAATGAGAAATGAGAGAACTACAACTGTAAGAGTAAATTTAGCGGTGGAAGAGCTTCGTGAAGCAATCGAAAAGGACGATGTGATCAAAGCGTTGTAACTGATATGAAAAAAATATCGTGACTATATGGATAATTACGTAAATATTTATTTTATCTGAATATGGTTATTTTAAATTGAGATTGCCATTACCCTCTACACTGCCATTGATATATTTATAAAACCTTTTTATTTTATCGTAGATCAAGTATTGGATAATTAAGCACTTTCTTGAATAAGGCCTCCTGTAGTTTGTAATGAATTCGAAATAAGGGATATGCAGATGTTTTTGTGATTGTTCGCCCAGTTTAGTACATTTAGTTCAATCCAATTATTCAGATGTGTGACCGTAATTATGGGGCTGTGAGACTAGCTCTTTATTTTCATTATCTACAGGACTTCGCCTTCTGGGCTTACTACTATTCTTTGATTTGTTCTTTTTTGATCCCAATTCCTTATATATCAATAGTGGATCCCCAATTTCATTGATCTCTGGAATTGTCAGTGTTAAATCAAATATTTTCGCCAATGCAACTTTGAATATCTTCTGAATATTTATGGATTTGGCAGTAGAACAGAATATGAGTGGTGCATCCATAACTTGTGCATATTTCATACTTGTTTTAGAGACTTTTTCTTGGTATTCCTCCTCAAGGTCAATAAATAAATCATACTTCGTACCCACCAAGATTGGGATTGCAGAGTCGTTCAACCCTAAGGCTTGTCTGTACCATTCCTTTATAGAGTTCAATGTTTCCGGTCGTGTTAGATCAAATAATAATATTATAACTGAGGAGCCTAAGGTGGCAATTGGTAACATGTTGATAAATTCACGTTGACCACCAAGATCCATAAGTGAAAACACAATATCAGTAGATCGTATACTTACTTTCCTTTTCAGAAAGTTGACACCGAGTGTCTGTGTATACTCCTCATCAAAAATATTCTGAACGTACTTGACCATCAGGGAGGTCTTCCCAACTTGCGCATCACCTATCAAACCCACTTGTATGTCCACTTGATTCCTCACACTTGGCAGGCTATTACGTTCTTCACCAACCCTCTCAGAAGCTGCTCTCATTTCACTCGCACTCATTTAGGCACACCGAATATGTTTTGAATAGCTTTAAATAATTCCCTTCACTATTTCAATTGCAATTCTTGTACTTGTCTCGGACTCTATCCAGATTAATAGTTCTCTTATTCGTTAGAATAACTTGCTATCGACATAAATCGTGTTTTGATTAAACTTGTTCATTGCGATGATGCAAAAACGTCCTAAATCGCTATTCAGTGGAAAAACAGACAAAATGTCAAAAACATAAAAATCACAACAAGCTGAAGTATATTCAAAAAAATAACTAATTATATAAAAAACTAAACAATGAAATTTTATTTATAAGTAATACTCAGTTAAAAGTTAATTTATTTAATGTACAATGCATATTATAACAACGAGTTAGAAAAGATAGAAGAGAAAAAAATAAACTAAGAAAAGCTATGATGGATATTATTATCCGTTGTCATTAAAAGTTCTCTTAATTAAAAATCAACTTTAATATGAGCACTGCCAGATAACACATGTCGGTATCCAAAATGAATCATTTCTTTTTCTAGAAAATAAACCTTAAAAAGTTCAAAGGAAAGCATAAAAAGCTCACTAGCTTCCATAAAATAAAAACAACCGATAATTATTAGTAAAACTGAAAGAAAAATAAGAATATTGTAAACGTTTGATCATCATTGAAAAGCTTAGAGGATTTCAAATAGTTTTATATTAACTCAAACGTGCCCAGTGTTGCTATGCTCATTACAGGGTAAACAGTATTTTGTCGTGAAACAGCCATATCGTATTTGACACTGATGGTAGTGAATTTAGACGAGGTATAAATTAATACAAGATATACCCAATTCTTCCTCTAATTATCTTGTTTCTGCTCTTTTTCATCAGCATCAGGTTGTGGAAAACCTTCTTCGAGCAAATCATCTGATTTCTCATTACTTTCATTACTATTATCCACTCTCTCAGGAGTCCTCGATTTTGAGAAATTATCATCATTTTCATCGGCATCCTCTTCCTCTTCAACAATATCTTGCTTTTCTTCATTGTCAATTTCTTCATCGTAAGAACTTTCCGAAGTGGATGAAGAGTCTTCTTCGTCTTCTTCATCATCGTCCCCATCTGCTAGTAGTGCTTCCTCACCTTCACCACCAACTTCTTCAGCCCTTCCGACAGTTTGCCTCTTAAATCTGCCTGAATTGGTATCTTCATCTTCTGATTCGGCCTCATCTTCGTCATTTGCAGGTTGGGATTTTGAATCATTACTTGGATATCGAGTACCTTCTCTGTCTTTCAGTTCATCCTTTAATAAAGAGGATATCTTACTAAATAATTCGGCATCATTCATCCATTTTTCTTTATAAGATTCGACCTCTTCCTTTAATCTAGAAATATCAGACTTTAACATTGATTGAATGTGTTTCAGTTCAGCTGGGCCCTTAGAGAAGTCATCAAATGCAGTTAAAGTCTGCTCCCTATCTATGTCCGTAATACTATCGTTACGGGAAGAATCGTCGGTGTTACCCTTATCAGTAGAGCTTGTTGAAGTCGTTTCTGGGAGAGCTTCACCATTATGATCATTATTTGATCCAGTATTGCGAGGATGTTTCTTGAAATTTCCAGTTTTGCTAGCTTTACCAAATCTGTCCTGCAAGTACCGTCTGTTTATTAATTTTTCAGTAAGATCTTTCCCTAACTCATTTTCCCAATCGAGCCTGGAAACAGCCAAATTGCTCTTCCCTTCTGAGAGTGATTCCAAATCTTGATTAATGTTTTTTACTGAATCGTACATTTCAGAAACACGCTTTATCCTATCACGTAAATTCTCTTGAAATAATTTCAACCTCTCTAATTCATCTGATGAATTGTCTTCATTGTCTTGTAAAGCTTTGAAAACTTTTTCGTTATATTTCTGCCAATTCTCATAGCCTATTTTCTTAACATCGATATTGGCCTGGGCATCTATAAATCGAAGTTCGGCTGTCTGTTTCAATTTCTCTATATTAGCCTTCGTAAATGTGTCTACTTGACCTTCCTCATCCACATTACCGCCAAGAAGATCATCACTCATCGACACCGCTTTTCCTAGCACATCTAGGTACCTATTGAAGGACAAGTCAACATCACCATAGTTTACTTTGTCCTTAACCTCCTTCACTTCTTCATTATTCAATGTCATGTTTCTGTTACCAGCCTAATACAATAAAACTTAGATACCAACAGTTTAACAGCCTGAAATATCAGCTAGCATACACAAATCAATAAGCAAATGCTATGAACCCCACAGCAAGTCACAATCAAATCAAGTTAGTCTTGAAATCCTAGATAAAATGGATCAAAACTTTAATAAGCAACCGAGCCACAGCTCCAATAAAAACCAGTAGAAATGGGTCCAAAAAGCCCGGATTCAGTCCCTTCTTTCGACGGTCCTAAAATATACTCAAATCACAGCTAAGTTATTAATATACCTCGGCGCCAATTTTGAAGAGCATACAAACAAAACTGGATCCAAAAGTGTCGATAATTGCTATAACTTAAACAGATACCTTCGATCCCTGCTCCCATGAAAAATTTATCGTGCCCAAAACCGTAACGTTATTCGTATAAGGCTACCTCAATACGGTTGGGCTCATCGCATTGTTTCCCAGTCAAAATTAGTTGACACTGAGCTGGAATAATATAAATGATTGTTTAGTGATCACAACAACCATAGTTTTTCATCAACCTATGTCTTATAGTTTAATATGTCAATATCTTTTGGAAGTGAAAAAATGACTACTTATGCACTACAGTAAGGCTATATTTCTATAAAATGGAAAAAAAGTTGGATCTAGATTGATTCTGTTTCCACTTTCCTAGACCTCCTTCTTAGCATCTCAGTTATACCGCTAGATGGAGCGGTTTGAGAGCGATCGAGTCGTGCAGCTGGTCGTGGTGCATATGCCTTTTTCTTATCGAGGGATCCACCGTTGCGCCTCTTCAGGTCTTCGATGGCTTGATCTGCTGTGACCAAAGTCATATAGAAATCAACAACTGTATCATGTGCCTTGATTCTACTCCTATCAAAGTTTAACACTTGCAAACCTTCTCTTGAAACTGCCCTTGAAAGTGCAACGTAGGCCTGACCTTTTTCAAATACTCTTTGCAAATCAACTTTAACTTTGGGTAAAGTTTGACCCTGTGACTTATGAATCGAAAGAGACCAAGCAAGCATCAGTGGCAACTGCACTCGCGACACTAAAGGTTTCTCATTCTCATCCTCGATGGCCCAGTCCTCAGGCTCTACTAGTACTGTTCGAGTAGACATATCAGCAGTCTTGAATGTTACCAATGGTAGTCTCTTTCTAGAGTCTGCATTCTTGTAAAGATCCTTGATGATTCTCTTCTTTCTCTCAATATCGTTTCTAGCGTCGTCACTAACATTTGTGGCTTGGGTCATGAAATCAAATATAGAATCATCGAGATCATCCTGTGGAACAACATTGGGATTTCCTTCATAGAACCTTTCGCGTTTCTTATTCACCCTCATTTTCTCATCTTCATCATCACCTGCATATCTCTCTCTTAATTCCTCTGGTTTATCCTTCATCTCCTCCATGACATCAGGTGTAACAGATGAGTCTGCCAAAATAGTGCTATAGAATAAATATGTTTCAGGATCCATAAAGGCAATAACTTTCCCCAGAGAACCATTGACCAGCTGTGCATCTATATTCTTGATCATCATAACTTGTGCACCAATCTTTAATTGCAATTGCTTTGGAGCTAAGAAATTCTGCAGCAATCGATCCTTCATTTCTTGATCCTCCAGAGTACCTCCATCGATGGCATTATAACAGAATGCCTGCCCTGGCAGCTTGTTTAACCTTGATCTATTTGCCCGGTCAACTTCAGCTCTAGTACTATATAGTTCTGCTGGAATGATATCATCATTAGGTAAAGGTCTGTTCAACTTTTTAAACTCCATTTCTGTCTCCATGTCAATTTTACCCAATCTCATTTGGTTCAGCATATCAATAAATTTAGTATCACCTTGTTGTCTGAAAACCTTTTCCAGCATAATTGTCACATGAATTGCCTTTTGCCAAGCTAATGATTGAAAAGCAAATTTCATTGGAGTACTCAGATCTTTTGAAACTGGAGGTAGTTGAAAGAAATCACCACATAAAACAATCTGAATTCCACCGAAAGGATCACTATTTTTGCGAATTTTCTGAGCAATAAAATCCAACTTATCAAAAAGTTCACCGTCGAGCATCGAAATCTCATCAATAACAAGTACACTTATCTCAGACCATCTCTTAACATTCTTTTTTGATCTTCGTACTTTTCTATATAACTTCGTAACATCGCCGTTACCTAGACCAATACCCGCAAATGAGTGTACCGTTATACCTCCAATATTACATGCTGCTAACCCGGTCGAAGCAGTAACTGCCACCCTTTCAGGCCCATACTTCTTTTTAAGAACTTTAATCATCTCTCTTAACAATACAGATTTACCTGTGCCCGCACTACCTGTATAGAATATGTTATGACCCTTTTCGGCCAAATCGATGACAGCCTCTTGTTCTTTGCTTAATATAATGGGAATTTTTACTTTCCTAGTATCAGGCGCAGCAATTCTACTTTGCTTCTTATTCACATCTGTGAATACAGTCCTCTGAGTTAAAAATCTAAATTTCTCTCCCAATTGTGCTTTTGCAAATTGTATTTCTTCTGTGCTTAATTCAGATATGTCTTTCTTTAAAACTTCATTAATTTGCAGACTGCTATCGGAGTTGGTCAAATCATTAAGCTCCTTATTTACTTGCTTCGGCGATAGAATCTCAATGTGCTTCTCTATGACTTTTTCATCAACATTGGAGATATCTAGTGAGCTTGGATTCATTGACTGTGGCTTTGCTCTTTGCGTACTTTCTGCCATTAAGGAAATATTTTCAAGAACATTAAGCTCTGGTTTTGGTACTATTTCCTTCAAAGGAACTAACATAGGCGGTTTTGTCTCTCTTGGTAAAACATGTGTGTTTTGTAAAATTTGATTCTTTTCCAATGGTTTTTTATCTTGAAGTAATTCGATTATGGAGCTATCATCAATCTCGGAAAGTCCGCTTATACTGCGCCCACAATCAGGTGGTGCCTTCAATTGTGCTTTTGGCGTTCGAAGAATAGGTCTCGGTATTTCCACATTATTTGCACCAGCTATTGGTCGTGCCTGACAATTACGCTTATGCTGAGGACTGTCCATGCTTAGGTCATCCCAATCACTAGAATCTGATAGAAGCGCACTCAACTCATCATAGTTAATTTCGTAATCATCTTGTCTCAAAATCGAACTATTTCTCTTATTACTCATCGTCCCTATCCTTTTGCTATATTGCCTTATTGATGAATGATATAACACACTAAAAAATTGTCTCGAACAGGTATGAATCATGTAAACATAGGTGAATAAAACAAAGCACCACTTATCTTTGACAAAATGTTACAAATCTCAAACAACAGAATATAGTTCTCACAACAACAGAGGCAATCAAATCTGCTCTAAGTAAATGACGTGTGTGATCAGCAAAACAAATTGAATCCAGACAACAAAACCCAAGCTAGAACTTAACTGTCGTTTGAGAATGGGCCAAATACTCAACAATTATCTACTAGGATGATCACTTGCAACCTATTGCTATATTTTAGTAGACTAGCATAGCTCATTGACGCGAAATTATGCGATGAGATCAACTTTTTGGTCGATATTAACTTGCCAAAAATTGAAAAAAAAGTCAAAAAAATTGAAAAATTCCGCGATGAGCTTGGATTAGTAGGCTAGTCACAGATCAAATTAGTCTTAATTAGAAGAACAACGAGACTAAGACAACTAAAACGTTACACAAGGGTATAAGAGCAGAAACAAACGAAACCTACAACTATATGAGCATCAACGGATTATTGAATGTATCGGCTGGGGAGTTGTGTTTGAAGAACGTTCTCCAGACTGGCCAGTCTTTTCGGTGGCTCCTTGATGAGGCTACTGGCATTTATTCTACTACTTTGAAAATAAGTGATACATTGGGATACTCAATAATAACGTTACGTCAAGATGTTGACTTTGGGCAGGTATTTTATGAAGTGCTGAATGCGAAAGTTGATACAGAAACAATAGAGAACCATCTTAAGAATTACTTTCGATTGGATGTAGACTTGCAAAATTTACACAAGAATCATTGGCTAGCTAATGATGAGAAATTCAAGATGCTGGATCACAAAGGCATAAGAATATTAGGGCAAGAGCCGTGGGAGACCCTAGTCTCTTTTATATGCTCAACCAATAATAATATTGGTAGGATAAGCAAGATGTGCCACGCTCTTTCAGAGAACTTTGGTGAATATATTGACGAATATAAAGGAACAAAATACTATACTTTCCCTTCTAGTGAGGATATAGCCACTAAAGCCACTGAAATACAATTGCGTGGGCTTGGTTTTGGATATAGAGCTAAGTACATCATCGAGACGGCCAAGAAGTTTGTTGAAGACAAAAAGAAGTATGGATTATCTGATGATGCCCAGTTTCTAAATGAAGTTGTTGCAAAGAAGGGCTATCTAGAAGCCAGAGAGTTTTTAATGGGCTATTGTGGTGTCGGCCCGAAAGTAGCTGATTGTGTTTGCTTAATGGGCCTACACATGGATGAAGTTGTACCTGTAGATGTACATGTTGGTCGCATTGCAAAAAGAGACTATAATATTCAAGCACCTAAGAAGTTTTTGCAAGAATTACGTGGACAGTTTGACCACCTTCCCATAACCAAAAAGAAAATAAACCCTGAACTTGATTATATTAGATTAAAATTTACTGAAATTTGGGGTGAATACGCAGGCTGGGCACAGGGATTACTATTCTTCCGAGAAACAGACAAATCCGATGCTTCTGCCGCAAAGAAAAGGAAAACTACATCTAGTCCAGCGGCTTCCAAAAAACCCAAACTCGATACCAATGAGCTTGTATCAGCAATTTCTGTTAAAGCAGAATAAGAAGTAACAGATATGACCCACTCAATTTATAAATTATATCATTTAAATGCATTCATTCATAATTAAATATTCTATAAAAGTCTAATAATAAATCTATTTTTTATGACAATCTGTTTGTGAGCAATGACTTTCCAAATATTTCAAATACTGTTACGTCTATGCAAAAAGAATCCAGTTTCCACATCCCCAACTAAATCTGCGTTGGAACCAGGAATATAAGGCATCTTACCTTCTTCAGCCAGTGCTTGTAAGAAAACTTTACCAAAATCTGCACCGACTTTATAAATTTCTTCAAATTTACCAAAATCCAATGTAGCGTAATTTTCTATCGGAGGACGAACATAGATGACACCAGGAGTTCTTTTTGCCTTCTCTAAGGCATTAACGGACGACACATACCCAAGTCTAACCTGAATTTCGGCCATCGTAGGTATATTTGGATGCTTAGAAAAAGGATTCCATCTATTTAGTATAATCCAGAAACCATTCAAAGAATCACCATATTTCATTGGTGTTCTATCATCAACAGATCCAACATCTACAGCAAATATTGTATTGCATCCTCTAGCCTTCATCTCCAGCACTGGAAGGTTATCAACATAGCCACCATCCAGTAACATAGAGCCGTTATCTTCTATTGGAGGTAACAGACCTGCCAATGACATCGAAGCTCTAACGTACCGCCAGGCATACCCGTATGAGTGTATTTCTTGAACAGATTCTGTAATATTAGTCGAGTTACAGAAGTATTGAACCCAAAAGTCTTCTATTCTGGTATCTCCAAAACTCTTCCATATACCACGATTGAATTCATGACCTGTAGTATAGGAAGTCACAGGCCAGGTAAAGTCACTAAGCATTCTCCAAATCGAGGAAATTCTACCAGCAAATTTCTTAATTCTACCGAATATTGGGACTAAGTCATAATCCTTTGCGTAAAGTCCACCAACAAATGATCCGATAGATGTACCACCAATCATATCAATTGGAATACCACGTTCTTCTAATGCCTGTAAAATACCAAGATGACTCAAACCTCTTGCACCACCACCACCTAAAACAAGACCAATAGCTTGACCTGACAAGATTCTGGCCAATCTCAGGAAGTCGTCCTTGTGTCTATGAACTGGTGTATAGTATTGGCGCTTCCGTTTCATGAATCTTGAAGAGAAATTCTCAACAGTCATTTTAATAGATTCTGGTAGAAGCTTTGAGATATTGTATTGTGTTTTCCTACCTAACTCCGTTTGAATAAATTTATCCACCAAGTTTAAAGCACCTATATTTCCACCAGTATCCTTTACATTAGATGAGTTTACCAAGGAATCCATTGCAAATTGGATATGATAATGATTATGAACCCACGATCTACTACGTAGCCACCTTTGGGTCATTCCTGGTTCAACAGATCTTTCATTATGTAACAACACCAGCTCTGTTCTTGATGTTGTTTTGGATTTCAGTAGCAACCTTTCATACTCACCTATCTCTGGACTGTCATCGGCTCTTGCCAATAGAATAACACAATCTGCCTGAGCAATACATGTTTTTGTCCAAGAAGATTTAACTGGTGTGTCGGCGATGTAGACAACTGTTTGATATAATTCTTCTAGTTCAGCGAAATAACCACTTTCTTTCAGTTTTGCAAGTTTATCAAAGGCATGTCTACCTAAATGACTTAAGGTCGTTCTTTGGTTCAATCCAATGGTTGTCCTTCCCACCTGTTTGAAAGCATGTACTAATTTCATTGCAAATGACTCAACTGGGAGTCCGCTTGTAATGGGCAAAATCGTAATCGTTCTAAAATTTGCATTATTCATTTGATTACTGTTATCATTCCCATATGAGTGAGTATGAATCGATGAGCTACTTGAAGGTGGAATAGTCAAATTCAAGTCATGCCTTAAGTTTGAACCTGAGCCTATCTTAGGTAAAGCCATATTTGCTTGACCTTGACCTAATATTTTCTTAGCCACCAATCTTGACACCCTAATCATAATCGAGGGGTGTTCAATGGCCAATAATTCGAAAAGTGATCTCGGTATTCTTGCAAGCTCAGTATCTCTCACGGCCACCATTGAGCTTATTCTATCCATGGCAGTTAACACTTCGACTTCACCAAAACTTTCTCCTTGACCCAATTCACCCATAACAATTGTACTGTCCCTGCTAGAGTCTTTCTCTTCACCATCATTTGGATAATCAGTGCTATTTTCTTCTAATTCAGGATTTCTGAGTTGACGCAATCTACCATTTAATATAACATATATACCATTAGCAGGATCACCCTGGTTAAACAATGTATCAGATGCATTTAGGTGTAGCCATTCTAATGCATGATCTAACTTCAACATACGAGGTGTTAATAGACTTGTCAAACTTTCGGCGATTCTCAAGTAGATTAAAAAATATTTGTCACACAGTTTTTCTAAAGTTTGATAAGGTAAGAACCCGACGTAAACATCTGTCTTGGCAATCAAAGTAACAAACGATTTGTAGCTAACCAATGATGACAAATAACCAGCTATACCTCCTGATTCAATTGTAAATAAAGTCTTTGATTTTTTCTTTTTCTTATCCCTGGTACTGTTGAATATTTCATGATCACTGACTGTTGAAGTCGTCACGTCGATTTTACCAGACACTACGTAGTAGAGACCTTTACCTCTGGTATCTTGCTCGACAATCACTGTGCCTTGTTTAAAATACTGAAGTTCAATTGCTTGTGCAAATTCATTCTTAGCATATTCATAATCCAAGGTTGGTGAAATTTCTTCTTTATATTTTCTCCTTTTTTTGGAGCTTTGTTTCTGCTTTCTGGTAGATACAATTGCATACTCCTTTGGCAAAATTCTGATTGTTGTTTGTGGAGCAGCTGATGATGTGTATGAAGAAACCAAGGATATCTCAGAAGCCCTATGCGAATGAGGTTCCGAGGGCGCACCATCGTAGATACCAGGCAATATAGACATATTTGTCTTGTTCACACCCAAATATGTTAGCATGGCTTCAACCAATGCCATCCGTACCACTGAGTCTTCTGTTTCTTCTTGTGCCGAAAATGAAGTAAAGTTAATATCTTTATTATTACTATTATTTCCCTTCAAGGCATCGGAGCGACTTGACGATTGATTGTTATATATCGATGGCCGTTTCAATAACCTTGGCCTTTCACCAGTTGTACTTCTTTTCCTACTATTCACAGATGATTGTGGTGAGCTTTCTTTCTTCATTGAGCTATAGTCAAATCCTCTTGAACTTGGAGAAGCAAGGTTTATTCTGGATAGTGGGACGTTTGACAATAAATCACCAGGATTATATTTATCACGGGATTCCAATACCACATGCCTAGAACCAGTTATAGGCGTAGGAGAATGAATCATCGAACTTTGTTGACTGAGTTCAGGTCTAGTTTTCCGTAAATCTCTAGTACTCATTAATGCTTGGGAGTTTCTACTATTGGTACGTTGATTATTTGAGTTACCGTTGAAGTTCGAAGTCAATCGGCTAGACGTGGGGCTTTGAAACCCTTTCTGTAAATTCATATCTTTCCCTTTGTCCTTGAACCTGTCTATTACAATTTCTTTGAGATAGTTTGGTAGATCATATGACACCGTTCTATTAAGTAACAACTCGGTGTATGCAATTTCCTGTGTTAGTCCCAAGTATTTGTGGGCAGTTTGGAATGTAACATGGTATAATTTTGTAAGAATCATCTGTATGATATGAGATGCCGAGCGAGGATATTTTGCCTTCAATTTAGCAAATGCCTGTGGAGGTATGATTGCAATAGTACAATCAGTTGCAGCTCTGGCTACAACTTTTGGTATTACGAATGCTCTATTATTCAAAGGTGGTAAAGATGGTGTGGTTACCGCATCTGGGCCCGATATGGATTTAGACAATGGATCATTGTCTTTACTGAAATTATTGGAAGGGTTACTGGTGCTTCGATATGAAGCTTCTGTTGGGGATAAACTATATTTGCCCAACTCAAGTCTCATTGCACTCTCTTCGATAGACGTCGATAGTTTCGAAGTAGGTCTCTCAACTGGATTAGTGTAATTACTATCCATTCTACCTGTCCTTGACGGAGAAGTTACGTTGTCATTAGCAGAAGTGAAAAGATTCAAGATATTTACTAAGGAAGATACTGGGTTACCAGCTTTCACTGTATTTAAAAGCTGAAATTTACCCAAGCCGTCTTTAAGTCTAATGAAACCCGTAGACTCATCATCGGATTCGGATTGAGACTCCGAGTCTCCGTCATTGATATCACTTTCTTCATCGGATGAAGATGACTCAATGGCATCAAATGAAGGAATGTTTTGATTACGAGAACTACTCCTCATTTGTAAAATGCCATCATCGTCGTCTTCATCGTCACCGTTAACATTATGACCATTGTAGTGACCTGGGTCAGAATTATTATTATATTGACCATGTCTGGAGGTTGAGTATTTCTTCTTCTTTCTCTTTAGTATAGAATAAATCGACTGGTTATCATCGACCATGAAATCTCCATCGATGTCGTTCATATTACCTTTTTCTTCCACTTCATGATAAATATCAAGCGTTCCTTCCACCACAATTGCAAAGCCAACAGAGTTATCTAACAGTAATATTTCACCTTCATCCAATTTTTGAGTCTTCATATTTTTGGTCAAATCGTGGAAGACAGGTTTTTCCAAATAACCAAATATTCTAATAGCACTTAGGAATTGGTCCAAGTAAGAAGACAAGAAAGTATCATCACCGTCGTCACCCCCATTTATTCCCGAGTGAGATTCATGCAAAGCAGATGACAACAATTTCCCAGAGGAATAACGTCTTCTTCTAGTTGTATTGCTATCCTTACTATCATGGTGTAATAATCTGGATGATTTTGAGTTTTTGCTGTTAAGGGAGTCAGTGTTTAAGTCTGAAGTCAAGTTTTTATATTCGGACAACAATCTTCCTTTCAAAAACTCGTAACTCACGTAAAAGATAATCGCAAGGGTCACCACGAGAACACTGAAAGGAATGGTCAAATGGATGTGATTTGCTTCGACAATAATCCATTTAGGGAACTTCAAAAGCAATAGTGACACGATATACCACGAGCTCCGGAAAGCAATATGAGTAGAACCACTTATAAAGTACGATATTACCCAAAAGAAGTTGAATATGGCAGCTAACAACCAGTGCTCAGCAGCTTTCCCGTTACCATCACCACTACCGTCCTCTAAGTAATTTCCTTGTTGCTTATTAGATATAAACCTTTCAGGTAAGATATTCCTTTCTGTCGATACGATATCAGACTCATGTGCTATCGAGGACGAATCCATACTTTTTTTTTTTGTTCAAATTCAGACAGTGGAAAATTCAAATCAAAAGCAAATTTGTTTCTAATAGTCAATGCAAGAAAAAAAAATTCAACAACAACAGCAACAGCAATAAAAAAAGAGTTTCTAATTTAACTTCAGCAAATCGAAGATAACAAACAAAGAGTCTAACTGCAGCAAACAAAAATAGAAAGAAAAAAAAAATATAGGGGGGGATCACGGGAATTTGAGAGAAGAAAAAAAAATGCTAATCAAAAACTCCAATTAGTAGTTTGAGATATATTCTAGTTATCTTAGTAGATATCAAATCGCTTAGTTCAGTTTATCTTCTGTGAGATTGAGAAGGAATAAAACCAAAAGAATGAATGAATCCAAGTCTAAACAGAAAAAAAATAAATAAAGGGTATCATACAATAATATAGAGCATATCAACAACTGTTCATATATACTCCTTGCGATTATACCTCTCCTTTTACGTTTATATTACTTTAAAAAAAAACACCAAAGAAAAAAATGAAAGAAAACGTATTAGCCGCCTAAGTATAAGGTAAAGAAGAAAGAAAAGATCTAGGATTAACCGCCAGGGGTATTTATACTTTTTTTTTTTCGAGAAGGGGCGGGCACCCGTGTTGCTGTTTCCCCCCAAAGAAAATCATGGAACAATGAAATTATGAAATTATGAAATTATGAAATTATGGAATTCGCCGTTCTGGAATTAGTTTACCCCATCCTAACAAACAAGGGTAGGAGAAAAAACACGAACCCCCCAGCAGTGCTCCGGGTAACACTGTGCTGTTTCCATTTTTTGTTCAAACCTACTTTTTTTTTTTTCAGGTACCTTAGAAAACTACGCAGGATGTAGAGTAGAGAGATGACTAAATTACAAAATAGTGGGAAAGGAGAGCTTAATTTCCCACAGAGATCTCTGCAGACACTGCAACTTAATTTTTATTAATCGAACGTTTCGCCCTACTCATGTCGTTCCAATTTTATTCCATTTTCTACGAACTTCGAGAACTTTATTCCTTCTAACACACAGACTGGTAATGTACCATTCTCTGTGCAAAAGTTGCTTAATTCTGCGCTCTGCCTGGGAAATAACAATAAATCGCTTTTGTAGAACTCCAAGAACCCACAGAGACGCAGCAGCAGTTCCTTCCCTCTTTTCTCTCGTCTTTCGCTCGCATCATCAACTGACACAAAATTATGGAACACTACAGTGTATTGCAGAACGAACAAACACAAAAAGGAAATGGAGAGAGAAACGTCGTGGAGCCAAGAAGCACAAAAAAAAAAAAGAAAAGAAAAGAAAACTTTTATAGAAATTTAATTAAGTTGCGGGTAAAATGTAATCGTATACTATTACTAGTTCGTACATAAATATATGTGTCGTATATGCGAACGTGGTCATTTTGTTTGTTTGTTTATACGATTTCCGTATTGGGTAATCTTGTCAACAGAGAAAATAGAAGATAAGTGCGCAAACCTCTTTCCTCTCCTTCACCCCCAGAAAAGTCTGCAGCAATTCTCTTGGTATTTTCTTTCGCAAAGATGGTACTTGATGACCAAAACAAGAAATAGGTTTTATGGTTCGTGAAAAAATCGCGCGCGTTTGACCTTCCTTGGTGTGGTTCCTACGGTGGTGTCTTTGCCTCAACACTCCTATAACATGCTTTGTATCATCACCACACAGAAAAGGAGGCAAAGGAAGGGGGAAGAAGGGGGAATCAGAGAGGAGGGGGGCTAAATAGAAAAATCAAAAATACGATAGCCATACTAGAAAGTGATGAGTATATAAGGCAGCACACTTTTATTGTTGTCGCCTGGCGAAAGTCGTTTCGCTAAGAATATTCTTAGACGGAGTACACTAAACTACAAAACACTATACTTTAAAAAAGAAAATTTACACATTATGCAACATCAAGATATGAACGGCGTTAGCCAAAGGATTAGAGAGAGAGTCTCTCAAGGTTACCAATTGCCTCCACAACAGTTCCAAAGGGTTCCATTGCCACCTATGGCCCAGGCCCCAATGCTTGTGAATGAGCGTTCGGTTTCTTCTACATCCTCTTTGGAGATGTGGGAGAAGGATTTGGATGAAAGACTACAGATGATTGATCAAAACATCTCGAGAAACAAGAACGGTGCTGCTGAACTAACGACCATGTTCGCTTCTGGTAAGCTGGAAGAAATGGATTTCTAAATTCTCCTATCTGTGCATTATATTTTTACTTTTTTTTTTCTATATTAAATGAAAAAACTGGTTTTCAGAAAACCATCTTATCAATATTATTATATTGATTCATCGTTACTAGAAAATGCTTTTGGTCATCTCTACTCTTTTATTGTGTGATTTTCCTTTATTTTTTTAAAAACTCATATTTATTTTTAACGCTTTGTATTATTTAGCATTACTATTATTTTCTAATCAATAACATTATGTCGGCTGTATATTTTTTCCCTTACAGAATGACTATTAGAATTCTTATGTTTACATTCGGGAGAATTATATCGGAATTACGATGCATTGATGCGATGAGATGGATCCTGTCATTTTATTCGGGTAAACCTCATCACTTCAACTCTAGATCATCAAGGCTGATAAAGTCACAACATGAGAGACTTTTTTTTGAGAAAATAATGATGAAAGCCTCGTTACTAAGTCCTTCATAGCTGGATTTCCACAGAGGATATCCCTTACCCAATATATAAGTGATTTAAGATTACATCCCAAAAAGATAGCAAATACAATAAAAAATACATATACTTACCAAGCTTTGGTATTTGTCTGACTGATCTTACTGATCGAATAAGAGGTTTGAATATATATTCTTGTTGGCACCGACAATATTTTCTAGTGCTTATAAATAAAAGATGCCGGACAAGACAGACGCAGAGCTGAATACGGAGAAGATTAATGCTGCTTTGAAAGTGATAGAGAGCAAGAAACATGAAGGTGATACGGCACAGAGCGCTGTTCCTGATTTGACGGTATATACCATGGAAGATGGTACACAGGTGAATACTAAGGAAAGGGTTATGAAGAGTGTAACTCCCATAAACGGACATATACCTTCTGATGAGGAAGTCTTTGATAGAAAAACAGGACTTCCCAACCACCAGTTCTTGAGAGACCATTTTAAAGGGGAAGGTAGAATTACAGAGGACCAAGCTTTAAAAATTTTGTCCATGGCTACAGAATGCATGAAGAAAGAACCAAATTTGCTTACTGTTCCTGCTCCTGTTACAGTTTGTGGTGATATCCATGGTCAATACTTTGACTTGCTGAAACTATTTGAGATTGGTGGAGATCCTGAGACTACACCTTACCTATTTTTGGGTGACTATGTGGACAGAGGGTCATTCTCATTTGAATGTTTGATATATCTATACGCATTAAAATTGAATTACAATGCACACTTTTGGATGCTGAGAGGTAATCATGAATGTATGCATTTAACCTCATATTTCACTTTCAAAAACGAATGTCTACACAAGTACTCGCTAAAAATTTACGAGGCATGTTGTGAGTCCTTTAATGCTTTACCATTAGCTGCGTTGATGAATGAACAGTATTTCTGTGTACATGGTGGTATATCGCCAGACCTAAAAACTCCAGAGGATGTCAACAAGATCAATAGATTCAGAGAAATACCTTCTAGAGGACTGATGTGTGATTTAGTTTGGGCTGATCCTATTGAGAAGTACGACGAGGTTGCAGATGATTTAACGCAGGGTAAATTTGTCATAAATCAAGTTAGGGGTTGTTCCTTCGCATTCACTTACCAGGCATCTTGTGAGTTTCTACAAAGGTCTGGCTTACTGTCAATAATAAGAGCCCACGAAGCTCAGGATGCAGGCTACAGAATGTATAAGAATACGAAAACTCTAGGATTTCCAAGTTTACTAACGTTGTTCTCTGCTCCTAATTATTTAGATACCTACAACAATAAGGCTGCAATACTAAAGTATGAGAATAACGTTATGAATATTCGTCAATTCAATATGTCACCTCATCCATATTGGCTGCCTGATTTTATGGATGTTTTCACCTGGTCGCTACCTTTTGTTGGTGAAAAAGTTACTGAAATGCTGGTTGCTATATTAAACATCTGCACTGAAGACGAATTGGAAGAAGACACACCTTATATCGCAGGAGAAGTTGGAAAAATTGATTCCACACATTCCGCTACAACATCCACAACCTCCCCACAGGCCTCGGCAACTGTCAGCGCTGACGCTATTGCTAGTGCAACTAGCGAAGGACACCAACATACATCATCTATATTGGACGACGAACATAGAAGAAAAACTTTAAGGAATAAAATTCTAGCAATTGCTAAGGTCTCTCGGATGTACTCTGTTCTTCGAGAAGAAAGTGATAAAGTTCAATATCTGAAAAGTATGAATTCTGGTATTCTTCCAAGAGGTGCCCTAGCACACGGGTCCCAAGGTCTAAACGAAACTTTGTCGACTTTCGAAAGGGCCAGGAAGCAAGATCTGATCAATGAAAAACTACCTCCATCGCTAGATGAAGTGAAGAAGAAAAAACAAGAGTACTATCACAGCATATTAAGACAAGCTCAAAGCGATCATCGCTAGTCCTACTCACGAATTATTTTTCATCTCAAGAGCAAAATAATAATATTGATATCGTATTTAATCTATTATTTTATATTTAGCACGATCAATATCTGCGGATTTAATTGACAGCCTTTAATAAATGCCTTCTTTTTTTTTTTTTTTATCCCTTCAACTAATTTCAAAATATAACTGAAACAACCGTCCATTTCAAATATAAATATTAAGTCTTTCTGTAATTAATAACCCAAATGTATTTTCATGTGTGAAACTAATAAAATAAAGGTCTATAAAAATCGAATAAACATGATGAAATAAAATAAAAAAGAAAGAAGACCCGTCTATATGAAGCCAAAACCATTTATCAACTGTTGACAGGAAAAGAACAGAAAAGTCTGAACTATCAATGAAAAACCAACAATCATGAAAGAATAAAGATTAGCGTAGACGCAAATCACTGACAATAAATTCCCCATCACCCAAATGTTGAGTGTTACCTACACGTCTCACAATATATTGTTTCTTGTCTTTAATGTAGTCAACAATTGTTACAGATGTGTTGTAGACAATAATCTTTTGAGCGTTCTGGGCATCGTATTCGAGCCATCTAATGATCGCTCTAATGGAACCACCGTGACTGACCATCGCCATATTTCTGATCCCATCATCTGAAGCAGTTTCGACACAGCCTTGAATTGTGCCAGTTAATCTGTTCATAAATAAATCAGCATCTTCACCAAAATCTCTGAATGACGGTTTACCATGCTTGTCTGCATATTTCTCTGCCTCGGTAATGTGCATACCTTCAATAGGGCCCATAAACCTCTCCCTGAGGCCACCTAGAAAGAACACATCCTTTTCGCTCAAATCACAATCCATCTCAGATAAGAAGGCTTCTGTGGTTTGACGACATCTTATAAGATCGCTACTTACCACACGCTCAAACTTGATATTTCTGTCGTTTTTCAGATACTTCCCTAGTTTATGACCTTGATCAACCCCAGTAACGTTCAAAGAAGTATCTCTATGACCTTGTAATATCTTCTTCACGTTGTGATCTGTTTGTCCATGTCTGATAATGAAGATACGAACAACATTTAAGTCATCGTTCTCACTGTAATAAGGTATATCACGAGTCATCTCTTGTTAACCAGAGTATACTTTTTTTTTTTTTATTATGAGTTATATGTGTAGTATTCCTCCCTATTCCAAAGAGGTATTTTATCTATATTATTAAAATACAACTGCCAATATATGATGACACTTACAATTCACAATTAATCATTGATTTGTGAATTATTGCTTAGCTTTTGCGAAATTTTTCAACAAAATTGGAAATTTGACATTTTTTCTTGAAAAAGAAAGCATTGTATGATCTGAAATTTCACAAGCACATAAATGCTACGAAGGCAAAAACTATAATCTCTGACAATTGTGAATTCACAAACTATTTCATAATGATTTGATATTTGCATAATCAAATCAACTAGTGATAAACCAGACAACAATCGATTGTTATTAAGAAGATATTACACATTGAAGAAAAAAAAATAGACTGTGAAGATGCAGAACGAGCCTATGTTTCAAGTCCAAGTGGATGAGAGTGAGGACACAGAATGGAATGATATTTTAAGGAGCAAAGGTATTATACCTGAGAGGCCCCCTTCTCCAACTCAGCAGATAGAAGAAGCTTTAGACGAGGCAATTGCGAAGCAACATGCCAACAGATTGGAAGGCAAGGACCTCTCGGATCTGGAAGATCTGGAAGATGAAGAAGATGAGGAGTTTTTGGAGATATATAAAAAGAAACGTATGGCAGAGATGGCAAAATTGCGGGAGCGTTCCAAGTTTGGTGATGTCTATCATATCAATAAACCGGAGTACAACAAAGAGGTTACATTAGCAAGTAAAGGTTTGACACACGAGCTAGCTGATGATGAGGAGCACAAAAGAGAAGGAGATAAAGATAACTCGAAGGCAGTGTACGTATTTGTACACCTATCTTTACACACAAAAATACAAAGTAGAATCCTTGATCATTTGTTCCAAGCATCTGCCAAAAAGTTTCCTGAGGTAAAATTTGTAGAAATACCTGCGAATAGAGCCATTGAGAATTATCCCGAAAACAATTGTCCGACACTGATTGTTTATCACAACGGTGACGTTATCAAGAACATAGTAACGTTATTAGAACTCGGAGGGAATAATACTACAATAAAAGATTTCGAGAAACTAATTGTTGACTGTGGTGCTGTGTCACCGGAAGATAAAAGGTTAGTTTTATATGATGAAGGCTATGAGGACAAGAAATCATTACATTTTGCAGACAAGAAGAGTATACGAACCGGTTATGCCTCAAATACGTATGCTGATGACGAGGATGATGACTTCTTTGATTAGGCATATCTCTAATTATTGCAAACTGTTCTGCTTCAAGGACAAAGTATGGTATACTTTTATATAGAATAAGCACATATTTTGTGATACATGTTTAATTAGCATAAATTAATAACCTAATGGTCTTTGTTTGTTACATTGTATACTGGGGCATGATACTATTAGGGGTCACATGGCTCTGTGTGTCCCCTATGTCACATTGTCGGCCAATAAGTGATAAAATCATCATCCATCGAGGAAAGTAGTAGCTGCCTATATATAAAGGTGCTGGAAGGAGATAGATAACAATAACAACCAGGATACTAGTTACTTAATAAGTGTTAGTAACTTTTTCTAACTAATTGACTAAGGAAATGTCGAAGAAGATACTTATGCTACATGGCTTTGTCCAGAGCGATCGAATATTCTCTGCCAAAACTGGTGGCTTGCGTAAAGCTTTAAAGAAGATGGGGTATGAGCTTGATTATCCATGTGCGCCTATACTAGTGGATAAAAGCTCTTTGATGAGCTCTAGCTCTCAAAAGGAAGTGGAAGCTTCCGTTGCAAAACAATTCAATACTGACTTGGGGGTAGGAAAGGATGGTTCAGAGAATCAACTGTATGGTTGGTGGCAAAGGAAAGCAGGTGGTGACTTCTACTCCTATGAGATTCCACAAAATACACTTGATTTTCTGAGACAATATATCGTTGAGAATGGACCCTATGACGGTGTCATTGGTTTTAGCCAAGGTGGTGGTATGGGTGCTTACCTTGTGTCAGACCTGAACAATCTGCTAAACTTGAGCAAAGAGCAACAGCCTGACCTTAAATTCTTTGTGGCATTCAGCGCATTTAGACTAGAACCTGAACAGTATGCACAACACTTCAAGACCCACCCAATAAGTGTTCCAACATTGGTGATTCAAGGCGAATTGGATACAGTAGTCTCAGAAACCAGAGTAATGAGTCTATATGATGCCATCCTCCCTCAATATAGAGCTCTTCTGAAACACCATGGCGGCCATTTTATCCCCAACCAGAAGCCCTTTTTAAACCAGGTTTGCGGCTGGATTCAATCAGTCACTACAAATCCATCAAATGATGAGGACATGGATATCGACATGAACAGTATCAAGAGCAGTGCTAAGAGTAGTAGCACTCAACTACAAATGGATGACGACCTACTAGACATGATTGACTCCATGGGCAAACTATAATATGACATGTATACGAATTTATGTACTTATAGACACTATCACTCACTTATACTAGTAGCCACGAACGATTACTATCACATGCACGTATTCTACTCGCATACTTGATTTTTGTCAGAAAAGTAAGAAATTCAATGAGCGCTCATAGTAAATAGAACATGAAAGTTTTATCAATGGGAATATACTTGTTATCACGAGGCGTATTAGCCAGCATATCAATTTCTGGAAGGAATAGTGCTTAATATTGCTACCAGTTGAAAAAAACTGAAACTTTGCTAAATAATACGCGGTTATTATTGTTAGTATTTTGAATTGTGACTAAATTCTCTCTACTCAGACAGGTAATAAAAAAACGAATTGGCTTTGTCTTTGACCACAGATTTAAGCAGACGTCTCACTTCTAAGCTTTCTAATCTTTTAGCCAATTATTCATATCTAAACATAACACAGGGTATAGTCGTCATCACAAATTAAACTATTATAAATTTCTCAAAACCCGGGAATAATTGATAAGCTTTGATCAATACCATAAACATTTAAAGAATCTTTCTTTGCAAGAAGACTATAACAAAGAAACTTCTACATTAACGTATTCATTTGAATATTTGTGTTGGACAAACTAAGAAAGCAATATATCTAAATATATTTCATTGAATTGCGATGATTACAGGTAACAATTATGTTGAGGCTCCATTGGAATTTCGCAAACAAGACATACACGAAACTTTACAGGAACTTTTGGATGATCTAAAACCTATTGAATTTGAATCTTATCAGGATTATTTCTTGATAAATACTTTCAAGAAAGGAATATCAGAAAGTGGTAAAGTAGATATTGAACGTCTGCGAAGTGGTGGCCATACTGTATATTATCAACGGGTAAAGAGGAAAAGGAAAAGCAAAGGCTCGTCTAAGGAAGATGAAGAAATTAGCAATCCATCTAGATCAAGCTCGAAAGCAAGATCTGCATCAGATAATAATGGATCATCCAGTGAAGAAGAGGATGACTATGATAGCGACTATGGGAATGATAATAATAGGAACAAGAAAAAGTCAGGATCAAATATTGACCCCAACACTAATATTTCAGAAAGTGGATCTGCTGATAGCAACTTTTTCAATGGAAATATCTCAAAATCAAGTATTATACCAGCTCCTGTAAAGGGTAATGTTAGAAGATCTTCAAGGCTAAGTCTACAACAGCAACAGCAACTAGAAAAGCAGAAACAAATACGAAAACATCAGAAGCAAGGCAGTGAGGAAGATTTAAAAAAGGATGAGACTGGGGATACCAACGACTTTGAGGAAGAAAAATCTGATATATGTGATGATTCAAATAGCAAGGAACATATAAAAGATTTATTCGAAACGTTAGTGGAAAAAGTTATTGAGCCAAAGAGAAGATCAGACTGGGTTCTACCACCAAGACTAAGATATCAACCAGAAAAGCAAATGAGAACTAAACCTGCTTTTGACTCTGTTAAAATAAATGAAGTAATGGCTAACAAGAGTATACGGCATATCTTGAGCCGTTTTGAAGGCGGTGTTGCAGGAGTCCGGAAACGTGAATGGCCCGAAGAGAAGTAACATTACCTCGCATTAAATAGTAGGAATGCTTTATTCAGAAACTACTTATATTTAGATATATATAGAATTATACATTCGTAGTACTTGTCATTTTTGTAGATAGCTGACCAATAATAAATTAGAATGAACTGTCTCTATTAAGTATATTTTAAAGCAAGCAGTATGAATAAATAGTTTTTAAAATATGAATTCTTTCAAATTAAATAAAGAGGAACTTTACTCTTAGCGCAAGTACCCATCAATAATCGCCATTGCTATGTGATAAACGACTAATTACTTCGTATTCCTTTATAGCAGCTATTAAGGAGTTAGCATCCGGTTTGGGACTGACCAGATCAGGTTCAATGCCATTTGAATTCAAGAATTCGCAAGTCGTAGGCCCAATACATGCAATTTTAAATGGTCTGGCACCTTTACTATATTGCTTCATATACTGAAGGATGTCCGACATTCCTTGAGGTGAGAATACCACTATCCAATCACATTTGTCTAGGTAAGACTTGAACCAAACAATGGAATCCGACAGTTCTGCAGTCTTATACATTATGATTTCATCAACTGTGAAGTTCCGAGGTCTCAGGTACTTGGGAATAATGTCCTTCCGTATTTCACCAACTAAAAATAAAGCTTTACCACCAGCTGGGTAATCATTATCAATTATCGAAGCTAGTTTCATGCCGTTTCCGGCGTGTATACCACCTCTAATGTCCGTGAAACCAAGACTAGATAAGAAATTGGAAGTTGCTGGTCCCACGGTATAAGTTGGTTTATCAATAAGTTTGTTTCTAATATGCTTCAATTCCGGGAGATTTAAACATTCTATTGACCTTTGAGATGTGATGATTAGAAAATCATAGTCATCCTGTAAGTTATCTGCTCTATCTGCAAATCTCGATATTATGTTCTGAGGGACATTGGTATGAGTTATCAGTGGTAAGAAGATCGGTTCTTCGAAGCTGTCTTGATGCTCTTGTATCTTTTTAGTGTATGGGTCATTCCCACCATCTACCATGTTCTTTAGCAGCAGAACCCTATGAAGCCTGGAATCATGACCCATCGGTTTTGTAAAAATCATCTGAACCTATGGGTCTTATCCAACTGTACCTCTAATAATCTAGTTATCCTTTTAGATGGCTAGTTACTTGTTTATACAATGTGCTATTTCTAATCAAAACGTCATCTCATCTTATCACGGCTGTCAAGACTCATCACCAAAAAGAAAACTGTGGTGATATTTTGCATACTATACATCGGTGTAGCTACATTTGCGCAAGGTTAGAATAGAATAATTTCAGAAGTTACCAATTGCCAAGTCCACTAAATAAATGCCTATGTTAAGTGCAATAAAAACTACTGGTTTAGATAAATAAAATAAATGTCCCAAAGAAAGCGAACCAAGCAAATAAATGCAGTAAAACTACAGCATCCGAAGACACCATAGATTACCTTTGTTATGAAATGCTGGATTAGAAATTGGGAATGATAATTGATCTACTTCCGGCCATTTGAGCTGTTAAAAATTGCATTTGGGGTCAAAATTTAGAATGCATCAGCATGGTATTCCGAAAGGGTAAATTTAAATAATATGTAATGGTTTTCTTTAGAAATGAAACAAGAATTGGAATAGGAAACAAACGAATACTACGAAACAGTTCAATTATTCCATCCCATCTCTACTTATATATATAATTTTTCAGGAATCAAGCAGATTGAAGAAAGCTGAAAAATTTTTATTACGGCGTATGTTATGATTCATGTGATCTTTTTTTGTATACAATCTATACGCAAAAGGTATTTCATGTTTCTTGAGCTAACCAGCACATGCAATCTACAAATGTATAAATCCTATATCAAATTGACTAAATGCGAATTTTGATTAAAGCAGGTAGATGTTCTTAAAACAAAACTTTTTTTAGTTTGCTACAGCAAATGGCTCAAAAACAAATCTCTCTTGCATTGGTAGCGATGATATGTGCTCATCATAAGGGAAACCTAAACCACTAATGCATGTCATTATCTACTGAAGTTTTTTTTTCTGTCAGAGTAGAAGTCCTTTGAAATTTTACATCTTTAGTATAAAATGGTCTTGCTCTATTTTTGCAACTATGTTTAATTACAATTTCCTTTCTTACAATTTCTAAAAGTTCCAATGCGAAGTTTCGTTCTAATACTCCCCGGAGTTGTTGTTATGGCAATTCCTTTCGCTGGTTCTTTTCAATCAGTGTCAAAAATATGGGAGTACCTGAATGAGATTTTGCTGCTTTCGTCTATTTTCTTGGAGACGGACACTGCTTGTTCAGGTTTCCCTCTCTTGAGGGAGCCGGTGTGCTTGCCAGGACTATTCGTTTCTATTCCAAAAAGATCATAGGTGTGAAGTAAATCAAACTCAGGGAAGATGTATCTCCAGCTGTTGATCATTGAGATGATACTTTTGGTCATAATTCTTCCTACATATTAACGCATAGCATATGAGGAATCTGGCGTAGTTTTGTGCTTCTACTAGTAGAAAAACATTTATTTCGAAATGAGAGATTTATATAATTGAAACAACGTACTTTATGAAATCTAATTAAAAGAGAGATAGAAACTCCGCTTGGTAGTTGTAAAATTTATCTGTCTACTCGTCTTCTTCATCTTCCAAAGCAGCAAATGCATTGAATCCGTGTGTCTGTTTATCCGCTATGATATCACTGTTGTCTGCTGGTCTGCTACTGGATATATTCTTGTTGTTTGGCTTGACTCTAATGGTCTCTTGTGGGGCACCGGTCTTAGTAGTGGCAGCAGCAGCTGGTGTAGCGCTAGAACTGCTCTCTTCCTCGTGGCCAGCAGTAGCAGGTTCCAAAGTAGACCAACCATCGGCGTCGGTCTTGACCTTAGGCTTGTTGTGCTTAATCTTTGGCTTCATGTGATGATGGGAAGATCTCCTTCTGTTACCATGGTGGCTGTGAAACTCTTCTTCCTTCAGTTTTTGTAGTTCAACAACCTTCTCGATGATGTTACGAAACTCAACATGATCAAAAGAGACCTTCAATGTCTCAGATGGCTTCAATTGGATCAACTCGTCAATGCTGTACTTGATCATCTTAAATTAGGTATATTATTATTGTATTATTGACTCTTCTCCAAACCTTCAAAAGTAGATATTCTTCTATAACAAAAAAAAGTCACGTACAAGTATACGTCAAACTAAAATATCCGCCCAAAACCTGCCAAAGAAAACACCAATCTTTGGTCCTGGAATTGCTATTATTTCCATCAAATTTTTTTTTTCAATTCTGCTTTTCCTCATCGCAATATTTTTGAAAATCTCCAGAAAAAAGTGAAAAATTCGAAACTTCGTGGATTATGAAGTTCACAATATTTATATGCGATGAGCCTGGTGTGTAAATAGTTGAAAGGGTAGAGACGAGCATCTTGAGGTTATTCAATAAGTTCGTATCCGTCTCAGTTATCAATTGGATTATCTATTCTACTGTTACTACTTTTTTTTTCAAGGATTTTACAGGAGAGAGGCCATCTCTTTGAGCGTTTATTAAAAGGGGACACAATACAGATAAATGGATTTTGGTGGGATATGACAGAACTTATCGATATACCCTTCTTGTTGACGAAGGATTGCTCTGCAGATTTGGAAGATAGACTTCGATTTTGTATTGAGACTGGTTCTTTGTACCAAACTCATGAAAGTTTCAAAAAAGATATCGGCGAAATAGTAAATACAAGACAGGCATTAGTGAATCTGAAGTTTGGGGATTCAAAACTATTGACCAAATATTATGGGTATTTGGAGTGTTTGTTGAAGAAAATTGATCCCGAGGCGCTGGCGTTTTCGTGGTCATACACAAACTACACTATTTTTGAAGGAAATGTATTTAGGGATGAGAACCTGTTGGGTGAAAGGCGAAACATTCTCTTCAACCTGGGAATAGCATATTATCAATCAGCCAAGCATATAGATGATTACAAAAATAATCTACCTCTTGTCTGTGACTATTTGAAAAGAAGTGCTGGTTGTTTTGAAATTTTGAGCCAGCGTACTAAAGAGAGAAATTCAGAAAAGGCTATAATTAGTGAGACGATGTTAAAAGCTCTAAAATCCATGTGTATGGGACTGGCACAGGAGACTGTGTGGTTTAAGTCCTTGGCAGCTAAAAAGGATTTGCTTACATCAAAGCTCGCTTATAAATGCTTTGAGTATTTTCAAGAGTCATTGAACAGTTTTCAACTAGTTGGTCAATCAACTGAATATATTAAACTGATACTGGTTTTTGTTGAATCAAAAATGCTTTATTTCAAGGCTGTGTGTGTATATAGACTTGCTCAAAGCATTGAGAGTATTGCAGACAATGTTGGAGTAGTTATTAGATGCTTGTCAATAGCAGTGGCAGCTTTAACAAACTCGAAACTGGAATCTACTGTAGTCTTCAAGAATAAATGTCTTGAAATGCTTAGACAGCTGGAGAAAGACAATGATTTCATTTATTTGAAACATGTACCTAGTCATTTACAATTTAGTGATTTTGTGAAACTCTACAAATTAGACAGCATGAAGGACTTGATTGTCTTACCAGATTTGACTGAAATTGCTCCATCAATGTTGGACCAAATTTTATTTCGCAATTTGTTGCCAATTGAAATTATGGATTACGGCACATCGTACAATGAGAAGCAAGATATTTATGTCTTACAGCATTTTGTCGAGCCTATTAATTTGTTAAATATTCAATTAGATGAGGAACTGGCGTCATTTTTTGAGATAGACCCACAGCATATTGTCAATGCGCATAACAAAACGAAATCATTTGTAACAAGGAAAGAACTTGATGTCATTGGACAATCTTTTGGCGATTTGGAATCGAATGCAATCAATATCGAAACACAACTAGCAAATATCACTAGCTATTTGGATCTGGAAATAAAAACCTATGAAGAAGATAAACAGCAATATGGTGATGTTTGGACTATTGTGGACGCACGAGATGTCACTAAGGAATTCTATGAGAAGGTGGAAAAATTGAGACAATATTTGGAAATTGGCAGGAATATCAATCTTGAGACTCAGGAGTTGTTTGCTTCAATTGATAAAAGTTTGGTAACAAGCCGTACTTCGAAAGCGCATCTGACTGCACAATATAACGATCCCTTTTTGAACAAGATTGAAGCGCTAAAAAAGAGAAGAGAAAGGTTCATTTCAGAGATAGAGAAGAAATCATATGAAAACAGAATTATCTCCAAATTGATAATGTACTATAAGGAGACTGATGACATTCCTGGCACAATCAGTGAAAGAGAAGAAATATTTGACAACATATATTCAAAGCACATGAAAGTATTTGCAGTTGATATGAAATATATCGAGGACTGTAAAAATGAGAACTATGGCCTAATAAAAGAGATCGAGGAGTATAAGTCTCGTACCAATTTCAATAACGAGGATCGCAGTAGTGATCCCAGAACGCAATATATACAAGATGTTCGGCAATCTTTGGCTTCTCTTGATGATGTCAAAACCCAGTTGAAGAAGGGAACAGCATATTATCAACAATTGATCGAAAAAGTTAATGAACTTGTCCAGGTGATCGTAGGGTTTTTAGAAGCCAGACGCAATGATAGGGAAAGATTGCTAAATGAGATATCCACAGCGGCATAATGCAGTAATTAGTATATTAAATAATAAAGAATATCTACTTACACTTCATTTTCTTTGTTTTCGAGATTAGCTTTTTTTGCCATCTGCCATTTTTCGAATCCTGATTTTTTATGTTTCCTTTTCAGGTTCGATCTATGTCTCCGGCTATTCAAGTGAATATTCCAATTTTTCTCACCTATGCAGAGTAGAGGTTGGTCCTTATTATCTTTGCATACATCACACGTGAAGTGATCCCAATTGTCCAACTTTCTTTCAACGGTTTGTTCTTTAGATATTAAGTGTCGCAATTCTTCAGGTGCGTGAGCGGCAGTTATGTTTTCGTTTTTCATGAACTGGTCGCCAATCGCAAAAGCTCTCTTAGAAACTGTCTGGTCCCAGTTGAGAAGGTTTGTGGCGTTTAGTAAGTATATATCTCCGTTGATGTCCGGGATGAGCATTTTCCTTATCCACTTCACTTGCCTCTTAGCGTATTGTCGTGTTCGTATTTTCATTCTCTCTACACAATTTTCTAGTGTTGCTGTCTTTGGATCGCACAACCATGGCAAGAACTCTTTGAAGCCTATCACCTGCCATACACCATTTTCACACTGTTCGGGGTTCAGGTTATGTTCTTTATAATATCTATACAGCTCGTTTATCTCATCCATACCACCTGATTTTAACATGGCATCCACACGAGAGTCCAGTCTTTCGTCCAGTTCTGTAGGGTTGCTATATATCCAATAGAACAAAGTGTCAAATTTCGGGGAGACTTCCTGTTTGCTGAATAAGTCGCTCGGTTTCTTCTTAGTCTGGTAAAAAATCTCTAGCATCCTTCGTACTCTCCTAGTATCGTTGGGATGAAATTTCTTGGCTATCTGTGGATCCACACTGGTTAAAGTCTCGTATATCCTGTCACTATCGCCCGACTCCAATAGTGATCGCTGTTGTTCACTGAGTTCAATGGTCTCAGGTACAGAATCCATGGTGGCCGTATCGATATGTTTGTTAAACAGCACTTGCAGATAGTAGTGGGTACCGCCGACGATTATCGGTGTTTTGTCTCTGCTGTGTATGTCTGCAATCGCCGAGAGACACTCGGACTCGAACCTATGTAAATAGTACTCTTCCTCCCATCCTACATGGTTCATAACGTGGTGGGGCACCCCAAACCGTTCCTCCACAGGGTGCTTGTTGGTGATGATAGGGATATCCCTATACACTTGCATCGAGTCAGAATTGATCACCTCACCATTGTACCGTTGCGCCAATTGTATAGACAGCTGCGACTTCCCGACACCCGTAGTACCGGCAACCACTATAACTTTCTTCATCGCACTCATGATTGAGGTGTTATGTAATGGAATTCAAGCAGTTGCTCACAAGTTCCAAAGCTCATCGCAGAAGTACTGAAATAAATTCCTAACACCAGAAGTTTAATGCTGGGCAATGGGCGATGGGCGATGGGCGATGGGCTCATATTATTTTGTCAAAATCAGAAAATGACGTCATGTCAAAAAATTAAAACAATTGAATATCACACTCTACAGTAATATCACATGCCCATTCTGTCTTTTTCGTTTCTGGCAACTGCCATCAGCTCAGTTCTCAATTAAAGATCGGTCCACTCGATATAAACCCCGACGTTCTGTGTTGCAGCAAAAGCATTGAGCAAGGGGAAGTTATGGTGGGTACCCAGCACTCTACGGGGGTTTCTTACCCTCACCACTGCTCTGATACCATTGGGTGCCAGAGGTGGGCTGTAAAGCACAAAAAGTGTTGAGGGAATAGCATTTTGCAAACACGGATCCGTTTCAGTACTTGTAAACAGTTGTAAACACTAATTCCTACGCAGTTTTGTCTTACATAAGTCTGCCCCCCCCTTAATTTTGCATCGTGAAAGAGAAAAAGAAATGAGAATACTGAGACAACACCGTAGAACGGGGATAGTGGGTTGCTGACCGAGCAACCTCTTGCCGGGTGTGTCAATTACTTTCGAGATACCCGTCTCGGAAGAGAGAGCAGCGGTAGCTCCGGCAATTATCGTTTTGTGCCTTTCCCTTTGCATTTGAGTGCACGGAGAGTTCTAAGGACGTGACTCCGCGGTATTTTCCACGTCCTTCTGATCAATAGCATGTGGGGGGGGAAGAGATGAAAGCAAAGTGTATCTGTGCAGCTGTCTCTGTGCGGAATGGGGGTGCTGCCGGAAGGAAATAAAGGGTTCACGATCTTGTAAGAGAAGAATCGAGGACAAGATGCACAGCTTTCTCTGATAAGCAGGATGTCCTTTCTGAAAAAACTGTACAAGGGAACCTTATACTATGCATTTGTAGGGGCTGTTGACTGCCCCGCGTCTGTCAATGGTGCAACGAAAAGCGACAATCACTTTTTTTCTTTAAAATTGCTTTTATTAGAATGAATCAAGCTCTCTGGCCAAGCGGGAGCTCTCTCGAAAGAAATTTTAGAAGCAGCGGGATGAATTATTATCGCCGATCATAAGCCCCATGGCATTCTTCCTGGATAATTTTCATATATAAGGAAAGTATACTTTGGTATTCGATGCTCTACAATGGAACTGGTGAAATATAGTATAAGCGTTACAAAGCGAATAACGAATACATACACCACATGGCCGGTACAAATCAAGTTGGTGATACTAATAGCAGTACGCTCAATTCCAGTAACGACATTTCTGATAAGATGTCTTTGAATAACGTTGATGTGCGCGACCCTTCGCCCAATGATTCAGAAGAGTGCAAAAAAGCCAGTGCGGAACACGAAGAACTCGAAGAAGACGAAGACGTAGGGGTGGATCCCAAGACTTTGGACTGGGATGGTCCTGGCGATTTGGATAATCCTCATAACTGGCCCTCATGGAAGAAATGGTACGCTACCATGGTAGCTGCTTTTTTGTGTCTGGCGGTTACAATGAACTCTTCTCTATATGTGTCCGGTGTTCCCGAACTAGTGGCGAAATACCATGTGAATCAGACTTTGGCCCTAGCCGGTTTGACCTTCTACCTGTTGGGTCTAGCTAATGTTATCGGCGCTCCCTTGAGTGAAGTGTTCGGTCGTAAGCCTATCTACCTGTTCAGTTTACCAATTTCAATGCTTTTCACTATGGGTGTTGGTCTTTCCGGAGGTCACATGAGAACCATTCTACCACTGCGTTTCTTCGCTGGGTTTTTCGCCTCTCCATGCTTATCCGTCGGTTCTGGTACTATCCTAGATGTATTCGATGTCGATGAGGTCTCTGTCGCAATGACTTTCTTCTCGTTGGCACCATTTTTGGGTCCTGTCATCAGTCCCATCATCGCGGGTTTCGCTGTAGAGGAAAGAAGTTGGCGTTACACCCAATGGATTCAACTGTGGGCTAGTGGTTTGATCTTGCCACTAATCGCAATCATGCCAGAGACTCACAAAGGTTTGATTCTAAGAAAACGTGCTCAGAAGAGAAACATAAAGCTAAAGGCGTTCACGAATGCAGAGAAGAAAGAGTTTCTGAAATTGACTTTCACTATCACTATCATGCGTCCAATTAAAATGCTAATGGTTGAGCCTATCGTTCTGGTCTTTTCCATTTATGTGGCTTTCATCTTTGCAGTTTTGTTTGCTTTCTTTGAAGCCTATCCAGTTATTTACCGTGGTGTTTACCACATGAAATTAGGTGTTTCCGGTCTGCCTTTTATTGGTATTGGTCTAGGTTTATGGATGGGTGCCTTTACATATATTTTGATTGATAGAAAGTTTTTGTTCCCAAAGGCGCCAAAGGGTACACCTCCAATTGAAAATCCTACTTCTTTGAGAACAACACCATTTAGAGGACATAGAGACCCAGAGACAGGCCAATTAAAACCAATTCACCCTGAAAAGTTTCTGTTGGCCTGTAAAATTGGTTCAGTTGCTCTTCCAATCGCTCTGTTCTGGCAGGCGTGGACTTCTAGACCAGATGTTCACTGGATGGCTCCAATTGCCGCTGGTGTTCCTTTTGGTTTTGGTTTGATTTTGATCTTTTTCAGTGTTTTGATGTATTTCTCAACCTGCTACCCACCATTGGTCGTTGCCTCTACTTTGGCAGCTAATAATTTGCTAAGATACATTACCAGTAGTGTTTTCCCATTATTTACCATCCAAATGTACACTAATATGAAGATCAAATGGGCCAGCACATTGTTCGCTCTGATCTGTGTTGTAATGATCCCAATTCCATGGATCTTTGAAAGATGGGGACCTAAATTGAGAGACATTTCACAATTTGGTTACAGTGCTATGGCTAGAGAACAAGCAGAAAAAATTAAAGCAGAACACCCTGATGAGGAAATTGAAGATAATGATGATCATGATTTGGATTTGACAAGAATTACCACATTAAGAACCATAGAGACTGCATACTCCCACCAAAATTCTAATACGTTGGAGCACACAATTTCGAATACCAGTGGTAATCACAATGTTCGTAAGGTTGCAACCAATAATTTATCACAAACAGCCAGTCATCAAAAGCCAACTGATGAAATGTATAATATGGCAGACAGTGGTAGTGCATTCGATGAGTCTTCAGAAAACTCCTCTAGAATGGTATAGTCCTTTTTTTCGATTTGCTTTAAATTTTTAAAAAATTGAATACTTTTGCTCTTGGGTTTTGGTTTAATATTTTTATTCTTATATACATATTTCGTTTATATAACATTCATTATAGAACTAATAATTTGCACAGAAATTAATAATTTCATTAGATTTTAATTCATCTTGATATAAAATGATGCCTAAACTACTTTTGCATGGTTTAAAAATGGCTGCTCATATATAAATTGTCTGAATTGCATGGAAACAGAGACACTTTTGTCTTCTAGAAAATGTTAGAGTATTGTTTACAGAGTTTATATGATATGCAATGTTAAGAATTATATGTATTATTAGTTCTTGAAGATATTATCACCTTTATTTATTTGAATTTTCTTGTCTTGACCACCGCTGATGATACCTATGCTTTTAGCCCACTTAACAGCAAAAACTTTATCGTTTACACCTTTTTCTACTGTTGGATCTTGTCTTGTTATAGTATACATTGGAGAGGTCGATCTGACATCCCATACTTTGACTGTACCATCATGAGAAGCAGAGCATAACAAGTATTCGTTTTCAGAGCAGGTATCCAGACCAACAACAAAGTTCTTATGTCCTACGAGTTGCTTTTGAGTGATCTTAGCGGAAGATGATACACGAGGATCATGCAAAGTAATATGTCTTACACTTGAGCCACATGCTAGTAAGTTTAGAGTTGGCATTTGTGCTATAGATAGTAGTGGATAAGAAGTGGTCTTGGTATCGATACATCTGGCTGTCACTAAATCCCAAGTTTTTATTGTGTGATCCTGTGAAACAGAATAACCGACAGTGTTGTCGCCATGGTCAAAGATGACTTGTTCAACAGGGCCTGTGTGGGATTCAAGCAAGGACAATGGAGCACGTCTTCTGATCGTACCGTCCTTCAAAGTCAGCTTTCTTCTTTTCTTTGCAGCGGTTGATATTTTGTTGTTTGGGTTCTGGATTTCTTCAAGATGATCAATGGCTGTCATCTCCTTATATATAGTGGACCATAGAGCCACAGTATTATCATAAGATGCAGATAATATTCTAGAGTTGGAGGCCACATCTAGAGAGACAACGGGAGCTTTGTGGCCTTCCAAGATAGCTAGAGTCTTACCATCTTCGATATTCTCTTCGTCATTCTCATCACCAGTATTATTACTCACACTACCATCATCATTCTTAGTTTTCCATAATCTCAAAGAACGATCATTACCAGCGGATACAATTCTTGTATTGGAAATGTACTTGACAGCTTTAACGGCACCAGTATGTCCGCTGTATTGTTTCTCGACTTTTCCTGACATATTCCAAGTACGCACCACACCGTCATAAGACCCACTGTAGATATGTCTGAAATCGTCGCTGACATCCAGAGCACTGACCCAATCGTCGTTGTTAAAGTTTGCTAGGAAAGATGGCGGTAGAACGGCCCTAGTATACTCGACTGTAAGTGTAGTTTCACTTGACAAACCTTTCTTGGTCAAGTACTCTTGAAGAGATGTACGCAACAGCTCACCGTCAATCAAGAAATCAAATGGAATAGGGGTCTCACTCTCCAATAAATGGTTGACAATTTCAGATAGACCATATCTCTTCAATGAGATGGGAGCATACATGGGGACATCATCCACATGTAAGCTCTCATCCTTCTCACGGGTGAAAAACTTTACTTTAACTTGGCTTGTATCAGTAGACATTGTTGTGCTTGTTGTTATTTTGGAGCTTTATCAGAAGAAAGGATCAATACTAAACACTTAAATACAAGGAAGCACTTTCCGCTATGAAGTACACTATTATGAAAATTTTTGCGATGCGATGAGCTGAAATTTTTTTTTTTTTTTTCAAGTGGCCTTTTTTTCAGGACTGAAAAATTTGAAACAAGCTCATCGCACTAATGAGCTATGAAAAGGTATTTTATAACAAGATAGCGTGGATACAGTGGCCTATTATATGTCAACGGCGCAAGATAGTACTGTCCATTCCCAAATTTTTTTAATATAAAAGTATATAGAAATTTAATGTTCAAATCGCGCAGTTACCGATCATGGCCAAATTATGAATAGATGTGTCTCTAAGCAAACGAATTACCATGAACAGTATGAGGACGCTCATTCGAAAAATTTGATCTAGCGCTTCTTTTCCCCTCTGATCATCTAACTACTTGAAAAAGATGGCACAGTGAATAGAAGGCATTTAAATATTTCGTATCGGTCCTCTTAAAAACAGCAAACAAAGAAAAAGACAAGTAACTGAAAGAAATAATGGAAACCAAGAGTACAGAAGAAATCACCAACATACCCACTATTTATACTTCCTCTTGCACTGGATGATAAGATGGGAAAAAAATTTCATGTGATGAAAACTTTTTTCTTTGGTGATTGCTTTGTTCAAGTGGGAAGGGCACCGATGCCGGTCCTTTATTAGAGCTGGAAAAAGAAAAATTCTTGACTCATTTCTCGAAATGTCTCTACCTAAATAACTATATAATGGAGAGAGGGTTCTTGATAAGCAAGTAGATGATACAACTTTGTAATTGGCTTGTTCGTATCAGTAAATAATAAACCAAAGCAAAATTAGGTAACCCGAATATACAACTATGGCATCGTCAATTACAGGACCTATACCGCTACCGGAGTCTCGGTTTGATTTGAATACGTACTGGGGTCGTGTGCGTCATTGTGCTGAGATATCAGACCCTACTATGTTGTTGACCACCAGTAGCGATCTTAACAGGGCCAAGGACATCATCTCTAAGTACCGTCACGGTGAGCTAAAGCACACTACGCCTGAATTCTGGCGTGCGAAGAAACAGTTGGATTCAACTGTGCATCCTGACACCGGTGAAACTGTTCTATTACCATTTAGAATGTCCTCTTGTGTGCTTTCCAATTTAGTAGTCACAGTTGGTATGTTGACACCAGGGTTGGGTACGGCCGGGACTGTGTTTTGGCAATGGGCTAATCAGTCCCTAAATGTCGCAGTGAATTCTGCAAACGCCAACAAATCACACCCAATGTCCACCACCCAATTGGTGACAAATTATGCAGCCGCTGTTACTGCTTCCTGTGGTGTTGCCCTGGGTCTAAATAACCTTGTGCCCAAGCTGAAAAACATCCAACCACACACTAGATTGATTCTTGGGAGATTAGTTCCATTTGCTGCCGTTGTGTCAGCTGGTATAGTTAATGTATTCTTGATGAGAGGTAATGAGATTCAAAAGGGTATCTCTGTATTTGATGAGCATGGTGAGGAAGTAGGTAAATCAAAGAAAGCGGCCTTTTTTGCTGTCGGTGAAACAGCTCTAAGTAGGGTCATTAATGCTACGCCAACTATGGTCATTCCACCATTGATCTTGGTGAGATTACAACGGGGTTTCCTAAAGAATAAGTCAATGGGTTTTCAAACAATGGTTAACTTGGGTCTGATAGCCACTACCATGTTCTCTGCACTGCCATTTGCCCTTGCTATCTTCCCACAAAAGCAAGCGATCCAACTAAAAAGCCTGGAAGATGATCTGCATGGTAAAAAGGATAAGAACGGAAAAGAAATTGAAACTGTTTACTTTAACAGAGGTATATAATGGATTAAATACTTGTAATTTATAGAATATTTATTTTGAAAATTAGAGAGCTCAATTTTACTTGCAAAGATGGAAATATTCGGTCGAATTGGTCATTTTCTGGTATTATCAGATGAAGCAATCGTGGCATCAAGTTTTCTAGCAGTAATGAAGATAGATCATCGGAATGGCTAAATGTCTTGTACTTTCATCCTACTTATTACATTATTGTACCTTAAGTGTAGTTAAATTCGTTTTTATGATCTGAGGGCATCGCTTCTAAAGAAGAAAATTTTGAAAAAATTCAGACAAGAAGACATAAAATGTTGAAAAGATTTATGCGATGAGCTTGAAGTTGATCTATGTTTTGAAGCGTTCTTTATCCATAAAGTACTCGGTAAATCAAAAGTAAGCAAGAACAGCACAAAAGATGTCTCGTCCCGAAGAGCTTGCACCACCGGAGATCTTTTATAATGATTCGGAATCAAAGAAATATACTGCATCTACCAGAGTGCAGCATATTCAGGCTAAAATGACCTTACGTTCTTTGGAGCTTTTAAATATTGAGCCTAACTCTTTCATATTAGATATCGGTTGTGGTTCTGGTTTAAGTGGTGAAATTTTAACTGAGGAAGGGCATGTGTGGTGCGGTCTAGATATATCTCCAAGCATGTTGGCTACCGGTTTAACTAGAGAGCTGGAAGGAGACCTGATGTTGCAGGATATGGGTCAAGGTATACCATTCAGACCTGGTACATTTGATGCAGCTATAAGTATCAGTGCGATCCAATGGCTATGTAATGCTGACACTTCATACAATGACCCGAAGAGAAGATTAATGAGATTTTTCAACGGTTTATTTGCAGCATTGAAGAAAGGTGGTAAGTTTGTTGCACAATTCTATCCAAAGAACGATGACCAAGTTGATCAGATATTGCAGGCTGCTAAGGTCGCTGGTTTCAGCGGTGGTTTAGTAATTGACGATCCAGAATCGAAGAAGAATAAGAAGTACTATCTTGTGTTGAGTTCTGGTTCTCCAAGTAACGAAGAAAAGCAAGTTAACCTGGAAGGTGTTACCATGGATGCTACTGATGTAGACTCAAAAGAACCAAGACATAAACAGTCGAAGACATTACTAGGTGAATCGAAGAAGAATTTCATTATGAGAAAGAAGGAACTTATGAGAAGGCGTGGTAGACAGGTTGCTCATGACTCCAAGTTTACCGGTAGAAAGAGAAGAACGAAGTTTTGAAAGAGATCCTCAAAGGTATTTTTATTTTACTATTCGTTCATTACAGCATGTGACTCTGGAAGTTCTTGCAACTTTATCGAATCGCCCTCTTTTCAGTATATTATCATTAAGCGATAGTTGTTGTTTTTTGAAATCCGCATTGTATATTAGTTTATTAGTTGGACAGCTCAGCACCCCTCTATTTTTCAATTCAAAATACATCCTAATATAATATTGTTTGTTAGCTTACTATTCGTCTATTCACCTTTTGGAATTTATAGATATAACCTTCAAATGGTATACATTAGTATGGAATGGTACTATCCAATATATATTGTATGTTAGTTCGTAGTTTGTGATGTGTGTCACTTTAATTTGTTGGAACCGTTGGCGAACTAACGAAATCTCAGAATCTGGGAACCATAGTAAGTGAACTGGGATAAGTTGAGATATTTGTATTAATTTCATTGGTTTGGTGGTTCAACTTGATGCAACACAAACAAGAGTAGTGTTGGAAGTCTATACCTTGAAAATGTACAATCGTTCAACTTCACTAGTCTCCAGGCTGGCTCCCTCCCTGATGAGGTTTTCGAGGGCATACCAACTGCCCTCAAGCTCCAGGAAAGTCATCTCTATATACCCGGTGTTGGAGCAAAAGGAGAAAAGGGCCAATATATTGAAAAAGCTAAGTCAAGAGCAGTTGGACAGCAAGCTTGATGCTAATAACGAAAGAAGGAAGCTATTGGCAAAGGGTCACAAGGATTGCTTGAAGGCAGGGGACATAATCCGTGTTGTTTATGATCAGTCCAAATGTAACTACGATACATTTGTTGGTTATGTGCTCTCTGTTGATAGAAAGGAACTTATTGAAGATGCATCTGTTTTGTTGAGAAACCAAGTGGCTAAGACGATGGTAGAAATGAGGATACCGATCTTCTCTCCATTGATTGAAAGAATAGACGTATTGAGAAAGTCAGACGGGAAGAGAAAGAGAAACAAGCACTACTACATCAGAAACACCAGACTGGATGTCGGCGACTTAGAAGCCGGCTTGAAGAAGAGGTAAGTTTAAATATTCAAGCATACAAAAAAACACATCATATGTGTAGAAACTACGAACCTGTATAAATGTGGGATAATATCTCATAATCGTGTACATATTATAAGAAACATCGTTGCTATACAGCTAAATCTCTTGGGTATTATTTTATTATATTATTCAAGCAGCTGCTGTCACATGACAACGTGATCTACGACATCGCTTAAAATTATTGTTTTGTGCTTATTTATGGCCTTTGACAGGGTTAGAGACACAATAATGCCATAATATGCGAAAGGACAAAACATATCTACGAGCAACAATAATACCATATCATATTTACTAGACACCTATATATTATGTTTACTGTAAGTTATATTTTTTATTTTAGTTGTTTTTTTTTAGCACTTTATAGTGCTGTATTATTCCACAATTCAGGCAGTCCAGAGAAACATTTATAGATCATGAAACTCATTACGATTATTATATATTTATTTGCGTTTGTATCCGCCGAGGAGTACATTGTGTCGCTGAAGGGGCCCAAGGCGTTTCAGCGGTTCATGGATTCCCAGCTTGTGCAAGAAATACTGGAGTCCAAGCCTATCAGGAAGCGTATAATCAAGACGTATTCCTTTGGCAATTTCCGCGGGTTTGTCATAGACCTGCCCAACGAGTGGCTGATCAAGATCAGGAGGAGCCCATTCGTGTCTCAAGTGGTGCCTAATTTCTCGTTCAAGGCCTTTGACGAAGAGACAGCGCTGAGCGAAGTGTACAGAGGCAGGACAATAGTGGCGCGTGGTGAGAACGGCGGGAGCCCAGAGCTCCAAGGGTTCAAGAAGGAAGAGTGTCGTGGTGACAGTGTCTATTTTGACAAGTTCGAGGCCAGTGGCAAGGACATGCCGCAGGTGAACGGGAAGTTGCTATCGCGGTACATCAAGACGCAGTCCGAGGCACCACGGCATCTAGCCCGGCTATCGAGACGGTCGCAACTGCCATATGATTTCAACGACCCGACGAGGTACGAGAGCGATTTCAATTACTATTACTATGGATGGCATCAAGGGCGGTCAGTGAATGCGTATGTGCTGGACAGTGGTGTCATGATTGATCACTGTGACTTCGAAGGGCGAGCCTATTACGGAGCCGATTTCATCCGCAGTGGTAACTCTGGGGATCAGAACGGGCATGGCACGCATGTAGCTGGGCTAATAGGTTCTAAGACCTATGGGGTGTCAAAGAAAGTGAACATCATCGATGTGAAAGTGTTGGATAGTGTGGGCAGCGGTACATTAGATACAGTGATGAGTGGGTTAGAGTTTGTCTCTAACCATTGCAACTACAAGGGCAAGCAAGGCAAGCAAGGTAAGCAAGGCAAGCCCGTCTGGGGCAGTGAGGATTCACACGATGACGACGTTGAGAGTAAGAGGTGCGTCATCAATCTCAGTCTTGGCACATTTCGGAGTACCATCATCAACGAGGCCATTGAGGAGTTGATCAAGCAAGGGATCGTTGTGGTAGTTGCAGCCGGTAATTCCAACATGAACGCCTGTTGGACCAGTCCCGCGTCCGTGGCGGATGTGATCACTGTGGGGGCCTTTGACGATCGCATTGACTCCATAGCGAAATTCAGCAATTGGGGCAACTGCGTCGACATCTTCGCACCGGGTGTGCTAGTGAAGTCGTTGTCGAACAAGTTTCCTTACTACCCCATAGAGCAAACGGGCACGTCGATGGCCACACCGATAGTTACGGGTCTGGTGGCATTGCTGCTGGACTCCGGGATCAAACCAACCCAGATAAAGAAAAGACTCAACGAATTGGCGACCGATAACATCTTCCCAAGAAGAACACTGCTGTTCAAGCCAGGAACCCCAAACAGAATCGCATTCAACGGGGTCAAGAGAGACGACGACGACTACCACCACTACAGCTACCCGAACATCACCATCGAGCACATCCTCAAGGAATTGGACAGCTATACAACCCCAGCAATTACAAAAGGAGTACTCTTAGTTTAACCCTTGTTTAGTTTTACATAGTTGTAGAGTAACGTGACCTCCACCCATAAAAGTCTTTTATACAGCTCAAACTGCAATATCACTCAGGACGTCATCGTGTGGGAACTGGGAAATGTCAAAAGGGAAAATCTTCACATGCACACAGAAACAACCGCACAACAACGAAATTTTCTTTGTGCGAAAACCGAAAAACCAAGCCAAATTCTCTCTTTGGGCTTTTCAATGGCTAGGGATTGTGAAGCTGAAAAAAAAAAAAAAGTCGAAATTTCACATTCTATGTTGGAAGAAAACCCAACCCAGTTGACGTTGCGCAATTGTAGGATTAGGATAATAGGCTAAGGACAGGGATTGTTGAGTTTATTGTTGAACTTGGATTTAAGCAGATTATTTTTAAATAGCTTATCGAGGAAGAGAAGAGAAAAATTTCTTTTCGAGAAAGGTAAGAAAGTTGAAAAAGTGAAGCTATTTAAACCAAAGTCGATCCAACGATTCTTTCGAAACTCCCAATTGTAAGGTTAGTGCGTTGTCGGTTTGCATATTCGACGCTGAGCCGCTCTGTGATAGATAAGAGATTGAGTAAGTTAAAGAGTGCTGGAGAGCTGTCCCGCGAGTATAATTTAGTGCACAATAGGGTTATCACCAGGATGAGCGACGAGAGTTTGTACGAGGATTCTGCCCAGAAGGAGCAATACGAGGTTACCGATTACTCTTCCAGACACCAAGTGTTGCCCTCGCATTTCGTTGGGCTGAACACTGTGGAGAAAGTGGAGGATTCCCCGCTGAAGGAGTTTGTGAAGGCGCATGGTGGTCACACAGTGATATCGAAGGTGCTGATAGCGAACAACGGTATTGCCGCAGTCAAGGAGATAAGGTCTGTACGGAAGTGGGCCTACGAGACCTTCGGCGATGAGAAGATAGTGCAGTTTGTCGCGATGGCGACGCCGGAAGACCTGGAGGCCAATGCTGAGTACATCCGCATGGCCGACCAATACGTCGAAGTACCAGGCGGCACCAACAACAACAACTACGCGAACGTGGACCTGATCGTTGACATCGCCGAGAGGGCCGATGTCGACGCAGTCTGGGCCGGCTGGGGTCACGCGTCCGAAAACCCACTTTTGCCAGAGAAACTGGCTAGATCGAAGAGGAAAATCTTGTTTATAGGTCCACCAGGTAACGCCATGAGATCGCTTGGTGATAAAATCTCTTCTACAATCGTGGCCCAACACGCTAAAGTGCCTTGTATCCCATGGTCAGGTACTGGTGTGGACACTGTGCACATAGATGAAAAGAATGGGCTTGTATCTGTCGATGACGATATATACCAGAAGGGTTGTTGCTCTTCCCCAGAGGACGGGTTGGAGAAAGCCAAGAAAATCGGATTCCCAGTCATGATCAAGGCTTCCGAAGGTGGTGGTGGTAAAGGTATTAGACAGGTCACTAGAGAAGAGGACTTCATTAACTTATACCATCAGGCAGCAAACGAAATTCCAGGTTCCCCGATCTTTATTATGAAGCTGGCAGGCAAAGCTCGTCACTTAGAAGTTCAATTGCTAGCCGATCAATATGGTACAAACATCTCGCTTTTCGGTCGTGACTGTTCTGTTCAAAGACGTCACCAAAAGATTATAGAAGAAGCACCTGTCACTATTGCAGGCCCAGAAACATTTGGCGAAATGGAAAAGGCTGCGGTACGTCTAGGTAAGTTGGTCGGCTATGTCTCAGCAGGTACAGTGGAATACCTATATTCCCACGACGACAACAAGTTCTATTTCTTGGAATTGAACCCAAGATTGCAAGTCGAGCATCCAACCACTGAAATGGTCACAGGTGTCAACTTGCCAGCTGCGCAATTGCAAATTGCAATGGGTATCCCTATGCACAGAATTAGTGACATCAGAATATTCTACGGCCTAAACCCAAGAGGTTCTTCAGAGATTGACTTCGAATTTAAGTCCGAGGATTCCTTGAAGACCCAAAGAAAGCCTATCCCTAAGGGTCACTGTACAGCTTGCCGTATCACTTCTGAAGATCCAAACGACGGTTTCAAACCATCTGGTGGTACTTTGAATGAGTTAAACTTCAGATCGTCGTCGAATGTCTGGGGTTATTTCTCCGTTGGTAACAATGGTGGTATTCACTCCTTCTCAGACTCCCAATTTGGTCACATCTTCGCATTTGGTGAAAACAGACAAGCATCAAGAAAACACATGGTCGTTGCCCTAAAGGAACTATCTATCAGGGGTGATTTCAGAACTACAGTAGAATACTTGATTAAACTTCTAGAAACCGAAGATTTTGAAGAGAACACAATAACTACTGGATGGTTAGACGATTTAATTTCTACAAAGATGACTGCTAAAAAGCCAGATCCTATTTTAGCTGTCATCTGTGGTGCTGCTACAAAGGCTTTCATTGCATCAGAAGCAGCCCGTCAGGACTACATTAACTCATTGACTAGAGGCCAAGTTCTATCAAAGTCACAGCTAAAGACAATGTTCCCAGTAGAATTCATACATGAGGGTAAGAGATACAAATTTACAGTCGCAAAATCTGCCGATGACCGCTACACTTTGTTCATTAATGGTTCTAAATGTGAAGTCAGAGTTCGCAAGCTGTCTGATGGTGGCTTATTGATTGCTCTAGGCGGAAAATCACATACTATTTATTGGAAGGAAGAAGTTGCTGCAACCAGGCTTTCTGTGGATTCCATGACTACTTTGCTAGAAGTTGAAAATGATCCTACTCAGTTGCGTACACCTTCTCCAGGTAAACTAGTTAAATTCTTGGTAGAAAATGGTGATCACATTGCTGCTGGCCAAGCATACGCCGAAATAGAAGTTATGAAGATGCAAATGCCTTTGCTTTCACAAGAAAATGGTATTGTACAACTTTTGAAACAACCAGGTTCTACTATTGCTGCAGGTGATATTATTGCAATTCTAACCCTTGATGACCCATCAAAGGTTAAGCATGCTCTACCATTCGAGGGATTGCTTCCTGATCTAGGCTCACCAGTAGTTGAAGGCACAAAACCTGCTTATAAATTCAAATCATTAGTGACTACTCTTGAAAATATTCTAAAGGGTTATGACAATCAAGTTATTATGAACGCATCTCTACAGCAATTGATTGAGGTTTTAAGAGATCCTAAACTACCATATTCAGAATGGAAATTACATATATCCGCATTGCATTCTAGACTGCCTATTAAGTTGGATGAACAATTAGAGCAACTAGTAGAAAGGTCTGAAAAGCGTGGTGCTGGATTCCCAGCCAAACAGCTAGGTAGACTAATTGAGACTCATGTAAACCAATCTTCTGATGCCTTGATAGGTACAGTTGTTGAGCCATTGGTAGACATTTGCAACAGATATGGTAATGGTTTAGAAGCACACGAACATTCAGTGTTTGTTAACTTCCTTGAAAAGTACTATGAAGTTGAGAAGTTATTTAATGGTGCCACAGACCGTGAAGAAAACGTCATTTTGAAGTTGAGAGATGAAAATGCCGACAACCTGGACAAAGTAGCTTTAATTGTTCTTTCTCACTCTAAAGTTTCAGCTAAGAACAATTTGATTTTGGCAATTTTGAAGCATTATCAACCACTATGCAAAATATATTCCAATGTTGCCTCCATTTTTGCTGGTCCATTACAAAGAATTGTGGAACTTGAATCAAAGGCTACTGCAAAGGTGGCATTACAAGCTAGAGAAATATTGATTCAAGGTGCTTTACCTTCTGTAAAGGAAAGGACTGAACAAGTCGAGCACATTTTGAAGTCTGCTGTGGTAAAGACAACCTACGGTGAAACGAATACTAAGCGTAACGAACCAGATCAATTGATTCTAAGAGATTTAATTGATTCTAATTACGTTGTATTTGATGTTCTATTGCAATTCTTGAATCACTCAGATTTAAGTGTTGCAACTGCAGCAGGTCAAGTCTACGTCCGCCGTGCTTACAGAGCCTACACTATTGGTGAAGTTAAGTCTCATGAACTATCTGGCAGACCTGTTATTGAGTGGAAATTTCAACTTCCATCTGCAGCTTTCTCATCAATTCCTTTGGTTAAGACTAAGATGGGAATGAACAGAGCCATGTCTGTTTCTGATTTGTCTTACGTAGCTGATAATGAAAGTGCACCTTTGAGAACCGGTATCATGGTTTCTGCCAATCATTTAGATGATGTCGACGAAGCCTTATCTGAAGGTCTAGAAATTGTACCACAACATGGTAACAACCCTCATTCTAGCAGCGGCCCTGTTCCTGACAGATCTGGTAGCTCTGCTTCGTTGAGTAACGTAGCAAATGTGATCGTTGGCTCTACTGATGGTTTTTCGACTGAAGAAGAGATTTTGAAGAGACTAAATGAGATCCTGGACATGAACAAGCAATTGCTGATCGATTCAGCAATTCGTCGTATCACATTCATGTTTGGCTTCAAAGATGGTTCATATCCAAAGTACTATACTTTCAATGGTCCTAACTACAGTGAAAACGAAACTATTCGTCACATTGAGCCAGCCTTGGCCTTCCAATTGGAACTGGGGAGAATGTCAAACTTCAATATCAAACCAATCTTTACCGAAAACAGAAATATTCATGTCTATGAAGCTGTTAGTAAGACTTCTCCATTGGATAAGAGATTCTTTACAAGAGGTATTATCAGAACAGGTCATATCAGAGACGACATATCCATTCAAGAGTATTTGACTTCAGAAGCTAATAGATTGATGAGTGATATTTTGGACAACTTGGAAATCACAGATACTTCAAACTCAGACTTGAATCATATATTTATCAACTTCTCTGCTATATTTGACGTTTCTCCAGCAGATGTTGAAGCTGCTTTTGGTGGATTCTTGGAAAGGTTTGGTAAGAGATTACTGAGACTTCGTGTTACATCTGCCGAAATTAGAATCATAATCAAGGATACAGAGACTGGTGCACCAATTCCATTGAGAGCACTAATCAATAACGTTTCTGGATATGTTGTCAGAACCGAATTGTATACCGAAATCAAGAATTCCAAGGGTGAATGGGTTTTCAAATCTTTAGGTAAACCAGGTAGTATGCATCTAAGACCTATTGCTACCCCATACCCAGTTAAAGAATGGTTACAACCTAAACGTTACAAGGCACATCTGATGGGAACAACCTATGTATATGACTTCCCAGAATTGTTCCGTCAAGCTGCAGTCTCTTCATGGGCCAAGTTCTCTTCCAAGACTAAATTCACTGATGATTTCTTTATCGCCAATGAATTGATTGAGGATGAAAATGGTGAACTAACCGAAGTTGAAAGAGAAGCAGGTGCCAACTCAATTGGTATGGTTGCATTCAAAATTACTGTGAAAACTCCAGAATATCCTCGTGGTAGACAGTTTGTTATTGTAGCAAACGATATCACTTTCAAGATTGGTTCTTTTGGCCCACAGGAAGACGAATTCTTCGATAAGGTTACAAACTATGCCAGAAAGAGAGGCATTCCAAGAATTTACTTGGCTGCCAACTCTGGTGCAAGAATCGGTATCGCCGAAGAATTGGTTCCTTTGTTCCAAGTTTCTTGGAATGACAAGTCTGACCCAACTAAGGGTTTTGAGTACATGTATCTAGACAACGAAGGATTGGAGACCTTGAAGAAATACAAAAAGGAACACTCTGTCATTACAGAACGTATCGTCGAACATGGTGAAGAAAGACATGTTATCAAGACTATTATTGGTGCCGATGAAGGTCTTGGTGTTGAATGTCTGAAGGGTTCCGGTTTGATCGCTGGTTCTACATCTAGAGCATACCAAGATATTTTCACCATTACTTTGGTCACTTGTAGATCTGTTGGTATTGGTGCTTATCTAGTTAGACTTGGTCAAAGAGCTATTCAAGTTGAGGGCCAGCCAATTATTTTGACTGGTGCTCCTGCTATTAACAAAGTGTTAGGTAGAGAAGTTTACACTTCCAACTTACAATTAGGTGGTACTCAAATTATGTATAACAACGGTGTTTCCCACTTGACTGCTGCTGATGATCTTGCTGGTGTTGAACAGATCATGCAATGGCTGTCATACATTCCAGCTAAGAGAGACATGCCTGTTCCAATTTTGGAGACCGAAGATAAGTGGGATAGAGACGTTGAATACTACCCACCAAAGGACTCTCAGTTTGATGTCAGATGGATGCTATCTGGTAAGCAAACCCCAGAAGGTTTCGAACACGGTCTGTTTGACAAGAACTCTTTCTTCGAGACGCTATCGGGATGGTCCCAAGGTGTTGTCATAGGTAGAGCTCGTTTGGGAGGTATTCCACTTGGTGTGATCGCTGTTGAGACACGTACTGTCGAGACACTGATCCCAGCAGACCCAGCTAACCCACAATCTACAGAGACATTGATTCAACAGGCTGGTCAAGTTTGGTATCCAAACTCTGCCTTCAAGACTGCTCAAGCCATCAACGACTTCAACCATGGTGAGCAATTACCACTGATGATTCTAGCTAACTGGAGAGGTTTCTCTGGTGGTCAAAGGGATATGTACAACGAAGTCTTGAAGTACGGTTCCTTCATTGTCGATGCGCTAGTTGACTACAAGCAACCAATTATCGTCTACATTCCACCACTCGGAGAATTGAGAGGTGGTTCCTGGGTTGTCGTTGATCCGATGATCAACGCTGAACAGATGGAGATGTACGCTGATGTCGACTCTCGTGCTGGTGTGCTGGAGCCTGCTGGTATGGTTGGTATCAAGTACCGTAGAGAGAAACTGTTGAACACCATGGCTAGACTGGACGAGAAGTACAAGACTTTGAAGGAGAAGTTGAGTGAGAAGGGTCTATCTGCCGAGGAGCACCAGAAGGCCAGCGTTGAGCTTGCCCAACGTGAGAAAGAGTTGCTACCTATCTACCACCAGATCACATTGCAGTTTGCTGACTTGCACGATAGGTCTGGCCGTATGTTGGAGAAGGGCACCATTAGAAAGGAGATCGAATGGATCAACTCACGTAAGTTCTTCTTCTGGAGATTGAGACGCCGTTTGAACGAGGAGTACTTGATCAAGAGATTGAACCAGGAACTGCCAAACGCATCACGTTTGGAGAAGTTTGCACGTATCAGATCATGGTACCCTGTCTCTATGGATGTTGACAACGACCGCGACGTAGCTACGTGGATTGAGGAGAACTACCAAAGCATCGACGAGAACCTCAAGAAGCTGAAGTCCGAGAGGTTCGCACTAGATGTTGCCAAGAGTATCAGAAACGACCACGATAATGCCATCACCGGTCTCTGTGAAATTCTAAAGATGATGACCGCAGAAGACAAGGAGAAGGTCCTAAAGAGCTTGAAATAGAGCTTCGCTGTATATTAAGAGTTGCTTTTATTTTTTGTTGTTATTATTGTTCATTTTGTATATAATTGAATAGAAGAATATATTAGATAAAGTATTGTATTATGCCTTACAACCCAATGCTCTTCACCCACTTCACGACCCCGGCAATACTGTAAGAACCATGTGACTACCCCCGTCGTAGGATCTTCCAATGCCAATGATCCTCCCCCAAACCCTCAATAACACCCACACACCCTGGCTTCTTCTTCCCACTTTTAACTTTTCCCCCCCATGCCAATCACTAGAGAGATAAGAGCCGGGGAAGGAAGCATAAAACCGGAGAAGAGGCCCTATTGAATTTGGGATGCCACTAGCGATTTTAATGTCTCACTGTGTGTGACCCGTTGCTGCTGTGGACTGCTGTGGACTTCACCACCAGACAACCTCCCGTACAAGTTACAAGTTAGCAAGTTACAGAAGGTGTTGTAGGAAACCACCAGAAGAACCGGATGAACCAGATGACGTAGTCTGGGAGGCTCGAGAGAACACCCATGGAGATGGATACCCAGTTGGGCACTCTGCAGCGTTGTGCGCAAGTCCTTACACGATCGTGGTTGTTTATGAAGAAAAGTACTCTCTTTCTACGTGGTATCGTGTGAGTTGTTCCGTATGGAATTGGTATATCCCCATTGTCTCTAGCCAAGACTCACGCAGCCCTTCTTCTGTGTGAAGGATGTAGATTTTCCTGCAGCTGACGCAGTTGACACAGTTGACGCAGTAGAAGCAGTAGAATCACTTCTCACAAGTCAAGTGTTTTTCCATCCGGACCCACTTCCTTCAGATGGCACCGTGGGACTGGAACAAGAGAATGAAAAAGAAAGAAATACGGAAAAAAAGAAGGAAAGTTTTTCCGGTTATACGGAAGTTACAGTGCTAACCCGGAACAACCACAGAGAGACTCACAGAGACACTCGCAGAGAGACTCACAGACACACTCACGGGACCCAATATTCAAAGGGAAAGGTGGAATGGACCCCTTCCCACTGTGAAGAGCAGAAAGTGAAAAAAAATTATTGAAAAACTATTTTCAAATGAACTCATCGACAAGATAGCAATCAATGCCCATGATATAGTTGTTTTGCGTAATTTTTTGGTTAGTAGAGTGGTTCCCCCTCCAATCCCATTGTTATTGGATGTACCAAGAGATGGAAGCCATAGAAAGTGGAAAAAGAAATGAAAAATTTTCCATTCAAATATTGAAAAAATCAAAAAAACAAAAACCAACAATGAACTCAAAGAAAAAAAAAATAATTTAAATAAATAATTCTGTATTCAAAGCAATTCTTTTTTAAAGGTTTATATAAACATAGACTCTAAGGAAAAGGAAGTCCTGGAAAAAAAAAAGGTTACAAGTACCTGGAAATACAATTGAATAAGAGAGTGTTAGTTGAAATATTGGGAATAAAATAGTAGAAAGGATAATTGGAAACTACAAAACGAGAAAATTTATTTTAGAACAATAACAACAACTGGAAAAAAAATACTTCTTTTTTTTTTGAATTACAAACATAACAAAAAAAAAGATAACATAATATGACTGCGGAAGCTCTTGTTAATGGTACTTCTTATACCACGCTAGTGGCTCACTCCCAAGAGTCTTTCAAGAATGCTGTGGAATTTTACAAGAACTTCTTGTCCTTGATGAAGTTGAACGACAAGAACGCCAATGAGGCTACTCTGTATAACTCTTCTGTCTGTTTGAAGATTGTCCTAGAGGAGGACAGCTCCAAGAACCAGGCTGCTATGCACAGAGTCACCAAGTTGTCTGAGATGTCCAAGAAGCAGGACTGGAGAGCCCAAGTCAAGGACTCTCTTGTCTTCAACATTGTCGACATCCAATCCATCCAAAAGTCTTTGATTGCAAACAACTTCCCTATCCAAGCATACCCAACCACTTTGCAACCAATGCAACTTTTTACCATCGACCCATTGGGTAACGTTGTCGGTGTTACTTGCACAAAGAACGCCGCCTCCACCAGACCAACCAAGCCACAAGCTGATGTCACCACCGTCCCACCATCTGCTTTGGCCTCTAATGTACCATCTGCCTTGCCATCCAAGGTCCAATCATTCACAGACTTGTCCTACTGTATGAAGACAACCGACCACTACCCATCCTTGCCAACTAAGGCTACTAGAGTCACTCCAGAGTCCAAGAAGGCCATTGCCGTTATGACCTCTGGTGGTGATGCTCCAGGTATGAACTCCAACGTCCGTGCTATTGTCCGTTCTGCTCTATTCAAGGGCTGTCGTGCATTCGTCGTCATGGAAGGTTACGAAGGTTTGGTCCGTGGTGGTCCAGAATACATCAAGGAATTCAGCTGGGAAGATGTCAGAGGCTGGTCCACTCAAGGTGGTACCAACATCGGTACTGCCCGTTGTATGGAATTCAGAGAAAGAAAGGGTCGTCTGTTAGGTGCCCAACACTTGATCGAAGCCGGTGTCGATGCTTTGATTGTTTGTGGTGGTGATGGTTCCTTGACTGGTGCTGACTTGTTCAGATCCGAATGGCCATCTTTGATCGACGAACTTCTAAAGGAAAACAGAATTGACAACGACCAATACGAAAGATACAAGCACTTGAACATCTGTGGTACTGTTGGTTCCATCGATAACGATATGTCTACCACTGATGCTACCATCGGTGCTTACTCTGCCTTGGACAGAATCTGTACCGCTATCGACTACGTTGAAGCCACTGCTAACTCCCACTCCAGAGCTTTCGTTGTCGAAGTCATGGGTAGAAACTGTGGTTGGTTAGCTCTATTGGCTGGTATCGCCACTTCCGCTGACTACATCTTCATTCCAGAAAAGCCAGCTACTTCTTCCGAATGGCAAGATCAAATGTGTGACATTGTCGCCAAGCACAGATCCAGAGGTAAGAGAACCACCATCGTTATTGTTGCCGAAGGTGCTATCGCTAACGATCTAACTCCAATTTCTCCAAGTGATGTTCACAAGGTTCTTTGTGACAGATTAGGTCTAGACACCAGAATCACAACTCTAGGTCACGTTCAAAGAGGTGGTACCGCTGTCGCTTACGACCGTATCTTGGCCACTCTACAAGGTATTGAAGCTGTTAATGCTGTCTTGGAAAGTAAGCCAGACACTCAATCTCCATTGATTGCCATTAACGAAAACAAGATCACTCGTAAACCTTTGGTTGAATCTGTCAAGTTGACCAAGTCTGTTGCAGATGCTATCCAAGCCAAGGACTTCAAGAAGGCTATGTCTCTAAGAGACACTGAGTTCATCGAGCACATGAAGAACTTCATGGCCATTAACTCTGCTGACCATAATGAACCAAAGTTGAGTGAAGACAAGAGATTGAAGATCGCCATCGTCAATGTCGGTGCACCAGCTGGTGGTATCAACTCTGCCGTCTACTCTATGGCTACCTACTGTATGTCCCAAGGTCACAAACCATACGCCATCTACAACGGTTTCTCCGGTTTGGCTAGACATGAAAGTGTTCGCTCCCTAAAATGGCAAGATATGCTGGGATGGCAATCCCGTGGTGGTTCTGAAATCGGTACCAACAGAGTCACCCCAGAAGAAGCTGATCTAGGTATGGTCGCTTACTACTTCCAAAAGTACCAATTCGATGGTTTGATCCTAGTCGGTGGTTTCGAGGCTTTCGAATCTCTACACCAATTGGAAAGAGCTAGAGAAACCTACCCAGCTTTCAGAATCCCAATGGTTTTGATTCCAGCTACCCTATCCAACAACGTTCCAGGTACTGAATACTCCCTAGGTTCTGACACTGCTTTGAACGCTCTAATGGAATACTGTGACATTGTTAAGCAATCTGCTTCATCTACCAGAGGTAGAGCTTTTGTTGTTGATGTTCAAGGTGGTAACTCCGGTTACCTGGCCACTTACGCTGCTTTGGCTGTCGGTGCTCAAGTTTCCTATGTCCCAGAAGAAGGTATTTCTCTAGAACAATTGTCTCAAGATATCGAATACTTAGCTGAAGCTTTTGAAGTTGCTCAAGGTAGAGAAGGTTTCGGTAAGTTGATCTTGAAATCTACTAATGCTTCTAAGGCTTTGACTGCTGAGAAGTTGGCTGAAGTTATCACCGCTGAAGCTAACGGCAGATTCGATGCCAAGGCTGCTTACCCAGGTCACGTCCAACAAGGTGGTCTACCATCTCCAATTGACAGAACTAGAGCTACTAGATTCGCTATCAGAGCTGTTGACTTCATTGAAGAACAACAATCTGTTATTGCTAACGCCCGTGCTGCCAACGATGTATTTGTTGCTGATGACAAGGATGTTGAATCTACTGCCACTGTATTGGGTGTCAAGGGTTCTCAAATTGTCTTCTCCTCTATCAGACAACTATATGATTTCGAAACTGAAGTCGGTAAGAGAATGCCAAAGGTCATTCACTGGCAAAACGCCAGAGCTATTGCTGACCACTTGGTTGGCAGAAAGAGAGTTGATTAGAAGTTTCATGCATAAACTTTTTTATTATTGCTTTGCTCTTCTAATTATTGCTTAATCAATTTTGCTTTCATGCCGTTTTCTTTCTCGAAATAGATAATTTTTAATTCATATACTTTTTGCAGCCAATCTTGTACATGACATGTAAAGATGTACAAAGATTACGATGATAAACTTTTTTTACTCATATTACACTTTTCCCATTATTTTTTTTTCATTTTACACTTTATTACCTTGGAGACAATAGCCAGAATACATGATTACCTTTTGAATTCACATTAACCGAATTTTCTTCACTTCCCATAGACTTAGTCTAGGAAGTGAAGCCAGTAGGATATACCTTCACTATTGCCTTCCATTTATGTATATTTATAATATGTGATATAGAATCAATGATAAATTAAAGACTCTATTATATTAAAATTTAAATTTCTGCTACATCGCAAATGGATTACACCCTGCTTAAAATAGCAATTAATGCCCAGAATGAATGAGATGGCACCATAGCTCAATGCTCATAAATCTACCTTGTCGAAAGTACTATTTCGATATATTTTGTCATCCCGAAGGATTTTCGGCCTTTAACTGCCAGAGCCTTCGAAAAAATAGCGTGTACCTTAAATAACACATGAATTCCAGTAGAGCCAAATAACAACAGTAAGCAGCAAGCTAGCTCTATTTCCTATAGTTTGAAGTATCAGCAGTTCTACAGTTAACTTGTGCTAGGATATCATACAATTTTTCTACATTTTAAGGCAGTTCCTGCAGTCGTCGTAGCATTTTGATGGTTTGTTTATACTGAAAACTTTGACTGATTTTCCATATCCAAATGAGCACAGTTAAGCAGCGGACGAGGACAGAAGGTAAACCACAGTATCCGTTGATGCAATCTATAAAAGATACTTTGAAACTGAAAACAACAAAGCGAACTAATTCAGAGAAGAAGGTTAGTACACTAAATGATAAATCAGGCAGTCCAATAAAAAGCAATAGTGAGAGACGCAATGGTATTACACGCAAAGTAAATGGTTCTAAAAGATTATCTGCCCAACGAGTTGCACTTTTCAAGTATAATAACGTACAAGTTTTCAACTATGTCAGGAACGGCAATAACTCTAGGAAATCGTCTATGTCGTCACTGAATTCTTCTGGAACGGTGGTAATGTGTAATGAATATGATTCTGAAGTTACCAACTTGAAACCCCAGATGCTGATTGGCAAAGGTGTCTTAGAGCTATATCAGATAAAAACTCCAGCTGCTCTTGATCGGAAGGAGCAGACTATGAACTACATATCGTTAGGAAGAGGTGGCCAAATTGTGCATCCAATATTACCGAAATTGAAGATAACTAAACTTCGAAATGAAAACTTCAAATATCTAATAACCTTCTCAAATCCCGAGAGGTATTGGCAAATTGAGTTTTTGCAGATCAACGGCCAGTTACATGATGAGCTACTTAAAATAACCGATGAGTTTGAAAGTATAATATCATCAGTGTGCATATTTATCGATGAAAACATAACCAAATTGGCCTCACTGAAATCAAATAAGACTCCACCAAATAATGTTAACACTTTAGACCAAATTAAGGAAAAGGTACAGACTGCAACGGAGAATGACGATGATGAAGCGGAGGAGTTAGACTATCTATTGGAGGATCCAATTGAGCAGGAGCCAACATCGTCTTTCGAATATGATGTGCCCACTGATTTAACGGAAGTCTTTCAGAGGACAATGGGCAGAATTAACAGTAACGGGAGTAGAAGATATTCTTCTGTTCCTCAATTTAGCCACAGAAGAAGTATGATTAGAAGATCGATGTCTCTATTTCCGGAACATGAAGGTAGATTTTCTTAGCTGGTTCTAAGACTGAATACCCAATTATGTACATTCGCCAACTTTGTTACTATATATTACTAGCATTTAATATTCCATAATATTTCCCACCCTACTCTATAATGACAAAGCTAATCTCATAGTCATTAGTATATTTCAAGATGATGAAGTATAGCCTTAGAGTCTATCCTTGAATTATTATTTCTGATTAATTTGGTAATATATACATATGCGTTGATGCAATGGAAATATAATCTTACACTGGAGAGGCTATCTCCCATAAATGTAATGCGTATTTAGATATTTAGAATAATAAATACATAAGGCTAGATTAGAACTTTTGGTTTTGGACCAAGTTCTTAATCATATCCTTGGCAGTCAAGTAGATGGTCTTACCCAAGGTGTACAAATCCAAAGTGGAGGAGAACGTGTCTAGGAAACCGAATGGCAACATGCATGGGATCCAACCTTGAGCCAATTCTAGTGCGAAGGAGTTTTGATCCATAGCGTATTGCTTTGCGTAGCCCTTTTGTAGATGATGGGTCATACCTGGGAAGTATTCCTCTGGATCAGCTTCCCAAGGCAATGCAGCACGTTGAACACCCTTCAAGATGGTGAAGTAATCATCAGCAAAATGGACACCAGTGTGACCCTCAGTGCCAACTGCGGTACCAAATAGGATGACATATTCAGAAATGGAAGCATGCAAAATAATCATTTGACCCATGGCACCACCAGCGTTGTTGAAGACCCAAGCATCTCTGGTGTACTCGTTAATGTATTCATCACCGTAGTGCTTAGCCAATGCGTCTCTGACGTCGATTAGAAGAGATTCTGTAGAGGCACTAGCATCGCTGCCGTTGTGTTTGGCAAGTACACCATTGCAAATTTCATTCAAGGTCTTTGGATCAAAGATGTAGTTGCGTGGTAACCAACTGTCATACAAAGAGTTCAAAAGGTAACCGACACCGGCAACCAGCAATAGCAGATTGATAAAGAACTTCATTGTCCGTTGTTGTTATATAGTTGTTGGGTGTTGAAAGTAATATTTTCCAAAGGGCACAACGAGTGTAACAATGCTACAATTGGAAGCCAACGGTAATGTCAATGCTCGGTGGATGAACTGTTTATATAGGATTAACATTGTCATCGTCGTTCAGCTTTAGCTAATTGTCTCGAGGATTGTTTTGCCCATTGGGCATCTTCAAACCGATAGAATTACGAGCTCGTTTAGTTCTGCAAATCTGACGTTTGGGTCTCGAGGCAGTTGATGATATTTTCTTCCATGGGATTAATTTCCAAGATGATTAATTGCGATGGGATGTGATGCGATGAGCTTCTTATAATATGATTTTTCCAAAGCTAGTTCTATACTTTCAGGAGAAAATTCTTGATATGGTGTTACTTGTATGTAGTATTATCTGTATGTGTGTGTGGGGTGGCGTTTAGTAAAGTGAGCCGTAAATAGACGCAAATAATGGTTACTGCTGAGCAGAAAGCAAGGATAGAGGCCAATAGGAAGTTAGCCTTGCAAAGGCTGAAAGCTCGGGGGATTATATCTTCTAATGGAACAAGTAGCGGGACTGAGGGAGGTGGTAAACCTGCTACTGGTGGAGCTGCTCCCGCTCCGAGCAAACAGGATGATATGGCTAAATTACAGGCAGCTGCACCACCGGATTCGGTACGGGATAGTACAGCTTTGCTCGAAGATAGAAGTCATAAGAGACCTTTGGACAGTATACGACCTTCTATAAGGAAACAAGACTATATAGAATATGACTTCGCCACAATGAAGAATCTCAACGGTGGGTATATCAACCCAGAGGATAGAGTTGGTGGTTCCGATGACTTCGATGATGAGTTTGGCAGCAAGAAGCAAAAGACATTAGATGATTGGAAGCGGGAGCAGCAGGAAAGAAGGATGTTATACGAGAATGCACCACCTCCTGAACATATATCTCAGGCACCGAAATGTATCGAGTGTAATGTTAACATTGAAATGGATCCAGTATTGCATGATGTGTTCAAGTTGCAGGTTTGCAAGCAATGTAGTAAGGATCATCCAGAGAAGTACTCCTTACTGACAAAAACAGAATGCAAAGAAGACTATTTCCTGACTGATCCAGAGTTGAATGACCCTGACCTATTTTACAAGCTAGAAAAACCGAACCCACACTCTGGTACCTTTGCCAGGATGCAGCTATATGTGCGTTGTCAAATTGAAGAGTTTGCATTCAAGAAATGGGGAGGTGAAGAAGGCCTGGATCAAGAATGGCAACGGCGTGAAGAAGGTAAATCATCTAGAAGAGAGAAGAAATACCAGAAGAAGATAGCCGAGATGAGATTGAAGACCAGAGCACAAGAGTATACCACAAAGCTGCGAGAAAAGAAATATGGTATGAAACATGTACATGACTTCAGCGTGGTTGTCACTACAGGGAAAGACGAAGACGGGCATTCATACACGAGAAAGAAGTGCATTGATTGTGGTCTTGAGATGGAAGAGTCTGATTTATAGATATTTGGACCTGCAGCTCATTGATACACTAATGATTTTAACGAAATTGACTACATTTTGAAACAATAATATCATGAAGTTTGTAATATTATCTAGGTTTCCACCCGCATTTATTAATAAACTGTTACAGCAACTTAAATCTAAAACCCATGGCGCAGGCGTTGGGATAAATAAGTTGTTTAAGCCAAGTTCTTAAAAACATAAACTTCATACAATGTATATAAAAATTATAATAATATAATGACCTTTACATTAAAAGAAGGTTTTTATACTGATATACCCATATCCCTGCTACTAACTATGGGTGTGTTACATAATACCTCCTAAATTGCCCAAAATGATCGAATTAAAAGATAATGCACAACCTTTGGAACTATAACAATGGGAATAAAAAAAAAAACATAGAGTAAATGTTAAATTGAAGTAAAAAATATCTGGGAGGTAAAAAAAATATAAAATATGAACCTGTCATGGAAATGAATTTTTTAAACACCAAAAAAATGAATAATAAAAGAAATCGCTACGATATTCTTTCTCTATTTTTAAGAGCTAATGAAGATGAGGGAGCCAGCACCGACTAAGAAAAATGAAGTGTACCATACAAAAGCAGCGTTAAATATGGAATCGCTCTTCTTGACAGCATTAGTTTTATATCTGTTCTCCAAACTTCTCTTGACATGCTCACGTAAGGATCTCTTCTTCAGTAAAGACCTCTTAGAAGTATCATCAGATTCTTGGGATTCTGATTCTGATGAGCCTGTTGGATGGCTACCAGTGCTACCATCAGTTGGGTTTAAAGTCTCTGTTGGTAGCATCATTGGTGGTCTATATGCCAAATATAGTGGTGGCAGTGGAGCGCCATTAAACTGATATAATTGTAAAGTGTAAACACCATGGTAAGGATCGATGAAAGTCTCAAAACTTTTAAATACCTCAGTTTGGTTGTATCTGGTGTAGGTTGAAATGCCATTATCAGAACATGGGTCACTGAAAAGCTGTCTTCCATCTACTTCAATAGGGTGTAAAATCAAAGTACCATTGTCCAGTAGTTCAAATTTACCGTGTTGGTAGATTAAAGATGCCTTCGGACAAGCAGGGTTCTTAGGGTTACCGGATACTTGGTAAGATGCCTCTTCAAACCAACCGTCTTCTGTGAACGAGTAAGAGATACCCGGCAGAGCTGGCTCAATCAGTAGCTCGTCTATAGGATCGTAAAAACCAGGCCCAGTGAACACTTGGTTAGACTTGGAAGACCATGTACCTACTAAGTCAGCGGCATCACCAGCAACAAGCCCAGCAACAGATAGTAATGCAAATAATAATGAACGTACCATGTTCGCTTTTTACCTTTTCTATTATAAATACTATAATTTCACCGTTTCCAATACAATTTAAAGAATAAATCACTCCTTTTAGTATTTATTTTTATGACAGTTCCACTAATATAGTCCTCCTAACAACTTTAAAACTCAATATATTTCGTTTGCTATTTATTGATCAGATGAGCCTCCTTGTTCCCAAAAAAAAACGTATGTTAAAGCAAAAAAATGGCAGAAAAGCGTCAGTATTACTCAGATGCTTTGATATGGCAATGTTACAGGATCTGACGTTTGCAGTTTCTTATAGTTTAGATCAAAATGTACCAACCAGGACGCCAAATTAGTAGAGCAAATTGCTGATTCCAAGCGTATTATTCTTGCTTTTTCCGTTGGTTCCTCGCTGGTTCAGCCAAAAACAAAATTTTTGAAGAAAAATTCCCTGCTGAACGTGTTTCGTTATATATGATCTATGATTTAGTGCGTAATAACGGCCCCAGCATGCATGTATCCTGTTTTGTATTTTGTATTTTGTATTTTGTATTTTGAATTTGCGAGTTTTGAGTTTCGAGTATTCTATCTTGTTCGGGTCCAGGACCGTTCTACTATCTAGTACAAGGACGCCTGTTTAACAGCTTAATATTATTTGTACTTTCGAGAAATAATGAAAGAAATAAAGTAATAAATTATTAAAATAATGCAGATAAAGTTATATAGTAAAGATGTTGAAATGAAATAGTGAGGGAGAGGGGAAGAATAAGAAATGTAGTCATACCGGTAACTGGTTTTCCTTGTTGTCATAGTCCATGTGAGTCGGTTTGTTTGTAGATGCTATTGAATAATTATTCATGCCTGCGTTGGCCCTGTTGTCGTTCGGTATACTCGAAAGACTGGTAGAGCTGCAGTGCGCACTGTCGTTCTTGAAATTCGTGAAGGAATGCATGTGAGGAGTCAATGGCGAAGAATTGCCCAAGTGATTAACACTGAATACACTGTTATCGGATTGTGCACTAGAGTGTCTCATTGGTGTTAGAGTGTCCGTGGAGTAAGCCGGAGATGGAACGCCTGATTCAATATCCACGTACTGGGTGTTGATGGCAAGTCTCTTTGATAGATCCATGATAGATGGTGCTTGATATTTCCTTTGCATCTCATCATTGTATTCCCTGACTTTAACTACAAACTCAAAAACACCTGTTTGGTCCTTGTACACTCTGAAGATGGAGTCTGGTAAGTTGACAATTGTTTCCACAAATACGTTAATTAATTCCTCAGATGTTTCTGGGTTAAGAGATGGTATTGATAATAGCGGACCTTGATCTTGAGATGTAAATCTATTAATGGTGTCAAAGATTGATTGGCATAACTCGTGCATCTCTGCCTTCAAGAACTTGTAGTTCCAACAAGACAAATCGATCAAGAATTTCTTGAGATTGATTAACTCAATTTTCATTCTTAATTCATTATATTCTTCATCGTCTTCAGTCATATCAATAGTTGACTTGGAGGCGCCAGAGTTATGTTTCATCTTCATCTCTCTACTATACTTCAATTGTGCTTCATAAAGTTCATATTGAATTAGGCAATTTTCGTCAACATTCAAGACATAGTCGTTGATGCTCATTTCATAGACATCCCAGTTCAATGTATCAAGAATGTGTCTTTCCATTTGCATAAACATTGATTCATCAAAAACTTCGGACCCGCCGCAGTAATGAACCAATTCCGATAATCTGGGTACTCTAGCTCTTGGGTTTGGACCATAAAATCTTCCACCGGTTGGAACAGTGACATTGTTAATTACATGGCTACAACCACCCCAAGTCTTTGCTGCTAACCACAAACAGGTACCAGCTACTAGATTAGCTTGATCTCTTAATATAACTCTTTTTGAACAGTAACGATCATATAGTCTAACAGAGTGGAAAAAGATACCATTGGTGACTCTGGTCAATACTGATAACTCAAACAAAAAGTTAACCATTGTAGAACGCGTCTCATTTGGGTTCATCTGAGGTTGCATGTCTATCATCTTTGTATCTGGTTTGAACTTAGCAGCTGTTCTTAAAACATTCTCTGAAATATCGTTATGGTATTCTTGTATTGTCTCATAATGTGTTAAAAGTTCAGCGTTTGACAGTTCAATTGGGTAATATGTTTGCTTAGCAGTCACTTTCAGTCCGCAGTTGCTGTTTGACATTCTTGATTATTGCTTTTTCTATTCTAATGTTTTCCTTCAACTGTATAAATGATTGTAATGGTAAGGATATGAGGTTGTCCTCTGTTTATTGAGCCAGCAATTTGTTGTCTGAGTTTACTAAACCTGTAATAAATGATTGAACTACCAATTAAATTTCTATGGTAAATAGTTTCACAACTGAGGATTCTTATAATCACAGATATATAAGTTTTCCTGAATAGCACACAACCAAGAAATAGGTCAGTGAATATAATTAAAATGAGTGAATGAATGAATTGAACAATAATTGATGATGTTTTTATTTGAAGTGCATAACAAGAATCAATTGAGGCATCAACTATAATACAATCATAAAAACCCAGATCATTAAATATAACCTCTATGGGCTGAGTTGGAAGAGATGAAAATCAATCGTGAAGATAAAAAAAACTTAGAAACGCAGGGTACGCGCTCACTAATAAAACCGTTTCCCACAAAAAGGCCCTTATTCACACAATCAGCAACTGGCAGATGCGAAATATGAAGATAGTACAACCCGAAGAATCTAAAAAATTGTAGAGTTCCTACGCCAATTCAATAAAGCTGCAAAAGACTCGAATTGCAAAGTTCGAAATAAGGCCTTCAAGAGAGAAAAATCGAAATTTAATACCTAATTGGATAGATGTCAACGCCAATTCTTAACGTAGGCATAGAATGCTTCTCACCTCCAACAATTAGCACACGGTAAGAAACGCTAATTCAATCAAAGCAGGAAGACATTTCTTTTTTCATTATTTCCTTATTTCATCTTTTCATACTTGTGCGAGCCTTGGCGTAGGGACACTTAGTTTATTGTGTAGACCTAAATCAGGAAAATCGTGAGCAATCTTTGGTACTACAAGTGTTTAATGGAAAACGATGCAAAATAACCGAGGAATAGAGAAAGAGACGTCAAAGATTGTCTAGTTGAACCTGTAGAAACTGCGTATGGGAAAGACAATGCTAGTTTGGATTTCCAACTGAACTGCTGTACCATTCAGAAAATTGAAGAAGAACACCAAACGTCAATCATATTATAATCTGCGAAAAATGGTGTTACGCACAGAAAGAAACGGTAAGAGCCACTAGCTCTAACTTGGTTCTTTGGAAGTGAACCCAAGTACGTTCCTTTACATACAAATCGCGTTAGTGAATCGAACTATCGAAGAAAGAGACGTACTGAGTTGGCAACGAAAAGCATTAACAAAGCCTGCCGTGTTAATGTGCAACGCGCTATGATTAGAACAATTATTGCGAAAACAGGAAGTATACTCGTAGAGACTTAATTTCTACAATGAAACCCAGAGAAAAGCGTGCTATTCTGCCTTGCTGACAAGTGGATGGCTGGTCAACTCACTTTTTTTTTGTGACGCGTCTTATCCCGAAAGGGCAAGTTGCCATAAAAGGCGAAAAAAAAAGAGAAAGTACGCGTCTCGTTGTGGAGCATGCAGCCATAAAATAGTCATAGCTCTCTGGAGAGCTGTGAGATCCTAAATTCTTATCAGGTATTGTGTTGTATCGGTCTCGAGATGCTGTATGCACTCGTGAGCTTACTGATCCCGTTACAGGCGCACTCGTATGGGAATCATATCATTATTTCTTTAGGGCATGTGATCTTGTAGTGTATGCAAAGACTGCCGAACAAAAAAGCGGTTGCCAACTCTTAAACCAGCTGATAAACAATATCTGAAGCAGTTTTAGAATTGGATAAGAATAAGATAAGGTAAGATAAGATATGATAAAATATGAGCCTTAATCACTTTTTCCTTAAGGCGCTGGGCTTTGGATTGTTGATCTCTTTGAATGTTTGGAATATTTGCAACGAAATTGAAATAGTACTGATATCCAGTAAGTGCATTATACAGGGAATGGTTGAGGAGAGTGTTTGGCTATATTTGTTCTCCAATTTGTCCCTGATATCTTCACGAAGTTCTATAAAATAGCCGATTACTTCCGATCCATCAATCTTTGATTTAAAGTTGAAAACGTTCGTTGATCCATCTTTAGTCCTAGTATACGTGTACGCATCGGTAATAGTAGACTCACTGATACATGTATCAAGTTTATCAACAAATGGAAACTCAGTGGCTGCTGGGTTACAGATGAAAATGCTAAAATCACATTGTTTTCTCAGTTGGATCTCAATATATGTTTCGAATTCTTCCCAAAGTTTTCGTTGTTCTAGTATGGATGCGCGTTCAATCAACCTATTGAACTGGTATACTCTACGGTTGTTGATATTGCGGATTGTAGCTTTAGTAATGTCGACATCAAATATGTTCTTGACCCTGTCCGAATTCAGAATAGCAAAGTTTCTTATTTTACCGCGGATTTCCTCTATCGCATACTGAAGCTTTTTTTTTGCTCTTTTCTCTTGTAAATATCTTTCGAATACTAGGCTATTGGTAGACTTCAAATGTTCGCATACTTTATTAACATGGTTGCAATCATTTTCAATTTCCCTGAATTGTAAACTTGCTTCTCTTAATTCCTGCTCAAGAGGTAGCATTGATTTATCAATTTGGGATATTGTTGATGTACGATCAGCAATGGTATCCCTTAAATTAGCAATTTCGCTGTCATTGGCACAGATAGTTGCTTTGTGAGATTCGAGCTTTGATCTATGTTCGTTCTCATCTTTGAGTGATGAATTTGCAGTGTTCTCTGTCTCTTGTAAATTTAATTTTTTTTCTCTCTTAAAAGTTTCAAACTGCTCTCTAAGTTCTTGTTTGTACTCTGAACATTTCTTATCGTTTTCCTTTTCAATAGCGTACCATTCAACTTGTAACTCTGCAAGTTCCGTCTTAATGGCTTTTATAATATCCACATTATCTTTAGTCTCCGGTTCGTTTTGTAGCTCGATCAACTGGACCTCCCAGCTGTGTCTACTCTCGGAGTTTTTCTGATCTAAGGAAGTGTTATGGTTCGTTACATCAATCGAGTGCTGCAGTTCTAAATTCTCAACCATACGTCGTTGATTCTCCCTTTCGGTGTTACACTGTGACTCCAGGGACTCCAGTTGCTCCTCTAAACACAATATCTGCTTATCCTCATTGTCTATGTTGTCCAGTAGCTGCCTGTAACTACCTGCCAGCTCCGGCAGTCGGCTTCGTATCTTCTCTGTCTCCTTATCGATCTCCTCTACGGCACTCTTGAGCCTGTTGATGTCCTGTAACACCTTCCGCTCCCGCCTCTTGATCTCCTCCATCAGCTTGTCATCACCATAGGCGAGCTTCCCACCGTCCACAGTCGCACTACGCCCACTGATAACAGGCGTATTTGTAACATCTCGCAGCATCTCACCTCCAGAAAGCCGTATCTTCTTGTTGGGCCGCCCAAACGTCGGTATGCGTGACTCCATCATTATTACTTTGCAGTCCACTGGTTCATCCAGCTTTAAATACTTTAATTCCAGTTATCTTACAAGTGCCACACTGGTTTCAAACCTTATACAAAACTGAACTGTCTCAAGCCTCAAGGAATCTACGATCCAATACTAAGCAATATGTATAGCCTTAGTTAACGTAGCGATGAGATTTGTTTTCAATTTGCTTCACTTCTGAAATACAAACAAACAAACGTTCATGGTGATTTCCGTGTTGGGGGATATTGGACTTGGAGGATAATAAAGGAAAGTGGAGCTGACTGTGAGGGAGTGATGGCTTATAAGAAGTATCAACGGGTTAAACGCTAGGTGGATGGTTTAACTAGTAGCCAAGAGGTAAGAACTGGATTTTTGTGCTGTGATGAGTTTGTTGGTTAGCTACGAGTCGGATTTCAAGGCCACGTTGGACCAAGGTAAGGCTGCGCTGGTGAAGGCCAGTGCGCAGAGTTTGCCGGAACGGAATGCTACGTTGAAGCAAATTGAGGAGCAGAAGGATGAGCTGTACGATCTGCTGGACCAGATGGCGTTGGAAGTGAACAACAGTGTCAGTGATATGCAGCAACGTGCAAATTACAAAGCCAAGATAAGAGACTGGAAAACTCAGGTGAATCAGGAATTGAAAGAGCCATTGCAGAAACTGCTGGACACTCGGGATAAGGATGAACTATTTGGTGCTGCTGCCAGGAGTGGTGCCAATGGAAACATAGACGTTGAAGGAATGAGCGAGGAGCAGAGACAGCAACTGTTGTCAAATCATGCCATCTTACAGAAGTCAGGGGATAAATTGAGGGATGCAAGCCGGTTAGCCAACGAGACAGAAGGAATAGGGTCACAGATAATGATGGACCTAAGATCACAGAGAGAAACTTTGGAAAATGCTAGAGATACTCTGTTTCAAGCTGACTCATATGTTGATAAAAGTATCAAGACCTTGAAAGTCATGAGTAGGCGATTAATTGCTAATAAAGCTATTAGTTATGCGATCATAGCAGTATTGATTTTATTGATTATTCTGGTAATATTCTCTAAATTCAGGTAGATATATGTACTTGTAAACCATTTTATACATTAAAAAGTAAGGTTATGTTCAAACTGCTCAGTTCACACTAACAGTCCTACAATGCTTTATTACAACACACCTACGTTAAATTTTGATTGCAACATTTCAATGAATTTAACTGCTCTTGAAACATTGTCTATATAGATGACTTATTCATCATATAAGAAAAATTAATGTGTAAAAAGTTTCTATTATTGCTTTTATTATTTTCTAGAGAAAAGTAATTCTAAATTTACTATATTAATGGCATACTAATTCATCTTCTTCATCTGAACAAGGAGCACTAGCGTCTTTAGGTAAAATGGTTAACTTTTTCATTTTTTCCTTCAATTTATTCATGATAGTGCTTTCATATTTGTGAGCATTTTCTGGAACATCATCTTTGTCGTCCGTAACTTCTTTCTTGACCGAGGATTCAAGAGCCTGTTGAGCTTCAATTTCTTCATCTTTGATCTTATCCAGGATCTCTTCGTTCATTATTTCAGCTGCTTTTACGCTACTGACGCTGCTACGAGGCGTTAATCCAGTACTGGTGCCACCAATTCTATGCAAGTGTTTCTCTTCCTCAGTCAGATCAAGAACAGTACCAGTGAAGTTCACTAGTGACTTCGCACTCTTCCTTCTAGCCATTCTCTTTAGCTTATGAACGGTTTCTTCAGTCTCAGTGGATGAAATTGATGCAGTTGTAGATACTGAGGACCTTGGAGTACGTGGCAATCTCACACAAGAAGCACCAACATCACTGATCCATTTAGCAACTAAAGCTGTCCAACCACATTGATGAGATGCACCTAACCCTCTACCGGTGTCACCATCAAAGTATTCGAAAAATTGCAAATAATCTTTAAAGTGTTCATCCTTAGACAAAAATTCGGAGTATTCCCCATAGTTGATTGCACGCTCACCATTTTCGTCTGGGACGAATAGATGAATCATACGGTAACCCAGTTCCTCGGCGACTTCTGCCAAATTCAGATAATCACCCGAACCTACAGGGCATTCGACCTTCAATCCAGAGCCGTAATACAAATAGAATCTCTGTAGTGACTCAATTATCAAGAAACTAGTAGAGAACCAGATAGGGCCTCTCCAGTTAGAGTTACCACCAAACATACCTGAGTCGGATTCACCTGGAAGATAGCTGACGCAGTATTTATTACCATTGACCTCCATTTCAAATGGATGCTTCTCATGATACTTGGAAAGAGATCTGATACCGTATGCTGATAAGAATTCACTTTCATCCAACATTCTTGTTAGAATGGCTTCTAGACGTTCTTTGGTGACCAAGGACAGTAGTAATCTTTCACCTACACCTCTCTTTGACATAGATGCAACATTTCTGTCGAAGATTTCAGGTCTATTCTCCACAAACCAATCAACTCTTCTCTTGAATGATGGGAACTGTTTTAACAGATTTGGTTCTAGAGTCATTGTTGCATAAAGTGGAATTAATCCAACTAATGACCGAATAGGTAGTTGTTCTTTATGGTTTCCCCAAGAGATTGCATCATAGTAAAATTTATCTTGCTCATTCCATAGGTTTTGACTAACTTGTTCGACACCGTTATGAACATCACAAGCATAATCAAATGACATGGAATCACTGATCAAAATGAAGTGTTCAAAGAACTTGGAAGCAATATCTTCATAAACCGGATTGGATTTTGCCAATTCTAAAGCTATATTCAGCATTTGTAAAGAATAGAACGCCATCCAACCTGTTGAATCAGCTTGTTCTAGTGTACCACCGGTTGGTAGGGGCTCTGATCTGTTAAACACACCAATATTATCTAATCCTAAGAAACCACCTTCAAAGACATTTTTACCGTCAACATCCTTTCTATTAACCCACCAAGTGAAATTCAACAATAGTTTTTGGAATACACGCTCCAAAAACACCCTATCTTCCCTATTATAAACATTTCTCTCGATCTTGAAAACACGGTAAACAGCCCATGCATGAACAGGTGGGTTAACATCGTTGAAGTTCCACTCGTACGCTGGAATTTGACCATTTGGATGCATATACCATTCTCTTGTTAACAAGTCCAACTGTTTCTTTGCAAAATCAGGATCAATCATGGCCAGGGGAATACAGTGGAAAGCAGTATCCCATGACGCAAAGAAGGGATACTCCCATTTATCAGGCATAGACAGAATGTCTTCGATATACATATGCTTCCAGTTTTTGTTTCTACCATTGGCTCTATCTGGAGGTGGGCGTGGCTTAATGTTTTTGTCACCATTATACCAAGCATCCCATGTCAAATTATAGAATTGCTTCGTCCACAATAGACCAGCAAACGCCTGTCTCTGGATCTTTCTCAATTCATCGCTAACTGGAGCTGGATTGATTCTCCAATAAAAGTTCTCTGCTTCTTCTTCTCTTTCATCAAATACATTGTCAAATTGATCTTCATCCACAACTGAAATACCCTCAGTTTCAAAGATTTTATTCTCTGGTTTATCAGTAAAAGTATATCTAACAGTTACATATTCACCGGCAGGTATATTTTTAAAATGGTAAACAGCGCAAGCCTTTGTACCTTCATTAGCTGGATTAACACTGTCCTTCTTGCCATTTACAATGTATTCTTCAAAGGCATCCTTGGTGTATTTTGATGGATTTTCCTTTTCATTGAAAAGTTTGACTAGATTCGACTCATTATCAGTAAACAATAACACTGGGTCAATATCGTCAATATCTTCAGAATCATCTTCACCAAACCCACCAGGCGATGGCTGAAAGACAACTTGGCGAGAACCATACTTTTTGTGATTTACATGTAGTAAATTTTCGGATTTTTCATCCTTGTACAAGTTTGGTTTTTCGCTCTTGGCATCCCATGCCCAAGTATTTCTGAAAAAGACTTGTGGAGCAATATATAACTCACCTGAATCTGTCTTACTACGATTATGGACAGTGATTCTGAAGTTCAATTCATTTTCATTGTCCGCATCTTTGGCCATCTCAAAGAAGACATCATAGTATGGGCTATCCCCAGTTTCTTTATCTTGGAAAAGGCCATCGATTTCGTAGATCTCAAACTCTTTATCCTTGTAACCTCTTTCAGCATTCTTTTCTACAAGTTCTTTGTATGGAAATTCTTTCTTGAAAGGATATTTGTATAAGGCCTTCATGTAAGAATGAGAAGGAGTGTTATCTAAGTAGTAATACAATTCCTTACAATCTTCACCATGATTACCTTGGGGTCCAGTTAGACCGAACAGTCTTTCCTTTAATCTCTCATCTTTACCATTCCAAAGCGCAAGATTCATACAAACGAGTTGTTTGTTGTCACTAACACCAAATAAACCATCCTCACCCCATCTAAAGACACGGGCATTGGCATGTTCAAATGGGAAGTTCGACCAAGCATCACCATTGAAAGAATAGTCTTCACGCACTGTGGCCCAAGCTCTTTCACTTAGATATGGACCCCATCTATACCAGTATTTCTCACGGTTCTTATTCTCATGAAGTCTTTTCTCCTCCATTGTGGAGTCGACAAATTCATCTCTCAAGCGGTTCATCTTTCAATGAATTCCTATTCTATTTCTTGCGGTTGAGATATTATTACTGTTGCCTTGTTGAGTAGACTTGTATTTTGATATTACCAAAAATTTAAATTAATAAGGATTCTTATATATTAAGAAAAGATAAAGCAGTTCAAATCGAAAAAGGGAGAAGATAACAATGAAGTGTGGACATCATGAAATCTTAGATGAGAGATAATATGTTTTTTGCCATCGTAAATTATAGATGAACTTACACTAGCCTTCCCCCCCTTCTCTCGAGAATCGTACGCAAATTGCTAATCAAACTCAGACTTGCATAAATGGTTAGTGTTGAGGTAGCCTGCATGGTTTTACTGTAAATAAACATAATTGTAAAGGTTTCCATAACCTAAGCCCAATTCTCAATTGAGACTCTTTTACCGTCTTTTGGCCCTTTTGTCTGTTGATGCTGCTGGTCTTGAGCTTAACAATTTTTTTTTTTGGTTCTGGCAGTGATTCACTTGTAGCTTTGAATTGGAAGTTTCACTTATTTTTTTTTTTTTTTTCAACATCCCTTTTTCTTGTGATTAAGCACATTTTGAATGTTCTTTTCCCTTAGTCTTAAAATCCCTTCTACCCCCTTTGAAAAGCTGCTGTCCCATCTCTCCGCCCTCCTCTTTCTTCATACTCCCGCATTTATTTCTTTCTTGAAAGCTTGAATTGTGAGAGGGAGGAAAACCAAAAAGAACTTGTCCACCACCCCCCTCCTTTCCTCTCCCTTCACTCCCTCAGTGACTTTCTATGTTAATCTGACTCAGCTTTTCTTCGTGAACGATCTCTACCAACGTTTGTCCTTTTCCCCGACAGTTTTCAGTAATGCATCGCTTCCTTCACAAAATCATTTACGTGTAGTACGGAAAGACAACAGAGCTCGCAAAAGACGTCTTTGCACATACAAATTCATGGCATCCGGTAAAACATTGCAGCTTTAATAACATTAGATTTGAAATGTTGGTTCTTGCTGTTTCCTTATCATGTGTTATAATGTGCATATTACATGGATCAAATAAACAAGTTTCATGGATCGAACAATAGTTTCATGGATCAAATAATAAGCACGTTTTGGTCATCCATACTTTTTCTCTAATCAAGTTAATAAAAGCAAACACTGCACTCTTAATGAAAATGCTGCCCATCTTGTTAAAAAAAATAACGAGATACTCACTTTTAAGTGCGTAGTGTAACACAATACACCGTAACTAATATTGACACAAGATGACACCCGTAGACCAAAGAGTAGTTCCAATGGGACTTTTTTCCCGTTCCACCCGCTATTTATACTTTTTTTTTTGCCCCTGACCTTGGCTACTTGGCGGCTATCTTGACCGCCACCCTCCCTCCCCCCCTAATTTTAGCCGCCCACTACAATTTCCTTTTTGAGAAAAACGTGAGATCTGGAGATCTGACTGACACAAAACAACAAAACAGTGGAAGGGAAAAGCCAAGAGAGAGAGAGAAAAAAGAAAGAAAAAGAAAACCATTTCTCGGCGGCTATATATACCTTTTGACGTGTATGCACATGGTTTCTAGTTTCACACGAAAAAGTGAAAAATTTTTGGGCGAAAGAAAAATTTCTTGCGATGAGCATCAAATGGAGGGAAGAGCCTGGGTAATAGAGAGGTTGGCTAGCAAAGTCATTGCTTTTGGGGTGGTTGTTGGTGTATTTTTGATATATATCTATTGTGTATTCTGGAATTCTCGAAGAGATAAGGAAAGAGGAAAAAAAAAAATAAGAGCCAAACATACCCTACATTATAAGCCATGTCCTCTCCAGTGATTGGTATTTCCTTCGGTAACACTTCTTCTTCTATTGCGTACATCAACCCAAAGAACGATGTTGATGTGATTGCTAACCCAGATGGTGAGCGTGCTATTCCATCTGTGTTGTCCTACGTTGGTGAGGATGAGTACCACGGTGGTCAAGCTTTGCAGCAATTGGTTAGAAACCCAAAGAACACTATAATCAACTTCCGTGACTTCATCGGTTTGCCATTCTCTCAATGTGATGCTTCCAGATGTGCTGCTGGTGCCCCAGTGGTTGAGATTGATGGTAAGGCTGGTTTCGTTGTTTCCAGAGGTGATGTTGAGGAGAAGCTGACTGTTGACGAAGTTGTCTCCAGACACTTGAACAGACTTAAGTTGGCTGCTGAAGATTACATTGGTTCCTCCGTTAAGCAAGCTGTGCTTACTGTCTCCAGTGACTTCACTGACGAGCAAAAAGCTGCCTTGAAGGCCTCTGCTGCTCAAGTTGGTCTGGAGATCGTCCAATTCATCAACGAGCCATCCGCTGCTCTTTTAGCCCATGTCGAGAAGTACCCATTCAAGGAAGACGTCAACGTTGTCGTTGCTGACTTCGGTGGTGTGAGATCAGACGCTGCCGTTATTGCCATCCGTAACGGTATCTTCACAATCTTGGCTACTGCCCACGACCAACACCTAGGTGGTGACAACCTTGACGCCGAGTTGATCGAGTACTTCGCCAAGGACTTCGAAAAGACCAACAAGTGTAACCCAACCAAGAACGCCAGATCTTTGGCCAAGCTAAGAGCTAACGCCATGGTTACTAAGAAGACCTTGTCTAACGCTACCACCGCTACCATCTCCATTGACTCTTTGGCTGATGGTTTCGACTATCACACCTCCATTAACAGAATGAGATACGAACTTGTCGCCAACAAGGTCTTCTCCCAGTTCACATCCTTCATCGAAAACGTCATCGCCAAGGCTGAACTAGATCCTCTAGATATCCAAGCCGTCCTATTGTCTGGTGGTGTTTCCTTCACTCCAAAGTTGACCACCAACTTGGAGTTCATCTTCCCAGAATCCGTTGAAATTCTAGGTCCACAAAACGAGAACGCTTCTAACAATCCAAACGAATTGGCCTCTTCTGGTGCCGCCCTACAAGCCGGTCTAGTTTCTAACTACGACAATGAAGAACTAGCTGAAGCTCTACAACCTATCGTTGTTAACACTCCACACTTGCCAAAGGCTATTGGTCTAATTGGTGCCCACGGTGAATTCCACCCAGTCCTACTTCCAGAAACCTCATACCCAGTCCAAAAGAAGATTACTTTGAAGAATGCTAAGGGTGACCTATTGGTAGGTGTCTACGAAGGTGAACATCACATTCAAGAAAAGACTGTCGAACCTGAAGCCAAGGAAGAAGATGAAGAAGACAGTGAAGAATGGTCAGATGATGAGCCAGAAGTTATCAGAGAAAAGCTTTACACTTTGAGCACAAAGCTGATGGAGCTAGGTTTGAAAGACGTCAAGAATGGTGCTGAAATCACCTTCAATGTCAACAAGGATGGTGTATTGAGAGTAAGTGCCAGAGACCTAAAGAGCACTACTGTCGTGAAGGGTGAATTGTAATTTGAATACTTTCTTGTTAAAATTCACTTCACAAAACAATTATAAAGAATATTATTAGAATCATCATAACAACAAATAAAAGGGTTAAAATAATACTTTGGCATTTTATACATCAATATTTTCCTGGTAATTAATACGGGTAGATACACCTTAAATTACAAACATTACAATAAATATAGTAACTTACTTTTCATAATTTTTTCTTATTGTCCGTTTCTTAATTTTCTTACTTTTAAATAGTATCTATTTAGTTGGTATTGTAATGTGTTTACTGAATGTACAATGCTATGCCCATTGGTGCACTAATTTGAACGACTTGACAGTATTGAGCACAGAATAACATTGCGGTGGAATTTGCGTTCTTCACAGTTATGACTTATAAGTCATCATTTCTAACTGTGTGACCGGAAGCCCGAAAAAAAAATATGTAACGAACCCAACAAAAAGTGTTAGTCAGAGAGAGTATTCTTTATTAAAGTTTTCATTTTCTCGAGTGAGATATTTGTTTAAGATATTCTATGCCGATGGATAAACTCTAATTGTACAACTAGACAATCCAGACATTCTAGAAAGAAATCGAGATGACCGCTGCTGTAAGACCCGTTGTTCATATTGTCGGACTTGGTGCTGTTGGTACCGTTTTAGCTGTTGATCTTCTGAGATTCACGAACGTTTCTTTGGTACCTCTTTTCAGATCTCAAGCCAAGCTTGATTATTTTAGAAATGATTGCAAGAGCACTTTTGGAATCCGTAAGTTATATGAGGAAAACACCCCGGTGTACAAGTATAAGATCGAGAATAGTGAATGTCCTACTACGTTCCCAGGTGGTAAGATATCTAACTTGATAGTCACTACCAAGACATACCAAACAAAGGAGGCCATCTCGCCATATTTGCCATATATTGACTCCAACACCAATATTATCTTAATTCAAAATGGTCTCGGTGTGTTGGAAGTGTTGAGAGATGATATTTTCAAGAACAGTAGCCAGAGACCACATCTATTCCAAGGTGTTATCTCGCATGGTATATTTCAGGATGAGGGTTTCATTTACAACCATGCTGGCTGGGTTGGTATGAAGATTGCAAGATTGCCATGGACCGATAATGAGATGATCCAAACCTCGCAGTCTGTTCAAAATGATGAACAGAACGAACTGATTGGTCTTTTAACTCAGAAAATACTAGCTAAGGAGTTTGGGATTGAACACATGTCCTACCAAGAACTTCTTCTAGGGCAATTGCACAAGTTCTTAGTTAACGCATGTATGAACCCTGTCACAGCCATTGTCGACTGTGTTAATGGAGAAATGATAGATGATTGCCCACCAGTATTTAAGTCTATTGTTGATGAATGTCTGGATGTACTAAGAGTCGCATATAAACCATTATTTGACTATGAAGAGACTTACAAAGGTAAAACTGAGTATCCAAGTCTGTCTGTAAATGATACATTGGAACCAAAACAATTAGTAAAGGATATAATAAGGGTTGGTTGTGATTTAAACGCAAAGAACAGTACTTCTATGAGACAAGACACTCTCTATTTGAGAGAAACAGAGATCAATTATATTAACGGTTACATTGTGCAATTGGCACAGACACACAACTTGGGACCTAATGCTTGTAAAGTGAACAAGACTATCACTGAACTGGTGAATCTGAGATCAGGTCTAAATAAGACAAGAGCAGAAAAAGGTGACTGGAGAAAATAGATGAATTCATTCGTTATTTTTTTTTGGTAGAATTATTTTGATAGACACTAACGATAAACGCATAGAGAAACTCAAAAGTATCATATAACAAACATTAAAGACAGAACAGTTTTTTATATAAACATAATTATTTATCAGCATACTGATGAAAGTTCTAACAGTACGGACAAATTGGTAAAGCTACCTCTCTCTTTAAGGCACCATCAATACTATTAGCCTGAAAATATGTGATCACATATAACGATACAGTATACAGATCACTTGTTTTCTTCTGCAGAAAATTTTTGCGATGAGCATCGCAAAGAGAGTTTCACTCTTATAGTGAGTGAATGTGATGAGCATATTAAAAGCTCAGGTTTGTTAACTAATTTATCATTGTTTCTTGTACTACTCTCAGTGGAAATAATCAGAGCTATAGTAGGATGATTAGAACAGTTAAACCTAAGAACGCCAGAGCCAAGAGGGCTTTGGAGAAGAGAGAGTCGAAGTTAGTTGAGAATACAAAGCAGGCCCTGTTTGTCCCTGGTCAGACCTCTAACAAGCTGTTGCACGATGTCATGGTTGATCTTAGTGCATTGAAGAAGCCAGATATTAAAAGGTTCAACAAGAAGAATGATATACATCCTTTTGAAGATCCTGAGCCATTGGAATTTTTCAGTGAAAAGAACGATGCCTCTTTACTTGTGCTATCAACAAGTTCTAAGAAGCGTAAGAATAACTTAACATTTGTCCGTACTTTTGGTTATAAGATATACGACATGATTGAGCTGTTGATCGCTGAAAATTACAAACTTTTGAACGATTTCAGAAAGAGAACCTTTACCGTTGGTCTAAAGCCAATGTTCAGTTTCCAAGGTTCTGCGTTTGAGACTCATCCTGTCTACAAACAAATTAAGTCTTTGTTCCTAGACTTCTTCAGAGGCCAGACTACTGATCTCCAGGATGTTGCTGGTTTGCAACATGTCATCTCTATAAGTATCCAAGGTGATTTTCAAGAAGGTGAGCCATTGCCCAACGTGCTATTCAGAGTTTACAAATTGAGAACGTACAAGAGTGAACAAGGTGGTAAGACTCTACCCCGTGTCGAGTTGGATGAGGTTGGACCACGTCTAGATTTTAAGATTGGTAGGGTACGCACTCCATCTCCAGAGATGGAGAAAGAAGCTCACAAGCGTGCTAAGCAACTCGATGTTAAGACTAAGAAGAATGTTGAAATTGACACAATGGGTGACAAGCTGGGTAGAATCCACATGGGTAAGCAAGACTTGAACAAATTGCAAACCAGAAAAATGAAGGGTCTAAAGTCCAAGTTTGACCAAGTAGATGACGATGAAGAAGATTACTTGAATGACAGTGAAGAGGACTTGCAAGGTAGCATGTCCGAACATGAAGATACTTTCGGCGAGGACTTTGTCACTGCTGATGAGATTGACGAGAATCAACCAGCTAGTAAAAAACAAAGAAGAGCATAAGTGTATTCTCAATACACACTTACAAACAAGAGCATTATATTCCCCTCCATTTTATTTTGTTTACTTAAATTTTACTTCATATTTAGAGACTTTCTACCTATATATTTTCCCTCTGTACCATATATCATTACAACAAGATCATATTAACAACTAATCGTAATGTGGACTGCTGATTTTATAAAAATTTAGGTAAGTCGGCAAAGATTGTATAGGCTATCTACCATTTTAAAAGGCTTATCTCTATTGCTATAGACGTCTATCAAAAAACTATCATTTATATGTATAGTGTTATACGATGCATTCTTTCGGCATGTGAAGACGTCATAACAGTCAGAGCTGCCCGTTTAAAGATCAATTAGACTGAGCATCATAATATTGCTCAGGAGGTTTGGATTGAATAGCATCAGCTATTTCTATTGCAATAGGGTAGGCGCCACAGACTATTTAAATTGGAAGCTGTTAGAAGACCAATAATTGCCTTTCTCGTTTACTGTTCAGTTTTGCAGGGATTTGAGTTTCTTTGGATTGAAGGATAAGTTAGAGACAAGCAGAATAGCAATCTAATTTTGAATTGAGACAGTATTGTGGCTACTATTTGGTGTGAGCAATTGATATTCAGCAAATATCTATAGTAGTCTAAAAAGCTAAACTGATTGTAACTACATTTGAATTGCTCTCCGGTATTTATAAGGTAGGGAAGACGTAATTACACAGTCCTTTGTATCAGACGAGTAGGTGGGACACAATGGTGGTAAGAACTGGATCTAAGCATATGTATGAGAAGGAACGGTCTAGCTCCAACCATGAGAGCTCATCTTCTTTGGTTACGAGTCTGATGAAGTCTTGGAAAATTTCTTCTTCACCATCGTCATCTAAACGAACTTCAAGTTTACCATCGTCACCATCGACACCGGTATTAAGTAGTTCCCCAACTACAAACACAGCAGCTAGTGCTAAGGCCTATGGTTCTAGGACTTCCAGTGATTCACTATCAAATATGGGGTTTTATAAAGTGGCTGACGGTAATATTGAGGCTTATTCAAAGAAACAAATATCTTCGAGACGTACTTCTTCATCATATTCTCCTCTAAGATATGTCAATCCGCTATCAATGAGTTCTTCATCAGTTTTAGAGAGTCCTAGGGCAAATAGTGGGCTTGGTCTTCATAAGTATAATTCACACGGTAACGGAGGCTCCACCTCAAGAAGAGCCTCTGGTCATGATGTTAAGAAGCCAGCTAAGTATTTTAGAGATCTGGATGAAGATTGGAGTGCTGTAATTGATGACTATAATTCACCAATACCTACCATGGTTAATGGTGGGTACGGAGCGAAAATATCAAGAAAAGCATCTGAAAGTAATACTCTCTCAAGGGTTTCCACTTCTTCTTCAGTTGCGACAAATACAACTACAAAGGTTGGATCAAATTCTTTGTCATACCCACAACTACCACAATTGAAAAGATCAGAGACAGATCATTTGCGAACTCAAAAGGAGCTTGAGGATACAAAGGAAGTGCAACACCTAAATGCCATTATTAAAAGAATTGCAAAATTTGATTCTATACTAAAAGATAAAAGTATTATAAATCTTCAAGAATTAAGGCAAGTTAGCTGGAACGGTATACCAAAGTGCCATAGGCCTGTTGTATGGAAATTATTAATTGGATATTTGCCGGCGAATATCAAGAGACAGGAAAATTTACTTAATAATAAGCGAAAAGAATACAAGGATAGTTTGGCACATACATTTTCTGATAAACATGCTAGGGACGAACCAACATGGCATCAGATTGAAATAGATATACCGAGAACAAACCCTCATATTCCATTGTATCAATTTAAAACTGTACAGCAAAGTTTACAGCGAATTCTATATCTTTGGGCTATTAGGCATCCTGCAAGTGGATATGTCCAAGGTATCAATGACTTGGCGACACCTTTTTACCAGACATTCCTTACAGAGTATTTGAGCCCTTCAAAGATAGAAGATGTGGAATCTACGGATCCACTCGATTATATGACACCAGAACAGATAGAAGATGTGGAAGCAGATACATTTTGGTGCTTAACTAAGCTACTAGAACAAATAACAGATAACTATATTCAAGGTCAACCGGGTATTTTGAATCAGGTGAAGAACCTGAGCCAATTAGTGAAGAGGATTGATGGTGATCTGTATAGTCACTTTCAAGATGAACACGTTGAATTTATTCAATTCTCATTTAGATGGATGAATTGTTTACTAATGAGAGAATTTCAAATGAGTGCTGTAATTCGTATGTGGGATACTTATCTAGCAGAAACTTCATCCGAATCATCAGCAACCTATTCACATAAGGCTGAATATGGTCCTCCAAGAACGCCTACGGAGCCCAGAGTTTCAACATTCACAACGCCTGTAAAGGAGTTTAATTCACCGTCAGCATCGATGAAAAGCGCTGAATCAACTAAGCTTTCGCAGTCATCTCTGAATGAATTTCATGTTTTCGTTTGTGCAGCATTCTTAGTAAAGTGGAGTGACCAGTTACTTGCAATGGATTTTCAAGAAATAATCACATTCTTACAGAATCCACCTACCAAGGATTGGGATGAAAATGAAATAGAGATGCTTTTGAGTGAGGCATATATTTGGCAATCATTGTACAAAGATGCTACCTCTCATTGGCTCTAGCATGAACTACGTTGCTATAGTTTTCAGATTATTTTTAAATAAGACTTATGTATATCAACATTACAGACTACCATAATGTTTTCATAATAAGATATGCCACATTTTAATAATGAGAATACCTTAGTATTAAGTTTGTCTATAGAAGGTTAGTGGTTACTTATGAAGCATCGTATATTTGCAGTACGTTCTATTTACAAATTTTCATGATACATCGTTTCCCATAACTCGATGGATTCCTTTTGAGATTCGATCGCGGATTCAAGTGTTATTTCCATACAATTTCTAAATTCTTCCATTTTAGAACGATCAAAACTTGAAACTTCTTTTTTGATTTTCTCCCCAATATCATGCCATGCCTTCTTGACGGTTATTGCTCTTCTCTCGATATTCTTTACGCTATCTCTTGCAGCCAGAAATCTTTCTTTGTTTGCAGGTTGTTTATTGTTATGACACATTTTCTCCACATCTTGTTTTTTCTTTTGGAAATCATTTTCAACAATTACTAGATAGTATCCCAGCTTAGCTCTCTGGTAGAATATCGATCTAAGACTTGCTAATGATCTTACATACTCATCAAGTGTAGCGCCCATCGTAATTGCTTCTTGTAAAGCGTCTCTTTCGAGAGATTCCTTTACTCTTTTCTGTGTTTCAGCTAACTCATAGCATAGCTTGGTGCTACCTTTAGTTACATCTAAAGCACCCAAGCTTTCGATTAAGCTTGCTAGATCATATGTATAGCTGGAAAGTTCTCTGCGTTGCTCCTCTATCGATTCTACAGCTTTCAGCATCTTTTTCAGTTGATTCTCTAGATCTGTGATTCGGTCTAGTTCGTCAACGAAAAACTTGTCTGGTTCATTATATTTGGGAATGGATGAGAAAGAGATATTCATGAAACCTTTCTTGTATTCGCTATCAAGCCCACCATTCTTTATCACAAACGCGCCTTCCTCTGGTCCCAGCAACTGGATTTCACTGATGTGTACCTCAGATATATCGTTGTTGTCGTTGTTGGCATTTGATCCAGTTTCATAGGATACACGCTTAGAATCCTCTGCAAAATTATCAGAAGTTAAGAACATATGGAAGTGCTCATCCCGCTGTAGATCGGAATCATTTGCTATACGTCGTAGCATGGTTTGTAACTGTAGTCTCCTTGTTTCCACAAACTCCGGTTGAAAAGTGCCCACGGTTTGCTTTTCCGGTGGAGGCGGTATCACTTTCCCCCAGTGGTTATTTTGTAGTTGTCTGTACAGCCACCTGAAGTCCCTATATCTTCTGCTTACTTGATTCTGGTTAGGGCTTAAAAGCTCAGACTCGGCATTGACTGTGTATTTGATATGGCTAGATGTCAATTCTCCAACTTTTATAGGGTCTGTAACTTCAATCTGGAAATGACTTATGACTGGTTCATCCTCGATGTCCTGTTGGCTTGCCTCCTCAGTTTTATTATGCACGCTTTCCGTTGGTGTTATATCGGTATTGGTGTCCATTGCCTTTTTCTTGGGAGATATGTGATATAGTGGACTTTCGACTTGTTCAAATATACTTCTGTTAGCATGCTGTGAATTTGTAACTCTATCGTCGAGTGGTTCATCAACAAATTCTCTATCTTTTTCAGCCTGTCCCAATGGGTCTATTACTGAATGTGAGCTCTCCGATTTCGCACTATTCCCGTCACTGTTCAAGGGTACTTTAATATTTCTTCTGATTCTCGAAGAGTCAAACAGTTTCCTAGGGGTACTGTGACCCTTTGCCGCTGTATAGCTCGACGCGCTGAGATCATCCTCATTTATTGATATCAAAGGCGCAGTTTGGCTCTCAAAAAGCGCCCCTGGTGTTGTTCCACGCTTGCTGGGCGACTCATTGAGTAAACCAGACAACGGATCCTCCATTGGGGCCAAATCGTTGAGCAACTCCTTCTTCGTTTCATTGTTATCACCCCAGCCACCGCTCGTAGAGTCCACCTGAACTTCCTCTTCACCATCCGAGTCTTCACTTTGTTCCTCAATTTCTTCCTCAGACAGAGCTGTTTCTTCAACTGTGTCAGCCTCTGCCAGAGGATTCAGATCATCCCAAACTGGGGCACTCAAATCGTCCTCGTAATCCATTCTTGCAAAGCGTTGGTAACCACAGCAGCTTCCTCTATTCTCGAATCCTTTCGCTTCTGAAACGCTCTGCAACTTATTCGAAAAACCCAGTGTATCTCTGTTTCAGGTTTTTGGTCAACTATCGTTAGCTCAATTGGTGATGGGTCAGAATTAAAGCTGAACATCCTGGTCCATGTTAGTCTTGGTCTTCTCATTTTAGGAATTTAAAGGGAATGATTCCCTCCCAACTTGGCAAAAGTCACTGATCACGCAGTCCATCATCCCAAGCTCGAAAGGTCATAAAGGTCTTTGAAACTTCGAAAGTAGTAATTACATAGCAATTGAGTCTGCCACCGTTAGAAGGCGATAGCAGTATTAAATTCTTCTTCCCTGCTGGTATCTAGACGACTTATTCATAAGTGCTTTATCAGGAAGTTTGGTCGATATCGTGAACTAGCGAGGTACTTTGGTTTATAAGGAAGTATAATTGGAAACGTCACATTTTGGGTTTATTCTCAGGAGTGAAGAATATTAATTGGTCTTTTGATTTTTTGAATACAGAGCTACCAAATATGGCTGAAGTGAAGGAAGAGCAGCCCAAGAGGTTCTCGCTTTGGAACTTCTGGATCAGTTCGTTGCTGCTTAAGTTGCTACTGATACCGGACTACTACAGCACCGATTTTGATGTACATAGGAACTGGCTGGCGATCACTAATAAGCTGCCGCTAAGGCAGTGGTATTACGAGCACACAAGCCAATGGACACTGGATTACCCGCCGTTCTTTGCATACTTTGAATGGTTCCTGTCGCAGTTCGTTCCCAGCTATGTCAAGAGTGATGGGTGCCTCGATATAGTTGAAGTTGGTCAGTTTGGTATGCCTACAGTAGTGTTTCAGAGACTGACAGTCATTGCGAGTGAGATCCTTTTATTTGTTGTGTTGCAAGTGTATATCAACACCAGCAAAGTCAGTGAGAGGACCCAAAGTTTTGTTGTGGCATCGAGTATTGCCATTTCCCCGGGGTTCCTGATTATTGACCACATTCATTTCCAGTATAATGGGTTCTTGTTTGCCATATTGATTGCTTCTATTGTTGCGGCCAAAAACAAGAAGTACTTGTGGTGTGGGTTCTTTTACTCTGTTGCCCTGTGTTTCAAGCATATTTACCTGTACTTGGCGCCATGTTACTTCGTATTCTTGTTGCGAGCTTATGTTTTGAACTTGAAGGACTTCAAATTCAAGTCTTACAGGGACTTGATATTTATTGTGAAGTGGAGGCATCTGGTTAAGCTGGGCAGTGTAGTGATCGCTACCTTTGCTGTTGCATTTGGACCATTCATCTTTGACCTGCCACAATTGCTAACGAGATTGTTCCCCTTTTCTAGGGGACTGACTCATGCCTATTGGGCTCCTAACTTCTGGGCTATTTACTCCACCATTGATAAGATATTGACGATGGTTTTCTTGAAAATGCCATACACCTACAAATTAGCATCGCAATTTATCTCGCCTCCACTAATTCCTGCTTCTCTGAATGAGATTAAAGCAAAGATGGCTGCTAACAACAATGGTTCTAAAGGCCTTGTAGAAGATGTTTATTTCGTGATATTACCACAGATTGTACCAAAACTGACGTTCTTGTTAACTCTCTTATACCAAGTGTTAGCGGTGGTGCCAGTTTTATTTGATCCATCTTTCAAGAGGTTTATGGGGTCTATGACATTATGTGGTCTAGCATCATTCCTATTTGGGTGGCATGTTCATGAGAAGGCTATTATGCTAGTCATTATTCCATTCTCCTTCTTAGTGATAAGTGACAGACGGTTGTTGTCTTCCTTTATGTTGCTGACTTCCGCTGGTTATGTTTCGCTGTTCCCATTGTTATATGAGTCCCAGGATTTCCTAATCAAGACTTTCTACACCTATGTGTGGTGTGTAATTTACTTCTTTGCTTTCAGAAAGACCACTAGACTGTCCACCAGTGTGGAGAGAAGGGTGTTTTTCCTTGACCGTCTAACATTGGTATACATGTTCTTATTGATACCGATGGTATTCTTAATACAAATCAGGGATATTCTTGGTTGGAAGTACTTGGTTTTGCAAAGGTTTGAATTTTTGAGCTTGATGGTCTACAGTTTCTATTGCTCTGTTGGTATCATAAGTGCCTGGTTTGGTCTATCATGGTTATATAACTTTGATGAGCCACTGTGGGTAAGCAATGAATAAGTCACAATTCATAGATATGTACAAGTAATATAACGTTCTAATTCTGTATCAACATTTTTGCTTATTGATTGTGTTATTTGTTATTTGAGAAGTTACTGAAGTGAAGTTGTTATAGGTAACGATTGGAAAGAAATTTACTTGGCTATATATTGTAAGATTAAAAACGATTGTTTTGCTAATTATATATTTAGTGTCTTAGTGATCATTAATTAACTTTTGCAATGCGAGTCTGGCGTCATCTTGCTTAGGTATGACTGAAGTCTGTTTGGCTGTATCGATGGCGACTACGTGGTCTATCTGGCCAAAGGCAAAATTAGCCGCTAGGTATTTTGTACTCAAGGATCCTTCCATTGTGTGTTGGATTAAAGGCGTGCATTCTATAGTATTTGATATGGTCTCGGTCAGATTTTTTGGTGTTGCTGGTTCATTTGATATGGTTAGGTTTCTGGGACTTGACGGGATGTTCATCTTGCTAGCAGAGAAATCCGCATTGTCCTTTCTGGTTCTTACACTGGACAAATTCTCGTGAACTATTGGACTATGTACTTCGATACTGGGGTTCAGAGAAGAACTTGCACCTCTTTCGTTTGACACATTTGGACTAGCCAGAGTCTTCATCAAGTTAGTGGTCAATAGGGTATTTGAGTTGCGTCTCAGTGGGGACAGCGGACCAGGTGATCCAAAATTGATCCACGATGGTGGGGTATTGAACGCTTTCGTCTTTCTAGGTGAAGTGGAGAATTGGTGGTATAGAATGTCAGGCCAGTTTCCATCGCCGTCTTCTGTAAGTAGTAATGGGTCACCACTGGAGAACTTGAAGACGAATTGCTGTTCGTTGGGGTCTGCGCTGGTTATTGGAGTTCTACCGAGGCTCTTATCCTGGCTTGTCTGAGAGTTTGAGACCATGAATTGCGTAAACGGCACGCCATCCACAGAGCGGAGAGATTTCCGGGTTCTTGGGGTTAGAGTCAAGTTATGTTCTGGGCTACTAATGTTGATGGAGAGATGGTTCTCGTGGCTCGCCAGTCTCTTTGCGAATTTAGGTGAAGAGAATTCATCGGCAAGCATCGAGTCAATGCCAAATTTAGGTGTGAAACCTGTTTTGAATTGGAAAGTGGTACCTGGAGTACAAGGAGATTTGGGGACCTGCCCGTTAGATGAGCTCTTCTGGTGTTGATGAGCAGAGCTGGCTGTGTCTTGACCGTCTAGGTCTTCGCAGATTACATTTGCGCTTGGGCCAGTGATCTCATCGTCTATTATTAATCTAGGTAAAGTATCCGTGTTTGGTTTATCGTTGTTGCTGTTGAAGTTCATCTTCTTCAACATCGACAATACTTCCCGTTTGTTGAACATTGGGGAAGTATCAGGCACAGCAGTATTGCTGGCGGTGGTTTCAAGTTCCGTGGCAGATGCCTTATCTGAGCGATCAGTTTGGCTCGAGTCCATTGAAGTTGAGGCCATGTCTTTATCGGTGGACATATCCCCAACAGCGGGTCTCAAAGTTTCACCTCCTTCGCAGATGACAGCTTCACCCTTTTCGTTGACTGTCAAAGCCAACTTGAGACCCATCCGTGACTTTGTCTCATCCTGAGTGGAGTGACTGTAGTACATCCTAGGTTGAGGTTGTTTCATATTGTGGCTGGACACAGTCGGGGAACTGGAGAACATCATCGGCGGAGAACTCTGCAGAGTGTTTCTCGATACCGAGAAGAAACTCGAGTGAGAAGTAGGCGTCGATGTAGGCGTGCTGCTTCCGGAAGAGAACCCGTCCTCGTACCTATTCTCCTTGTAGCTCTTCGCAGCAGTCTTCTTCATGGGAGAGGATATGATTATACCGCGGTGTCTGCCTTTCTTGGTGATAGACACGGGCGGGGAGTTCAGATCAGTACTCATTCTCCTCTTCTTTGGAGAAGGAGTGGAGATAACCTTCATGAGCGGTTTGGCAAACGCACGTTTGCCTTGCTTCTGCACTTGCTTGGACGATTGCGCCAGCGGACTCTGCGACGGATCAGCATAGTCCTTCGTCAGCTGAGGCCTGCCTCGCCTCCTCTTGATAGTTTCCATTATTGTGCAGAAAGTATTCGACCAGCGTACTTTCTTTTAGTTTAATTTTCTTGTAGTTTAATTCAATTGATTTTCTACTCTTTTTTTTTTTAATCTACAAGGAGTTATATATATTTTTGATCTACTTTTTAAACAATGCTATATATTTATAATCTAAAAGCAAATCCTTTTCTGCTTGGGACAATGTCTATTGTCCAGTCAATACTGTTGCTTTTTTCTTTTAATGAATTTTTTTTCACTATAATGTCTTCCTCGATAAAGCATTTTTGATCCGTTCCCTTGAAGCCCAAACCCTAAACCCTAATTGCCCAGTGAGTGCGAAAAGCAGCCAGAATCTCTTCTGTGTGCTTGCTTTCTTGTATACGCTGTAGGCTGTAGGCTGTACTTCAATACCCTAAAGTTCTGGGGCATAGCAGTAGTAAGGATAGGGCGTGCAAGTGCCGGTCCAGTTGTCTGCGTTGTGGGTGTCCGTGGGGACCGTCAGGGCTTCGTCAGGGCTTCGTCAGGGCTTCATCTGCGATTCTGGGAACTCTGGGAACTCTGGGAACTCTTCTGGAATTCAAGCCCTAGGTCAAGGCCAGTGCTGTCAACCAGACGGTGCAGACAAGTATCCGTACAGAGACAAGAAATGAGAGGAAAGAAAAAAAAAAGAAAGAATTTGCTGCCATCCAAAGTTGAAAATTAAAGTGGCTGCCCTCAATTATATTTCCCGATTAGGAAATGTAACTGGATTTAGGGCTTTGAACACTGGAAAAGTGGGATAGGGCTTATTTAGGGTTTGCGGTTCGTATACATGTAGAGTCATGTGATTATTTTGGGTGAATACGATTGTTCCAATGTTTGGCAAATGGATAAAAGATATCAAGCTAGTAGTAATTCTTTTTCTTTTCATCTTAAATATATAAATGTATGAACAGGAAAGTATATGAATAAATCCTTTTGTCTTTTTTAAAAAAAAAAATTTCTTCTGGCTTAAATAGATTTGTACATGGTTTCTCTTATGATTGGAAATGGTTGATGGGGGGATAGAGTAAATACAACAGCAGGGGGGGAAATAAAAAGAGATTAAAATAAAAAGAGCATTCGTCTTTGGAATAAATAAGAATATTTTTTTTTAAGAGAAGGGACTTCTCTTGTACAAGCTTTGAAAGCGGCGGGGAAAGAAAACAGAAAAAGATATTATGCCCACATGTAGAATGAAAATAATAATGTCAAATAATAATAATAAAAATGGATGAATGGAATAAAAAAAAATTGTTTTAAGAATATTTTAGAAATCTTCCCTTCTCTCTCTCTCTCCTCTTAGTTATTTTTATTCTACTTTCTTGGCTTTGGTGGGTTGAAAACGAATTTTCTGTTCTTGATGGCGGCCCACTTGAACTTCTTGACCCATACGGACAGCAAGTACAAGGAGGATAGTAGCAGTAGAGCCTTCAAACCTGCCTTCTTTCTCTCGTCGTGTTCTGGCTCGGCGCACCAGTTCAAGAATGTGGTGACATCCTTGGCCATTTGAGACGTTGTGGCTGGGGTACCGTCTTCGTACTCGACCAGGTCATCGAACAGGACACGGGCCATGGAGATGGCACCACCTGGGAAGTATGGGTTGTAGTTGGTGCCTGGTGGCAGTTGGACACCGGCTGGTGGGTCGTCTGGGTAACCGGTCAACAGGGCAAATATGTAGTCTGCGGCACCGTGTCTGGCCTTGACGATCAATGATAGATCAGGTGGTAGGGCACCTTGGTTGGCTGCTCTTGCGGCCTGTTCGTTAGGGTAAGGGCCTGGTATGTAGTCGGAAAGCTTACCGATTCTCTTCTTAGGGTTACCTTGCTCATCTGGTTCGTCGTCGTACTCGAACTCAGCAGCCATCTCACGCACTTCCTCGTTGGTGTGGGAAACGCCAACCATTGTTCTCCAGGCGACTCTGTCCAAGGAATGGCAAGCCGCACACACTTCACGATAGACCTGGTAACCTCTTCTAATGGAGGCGTGATCAAAAGTCTGCAAGGGCCCATTGTGAGACCAAGCATAGCTTGGAGCGTGCAGGCCGTGTTCTGCGGCAGTCATGGCCTCTGCTGTCAAGGAGTCTGCATAAAGCAATGCAGACGTGGTAATAGCAGTCAAAGTAGCACCACCGACCAGCAACTTGGAAGTCTTGGGTAGTTCCCTTGCCATAGAAAATGACCTTGTTGCAAACCGTCTATTTATAGTACTGAACATCTTCTTTGCTTGCTCTATATGTTGTTTTTCTTGGCCTTTATGATGCAGATAGTTCACCTTCTGGATTGGTTTTTTCTTATTCTATTATATCAATACCTTCGATTAAAATCTTAACAAAAAGAGAAAGTATGATTCCAACGATGTAAGAATTGGGGGGGAGTGTAGGTTGGGTTAAGGATAGGATATAGCAATCTTGTTGATTTTTGGAATTATAATTATTCTTTTCTTTGAAGAAGAGATAAATAAATAAATAAATAAAGATGTTGGGTATGATCCTTTTCCTGAAGTAATGAAGTTTACTAATTGATGTATTTATTGTATTTCAAAGATGTGTTTTTTCTTTCTTTGCAAATTATATATTATGGGAGAGAGAAAGAGAGGAAGATAGTCCCAGATGGAAGTAACGGACCTTAGCTTGGTACTCATTTACAAGGGAACCACCGTTAAAAATATTTGTGTGTCCAGTCTTGTGTGCTTCCTTCTCGAAAGCTTATTCTCAGTTCACAGTTGATATCAAATCAGAGAGAAGAACATCTGGGGGGGGAGAGAAGTTAGAAGGACCGTTTGCTCTTCCTATCCAATCAGACAAGAACTGAGCAGCTGTGCCCAATCAGAACGGACGCTTCCTGGCAAGTGAAAAGCTACAAGAGTAAAAACCATGCGGAGGAAAGAAACGGTGTATTGATTCAAGTTACCTAGCACAAACCAGTAGATAGTTTCCCGTACAAACCTAGGAGAATCCGAAATACAAACCCAGACTTCCTATGTTTCTTCCAATACCAGGAATTAGAATATCCAAGTCACATGCTTCTGCTTCTGCGAATTAAACAGCCAATTCCCTGTTTCAGCCAATCAGCGTTGAGAATTTCACTTTTCCTTCTACCACCTTGTGCGCGAGGGGTCTCCCTTAGAGCAAGATGTATAGAGAGGGGAAGCGGAAAACCTTTTGAGAGAGAAGTTTATCGTTGTACGTGATATCTATTTGGAGGTGGGAGGACTTATCGGTCCTGTTTTTATCACTTTGTACTGGGTTGGATGGTCATATGATGATACGTGTTGAGGTATGTTGTAGTCCACGAAATATCGACTGTTCTTTACATGTGATGTTTACGTATCAGATTACTATTTGTACTTTTTCTTGCGTTTCTGGCTCATCCCTCGTGTTTATGGCTAAACTCTGGTTGTGCCCTGTGAAGTGCAGTTAGAGGGAGTATAAGCTAAAAAATTGTGCGATGAGCTGTTATCGAATCGGGAAGGTAAAAGTATTCCCTCCAATCCAGATTGACGCAGTGGGGTTATAGGTTACTGAGGTGTTTCTATATATACATGGAGTCCAGGATAGTGAGTAGTGCTGAGCAGGCCACCGATATACGGTACAGTTTCCTGAACACATTGGATCATTTCTCGTGTGAGTATGTGCGGACGTTGTGGTTGATACAGTACTTGGACAACAAGTGTTTAGATGGTGCTAGGGACGAGGAGGCGCTTGAGTTGCAGATATGTGGTAAGGCCGAGTACTTGAACAAGCTGGTCGAAGAAAGGGTCAGTTTTTTGCAGCAGTACAAGCAGGACTTGGAGATGCAAAAAGGTATAAACAAGCGGTATTCGCAACTGCTGAGTCGGAAAAAGGGTACTTCCACAGTGGTACGGCAGAGCAGTAAGACCACTACTAAGAAGCAAAATGGCAAAAAATTGCTGTTAAAGATCAACTTGAAGAAAGCTTATAGGCGAGATATGGAACTAGAAAAGAAGCGGAAGGATTACTTGCAAAAATCAAGTAATGAGAGCAAGAAAAGAGAGGTCAAGGATGCAAATGGCGATGAAGAAAGGTACTGTTTTTGTAATGATGTCTCATATGGGGCCATGATTGCTTGCGATAACTCCAAGTGTGAACGTGAATGGTTCCATTACCCCTGTATAGGTATGACCAAACCCCCTTCTGGGAAGTGGTATTGTAGCGAGAAATGTAGACTCCAGGGAGGCAAGAAATGACAACTCCCCTTACTTCCACCTCCTACATCTAATGTACTTCTCATTGAATCATAATATATAGCATTATTTTGTTTACTTATTCGATATTCAATTGTAGTATTTGAACTAAAAAAAATAAAAACGACTCAATTTTTGGAATAACAACAAATATCTTTTTACTAACCTTGTAGAAGCCAGGGCTCTACCACAGTAAATTACGTCAAATAGGTATAATTACTACCCTCTAAAAATATCCTCTTTCAGAAATGGGTACCCCTTAATACATTATTGACATACTAGAGACTAGTATTTGATTCTATAGCTAGCAGGTGTGTCAATAAGAAGGTACCCTTTTTTTTGTGCTATATGATAGATGGTGAAGAAATACCGCAATTCCAAAATTATCACACTGAAATCTGTAAATCGGAATTAAGTGAGACGAGTGGGTTTTTCCTCGAATGTTGGACAAGTTTTCTCGATATCGTAGCTTTTGTTTGTTGATTAAGAGGATACATGAAAGAAAAAATTTCAAAAATAAATCTGGGGTACTTCTCCACTGTAATTGTGAATAAGCTACACAAGTCTCGGAAAAACTATATCGAAGTGTATGTATTTTAAATCAAGATTTTATCTGCCGGCCTTCCTTCCCCAGGAGGTATTTAGAACTCTTCCGTTTGCTTCTGACTCTCAGTTCTTAAACTCCCGCGATAATTTTTTTTCAGTGTATTGCAATCCAAGAGTTCACATGCCAATAGAAAATACAGCACAAGGGGAAACTCTTATCTAGTGGGATAATGAATCAAAAAAAGAGCCCGTATCAGTGGCATATATCCAAATGATTCCAGTTAGATAGATTACTAGTAATGAAAAAGTAAAAATTAGTCTTGATCATTTGTACGGTGCATTTACTCTTACTGCAGAAATCACAATCATTTTTCGGAAAAACTAACCAATGGATTTACTGAAAAAGACGTAGTTGCCAAGTAGAAGAAAGCGCCTCTTGGAGAGGAGGCACCCAGTACTTTGAAGTGGGGGCCCCCAGTAAAGGAGGAGGTTTTTGCCCCACCCACCCACTGAAAAGTGCCCAGCATTGCGTAGTGCACTTCCGTTAGCCCACCTTCAAAATGATAACAATAGTTTTTCCGTAAAATGTGTCATTTCATGAGTCCTGAGAAGACGCCCTCAGAAATCCAGGTACCAACGCAACAATTATTGTGGGGGACAGGGCAGCCCCATGTAGCGGAAAAACTCATATCCATAACACACAGGCAGAAAGTAAAAAGTAAAAAGGAATTAGTAGAAATACGCCCTTTGTCCCAATCACAAACGGGAAAATAGTTTTTCCGAAAAATCTCAAATTATTTGTAGGAGGGTTTCACTAGCCGGCAGTTATGATTTTGCTGTTCTTGTTCTTGCTCTTGTTCTTGTTCTTCCGTTCCCCTAGTCCCTTTGTTCTGTGGCTACCAGGGTTTCTGTGCCTCCTGTTCAGGCTTTCTTTTTTATCCGGATCTTCACAAGAAATCAGCAGGGAAAGTTCTCTTTCTTTTTTCATACACCGTTTTAGACATTGCAGTAGATAGTGGGGGGAGGAGGAGGGTTCAGTATTCCCCCCTCCAATAAAGGGCCTGGAAGTTGTTAAAAATAATAGTAATATTGGAAAGTATACAGTCAGAGGAACCCTCTTTTCTTTGTCCTTACAAATCCCCACTTTCTGTCCAACACATACCAGTTTCTTTTGACAACTGGATAACAGATGTTTGTTATAAAAAGGTCCATGAGAATATTTCAATCTTGGTATTTATTTTGAAAGGAATCATAACTTGATAAGGCATAACAACAAACACTGCATAGTTTATCATTGCTTAACCGGATTGCATTGATAATAAACAAAAATATACACAACACAAACACAACTGCTACAATGACTAGTTTGGACGACACTATCATATCTCGTCAAAACTTGATGTTGCTTGACAACGTCACCAACTATAACAAGCCAGCTTTGGACTACTTCCACCAGGACTTTGATTATTCCACGATGGACATCTCTTTGTCCTGGAGTCTATTACTAAAGATGAGGAAGCACAAGGTCCTAAGACTGCCAAGTTGTTCCAATGAGGATGACTTGGATTACAATATCTACCTGGAGAGACTTCACCACTGTCTATGGAGACGGTGGTCTATGAAGCTATTCAAGCTGGAAGACATAAGGCTCGATCCATTGGCTATCAACTGGAATAAAGATACAGATGTAACTGTGCTTTATGGACCGGACTTGTCTGTACCAGAGGCCAACAACAGAACAGAACCAAAGAAGAAGTCAAAGCCTACTTTGAAATCCTGTTTGGCCCACTCCGCTGATGATGATGAAGAAGCTGAATACTACAATGACTTCTCATCCAAATACGACTACTCATCTTCCGTAAACTCAAGCACATCTTCCATCTTCGAAAAAACATACTCAAAAGATGAAGATGAGCTTCCTCAGAAGAAGAGTTTAAGATTTGATGATGCTGTATTCAAGAGAGTTATCGACCACTCTGGTAATTACCATGAGATCTACACTATCATCAACGATAAAAGGGAGCAGTGGAGAAGAGAACAGAAGAGAATGTACTCTCGTCATAAGAACTCCCATAGCATAGATTTCGGAAATGCACCTCCAATGTACATCTCCTAATATGATTATATTCCTACAACATGAATCGAGAACTATCAGGTCATAGTTCTTAACTTCATATTCCAGGCAAACAAACAAATTAATAATAATCATTTGATTTGATTAATTCTTTAATGATAGCATTTTAATGACACGACTAAATTTTAAGACCAAAGATCGCACTGTAATTTCAATTTGTTTAATTTTTATTTAATACGCACTCGCAATTTCAACCTTAAGAATTTTTTATATTGCATAGATAAAATATAGTATTTAATACAATTTCAAAGATATCCTTCTAAGTTACTAATAACAATACTTTTTGTATTTGTAATTGCGACATGGCATTCTGGAAACTAACATATCGTTAATGGGGTTTCGCTTCGGAAAAGCGAACAAAGTCCGCACGGCAGTAAAGAAAAATAAAATAAAAAAATCGGAAAATGTTGATTATTGTATAATATATGAATATTGGAGTTATGCAATAGGTTTTTGGTTATCTACTACAGCCAACGCTCATGAATGAATGATCTATGTCATTGGTTGCAAATTTAAAGCTTTCAATTGGTTCAAAGAACAATGAATTTGTGCTTAGAGATGTTCAATTGTGGGAAACCAGTGACACGTCAATTTTAGATGCTGGTCAACTGAAAAGGGTTCAGAGTTATAAAGGTCGGTTTGTGGCATATGTAGATATCAAGAAGCTTCCCCTATGGATCAAAAACCAGCAGAGCCGCGAATTGCAATGCTTCACACGCAGTTCAACTACCTTGCGCTACTTCAGTACAAAGTTAGGCGTTAAGCAAAGAGGCATAGTGTTTGAATGCATACCTTTGACAGAAAAAGCTGACAACCAAGGATGTTGTAGTTATTATATATTTTACAGAAATGAGAACGTGGTAAAGGTTGTGCAAGTAGACCTGTCTATAAAGGCAAATATTGATCTGCAGATCAAGCAGATCAAGTCGACTTTATCAAATCCCCAACAGGCTGATGTGAAGAAATTAGACTCAACTGTATCTGCAACAATTGATTCCCGTCTGAATTCTGATATCACCAAAATAGTTTCTGAAAATATAGAAAGACATGAGCACAGAACTTCAAAAGTCCTGAAGAGCATGTTATCTAATGACAAGAAGATACAGGTAAGAGATACTTTATCAAAATTAATTCTGGCAGGATTGAGATTGAGAGGCTTGTCTAGCACTAAGTCTGAAACTCAGAAATTATTTCGAATAACATTATCTGCATCTGAATTTGCTCATAGAAAGGACCTAATACAATTGCAAAGAGGACACACTAAGGCAATTCCATTTGAAGAAATGCAAGAGACCGTAGAGACTCTTTTGAACCTTTTTACAAGAAATGGATAGCTAGCAATTAAGTGCTGCATACTACTATTCTTGACCATAAGAATTGTTGTGCTGAGAGACGAATGGTACATGACTTTGTTACCCCAGACAATTTTAGAAGTGGCGAAGTGTGTTCTTGCCCTAATTTTATAGTTGGGCTCAAATTATATAAACGAGAACTCACAAGATACTTTAAAGGAGCGTATTTCGATTACCCCTAGTGGTTGATATTGAGGTAAATGATTGCTAATATTACTATTTAGTCTTTGAGGAGGGATTGATAACGTTTAAGCAGTACAATAGGCAGGTTTATTTGATAGAACGTAGCGGATAAAGATGGGTCAGGATAAGCACCTTTTCGTATTGATCCATGGATTATGGGGAAATTACAAGCATATGAAATCACTTGAGAAAGTGTTGGATGCCACATTGAATGGTAAGAAGAGTGGGAAGGATAAAGATTATGTATTTTTTTTGCCAAAACAAAATGCAACCTTTAAGACTTTTGATGGTATTGAGATTATAGGGTATAGGACTTTGCTTGAATTATGTGAGTTTATGAAGGAATTTAAAGATGGAAATATAACAAAAATAAGTTTTGTTGGTTACTCACTAGGTGGACTTGTTGCAAGATTTGTTGTGGGAAAAATGTATTCCGAATGTAATGATATTTTCGGTAACATCGAAAGATGCATTTTCATGACAATGGCTACACCACATTTAGGTATTCAATTTTACAACCCACTGGGGTATCTACATCGGAAGTTATTATTTTCGACATTTACTGGTCTGGGCTCTACTATCTTGGGAAAGAGTGGTAGAGAATTATTCATTGCAAACTCGAGTAATGATATTTTAGTCAGACTTAGTGAAGGTAAATACATTGAGGCTCTGGAGGAATTCAATCACAGGATTTTGTTCGCGAATGTAAAGAATGATAGAACAGTTGCATTTTTCACTGGTTTTATAGCTGATGTGGACCCTTTCCTAGAATCAGATAATAGGATTAAATTCGACTTCGAATCTAAAATTCCGGGCAAGAGTTACTCTAGGGCAAAACCTAGAATTGTAGATTTGAATAAACTTGATTCAAATGTGAAGAAAGAGAAGACTCAGCATAACCCAGTCAAGTACTGGTCACGCACCCTACTATTACTTGTACTAGTTGTATTCTTAATAGTACCATTTGCATTTTTTTTCAATATTGGAGGAACCATATATAGCTATGTGGCAACATGGAGATACCGTAAGATGCTGAAAAGTAATGAATTCCCCAAACTTATAAAAGAAAAAGCAGGCTTCAGCGATCAGCTTAAAGGATATATGTCAGATGCTTATAGCAATGTTATGAGTACAGTTATCGATGATGATAGTCAGATTGAGAATGAAGATACACCAAAATTTGTTGATGAGGACTCTAACAGCTGGACTAATCTTCTATCTAAATATACTCATCACGGAGGTACTGAAGAGAAGTGGAAGAATAAATTCAAGAAAATGCCCTTGACTAAGGAGAGACAATTGATTATGAGAAATCTGAATCAATTAACGTGGATCAAAATTCCAATCTATGTTAAATTCTTAAATTCTCATGGAGGAATTGTGGCAAGAAATGGCATTTCAGAATCAACGGCAGCCACAAGTGTAGGGTCCGTAGAGTTTGCAGGACAATTGGTCTCTTATTTAATCCACAATGCAAACAATAAATGAAGATTATTTGGAAATCATATAGCGAATACATAACAGATAAAGTACACCATTTTAATGGATAATAATACCTCATCTTAACAGCCAAGTAATTGCGACAATATTAAAACGCTAGCAAATATGGAAGACTTCATTCTAAAAGCAGACAAAAAATAAAAAAAAATAGAAGAACTCCTCATAGGGGGCTCGAACCCCTGACATTTCGGTTGTCCTCGTTGACGTAAAAGCCGAACGCTCTACCAACTGAGCTAACAAGGATGAGTTCTTCAGAAGACGCCTCCGACGGAGAGGCTTTTACCGGCATCAACATCAATTCGTATATTACTACATATAATGTGATATAATCTCTAACACAGTTCTATGATCGAAGGACCTACTTATGTCACGGTTAATATGCCAAGGCGGTTAGCAATCAGGAACTTTATGTGAGAATGACTACCTTGGGATGCCAAGATAAAAGAATTGTGAATTCATTAACATCTGGTCATATTATGGACACCTCAGGAAAACAAAAAGCAAAGGTGTTTCGATAAGCAATGAAGTTTTTACAGTAGCATATTCGTTATCTTAGATTGCGTACCAAATACGACAATCATAATATTTCAATTAAGAACCACAGGATAGCATGCCTCACTGAAGATACCTCTCAGCTCATCGCAATGCAGTTTTTGCCAGATAGAATTCGATGTTTTTCCTATTTAGGAAATGTGTAAATAAGAAGTGGAAACTATTTTTCAGTTGACTTCTACGAATCTTTCTTAGTGAAAGGTACAATCGATTCCAAAAAAAAAGATATTGAACTCCATAACAGAAAGAAAAACAAACAATAATACCAAAGAGAAAAGCAAGGAAGTTGTTCAATAGCCTAGCAACTTGTGGTACCTAATTGGGCGGTTATACTCCTCGAGTTCGGGTTCACATTGTATGTTGGAGTTTGGCTCAGTAACGTTTATTATACTGTTAAGTAATTGGAAAGAAACTACAGACCTGGAAAAGAGGCATAACACACAAAAAAAAGTTGACACAAGGATAAAGACTTCGGTTTTCAAAACAGTGAAAACAAGAAATAATATTTAGAAGAAAGCGTTACTAGGAAATTACATTCGGTTGGTAGTTGAATATAGAATAGAGGAAATTGAGCATGTCGGCATTCCCGGTATCTTCACCAACCAGGAGAGTAGATCAAGGAATGCGAAATATTGACATTATGAGGAGTCCTGGAACACCGAGGTTGAACTCAACAGGAAGCACACTTTGTAGTTCAGGGGAATTTTTGAAGTTAACCCCAGTTAAAATCCTAGAATTTGATTCACCTATAGCTAAGGGTCTGTCCAGAAGCACTAGTGAATTACAAGCTAGCAAATTATCGACAGTGGATGGCATTTACAAGGAGAATTTCACTGTAATAACGAAGCAGTTAGAGAAACTGCTTGAAGACCTCAATGTCATATATAGAGATATTGGATACTCAAATACCGAAATTCTAACTAAAGAGAAACAAATTTTTAACACCATATCAGACTCGATAAAGGAATTCTTTAACCAGGCCGAAAGCGAGATGAGTAAATTGACGATAAATATAGAGATTGAGCAAGATATTTTGAATAAGATATTAGAAATAATAGGTGACCCAAGTGGGATCAAAACAATTCCTGACTTATACATCAGGAATGCTATATTACAACAGACAAGAAAAACTGTTCCACAATCACCAAAAAAGCCACTATCTTTACTTAATAAAAAGAATATTCTGGAATCTGCAAGGGAGTATATTTATAACGTTTATCTACCAGAGTTAACAAAATTTCTTGAGAAATGCCTCGACCTACAACATTTGACAAATGCCATCGGAATGGACTTGAAGGATATTAGTGAGGAAGAGAAAAATATACTCAACAATCTAAACGAATCTGATAACTTAGAACAAATCTATGAATACTTGACCAATGGCTCTCCTAAGAACAAGATTTCACTGATATCTGAGGTAATAAAAAAAAACAAAGCAGAGCTACTTAATAACCCTTGCTTGCGCGATTTGTCAACCAGTAAGTATGAGTTGATCTCAAACTTGCTTGAGAACCTGAAAGTTGAGTATTTATCAAGGATTGATAAAGTTTGCACGGAGGGACAAAGACTAGAAATCCTACTAAAGGACCTTAGACTGGATGCTCGCAAAGTTATACCGAAAAAAATGAGACAAATACTGGATCATTACAGAAATATAGATAGCTTCTCAATTGCCAGTATCGAGACCTATTTTGAAGTTTCCAAGTCCTCCCTAGCCGAATTGCATTTGACATATGACAAATATAATAAGATACATGAAGAAAAATCAAACACAAAACATTTGTGGATGCTAAAATGTAAACAGTTGTGGAATTTACTGAATACATCCAATGATCAAATAAAGATATTTGTGGAGAGTAACTCTGATTTGTCAGACTCAACCATGGAGAATATTCATAATGAACTAGAACGGCTGGAAGAGATGAAGAAGAACTTAATTAAGGAATTGATAGATAATACTTATAAGAAGGTTGAGAAATACTGGGATATACTGCAGTATTCAGAGGAAGAGAAAAAAATATTTTCCTCTAGGATTGAGGAAATGAGGCATACATCAAACTCATTGCAGGACGATGAGGACACATTGGAAATCTGTGAAACAGAAGTTAAGAAATTGGAAGAACAGTATAGTTTGTACAAGCCTGTGTTAGACTTATACGAGGAATTTAATTCACTTTTGTCAGACCAAGCATTTTTAGAAGCAAGTTCAAAAGACTCCTCAAGACTGCTGGCCAGGAATTCACATAAAATATTGTTGAAGGAGGAAAAAACAAGGAAAAGAATTACTAGACATTTTCCTAGGGTCATTTTAGAGCTGAAAGATAGGTTGATAGAGATGGAATCAAAATTCAACAAACCTTTTCTTGTGGATGGAGTGAAAGTTTTGGACATTGTGAGCGTGCAAGAGAAAGAGTTACAAAGTAAATACCCTCGTAGTAGGATTGATACAGGTAATAGGCAAAGTTTAGGAAGGGTATCTAGCGCTGGTAATGGGTTGAGGGTAGCAAAACCTGTTATTACCAATTCTGGTAGAAAGGTAATTAGCGGTCAAAGGACCACTCATTCCAATAGAGGAGTCATAAATCAAGGAAAAACTTCGATTGCTCGCTCAAGTTCGGATTTATCAGATATGGAAAAGGCGATGCATCGTAGACGGACTGACGTTAATGTGTCGACAGCATTAAACCGGAACATTTCTAATTTAAGTCAAAAAAGCCGCCGCCATAACTTTGGATACTCTTCAACGACCATTCTTTCCTCGAACAATGCAACTATAAAAACACAGCCAAGACTATCTCAAACAAGGGACCTAAAGCCCAGACAATTATTTCCACTTTCGGTTAGTAAGCAAAATGTACAACCAACCAAGATACCTATACTTGAAAAGAAAGTTTCTTTTGAAGCAATGACACCAGGTAACAAAGAGAACGTTGACTACAATCAAGAGATTGACCGGACCCGGAAGACTAATAATAATTACGCAAGTCCTTATCAAGAGTCAGCCAAAAGCGTCTATAAGTTATCGATGTCTCCTGAGGGAAAACCTAAATTAGACGTTGAACAAAACGCATATAATATAAGTTTCGATGAAAATAGTTTTTTCGAAAATTAATTGACAATTATTGAGTCATTCTAAGATTTTAGATTAAATGCTGTTCTTCTGTTGTTTAGAGACTAACATATTACAATCCACAATTATTGATGTCTGTTTCATTAAAAATTATAGGTATCCTGTATCATTACATGAAAACCATTCTGTCACTTTACGTGACAGACACTATTATTTTAATATAATAGTTGTAACACTAAGATAATATGTGTATTTATAGCATACATAATTCATAAGCAAACTCTACATTAATGAATAATGATCGATTTTTACCACTCCTTCAATTCCTGTCCCTCAGGTAGTGATGTCTCTACCGGTGCCTTTTTGACTTCTTCCCAGTTAGTATTCAATGTGGTACCATTACTTTCAATAAATGATTTCATCATTGCTCGTCTTGTATCTGGATCAGCATCGGCATAAAGTTGCTGGAAGAACGCATCTGTCGATTGATTCTGATCAGTTTCATCATCATCTATGTCTATCTTCGACCAATCTATCTTCTTTTTAGACGAATTTGGATATGACAGAGAATCTCTATTGTTTCCAGTTGCATTCGTTGTAGCAGTTGGTGGAATGTGTAGGTCATTAGTGTTTGCCTCGTATTCTAAACTTTTCCATTTAATATTCTCCAGTTTCTTGAAAGTTATTTCAAATTTTTTACTCATAACTATTACGCTATATTCTTGAGGATCGACGTTATGGGCCAAATCGATGTTGTACTGAAATTCTGATCCTTTATCAGGTATTGGGTAAGAGATTGACAAGTGTAAGCCCTCTATCTTAATATCCATGCTATCTTTATTTGCCGGTAAAATAGTAGTAAAGAAAGAAACAGTAAGTTTATCGGTAGACTGGTACCAGTCAGTCCTTACCTTCATATCAGGAGGTGTAGGTTTAGTATCGTCGATATTTATTGTCTTGACGGCCTCTGTAGGTACATCCAGGTCAGATTTGCCCTTTTTGTCGGTGTCATCGCCATGTTCGCTGTTCATCTTAGCTAATTTATTCTTTAGTTTATCTTCCCATAATGCAAGTGTTGGGTCAGCATACCCATAGCTCTTTGCTCTTTTCAAGTATGTCTCTGCCATTTTGTAGTATTTCAAATTGAAGTGGTGTACAAAGAACCTGAAGTAAACCAGACCGATCTTGGCCCTGTCGCCTCTCTCCATGGCCACATCTTCAGCCTCTGCTAAACAGCTCTTTGCTTCATCCAATGTCTCAACTGTACGGTATTGCTTGTCACCAAAGTACAACTTTTCATAGCAGGCAGCTTTATAGATCAGAGCATTTAGTGCCTTTGGAGACTCCTTAAGAATTCTGTTGTACAATTCAAGTGCTCTCTTCGGGTCACCCTCCTCATAGAGCACATCATAGGCTACTTTCAAATCCTTTTCGATGGGCATAGTTCCTCGTATGTTCTCTGGTTGGGGGTGAACTTCCTTTCAACATTCTACACATCACATCTTTTCATTCATGAAACTTTTTTTATCATCGAAGCCAGTAAGGTCAATCAAAACTACAAATCAAGTCTACATGGCTAACAAGCAAGAGAATGGTATCTGTCCAAGAGCTGGAGGGCCTGTCTCAACTGATATATAGGATATATATTGTAAAATAGTACTGAAAGGACTTGTAACAATTCGTTTACGCGGGGCGGAAAAGGCACACGTATGAGCTCAACGTACAGACATCTATACCCACCTGTGCGCAAGGCTAAGGCACTGAATATACCAATATATGGAGGCGATGAGGTGGGAAGTGTCCCCAGCATTTAAATGTGCAATTTCCTTGATTTCTTGCAAAATGAAATGAAAATGACGTCTTTCTTCATTTAACTGAAAAGACGTCAAAGGGTCAGGAAAAAATTAAAAAGCAGTGCAAACCGGATCACAACTGTCAATAGTATTCAATTCTGGCGGTTGAAGGGGGGGATATATACGGTAGTGATTGTAGTTCTAATACTGAGAACGAGGCAAACGGTTAAGCAAGGTTGAGTTTCTAGGAAAGAGAAAGAGCGCGGAAAGAGACATATATCATTGGATTGTTAGGCCATGAGCGAAGACAACGGTGCTAGGAACTCGAGTGAGAGTATGAGAGGGAAGATGGATGCGGATAAGGAGTCAGTGGCGGCGGCCTCCATGTCTCCGACGCTTTCTGTCGGTGCGGGTACCACGAAGTCGATCATGAATGTCGGCGGGAAGTCAGGAGCTGTGGTGAGCAATACGCCTGAACCAGGTCTGAAAAGGATACCCACTGTGACGTTTAGTGATTCCAAGATAGTTGGATCGAATAAGTTTGGTGCCAGTGACGAGCGGAAGCCAGGCGCGCTAGGAGGTGCGGAATCTGCTCTGGATAGCAAGGAGCTAGAGAGTCAGGGGATGGTAAATTTGCCACAGATACTACATGACAAATTGGTCGATAGAAGAACACCATCTAATGGGTTGCCTGACATACAAGTGCCTTTACCGGAGAAAGAGGAGCATCCGCATTTTCTGGTCGAGGACCCATTGCACAGTCCAAAGGTTAGGTCCAGGGCTAACAGTTTGAGCCCCAGCACGCCACAAGTTGATCTGAATGGTGTACCTTTGAGCACAGCTATAGTTAACGGGAATGATGTCAAACCAGGAATAAAACCCATTACTTCTAATCCATTGGAGAGGGATGGTTCTGTTTCCGTGAGTAAGGGATCCGAGCAACCTCTCCTAGAATCTGTGATCGAAGAAGCTAGTTCTACTCCAGGTATGGCGAATATTCCCAAGAGAGAAAATGCAAAGAACTTGGACATGAGACTCCCACAGGATGATGGTAAGATACATATTCTATTTGGTGCGACGGGCTCCATGGCTGTCTTCAAGATCAAGCCGATGGTGAAAAAATTGGTAGATATCTACGGTAAGGATAGGATTAGCATTCAAGTAGTGTTAACCAAAAGTGCTGAGAAATTCTTGAACAAGAAAGTCGTAAAGAAGGTAAAGCCTCACCCTGAGAGTAATGAGGACCCACTCGATGTGGTGACGAATATACCAGGCGGCACGATAAACGAGTGTGCAAAACTGAAAAATGGCGGCGCTGATGCGCAGGGATCCCAACAGTCGAATGGGTCCACGAACTCGACTCCAGATAAGACAGCGATCGGCAACAATCCTTTCCAGCTGGAAGGTGGTCCAGTGATACAGATATGGCGAGACCAGGATGAATGGGATGTGTGGAAGCAAAGAAGCGACCCTGTGTTGCATATTGAATTGAGAAGATGGGCCGATATTTTGGTGGTTGCGCCTTTGACAGCCAACACGTTGTCAAAGATAGCCTTAGGCCTGTGTGATAATCTGCTGACATGCGTTATAAGGGCTTGGAATCCAAATTTCCCAATATTTTTGGCACCATCCATGGTTAGCAGCACATTCAATTCCGTAATGACAAAAAAGCAGTTGGCTATTATCAAGGAAGAGATGCCATGGATAACAGTGTTTAAGCCATCAGAGAAAGTGATGGGCATAAACGGAGATATAGGTCTTGGTGGCATGATGGATCCAAACGAAATAGTGGATAAGGTTGTAATGAAATTGGGCGGGTACCCAAAGGAAGAGGACGAAGATGAGGATGATGAGGATGAAGATGAGGACGAAGACGAAGAGAACGAGACTTGTCAAGAGGGAGAAAATAAGAAAGATGAAGATGAAGATGAGGATGAAGACGACGATGACGATGAAGACGACGATGACGATGAAGATGAAGATGAAGATGAGGAGGATGAAAACAATGGTGGTGCTGAAGAAACACTACAGCCTGTTGAGAACAGTCAGTAGTTCCCATTGTTAAATATTATTTATAATGCATAGAAGATTCTTTCAATACAAGTCTATAATCACATGAGTTGCACTCATAAACAACGATAAATCTCCTGGTCCGGTATTTCGGTTCAATTTTGAACTCCTTTGATGTGGTGAGCTCTGAATGACTTTTCCTTATTTTGCAGAGGAGAAGCAGTTTTTCCGTATTTCCGTTTACTTATCTTTTTTGGGACCTTATCACGCACTGAGAGGGGGCGAATTACAATCTGTTTAGTAAGTATTGCGTATTGCCTATCCTTTGAGGCATATGGGTGATAAGGATCCAGATGTGGAAGGAGAAAATTCGCTGGGATGACTCTTTAGAGGCCTTCGCTGGGGGGGGGGGAAGGGTTACTGATCTTCCATTTCTGCATATCTATTCTTTTTTTGGCTGTGTGGTGGCAACTTGACCCACTTTTCTAATCTCCTGTCCTCAATAGGATCATACTCACAGGGTGGCAAAATCCAGTTTTCTCTGGTGAAAGTGAGAATCGTGAGAATCCTGGGTATTGTGGACCATGGGCAATAATAGAGGTGTGTAGGGAGAACTCAGTGTGTGAAGAGAGGGGGGGGAGGCTATTGTGAGAGTAAAAGTTGTAGCTGTTAGTAAATAACCATTAATAATGTAAAAAAAAAGCCAACATCTTCTATAAAAAAAAAAAGGACGCATTATAAATACTTCTTATCTTTTTGCTCGAACAAAGGTACCTTAAAGTCAAGGAATTATATCTTTAGTATATAATAAAGAGACAAAACAGTATCAAGAAATTGGACAACGTTATTCAATAATACAAACGTTGTTCAAACCAGAGGATAGCCATTAATATCATATAGCAAATAACAAAACAATATCAAGCATGAACACTAAGGAAGAAGAAGTTAGAGTTGAGGAAGCTAAGAAAGGGACGCCTGAGAGAGTGGAAAGTATATTGAACGGCGATCAAGAGGAGAACTCCAGCATAACATCTGGTGCTAGTCATGGCAAGGTCACGCCGATGCTCTTGAAGCAGCTATCGTCGTCTTCATTCAGGTCAAGCATATCTGAATCATCCAACACATCCATAACATCTCTAGTGAGCACAACGGAAGCCAAGAGCCCGGGAAGCTCAGGAAGTTCGACTAGTACCAAAGTAGGCAAGAAATCTAGTGGCTTGAAGAAGAAGAAGAAGAAGAACCAGTGCTACTTTGACAAATGTACAAGTGTGGCTTCCAAGTTCGTCGGAGACTGCAATTTCTGCAAGGGACATTACTGTTCTAGACATAGGCTCATGGAAAACCATGCCTGTGAGGGTCTAACCTCCTGTAAAGAGCAAATGCATCAGAGAAACGCAGATAAATTGGCCTCTGAACAGACGCATACGAGGAAGATTCAAATCTAAAAAAAAAAAAATTAATTTTAAACAGACATTCACAACAAGCATATTCACGTATTTTTACTTCTCTTGAACACCAAATAATTCGTCATGATCATTTATCAATTCCCTTTTCAACCATACTATTCTTATATGTACTATTGGATACCTTTTATTTTCCCTTTATTTCTAATTTTTCTTTCACGTTCTACTTCAATTCAGAAACTAATATTTTTTCGCTAATACCATATATAAGTGCTCAAACTAATATATAATGCTAGCATACTCTAATTCTATTCCCAGTGTTGCCATTTCTTTGATATAACCCCGACATCGGTGTTATACATCGTTGTCTGTATATCGCTAAGTGATCGCGTGCATTGGTCCGTCCATTGTGCTCCTTCGAGAAAATGATTCAAGTCTTCTAAGGCATCGAAGACCGTTTTTCGCCCAATTTGTACGGACGTTTCAGTGGTTCCCATTGTTTGCCAAAAAAAAATTTTCCAGCCAGTAAGCAGTCTATACCCAATGACCCAGAGAAGACAATGCGATGCCCATCTCATAAAAGGAAGAGATTCCATTGTTCTTTTTGTTTCAGATATGGGAGACCACCGTAACGAGGATAAGCAATGGCTAAGAGACCTTTGGGATTAGGTAAGCAGAAGCAAAACAAGAAGACTAAAGTTGAGAGCTCTTCTGGGGAAGTTTCCCGTGAAAGCACTCCAGTTGCCAGTCAGATTGAGGTTGAGCTAGCGGATGACGTTGATGCTGATGACGAGTTGGTGCAGTTGAAGGGTCTGTGGCAGACTTACTTTGACTCTGACAGAGACAGCGAGTATGTCTTGAACGGTATTGTGCATGAGTGTGACCGTTTGTTGCGTGAAGCTGACAAAGAAGGCAAGATCAAGGAGTTGAGCGATGTTTTCCACGCCATCTATGCGCTGGCTTTGTCTGAATTGACTATCTTCAAAGCAGGTGAGGAAGAGGACGAGAAGAAGAAGAAGGAAGAGATTGCTCAGTTCTTCGACAACGCTTTGGAGAGATGCAGCTTGGGTGAGTCCGACTGCGGTAAGTCTGATCTATTGGACCTGGTTAAGGCCAAGGTTATTATTCAAAGAGTTCCATTGGAGCACATGTCTGCCCTCACTGTCAGCAGCAAGAGTGGTCTAAACCTAAACACTCTGGTTGAAGACGCTAAGAAGCACTTCAAAGTCTCCACCAAGGATTTGAGCTTGGTCTATGAAGTTCTAGAGATGTTCGATGATTTGTTGGATATCACTGAAAACTTCGGTCATGAGGAACAAATCGCTGAAGGTTTGGACAGTGACGATGAGGAAGATCTAGAGCCAATCCAATTGGACAAGAAGCACCCAGTCTACGAAATGCAACAGAACCTGGCCTCTAACTACAAGTGGTTGAAGGAACAATTGATTGCCCTGCTAGGCCAATTGAACAAGAAGGACCACGCCAAGTTGTACCACTTGACCGCGAAGAAGATCGGTGAGCTATACTTGAAGGATGCTGAGGAGCCAACAAACGTATATCTGTCCCTAGCCTACGATGACGATGAATCTAAGCAATCATCCAAGGACTGCAAGGAATCTCAAGCCAGCGCTTTGAAGCTAGTTCAGAATGCCATCGACTACTTGGACAAAGCACAAATCGAAGATGAGCCAGAAACTTGGGCCCAGGTTGCCGAAGCATACATCGATCTCGGTAACCTGCATGACAACGAGTCCTCTGAGCAAGAAAAGGCTTACCAAACCGCAGAGACATTATTGACAAAGGCCAATACTGCTACCCACGGTAAGTACGACGACATCCTGGAGAACTTGAAGCAATAATTGCATTCCTAATTTTTCTACATGATGATACAAACTATAGACTACGTGTTCTTTAATATTTATAGCTTCATATACACTTTTATAAAATAACACCAACAATTTTACTTTACTTTACCTTACTTTACTTTAACCATCTACAAGCATGAGAATTTCAAAGTTAATTTAATGTTTAGTATATGTTCACTACTCTTTCCAGCCACCAGTGGCATATATACTACAAATAGTTAACCATATGGTAAAAACAAAATCATTCGTACACAAGCAGCTAGGTAATATACAACTACACGTAAAACATGTGATCTCCATAAAAAAAAGCGTTCCACGGATCCGCATTGTCTCTGCGAGTGGTTTGTACAGTATGGACGCAGCAGTGCTTCTCACAACGTTTTGTACGCGTTTTCTCTACCACACTTAGGGGTTTTTCCGTGGAAATACTCCTTATTTGAAAGTTAAAGCGTCGCAGAAAGCCAAGAGTAATTCCGCGGTGTTTTTTTCTCTCTCGTCGTTTTGCAGTGTAGTTCCACTCGCTTTTCCCCCCTTACTGTACTGTGCGGTTGATAGGAGTGCCAAGAGAATGGCGCACAACGCACTTTCACTCTTCCTTCTGTAAGCTTTTCCACTTATTAAGGTTATGGGCCAAAAACCACAGTCGTGTCTAAGGAAGTCCGTGCAAAGCACAAGACCCGAGGTGTTTCCTCGATCGGTCCCACGCTTCTTTCAGTGACCAGCACGACGAGGGAATTAAAATAGCGCAAGCAGAAAGGGCATTGATGAGATCTGGAGAAACCTGCGCAGAGAGGCGGCACATCTCCTTTTTTTTTGTAATTACTTATCCGTTTTAGGAAATCAAGGGCTAAATTGCATTATTGCCTCAGAAATTGGGGGAGGGGGGGAGGGATGAGGTGGAAGTGTAGAAAGGATTGCGTAATCCCTTCTCTACAGTTGTAATACTCTTGACTAAGGGTTGTGTCAAGGAAGCAAGCCAGACTAACTTGAACTTGATAGTGGCCTCATCGCAAGGAATAATAACCTCTATGTAGTACAATAGTGGTTCAAGGGAAGAGAAAAATTTTTTATAGGAGTTAACGCATATTGAAAGAAACAAGGGTCCTGAACTGTGGACTCATTTAAATAAAATAGTAATAAAAATCATTGTATTTATTCAAGGACCATGTAGAAATAAAGAAATAATCTTTATTCTTGATCAAAAGGCAAAGACAATACAATACTAATAAAAAAATAACTAATGATGGATGAGGTGGTGGAAAAATTCACGTTTGATCCACTCTCGTATTATTCGGGGATGATCCCCAAGCTGAGGTTCAATGCGGCGCTGATAGCTATATGGGGGTTGCTGCTCATATGCCACATCCTGCAACTGTACTGGAAGCAATACTGGTTCAGCATAGCTTTTATATGTGCTGCCATCTTGGAAGTCCTGGGTTACATTGGGCGTACTGCGTCCCATTTTAACGTTTACAACATAGATATGTTTTTATTACAGATTATATGCCTGACGATCGCCCCGGTGTTCACCATGGGTGGTATATATTACCAATTGGCCAAACTTATAGAGATTTACGGCCATAGGTTCTCGCTCTTGCCATCGCCAATGGCTTATTCCTACATTTTCATATTTAGCGATGTGGTGTCCTTGGCAATCCAGGCCGCGGGTGGTGGTACCTCGGGTGTGGCTGTTAATGAAGGTACCTCTACAAAGAAAGGTGACAGGATATTCGAAGCTGGGATTGCCATTCAGCTTGCCTCCATGATTATTTTCTTAGGTCTTTGGTTGCATTTCCTATACATGATCTACATCAAAGTTAGACTTGAATACACTGGCGAACGTAGATTTAGATTTTCCATGCTCAAGATACCACAGGAGAAGTTAGACCATCTATACAGAGAGAAGTATAGTGACCTTAGAATAAATCCAAAAAGATTTGTTTTCCATCATTTTAACTTAGCTCTAACCGCTACTGTTTTACTGGTCATTGTTCGTTGTTGCTACCGTCTCGCTGAATTACACCAAGGCTGGAGAGGATTCTTGATTACTCACGAATGGTACTTCATCATCCTCGATTCCCTGATGGTGACACTGGCTACCGTGATAATGACTATATTCCATCCGGGATTTGCTTTCAAGGGCAGACATCTGTCTATCCCAGTTACGCATGGTCGTGTGGATCCCGAAACTGTGGAATCAACCGATAGCCACATTCTATCCGAATCCACAGATAGTATGGAAAAAGATGAGAATGAAAAGGTAGCTGTACCAGAGATTGTACCAGACACTGACGACATTGAAAAACGTCCGTTTTATAAGAAAGTACCGAAGATGTCATTTAGCATTCCATTCAGAAAGAAATAAAGGATGGCAAAAACTTTTCATCAAAATCAAGGAACTCGGCTTTAATCTCATTTCAATCTTTGATCTTTCAATATTTCTGCATTAATTATAAAAAGAAAGAGTGAGAACATTTTGGTGAAGATAAAATGTTGTTCTTAAAATGTTTATGTTTAGATTATCATATTCACTACTAATCAATTTCGGCAAAATTAATTCTCAGTCAGCAAAAAAGCTGCAAAAAAAAGGTCTAATTTTGACGGATCTTACTTCTTACTATTTTGTAATATTACTTTAAATACTCTCTACATTCCATTATATTATATATCCAATTGAACAATTAATTTAATCATTACTTTATAACAGTTGTATACATACAAATCTTAATCATTCACAAAAAAACGTCCCTAACGATTACACGTAGCACTAGAAGTGAAAAATTCTAAACTTTTGGAAAAATGTTGTAAGCGATGCCCAATGCCATATCAAATTGGTATTAAGCTATTGGAAATCACTTAATCCTTGATAAATTAGTTCTGTTGCATTTTCTTATTCTAGGAAGAGGCACAACAAATCCTATCTAACTATTATACAGCCATAATGGGTGTTCCATCCTTTTTCAGATGGCTTTCTAGGAAATATCCGAAGATTATATCTCCAGTACTGGAAGAACCTCAGCAACTCGTTGATGGAGTTGCTTTACCGATAGATTATGCTGGTCCAAACCCTAATGGAGAGCTAGATAATCTTTATCTTGATATGAACGGTATTGTACATCCTTGTTCTCATCCTGAGAACAAACCTCCACCAGAGACAGAGGATGATATGCTGCTGGCGGTATTTGAATATACTAACAGAGTTCTAAATATGGCTAGACCCAGGAAAGTACTTGTGATAGCTGTCGATGGTGTTGCTCCAAGAGCCAAAATGAATCAACAGAGATCTAGACGTTTCAGAAGTGCTAGGGATGCTGAAATTGAAAATGAAGCTCGTGAAGAAATAATGCGCCAAAAAGAACAGTTGGGACAAATTATTGATGATTCAGTAAAAAATAAGAAGACATGGGATTCAAATGCCATTACACCTGGTACACCATTTATGGATAAGTTAGCCATTGCTCTTCGTTATTGGACTGCTTTCAAATTGGCAACTGATCCTGGTTGGAAAAATTTACAGGTTATTATCAGTGATGCAACAGTACCTGGTGAAGGTGAACATAAAATTATGAATTTCATCCGATCTCAAAGAGCCGATCCAGAATATAACCCTAATACAACACATTGTATATACGGTCTTGACGCTGATCTAATTTTTCTGGGATTAGCCACACATGAACCACATTTCAAGATTTTGAGAGAAGATGTTTTTGCACAAGACAATAGAAAAAGAAATAATGTGAAAGATACAATAGATATGACCGACGAAGAAAAAGATCTAATACGGAAACAAGACTCAGAAAAACCATTTTTATGGCTTCATATTAGTGTCCTTAGAGAATATTTGTCTGCTGAACTATGGACACCTAAGCTACCATTCCCTTTTGACCTGGAAAGGGCTATTGATGATTGGGTATTTATGTGTTTTTTCTGTGGTAATGATTTCTTACCACATTTGCCATGCTTGGATGTCAGAGAGAACAGTATTGATATTTTACTTGATATTTGGAAATCAATATTGCCTAGACTGAAAACATACATGACTTGTGATGGTAAATTGAATCTTGAATCAGTTGAGATGGTTCTGAAAGAGCTTGGGAATAGAGAAGGTGATATATTTAAGACAAGACATATTCAAGAAATCAGGAAAAAAGAAGCTAATGAAAGAAGAAAACAACAAAAGCAACAAAATGTTTCTACTGGACAAGATAGACATCCAACAAAGTTCAATGAACAATTACAGATGTACGACACTAATGGTAGTCTTGCAAAGGGTAGTTGGAATCTAACCACTAGCGACATGGTTAGATACAAAAAAGAGTTGATGCTTGCTAATGAAGGTGATGAAAACTCAATCAAAATCATTGAGGAGGTGAGTGAAAGGAATAACTCCCTAATGAAGGAGATTCAAAGTGAAATGACACCAGAAGATTACAAGGGAAATAACAATAACTTCACTGCTGCCGAATTGCTGAAGAAGAAGTTGAATGCTAGAAAACGTGAATTGGAAAAAGAGAAAGAAAATGAAGAGCAAGAACGTGCATCTAAACAGCCTAAAATAAGCGAAACTCCAGATGAGAGTGATCTTACTGAAGAAATTGAAGCAGATGTCATAGCTGAGGTGGAAGATGAAACCACACCCGATGAGAAGGATACCGACTCTATAATTACTGAGGTTCCCGAAATCTCTAATGGAGGGATTACTTCAGGTGTTATTGACACAGATGAAGCAGTTAAGCTTTTTGAGCCAGGGTACCATGATAGATACTATATTGAGAAATTTCACATTGAGCCTAATCAAATCCCAGCACTAAGCAAACACATGGTAAAATGCTATATAGAAGGTGTGTCATGGGTATTAATGTACTATTATCAAGGATGCGCCTCTTGGACGTGGTACTATCCTTACCATTATGCGCCTCTGGCAGAAGATTTTGTTGACTTCCATGACTTGGACATTAAGTTCGAACTTGGAGAGCCATTTTTGCCATATGAACAACTGATGAGTGTCCTTCCAGCTGCGTCTGGCCACAACCTACCGGAAGTTTTCCGTCCTCTGATGAGTTCCGAGGATTCTGAAATCATTGATTTCTACCCGACCGAGTTCCCCATTGACATGAATGGTAAGAAGATGTCATGGCAGGGTATTGCTCTGTTACCGTTCATTGATGAGACAAGACTATTGACTGCTACTAGAAACCAATACAAGTTCTTGAGTGAGGATGAAAAGAGGCGTAACACCCGTAACGATCCGGTACTACTGATTAGTAATAAGAATGTGAACTACGAGAAGTTCGCCAAAAGGCTTTACAAGAAAGGTCATGAGGACAACTTCCAGCTGGTATTCCATCATTTCAAGAGTAGTTTAGCCGGCATAGTATCAACTGACACGGAGGGTTTCAAGTTACATGCCAAGTTGCCATGCCCTATCCAGTCTGGTGCATTACCTGAGTTATCCACCAATCTATTCCTGAAGATGCAGTACAAGCTATTACCATTGCCCTCTGCTAACAAATCTCTGATCCTGAACGGGTTTATTCCTTCAGAACCCATGCTAACCCAGCATGACTTCGACTCCATTGTCTACAAGTACGGCACCAGAGGGTTCCAGAGGAACCAGAGGAACTTTGGCATGGAGATGAAGCAGAACATAGTACCAGTGGGCCCCAGTGGTACCACGCAGTATAAACCACGTATCGGCGGATACAGGTCGTTCTTCTACTTTGGCCAGCTAAACCAGCAGATGCACCAGCATAACCAGGTCTACCAGCAAAACCAGGCTCCTACACATGACAGATACAGGAACGACAGGTCCGACAGGGGTGGCAGAGGATATGGTAGACCCGACCACGATAGAGGTGATTACCGAGGTGATTACCGGGGTGATGGCTACAGAGGAGGACACAGAGGTGGCTACAGAGGAGGCTCAAGGTCTAGAGGCCCATCCTCAAGAGGTATCTCTTCCAGAGGCTATTCAGGACCAAGCAGATATAATAGATAGATATATATTAATTGCAACTCCTCTGTCTTTTGGTATCAATCATTCATAGTTTATCTAACTTGAACAAAAATGTTACAAAAACCACATGATATCACTTGCTACATTATAACACGAATTATATTAATAAAATCATACACGACAAATGAAAACATTAACGTCGAATTAATACCTGGAATATCGATCGCTACTGATGCAGTGTGATGAATACATTCGCCATAGTTTTAGATTAGTACCATTATTGCCATTTACATCAATTATCATTAGAACGATATAAAATACTTATCGAAGATGTCTTTTAAGCTAAAATAGACACTATAAAATAAATGTATTTGCTTCTTGTGTTTGATTTTCCACACCGAATCCAACAATTATAAACAATTCTTCCATAAAAGTTAAACAAAACGATTAATTTTTACAGAATTCATCCAGTTCAAACAGTCTGGTATATATTATTTTGTGTTGCAATTTCAGGATATGACTGCTAGGCTCTTGGACGTACTAACAATCAGGTATAGTGATTAATAAATGCATGGCACTGTCTGGAAGGAAGGTCGCATGGGCTGATGAATCACATATCCAATCAGTACTCACAAGAATCCTAAAAAGAGAAACACAGTTACTAAAAGAATCATAACTTCTGATTTGACCTTGATCTTAAAACCAGAACCTTGTAAAACAGAAGCTATTTGAGTGTCCGATGGCCCTCCGGTATGGCTGATGTTAACATCGGAGCTTGACGGTAATACTAATGCAGTGGTCCCTAAATCGCTGGAAGTCTTTCCTAACTGTTGAATTCGTGACTGTGCTGTATGTGTATTCTGGTTATCATTTGTCGAACTCACGGAAGCATCATTCTCAGCGCCGCTTTGAACCGGTATTGATCCAAATGCCGGCGTGTTTTCGGTAGGGCGGGCAGAAACATCGGATGGCCTAGATCCCGTAGAAATAACTGGACGTGATGAACTATGAAGAACTGAGATTGAAGCAGATGAGGCATGTGGTTTAGACATTTGAGGTAGCATAATGCCCACAGATGATACATTTTCGCCATATTTAGAACTGTCCCCCGCAACTTCCTGTGGCACAGAACTCGATGCAGAAGTAGTACTATAAGAAGGCTTGTTTATCGGCCCTGCGGATCCTAAAGTATTTGTGATTATCAATGACACTGAACGGAAAGTATTGCGTCCACTAGAAACTGAAGTTCCATTAACAGAAGATAATCCTTGATTCTCATTACCATTGGCTGGCGTCTTTGTAGTGACGACCGTGTTTCCAGAATTGCTAGAGATAGTGCTTTGCGCATCCACTGTGGTATAAGGATTTTCCTTGGAAACAAATGAAGTAGGGTAATTCGATGTAACGTCTAACTCAGAATCCACTAACAACCAATCGTTACTGAATATCGTGGTCGTGTATGTAATGGTCTTCCCATCAGAGTCTGTAGTTGTGACATGAGATACTACCTCCGTGATCGTGTGTCCATCTGATACGATCGTCGTCGTGTAGTCGGCTTCTCCAGGTGTGATGGTCGACACAGTCGTTGTGCCAGTACGGGTCACTCCATCCTCGCCTTCAGATGGGAAGTAAGAGATCACAACAGTCTTGCTACTGCCGTCATCCTCAGTAATTGTAGTCGTCACGACTGGTGGCTGTGAGTAAGGTGCAGGTGACGTGAACACACCCTCATCTACTTGATCATATGACGCCATCGTGGTGATGTATGTAATGGTCTTCCCATCAGAGTCTGTAGTTGTGACATGAGATACTACCTCCGTGATCGTGTGTCCATCTGATACGATCGTCGTCGTGTAGTCGGCTTCTCCAGGTGTGATGGTCGACACAGTCGTTGTGCCAGTACGGGTCACTCCATCCTCGCCTTCAGATGGGAAGTAAGAGATCACAACAGTCTTGCTACTGCCGTCATCCTCAGTAATTGTAGTCGTCACGACTGGTGGCTGTGAGTAAGGTGCAGGTGACGTGAACACACCCTCATCTACTTGATCATATGACGCCATCGTGGTGATGTATGTAATGGTCTTCCCATCAGAGTCTGTAGTTGTGACATGAGATACTACCTCCGTGATCGTGTGTCCATCTGATACGATCGTCGTCGTGTAGTCGGCTTCTCCAGGTGTGATGGTCGACACAGTCGTTGTGCCAGTACGGGTCACTCCATCCTCGCCTTCAGATGGGAAGTAAGAGATCACAACAGTCTTGCTACTGCCGTCATCCTCAGTAATTGTAGTCGTCACGACTGGTGGCTGTGAGTAAGGTGCAGGTGACGTGAACACACCCTCATCTACTTGATCATATGACGCCATCGTGGTGATGTATGTAATGGTCTTCCCATCAGAGTCTGTAGTTGTGACATGAGATACTACCTCCGTGATCGTGTGTCCATCTGATACGATCGTCGTCGTGTAGTCGGCCTCGCCGGCCTCGCCGGCTTCACTTGGCTTCAATGGGATCGTAGTGGTAATCGTCGTAGGCTTGCCGTCAGAGTCCTTCGTAGTGATGTGCGAAACAAGGTCGGTCTCAAACTCACCGTTGCCCTTGTCAATAGTCGTCGTGTAATCAGCCTCACTCTCAGGTAGAACATCTTTCATGCTAGAAGATAAATGAGGAGCCTCAGGCAAGTTGTAGTCACGCGTAGCATTGAACAGTGTGCTGTCAGTAATAATCTCACCCTTATCATTCGTGGTGATGAAGAACGAGATCCAGTCGGTCTCAACATAGTCCGCGGCAGTGGTGGCTGTGATCGTCACAGGTGGGGGACTGTACGTCCTGGTGCTGCTGGTGGTGATCAACCCACCAAACTCGTTGGTGGTCGTCCAGTAGCTGATGACCAGGTACTCAGTCACTTCGTTGCCCAGATCAACAGTCTTGGTCTCGGCAGGAGGTGCAGGCCCGAACGACGTGTGAGGAGCCTCAGGCAAGTTGTAGTCACGCGTAGCATTGAACAGTGTGCTGTCAGTAATAATCTCACCCTTATCATTCGTGGTGATGAAGAACGAGATCCAGTCGGTCTCAACATAGTCCGCGGCAGTGGTGGCTGTGATCGTCACAGGTGGGGGACTGTACGTCCTGGTGCTGCTGGTGGTGATCAACCCACCAAACTCGTTGGTGGTCGTCCAGTAGCTGATGACCAGGTACTCAGTCACTTCGTTGCCCAGATCAACAGTCTTGGTCTCGGCAGGAGGTGCAGGCCCGAACGACGTGTGAGGAGCCTCAGGCAAGTTGTAGTCACGCGTAGCATTGAACAGTGTGCTGTCAGTAATAATCTCACCCTTATCATTCGTGGTGATGAAGAACGAGATCCAGTCGGTCTCAACATAGTCCGCGGCAGTGGTGGCGGTGATCGTCACAGGTGGCGGACTGTATGTAATTATTTTAGTACTCGTCCCATATGGATGCTCTTTATCATCTTGAGGAACTGGGAAATAATCTAGTACATGATATTCCGTCACTCCATTTCCTAAGTCGACTGTCTCAGTTGTTTCGCGTAGTTGGTTATAAATTGTTGAACTAATCGTTACCGGAGAGGGCTTGTTATCTATTCCAAGTGTTCCTGACACAATGATCTCGATAATTTCAGTGGTATACTCATCAGACTTCGTTGTCGTGGTAGATGAGTATTGAAAGGACTCATAAAAGTATACCGCTAACTCCTTCTTGTATTTGCTAAAGTCTAGACCATCGAAGCCTACAAATGAGTCGATTCTGTCGCCTTTGTAGTATCCAATATTCAGGGCGCTATCACCATGCACTGTCACAGTTTGTGATGGGTTGGAATGCAAAATCCTTACATCGGAATTGTCAGTAGATACACTAATCTCGTCTTCTTTGGTAGCATCATTGTCGTAGAAATAGTAGAACAGGTACTGATGAGCATCGCTTATATCGGTATCTGCTGTGTATTTATAGCCTGTCAGTGTGATGCCGTCTTGCCCCGCTGGCAATGCCACTAGATATTCATAGTTTGTTGGCCTACGAATTGGCCCCATGCTCAGATCCAAAGTGATTGGTGATACAACGGAATACCCAATATACCCCAATGTATGCAACACAGCATTATTTGTAAATGAAAACATGTCATTATAAACAGCCAGTATCCCTTCACATGTTATTTTCCCCGACATATCATCTCTCAAAATACTTGGAGTATTCGGGCTACTTTTGGGTAATCCACTCAATCCAAAGTCCATTCTCCAAAGAGGTTTATCAAACTGAGATCCAGTCTTACTACCTGGTGACAACAGATCTAATTTTCCGCTGATGATCATACAAGAGATATAGCGCAATTCAAGTGCTGTTTGATCTGGAGCTACACCAGCCATACGAATATTTGGGGATTCTCCTCGGTAGTTTGGTATACCATTTTTTATGGTTGGAAGAGTGACACTCATGGAACAATCCTTGTACACCTGTACTCCAATTTGATCTCCATAAATATCAAAAACAAAATTGTTCACAGCATCGGCCTCATCCTCATAGGTGTTTCCGCTACTATCATATGTGAATTTTGAGTTAGTTTCTATAGCACATACACCCCGCACTGTGAAGTTCAATTTCTTACTAGCGCCAATAGGAGGAATAACATTAAATACTGAGTTACGTTGGACAATAAGACCCCCGGGAAGGCTTATGCGAGCAAAATTTTTCAAAGTTAGACTTGAGTTACGTACAGATAATGGTTTATCAAAGGGTAGAATAAATTCTTCTGTGCCCATACCATCCAGTACTACCACTTTATCTTCATAGAAATCAGGATACACCGCAGCACATGCCCAGGATAAAATGGCCACAAATGTAGCAAACACACTTAGATATTTCATAAGGGATATGGTTACTTGTGCCCCAATGTGTCTAGTATGTTCTTAAAGACTGTAATAATTCTTAAAACACCGAATATAGAACAGTAGGTTAGTTGTTTTATCCTACTTTTTATTCATGTAATGAAAGTTAGAAAGATAAAAGATTCATATTAGAATAATTGGGATTTTGGCGAAAAAACATAACACTTAAATATGTAAGTGAATGGTGCCCGAATTTCGAAACATTCGTTAAAGGATTTACCGATGGTAGGCCATTAGCTTTGTTGAGCAATCCAATAATCGACTAAACCATAATATAGGCTAAGACCCTTGCACATAGCAACAGACCCTCCAGTACAGGTTAGGATTTCCCATACAATGAAAACATGGAAAAGAAAAGCAAAGATATCCGGACCCGACAAATGGTTATAACAGCCATGGCTCGCGCTTTGGAACACATTATGAATAGGATTATATCAGAATTAACCCAGTCCCTTCCGAAGAAGCTTGGTGAACAGTTCAACGTATGGCCAGATTAATTAACAGAAGTGCGTACAAGCATTTTCTCTGGTTCACGAAATGCAAGTCGTCCCCTTAGTCACCACAGACTCCGTAAATATGTCTCCTTCTATTCAACTTCGTTAAACTTTGTTAAGCTCGAATAGCTCAATAGTGACTGGATCCTGGAAAGGCCGAGACTCGAGAGATACCCTTGGGCCGGCGAGATATCATTGTCTGTTGTAAGTCTCTCTGAAACAGTCGCATGTATAGAAAAGGAAAAAAACCTCCTTGCGTATAGATTTAGATGAATAACACCGACCAGACATACCCATTCGCCCCTCAAGCAACGTTGCTACAGTGTGTTCCCTATGCAGTTAAGCGTCCCGAATCGCAGCAGTCTTACCGGATAGGCCCGACCAGCGCTGATTTGCAAAATTCCCGAGGATTTACCAAATTTTCACATTCTATTCCTCGGGTGTTCGGCAAGTCGAAGGCAGACGAGGGGGGAAGGGATCGCTAGCAGTTCAGAATATGTCGTAGGGGAGGGAGGGGAATGGCCCCAGTGGGGAAGCCCACGCTGTGGCACTGCGCAAGAGTATGTGCTTCCAGATACGCGTACGCCAAGCTGCTAACGCTCTCTGCTTGCAAGTTGACGACCAATAAGAGCGTATGCTCTAAGGGGCTATTGTCTACGTTCACAATGAATCTTCATACCGGAGATAAATTAGCCGAATCGAGAGGTTTCATCCTTGGTATTGGGACGGATTTCGTCACCGTTACGATGTGTGGTATTGGTCTTGAGTTCTTCTCAGATTAGCTCTCGACTTTCGGAAAGTATTAATTAACTCATAATTAATAGAGTTGTCTTCAAATATATTTCAGAGTAATACCTACAGTGTTGCACGACCATGAAAATGTTATTTATTTTAGTTTGTGATTTTAGTCATGGCAATGTAATTTAAAATTTTCAGGAATTAATATTAGGACAAAAGGGATGATCGGTGTAGCAGGCTCGTAGTTATCGAGTAGATGGATACTATAGGCCGCTACGCTATACTACTGAACAGAGACAAAGTATAATGAAACTGTGTTATCGATTTGCCAATACACATAAATTGTTTCAGCAATGCCGGTATGAATCTAGCCCCAGATATTTCTTAGTCTTAAAAACATGTTATTGTGATTAATGGATTTGATCAATTTGTGTAAGCGTATGGATTCAAAGACCGAGACTACATGACCATATAGGAATAGTCTAATCGAACGAGCCAATTATCAACGCTCAAACCTTGCGAAATGCAATACTTATCAATACGATAAGAAGAGTATCCGTCAATACTTTCGAGAAGCCAAGCCACTCGCTCAGGACTCTTCAGTGCTCACGCCGGCAATCCGAGTACTATCGAGGAAGGAGAAAAAGGAGATTTATTGGGACAGGATGAGAAACTCTTAATACCTTATCTTGGAGAACCATGTAGATGTGCCAAGGACTTACGAAAAGTACGGGGCACTACAAAACCACCTAGCAATAGCAGGCATGTAATGCGCCCGAGCAATTATAGCTATTATAAATGAAGTGCAATCTAAATTATAATTGTTCAATTGGTATCACACCAATAAGTAAATAAAGTGTCCTCAAAGTCCTCAATGGAGAGATTTTGAATATCGATCCTTTTAGTCGCTTTCAGAAAAAAGAACACAACAAGTAATAAAAAACAACTATTGTACAGCTTAGGTTTGAGATCGAGTCTAAAAAGATAAGAACTCGAAATCCAATCACCATAGTTAGTCGTTATCACCCTTGAAGATTATTCCATATAATACATACTGACTTATCTTGTTCCTCATCTGTGGTATTCTAAAAGAACCAACTACCGCTCTTGTATCTCCTGCAGGTGATTCCCGAACCCGTGAAAACCGCTGGATCTAAGGCAATTACTAGCAGGACTCTCACCTTCAATCTAACAGTGTGTGAGTGCATGATGTTGTGTACTTCCACTCAGTTTGTTCGAAAATGTCATTTGTAATCTTATCACTATTGATATCGGCTAGCCATAAATAAGACATCCTAGAGTATTTGTAGTTATCGATAAGGAGATAAGATAGAATTGTAGTATAACAGTATAGGATATGTTTTGGCTACTTCCTTATCTATAAGATAAATGTAGAATGTGTAAAGGTAAAACGACTGCTATGAAATTCCTCTATGCTGGAATTTCACTCACCTATCGTGTATTTAATTCTTTGAGTTTCCCATCATTAAACCTATGATTTTCATATCTTCATTATCATTCTAGTTCTGTCTCGTCTATAGACTCACCAGTATTTCCTCAGTGGAAGTCTATAGACTTAAATCTTATTGGCTGTTGTCATGCATAACTTACTGCTCTTAGAGACCGCTGTTAGAGACCGCTCTTATCGCATACGATATTACTACACGTGATCACATTATACACCGTCTATAATTATAAGTAATACTGGTATACCCAACAGTTTTGTAGACAGCATATAAGCACATACAATCCGATGTAGTGTAACGGCTATCACATCACGCTCTCACCGTGGAGACCGGGGTTCGACTCCCCGCTTCGGAGTATTATTTTTTTTGCGGCTCCCGTCTAACCTTTTTTTTCACATTCTTATTGGTACGATTTAATCACCTTGTACTACTAAATGCATTTTTCCTTCTTAAAAATCCCGCAAATATCACATCTGACGTAACAATGGTTCGAGAACAGTTTCTCAAAATCATAACTTCTGTGGCTCCTGGCCCTTCTCCTATATTGGATGCCCCCACATTCATTTTTACTCGGTTGTTCCGTTAGTTCTGCTGTGAGGTTCACTTGTGTTCCCGCAGGTGTTCCCATAGGTGTTCCCGTAGGTGTCCCCACACAGCCGTGTTTATACCTGTTGAGCTGTGCGATGGTATCTCTGGGAGAGGGACCTCGGGAAAGTGTCACACAGTTAAGGGGGGAAGGTGACACTAAGGATCGAGCTCAGAACAGAGATACCATCCCACTCAATTGCACAAACTGGGATCAGTGAGAGCACCGCACGCAAGATTTGAAAGAAATAAATGAGGGGGGGGGGAAATATGCTAAGAAGGAGGTGCAGGATACTTCAGATTTCTGAACGGCAGTCGTTTCTTGCAATTTGCAAATCGAGGGCAAAGAGATACAAAGAGAGATACACTAAAAGCGCAGAAGGATAGCGTGGGAGACAGAACTCGGATTTTTTTTAAATGAAAGACAGGTTTATCCGTGCGGATGTTTGAGTGGATAACGTCGACAGAAGCATGGAAGGTGGGGGGGAAGTGAATTCACGGTGAAATTTAAAGGCGAAGGGGGGTAGGGTTAAGGAGCGTATTCTCGGAAAATTTAGAGTTTTTCCGGTCTGAGTCGTACTTTCGGAAAAACCATTTATTCCGTTTGTTCAAGATTACCCACGTAACACAAGGTTGTTTCGCAATGTTAGTTTCTGGGATCTTTAACAATCAATCTGGCAATCATCCAGTTGCAGACGAGAGAGGAACTAGCTGGGGGGGAAGGACAGGAAGGACAGGAAGGAAAAATTGCAAAAAAGGAAAAAGGAAAGACTATTTTTTCCGAAGCTGACAGGTATTTTAGATAAATTTTCCTCTTGGAGTTGTCTCTTGAGTGCTGGGAAGGTATTAGGCAAAAGAACCACAAGCAAAAAAAGCACCAAGTAGGACGCAATCGCAAAAGCCGTTTCCAAAACGGAAGGCAAAGAGAAAGAGACAGAGAGAGAGGAAAAAATTACTTTATATATAATAATTTAGGCTTCTGTTATCGAGTTTCCTTCCCCCAAAGCGAAGCAAAAGTAAGCAAAGTTTTGATATTTAAAGGAAAAGACATACGCTACTCGATATTTGATATTGAACATATTTACTCATATTACAAGAACAAATAGAACAAGACTAATAGATTATAAGGAATACAGAAAAACAAAATGTTCGTTTCACCACCCCCTGCAACAACAACAAAGCAGGTATTTCCGAAGAAACTGCCGAAACGATTATCAGCTATACCTGAGAACAACTCAGTGAGCAACTATTCTCTCGATAACAGCGATAATGGGAGTATAGATAGCGATGTGAACATGGATGTGGACTCCCATATATCTGATGCAACAACACAACTACAACTGCCACTACAGAAAACGACAAGCAATAGAAATGATTTCGTGAGTGCCCCACCAGAATATGCCGATAGAGCTAGGTTAGAGATTAAGAAGAGACTGCTTCCCAGTGGTCAAACCATGGGCCACTTTCCAACACATAGCTCGACTAGTCGACACATACAACGCAGCAGAAGTCACAGCTCGCAGTCCTCGACAAGTGATAGCCAGAGTCTTTTTTCTGACAACGCCTCCTCATACCAGTCGAGTATTTTCTCACAGCCTTCTACAGTTTTCTCACAGAACACTTCAAGCACCACCAATAGTACACATGACTTCTTATTCCCACATCCAGCTAAGATAATAACACAACTATCTCTAGAAGATGCTCTTCCGAAGTCCTTCTATGACATGTATGCTCCAGAGATTCTAACTGACCCCACAAACCTGTTATGCAATGGACGTCCCAAGTTTACTAAGAGAGAGCTTCTGGATTGGGACTTGAACGATATAAGGTCGTTGCTTATCGTTGAGAAAATGAAACCAGAGTGGGGGTCACAATTACCGGAAATTGTTACAGCAGACCCTAATCTGCCTAAATTCAGGTTTATACTATTGCCTTTGAACTCTACTGATGAGACTATCATACAGATCCTTGTTAACTCAGACTTATACCAAGAGGCTAACCTGGACTTCGAATTCAAGCTGACTAGTGCTAAATACACTGTTGCAGCCGCTAGAAAGAGGCATGAACAATTAAGAGGCTACCACGAAGAAGTTATGCAGCTAACTAAACCTGAATGGAGAAATATTATCGAGAATTACTTGTTAAATATTGCCGTCGAGGCCCAATGCCGTTTCGATTTCAAGCAGAGATGTTCTGAATTCAAGAAATGGAAATTGCAACAAGCCAATTTGAAGAGACCAGATATGCCTCCACCAAGCATGGTACCTATGAATCACTCGAATAAATCATCTGGAAGTCTTTTGAAAAGGGCTCTGATGAAGAATCTGCAATTAAAAAATATGAAAAATGAGCATAGTCAGGAAAATATGATGGCTGGTCCATCCGCAACACCTTTGAGCAATAAGGTGCTTCTAACCAAAGAAGAGAAGGCCCATATCTGGACCCAATGCCAAACTCAGGTTTACCAAAGGTTAGGCTTGGACTGGAAGCCAGATGCTATGCCTTAGATTTTAGAAGTTTCAAACTAAATTGATGCTTAATTATTTCTAATATGACACGCACCTGTATGCAACATATGAATAAATTAAATTTCGTTGTACTACAAGATATGCATAGGGGGGATTTTGATTGACAGCAAGCTAACGGATACGGCTTATAATAAATAATAATTCATTGATTTCCCATCTTTCTATTTTCAAATATGAATCATTTTATTATAGATTTACTAGTTCATATATTGATGAAGAAAGACCCTATCATATAAAAAAAATTCACTTCTCGCTTTTTTTTTAAATGCTCTCTTTTAATTGCTAGGTAGTTAGTTACTCACAATTAATTCTTTAACTGCTGTTTAACTCTTTCATTGAAAATATAATATTAATAGCTAGAGAGCTAATTTTTTCAGTTTCACAATCCTTCATTATATTAACCAAAAATTAACATAAGAGCTAAAAATATTTCTACATATCTATATCCGCATTTTTATTTTAAGAGATCTAGTATTATACTTGCAGCAATTATTTTAATTATACGCTTGTAGGAATTATCCTTCTTATTATCAAACTGGATAGTTATTTCCTTGTGTTGATGAAAATTCAAAATCAAATTCTCGAGCAAAAAAATAAAAACTTACATAGGTCAAATACATAGCAAACTACTTCCAAGTGCCACTCAATATTTAGTTCTTTTCATGCTACTTTATTTAGTTTTATCTATCTATAGAAGCGAATCTATATACTCTTACAATGTTAGGTTAATTTTTGCTCTGAAAAAATTTCAAGCGAAAATGAAAAATATCAAAAATGTAAGGCATCAATCAACATTTAAGAACTGGAAGTTAGTAATTGAGGTCTCTTTACGAAACCCTTGACCTTAACTACCTTATTTCATACCAGCAAAGTACAAATCACTATCAAAGGTACTACAAGAATGAGCGCTACTGAAGATAAGAAGGACCCAGCTTCCATGCTTGCTGAATTGAAGCTAGACAAGGATGAGGGCAATAAAACCCCAGAAACCAAGACTCCGGAATCCAACAGCGCAGAAACTAAAACTACAGAAGAGGTGAAAGAATTGAAGAATCCATTCACTCAAAAGAAAGAAGATGTTGAGAATGATGCTGCAGAGGAGAAGACGAATGAAGTTAATAAGGATGATGCCAAGGATGAGAGAGAGAACAAAGATACTAATCTGATCAAATCCGAATACGAAGTCAAGGTGAATCTAGCTGATCTGCAGGCTGATCCAAACTCTCCATTGTACAGTGTTAAGTCTTTCGATGAATTAGGGCTATCTCCTGAGCTTTTGAAGGGTATTTACGCTATGAAGTTCCAAAAGCCTTCCAAGATTCAAGAAAGAGCACTGCCACTACTTTTATCTAATCCACCAAGAAATATGATTGCCCAATCTCAATCAGGTACCGGTAAGACAGCTGCATTTTCTTTGACCATGCTCTCCCGTGTCGATGAAACTCAAAACGTTCCACAAGCTATTTGTTTAGCACCATCAAGAGAATTGGCCAGACAAACTCTAGAAGTCATTCAAGAAATGGGTAAATATACAAAAATAACTACTCAATTGATTGTTCCAGATTCATTTGAAAAGAACACAAAGATTAATGCCAATGTAGTAGTTGGTACTCCAGGTACTTTATTAGATTTGATCCGTAGAAAACTGATCCAATTACAAAATGTGAAAATATTTGTTCTTGATGAAGCAGACAATATGTTAGATAAACAAGGTCTGGGTGATCAGTGTATCAGAGTAAAGAAGTTCCTACCAAAGGATACGCAATTAGTTCTATTCAGTGCCACTTTTGCTGATGCTGTGAAGGCCTATGCACAAAAGGTTATTCCGAACGCCAACACACTGGAGCTTCAAAGAAATGAAGTGAATGTTAAGGCTATTAAGCAGTTATATATGGACTGTAATGATGAAGCTCACAAGTACGAAGTTTTGTGCGAACTTTACGGTTTGCTAACCATCGGATCATCCATCATCTTTGTTGCTAAGAAGGATACTGCCAACCTCTTATATGGAAAATTGAAGCATGAAGGCCATCAAGTCTCCATTTTACACAGTGATTTGAGAACAGACGAGAGAGACAGACTAATCGATGACTTCAGAGAAGGTAGATCTAAGGTTCTAATTACAACCAATGTCCTGGCGCGTGGTATTGATATTCCATCGGTTTCCATGGTTGTTAACTACGATCTTCCAACTTTACCAAACGGAATGCCAGACTACGCTACATATGTGCACAGAATTGGTAGAACTGGTAGATTTGGTAGAACCGGTGTGGCTATCTCCTTTGTTCATGACAAGAAGTCTTTCAAGATATTATCTGCTATCCAAGACTATTTCAAGGACATCGAACTAACCCGTGTTCCAACAGATGACTGGGATGAAGTTGAAGATATTGTTAAAAAGGTATTGAAACAATGAAATAAACTTCTCGGGTTAGTATATAGATGTATTCACATACAGTATGTAAGAATAAAACATATCAATAATTGCACAGGAACGTTATACTATTGTTTTGTAGTTTTAAAAAACTTACTTGAAGAAATAAACTGGTCATTATCGATAAATCAATACTGCCAATAACAAAATATAAAATCATTCCATTCTAAGGTAATTAAAAATTTATATACATGTGTAAAGGTGCGAAATTACATGAGGGGTGAAATTGTCAATGACTATATTTTTGAGATTAATGCCTATTATCTTCTGAGTTTAGCGTAATTATATTGTCATTTCTAATGTCCTAGTAACAAATGGTCAAATGAATGCTGCTTACAATTGTGGAGCTAGCATCTCCATCAAGGAAGATTGGATGAATGCAACACCACCAATGAAGAAGGCTCCATTCAAAGCAATAGTGTATAATGGGGATTCCTTGAACTTTTGAAATCTAGACTTTGGCTGTTGAGGCACAGCTGCACCAGCACCTGGCATTCCGAACATAGCAGCAGAGGACATTTCGAGTTTATTTGTATTGTTAGGTAGTTAGTAGTTATGCTTCTTCTCCGCTGAACAGTACTATATATAATCCCCATGAGGATTCTTCAACAACTTCTTATTACTGCTGAAATCGTTGCGAACTTTTGTTCTTCTGGGTCTCTCAGTTAAAAATCACAGTACGTTGCTAATGATATATGATATATGGGAATGATAAGCTCAATTGATAAAACGTTCTATTCACTATTGTGAGTGGAACGAATACAGTTGTTGTAGATACATTACAATTACGAAACATTTTATGCTGTGGTTTAGTTAACATTTGTCATTTCTTGCAAATTTTCTACCCAAAAAAGGAGATAGACAAGTACTAAAAAGGGCGATGCTTCTGCAACACTGGCATGCACCAATAAGTATCAATTAATCTGCTATTGCCTTGTTTGTGTGGTTTATAACAATTTCATAAAGTTCAGCTAAAGATTTACTATATATACCATAGTAGGGCAAATACGTTGTAAAAAAAGTTTATGTATAAAGTAAGAGATACCTGCTCTCAAAATAATTCTAAATAACGATAGCAATGCGCTGCCACCAAACTGACTGAAATGAGCATTTTAAAAATCTCTACATGCGATGTACCGACACCTTTTATCAATCTATTCACATTGTTCTTGGATCCCTGTATAGTGAAGTAACATTAAACTCCAAATCACAAAAACTGAATGTGATGCAATGCCAATCTTACGTGATATGCGGTTATCACCTTTAATCATTTTGAGTTTTATAACGTGAAATTTGTTCGTCACTGTATTATGGAAGTTCTATAATATTCATGTTTATTTCTATGTTATCGAAATCACTCTGATTTTGTGGTTCTTGAGTGCTTGGGGCCTTCAATAGAGTTGATCGCATGCCTGACCACTCTCGTACCTACGTCGTAAAATAGGAAAAGCTTGCCGGCACCTAGTCCTTTACTCCCCCATCCTGACTCTCGCGATATCTTTTGGGTTGACTGTGTACCCGCTTCAGTTGTGAGATGCTCCCTTGAGCTAGTGCTCGCTTGCTGTTCCCTGTTTGTAAGCTTCTTCCTGTACGTTATAAGACGCACGGAGTAATCCACTAGTCGGTAAACATATAAAAATAGATCGAAGGCATAAAGACCTAGGAACGGTATGAGTAGTAATGCCACAGCTGCATAGCAACTATATTGTACTACAAGAACAAATGATCTGAATAGTAACAGCAGATAATCCTTCACCATCTGTCACAAAATTTTATCCTTCAATTCAAATAAATACCTGCAATATTCACAATAAAATATAATTACTCCAATATCAAATTTGTTAGCTCAAATCAAAAAAGGACTCCTATGTTTTACACTGCACTTTATCTCCCTGGTTATATAATATTGTGATCCTAAGGTTGATCTGTGTTCCCTGGATTATCCAGCAAAATGTATGGAAAGAAAAGAAGTTGTTTATGATTGCAGTGTATCGGTGATCACTGGAGCCAAAGTCTATAGAATACTTCAACTGATCAATGTTGCAACGATGGAGTCATCGCTTTGTTATGGGAATGAGCCCATTGTCCCTGTTGCTTTCTCGATGACATTAATCCCGATGCCCAAAAAGTTGCAGGAGGAAAGGCGAAAAAGTGTCAAAACGAGACAAAAAGAGGGAGAGCTATACGAACAAGGACAAATGAACAATCATACTGTTAATTCTTGAATACGTGTTTGTGTTACAAATGAGATGTGTATATTTATATGAGTTTGAAGACATGGCTATTTAGTAGGAACATTGCAATCATAATATGTCGGAGTCCAGGTATAATTTGTTGTGAAATAAGTATCTTGCAACTAGAAAAATGAAAGTTAAAAAAAAACAAATCAAAGCTACCATTGTATGTGATGGGCTTTTCGAATGATAATTTGTTTTCTGATGCAGATTTCTTCTGTTGAGTATCATTCAGTCAAAAACTCTATCTACTGTGCACCAACGATACTCAATTCGAGTGTCCATACCCTACGTACATGCAATTTTATTGGTATTGTAATCTTGTTCAAGCCATCCATAGGATCCCCGGACTCTGGAGCTTTCAGTTCTATTACAGAATGTGCTTCATCCACAAATTTACCGTAAACTTCGACTTCTATCGTGATTTGCTCCTCACCCCACCAACACTTACGAGCTGGCTTTCTCCAGAACAATAATAGCTTTGCATTGATATCTGGATACGGTACAAGGTCATATACTCCTGGTGTTTCCACCTTTGAGGCCTGCTTGTTAGACGATTTGGAGCGCACATTGTCCGCAAACGTAGATAGTCTGGACTTCTTCTTATCCTTAGTTCCTGAGCTACTATTCAATGTAGTCCTTGAATCATGGTGGGCAGTTGACAATGGACTAGGTGTATCTCTGTTGCCATTTAATTGCGATGTCCTGCTATTAGATTTAGTGCTTAGGCCAGATGGCATTGGTAAGGAGCCTGATGATGAGTTAGATGACTTCATCGACATGTTGCTGTTGTTATTCAGGTGCTCCGCTTCCCATTTACTCTTCGCAGCTATAAACTGCTCTCTGAACTCCTTGGTGCTTTCGTTGGCCAATCTGCAAAGAGATAAAGAGCTGATCACCGTCTTACCGGCCTCCTGTGTTCTGTTTCCCCAAGTTGATTGCTTCGAAAACCCAGATGAGCAGAGCATATCCATTAGATGTTGCTCAGCTGGACCTAGCACCTTCTCTGATCTACCTTTACTTGGTTGTCCTTTGTGGTGTTTCAGTCTATTGGAAGAAAAAAGGCCTTCAAAGATGGAAACGTTTTAAGTTAAATGACTGCCAGCAGCTAATTTAACTTGGGTCATGTAGTGTTGCAAAAGGTCATCATTGATCTGCTCATCGTCCGTGGCGAACTTGAAAGTTTGTAGAGGCACACAGTAGTAATCGAGGTCTTCTCTAAGCACAATGATGGCTGGTTTCTGGTGGAGCAAATCTTGTTCCTTTGATTGGGCGTTGTTGTGGAGCCCCAAGAATTCCTTCGTCGAGCTCAATAGCCCGCCGGACTGCTTGTCACCGAAGAAGTGCTCAACCGGGTACTTTATCAAATCGTCATATGCCTCTGTGTAGACTTCCATGATATATTCAAAGCACTCTGGTGGGAAATTCATGATGTAGACTTCGTCATCAGGGGTCAGATTGGTGATCACTTGTCCGACACGGTCTAAAAACACACCTGATGGGAACAGACACAGCAATAGCGACTCCGGCAACGACATTAGCTGGTCCCTGGTTATATAGTAGTGACTCTCCTGGATGTTCAAGTGTATCAGCGAGTTACCGTAGTCATCCCCGCCATCATCGTAGTAATCTCCTTCATATCGCGCATCCACGTTTAAAAGGTGGCCGGACTCCGGATTCACCTGTGTGATAATATCCTCCATCGCTTATCAATGTAAAAACACAACTATTCGAACTGCAATTAACCTCTCAAAAGCCTCTAGAATTACCACAATACCGAAAGGATTACTGTAACCTTGATCCTAGTGTACAAAGCTCAAATTCTCAACTGAAAAAGCACGTACTTGTCAGCAAACCGGCCCTCGTTATCTTCTATAAGCACAGCAAACCAATTGAAACTCTGGTCAACTCTGGAGACGTAAGCGGTTACTGAAAGTGCTACACTATCCCAGCTAACTGTGCTTCCCGTTTCTTATCTACCTGGCATTTGGGACTTCCCCTGGCCCTTCGCCGAATTAAAGTAAAAAATTTGATATCACTATGTACTACATACTTAAATGGACTCTATCACATAAGAAGGGAAGCCCAATTGGTAACATATAGCAATGCTAGTGGCACCGCAATGGCAGATTGCTATCTACACTATAACTAGACACTGGATATATCTCTAATAATTGGCATCGCTACGTGCTTTAGGTTCCTAAGTTGCTCTCTTTCACAGAAAAAAAGGTGGATCAATTGTTTCAATTCTTGGTTTGAATACTTTTCCAGCAGTAGCTCAAGTTATTGGGATCAATTGCATTGAATCCGATAGAGGTATTGTAGTCTGAATGGACAGATGGACTGCCATACCATGCATATGTGTGGATACCGATACCTAAAAGCATGAGGTATCTCATGCAACGATGCAATTTTTTTCAAATATGCAGCGAAGGGCATCGCAAAATGTATAAAAGGCCAGTTATCTATTTCGAAGAAGTTTGTATTGTATTGCACTCATGCAAACGCAATAGCTCTTAAAATGCGATAACGATGTCTGGGATATCCCGTTTCTTTTGAAGGTTCAAAGGATTCTTGTTGGGGATATTCTCCTTGAGATAGAGATGATGATTTTAATTACTACTTATCTACATTACCTGACAGTGGCTCCGGCCTTGCCTAACAATAGACAGAGGCCAAGCGACTTTGGAGAGTTTTATTACAACCTGATCTATCTCATACTTGTCAAAACGTAAACAAAATAAATAAGATCAATCAAGGAGTATCTATGAGTTGACACGAGTCAGTGTGAATTGCTTTTTTCTTGAACTATATCCGCATTATATATGGCCCTTGTTTAGTATACAAGGGGAGTAAAATAGTAACATCAAAATCGCGTACGGTAAATCTACGACTTCTGTACCCATTATGTCTGAAAACGTTAGGCTTTCGCATTAAAGTTCCTCGTCACTGTTAATCAAAAACTCATCCTCGCTTTCATTTTTATTCTTCTTTGTGGAAGCGTTGACTTTAGTAGGGGTAGCGTTCAGTGGCTCTGGTGGTAATGGTTGCCATTTCCTCTTGGTCTTCTCTTTGTTCTCTGGGGTGTCTATGTAGGTAGTCTCAGCAACAACTTTGTCCTTTTTACCTTCTTGAGGCTTCACTTCTTCGCTGTCTTTCTTGGAGTCATTGCTTCTAGCTCTGGATGGCAACTGGGGTGGCACTTCCTCGTCCTCGTCCTCACCAAATTCTTCGTCTCTCAGAGAAATACCGCCTTCAACATCATCCGTAGCACTAGCGCCGAAGGAATTAAATCTATGTCTAGCGTTTAATCTTTGTTCATCACCCCTTCTGTAGCCTGGGTCTTGAACACCTCTCCTCTGGCGACGCTCTTGTTGTTCGACGTAGGTCCCGTAATCCTCGTCTAGGTCTCTTCCATGTGAATCATCCTGGTAATAAGCGGAATCGTTCTCTTCACCTTCACCAATGAAGTTCTTCTTGACACCGTTAAACCAAGTTCCAACTTTCGTAGCCGTTTCTTGCAACGATCCCTTGGCCCTCGCAGTAATCTCTGGGAGATCCTTCTCTACAAATTGAGACCACGAGTCCTCCTCCAGGTCGTCATTGTTGTATCTCTCGTAGTTTCTACCAGCTTCACGCTCGTTGTGATGGCGACGCTCGCCCCTGCGCTTGCGGTTGTACTCCTTGTCCAATTGACGGGCCAGCATCTCATCTTGTTCCAATTGCGTCTGCTTTCTCCTTGGGGGTAAAGATGGGTTCTGTTGCACTGGCTCACGAGGCAACTCTATATCTTTACCGGATTCGGGATCAGACAAAAACAGCAATGCATTGAAAGCTGGGTCTAGGGCACCTTGCGATGCAATTATGACAGCCTTCACGTACTGCTCCTCTATGTTAGGGAACGCCTCTTTCAGTTGCAACAGCAGTGGGTTCTCGACTTTCTTAGTGGTTGTGTCTTCTGTAATGTCCTTCTTGGCAGAATCACCGACATCTTCCTTAACTTCTTCCAAGTCTTCTTCCTTTGCCTCGTCCTTGTCCTGCTTCACCTCGACTGGTTCTTCAATTGGCTCTTGTTGCTTTGAATCAAGATCCTCGCCTGTTTCTTTCTCCAGCACTGGTTTATCCTCAGCCTTTTCGGCCTTCTGTGACTTCTTGCCCATGTTTGTCCGATATTCTTCCTGGCACTGGCTTTGATCTCTATGAAAAGAAGCAAGCACTAGCTAATTAATACTCGATTGCTGTCGATAGCCACTTGTCATGAAACATTTGACGCTCAAAGGTAGAAACAGTTGGGAGACAAGTTAGAAGGGAGGGGCGAGCTTCACCAGCGAGTTTCTCCCCTTAAGGATAATCAGAGAAGATGGCTTCTTCAGAACCCAAAAAACGTGGGAAAAACACGACAAGTCACGTTTTTATATCTATGTATACGATAACGTGGTCACATGAATTTGATACATTCATACGCTACAAACGTGATGTATTCGTTAAGTAATACATCCGGTGTTGTGTGTGCATGTAATACGTAAATATCACCTGCCATTCTCGTATTACAGAACAAAGTCTTTTCATTTGTGCCAATTTGTCCCACAAGATGCCACGTCAGCATGGCGAGTTACAGGGCTGCTTGAAACCAGCCATAGCAAAAGACAACAGTGAGTCAGTACAGTATGCTTCTAGCTTCTTTACTGTCTCACAGAACTTCTTTGATGGATGGAGAAAGAAGCAGCTGTAGGGAGTACTCGCAACATCTGTTACATTTCAGACTAGTTCGGAGAGACTGCTTTCCTGGATTCTCTTGTATATGTATCTGTGCTGGAACTGGCCACGTCGATCCCTATAAAGCTGTATAGAACGCTTGGACAAAGTCTATTCTGCAGCACAGATCTGATATGAACTGCAAAAGTACATGTAAATCTTATACAAAACAAGTAGAGCACTAACAGCGGGAGCGTCAATCAGTTTGGCAAAGCCCTGGTTTGGACATCAGCACTTTAATACTGAGTATATATACGGGAAAGCGTAATTAAAAGAACAATAATTATCTAAAACCTATAAAAAAAGAGTAATATTGAGCTATGGTACATTAACTATGGTTTTAATTAAGATTATTTTCATTGAGTGTTCTCTATAATTGCTTTTGGGTTTTGCTTGTTTGTTGGAAATTTTATTAGAGTAATTTACATTGGAAAATGCTGATAAAACAAAATTGGGATGTCGCAAGCGCGATTGTTCATCGTTTTGACAAGACTAGATGTTCAAAATTAACATTATGAGAACCATTGATAGAGAACCCCATTTCATAGAGATTTGTGAGGCGGAGCCCTTATATGTGTCAGATATACTGTTGGTATGGCCAGGCGCCCCTGAAAAAATTGATTGACTGGCAGATGGTATGATGGAATTGCCTTCTAGTGTCGTGGTGCTTCTGCTGGATGATGAAGAATTTAAATCATTAGATGATGAAGAATGTCTAGCACTATTTCCTGCTGCAGGTTGTGGTTGAGCTACATTAGTTGGTCTATTAGAAGTACTTGGTTCGCCTAAAGTTGGGTATTGTTGAATAGTGACAGTATTTCCATTGCTATCAGTAGTGGTGATGTGTGAAACAACTACAGTGGTTGGCTTACCACCAGAAGTGATGACAGTGGTGTGATCAATGGATCCACTTCCAACTGGCAACGTCGTTTCAATTACAGTTGAGTGGCCATTGCTGTCAGTAGTGGTGATGTGTGAAACAACTACAGTGGTTGGCTTACCACCAGAAGTGATGACAGTGGTGTGATCATTGGATCCACTTCCAACTGGCAACGTCGTTTCAATTACAGTTGAGTGGCCATTGCTGTCAGTAGTGGTGATGTGTGAAACAACTACAGTGGTTGGCTTACCACCCGAAGTGATGACAGTAGTATGATCACCTAAAAATGTATATGGAGCGTCAGGCAATTTGTAGTCACGAGTGGCATTGAACAGAGTGCTGCTGGTAACAATGTCTCCCTTCTCATCAACTGTGATGAAGAATGAGATCCAGTCGCTCTCAACATAGTCGGACGCAGTAGTGGCGGTCACAGTCAAAGGTGGAGCGCTGTACGTGCTGGTGCTGCTCGTGGTGATCAACCCACCAAACTCGTTGGTGGTGGTCCAGTAAGATACAACCTCGTAGTTCGTCATGTTGTTCTCAAGAACAACTGTGTGCGTCTCCACTGGAGGTGCAGGGCCAAACGAAGTGTGTGGGGCCTCAGGCAACTTGTAGTCACGAGTGGCATTGAACAGAGTGCTGCTGGTAACAATGTCTCCCTTCTCATCAACTGTGATGAAGAATGAGATCCAGTCGCTCTCAACATAGTCAGACGCAGTAGTGGCGGTCACAGTCAAAGGTGGAGCGCTGTACGTGCTGGTGCTGCTCGTGGTGATCAACCCACCAAACTCGTTGGTGGTGGTCCAGTAAGATACAACCTCGTAGTTCGTCATGTTGTTCTCAAGAACAACTGTGTGCGTCTCCACTGGAGGTGCAGGGCCAAACGAAGTGTGTGGGGCCTCAGGCAACTTGTAGTCACGAGTGGCATTGAACAGAGTGCTGCTGGTAACAATGTCTCCCTTCTCATCAACTGTGATGAAGAATGAGATCCAGTCGCTCTCAACATAGTCAGACGCAGTAGTGGCGGTCACAGTCAAAGGTGGAGCGCTGTACGTGCTGGTGCTGCTCGTGGTGATCAACCCACCAAACTCGTTGGTGGTGGTCCAGTAAGATACAACCTCGTAGTTCGTCATGTTGTTCTCAAGAACAACTGTGTGCGTCTCCACTGGAGGTGCAGGGCCAAACGAAGTGTGTGGGGCCTCAGGCAACTTGTAGTCACGAGTGGCATTGAACAGAGTGCTGCTGGTAACAATGTCTCCCTTCTCATCAACTGTGATGAAGAATGAGATCCAGTCGCTCTCAACATAGTCAGACGCAGTAGTGGCGGTCACAGTCAAAGGTGGAGCGCTGTACGTGCTGGTGCTGCTCGTGGTGATCAACCCACCAAACTCGTTGGTGGTGGTCCAGTAAGATACAACCTCGTAGTTCGTCATGTTGTTCTCAAGAACAACTGTGTGCGTCTCCACTGGAGGTGCAGGGCCAAACGAAGTGTGTGGGGCCTCAGGCAACTTGTAGTCACGAGTGGCATTGAACAGAGTGCTGCTGGTAACAATGTCTCCCTTCTCATCAACTGTGATGAAGAATGAGATCCAGTCGCTCTCAACATAGTCAGACGCAGTAGTGGCGGTCACAGTCAAAGGTGGAGCGCTGTACGTGCTGGTGCTGCTCGTGGTGATCAACCCACCAAACTCGTTGGTGGTGGTCCAGTAAGATACAACCTCGTAGTTCGTCATGTTGTTCTCAAGAACAACTGTGTGCGTCTCCACTGGAGGTGCAGGGCCAAACGAAGTGTGTGGGGCCTCAGGCAACTTGTAGTCACGAGTGGCATTGAACAGAGTGCTGCTGGTAACAATGTCTCCCTTCTCATCAACTGTGATGAAGAATGAGATCCAGTCGCTCTCAACATAGTCAGACGCAGTAGTGGCGGTCACAGTCAAAGGTGGAGGACTGTACTTCGTAGTGGTACTTGTTGTGATCACTTTGCCGTTCTCATCAACAGTAGTGTAGTATGATATCACATCATATTCAGTAACTTCGTTGCCTAGATCAACGATCTTCGTCTCAGGTCCAGGAGCTGGATCATAACTGATTGAAGACGAAATAATCTTGCTGTCAGTAATAATCTTACCGTCTCCATCAACTGTGATGAAGTACGAGTACACATCAACTATGTGCTCGTGGTTCTCATAGATAGTAATAGTCGATACTGGTGGTGGACTGAACTTGTCAACTGTACTCGTTGTGATCACTTTGCCGTTCTCATCAACAGTAGTGTAGTATGATATCACATCATATTCAGTAACTTCGTTGCCTAGATCAACGATCTTCGTCTCAGGTCCAGGAGCTGGATCATAACTGATTGAAGACGAAATAATCTTGCTGTCAGTAATAATCTTACCGTCTCCATCAACTGTGATGAAGTACGAGTACACATCAACTATGTGCTCGTGGTTCTCATAGATAGTAATAGTCGATACTGGTGGTGGACTGAACTTGTCCACTGTACTCGTTGTGATCACTTTGCCGTTCTCATCAACAGTAGTGTAGTATGATATCACATCATATTCAGTAACTTCGTTGCCCAGATCAACGATCTTCGTCTCAGGTCCCGGAGCTGGATCATAACTGATTGTTGAGGAAACCAATTTGCTTTCCGTTATAATCTTTCCTTCTCCATCAACAGTAATGTAGTACGAATAAACCTCTTGAATGTGTTCATGGTTCTGGTAGATGGTTACTGTGGTAGGGGCAGGTGGAGAATAACTTAAAATAGTAGTTGCAGTATACTCAGCACCTTGATCATTTGTGGCAATGAAATAGGAATAGACATCATATATGGTCACATCATTCTCAACAAGTAAAGATGTGGTGCCTTTTGGAAATGGTGGAATGATAGTCGACGTTGTAGTGATGGTTACCAATTGGTTATCACTGGTAGTTGAGATATAAGAAACGACAACTTCGTGTTCTACACCTTTCTCAGTGATTGTTTTTGTTTCTGGAGATGGTAATGGTGGAACGCTCACACCAGAATATACAATTGTGTAAATCTGATGCTGTTGACCATCCAATGGCGAGGTAACTGGGTTACTAACAGGTGAAGCGATAAAACCGAATGGGTCCAAATTAGTTCCTAGTACAAGGCTAATATCTTGCCCATTCACTTTAATTGTGAGGATACCAGTGATACTATCATAGCTGGTACTTGTTACTGGTGTAGTTACAGCGAACAGATTCTGTCCACCAAATTTACCGAAATTAACTGTGAAAGGCTTCGTCAATTTTGTGGTGTCGAAAACGATCACTGAACCTTCCGTTTGGATAACTTTTTGGCCACTAATGTCGGTGTTACTAGGGTCATCAAACCACAGTGTGGTAGCTAAGCCCAGTTCGATACTACCTGAACCTAAGATGGACTGACTCACGGCAAAACCTGAGTTGTACTGGACACTTATCTTACCGTTGTTTGTAATAGTACCGCTGGATTTCAAGTATGCATTTTCGATACCATCAAAGGTCATAGACCCATCATTCACAATACTCTCGGTTGTTGATATCAGTGTGACTTGGTTAGCACCGTATTGCACACCGTTCTGAGTACCTTTGAAATACATGGTACCTTCATTCTTGAAATTCGCGACGTTGAACATGTACGAGGGAGTGGTGACTGAGTTACATGTAACATCGACTTCACCACTGTTTATGAAGTCCCCGTTGGAGACAACTAACTTTTGCTCGGCGTCGGAACCTACTGTATCTGCAAAGACCAGCGTACCGGCATTATTCAGACCGTTAGTGAACTGTAGGGTATCCGCATTCACGGTGTACTTGACGTCCTTTAATATACTCACAGGCTCAGAGTACAGCACGTCGGTGCTAGCGGTCTGGTCCGCTGATATTGTAACATCAGCCCGTACCGACCGTACTAGTATTTGCAGGAAAAAAAATATGATGAAAGAAGGATTCATTATTATTTGTATGTCCTTTTATATAAATTTTTTTTTCTTGGTTTGTAGTCTTGTCCTCGCTGGGTACTTCCAGATCTTGGATTTTCCTTAGAAAAAGCGGTAGCAAATTAATTAAAGTAGCCGCCGACTTCTCACAGACTAAAGTTTTTTGGGCAGACACACACACACGGCTGCGTACAGAATGCAATTGTGTAATCCGCTGAGGGCGAAGAAATGCGAAAGTGTGACCAAAAAACAAAAAAAAAGGGAGTTTTTAGCGCCTTAGAGTAGATGCGGTCTGCGTGTAAACAAATGGGGATGTGCTTCTAAACGCGGAGCTATCTTGTAGTAAGTTGATGTTTCTACTACTTTATCTCTTGCGCCTGGTATAACCACAAGTATAACCACAAATATAAGCAGGATTCAGTAACTATTTTTTTAGTCTTACTTTTATGAGAAAGATAACTAGTTTGAATATGACCTTGCTTTGGTGTTTTGTGGGAAGGGGAGATTAGCAAAAAAAAAATCAAGTTCTTGAGAATTCAAAAAAAGCTTAGTATTGATTATCTTTATAACTTGTGTGCTATCTCTTGAATGCTATTATTCTTTGATGCTGGTGGAAATGTAAGTAAAAGGTTGGAATAAAATGTGCTTTTGGGGGGTAGTTTTGAAAGTTGAAATAAATGCAAGAGCAAAATCAGCAAATTTAAAGAAAGAGTTAAAAAAAATATATGTGGAGAAGTATGTTTTAACTTTATATAATCACAAGGGAGTTTAAGCTTCCAGTCTTACAAGATATATATAATCATTCAATGGAGTTGTGAAAGAGAAAAAAGTTTTTTTCTCCCTCATTTCGATATAATTCTGTTCTTACAAGTTATTCCGATTGACATCGATCCCAGCTTATTTAACTTGGTTTCCCCCTACCATTCACAATAGATGAGTGATGCGATGGATGGGACGGGGCAGGAGAGGCACACAGTGAAAGATCTAGTAAAATTCTTGTTTGTGTTTTTTTTTTTGGTTGTTGTATTTTAATTTCCCTTTTCTGCTATTGTGGGACTGTTCATCTTTTCTACTATTGTGCACACTAAACCGCAGGAGTTATTATTTTTTTCACACCTATTGAATGGTTTGTTATTTAGTAGCTTTTGTCTTTGTTTTTTGTTTGGTCAACTAGAAATCTATCGCTTAATTAATTTTAAAGAAAAGATGGCTAGGTCTCGAGAACTGTTAAGCCATATCTGTGTTGTTTGTGCAGGTGTTTGTTTGCAGTGTGTATTACTAAATCATCGAAAACCGTTAATTATGGGCTAATCAGCAAGAACTTTCACGAAAAAATTGGTAATGCTGAATCAGAGAAGCTACAGGCATTGTAGGTGCCAATTAGATAGTCTTAGAGAACAAAGAACAAAGAACAAAAAAAAAAAAAAAATTCATTATTGTTCATCTGGTTGAAATAGTAAGACACCTTTGGTTGAAGCCCTACAGGTGTTTCTGGATATCTCACCTTGACAAAAAAGTGAAAGAAGAAAAGAATGAATGCTAGGAAAAGTTCCGTCATCGAATAGAGGCCGTTACAACGACGGATGATGGCAGAACCCATTCTATTACAGATTCCCGTTGCTTGAAAGAAGTATTTGGGAAGCTCCCCCCCCCAAAAAAAACTAAGAATATACCGCAGAAACTGACAAAATTGTATGGATCGGGAGTAATTCCAGTAAAAAAATTGAGAAGCCAGTTTTGAAGTGTGGAACAAGGTGATGGGTTAGGCATTGATGTAGACCATCAGGACACCACCCTCAAACAAAGGCCTGTCGAAGAATTTCTTTCCTTTTTTTTGTTCCTTCCTTTGTAGGAATCCGGAAGCGGCTTGCAAGAACAAAAAGGAGATTGAGAGATCGGGGGGGTCCCCGGGGATTTCTAGCCTCATCGAGTATTTATATTTCCTGTATCCGGCCGTTACAAAAACAAAATGTGGTACTTCCGAATACGAGATCTTGGAGACCAAGCCATAGCACTGCAAGGTATGCTTCCATTTCTAGGGATCAAATAAAGATGTAAACAAAAGAAAAGGTGTACTTATGTTTGCTTCTCTACTAGAGTTTCTACATGGGGGGGTGGAAGGTGACCATCTCTTAGGAGCAGAGAAGGGGAGAATGGGTGGCAAAGATAAATGATTCTTTGAGGCTGATAGGGACATTAAAAGGAAAAGTCAGATGCTCAGTGAATGGGCTCTAGGACAGATGTTATGGGGAATGAAAGGAATGGATTCAATCTGAAATACTAGCCGTGCCACAGTCCCGTCTCTGTGCTTGCTGGTCAGCTTGCTTTTTACTTGGGTAAACAGGGGATGAGAAAATATGTCCAAAATAGGAAAATATGTGTACACAGAGAAACATACTCACAAGCTCATTAGTCATACAAAAAAAGAAATTTACATAACCTTATCCTATTGGATAGTACTAATGTCCACGGCATTTTATTCGTGGCAATAGAGCCATTGAGTGGAAGCCCTAAGAGATTCCCTGACCAAGAGTGTAGTGATAAAGTATCTTTGCTGGTTCACAATCCCCCCCTCCCCCGTGGGTGTCTTCAGGAAAAAAAATTGCGACAAAGTGGCAATACAGATCACTTCCAGTCCAGAGCCAGAACAAAGTGAGATGTTGCTGTAAACATGCGCAGGGAACAATGGTATTGATCTGTATTGCCCAAGAAACTGCTGCATTAGGACATACAGTGAGTCCTTTAACAAAAGCTTATCCCCTCTTTTATTTCATATCACTTCTATGTATACGGGTATTTCCCACGACATATTAATGTTAAAGATGAGATAGTCCATCCACCCCCAGAATTCCTCTGAGGAGCATTTTCACATGTCTGGAAAATCTACCGATTGTGCACTCCTCTCTCTCTCCATCCCTCTCTCATTCTGACCTTAGTTTGGTCTTCCATGCGTTTATCTCGTAAATGCCGCAAAATATTAAAGATTAACAGATTTTCTGTGTAGGAGAGAGAAACAAAAATGACTACACACACACACACACATCTCTAATTTATCCAGTACAGTCTCTAGTCTGAAGAATCCTGCACAACGAGAAAAATAAAAAAGTGTTGATCCGGGATCTGTTAAGCTTCAAATCTTTAGAAATTAGAGTGCCGGGAGAATCATAGTCATTTTGTTTCGGGAATCTAAATAAAGAAGAAATAGGGATCTCCTTTTTCAGAGTAGTCTATCGGTATATCAACTTTCCTTCCTTTTCCCTTTTTGGGTAGATAAAATATCACTTGTTACTCAATCTTAAGAGCATCTCGTGTGTGGGTAGATTAATCGTCTCTGCAAGACAACCCGGTAATAAGACTGGAGACTGAGATGCGATTACGTGAAACTGATGGCAAATGTTGAGAATTTTGACGAATGACACTTTACTGTTTGAAATAGAAGATGAATATCTCTCAATCTAGAATTTCTGGGAGAAAAACCTCGCACGGGGAACAATTGAATAGGAAAAGAATAATCTACAATTGCTGTGACATTCCAGCAATTTGAAGTTTCATTTTCATTTTCACCTTGAGGTATTCACGACAATTATGGACTTTTTCAAATGGTGATGTCACTTGTACAACAAACTGTTGCTATAATTAGGATCGGGCTACCGCTTCAACCATGATTATGGTCTTTCACATGAAATTTTGGGATGAGGTAGTTAATTCCTTATATTGCGAGACTTAACTATACATCGTAAGATATATGCACCATTTTGTTATACTATCAAGAAATAACTACTTCATGTAGAAAAGAGATCAAACATCGGGTTTTACCGCCAATTTGGTGAATAAATTTATTGTCATTATATACGTGTAGTTTATGTTTTGGTAGTCAAATATAGTCTCCAGCACCAGTGATCTTTACCTCTGGACTTCTTGAGCACAGCTGTAGAATACTAACAATTACAATGAGCCCCATAAAAACAAAAAGTAAAGAATACCATTGTCTCACAAATAAATACACTGAGCCCCTTGTTGTCGAAAGAAGATATCCTACGATATTTTGCCGAACACACTTGATATATTAAAATATAAGTTCTATTTAACCCGCCTACTCATCGTACAAACGATTGTTGCTGATTGTTAATGAAAAAAAAATATTAGATCCATTAATTACTGCTAACATTCGAGTATGTTTTTTATTACCTTAAAATCGCAATGCTAATATTAGTGAATCTACATCGGGAGTTTAATTCTTCAAGTTAAAGAGACGATATAACATCTAGGTCAAATTGCACAAGACCACTCTACATAATCACAAAAAAGAAACTTATTTCTAGTAAAATCTATAATGCATCTTTTCCTTGTACAAATTATGTAAAATATTATTTATAGTTTGTACATTGTAAAGGGAATCCTGAATGTAAAATAAAACAACCAAGTATTGAAACATTTGCATTCATAGGGTCATAGCCCTGAATGTCTTGTCCACAAGTTCCTTCACTTTCTTATATGAAACTACAGCAGTATTCAGCTCATCAGGAGTGACTAATAGTATATTTTCCTCAACTCCAGCATCAAGTTTATTCAAACATCTCAGCACATGGGTCAGGTCAGTGACTGGTTTCCCTGTATTTGGATCAATTTGATGAAACACGTAGTCATAGAATAGAACGATGACAAATTTGTCACCTGGTTCGGACCAGTTGATGTCCAAACGATTTTCAACACGACCAAAGATGAAGTTAAGTTTACATATTAGTCTGAATAAACGGCCATTCTCTAGCTCTCGCGAGAGCACATTTTCTGCATACTCTGAATATGTTTGCTGAGCTTCCATCACCTTAAATACTACATCTAAACCAATGTACTTTTCAATAATAGTTGCAACATTGACATAATCATGTAATTGTTCGAAAGCCAAAGACTTGATAAGGTTCTTCAATTTCTCAGATACTTGTGCCAAATTTGCAACATCCTTTCCATGACAATTACACATCTTGGAAGCTAGCTTGAATAAGATTTCACCAAGGTCTACAAAGTTCCTTTTCCTCAGCTTTTCCTCATTATCATCGTCTTCATTATCTTCAGGACAACACATATTCATTATGTCATACTCTGCCCCAGCTGATATTTTTATTCTACCCTTCCCAGTGAGTATGATTTTATCGCAATCAAGGTCGCCGATGTTGACACCATTAGTGTTATGAATCTCTCTCAAGCCGTTTAGTATTTGGACAGCATAACTCCAAAGTAAATCTTCAGTTACTTCAACTGTTGGATAGTTCACGAAGTGAGCTTCATATAAAGAAGTAGCATTTGGATAGTAATCATACACTATTCCTAGGGATGAATCTCCGAAGGCCGTGGTCAAGAAAAGATCTTTCAATGCAACAACATTGGATGAGTCTATCTTACTCCATTTTTGAAAAGTCTTTGAGATAATCGTAGGATCACTTATATTTACATCGTGGATTCTTCTCAGCAAATAAATACGCCCATCAACATTGGAAAATACTTTATACAATGAATTCTTGTGTTTCTTGTACCTATCCTTCACACTTGAGCGCTGATGAAAATCAAGTGGTACAAGGCCAAAATAGTCCTTGACTATATGAGGTAAATTACCTCCTGAAGGAAATAATTGTAGTGATGCAAGATTTCTCTTTACCAGTTCTTCTCGAAGGTCATTAGGTATGAATAGCATTCGTGGAGTCCTTTCATTCTCTTTTAAGGCTATTTCAAGCTGGGGCGGAGGGTCGGGTGCGTATAAATGATATTGTAAAATGCTGTGTGTTGGTGGATATATCGTAGGATACCGAAGATTCATTGGAAGACCCATATCCATAGAAGCACCATTCATACTCTGTAGTAGACCAGGCGGTTGCGGCCCCGAAGTGTTACTGAGTCCCGAAATTGAATGTATCTGTTGATCAAGCATTGGCCTGCTACCAGATGTCCCCATTGTCAGCGGCATGGATGAGTCTCTCATTAAAACATTTGGTCTTTCTTGATAGTTTTGCTGTATGGAGCCATCAAGATTCACCATATGTGATTGCTGTTGTAAACCCAAATCGGGACTTCCCATATCGTTTGGTGGCATTACCACATTAGGCATAGCCATCGATGCTGGTGATGGCACAGGAGTAGTAGAATATATGTTGGGTTGCATGAAACTCACCGGTGTACCCGCTTTTAATATAGGCCCTGGCGAACCTGCTACAGGACTTTCAAGGTATGGTGCCTGTGTCTCCTGTGTTCCATCTGCAGCTTTCGACATCGGTGTGAAACTTGCCGAGGCTTTTGCATTGAATTTCGGTACCTGTGACTTCGACCCAGTATGTGCAGTAGCATTAGGAGCACTCGTTGGGGCAGTACTACTCGGTTGAGAATTGAGGGAAGGTAAGGAACTCACTGATATCTTGGAAGGTTGTTGAATCACTCCAGATGGGGCAGGCACGGTATCTGCAACCTTGGGAGTCGAGGTAGGAGTAGCTATATCGTCATCATCATGCTTAAACGGGCATCCTTCAGTTTTCTTCTTACAAAAACCATATATGATGACATTTCGACAGGGTACATCTCGCGCCCAATCAGGGTTTATCTTGTCCATGTTCGCCCTGATAATAGATAAATCACTTTCTAAACTACCTAATCAGACACTATGAAAAATAGCTTTCTTTCTTCTTTCAACAATAGCACTAATCAAAAGCTCAAGCTAGTTCAACCACAAAACTTTATCAGTGTGATAGGTTTGATAGTAAAATCTTGACTCTTCACCTTTAAATATCTGGGGATTCGAAAAATATCAAAGCTAAAATCCTCCAGGATGTCGTGTATGTCAGTTGCCAGTACAGCTCTCGTTCAATTGTGTCTTTTGGAGATATATACAGAGCCAATACCGGTTTATATTAAAACAATTCACTATTATCATGGCCATTATTCCCAATTTTCCTTTGTTCTCACTGAAATCCGGCAAATTCGCGTTGTTCCCCGAAAATAGTGGAAAGACAAAAAGGAACACATAGCAAGTGTAGATCACGTGTGAATTGTTAACTTACTCATGTCTTAAGAGTAGAATAGTGTAATACTGTATATAGATTGCTTTCTAGAGTTGTATATCAAGTGTCTATATTCCTACTAAGTTCTCTTGTTATGCTATTTTTTTATCTCTTTTTCTTTTTTCATTTACATTTCGTTATGGTCTTGCAGATTAACTGGACCATCAGCATTTCAGCAGATGAGTTTTGCCTATTTGATGTTCTTGGCAGTCAGAGCTTGCTTGACTTGATTGTACACGTCTTCGACTGGGTGGTCGCATCTAACTTTGACGACTTTGTCCTGAGAGTCAAAGTAACGGACCACTGGCATGCTAGTCTCTTCGAAGGTGCGGAATCTCTTCTTGATGGACTCGATGTTGTCATCGGCTCTGCCGGAAGTCTTACCACGCTCTAACAGTCTCTCCAACATGACTTGCTCAGGGCACTCAAAGAACAGTGTAAATTTGCTTGGCACAATCTGTTTCTCGAAGGACAATGCCTGGTCCATCTTTCTTGGGAACCCGTCGACTAAGAATTTTGTGTAGTTCTTCTCGTAATTCTCCTTGATAGCCTTTTGCAATAGAGATAGCGTAATCTCCTGCGGCACAATAAGACCCTCCTTGATGTAGTGCTTAATCAACTCACCGAACTCAGACCCTTCACGGTTTTGCTCAGCACGAAGCAGATCACCAGCGGATAAGTGGACAAACTTGTAATCGTTGACTAGCTTGGCACACTGTGTACCTTTACCAGCACCAGGACCACCCAACACAAAGATCACAGACACCTGATCTTCGCTAAACGCTGGCCCAGCTTGCTTCTCTTGCTTGCCAGCTCTCTTCTCAGCTTCCAAAAACTCCTTTGGCTCACCTTTCTCGTTGCTCACAGAGTAGATAGTAGTACCAACCGCAAGAGCACCCAGAACCAACAACCCCCATTTCTTAACATTAACATTGGACCTCTGTGGAGGTGGGACAGTAGATTGCATTCTCATCGACAACCTCATCAAAGGAGCTGCCCTCATAGGTCTAGCTAAAGATCTCCTCAAGACTGGTCTGAACATCTCTATTGATAATAACTGTAGCAAACAAGTTTACCTAACTCACAAACTGTCAAATGCTTGCTTGTTATACAACTGGAAAGGAATTGACAGAGCTTTAAAGTAACTTTTCATTGAAGCTTCCTTTATATATTAAGGCGACATCAACGTTGAAAAAAAAAAAGCTCAAAATTTTTGATCCATTGAAACATTAACAAGTAATAGCTAATGGGTTAACTGGCAGTTAAAGAAATTACAGGATATTTATAAGTTCAGAGATACTAGTATGGATGATGATGAGCTTGTTAATTTCTTGCTGTCTGACGACATAGTCCAGAAGGCGAGTAAAAGAGAGAAGAAGTCGCGATGGCTCAGAGATAGCAATGCAGCTGCTGATCTGGTTGACACTAATAATGCTAGTCCTGCTGTAGAGGGAAAGTCTGAGAATGTGAGAAATGGGAACGATACGTTAGAGGTGGATGAGCTGGAAGTGGATCTAGATAACCTGATACTATCTTCGGGAACCGCGCATGGTACTAAGAGTAAGAGGCCAAAGAGGACAAGACTAAAGGAAACAACTGAGAATAGCAACAAAGATTTTCTCAAGCTGCTGAATGAAATAATAGATAAAGAAGTGAAAGAAGAGAGACTGATAGTGGGCAATGGCGGTTCTAGTCCCACAGATAGTGATCTTACATTGAAGAAAAAGAAGAAGAACAAGAACAAGAAGACGAAAAATACAGGAAGAAAAACAGTAGAAACCAATGCTAAAGATGATGACAGACCTTTTGAGAAAGTTATGGATATGTTTTTGAAAGATGAGAATGGAATACAAACAGAGTTACCAAAAGCTGAAGGAAATAGTACCAATGATAGCAAAGAATTGAAAGCTAAGAGGAAAAAGAGCAAGAAAAAGAAGCCAACGAAGCAAATTACCGTAGAAGAAATCCCTGAAACTCCCCAACAAACCCAAAATGCAATACATAATTCTGATGAAGACTCAAAAATTATCATACAGCGTAGGAAGAAGGATAAAAAATCAAAAAAGAAGAAGAAGGAAAAGAGCCATATCGACATTGGCAAAGGAGAAGGCAATGAGAATCATGATGAAACCTCAGATAAGACATTTAAGAAGGAAAAGAAACTTAAAGCCAAAAAACATGATGAAGATCAATTGAAACATATTGAGACTAATATGAAGATACATAATGCTGAAGATGACATAAACAACGTTACGAACTCAAATTCAACATCACATCCAAGTCTTTCTAAGAAATCCAAGAAGAAGAAAAAGAAACTAATCGAAACTGATGAACATCACGACAAGCCTGAAATATCAATAGAGAAAGAAAATGGAGGCAGCAGTATCAAAAGCAAAAAGAATCGTACCAAACAGAAAAGTAAACGATCTCATGTAAATACAGAATCCGCGCCCATTTCTGTTGAATTTTAGGAGACGTGAATACTAGAATTTATGAAAGATTTCCATTAAACATATAAGTACGCTTTTGAAAAAAATTAATGAGTTTATATATATTTGTAATATTACATCACATAATACCTGACAATTTCGTGTGAAATTTATTATTTATGCTAATTGAGTCAATAAATGTATTTATTCTACTCAATATCCATTGCTTCACCTGCAGGGCTCAATGATTGCTCGGTTAGTTGTCCAGCTTTATTTCGTTTCTTGTCAACATTAATTGACTCGAAAGGTTGCCTCCTTTTACCTATTTTGGAAGCACTATGCTCTTCATCTAGTATGTTACTATTTACAACCAATGGATGATTTTCATCCAATTCTAAAGTAACGTTCAGCTCTAAAGCATAATTCAACAATTTTTGTGCGCTTGAATTACCTGGGTTTATGGCTAAAACTCTATGTAATGCATCAATAGCCTTTTGTAATTGATTAGTCTTTAGATATAAGAAGCCTAAAGAGCAATAAATTTCCGAACTGTTTTCAGTATCCTCCAGGATATTGGTCAAGTATTTAATTGCCTTTTCATTTTCTCCTAATCTCCGGTATGTGTGAGACAGATTTATCTGCACGGAAAGAACCGTCTTTGAGGAACGCTCCATATCCTTACAACATTCAGCAGCTTTTTTCAAGTAACGTTTGGCCTTATGCAATTCTCCCTTTTTAAATTTTAGTACGCCAATTTCATTGAGGATAACCGGATCTTGAGGGCTTGACTCGTATGCCAGAGAAAAATACTCCTCGGCTAGTGTCAATGTATTTGATGCCATGTACTGCATTCCCAAAAATAAGTTAGGTAAGCTCATACCTGGGAAAAATCTAGCCGCAGTAGAGTAAGCAGATATCGCTTGGTCTTGTTCGCCTTCAAGAGCAAATGTATGTGCAAATCCAAGCCAAGCAGGCGCAAAAGTAGGATCCATTATTGACGACTTAGAAAAATACTTTCTAGCTTCAGGAATACGATCTAAGAGCATGTAGTAAGTTGCAACACAATACCAAGTTATGCAGTTCCTTGGATCTTTCTCGGCTAGTTCATGTGCTAGAAGAAAGAGTTTATTGGAGGACTTCACTTCGTAAAGACACGATATATAAGTTGGCAAAATCTTATTGTTGAATTGATCTCTCTTTAGCATTAATTCACAAACATTTAAACATTGGCTGAATTTACATTGATTGAATAAGATATCAATATCTGAAGTAACGATATCAATATCATCCGCCAAATCATAGTCCTGCCTTAAAATATCTTGTGCTTCAGTAATTCTATCTTGGTTTTGATTCTTAGAAAGTTCTAACGTATACAAACTTTTTACCAGTATGCTATCATCTCCTAGAGAATCAAAATCTAGAGAATCTAGTAGTTCCCATTCCTCGTTAGTAGTCAGCAGATGAGAATCCACCAACTGTCTGTAGGCCTCAAAGTTCTTGGGGTCTACCAATACTGCCTCTTTGAATGCCTCTTTAGCTCTACTAAAATCATTTTGTGCCACGTATATCTTTCCTCTTAGAAAGCACATCGACGATTCTAGTTTAATACCTCCGTCGCTCTCAATTCTTGCACTTGCTTCAGCGGTGTCAGCAAAGGGGTTCGTTTCTCCAACAATATCCAGGGCATCATCGTAGTTCTTCACGTCAATGTAGCACCTGGCCAGCAGGTACCGACAGACAATGCTTACCGAGATAATGTCATCCTTGGTCAACAGTTCGATACACCTGTTGTGCGACCCCATGGAATAGTATATCAGCGCCAGCCAGAACGCGTCGTTGGCGTCCCCGGTCATTGTGTATATCTTAGTTGCCACGAATTCAGCTGTGCCGTAGAGATGCTGGATCCAGGCGTCGTGGCGCCAAAGCTGCAGCCTTTCTATCAGTGGTATCTTTGCGATATCTATCTCGTTGCTTCCATTGCCTGCCCCGCTTGTCACTGTGGTGGTTGTAGTGGTCAATGTAGTGGTGTTCAGCCCTTCACCGTCTCCTGTAGGGGACGCGGTGTTGTCACCTCCTGCAGCACCCACAATAATAACATCCCCATCACCTTGCGCGCTCTTGGACCACCTGGGACCGCCGCCCACGCCCGCGCCCACGACATCAGAATCGTTATCGTGGAACTCGCGCTGTAGACTTACTTTCCGCAGCGTAGATGGTATAGTGGACCCCAGCATACTGTTCTTCGACATAGACGCCAGCAGCGACCCGTTGTTACCATTATTGCTGTTGCTGGCCCCCAGATGCTTCCGCGGCGTCGCTAGCGAGGCCCCCGCATACTTCTGAACCAGCGGACTCGTCAGCAGCGGACTCCTCGCCGCACCCACAGGCGACACCACCCGCCTCTGCACGGGCGTAAAACCTTCCTGCCCTTGATCTCTCATAAAAAAAAAGTAGCTAACCAGCGCGCCCCACTTCAGTGAAACAGAAGCTTTACCCTTTACTCAAGCAATTGAAATCACGATTAAATACGTATAAGGCCCCTGACCACACAACAAGTAGTTGTCCCGCTCTCAGTATTAACACCACGAACTTTGCCGCCAGCTACACACTGCAGGCAGAACAGCGAGAACGGCGCGATGCCCATTCCACCATCACGATGAACGGCAGGAACACGTAAAAGAGCACTAACCACATGACTACCCGTGAATCACAACTCTATATAATGATATACGTCTAATCATCTGATATCACGTACAACATAATATTAAACCTCAAAAAACGAATGATAACATGTGACGTTAACGTATAAAACAACTAAAGCGTATATAACGATATATTTGGAATTTCTTTTTTTTTTTGCAGTTTTGCAGTTTTGCAGTTTTGCAGTTTTGTGTGTGTCTCTCTCCCTCTCGAAACTTTGTGTGAAGAAAAAAATTGAAATACAATACAATACTGGTCCTTCCCCCCATGGGATGAGTCCTTGCGTTATATAAGGAGGCTAGCTGTGATTTTAAATAGTGCTGTGTGTGGTAGAGTCGCCTTTTGTTACGAGGGTGAAGTACTGCAATGAAGGAGAGTGCAATGTTATCGTGGTGTGCTGAGAATTTCGGGGATGTCGAGCCCATGCCTATTGAGATGGGTTCTGATGAGTTGTGCAAGATACTGTACAGCGATGAGTACAAGCTGTTGCTGGGGCTGTGCAGGCGGCTGATGTCTCTTGGGGAGCTGAGCCAGCGTGCTTTGCTGCTGACGGCGAAAGTGATCGCTATTGCGCCTGCTTTCTACACGGTGTGGAACTATAGGTACAGCATTATCAAGGAGCAATTGAGCTCGCTGGATAAGGTGGAGCAAGGTGCGTTGGTGAACAAGGAGCTGGACTGGCTGGATGAAGTGACTCTGAGCAACCCGAAGAACTACCAGATATGGTCGTACAGGCAGGCGTTGCTGAAAGTCCACCCATCTCCGCAGTTGAAGCGCGAGTTACCCATTATACAGCTGATGATCGACGAGGACACGAAGAACTATCACGTATGGTCGTACCGTAAGTGGTGTGTGCTCTTTTTTAAGGACTTCAACCACGAGCTGCCTTTCACTGATATGATGATCCGCCGGGACATATACAACAACAGCGCATGGACACACAGGATGTTTGTCTGGCAACACACGGAGAGCTCGAGCACGCAGGTTATAGCAGAGATTGACAACTATCTGCGGGGGAAGATAGAACTTGCCCCACAGAACATCTCTTGCTGGACATACCTGCGGGGTCTATACGAACTATTCCTACACGAAAACTACGATCCGTCTATAATACGATTTGCTGAAGGTTTTATCGATGGGGTGCTGGACTCCGACTCTACTGCAGAAAAGATAGAGACCATCGAATCGTCTTACGCTCTTGAGTTTCTGGCTCACGTGTACTCCAGAAATCCATCTACTCAAGAGAAAGCTTTACGTGCATACCAACTTCTAAGCGATAAATTCGACCCAATCAGAGCCAATCTATGGCAACACAAGATCAAGCAATTGAAATCGAGCTAAAGCGGACTCAGTTAATTTTTAATCCCTTTCTCTAACATATTCAAAAAATTCTAATATAATCTTTTTACAGATATTTCTCATTAGCCCCTACATTCATATGCACAATTTACCGTAAGACATTTTATCATTTAATTTATTAATAACCTTATTTTGCCTTTTAATTTGACATTCAATGTTTTTTTTTTATCTGATATATCAGAATATTTAACTAACACTAACATATCAGTTTTTTATATATTTATTCTTTACATAGATACATGAGCATTAGGAATATTATTAACGGTTATATGAGTAGTAGAAGAATTTAGGTCCTAAGAGATAACTTAAAAGAATTAATAAAACTCAGCACCCCTCTCAAGTGTATCTCGACCTGTCCAGCGTAAAATGTAGTTGAAACTTTACTCGATTTCTTCGATTTTCTTAAACCCATCATATGTAACCTGAGGCCTAAACCAAGGACTACGTTTTACATAGCTCTTCAAATATCCAAAACACATTTCCCCCCATTGCAGATAACCATGGATCCAGCCACTGAAACCCATTGTCTCATACCGGAGCACTAATCCTGTACTGCGGCGCAATGACGCAAGTACTATGGCTACCAGCGTCAAATCTACACCCCACCTGACAATAGAACCAACAGACATCGCAAAACACTCTAGATCTGGTTGATCAACAACATATACTAGAATGTAGCCACTGCAGTTTCTACCATCAGTTACTTGCTCATCGCAAATTTCAATAAAACTGCCATCTGCGGGCTTCCAGCTTGCAAAAAAAAAATAAAGTGGATTTTGGCCAGTTTGGAAAAACTAGAAAGTTATAATGGAAAAGACAAGCACTCGATCGATGGATAGCATTTAGACAATAGTTTACGCTCTATTGCCAATTTCCTCCATTACCAATTGATCAACACAAACCACTTGTTACCTAGGGGATACACGCAAAACTCAACTCAGGAAGAAGCTATGTCGGTGGGTATTAGCAAGGACACACTACTTAAATTTAAAGCTGTTAAATCGTTTCGGGTTTCTGAGAAAGAAGTTAGCCCTATAACATCATTATGTTTCGACGATCATGGCCAGCATTTGCTTGCATCAAGCGCGTCAGATACAATGCATCTATATGATAGTGTCGGGTGCAGGTTTTTAAATACAATTGCCTCGAAGAAGTATGGCTGCCATGCAGCTAAGTTCACACATGCACAAAGTGAGTGTATATATTCCTCGACCATGAAGACCTTTGATATAAGACATCTAAACCTCGAGACAAACCAATATCTGAGATACTTTGTTGGACATGGTGCATTAGTGAGTGATATACAGATGTCCCCAATCAATGATTCGTTTCTATCAGCATCATATGACGAATCTGTTCGGGTATGGGACCTCCGGACTTCTAAAGCACAGGCCATTATCCCCACTGTAGTACCCAACTGTATCGCATATGACCCTAGTGGGTTAGTATTTGCACTTGGGAACCCCGAATCAAATGAAATTGGACTATACAATGTGAGACAACTGAAAAATGGACCATTCTTGGTTATCAAAGTTGAGCAGGGATTTAAACAATGGAACAAGCTAGAGTTCTCTAATGACGGTAAATACATACTTCTCGCTTCATCATATGGCAAACAATTGATTCTAGATGCATTCACTGGTGAACAGCTCTTTGAATTGGTAGGAACCAAACCATTCCCTCTTAGGGAATTCATGGATTCGGGGTCTGCGTGCTTTACACCAGATGGCCAATTTACCCTCGCTACTGACTATGACGGTAAGATTGCCATATGGAATCACGGAGAATCCATAAGTAACAGAACTTTGAAACCTCAGGGTTATGTACAGGCTCCTGAAGAAGTGTGTCCCAGAACTATTTTATTTAATCCAAAATACTCAATGTTTGTGACCGCTGATGAGTCGGTAGATTTCTATGTCCTTGAACAGTAATCTTTTCGTATTCCTTTATGATATATTGAGGAAATGCACAACGGGTTCCTATGTAATATTAATTAATACCTTTAAGAATGCTAGTCATATCGTTCATTGCATATGCACTTTTCTCAATATTTTCTACCATATATATGTATATATTTCATTTCACTCATAGATTTCGCCCACATCAGGATATCTTAAGTCAGCGTTATCTTCAGACCATTCGGTCCAGTCCTTTAGGAAAGAATTTCCGCTGCGCTGCAGTGTTTCAATATTACCAATTACACATAGCTGTCTCTTTGGTCTAGTCATGGCTACATTCAATCTCCTTTGCTCCTTTAAAAACCCAACTTCAGCTTTATCATTACTTCTTACCAAAGATAGTATGATACATTCCTTTTCTCTACCTTGGAAACCGTCAACGGAAGATATTTCTATTAATGGATACACTGGACTATCTTCTGTCCCATTGACTAGTTTTTTCAATAATGAGACCTGTGCGTTATATGGTGAGATAATACCAATACAATCTTGTTGTACATTCGATTCGATGAGTTTCCTGACATGGTGTAAAACTAAATATGCCTCATTTGTATTAAGCTTTGAGGAATACAGAAATTTGGCACTCTTAGATTTCAGCTCATCTTCTTCTTCATCGACCTCAGGGAAATCATCACCCTGAGTATCATACCAAATAATGGGCTCATCTGTTTCTTCATTAGAATCAACGCCTGGCAAATCACTTAAAACTATGTTTTCTACAGAAGAATCAGCTTTCAGTTCTCCATTATACATTGCTTTAGAAGAAAACTCCATGATCTTTGCATTCATACGATATTGTATGTTTAACAAATTTTTGAACTCATCACCATACATATTTACTAATCTATCAAACAGTGTGGTTCCTAGGACTTTCATGACTTTATCATTGTTATTCGTCTTTATCGTTGGGGGAAGTTGCTTGCTATCACCAGCAAGCACCAACTTGGTAATTTTTGACTGCAAGTGCGATATGAGGGGTATCCAACACTGAGGTTCCAAACTTTGGGAAACTTCATCGATAATAACATAGTCAAAGAGATTATCATTTTCTCCCTCTTCAATACTTTTGTAGTAGTTACATAGTTCTCTACTACTAGATCCATGAAGAGTAGCCACAACCACTCTTGATTGTTTGATTAAGTCATTAATAACCTTTCTTTCCCTCAACCTAAGTTCTTTTCTTAATTGCTTAACTTCTGCCCATGCTTTTCTTCTCTCCCCAGAGGATTTGATACTCTTTATCGAAGCTATTGTCTTGGTAATTTCCATTGAAATGTCATTAATAATAGATGCAGAATCAGTACCTTCTTTGCTCAGTATATCCAATGAATGGTACCAATTTGTCTTCAATAGTCTTGCTGGATGCCCAATTCTGAGCAGCCATCTTTTATCCTTAATTGACTTGGATAGTCTTTCAAGAATGGTATCTACCGCGATATTTGATGGAGCACATACGAGAACTCTGGAGGTACTGTCTTTTGATATTAATTGCCTAATCAATTCAACAACTGTGTATGTCTTACCGGTACCTGGTGGACCGTGTATTATGGACAGTTTGTTTTCCATACTAAATCTGATCGCATACTTTTGTGAGTCGTTTAAATTCTCATCAAAGAATTGAATATTTGATTTCTTTGCATTGGGTATTGATGCTCTCAGTTTTTTGACACCTTCTGTGGGTAAAAGTATATCAATAATCGGGTTAGAGATAGATTTCTCTTTGAATTCTTTTAGTTTCCTCAAAGTTGAATTCATTCTGTCATAAGTAACTGTGTTCACAGTTTTCATAACGTAAAACTTCTCATTCGAATGTATCATTGTTGTAGCAATATTCTCTTGAGACTCATCAATTGCAATTGCCAAAGAAGTCGGTGAGGTTGAATTACTCTCTGCATTGCTGATTTTCACCACCACACCTTGACATTGTTGGTCGTTATCCTCTTTCTTGCTGTATGGCTTAATAATAACTATATCTCCATTCTTCAAATCGCTTGATACAGGCGTACTCTGTGTCTGCGCTAGTTCAATTACCAATTTACCTGCCAAACCTGTTCTGGAGTTCGTAACAGTCAAATTTGAAATGGCTAATCCAAGTCTGGATAAACCTTTCAGAGGGATTTGTTTCAGTAAAGACTCCACAAGTTCAATATCCTGAGACTTTTCATAGTCCAAAGAATCCAAAAAACTGTCTATTATTGCAGCATTGCTCATTATGGTACTTACAGAGAACTGAGAACTTACAGACTCTGTTTTCTAATGTTCTAATTTGTTCCCCAACACTATCAATTGCCTAAATGGTTTCCTTAAACAAGACTCGAGCATCTGCTTCGATTGATTTTTTATAAAGTTTAGAGATTTTTATTGAAAAATATACATGGTGTGAATATAATAAACCAAGACCAATTCCTAAAGCCAGAAAATGAGCAAAGGTAAATGGATATAAGCAAGTATTAAGTACTAATAGTAATTTTAAAAGAAAAATGACCTTTGTTTTTTGTGTTTTTTGGTGAATATATAACTTCTCAAGCTCCTTATAACCTGTTTCTTTGCTGTACAATGTGGAAAGAAATTCTTTAGTCCTGCTAATAGTCAAAGAAAAGTATTTTGAATATTAAATGCTTCTGTAACAGTAAGTGCTACTTTTTGTTTTTTAAAAAATGGAGTAAACGAGCAAGCAACTTGTTATCCAAGTTGAGATTCTGTAAACTTCAAAATTATCAAGGGGCACCTCACATAACAGACATGTTGCCGAACTTCTGGTAGTACGATGGGATTTCCCACTTACCGTTCTTAACCAACTCCGCGACTCTTTCGTCGATCTCTGGCTTAGCCTTGACCAACTCGTCAACAGTCAACTGGTCAAATGGTCTAGCAGACTCTATGTTAGCCAACGTCTCCTTCAAAGCCTTTAGTTCCTTGGAGACAATCTCCTCGGTCTCCTTGGCATTCTCCAACGCCAACTTCTCGAAGGACGCAATAGCACCCAACTGCTTAGATGTGTCCACTGTAACAGGGCTGTACGACTTCACATAACGCTCGATCTTGTCAACAACCTCACTGTTGTTCAATACAGAACGGTAGTGTGCAAAATCAACCTCAACTGGCTGTTGCTCTAACTCAAACAGCTGTCTACGCGCCTCATCATTACGCTTCTTGAATGTCGACAACTGCGTAGCAGTCTTACCAGTCAACTTCAAAGACGAGATAACCTTCGCCCAATCCAACTTGTTAGCAGCAGCTGCTGTTCTACTCAATGACATCCTTGTTCTTCTACTTACTTATACTCCTCAACCTGATCACAGTCCAAACAGGTCCTGGACTCCCTCTTATCCGTCTTCTTAAAGCGGTATGCCTCTGGCCCTCCAAGCCCAAGCACTTTCCAGACTTCCTCGAATTGCGCTCTTTCGCCTGAAGGGGACCCGTCTGGCTTGGTTTAATTATGTCGTATATAGTGATACTACATGGACCAATCAGGATCGATCTCAAGATCTATTTCACCTCTTGTGCTCGGCGGCTAGCAAAAAGTATATAAAAAGGAGCGGTGGAACGGCGCGCATTTCTCTCTTCTCCTTTCGGCAGGTATCTGTACCGGCGGCTAAGGTATGCTGTGATTGGGAGGGCGCGGAGGTAGAGGTAAAAACTATGCTATATACATGAGGTAGCTGGAGGCGGGAGAGAGATAAAACAATAGTATATATTTTGTGTTGTGGATCAACACACCGGTGTTGGACACGTTTCAGGGTCTCGCTAGGGAGATCTTATATTTACGATCTGGAATTTTTGGTACGTGGTAGTTTGATTATAGTTTAGTTTGGCGTGTTATACTGCATTACTTTTTTTGTGTGTTATACTACTGTATTATTTACGAGTTCTAAGCCTAAGGGTTTCAACTGGGGTAGACGATCTCAGTTCATGTGATTTGAAGCATTAGTTTGTTATTATACATGCACATCTGGAACTGTTCTGAACATCCTGATTTTTCCCTGTTTTCTGCATTAATCGCAGGTCCGGGATTTCCTCTCTTACAGGAGCTTTCGGGATTGGTCCCCGGGAGTAAGTTGGAGATATTGCTCTTTATCCCTCAATGGTTATGCTGGTTCAATGTACGGAAAAAGAAAAGTATACATGGGAAGAAAGGCCGGTATTATATGTTTTCCCCTTCTTGGCAATGCGGAATTTTCTAAGATCGTTTCTCTGAGTCAGACCTCTTTTGCTTCGTTGTATTTGTCTCTCCTAGTTTGTAGTTTTTTTTACCTTAACTTGTGTGGGCCAGTATTTTGGTAGTGGACTGTGCTGTAAAGATTCAGCAGAAAAAGCTAGAATAGCTTATATTGATGTTTTTTTTTTTCAAGTGCTAATTTAAGACAAAGAGAGGAAATGCTTTGCATGATTAAATCATCGGAATTATATAAGGATCACCGCACTTAGCATGGGATGTTGGAACTCCCAAAAAAAAAAAATTAATAAAGAAGTGAAGCAATGAAGATTAGGACAGTTTAAACATATACTTTAAAAAGTTTTAAAGCTAGGCGATAGAGGAAGAGCAAGTTAAGTTAGAGCGGTGCCTTTTTACCCTGATCTAATACAAACTTGAAAGATGGGAACCGTGAGTGGGAAAGGCAATGGCGTAAGGAAATCAAGCACCAGTTCTGATCCACCAACTGAGAAGAGAGTTGCCTGTCTGCGTTGTAGACAAAAGCATATCAAGTGTCCCGGGGGAAATCCGTGTGCGAAATGTGTAATCAGCTCTGCAACATGTGAATATTTGGCACCCACTAAGAAGATAGCTGTAAATGTAAATTTTATCAAACAGATGAACTTTGGGATCTCTGAACTTAAAAAAGAAAATGAAACCTTAAGATCTGTTATATCAATGCTGGAAGACAAAGTACGAAAATTCGAATCACACTTTGGTGAAGAAACAAATAAAATCATAAACAATACTAATGGAAACAGCCACACAAACATAGCACATACTCTAGTTGAACTGGATAAAAACAATGATCTACAAGATGATAGCAAAGACGAGATGATTTCATCAGATTTTGCACAGCGGAGTGGAAGACTGATTGAAACTCAAAATGGTTTGAAATACTTTGTGGGTTCTTCATCAATGACATTATTCGGTTTGGAACTACAATCCTTGATATCTAGCAATGTTACAGAGAAAAATCTTGAACCACTGCCTATAAACTTGAAACTGGATAATAGAGATGACTTTACTAATTATAGGAAATTCATTGAAGATGCTAACGTCTCCACCCAATTACCCCAATTATCGGGTATGTCTCCTGTAGATAGAATAAATCAATTGAGTTTAAGAAAATTCGAAATAGTGTTAACCCATTTGTATTGGGGCTCTGCAGATCGATTTATAATCACATTACCAGAATATGAATACGCTGTACTACTTGTAGACAAGTTTATCTCTTTTAATGAAGGCTGTTTCTACTTTTTTAATGAAGGATTAGTACGAAGAGAGCTTGATATAATCTATGCAGAAGAGTCATTACCTTACAAAAATGATAACACTTTGCAGACCATTTGGTTTTGTAAAATGTTTCTTATTTTTGCAATGGGTGAGATGTATCTGTGTTCTGATGAATCTAACATGGAAAATGTGAAAAAACATGATGATTCCAAAATACCTGGATACTATTTTTTTACCATAGGCTCAAAGTTGTTTAATTGCCTGTTCTCTGGTGAAAGATTGGAGTGTGTTACAAAAGAAGGAGGTATAGAAGCACTTTTATTATATTCATTTTACTTACAAGTGTTAGACTGCACTGTTGCGTCATATTTTTATATTGGTCAAGCAGTACGCTCATGTTTAATTTTGGGTATGCATGTAGACGCACAAGGGGATTCTATTTCTAGAGCGGAATTAGAGCACAAAAGAAGGTTGTGGTGGACTGTGTACATGTTTGAAAGAATGCTGAGTTCTAAAGCGGGTCTTCCCTTGAGTCTCTCGGATGCAACTATATCAACAGAACTTCCAAGTGATCAAACACTACATCCATCTATCGATGAAAATTATATTTTTTCTCCGGCTGAGAATATTGTTAATTGTATCTCAATTGTAAGGATTAATGCACAGATATTAAAAAAGATGTATCAAAGGCAGCCTAACTCAAACATCTTACCTATCCTAAAGAGTATAATCCAATCACTTTTGGAGTGGAGAAATACTCTATCAGATTCTCTACAAACAGATTTTACAAACTCTAAACTTGAAATCACAAGATTAGGGACCAATATATTTACTGAATTTTTCCAAGGCATCAATTTGGCCATTAGGCCGCTTCTTTTTCATTTTACATCTATCCAACTCAAAAAATTTAAGGCAAGCAATACATATGTTGATTTGGCGAAGTACTCGACTACAATATCATCACTATTGAATTGTTCCCTTCAGGCATCTGTCAATACAATTAGAGCTCTCCGAACTATAATGGATCAGAACTTGGTGGCTGTTTTTGGTTATATGGATCGTGAGTATCTATTTACATCTTCTTGTACTTTACTGCTTTTTAATGTCGCATTTGGAATACATGGACAGACACACGAGTATCTTGATCAAGCTTTAGATATGCTTACAGTTATGAAAACAATGGGTAATATTGCTGCTGGTTTAAGACGTGCGCAATTACTAACCTTAATGTTAAATATGGATTTTCATGGTATTATGAGAGATTTGATCTCCAAGCATAGTGATTCTTTCCAACAAAATGATGAGGAGTTGCTAAACACATTGGAAAAGCATTCCACGAAAGAAGCCACCACCTTATATAATGCAATAAAAGAAACGCTAGAGAAATCATACGAAATTCCAATAACCAAAAAAGATACACAGATTATGGAGCAAAATAAAAACCAGCTTGAACAAATAAATTATGCCGATAATGATGATCTTCAGGAAGTTCTAGATGCGATGGACGACATCGATCAAACTGATAGCAAATTATGGAAAGAAATTTCAGATCAAGCAATGTGGCTTGGTGATACGATGGATCCAGCAGGTGCTGCAGGTATTGAGTTGGAGCTTGGTGATAATCTTCTCATGTTAAAATAATTAAATTTCTGATATCATTGTATTTTATAGCTTTTAATAATAAATAGATATTCTTGTTAGTTTACCAAATTTTTTAATCATGGGGAACCAAAATTTCCATATCAGGAATATATTATTATACCTTGATTTTCCTGAGACTAAAAGGAATGTAAGGATATTACAGTCCTGCACAACACAGTATGATGGGGCTAAGGATGCTATATGCTTTATTGTAATGCAATGTATAAATACGTAATTGTTTACTTACTGTGACATATTCTTTTGAGGATATTGTCCTCATCATAGTTAGTCCATTCTCTCAAACGTTTTTGGGACTGTATAATAGTCGCAAAACCTTCCAGTATTTCCTCGCTAGCAAGTTGCTGCTCTTTTGTCACCAAGTATTGACGCTGATGGTTGGTATTTTTGTCATTTTTTTCGATATTAGCCTTAGCTTCCCGTAGTTTATCATTCAGAATTACGGAGCGCATTTCAAAGGAGGATATTCCAGCAAATCTTGTAATTAAGGAAACTCCACCATTCTCAATTCTTTGCAGTCTGTAAATTATTGAAGATATTAGTCCCTGAATTCTAACAGATAAGCAATTGATGTTTGGCAAACTTAGCAACCAATCTAATACTCCTTTAGATTTAAGTATACCAAGGTCGTGTTTATCAATGATACCTTGCTCCAATGATTCCAATACCCAAACTAATTGTTTGAAGTAGGTCTCATGGTTACTCCCGGATTCTGAGATCTCAATAAAGTTATGAGTTAGTGGGATTTCATTACTTCTAATAAAAGGACTGTCAAGGACCCATCTATAGGCGCTTTCGTATAGAGGATTAGCTGGATCCATCAGTAATGGTATTAACCGGGAAATGAAATGAAATACAACTTTAGGAAGAGAAGAGTTCTTGCTGCGTGCTTTTGCATGTTCGATACTAAATATTATTTTTTGAAGCAAAAGTTTAAAGATAAAGAGATCACTAGTTTCCTTTATTTCAGATAGGGAGATCAAAAGTTGTTTTAGAATAATATTGGCCACATCAGAAATTGTGCCATCCCATGCTAGACAAGTGATGACTACTTGAAAAAGAGCAGCATCCAGAAATTTCTGAACGTCCATTCTGTAGGTGTGATTAACAGATTCTTTTAATTCCGCATGGCTGGCTGCTTGTACCAACTCGTCATTTTGTATGGATATTAGCATTAGTGCGTATGGGTCATAGCAGGATTCTAAAACATTGCGAGGAGTCCGGTTGATTGAATCAAAAAATGAGTCATTGTTGTTTGAATCAATATGCTGTAGCTCTGATCTGATATCATCCGTAAAATTAGGTCTACCAACTTGACCAGCAAACTTGCAAGTGTTCTCGATAAAGTCCTTTCTCAGCGTTACGACAAATCCACCATTTATTTGACTGATCAAATTAATGTCAGAAACAACATCCAATACATCACCTGCATTTTGAATGTAATCCCAAGTTATCACGTCATTGATCCAAGAAGAGCCAGTTTGTGCCTCTGCTGTTTCGATGACATTCAATAAAACTCTATCATGGGCTGCAAGACTTCCTCTATAAAAGGAGACACACTTTCTTAAGGTTAGCGTAGTACAGGTATTTTTTATGTCAGTTGCGCATATACTGTTTATCAAAAGAGCAGTTAAATACTTCGTAATGTAGTTGGCCTTGTTGTCATTTAAAGTGATGTTCTCATTGTTTAGTAATAGTTGAATGACTCTCTGGGAAGCAATTTTTTTTGAGGAGCCCAAAGTAAGTTTGATTAGGTAGTGTAAAATATCGGTATTGCTTATCCATTTGCTTTGTAGTATGACTTCTAATTGAGTGTTCAGAAGTGATGGTGCTACATTTTCCCAAATATTGAAATCTGAGAAGTAGTCATCCGTAGCTTTAATGAGCTCCTTGAAATTGAAATTCATATTCTCTCTCTCAGAAAGATATTTAGTTATGTAAAGCACCAATTTTGTGAGCCATTTTTTCTTCAAAGCATCATCTATCGCCACAATATTTCTAACTAGAAGCACATTAACTGCACGGAATTTATGGTGATATTCTTCTAAGGCAAACTCAGAAACCCTTAAAAGGTTTTCTTGATTTAGGATTTCAGTGTCTTCTACTATTATTTTCAAAAAGTTTTCCATTTCTGAATCTGTGAGATTGTTCAAATTTTTAATACAATAGTCAGCCACCTTATAAACATACTCAGTCGCAATTGGGTTGTTTGTAACATCACGGATATGTAATGCTAAACAAGGTGATGGCGAATTGATAACGCTAATATAACTTTCTATCTTCTTTTCATCGAAATAATTAGACTGGAAAAAAGCTGATAACAATTCAGTTTTGTCAATAACAGCAGCTATCAATTTTGAACTATCATCACATTCCACCCTTCCATCTTTGATGACTGTCACCAGAGATAATGCATTGTCACTTTGTTCGCTCTCTGCAATACACGCTTCAAGCAACTCAAATGATATAGTCGCGTCAGTTTCTGTTGCTAGTTTTCGCACAGCAGTTGTAGGATCGGAAGCTAATATGCTCTTGTCATTGATCTTTTCAAGTTCATAACCATTCAGATATTCAATAATTTTAGGAAATAAAGTAGTAAATGATGATGTGTAGTTGAACTTTGACGAGTTTAAAAGATCTAAGATAAATTTTGAGAAAGCTGGGGACTTGATGTTGTTGCTAATCAACAAATCAAAATACTTCAGCATTGCAAAACTACCTTTTTTCATATCCTCACTAGAGGTACATAAAATTCTTAAAATATTTTCAATATTAGTAATATCTTGAATTTTAAATGATACATCCGTTTGTAAGTAGCCATCTATCATACTAATAGCATTCATTATAGAATGCTCACAGATTTTGTCGAAAGCAATGTTTGCATCTAATATAATCAGTTCTAGATAAAAGAAAAGACTAGCGCAATCGAACTGTGATGTTGGAATACGGGCAGAGCCCTTTGAGAGTTCTTTAACACTTGATAGTGTAATCATTTGAAAGAATGATTGATCGGTCATTTGTTTTAGTATATGATCATTTTCCTTGATGCAATTTTCATTGTTGGAGTAGATATTTATATCGAAATAATCATTGATTTCCCCTGTGGATTCAGGTAATTCCTTTCTTAGAAGTGCCAGAATCCCATCTCTTGACTCACCCACAACCCATAGATTTCTGGTAAGTATCATTAGCCAGTTTAAGACTAAATCATAATCAGTTGATTTGTCTACAAATTTCCATTGTTCAGTTAGGGTCACAATAAATGGTGATATCTGGTTGAAATTTGTTGCTTTATCGGAGTATTTATAGGGTGTGTTGATACATCTCATGATAGATGAATCTAATAATGTGGCAATTTTATTTATCTGTTCTCCATTGGAGTCTGTCTTACAGACAGCTTCTAGACTGTTAATTAATGCTGCTATGGGTTTAATTAATCCAGTGCTGAAGATGATTGTATTCTTAATTAGACCATCCAAAAGGGTTTCGACCTTTTTTCTGATGGATAGATCCTTAGTAGCGCCTAGTAAAATCATTGATGTGAAAAGAGATCTTTGGGATTCAGTAGAAGTCCACCACTTAGTTTGAGACCCACAGTAAGGTTGGAATTTCAAAAAGTTATCCAGAATTGCAAATTCTATTTCATTGAAAGATTCCTTTGCTAAAATATCCATAAATATATTGGAAGAAGGCAAGTTCAAGGAAAACAAGTTTGGGAATAATTCAGCATACTCGCGTAATATCATGGTTAATGTTAGTAGTAATATGAGTTTTTTTGGAGAGTTCGAGTACACTTGGTTTAGTGCATTTGATATGACAGCCATTTCGGGGATCCTGGACAAGAACAATGAGCTTAGTTCTAACTTCTTTGATGACCAGCCCTTCATTTCATATAGATCAAACACTTTTCTTAGTTTTTGGAATGAAAATACAAGAAGTTGTGCTCCCATCATCTTAACTAAATAGTTATCGTATTGAAGAGTTTTTGTACTAGACCCTTTCGAAAGTGGGGCTGGAATGATGCTCTCAATTACAATAGTAGCATCGGGAACCTCATCAGTTTCGACTACAGTCATAAATTTGGGTATATCTAAACGTATGATTTTTCCATATAACAACGTCAAACCAGACCAGTAGGATGTGATATTAGGATCATGGTTTCCTAATGAGAGCAAGTAATGAGAATATGGAGCTACCAATTCAGGAACATTTTTTAAAATGCTTACCACAGTATTAGTCTGCATAACATCGTCCCAGGGCTTGAATATTTTCAATAGGTTGAATAATAATTTGTTATATATGGTAAAGTTCCTTTGGTTTATTGTAATCGTAACACCTTTTTGATCATTATTATATGGAGAAGTTTTGAACCATACGCAATCATCTGTGAATGCAACTGAGTGCACTGGATCTGAACCATAAATTTTGAAGAATTCGTTGACTTTCTTTTTCAGAGTTTTGTCGCCAGCATAGTATAGAGTGTGCAGCTTCATGAGAACCATTTCGTTCAAGACTTTCGTTTTAGTCATCTTCTTGAAACTTGGCTCTAATAATATTGAGTTGATAAACAATGTGATTGTCTGTAAGAGTATTTCGTGGCTATCGGCCTTGTCCATAAACTTAAACCACGCACTAAGAATTTTATAATTGTCCATTAGAATATCCTTTCTTATGATAGTTGGAGCCTTTGCGATCAGTTCAATGAAAAAGCTGATGAAGTATTCTCTATAAGATGGAGCATCTGTTGGTTCATTTAATTCTGCTTTAGAAGGCGTTAAAATTTTAGGAATTATAGATAATTTGAGATCAAAGTAACTTAAAAAGTCTTGAAGATGCTTGCCTTCACCGAAGTGTATAATTTGTTTCATCAGTTTTAGAGTAGGAATTGTGTTACCTCTTCTCATTGAACTCAACCCTCTATACATTACCTTCGCATATTGCTCTAAGATCAACTTAATCAGAGCAGAACCATGGATTTCAATGCTGGTATCACGTCCCAGCACCACTAATGTCTTAAAAAGCAGGTTTGTCAACTTACCAAACCTAACATGGTTATTAACTTGCGCGAAATATGACCAACTTTGAACAACCTGATTCAAAAACCCACGCTCACATAAAAGGATCAGATCACTATAGTTATAACTCTCAGCTTGTGGGAATAATTCATCTACTACTTCCCTCAGTCTGTTTTCAGAGGTGCTGTTCTCCATGACATTGTCTGCCTTAAAGGACTTGCCCCTTTGCTCATTGGTAGACATATTCTTCTGTCTCTTGTCAATGCTTGCTGACCGCTTTCACAATAAATACAGCAATCGTTACAAATACAGTGACCTATTTTAAAACTATTGTCTCATAACTAAGATTATGCGATGAGCTTTCGAAAGCTCATCGCAAATTTTCTGATTTTTTTTTCAAAATGCGTCCGGATGCGGTAGTTGGCTAAGAATACTCCGTACAAGGATGTCATGCTGGGCAGCAAGATGATAATGAGTGTGATGGGAGGCATCATGGATATTACAGACTGGTCTGAATGTCATATGTGTATGTCTTTGCTTTGTGATAGCGGTACAGAAAGGTACAGGTATATCAGTTACTTAGTGTATTTGATTTGGGGGGAAATTACTTATGTGTATAAAATGCAGAAAGAAACTAATTGGGGTTAATCTTGTTGAATTAAATAAAAAGTAGAGAGGAAAAGAAAAGAATGGAAATTGTAGAATAGATTTTAATCTTTTAGGATAGGATTGTTGTCTAAGCTTGGACGTCGAAAACTAGAGACACACCTTCATCACCAGCAGTTATTAGGCGCTTGTCACCGCCCATTTCTGTTATTATGAAATCTAGTACACCCATGTTGTGACCTAAAAAGGTGAATTTCTCTTGGCCAGTTCTTGAGTCGTACTCGTAAACCTTACCGTTGATGCAAGAAACAAATAAGTTGTCTCTAGAGTCAAAGACTATCTTTGTGACAGAGTCTTCTAGGACAAACTTCCTCCTTACTCTCCACATGTTGGTGTCATAGAGCAGCACCTCACCACCGACAAGACCCAGAGCCATCAATGGGAAACCCTTAGCCCATGCGATACTTTCGATTGATGAATCAAGTTCTTCCTGGTCTGGCTTTAATTCTATCACACCGGACAAGTGTAATACTGCACCGTTGTTGTTACAATTTATTATAGCTATCACACCATTGTTGGAACCACAGGCCAAAATACCACCATTACCTTTAGTCATTTCCACAGGCGCAACTGATAGAGAAATCCAAGGACATTCCATACCTTTCAGCTCAGGTTGAGCGATCTTGAAGTTTACTTGGCCGGTGTAACAGTTCCAACTTACAATACTGCTATCAAGAGAGCATGTGACCAAGTCCAAAGTACCTAGTTCTTCACTCTTTTCAATATTGATAAACTCACCCATTGTACACTCACTTTGATGAGAGAACCCACTCATCAGTTGTTCAACGGTGGCGGAAGCACCTTCACCGTTAATTTGATAGCACCAAACAGAGCCGTCGGTGGCACCTAATGCAAAAGCACCGCTGACCTTAGGGTGAACCTTCAGCCATATGATCTCTTCGACTTCTTGCAACTCTGACACTAGTTTCCATTGAGCACCGCCTTTCACAGAAGCATGTACTAATAACTTACCAGTCATGTCTGCAGACACCAAAAACTTTCCATCTGGAGTAAAGTGAGCCGCTATAACTGACTCAGTATGGCCACTCAAGGTACCAGCAAACTTAGGTGGTTGTGAGTGAGAGGTCCATAGATGGATTACATTGTCTGCGCCACCGGACGCCACCAGCGGCAGGCTGGGATGGTGCGCCACTACAAACACAGAGTCAGTGTGCTTGTCAAAATACGTACGCGAGTTGTTGGACAGATCAACCTCAATAGTCTCCTCAACTTCACCGCCTTCCATAGCTTCATCCATACCGTCATCTTCCTCGATCGGCTCACCACCTTCAACTTCAATCACTTGGTCAACCTCATCGTTGCCAATAAACTCATCCTCGGGACTCCCTTCACGTTCCATCTTTTGGTTCTATTCCTAAGTCTTGCCACCATTCAGCAGAATGTCTACAAGCATGAGTAGCTGGAGCTCATCGCATCTCTTTTATATATTTTCTAAAATTTTTCAAAATTCGCTGTTCTCCTGGGGCTTCCCAAAATTTTTCACAAATTTTGCATCAAGAGGTCCTTCAACTGTTATAAAAGGGCATGTCAACAGCAACAACCTCAACCACGCTTTACAAATCAGAGGTAACCAGGTTTATCTGTGATAAGTAGGTAACGCTTCGGTTTGTTACAGTTAGGCAGAGGAGTCCCGTTGTTTTGATAAAAACTATTCGCAGAGGTCTGAAATAAATATGAGTGGACAGATGTTCTGGGGCAAGAAAGAGGATGGCAAGAGGAAAAGGAGTTTCCAGGAGTCCTACGAGACGCCCAAGGTGCAGAAGTGTGTGCGGAAGAGGAGACCTGCGTTGAATGTGCAAGGGCAGCCATTGCCACCGCAGAGGAGTTTGGAGATGATGAGCAAGGACCAGCTTATGTCTGTTCTGATGGAGGTTATGAGACAGCACCCTGAAGTTGGAAGTACTTTCCAGGCTAAAGTGAGCAGTTACCAGTTTGCGTCTGAGAAATACCAACAGTTGTTGAAGGGCAAAGTTGAACAGTTGTACAGCAATATCCCTTACAACAGATCTTACGATAACACAAATCTGGACGATTACGCATTTGTGCGAATGAAACCGTACATTACGGAGTTGCTTAATTGCTTGGTTGATTGCGCTCTGGATAATCTTCCCCCAAGGAAGTCAGATCTACATGAATCCCTAAAATTCCTAGAGTCATGCACACAACTGGTATTGGACCTACCGCGGTTTGAGTCCGGAAGCAATAATTATTACTATGATAAATGTCTGGAACAAATATCACACTTATGGTGCAGCCTCATTGAGCAAATTTCAAAGGACATACATATGGTGATGAACACAAATATGGAAGAGTGGATAACTAAACTAAATGCTTACAACGAAAGGTCTAATGGATTATTGACATCGGCTGTGACGCTATTCAAATCGTTGGCCTCAGATGGGGACTTGCTTGGAGACCAACAAAATGAAATGGAAAGCCCCGCATATGTGGCAGGTCCAGGTTTACTGCTAGAATCAAACCCTAGTTATCTGATGCATAACAAATACTCTATGTGACTACATGGAAGAATAAGTAAGAGTCTTTCCTTTTAATATTATTTCGATACTCAATTTACGGCTATGAATCTCGGTTTCATTGTTTTCTCTTATTCATAATTATTGCATTAGTACTTCAAAAATTATACGGCACTTTACTACGAAACATTCATGTATTACATTCATTACAGTTATTTGTATTCCTATATCGGATATTCCATATAAATTGTTGATACTTTATTACTAACACTTTTCATTTCAAACTAGCTATAATAGCAGAGCAAACATCAAATAAATAATAACTTTATAATTAGAAAACTAAATATAAAAAATAACTCCCTACCATTAGTTGTTCTAAATTTAATACTGAAAAGTATTGAATTGATAAGTAATATTACAATATTGGTCTACATATATATGACCTATATAGTCAAAAAAAAAAAAAAACTACATTTAATTAAGAGATGAAGCCAACCCTCTGAGCAATCGGGTACTTTCAATTTGTTTCTTTTCATTCTTGGCAGTGTCATAATATGCCCGGCGCAGCTTATCCAATTTTATCCTGCTTAATTCCAACAGTGTCTTTGATGTTGAGTCGAGTAAATGAGCATTCATACTCATAGCCTTTAATCTATCCTCAAGTTCCTTTACTGGGTTAGCATTTGTAATTGTTTGCTCCGGGGTTGTGTTATCCGGTTTGACATCTTTTATAAGTTGCCATTCTTTCTGTGGATCATGTGAATCTAAGGTATTAGCCCATTCATTTATATCATTCTCTAATATATCAATTTTCTGCTTCAGCATAATTAGATTTTTCTCGTTTTCCACATTTTTGGTATTTGGTAGCTTTTTATGTGGCGTTTGGATTTTTCTTTTCCTTGTACTTTGTCTGTTATTCTTCTTGTTGTTCCGATATTCTAACTCTGGTCTAGTAGGTTGGATACCTAGTGTAATATCAAATTCGTCATCATATAGTGTCAAATTTTGTCTGGCAGAAGTATGGCGTGTATTACCATCATTATGGTCATCGAAAAGGGCATTCAGTTCAGTATCATTTCCATTGCCGCTGTAATCGTCTTCTTCTTCTTCCTCCTCAGCTTCCCAATCAATGTCTAAAGTTCCTTTCTTTAAATCGTGGACAAAACTCTTTATAATATTCATGGTTATTTTTTTGGGATCGCCGTATGAACCATTCTCCTCAAGAGTTTGACTCTGTGTCTTCTTGCGATCAGCCTCTTGTATCCTTGTATATGTCCTATCACAACACCAGTTAAATAACTGCCTTAGTTGTAAACTTTTTCCAAAGGACAAATCACCTACGTGCTTATAAAACTCTTGCTCGGGCACTTCTTTATGTGGTGAAACAATAACGTGCCTATCTACACCAGTGGAAAGCATTGATAATCTTCTGCCTCGTTGTGATAAAGATAACCGCTTATTTCTTGCTCTCTCGTTCAAAGATGATTTTAAAGCCGCCTCGTTATCTATCACTTTTATAAGTTTGTCTCGCGGTATACTACCACTATCGGTCACATATTCCAAAGGCACCAGATACTTCACTGAGCTATTGCCTTCAACCTGCAAAGAGGTATTGATGCCATTTATATGTGCTCTATTGTCAACTTCTGGAACCTGTTGACTACTACTAGCAGTGCCACCTCGTAACGAGTTCCGTGACGAGTTGAAGTGATCCATCCTTCTGGCGCTCTTTATCTCATGTAAACTGTCTAATCGCTCGCCCAGTGTTGGTACACCCAGGTTACTGTGTCTGCGAAACTCAAATCCTTCGTCATCTCCATCGGTCTCACCAGCATGCAGACCATTATCCTTGTCCCCCATGGGGAGTGTCTCCATATGAACTGTATGGTATGACATATCCTCAGCAAAATATGAATGCTGCCTCGATCGCCTACAGTTTAACGTATTCTCCCAAACAGCCTCTTAGCGTGATATCAAACTATTAAGCACCGTCTCTATAGGTTTACTGAAGTGCTGCTAATCTAACTTCTGAAGTTAATTAGTATTGTAGTTTACTTTCTGATTGTTTGTTTTTTCGCGCACTAGCCAAAGGCCGAGGAGATGTTCAAGAAGCTGAAAATGGGCGATGAGCTTGCGATCACACAGTTTTTGAAATCTAATGTTAATCATTATTTTAATCCTATTATTACACATGCTGGTTATTATATAAAAATGCTGGTATATTTATTACTTACCGGTACTACCGAAGCCACCAGCACCACGCTGGCTGTCCTCTAGAGATTCGACGACAACTACCTCGGCATCGTCGACAATCTTCTCTAAGATAAGTTGAGCGACACGGTCGCCTCTCTTGATTTCAAAATCCTTTTGTGAGTGATTGAATAGTATAATCTTCACTTCACCAGTGTAGTCTCTGTCTACAACACCAGCACCGGTCTGGATACCGTGCTTGACCGCTAGACCTGATCTTGGAGCAATTCTGCCGTATGTACCTTCTGGGACAGTGAAGGATATGTCAGTTGGAACCATACCTTGGCCCATGGCTGGAATCACATAGTCTGCCGAGGCGTAAATATCGTATCCTGCGGCATACACAGAACCCTTAGTTGGAGCAATACCGTGTTCGGAGCGTAGTTGCACTTTTAGAACGTTGCCAGACATTATCGATGTTTTAATTGTAATGAATTATCTCTTGAGAGGTGAGCACAGATCAATCTTCTACCAAGCTGTTAATTTAAACTGGAGAACAAAAGCCAATGCTTTACCTTCTTTAAATACTCTTGAGCTCATCGATTCCTGCGCAACGCGAAAATATTGAATGTGAGTGACACGAGGCATTGTCGATTGCATAATCTTACCACCGGGTAATTAACAAACGAGGTTACATTTCGTAACATAACGACGCACCCTAGCTATTAACCAGAACGTAAGAGAGTGATTAGCCTAAGAATAACTTCATTCTTCCAAAATTTATTGGCATCAACTGTTTAATATAGCATTTTGAAAATTAACTTTATATTCTATTAGGTGGCTAAAATTTCCTTACATTCTCATTCAATTAACTAAGCGCAAGTGGTTTAGTGGTAAAATCCAACGTTGCCATCGTTGGGCCCCCGGTTCGATTCCGGGCTTGCGCATTTCTTTTTATTTTTAGCTCGATTATCATTTAGACTTCATAGTTTGTCTAGGCATTTCATTCGATATTTCCAAGTAATAATGTCATTGTATGAAAAAATAACTGTCATTTCTATATATGCTCTTTGCTAACTCTGGAAACATAAAATATGATTAGAGTCATTAATACATAAAATAGTAAAAAAAAGATAGAAAAGCGCATTCTATAAGTCGTTACATGAAATTCTAATCAGCTACTGCTTGTCCCATCCAAGTTGCAAAGCATCGTTGTAGTTTGGATAGTCAATATAACCTTCTGCGGTGGGTGTATAGAAGGTTGGTCTGTCTTGTTCATTTAATGGCAGACCATTTTCTAAACGGTCAATGATGTCAGGGTTGGAGATGAAATATCTACCGTAAGCAATCAAGGTTCTAGGATCCTTGACTTGTTCTTTAACCAATTCTGGATGTAGTGCATAGTTACCAGCTCTGATGATGGGACCCTTCCAGATGGAGTATGCAAAATCATTTGTACCTTCCTTATATTCGCCTTGGTCTTCAACCAACATCAAATCAGTGACACTTGGTTCGACAAGGTGAATGTACGCAAGTCTTTTGCCTGCAATTCCTCTCTTCTCTAGTTCACCAATTAAGTAAGCGTAGTGAGCAACAATAGATGGTTCAAAACCGCCACTCATGTTACCAAACAAACCATATGGTGATAATCTGATACCAGTTCTCTCAGCACCGATAGCATCCACGACAGCGTCAACCACTTCAAGAGCAAATCTACATCTATTTTCAATAGAACCACCGTATTCGTCAGTTCTTCTGTTTGATTTTGGGTCAATGAATTGGTTCAACAGATAACCGTTTGCACTATGGATTTCAACACCATCAGCTCCGGATTCAACCGAGTTCTTAGCGGCCTTGACATAGTCCTTGATGTATTGCTTGATGTCTTCCTTTGTCAGTTCATGTTGAGCAATGTTGTTTTCTTTAGCAACTTCCTTCTGCTTGTCACTCATATATAGGTCAGCAGAAGGAGCATCCAATCTCAAACCATCTCTAGCCATGTTATTTGGGAATGCTTGTCTTCCCAAAGCCCACATTTGAACCCATACAAATGACTTGTTATCATGGATGGCTTTAAAAATCTTCTTCCATTGTTCCATTTGTTCCTCAGTCCAAATACCTGGGGCAGCATCGTATCCACCAGCTTGAGCTGAAATGAAAGTAGCCTCCGTGATAATCATAGTACCAGGCCTTTGTGATCTTTGTCTGTAGTATTCTTCTGTCCAGTTCTTGTTTGGCACATTTCCCTGGGGATCAGCCCTGAATCTGGACAATGGTGCCATAGCAACACGTTGTAACACCTCAGTGTTACCAACCTTCAATGGCTTAAATAAATTGGTGTCCTTTAGAGCAACTGGTGTAAAATCGTGTTTGAAAGGCATTTTGGAATTCTTGGTGTTATTATGGATGGATTCCTAGTACATAATTGACTAATATTTTATCACATGAGTTTTCTCTCCTTCATGCTCCCTGCTATTTATACCTTGCATGGCAATTGGCCTATATCATCACAATGGCATTGAAGTAATCGATGGAGACAGCTATTCCATACACTGAATTTAAGGTTTCCCTGATGCAACACCCCCACACGTATATAATCCAAATATGCATCTCTAAGAATTTACTGCACGAGAGCTTAAACTGCAGGTAGATTTACAGTTTTTTCCCCATTCATTGCTGAAACGGTCCCCACATTTACAGAAGAACTGCGTAGGGACCCTTCGAGCCTTACGTAAGTTTTCGAGTTACTTTCTGAACGGAACCGTTCAGTTCAAATATTGAGAGATATAATATTACAATGGGGGCGTGCCGCAAGGTACTGAGAATATATTTGGTTAACGAGTTGCGGGTTTTAAAAACAATTATTTACTGTTGTTAAGTGCAGTCAAAAAAATCGACTCAATAGCCACGTTTTTAAGCACTTAGGTAAGGGTAATTACAAATTCTGTATATCGGCACCGCAACTATACGATGCTATTAGCTAATTATTTTATTTATCAGCTATCTCATAGTTCGCTGTGAACAAATAGATAATACGGTTACTAAATTTTGATACTCAATCTATATCTGTAATGCTGTTCAAAATTGTTTACCATAAAGAGTGGATACAACTGTTCCAAACGATTGCTACTTTGGTAAGACATCCCAACCTAAACATAAACTTCTAAACAACATTATAAGATCTGAAAACATAAAAAAGCTAACAATACAGCTTTGAAACATTCTATTAACTATAGTTTTACTGTAAAATAAACGGTTTGAGTAGGTCTTAGTTATTCTATATACATAATATGTTAAAATAAAATTGGAATTCTGGGGTCAATAACAAAACCGCAAAAATTAATTGATAAGTATGAATAGTTACTATTCCGATATAGTGTAACGGCTATCACATCACGCTTTCACCGTGGAGACCGGGGTTCGACTCCCCGTATCGGAGTGAATTAGCCAAAATATCCAATTTATTAATTTTTTTTGCTTATCGGAAAAATGTTACTACTAGCATTTCATAGCCAAGATTGATAACAATGGGTGGAATTCGGAAAAATAGAGAGAATGTGTCAAAAGAAATAGAAGCAGAGAGTATCGACCTAGGGTCACAAGTATGGAATCAGCACCACAGTGAGTGCTGGGATAATTATATATTATTTTTTTATATGCGCATTTGTATAAGTTATATATAAAACAATGCCATCAATAACGGAATTCTTGTACATCATATATTTCTACCAATAAGCTAGCTGTGAAGAGACTTCCCAGGAGAATTGCGATAATATGGACCGTATAACTATTAAAGATGGTCAATTTTACGACTCTAGAGGTAGAGTTATTCAATTGAGAGGTGTTAACTTTGATCCTAGTGTTAAGACGCCTTACGGAATCAGGTCTGCTGATAGGATTGACTTTGAGACTGTGGATGACGTAAGCTTTGTAGGCCATCCTGTGCCTCTTCCTGAGGTTGAAGATCACATTAACAGGCTCAAATCTCTGGGTTTTAACATGATAAGGTTCCCCATTACTTGGGAGTCATTAGAACACAAAGGTCCTAGAGAGTACGATTACCAGTACATGGATTACTTGATAAACGTCTTATCAAAAATCGAAGAGATTGGCGGAATCTATGTTTATCTCGATCCGCATCAAGATGTTTGGAGTAGGGCTAGTGGCGGTTCAGGTGCGCCGATTTGGACGTTGTACAGTGCTGGATTCAATCCTTCAAGGTTTTACGAAACACATGCTGCAATCTTACACTCTGATTATGTCAATCAGCATAGCAAAGAAGAGTTTGTTGAAAACCCATACCCTAAAATGTTATGGACTACAAACTACTACAAATTAGCATGTCAAACTATGTTTACTTTATTTTTTGCCGGCAATATATTTGCTCCAAAATGTGAAATCAATGGACAGAACTTACAATCGTACTTACAGGACCATTTTATCGATGCCTTCATTGAACTTTACGAGCGTATTATTGAAAAAGCTCCGCATCTCATACAGAATAACTGTGTGATAGGTATCGAAACGATTAATGAACCAAATGAAGGTTTAATTGGAACACCTGATATTGGCGAAGTTCCCGAATCAAGACTTTTAAGATTGGGTGGCACACCTTCTGCCTTTCAAAGTTTTATCCTTGGCGAAGGGTACGAGACAGAAGTAGATATGTATAAGATAACATCATTTGGCCCTAAAAAATATGGAAAGAGAGTACTAAATCAAAAACATGAAAATTGCTGGTTAACGGGTGAAGAAAGAGATAGGATAGATAAACTATATGGCTGGCACAGAAATGATGAATGGAAGGCACATACATGCATATGGAGATTGCACGAGGTTTGGGAAATAGATCATGAGTCAGGTAATCCAAAGATATTAAAGCCTAAATATTTTTGTGAGCAAGATGATATCCCCAAAACCATTGATGATAGATATTTTATCGAGGTGTTCTTCAGAGATTATTATATTAACTTTTTCAAAAAAATTAGAAAACTGTCTCAGGAATTGATAGTCATACTTCAAGCTCCGGTATTCAGAATGCCGCCAAGTATTAAGGGAACTAATTTAGTTGATGACAGAGTAGCATGCGCGGGCCACTTTTATGATGGCTATACAATAATGTTTAAAAAATGGTCTGGCTTATTCACCATAGATACTTATGGTATGGTCTGCAAAAAATATTCTAATCCAGTCTCTTCTTTGGCTTTAGGCACTAATAATGTTAAGAATTGTATCAAACAACAATTATATGAAATGCAAATAGATGCTCAAAAGAATTTAGGATTAATTCCAATGATATTTACCGAAATTGGTGCTCCCTATGATCTAGATGACAAGAAAGCGTATTCAACAGGTGATTATACCTCACAAATAAGTGCAATAGATGCTATAGGACACGCTTTAGAAGGAAACAATTTTTCTTTCAGCATGTGGTGCTACAACCATGAAAATAACACTAAATGGGGAGATAATTGGAATAATGAAGACTTTTCAGTTTGGTCCAATGAAAAACATAAAAAAGACAATATTGAGGTTAAAATGCTTTCTGGAAATATGCCCAATAGCGTAAAATTAATGAAGGAGACAGAAGCAATCAGATTCGGATTACCCGTTGATAAACTTGATCTTTGTGGATTCAGAGCGTTAGATTCACTTTCAAGACCTTTCCCAATTTCTATTGATGGTGAATTTTTGACCGCTGAATTCAACCATAAGAAAAAGACATACCATCTCGAGATTAAAACAAAGAACATTAATAATGAAACAAAGATTTATGTTCCTAGATATCACTTCGAGCTGGAGTGCTGTGTGATATCAACAACTTCTGGGGAAATTCATTACGATCCCGATCATCAAATTATTGCGTGGAAATCCGCTTCAGTTGGCAAAAATACCCTACGCATTTCGAAAAGAAATAAAAGTGCGTGTGTTATATGCTAGATGTAACTATATTCGTAAAATTCTAAATACTTTCAAAAGTCAAGTGATTTAACATCCTCTTCTCTTTCTCTTTTTACTGAACCTAATTCATGCTTGAGCAATTGTGACACATAGCTTTGGAAATAATCCAAAAACGGTTGTAAAGAAGTCTCAGAGACATTGTTATTGCTTTTTTCCATTTCATTTTGTAAAACGATTAGCTTTGGAGCTTTTTCTGGGGTGAAATTATCTACGATTGGAACACATACATTACCAGTGGCCGGATGAATACAAAAAGGCGCCTTTAGTAAATGGATAGTTTGTTTTGTAACTTCCACATCTAGCTTTGGATACAATGTGGTTAGAACAAGGTCCTCTTTAGCCTCCCTCAGCCTATTATTCATTATTTCTTTTTGTCTTTTATTCGTTATATTGAGGTTTGAAGCTATTGTATCTATATCACCCCATTTAGCTTTACTTGATCTATTTGGATTCTCTGTCCAGTATTTTCGAAGTGCTTCAATAACCGGTTTTTCTGTAAATGCTGGAAGCAATGTTTTGATAGCGTGCTGATCATCTCTCCATGGATCTTGTTCCTCTAAAATAATATCGACGAAGTGCCCTTTTAAAATCTGCAAGGACCTACTTAGATGTGGGTGGTATGGCCTCTTCAAAGACAGGGGTTTGTCATAATTCCTATCTCTTACAACGTTCAAGTAGTCTAAAACATTACGTCTTTGTATGTCATTCAATGCTCTTGCACGCTTATCACTGACCCAACAATGCGCACCACGTCTACCGGAAAACACCCACACAAAGTCATTATATCCAAAATCTTCCTTTAATGCAACATTAATAATCTCCATTGCAAGTGATATAAATCTCCAACACTTGTAGCACACTTGAGCTCCTGAACAACATGTTCTGAAAGTATCGTAGTCATCCATATCGATATCAAATACAAGTTCCTTCTCTAATGGCACCATCTCACTTTTCAGCAGCGAATCACGCTCCTTTGGTGGTTTATTATAGATAGCACCAATTTCAAATCTGTCGGGATTAGACTTTTCAATTGCCTCCTTGAACTCCTGCACGTCACCATAGGAATTATATCTTTTGTAAGCACCGGACCTAAAAGCCATCGCAAACTCCCGATTTATAATGTCGCGGCTGGGTTTCTGCGAGTGATTCACCCATTGAAATATTTGCTTAAATGGATAGAGATACTGGTAGTAATACTGCATATCCATGGAACTTGGCCCATTGGGCTTTATAGTCTCAGTCATATCGCGCTCTTTTTTTTTCTTTCAGTTTTCAGTTTTAGCGTGTATTGTCCTCCAGCAAACAAAATCCACAGATCAGCTATAACAGACTAACAGTCTAATGGATAGCTATGATACTGTAATACTGTTATGATTCTATACTCTTAGCGCCAATTGGTGTATTTGCTCGATATAATTTTGAACTAGTTTCGTGTTCTGATTTTTTTGAAGCTTCAGGTCAAGAAATCGCTAATTTCGTGGAATTTTTGGCAGACCTGAAAATGACGAAAAATGATAAAAAGTTTCATCTCATTGGGATAGATGATAGTACTAGAAGTGCAGTAATGACGGGTATTAGATAATGCAGAGGCATATAAGTAAACGTTAATGGCTACTAAGAAGAGAAGTCGAAGTGATAAGAATGGTGGCAAGAAGAGGGCTACTGACGCTACGACCAGGCGAAAACAAACCAAGACGACCCCAAAGAACACTTTGTACATCAGGAATCTCAACGAGAAGATAAATACCAAGCGACTAAGGCATGGTCTATTTATGCTATTTTCGATATATGGTGAAGTCTTAAAGGTTACAATAAACTTCAAGGCATTACGAGCCCAAGCGTTTATTACACTGCGATCGGTTGAAGAAGCATCGCTGGCGAAAGCCGCATTGGAAGGTGAAGTGTTTTTCAATATACCTTTGTCTATTGAATTCAGTAAAGCGAATACCAAAGATCTAGAATGATACAACAGCCTTCTGAGCAATTAACGACACCAAATGTATAATAAGAAAAGTTTCAATTAATTTTTGGATTGGTTATTATCATAGGTAAAATACACCGATATTTATGAGTCATAAATCTCAATAACATCTTTCAGCTGGACTGTAAGTATAATAGACAATTACAAACATATATCAAACAGAAATCGAATCGCAAACAGAGAACTTGCCTAGCAACAAATATTAGGCAATACATACTAAATATTAAATAAACAAGAATTATCTTTGAATGCAATAACGTTAATGTTTAATATTAATTGCTTTTCATATCGGCGTACAAATAATACCAGATATATGGATTTACCAACAATAAGCTTCATAGTAGACCCAAGAACCTGGTAATACTAATCACGTGCTTTAATAATGCTACACATAGTAGCAAGAATTTTAACCCTAACATGAATAGTTACTATTCCGATATAGTGTAACGGCTATCACATCACGCTTTCACCGTGGAGACCGGGGTTCGACTCCCCGTATCGGAGTGAATTAGCCAAAATATCCAATTTGTTAATTTTTTTGCTATTTTTTGTCAAGTTATTTTTAACTGGCCATATCTCTCTTGATCAAGTAATTAATGAATGTACCTGTGCCATAAGAAGTTCCGATTCCATCAATAAATTTTCTATGTTAAGCAAACGAGTCAAAACGTCTTTCAAATTTAAATTATACTATTATGGTTACATCATAACCAGGCGGGTGCTAATTAATAAATTTGAGTAAAATAAATATCTTCTTAGGAGCCTTACTATGCCTCCGCATTGTTTTCCAGTCTATACACTAGATATTTATAGATAAAACTTCATCTTGACAAATCTGTAAAAGTCCATATAGTACCACTTTCCCAACAGACAACCAACAATCAGTTAAGCGCAAGTGGTTTAGTGGTAAAATCCAACGTTGCCATCGTTGGGCCCCCGGTTCGATTCCGGGCTTGCGCATTTCTTTTTTAAAAGTAAACATAGGCCTTCGTTTGTATACTCTGTAACAGTAAGCCTTTTGTGTTTAAGTTGCTAAGATAATACAATATAATGTCAGATTCTGTAGTGTTGGATTCAATTTTCAATGATTTTCAAGTCAAATGAAAGTGAGAATACGGAAAAACATATTTTTATCATTAAAGGATTTATACTTAAGTACAAATAAGGTCATTAAATAAAGATGGGGTCGTTGAAATTTAATCACAAACTTCAAAAACAAAAGCGGATTACTATCCAAACAGTTATTTTTTTTGGTTTGTTATTATAAATTATTTCTTTTCGAACTTGAACGATGTGCTTGTATCAGGACTAGTTTTGAAACATACACTTCAAAGAAGTGAAAAATAAGAATGTATGGTCATTATGTCTGTATGATTACAACAGTGTTAGGAACTGTACAGGTATTACTGCTGTCATGGCAAATGAAGAAGATTGAAAGATGCATTATTGGTGAATGTTTTAACAGGCTTGTGCCTGAAGCAGAGAAAGTAAGGCTTTAGTTATCGATGGTAAATTAGAATCCTGCCTTCTTGTATTCCTTGTAAGTCATTTCGTAAATTGGCTTTTGAGCAACACGCGAACCAATCTTAGAGAAGATGTTAATGTCGGCTCTAGTAAAACCTTTAGAGAAAGCACATACTGCAGTATTTTTCTTTCTAGAACAAGAAGTACAAGGTTGGAAGTAGATTATCTTATCCAGATGCTTGATAATCTTAGCATCTGGTTCCCTGCTTTCAATCTTTGACATTAAATCTTTAGAAATGTAAGCAAATGTGCTGCTTTGACTGTACACTTCTTGGCCTAGCTGGGTTTCGATCTCATGCTTGGTTAGCTCATGGTGTAGGCTTTGACCAAACATGTGAAGGACAGCTTCGTCTTGGCAAAGAATGTCTATCTTAGCGTCACATTTAATTTTCTTGGAGCGGCATTTGTCACAACTAGGGCCAATTCTTTGCCTCTTACCTGCATTGTTGGCCACTAGATCTGATGTAGACTTGATATTACTTGCCATAGTATTGAATGCAGACACAAAAGGGGAAGATTTCTTTGGCGGTACAGAAATCGGTTTTTGGATCACACCAAGTTTTGGGGAGGGTAGTTTCTGTTTTGGAGAGGCAAGGTTTAGTATAGCTTTCTTAGACTTCGATACCTTGAAGGCCCTACTTTCGAATTTGCTCAATGTGGCACCGATGTTAGCGGACCCAATAACCTCACCAGGTGTGGTTGGGGAATGTGTGGTGTACGTGCTTGTGAATGATGGCAAAGTGCTTAAAGTTGGAACGTCTAGCATTTGTGTAGGCTTTGGCAAAGATGATACGGGACTCAATGTCGCAGCAGCAAAAGCAGGATTATAATAGTAATGGTCATCTGTTCTAGCCTTCTTCAGTTCTAGGTTAACATGCTGACTACTTAAAAATAAATCAGTAGAGGATACCGATGATGCAGCAGAGGAAGTGGAATCTATGCGGCTCAATGTAGTGGAGCTGCTATTACTGCGAGAGCTTGGTACACTACTCAACGAATCACCAAAGGAAGCCCTTGACGATGATAGATTGGGTAGTAGCAGTGGTGGGAGAGATGTATCTCTATTCAAAACAGTTATACTTGTAGCCATTTCGTTAATTTTTAGTTTATGCTTTTTTCTTAATTCAATTCCTTCTTCTATGAAAAAATAGAAAAGAAGTTAAAACAATAGAATATTTCCTTACCTTTAAATTTTAAGTTCCGGAATGAAGAATACAGTTAAAGCAGGAATAAAAATAAGTTAATCAGTATTACTTAAACTGCAGTTCGAGGAATCTCATGATAAACCTTGTTACTTATATATAAATTTTTTTTTTTCAGGTGGTAAAATTCCTCATTTCAATACCAAATGGTTTCTCCAGATGGTTTGATTATTTTCCTGTCGTTGTCGTTTCTCTACATGATTGCTCTTCGACCCACTACTACATCCCCCTCTCCCTCCAAATAGTAGAGAAACCCCAGAAATAAAAATTCAAATAGGTAAAAGTGCGAGAGAGTAGAAATCCGCTCTGATTCCTTATCATTCAAATTTCCATATTGTTTTGCAACAATTGATACGTGCTATTCTCCTTGCTATAGCTTTTTCTTTTTCTCCTTCCCACTTCTTTTCTTTTGCTATTGATGTTTTCTTGCTAGTTCCATTTAGGAAATGAGCCAAAGTACATAATCCTTCTCCCTTTGTTCTAATCGCACACAGGACAACGTCTTCCGCATCTTGCCATTCTATAAACTCCCCTCTTCCACTGTACCAATTGCCAGCTTCCTTCCCCTCTGTAGTCTGCGCTTCGTTACTGTCACAAAATATTTATTGCGGGATGATTATGAGACGATGAAAGTTGGAAGGAAACAGCAAATCTCCAGCTGAGTAGCAAGAATTATGATGGAGGGGCAAAACATTAGTGCTAGAAACAGCAGTGCGACAGCAATATATTATGGAAAAATAGAAGACAAAGGGTCCAAAAAGAAGCAGAACGAAAGTTTTTCCTTCCTCGACCTGGAACCAGTTGGGCCCTACTTCCATTTCACACACAGATCACGCTGGAGAAGGAGGGGAAGGGAGGGTGGAAGTTTCAAAAAGACTCATAACACACACACACACACAAAAAAAAAGAAAGAAATTGATGAAGAGGACTCCATTCTGTACAGTGAAGTCTGTGCCACATGTAAGAGAAAACACCAGAACCTAATCTGAGCAAGATTTCTGTACTCAAGGAAATAAAAAATTGGAGTTTTTCCAGAGATGTAATTGCAGTAAGGGCACATACTAAAACAAAAAATTCCGAGATTACTTTACTATAGCACCTTCTGTGCATGTTACGGTCGTACTCATTAGCCCATTTGAGAAAACCAGTTGGGCAAAGCCCTTAGAAAAGGCTGGAGGGATGGTGTTGTTTGCTTTATTTTCATTTTGCGTTTCTCTGACACTTTCTTTGACCCCGCATTTGAGATATATTAGGAGTGTTTGTGCTGAGGTTTCATTGCATTGCTGAAGTTCGTCTTCTCTTATTTTTTGCGGAAAAATTAGTCCCTAAACCCAATCCTACCTGATTTATTGAGCCATTCTTCGAAACACACAAAAACATCCACAAAAAAATATTTTCCATAGACAAATGCAGGAGAAAACACCGGAATAATTGTTTCTGATAGCAAAAGAAAAGATGATTGCCCTCTAACATGCTATTCTTAGCCTCCTCGGACAGTAATTTTTCCGGTGATCCTTACTTGAGCCTTTAAAGCCCCTCCAAATGCACAGTACACACTGAAACGCCTATACGGAGTACTTGAGCTAACTGTGTTTACCTTTCTGTGAGTGTTCAAGGGCAACATCAATAATCCTCTCCCTTATCCGTACGCCTGGTTCTGTGCTCAAAAATCCTCACAAAGACGAGATATAGGGATGTAGGCTCCTTTCTCCAAGGCGGGGCACATATCTGAAGGAGGGCACACTTCCCACACGCTCCATCTTTTGCTTCTTCCTTACATTCACAACGCAGATGTACCAGTACGGGAACAACCACTATAATTACCAATAACGGAAAAATCAATTTGATTGGAAAAATTCGGAATAACTACTTTTGTTTCTCCTGTCTTCTAGGTGTCAGATCCGAGTGAACCACGTAAGACGGGGTATCTAGGTGGAGGGGGGGGAGGGTAGGAAAGCCAGCGAAGGTAATGAGAGTGGAGAAATGCACGGAGAGTACAATTTTTGAGAAAACTTGTGGAAAGAGAAGATGGAAATATTAAAAGTGGGGCAAAAAAACCCCTTTGGAGTTCCCTGCTTGCATTTCTGTGGGCTGTTTGAACTTGCATGGAAAAACTTCTTCCCAATGATATGAGAGAAAGACACATATGATTTTACCATCCCGCACTGATGCGCCGCAGAAGGAAGCAGCACCATAGTGATTTTCCTGCTGTTCGATTGGAAAGGGAATGGCAGAGATGCAGGGGCTATCTAGCAGCACCGCTTTTAGGAGTCTTTCTTCCGAAAGGGCGTGTGGTTCAAATAGTTAGAGCTATATTCGTGTTGTACCTCCTTTTTCCTAAATCTGGATTAACACTCCAGAAGAAAGGGACTCTCGGAGAAAGTCATTCCATAGTCGTGAGCATTTCATTAGTTTAGCTAGCTCAAACACCAAAAATCTGCGTGTCCCAACAAAAGAAATGAACGGGACGACAAATGGATCGTAAGTATATGTGCGCACGCTTGCGCTACTGTTCGCAAAGAAGCACACTACCGCCGAAAAAGGATTTTCCAATTGATTACCATTTGCCAAATGATTGCAATGAGATTGGATGGAAAAAAACCCATTGCAAATGTACCCCCAGAAACAATTATCTCGTTTCTTTTTCTCTCCCCAAAGTAGGAAGTGGGGCATTCACTCGCTTGTCCCTTATCTCTGTTCTTGAAAACTCACCATTATGACACATTTCTAATTAAAATACGGACTCCGTAGCAGCGACGGCAGACTCGAAGGAAATATGCTATACCGCTGCAGATAGGAGAAGACTCTATTGGGGCTTACCCAATTTCGTATATCCCTTAGAGTAGTTCCGTGCGGGGCAAGAACATAATAAGGCTTTTCCAAATGCGGCAACTTGTCTCATGTATGCTTGTTGACGTGGCTTGTGCCAACTCCATGGGTTACATCAAATGCTTTGCTATGTGCAGTACACACAACACCCTTGAATCACGCCTTTTTCTGGAGTCGCTTTTGCTCATGAGGCACTGTTAGCCACAACCCGCAAAATCTATCAACCTGGGCATACTTAGCGGCAACTAGTAATAATAGGATACTGGTTTCCAATATGCCCTACACGGAATTGTAACCCCGCCTCCGTTTTCTTTTTTTTTTTCTATTTTCTCCCTACTTCTTGGCATTTTTTTTAGTATTTTCAGTTCCTCGGAGAAACTTTTTTTCACAGTGGTTTTTACTGCTTAGCACGTCATCATAAAACTGAGATCAAGGAAGCCTTCATCCTTCTCCTAATGACGTATATGCCAGATAGTAAGAATGGAACTATACTTCAGTTTTGATTTATGATGACAACTTAGATCGGCTAACATCGTCTAGGTGTTCGAAGGCATGCTATGTGGCACTTTTCCAAATCATATCGAATGCATTCTTAACTCTACAGTTGCACAAACACTTCGAGCAGGCCGCGGCTTAGTGCGAAATAGTTGTATAAATAATTTATTACAATTATAGAAGGAATATTGATGTATCTTGAGACCCGATAGAATACACATACGTTGAATAGTTCTATATAACAAAGGTCTAGTTATAGAAAAAAAAAAAAAGAAATACAACTGTAGTCGTTTTCTTTCACATTAATGCGATTATCATTTCATATGCAGTTTAGAAGAGTCGAGAACATTAACGAAGTCCAACAGAGGTCATTGACTGATCCTCACCAGGAATATTTGTAGCTTTTGAAAGGTGCTGAAAATTGGAACACGAATTAGAACAAAGGTTAACAGTTTCCACTGCGAATAAAAAGGAAAAAAAAGACATGGTATTTTCAAAGTTTCTTCCCGAACCATTTCAGTACATATCTATCATAGCGATGTCATAAAATTATCCAATTCAGCGAAACCTTCGTCAGATAATAATTGGCTTGGAGGAGACACTACCTGTAAACTGCTAATGGGGGAGTTATCATCTCTACCTAGTGTTGGGCTGGTGTGATGCGTAAGGTTGAACCGTCCTTTATTATCAAAATCTTCACCGGTATCTTGATTATTATTGGCTCGAGTGGAATCTTCTTCTCTTGAAGATACTCCTGCAAGACTAGAGTCAACATCCATATATGCATCGCCCCCGCTGTACCTGTCTATATCTGCAAAAGTCGGTAACAAACTATCATCTATGTTATTGACCTCTCTCACATGCATTAAGTTAGAGGGTTGCTTCCCCAGAACACCTTTATAATCACTAGATTCTCTAGAAGCGTCAAAGGAAATAGAATTACTCTTAGGATTGGCTAATGCATTATGACTGCTTGCATTACTAAACATATTGTTATCTTCAAAACTAGGCTTTCTGATACCAAGAATTGGATCTGGATCGGAGCCATCAAATTTCGAGCTTGACGTAAATGACTGTGTAGGTTCATCTTGAGTAGAAGTTTGATTTTTCTTACGGTAAAGTTGTGATTGTGCCTGTCGAGCTAACATCTGTTGTTCTTGAAAGTGTTGGAACTCGGCTCTTCTATCACTGTCAGAACGAGTTTGATTATAACTGTTGGTTGAATCTGCAGCTATCTCGGTCTTGTTCGACTCCATCCGATCCGGAATATCCATAAAACTGGGAGTTAGTGATAGCACCTCGACACTTCTAGTGCTAGCGTTGTCTGTCGTAACCTTTTTATCATCTATATAATCATTAGAGTAACGACTGACTGCAATACTATTATTTTGTTTGTTGTTGGGATCACGAGAATTCAAGTTCACAGAGAAGCGATCATTCTTATTATTTCCATGACCAAAAAAATTCATCTTCGACATATTAGAAACAGACGAACCATTTGAAAGCATATCTAAAAGACCAGTATATGCCAAATCTTTCGGATTTGAGGTAATAATATCAGAATCACTCATGATCGCCTGTTCTGCCTCTGTAGCTGTTGTACTGAAATTGTCACTATAATGACTTTGAATATCGTTAGCCATGTTGTTGTCTCTATCCGAGTTTCTATTATTCATAACATCATTAAATTCGACACCATTCGGTGCTTCATCAATTGGTAAAGGCCAGTCTTGAGCTGTTAATGATTCACTTCCGTTGACTCTTCCTATTCCGTTTATGTCCGGCGGCACATATTCATCTAGTGGAATAATGACCTCTCCAACATGAGTCCTAGTTTTAGGAGTAATTTTCTTAGAGTTATACAGCGGATTTAACCCAATGGTAGCATTTTCATGCGAGTTTTGCTCACTCACCGATCTCTGAATTTTTCTTGGTTGTGAGGCAGTATAATTATGATTATTTTTTCCATTTGGTATGTAGTCATTTCTGTCACCCTGTGATATATTGTTATTCGAAATAGGACTTATATTATTATCAGATTGATTACCTGATTCCCAATCGAGAGACCTAATTGGTTGATTATTATGTGACATATTGTTTGACTTCCGAAATACTCCACTATGTGTCGGTGGAGATAGCGTATCACTTAAGAGACTGAATGAAACGGTACTTAGAGGTGGACTTTGAGGCAGATTGAAGTTATGTTCTAAGGATTGGGTAGAATGTAAAGATGAAATTGAAGTCATCGATGGAATATGATGGTATTCTTTTGTGACCCTACCAGTAGGGACAGGGTGTGTATGTGTACTACTGTGACTTGTTCCTGATACACCGGCCGAATGTATTGCTGTTTGTTGGTTGTTTACACCTGTATCTATAGTATCCAAAAAATCCCTACCTAGTAAACTTGAAGAGTCATTATTTGGTCTTATATTCCTGTTGAACACAGAACTTTCTAATGACGTGGATGAATCTATTCTATCCAGGAATGGATTAGACGTCAGATTCGTAGATTCATCATTTTCATTCAAAGAGTTTGAGAAGTTATAAAACTTATTGGCTGACATATTACTAGGGTGAACACTCAGTTCATTTATTGATGCAGGACTCGTAACATCACCAACATGACCAGAAAAACTACTGAAGCTATTCTGTTCCTTCAATCCTATTGTCAAACCACTGCTACTTGTAGTGTTATTTCTTCTCCTCAAAGACTTCCCATTTGTCGCCATCGTGGGACTAGTTTGACTATGATGCAGATGAAGGTGGTCAGATGAGATCGCTTTACGCGGTTCCAAGGAAATCATTTTCTTTCTAGTTGCACCAGATGAGGTAGGACTGATGATTCCAGGAGGCATAGAACTAACCTCTTTCTTCTTCCTTGTCTTCTTCTCTGGTACCGGCAATGGCAACCCTTTCCTCCTTGCCTCTTCCTCTGCCTCTTTCTGGAGCCGCTTTTTCTCAAGCCTTCCACATGTACATCGACTCTCATCGGGTATAGTCTTCTTATTTTTTCTTAGAAATTTACAATAGTCACAGGTGGTAGACGGCCTACCTTTAGGTTTTATCATCATCAGTGGCTGATCTGAATGGTTACATGTGGTAACCCTATGGCCTCTAATACATCTCTCACAAGCGTATTTAACGCCATTTATCAAAACCATTTTAAGTTATGGGATGGTCTCTTATGTTCAGTGAAATATTTTTTCTTCAAATATAATACAGATAAAATTCTTTTTAGCAGTTCTAATGCTAATCTCTTTTTGTGTTTAGGATGCTTCAATTTAATAGTCTTATTTAAGTACTATTCCCAAATGCATAAATACAACACTGTGTTTTTTTTATTTTTTTTAATTCTGTTTGAAATAGGTGGAAATCGGGGATCGCTGATCAAAGATGCCTATTGAATTTTAATGTCCGTTTTCAGCCTTTTTGCAACCTTGATTTGTTTCTCTTTGAAAATAATAATATCTTAGTATATCTTTATGAAGTAGATTAGCTGATCATCAGACTATGCCTTCTTCTTACCTAAAAATTGGCGGTTTGCCCCTCCTAGACCTCTTTCACTTCACACGCCCAGTATTATTGAAAGTGAATAAACACTATATGGCAATCTTGCTATCCAGTTGACGGCTATGTTATTATTGATACGGAATTAGAAGAGTGTATGCCTGTCTATCTCCGCCAGTAAGTTACTGTTTTGTAGATTCTTTGGTCTATTAACAACTTTCCATCTTTTCCACATTTTGTACTATTTCTACCTTTTTAATCAAATGATTTATTTCATTCGGTTCATAATGTCGTCCATCTCTACAATAATTGTAACTCTCTGGATTTTTTCTTTTTTTTTTTTCCCTCCTTCCCTTGTAGTTCTGTTACAGCTCTTCTGTTACAATTTTGTATTAACAAGAAGCAAAAAAATCAAAATCAGGGCCTTCGGTAAAACTGCGAAGAAAATATTTTCGTCAGGATCTAGAAGGCAGGGAACACTATGCCACTGTACTGACAAGCACAGAACAAGGATTTGGGACCAGCACTTAGCACACAGAACATGGTCTAGCAAAGTAAAGGACTACTACAATGAAATTCCTGTTTTTCCTCTTTCTTGTTTCTTTTGCTCCTTCTCTGGATTTCGCTTTCACGGGAAGGTATCCCTGCAGCATTCACCCTCATCTAAATCTATTCTTGCCAGAGTGCAAGGCAGCGTTTTTGGCAGACAACTGTTAGTTCCAAGACAAGTATCCATACAAATTTAATGAAATTTGTTTCAAAATTACCCAAAAGTCGCACTGCAGCAATGGAACCATAATTTGAATGCTGAAATCTAGGAGTTCACAGAGTAGCTTAGGAGAGCCCCCAAACGGGATTATGAACTCATGTGATACTGGGCAGGAGAAACATCCCGCAAACTGGCTCACACGCAATGTTTTCCCCTTAATCCGTTCCCTTATAGGGAAATATTTGCGATAACGTTGGCATCGAGAAGAATTCTGCGCAGTGATTCATTTTTTTATATTTGGGTGTGTTCCCAACATTATGGTGGTATATTTGTTTGCAATCTCCGTTCTGGGACTACCACATGCAGTTGCTTTTAGACATTATGGATTTAGGGACGATCCAAATAATAAAGCCGGTCTATATCCGGAAGGGGCACAATACTATTGAACCTATGCAAGATTTCATTTTTTTTCTCATTTATTTTTAACTACTCCAACTTCATATGATACATAAGCAATTCATTGAGATGATATAAGCTGTAGTTTAAAACATAAAAGGGTTCTACGAGAATTTGCACCAGGAAAAGGATCCGTGATCTGTAGATACCGTAATCCTTCGATGAGTAGATGAGCTAGAAGTAGGAGGGGGGAGGTAAAAATACTGCTTTTATTATGTTTATATCAGCAGCTGAGTAGACTTTTTATTTGAATGCTGTGAAGACCACCAAGCGATCATATCTCAAGAACGTGCTAGTAAAAGGGAGTGAACGGCAAAATTTTTCAATAGTATGGAGCTCCTTGAATTGAATTTTACATCTAAAGAAACTAGTGGACAGTATCTGTTGTAATTACCTATCTCTCTATGACCAAGGGTATATAAATTACTAACCCAATTAATTATAGTTATTGGCGCACCCAGTCCGTATTTCAACGAATTGATCCGATTGAAAGAACTTTGTATCCGGACTGATATAATTCACTATGGTGCGTTGTGTTAAATTGCCCTTTGAAAATTCAGTGGATGACCAACTGTAAAGTTGTCATATTACCCGTTTCAGCAATGAACATACCTTCATGTACTACTGTATAGTTATAGTTTAACTTGAACATTTGTAGGAGGACACCGTGTGGAAGTAAAAAAAAAGGTTTGCAGCATATGTATTTACAAGTACCTGCACATTAGCTTCCAAAAGGCCGCCGCCAATGAAAATACTGCAGCGTTTTCAAATATTTCATCTTGCAAAACTAAGAAGTTTGAAAAATTTCTGGCTAGATCGAGTGACTATACGGTAACTAAAGAAATAGCCATGCACCACTACATCCGGAACAAAAATTGACGACCGGAATGCGGCTTTTTGATTCTTTAAACTGCAAATGCAGCCTGAGTGCTGAGTTCATCATCTGGTGAGTTGAGAAAGTAGAAGTAGTTGTCTGAGAAAAGAAAAAGAAAAAGAAAAAAGACGAAACCCAAACTTTCGACGAAAAATAAACGTTGGATGCTCAACATTGCAGCAAGGGGAACCACAAAAAAAAGAAAGTGCGCAAGCCCGGAATCGAACCGGGGGCCCAACGATGGCAACGTTGGATTTTACCACTAAACCACTTGCGCGTAATTACTTGAATGACAACTGTGTAAATTATTTTTGTGGTATATCATCCAAAATTTTAAGAACACGTGTCTCTGTCCGCATTACACGATAAAACCTATTACTATTGTCAATTCTGTTCAATCTTGCCTATAGTCACTATTAGTGAGGGAACACACTACCTTAAACAAAAGAACAATCATAAGGTAGTACCAAATTTTATCTTTAAAATTGGGAGTTACTATGTGAAATTTATGGCATACATACCTCACTATCTGGAAAATGCTAAAAATTTTCAACACCTAACGAAAGGACCATTAATCTATGTAATTTGGTAACACGCATTTAGTCCCCATTGTTTCTTGTAATTTAGATCAGATTAATTGACCTTGAAACTCAAGTCTTTCAATCAAACTCACAAATCAATTGGACAATGTATCCGTCAAAACAATAGCAAGTGACGGAAGCGAATCAAAATGGTATACAACTTCTTGCTCTTAGCGCTTAGGTAAAGTTATGGCACAGCAAGCCCTTTCAGTACAACCACGGTGGGTTTCTGTCACACCCCCCCCTTTAGACTGACATTTGTCTTACTACCACAGTGCATAGTCATCAAACACAAAGCAACGCCGTGAATATATGTTTTGTCATTGGATGTGCGTACAGCCGCCTATGCGATATACGCACGTCATATCGGCGGATAGATTCAGTTCTGTTTGTGTTTCAGAACTCCTGTGTCTGTTTCAGAGAAATAGCCGCAGACCACGAAAAAATCACAGCAGATGTATTAAAGAAGAAGGAAGGGTGGGGTGGGGGTTGCGGGGCGCGGAGCGGCAGTGGAAACGTGGACATGAACAGCCAGATCTCTGGATGCACACAGAGAAACTTGTACAGGACTAGGTGATGTAACCGCTGAGCCTCAGCCTGCGGACACTGTCAGATGTTTGGGCAGTCATATGTTAAGATAATCTTGTTTTATCAAAGACGTTGTCACTGAAAAGAGCGCACGGCAGTCAAATGCGTTTGACAAGAAAAAGGTGAGATCTGGGCGGCTAAACAATTCCCATGCCTCAAAATGGTTTTTGCTACACGGTGGGGATTCTGGGGGAGGAAGGAGGGTGTACTAAAGTATAAATACAGCAGCACTTTTAAAAGTTTTGAGTAACTTTATCAAATACTGAGCTGCACACACAAAAAAAAAGATTGCCAAATATAGTAGTGGAAGAATGGCAGTTAGCGGGTTACCTTTACTAAAAGAGTCAGATCCAACTCAGTATGATAGTGTAGCAAAGGTATGGCTGCTTGCCACACTGTCGGGAGGAAATGGAGTGGGCGGCTACCGGATTAGGAGGGGATTGGTTGATTCAAGATTTAAGAAAAAAGATATTTTAAACATATCCATACCAAAGACGTGCAAAGTCATCTCAAGAAGTAATGAAGCTTTACCATTAAGACAAGTGTCAAATCTGTTATATGGCGTCACGATATGCTACAACAAGAAGGCTGAATTTATTTTGAATGATCTCGATGCCATGTTAGTGCAATTACAAAGACGATTATTATTAACTAACACTGGCAAGAGTACTGTCACTGTCAGAAGCACGGTTGCAAATAACTCAACCCTAATTAATTTAAATTCCAACAACTTTTTGCTCAGAGATGACCCATTGTTTAAAATTGATTTTGTTAAGAACTTTTCACTGGATGAAAGTGAAAAGCAATTATCAGATGCGCAAACAATCAGAAAACAAGACTACATTAATGAATTAGGTGGACTGCTAGTTCCTGCACAAACCAATAGCTATCAGAATGTTAATTTGAAATCGAGGTTGCTGAAAAGACCTTACACAATAGATTCCGACGATTTGGAAGAACTACCAGTTGATGAAAGTTTGAATTTAAACCTAGAATTTGACGACATAATGAGTGAATCCGAAAAGACAGAGTTAGGAATAAACTCAATTAACAAAGATATTGATCTTGATATAAACAAACTTTTTCCTTCAGACAAGACCAGCCTATTGGGTGCTATAAGTGAAGAAACTTTCGATTACTATCATAATGATGAAGAGGCAGAAGAGGATTCTAATCTAAAAGATGAAGACACATTAGAACAGCCACCCAGAAAGAAACTGAAACCAAAAAATGTGTTTTCTTTTGTTAAGATCAAATACGATGATCGTATTAGTATCTCCAATGAACAAATAAGACGACAACAGGAATTATACAAAGATCATATGGCAATATTGCAACGAAAAGTTGTAGATAATAGTGGGAAAAAGCTCTCCACAACATATCAGTTAAAGCCATTCGAAGACTTAATAGTGAATAGCAAAGAAACTGATATTATGATTCGAGAAAAACAGCAGGCAAAAAAACCGAATGAACTTTTAACAAGTTTGAATGATTTGTTTAGTATCGAGGAGGACATTGAGAGAGGTCGTAGAGCATCTTCAGACAGACAAAGTAGTAAGTCCCGATCACAAAGTCTAAGAAGTGAAGAAATAGGGAGGAGAGTAGATAGCTCAAAAATCCTTGATAATTCCACAGCTGACAATGAGAACAGTTCCTCCTCACACTTAATGATTAATTTGGAACAAATAGACGAAGACTATGAGACAAATGATAACAGCTCAGAGTTTTCTGAAACGGATAGGCACAATTTTTTGAATTTAGACCTTCAAGTACCACCTTCTAGCTCGGGTAGACCATCTAGTTCTATTCGAGATATCGTAGACATATTGGAAAGTAATACCATGCACCCAAGGATTCGCCCTCGTCAATATACCACTGATTCAGAAAGAATAGATGAACATAGCATATACACATCAGAATTGAATAATATAGAAAGTACAGCCAGTGACCAATATCCTAGATCAACTCTAAATGTTCTAGATATTCAAGCGAAGAGGTTCTATGACTTCCTCAAGCAAAGAATGGAGGAAATGGGCACTCCAATAGCAAACTCAGCTAGATTTAAGAATAAGCTTTCTCTCGAATACATTATCCCTGGTAGAAAAGCAATGATAGTAGACGACGGTCATGATGGCCATGTAGAAATTGTATCCAAGTCTATTGCTGCTAATGTCTTTTTTAGTTTGCTGACGCTAGCCACACAAAATCTTGTCGGCCTTAAACAACGTCATCAAGAAAATATGACACAAGGATTTATGATTCCTTCTAGTTCTGATATAATTGTATACGCATGAAAATACGGCTGGTAAAATTGATAAAATTTGATACTCCTCCATATTATTCACTGTAATTTAAATTATGTGACGACTACAATTGACTCGGAGTCATCTTCCATCTTTTTCATATACTTGTTTTTTCCACAGAAGATGCGTACCCATTAATAGGCCCGTTAAGGAACCGTAGCATTATTGAATAAGACTTGTATCTTTGACGTCTTAAAGCCATAAAACCAAAATTGGGGTAAACTATTGCAACTTTGATTCGATGAATAAACGACACCCATATACTGTGTGCATCAAAATGACCTGCTTTATAGTAAGATTTTTATATTTGATTGGAGATAGCAATTTATAGAAATGATCACGGAAGTGAACAATATCCTAGAGCCTCTGATTCATATGACCTAATGGCAACACTTTTTGTAGGTGAATGCGCTTATCTTATATAAATGATTAGAACCATCGAGCAACTTAGTTCATCAACCATTACACTTACTGGATTATTCATTTTTGACATTTAATAAAATTGCCATCTATAAAGACAACAATGCTCCGTAATTATCCTAAGAACTTAATTGGACCTAGAACAATTGCAAGGACTACACACACCTCATGTTATAATGGTGGAAGTATAAAAACATATGTTGAAGATCAGGTTAAGGCAGTTACCGAATGGTTTGGAAGCGATAGATTTCAAAATATTAAGAGAACGTACACACCTTTAGATGTGGTAAAACATCGGGGTAGCATAAATCCCTGTGAAGTAATTTATCCATCTGCGTTCCCATCAAGGAAGTTGTTTTCCCTAGTAGAAGAGCACTTTAAAGACAAAAAACCATTGCACACTTTGGGTGTTTTAGATCCTGTCCAAATGACCCAACTAAGTAGATGCGAAGATTTGAAAGTGGCATATGTATCTGGATGGGCCTGCTCCTCTACAATGGTTGGTTCAACCAATGATGTGTCACCAGATTTTGGAGATTATCCATATAATACTGTACCCAATCAAGTGGAGAGGATTATGAAAGCACAACAGATGCATGACCGTAAAGCTTACTTAGAGAAATTTATGACAGATCAAAAATCCTCATCAAATGCTGAATTTATTGATTATTTGAAACCAATTATTGCAGATGGTGATATGGGCCATGGCGGGCCAACAACAGTTATGAAGGTTGCAAAACTTTTTGCTGAGAAAGGTGCTGCTGCTGTCCATTTAGAAGATCAACTTGTTGGTGGTAAGAGATGTGGTCATCTAAGTGGTGCTGTTTTAGTTCCCACTGGTGCACATCTGAGTCGCTTAATCAGCACCAGATTTCAATGGGATATTATGGGCACTGAGAACTTAATACTAGCTCGTACTGATTCATGTAATGCAAAATTAATAAGCAGTGACATTGATCCTAGAGATCATAGTTTTATTCAAGGTATCCTCAATCCATCTAAAACTGATCGTTGGGCAGATAAGTTATTAGAACTAGAAAGAAAAGAGGTAGACAAATCCATCATTGCTGAAGCAGAGAAGGAATGGTATGACCAAAACAAATTATATACCTACGAAGAGATGATCCAAATAAGATTCACTGAGTCAGAGTATAAGGACTATCTAACAAGAAAGGACAAGTACCTACAAACTCAGGGGAAGAACTTCCTAAGTGTTCGTGAGATGAAAAATATAGCTACGGAAGTTAACTCCACTAAACGCTTGGAATTTTGTTGGATGGCACCCAGAACTAAGGAAGGCTATTATATGTTTAAAGGAGGTATGGAACCTGCTATCAGAAGATCACTAGTTTTTGCCCCATATTCTGATATGATTTGGTTGGAGACAAAAACCCCCGACCTTGAACAAGCTAAAAGCTTTTCGAAAGAGATTCATAATACTTATCCACATGTTAAATTTGTCTATAACTTGTCACCTAGCTTCAACTGGACTGCCCACGGATTCAACGGTGACAAATTGAAATCGTTTATATGGGACCTTGCCAAAGAAGGATTTGTCTTACAATTAGTTTCCTTAGCTGGTCTTCACACAAATGCTGCTTCATTCTGGGATCTTGCCAAGAATTTCCAAAAGGATGGAATGAAGGCCTACGTGGATAAAGTACAAAAGATCGAGAAACAGCTCGATTGTGACGTCTTAACACACCAGAAATGGTCAGGTGCAGAATATATGGACTCTTTGCTAAACGTTGTACAGAATGGATCTTCTTCTCAAACCATGAGTACTTCTGGTGAGAGTTTTACCGAGAACCAATTCTGAGCACCTGCTCAAAGTTCACATTAACATTTCAATTTATTGCTTAATGAAACAGAAATCATTACATTAGGGGTATCATTGTAATTTCATCATAAAAATAGAAATAGAAACGTTTATGTAATGAATGTATTACTAAAAAAAAACCTTACGCTTACCCTGTAACCTTCCAACAACTGAACAATCCTCTATTCTCAGTGGCAGCGCTTGAAAGATTCCAAATGACGTAATTTATCCTTACCCTCTAAAGTTGGTCCCCTTTGTTTTTGTTTGATCTGCGCATTTTCCCTATGAACATACGCATCGTCCAAAATACTCTATGAAGCGTACGCAGAACCAAGGTCTCTCAGAACAAATGAAAATACGTCACTTTTGGTGGTGAATTTCGCATTTGACGTTCGCACTGGCAAAAAACGGTGCGAACATTCGCTGTGATGTGATACTTGAAGGAACTAGGCAGTATCTAGTAGACTCCTTAACTCTATCAACAAGTGCTTCAACCACGTAGGTGGTTTTGAGACTTATCTTCTATCTGCTATTTGCTGTATTCGATACACGGTAATCGTTTCCTGAAAAGAAACCTTTACTATGGGTGCTGAGCCCTCTCTTTTCTCTGTGTGGCAGTATTAGTTTCTACTCTGCAATTATAACTTGAACAAATGACGATTGTTGTTTTTATTGGGGGAGGGATCGATACGTGCTTTACTGAGGATTTCTATTATTATCAACTCTACCCTAACCAAACAATACTTTTGGTAGCTATCTTTCCCCCCACAAAGTCTTGATTCTGTGCTTACAACAAAATAGAAAAGAACTTACTCTATGCACACACAAATCCAATTCCTTTCTTTTGGAGGCGTTGTGAAAATGCTATATAACAGATGGGTAGTTCTTCTTTAAGAGCATCCCACTTATCGCACATTTAGCCTTCCTTCTTGCTTCTGCTCCGTTAATATCCCTTGCACTTTTTTCTTTTCTGTTGATCCGCTTGATACTGAGCTGGCATTTTTAGAGTTCACACCCCACGCAAGCACTTCCCATTCGTTACGTTTGAGTACAGTGGTCATAATATTGTATACTCGCCATCAAACCAAGGCATTATTTTTGTTATCTAGGTAACCCCCCGTTCCCCTCGACTCACTCCACAATATTACTTCAGAATTAGTTAAACCCATAGTTCATTTAAAAATCTCGAGAGATTTACGCTATTATAAAAGGGAAGTTTTCAGTTTCTTGTTACACTTTCACAAACTGCTAATACTACTACTTTTGCAAAGTTAGGACACTATAGAGGAAATTAAAATTTATAAGAAGTTTTTTGACTCTTTCCTGTTCACTACCATGTCACTGGATGGTATAATCAACGGATATACTGTTCTGAATCTGAATCATTCAAGCGATCGTTTCAGTATATACAACGCCAAAGATCGCAACGGGAGCCCCTGCTTGTTGAAAGTGTGTCACGATGGCGGATCAAAGCAAACAGCTTATAAACAGGCCACCAGCGATGCCATGCTTGAATCGTTCATCTACAACAACAACGGCGAAGAAATACAATGCTATATCTTCCCTACAAGCACGCTCGACTATTTCACCTGTAACCAATCATCAAACCCAACTAAGTCACACCAGTCAAGACTGAAGACACTGAAGTCTGGAATACGATATGAGCTTTTGAAAACACCTACTCCGGATGGTGGTATGCAATTCGCTTGTCATTCCAGCGATGATTGTGACGACGACGATAATGATGACGATGATGACGATGAAGAAGAAGAAGAAGAAGAAGAAGAAGAAGAAGAAGAAGAAGAAGAGCTGGAGAATAGTGACTCCGATAGTGACGAGGATGAGGACTTGGAAGTAAACATAATTGTCCATGACGATATCGCTAAATGCCCCTTGGAACCAATCCTGAATTCAAAAAATCAGCCTAACGCGGAACTGGAATACATACATACCTCACAGGAGCATATACATTTTGTGAATAATCCCGTTTTACAGCGTGTGTGTCACAGACAACACAGACCAATTGTACGAACACCAGTACCAAAGTCCTGCCCTGCATACCACGATGGTGTCCAGGATAATATACAACAGAAGAAATTGTCGTGTCAAAAGGGGCAGTTTGAACTTCAAATGCTACAGAGCTCGATGCTTAAGAGAAGGTCTACCTCAAGTGCTGGACATTAAGGGTATAAAATGCATCTAGTTTTATCACGAACCTCATCTTGTTAATGCAATCATTAAATTCTTGAACTAAATGCAAGAAGTTATACTCTGCTTTTCTATTTGCTTCATTTTGGGATCTATCTATGAAATTCCCATGTTCCGTATACATTCTCCTTTGGAGGGAACTAAATTTATCGATGTTTTGCTTCTTATTGTTGACATTTTTTATTTTTGTTCCCTTTTTAAATTTACAAATGTTGATAGGAGCAGTTGATGCATCTATCATTGGCTTTCTTTCAGAGAAGCTTACATATATTTCACTTCTTACCAATGTTTGAATTATATACATATATTCTGTCATATATAGTTGTCGAATCAGTAATGGTAACTTTTTTCCTGCATTATCAATTCATGTCATTGATCAAGGAAGCCATGTTAGAGGAATAAATATAACTATATAATACAATAGAACAGAACAAAAATAACTGGCTGGTAGAATACAAGAATAAAAGGATACCATTCATCTATTTTATGCTACCAAATATGGTATAATGGAATAAGCTTTAAATCACATTTAGTGTATTGCTCTTGAGTCAATACGAATCTCATGATACACGAGCAAATTTCTCGATTGGCAGTCTAGTAATTAACTGATAAAAGAGTCACTACGATTTAGATGGACATCGTTGTAGCCAATTGAACCCCCACTACCACCCAGCAAACTGAATACAGTTGGTCAAACCTGTTTAAATAATATAATGCTATCTAGTAGACTAGTCACACGTGCATTCAGGCCAAACAACTTTAGATTTGCCTCTACTTTGACCTTTTTAGAGTCTACTGCTAATGGTGAGATATCTCCTGCCTCTTTGAGTGCCTTGAATGCTTCAAGCAAGTTAAAAAATCCAATTACGGCCGTAATTTTGGGCTCTGGTGCCCCATCAGCTGCTGAAACACTGAAGAATAATTACAAATGTGACGGACTATCTAATATATTGGTCTTGAATGATTCAAGATTTGACCACTATCTGCCTGAAAAAATTGCTCCCGCACTAGCTGAGTTGTTGAAATCTGATGATTACTCGCATTTTGTAACCGCTAGCTCCTCAGTTGGTAAGAATATTCTGGGAAGAATAGGTGCCGAATTGGACTCACAGCCGGTAAGTGATGTCCTAGAAATTAAAGATGAACAAACTTTTGTTAGACCAATTTATGCTGGTAACATCATTACTACTATTAAATCGTCGCAGAAAAAGCAACTTGTATCAATTAGACCATCTTCATTTGATGCTGTAGCATCTGGATCAACTTCAGGTGCTAACATTACAGAAAAGTCAGTTGATATCCCAGATAGCAACGCTATTGAATGGGAAAGTGAGAATATTTTGAAAAGTGGTAGACCAGAGCTCGGTTCCGCAAAAGTAATTGTCTCTGGTGGCCGTGCATTTAAAGACAAGGAAACCTTCGAGAAATTGCTTACACCACTGGCTGATACTTTGCATGCAGCTATTGGTGCAACCAGAGCTGCAGTAGACAACGGATTCTGTGATAACTCACTTCAAATTGGACAAACGGGTAAAGTTGTCGCTCCTGATTTATATATTGCAGCAGGCATTTCAGGTGCTATCCAACATCTGGCAGGTATCAAGGATTCAAAGGTCATTGTAGCCATCAACAATGATCCAGAGGCACCTATATTCAAAGTAGCTGATTATGCATTGGTTGAAGATGTGTACAAAGTTCTCCCTGAACTAACTGAAAAACTCAAATAAATTACTTGATTCAATACCTATCAAAAGCGTTATTTCGTCTTCGAATCATGAAGTTCAGGCCATCTACAAAGTTTTTCACTTTAAAACGCAATTTAAATATTCAAGACTGTATAAAATACCAATCTGATGATTTGGGGAACCATAAAAATATATAAGATTAATAAACCTCATCAAATCAGTTCATATAATTCCTATGAGTAGTCATAGTTGTAGTTAGCAACGACCATAGTCATCATAATACATTCTTGAATAATGCTGATAATCAAACAATTAACATAGCAGTTTAATATCTCGTGGGTAAAAGTTATTTAAGAGGTCGATCTCTCAGAGATTATACTTATGTAAACGATAATAATCGTTAGCTAAGCAAGCACCTTTTAAATGTTATAGAATTTGGCACTGTCATCGGTATTTCATAAAGCCACTAACTTTTGTGAGGTTATTTCAGAAAGAAGATATTTTAAGGATATTGACTGATGTCAAAACAGCAACGTTTGAAGCCAGCCGATGATTTTAGCTACGGATCTATAGATATAAACATCCAGCAGATGGATCCTAGAACAGGTAGGATGAGCTCACCGACACCACGGAAGTATAATAAGGATCTCTCTCCGAACAATGGAATTAGAGTAAGGAAAGTTGATCTCAATACAATTGATCAGAGGCCTAAATATCAGGAGCTGCTCCCGTACTATTTGCCATGTATGTCATGGATTCCACATTACTCTTGGGAGATATTCTTTGGAGATCTGGTAGCTGGGATATCGCTGGCGTCATTTCAAATACCTTTAGCATTGTCTTATGCAACATCCATAGCACATGTTGAACCATTATGTGGACTTTACTCTTTGGCTATTACACCCCTGATTTACGCAATATTTGGATCTGTTCCTCAAATGATAGTTGGCCCAGAAAGTGCTATATCGTTGGTTGTTGGGCAAGCAACCGAGAAGTTTAGCGCACATGATAGTGAAATTAGTACCGTAACCATAACCATGATGATAACTTTTATTAGTGGGGTAGTATTGTTCTTTTTGGGATCTGTTAGACTAGGATTTCTAGGAAATATTTTGAGTAAAGCACTGCTACGTGGATTCATTAGCTCTGTCGGTTTAGTCATGATAATAAATTCCCTAATTATAGAGCTAAAATTAAATCATAAATTAGCTGATGTTGCAGGTCATTACCACACACCAGTTGGGAAAATCATGTTTTTATTTCGGTATGCATCAGAATATTATCATAAGCCGACAGCAATTCTGAGTCTGATCTGTTTTCTGGTTTTAATCTCTACAAGAATAGCTAAGAAGAAGTTGATGAATAGATACCGCTTTTTAATATTTGTGCCGGAAATTTTGCTAGTTGTTTCTGTGACAATACTTTTATCATTAAAATATGATTTTAAGCACTCCTATGGCATTAGTACAATTGGAGAGTTCAATGCAGATGGATTTGGTTCTATAGGCAATCCATTATCAAATGAAAATAGGGCACTTTATTCATCCTTGTGGAACGAAGGGCTTGCAGTAGCAATGTTGGGGTTCTTTGAATCTACTACAGCATCAAAGTCATTGGGAAGTGACTACAACCTCACTTATTCTTCAAACAGAGAATTGATTGCTCTTGGATTTATGAATATTGTGGGTTCCCTTTTTGGCGCACTTCCATCATTTGGGGGATATGGTAGATCCAAGGTGAATGTTTTCTCAGGTGGGAAAACAGTAATGTCTGGAGCAATGGTTGGACTAATTACATTATTGACTGCAAAGTTACTTCTTCCAATGATTCATTATACACCAACATGTGTACTATCGGTGATCACCACTGTAATAGGTATTAGTCTTTTGGAGGAAGTTCCGTCGGATATTAAATTTCACATACATTGCAGTGGTTATAGTGAGCTCACAGTATTTACTTTAACTTTTATTGCTACGTTATCCCAGTCTGTTGAATTGGGTGTTACTGTTGGGTGTATTTACTCTCTCATTTTAATTGTCAAGCACTCCGCTCTATCAAGGATTCAAATTCTTGCTAAGTTGGAGGGATCTGACGAATTTGTGAATGTTGATGACTATATCAAAAATTATAATGGAAGGGATTTTGAAAACATCACATTAGAACAATTTGAACATTGTTATATAGTCAAAATTCCTGAGCCCTTAACATTTACCAATGGCGAAGATCTTCGTTCAAGACTAAGTCGCTTAGAGCGGTTTGGTTCTACTAATGTTCACCCTGGTTCAACATCAATTGTGTCTCAGGATGATATGGAATATATTATATTTGATTTAGAAGGTATGACATCAATGGATTCTGGCTCAGCACAAATTCTGCTAGAGATCATTAGGTCTTATGTACATCGCGACGTAAGAGTTTATCTGACTAGGGTCTCGCTAGACCGGGAAATCAGAATACGATTAAAATCTGCAGGTATACTTGATCTTGTGGAAACAGTCCAGGTTAACAATGCGGTTACCGCAAGATATCACATGAATGATATGATTGAGAAAACTCCATTCTTTACTTGTATAGAGGAGGCTTTATTGATAATTGAACGTAGAGCAATAGACGGGGACACAAATGGCAACGATCTAATGCACGTGAGAAGTGGTAGCGTAATTTCTAATACCTTATTTAACTCCAATTTAGTATGACGCTCCAAGTTTATATTTATTATTTTGCATATTCTTCATTTAATAGCTACAAATATTTATTAGATAAAGCAGTCATTTACTTACTCTTTTGATAAGATATTTATATATTCCTGAACCAAGTATGATAATTTAACACACTATTGTTTTACTGTCAAAAATTTATTTATAATTGAGCATTTAATATTTACTTCCAGTTTCTTAGTCCTCTGGTACTAATAAATACAATTGCAACTATAGATTAAAAGGAATTATTAAACAGCTGCTAATTCTTCTATTTCGTCAGGGTTAGATGGCAAGGATCCTAATTTTTCATTACTCATTCTGGTTATATGATAGCAATCTTCAATTCTTACGCCACCAATTTCAAAGAAGAGTTTTAATACTTCCAAGTTCACAACTTGTAGGCGTTCTGGTGAATTAAAAAGGTATTTCTTCAAGAGCATATGATTAAAGTAGCAACCTGGTTCATTGGTGACAACCATGCCCTCTTCAAGCTTACCACGAAACCTCAAATTTGTAAAATAGAGATCATCATTAAATTTGTCAGTATTTGTCCCACAATCATGAACGTCTAAACCTATCAGATGTCCAATTCCATGAGGATAAAAAGCAATAGTAGCCTTTCTATTAAATATTTCTAATTCAGAGAATTCATTCCTAAAAATTCCAATCCTTAGTAAATGTTTAATAAGGATTTTATGCGAAAGAAGATGCAATGCTTCCCAGTATACTCCTGGTTTCATTTTTTCTGCTACTGATTTTTGCATATCCAAAACGGCATCATAGATAAGTCTATGATTATGGGTAAATTTCCCACCTAGGGGTAGACTTCTTGTAATATCAGATGCATATTGTTGGAACTCAACTCCTGCATCAACCAATAAAGAGACTTGGTTCTTTATCAAATCCCGATTTTTAACATAGTGTAAAATACCCCCATTGGCACCAGCAGCACACACTGGATCATATGCCAGGATTCTTGCACCTTGGCGTTTGGCTTCGTAAACAAACTCGGCTTGGACGTCCAGCTCGGCCTTCAAGTGAGATAGTCGTGATATAATTGCTCTATGACATCTCTCAGAGATATTTACAGCTTCCTTAATCTGACGTATTTCATACCAATTTTTGTGCATCCTCGACTTCTTCAAGCTGTAGAATAGATCCTTGTCTGATGAGCGGACAACGGACTTTGCATAATCACTATCAAAATTGTCCGTGTCTGTAGTGAATAGAGAGTGTTCAGAGAATTGTTCTTTCAAAACTTCATCCAATGATGAAAGGTGGTAAACCTCATCGCATTCGTACTTCTCTTTGGCCTCCTTCAAGGATAGCGGCATGCCACTCCACAGAATATCATCTTGGTTCACATTTGGCAGAAATAGAATGACCTTATCATTCCAGAAATCATGGATAATCGCACAGCCAGGAAGCTCAACACCACTCAAGTAATAGAAATACCTCTCCTGTCTAAACTTCCTCACTGTGTCGCAGTACTTATTACTTTCAGCCTTGTTCCCGAATAGCAACAGTCCAGTACGCTTCCCACTCCCACCAAGGTTTTTCCTTTCAAGAAACAGTTCCTTGACTTTAGTGGCATGTAGTCGGCTTGGGTAAAGTATCTTGCTAGTCACATTACCATCACTTAATTGCCTGTTATACCGACACCTTCTCCATAGCACTGAAAGCAGAATCAACACTGCTAGAAAAAGAGCAGCTTTAGACATTTTTGTTCGAAAAGGCAAGCTATAATCAATAAGTTGCGTACTCAGAATAGCTGTACATAAACTACCTCTCCAAAATCTCTATTGCAATACAGCGTGCAGATCCTGGATGAACCGTAACGATAATGTCAGGGCTATTCCCTTTTTATCAACAGTGAATCAAAAAGCTTTGAACTTTGACTTGGAGAAAGTTTGTTCCGTGAGCCTTTCACACTTAAACGTTTATTGTTGCTTGGTTTGCGGCAAGTACTTACAAGGAAGAGAACCGAACTCACCAGCGTTTTCTCATTCAGTCAATGAGAACCATCACATATTTGTACGGTTTCAAACACAACGGTTCTATATATTGCCGGAGGGTAAGATAATCAAGCCTGTTGATTATAATGAGGTATTGAAAACAATACGTGACAACATCTCACCTACATATGAACCAGAGGCAGTAAGGCTGTTTCCTGTGAATTGCACAGATGTATCATCGCATACCTATTACAATGGATTTATTCCGTTATATGATTCTTCCCACAGAGACTTTGCAAATGTGGTGATTGTAATGCTAAGCCACATCCCGCCCATCAGAGATACATTTCTAGTTGGGATGGACACAGATAAGTTTGATCCACTTGTCAAGCTATTTGGATTGATTCTGCGAAAGCACTGGTCAAAGAATCTTTTAAGAGCTCATGTACTGACCGATGAGCTGCTGAGCTATATATCAATTAATTACCCAAAGTTATTAGAGAATAAGGATCCCAGGGTTTTTCTATTGAGTTTGCTGAATGCTCTCATCAGCAAATGTCCACAATTGAAGCAATCCTTTGACTGCATCAAAGGTAGGATTGACAGTCAGGACATTGATGATGATGGTAAGATAACCAAGAGAAGGCTACTGCCCTTTACATGCTTGACACTGGACCTTCCTGGAGATTCGGTCTTTAAAAGTTCATCAGTCGATGAAGCCATATTGCAGACTAATATAGAAGACTTAATGAAAAAATACGATGGTGAACAAGAAACCTTGGTTGGTAATACTATAAAAAGATATAGAATTGCAGAACTGCCTGATTATTTGATTTTGCATTATCATAGATTTGATCCCAATTCCAAGCAACCTGTTAAGAATAGGAAAAGAGCAATTGTAACGTTTCCAACTAGTATTAAAATATTAGATGTCGATTTTGTCTTAATTGAAAATGTAGTTCATAAGCAAGAAACGAAGAACTCTCCACTAAAAAAGATCATTACAGATGATTATTCAAGCAAATGGGGAATACAATTGAATAACAAATCAACTGGAAGATGGATGGAGTTTTATGGTAACCACATAAAACAGAAGGATGAAGAGTTTTTATTCTTGGATGAAACTTATATTCAGCTGTGGAAGAAACAAAATTGATTGCCTTTCCTTTTATAACAATGTCTGCCATCTATCGCTACTCATTTAACGGCCATTTAACGAATTATTATGCATCATTATCTATTCAAGTCATATAGATATTAACTCAGCTTATTTAATAGCTATAGAATTTACACCAGCGGTAAGAACTGAGACAGTGTTTTCTTCTAGTGTATTCTCAGCTGTTTTAGCTAGGTGCTTCTTAGGATCCTGTTTACCAACATAACGAGTTTTTAGCTCCTCTTCAGATAATTCCTTTTCTTCCTCTATTCTCTTTGAATATTGTTGAGCTACTGCAACCATTCTCTTTGTGGCTTCCAGGTTTTCAGTTTCCTTTTCCTGATAATCCTGCATTTTCAGGCCAGATTGCCATTGCTCCTTATGTAGATTTAATAGCATCTTAGTTTCAGCTGGGGTTTTATGATAATCAATATTCAAAGAGTAGTAATGTCTGTTAAGACCGTGGATTAAGGCCTGTATATTAGCCTTGTTCATTAAACCTGAGTTTGACGTAGTTTGTCTAGGTTCCTGGTTGTTGATAAGTGCGCCAGTATCTATCAGTCTGAAAGCATCGATAACAACCTTACCTTTCACAGATTGGATAGGATCAACAACAACCGCTACAGCTCTGTTATTTAGTTGTTCAAAAGACTTTTGTGTATTAACATCAACAGATGACAGCCAACACCCAAACCCAGGATGGGAATGATACCAACCAACAACCATCTGATCTCTACCAGTCTGCTTCAACATATCCATCATTCTAGCTTGAAAGACATCGTCAACAGCTTCAACAGATACGCCAGTACCCGACTGAGGCATCGCAAAGACATCAACAACATTAACTGTATACTCATCAACAAACTCACCAAGCATTAATCCCATAACTTCCATTGGTACACCTGCTCTACCATGTTTCAACATTTTCAGAAGGGCAATGGACGAAATATAGACCGTCTCCTTGGTATCATCTTTGTTGGCATCAGCAGCACCAACTTTGGTGTTCATCATTAACCTCTGTAATCTCTCCATCTTTTATATTAATTTCCTACTTAGTAACTTCAAACCTACTCTCTAAACAACTATGCCCTTAAATTCGAACTCGGATTACCAAATATTAAAGACGTACGGGGTCAATAAAATGTGCTCTGAAATATAAATATAGTAATACAATTGATTAGATTGCTTGTCTGCTCAATGTGAAGAAGTTTCGAGTATTTATGTTACTCAATGAGACTTATATCGAGCCTTTTCTTCAAGGTTGAATTTGATGTTCCATGTGGTGTGCATCTCCCAGTTAAGCTGACTTTTGCCACTTTTAGCTATATGTAGTTATATACGGTTCCCACTGATACATGGTAAAAGGTCACTGTCACATAAGTAAAGAGTAGTACTAACTGGCATTCTATTTATTAAAATCCTCTAATATGCAAGTGTATTTAATTTCCTATCATCTCAATTTGTTTATCACGGGCGATCTGTGTTGGGTAGCTAGGCATAGAAAATCTATTACATGCCACATAAGCAGCGATACGGAATTCTTTGAAAGTAAAAGTTTGGCAATTACATTGTCTCAAGAGACAAATCCAACTCTATCAGCTGACTGTAAACCTCTCTTGGCATTTTATATTGAATCATACCTGCATAAATCATGCAATTTTTTCCCACACTCTTCAACGCTGCAATCTGCTGCTTCTTGGAGATTGATGAGAAACTGCTTGCACGGAGAGAGTTTATTAATTCCGATGTACTTGTCATTGTCATCAGTAATACATTCGGTATGCAATTCATGATATATCCGCTAAGCGTAGTAAACTCTTGCGCTTTTCTTCTTATAGATGACCCTCCAGTAAAAGGAAGCATATCTAATTCTTCAATTTGCGATAATGTGTATTCCCACTGCTTTGATTGGTATGTATTTTTGATTTCAGCAATTTTGAGCAATAGTACACAAGTCTCTTTGTTCTTAGTAACAACTTGTTTTGAAATTTCTGGATTGCTCAAATATATATTCACCAAATTCTTTGCAAGGGCCACCGGATCTTTGTTGTTCTTCGAAAGATCAGAATATAAATCGAGCATGCCCTTCTTGAAATTTGTATTACTTAATATCCCACTCAATAAGCCATTCACAATTGCTATCACAATATTGTACTCTTCTGCGAGTTGATATAAAAGCAAGCTATCATAAATTCTACCGTTGTTGTTCGCTTGTCTTGCAGTTTGTTCAGAGATGGTATGTAAGTATTCTTTTATATCATCCAATTTTATTAATTGTCTTCTTGCTTCGATTACACCTGGTACACGAGTACCGTCCTTGTTCACTTCACCGAGTAATTTAGTAAACTCATTTGTTTCCAGAATAAGTTGACGTAAAGCCTCGTGGCATAGGTCAATAACTTCAGGGTCTTCACAGATGGCGATCAAAAATAGATATTCAGAAGCAATCCTTGGGTCAGAATACTTGAAAGATTTTGTGTAATTACCCAACAATTTTGCAAAATCAATATAGTCTTGATCATTATCAGTTGTCCTCAATCCATGGAAATCCGCATGCTTGTTAGCTTTGATATGCAATAGATGTTTGTCAGCAAAGCCAATAGCTAGATGTATAGCGTCAAGCTCATTTACTTTATAAGCTTCTTCAAGTGCACGCTCAAATAGTCCGGAATACAATAGTACTTGGAAGTAATTATTGGGGAAACGCTTCTCGCCAAACGTGGTAACTGTGGCTTGAAGGTCGTTTAGACTATATTTTTCATATATTGGATCAGTGTTAGAGCAGTTTTCTTTGACTAAGGTTAAGTTCAACCAAAGCCAGTCTTCGACACTTAATGTTACAGCTGGAATTGTCTTATTAGTCAAGTCACATCTACCAATGATTTTATAAACAGCCAGTCTGAAGGGATCACCATCAATTGAGGTTTTAATGTACTGGTTGTATTCAGTATGTAGATCTGATGATAAATCTGGGGGAAGTTCATTATCAGGTGAGGAGGCATATGCTTTAAAATATTTGACGAAGGAGTTTTCAATCTTATTAAAACTTGAAGCGTTGCTGATTGCTACTTCTAATGCGTCATCTATCAGTCCAGCTCTTAATAAGTAAAAAATGACTGCCCAAATTGGCTTTCCATTCACAATTGATAGATTTGGAATTTTCCATGAACCATTAGTGAATCTTAATTTACTTTCAATGAAAGACTTGATTTTGTTTATATTGGTTGGGAACCCTTCATTTATCCGATTTTGATATAGCTCATCAACGTAGTTGAGAAACTGTTTTTCTAAAATCTTCCTAGAGGATTTTGCAGTACCCAATGTTGTATCGAATTCATTCAAAAATTCCCAAGCCTCCAAGATATACTTCGTTCTGAAATCATTTCTACCTTTTAATAGTTCAATAAATTCTTCAGTAAGTTTGCAGCTATTTTTAGTAATCCTGCAATTATTGTACCAAAAAATTATTCTTGCATAATGCTCAAACTTCTCTCTTATCAGGTAGTTGGTATTAACGTCTAATTTGGAGTTACCGCTATCAAGCATGCTACCTTCTGTCTTTCCCCACATTAAGCTTTCATTGGATAAGTTAGCCACATCTTTATTTTCCTCTAAATCATCTCTATTTACTGAAATACCAAACCTTTTTTTAACACTGTCAGCATAATTCTCCCACTGTATATTTATATTCGAGTTTACAAATTTGTTGAAATCTGAGGATGCTACAGTAAGCAGCGTCTCTATAGAAGATAAAATGCTTTCATTTTTCTGGTTTTGTAAGTATAGGTCTAATTCGCTTCCGTGTGATTTTGGGATAAATTGTTCGACAACCTGTTTTGGCTTAAGATCTTTCAGTGATGAATCCATTTCTTGCAATGGTAATCCACTGGCAGCCAGCAGATAGTGCGCTTTTGAGTGGTCACCTGAGTAGTCTTTATTCTTTCTTAAATCATTGGCTCTTCTTCTAATCTCGTTGATACTCAATTGAATGGAACCTAATTCGGAAGTACTGCTAGGCAAACCCCTTGCATCATCAACAAGTTTACTAATGGCATTGTTATGTGATTGGCGCGCTGGATTCTGAGGGAATGTGCCGTTATTCATATCTATTTTCTAAGTTCTTTTGTATGATACCAACCCTGGTGAACAGTTCCTTCAGCAGTAACTTCTAGTAATATACTGATAGAAGATAATGTAAAATTAATCCTAGTGGAATTCCTTGGTTATAACTCAGCTTAATATTTAATAAAGCGGACAACTTACGAGATCAATGCTTTACAATTTGACAAGCTCTTCTAATTCAAATTCTGTTTTCATCACGTTTAGTTTTTCAATTGATTCAGCACATACATTAGATATATCGTGTGGTATGATATTTTCGAAGTTGAAGTAATACATTATAATCGATATACATATATAAATTTGGTTTATAATTTCACAAAAAAATTGGAATTAGCATCGAGTTCAAGTTCGCAGTACAATTTCTTACAGTATATAATTGTAACAGATGCTAGCTATACAACAAATTAGCCCTTGTAAATCCTTTAACAGTACAAGTCAACATAATCGTCGATATCTAAGTTATCGAAATCATCTTTTGTGCTAACTGAATAGATGTTCTCTGCTTTGCTATTATCTTTGAAGTGACCATTCAAAAGATTTTTAAACTTGTTCATCAATAATGGGATACCTTCTTCTCTTCTGAATTTATGTCCGACAGGATATTCAACAACTATTTCATCCAGTGTTGTGCCGTCTTCAAGTTCAATTAGCAATGCGTTGGGTATGGACCTCTTGTCAGGGTGGTGATAATCTGCTGTAAAAGTATCGTCAACTTCACAGTACATCTTGGCACGAAGAGCATCGATGTCTGGGTTACCAGCAACTTCGTCGGTATAATCTTCTGCGGTTAATCTACCATATATCAGAGGAATAGCCGTCATATATTGAATACAGTGATCCCTGTCAGCATAGTTATATAATGGACCATCTTTGTCGATAATACGAGCAGCAGCTTCTTGAGTTCTAATCCGAACAGATTTAATATCTTTGTAGGTCTTGTTCTTTTCCTTCAACATGTTGTGAGCGATCATTGCACATTCAACCGCTGTTTGCGCGTGGAATTCTGCTGGGAAAGAAATTTTGAATAATATATTCTCCATTACGTACGACTCAAATGAAGTTCTTTGATTGAAATGGAATGCCTCACCTTTGAATAATACATCGTAAAATCCCCACGTCTTTGCAGTTAACACAGAGGGAATGGTTCCAACTCCAGCATTTTTAACCAGGTAACATAAATTCACCGCTCTGGAAACAGCATCTCCTGCGGCCCATGATTTTCGAGAACCTGTATTAGGAGCATGTCTATAAGTTCTCAAAGACTGACCATCGACAAAGGCTTGCGAAACAGCTTCGATGGTTTGTTCACTTGTCAGTCCCAGCATTTGAGAAACGACAGCTGTAGTAGCCACTTTGACAAGTATGACATGATCTAGACCGACTCTATTAAAAGAATTATCTAAAGCAAATACACCTTGGATTTCATGTGCTTTAATCATTGCTGTAAGAACATCCCTTACTTTAAACAGTTTCCCTTCCCTTCCTTCCGTAGCCTTATACAATCTGGATTCATAATCGGCAACAGCTAGAATCCCTCCTAAGTTATCCGATGGGTGACCCCATTCAGCAGCAAGCCAGCAATCATTGAAATCAAGCCAACGGATAATGGTGCCAATTGCAAAGGCGCCTTTAATGGGGTCCATCACATGGTCCGTACCAATAACCTTTACACCATTTGGAACTATCATTCCGGGAACAATTGGTTTGATCATGTTCTGAACTTGGTTATATTTTAACGCAGCAAGCCCACATCCCAATGTATCCAGCAAGCAATACCTAGCGGTGTCGAAGGCCAATTTGGAATCTATTTTATGGTGATGGACATATTCTGCGATATCAACAAGGACTAAGTCAGGGTCTGGTCTATCATTTACTTTAACAGCAGCCAAATTAGATGAATTTCTCATAGTTAATGATAATCCACGTTGGACAATTGGTTTGAGGCTTTTAGCTAGCATAGCCTAGAGTATTTCGAGAATTTAGCTGGTTATTACCTCGAGCAATAAACTAGCTATTTTATCCAGAAATGTGAGCCGTTTAATATGGCATATACTCCCCAAATTGAATACAGAAGGATATCTGCATGCCATCAGCTAATCATATTTATATACATTCATGAAGGGTATACATTTCAATTAAATCACGAGGTTGGTATTCATTTAGAACTAGTTTCACAATATGTTCTCCAATGCTCTAAGACCTTGACTTATACTATACATCGGCTGTTATTAGATATCCACCTAAATGGTGTCATGGCTTTTCTAACTTCCCCAACAGGCTGCAAGTTTTCTTCATCCTCTCCACTTCTAAATGTCGAAAGTTTGGGTGACTTAAACTTGGAGATCACTTAAAATATGTCATCACGAAGATGACTACTGAAGGAAAATATAATAGAATTCGATTAAATCGATGATAAAATTATAGAGCCTGATGACTTGGCCCGAGAATTCGGGTGTAAAGATTTAAGGTCCGGGTTTGCAGTTATTGTCCATGCTGTCAAACTGTTTAAAATAATTAGAAGCTTTGAGCTGTGACATATGTTGAAATAATTTCTGTTTCAATGGCCTGTTTCCTACATTGTTACTATTATTTAGATCAGGCACTTTGAAGCTACCAAATGTATGTGGTATTATTACTATCACACAATGACGTTGCTCTGTGCAATTATTAAAAAAGATTGTGGTTACTATAAAAATCATTTATATTCAGCTAAGTATTGGTTATGTAGTATATAGTGTACGCAGTGATATTTATCACTTATTACACAAGCGTTCTAGTGCAGCCATATCTAGACTGCGAGGTCTTTCGATAGGTAGGCCAAGTATTCTATCCCATACCAATTGGGTTAGAGAACCAATTGCCCTAGAACAGCCAAATATTACTGTGAAAAATAGTGTCTCTTGAATTCCGTAGTGATGGAATAGTATACCTGACGCTGAGTCCACATTGGGGAATGGATTCTTACATTTACCATGCTCTTGTAATACCTTTGGAGCGATAGTGGATAAGTTTTCCATAAGTAGTACATTCTTGTCCGATTGGAACTCGTCGGGTCTTTCTTTTGCGAAATTTAGCATAGCATTGAATCTGGGGTCAGGCTTTCTTAAAACTGCATGACCATAACCAGGAACAACTCTACGGGAATTGAGAATAGACCATAGATAATTTTCAATTTCAGGTACATTCTCTGGCGAAGAAATTGAGGCATTCATCTCCACTAAGAACCGAACTACTTCCTGGGCCGCTAGACCATGCAACGGTCCTGCAAGTCCCATAATACCTGATGCATAACTGATAAATGGATCTCCAAGGGCACTTCCTACTAGGTGGGTGGCATGTGCAGATACGTTTCCACCTTCATGATCAACATGAATTGCTGTATACAGTCTTACAAGGTCTGCAAAATCTTGCGCACGCTTTTCGGAGAGGTTTTGTTTATTAGCAGAACTAGCCTCCGTGGTCATTCCAAGCAAAGAACTAATATTGTAGGCCCAATCCGCATTTTCGTTAAACTCCCCAAGTGGCTTACCTTCATTTGTGATGTTTGCGTAAATTTGGCCTGTTAGATGTGGTAGACTAGCAATTAAGTTTAGAACATCCTCATATATGAAATCCCAATAATCGTTCTTACCAATGGAACCTTTTTCGTATTCTTTGGCAAACTGCGAATATTGATTCAATGACGCTAAGCCAATAGCTAATTGAGTCATCGGATGCATATCTTTAGGTAAATTACTTACAATTGTGTTCACGGATTGAGGTAAAATTTTGCCACGTTCAGCTAGTTCTTTCGATAGTGAGTTAGTTTGTTCCTTAGTTGGTAGTTCTCCTGTCATTAGTAACCAAAGCATTGACTCCGGTAACAAGCTCTTAGAGCCGCCATGTATTTCACTGATACCAGCCATTTGGTCCATACATTCAGGAATCGAAAGTCCTTGAAACCTAATTCCTTCTTCTGGGTCCAACGAGGTGCCTTGCCAAAACATAGACTGATTTCCTCTCATACCACCAATAACGCTACCGATCGTAATATCACCTACCTTAACATCAGAATAGTTCTTCTTTATTTTAGTGAACTTTTCTCTTTTATCTGGAATTACCTCCTTTAACCGCTGTTTCAAACTTGAAGCAGTTGAGGAACTCAATATCCGAGAAGTATGTAGACTTCTGGTTGTGTGAGTTAACAAGACTTTCATTCTTTATCTAATTTCTTATAGGTAACATGTAATGAATCTGATAATGAGCACCAATAACTTGGCATACTACATAGTGAGAAAATAGAGCTGCAGTTTATTGGCATATTTATATGTTGAACTGGTATAGTTTGTCTACCCCAATAAGTACAATTGATATCATTCCCCAACTTGTTTATGTGTATGAGGTAAGGTAGAGTCTATCTGAACCCATATGACACTGAAGCAGTGCAAAATATTGTAAAAGCTTCAACAACATTTAGTGTATTTGTTAAGAACTTCACCTGTCTCAAGACTAAAACCCGATCATGGTGGAGCAATAGTTGACATGACTTTGTACTTCAGTTGTTTGTGGCCATTCTTCAACAATAATGACCTCTCTGACTGACTTATGTCACTATGGGTTCAAATTAGGGAAGCAACGGTTCTTAAAAAAGCTTGTAACTTCTGATAAGTGGGGTCCGCAAACTTAAGTGCGGAGAGTTTGACATTAGTTTATGACTATGCTAATAGTATCGAGTTTGATTGAGATACTTCTACAAATGATGAGAAGCGTGTCTTATGCTAGCTTTAACATTATCCTACTTCACAAGCCTTCTACTTATAATCTCCATTAACTTCGAAATCACTAGTTATAGAGCTAAATAAATTAGAACCTATTAAATCAGATGGAAAATCAACTACACATAACACAATTATGCATACTCTCTAGATATTCTCATAGTCTATAAAGAACTACTTGTATGAATATTAAGTACACTACCATCACAAACCTGACACAGTCTGAGCTATATTTCTTGCAGACCTTCAACTATCTAACTCTATATCGTTCGCACTACATATTCACAATCGTGGGGACCTGAAAAAATAGTATATCAAAACCAAACTTCGATTTATAGACTGCTTTTCTTATTTCGGAAATCAAAGCCATATACTTCGTCATATATAATATTAGAATTAGTATTATTAACTTTTTTTTATTAAAATCATTTTAACTGTTTTTCAATCACATGACAATGGAGTAGAAAAATTATAATATCTAATTATAACAGTTGGAATGGCTTGTAAGGCTAATTGAGAATCGATATAAAGATTTTTTTTATCGAGAATACAATAATTATATAGATGGTTAGCTTTTGTAGTCTATAAATCTATTTCAAGTCTTTATTTTCTTTTTTGATGGTCCATCCGCGTCGTTGGAAAATTGACATTTACCAAGAATGCGATCATAATCCTCACGCAGTGACTCAAAGGATTTATTTAAGGCATCCTTGATATCAGAAACTTCCATACCTTCCAATCCATCTTTATTTTTTATCAGCAGTCTCTGTTTGACTTGGTACTCAAAATTATTTGAACCAGTTGATAGCAATATCATTTCAAGTAGCCTACTGAATTGTCGCTTTTCTATTTTATATTTTAATCTCGTAGATTCTATCCATGCATTAGGGATTGGCCTCTCTTGTGGTAGTTTGTTGAAGAATCCATCTTTATATAACATTTCAAGGTCATTAACATCTCTTAAGTCATCGAAACTTTCATTTGGGTCTTCGACAACGATTTCCAAAATTGAGGAATCGTTTCGCCAATTTTTTACAATGCTGTTATACAGATGTGAACCATGACCCCTACCTTGATATGGTGGTAAAATTAGAAATTGTGAAATTTTGCCTCTGTAGCGGTATTTACTCTCGCTATCAAAATTATTAGCACCAGGGTAGTACCAGTAATTGTATGCGGTGGCATAACCAACAAACTTTTTGTCTTTCTTGGTCTGTACTATAAATATTTCCCATTTTGGATCATCTTCATCAATATATGAAGCTGCTTCAATGAAAAGTAAGGAAAATATTTGAATTCTCCTGTGAAATCTTTTCATTTTGGGGTCTTGTAAGTTTACTTTGTAAATCTCAAAGTCAGCGTTGTCGATTTTATACTCATCAATATTTTGGTCATTTTTGTAGGCCTCTATAGATTCCTGTTCCTTCTTAAAAGAGTCAATCCATTTCTCTTCATCCTTATAAATGGTATCGTCAATCGGTAAATATTCCAATAGCTTCTCTTTTATGTTAACTAACTCTTCTTCACTTCCCTCGAACTTAGATGAAAACTTCACATTCAAAAATGGTTTGAATGTGATAGCATCGAATGCTAGATGAATAACTAAGTCCTTATAGCCAAATATTTGTTCTTCCGTGCCAAATATAGGATAGGTAAAGGTTGGCGAGAACTGTATCGCGTTATCCTCAGAAACTAGCGACAACTTCAAAGCTTCATTTGAAGATATCGTCCACTTTTCAGGCTTGAAATCATCAATTGACATTGCTTTCTATCGTGTTTCTTAATAAATCTAGTCTGGTAACTGTAATGAAGACTAAGATAACACTATATTAGATGATAAGAATTTGGTAAGCTTATTTTACGTGTTTCGCAACTTCGAACGTTGAAATGAGCCGTACAAGGATCTTGTTTAAAAAAGGTCAAACATAAAAACAGAGATAAAATAATGATAGTATATAGAAAGGTTTATATGTGGTTGTTTGAACTACGCTACTAGCTAGATCCTTAAATTGAAATATCTTTAAGCTACAAAGTATTTAGTAGCTACAGACTAACGAGTTATAAAGAATAAAATACTATCTGAGGAATTGTTGATGCCAAACTTTGGTTTGTCTGCTTTTGATCATCTTAATGATGAAAGCTATAAAAATGTAAGTTCAAATATTCTGGAAAGGCAATCATTGGAACTCGAGCAGCAATTAGAAGTTTTCCAGGGCAGGTTAATTGACTTTGCCAAAAAGCACAATAAAGATCTGAAGGCTAATCCTGAATTTAGATCAAGGTTTTTACGTATGTGCTCATCTATCGGTATAGACCCTCTAGAAATATTTGAGAAAGACCAACATTTATTTAATGTTGATGATTTTTATTATGAAATATCGGTTAAAATTATAGAAGTGTGTAGGGAAACTAAAGACATGAATGGTGGAGTAATATCTTTTGATGAACTGCGAAATGGTTATTTTAAGAATCTAAATGTTACCATGGAAGATTTAGAAAAATCAATAGATATGATTCAAGTGCTAGATGGTGGATTTAAAGTATTCAGCATTCGAGGAAAAAAATTTCTGAGAAGTGTACCAAATGAAATAACAGGAGATCAGACAAAAATTCTGGAGGTTTGCTCTATTATGGGTTATGCTAGTATATCGCTTCTCAGGGCAAATTTTCAGTGGGATGCTGTAAGAGGTCGGTCAGTATTGGAAGATATGGCGGCGAATAGTATGTTATGGATCGATAATCAAGCCGGAAATGAGATTCTATATTGGGATCCTTCTTGGATAATGCGCAGTTAATATTCCTCGGGCTAGCTTTAAGCCACGAAAGTTAAATAGTACAATTACATTAATATTCATTAGTTACCTCTAGGCATTTGCATAAATATATTATAATATTTCATTTTTTCTTAGGGTTTCTTTTCTTTCTTTCTAAATACTTACTGTTTACCTCTTCAACAGTAGCCATGACCTGTCTATCAAGCATCTTTTCATAGTCAGTGACTACCTTACCTTTCCCATCCCCAAGATTAATTCTAGTCTTTCCAGAGAATTCGATATCTGAGGTAGGTAGTGTATTTTTGAAGATCTCAACGACAGTAGCTTTAAGATGATAATCTAATGCAAGAGCTGATACGGCTTTGCCATATTTTACAGATTTGTAATCATTCAAATTAGCTTCTTGCCATTCCATAGCAGGAAATTTACAATCATATAATAGCAATGGTATGTCACTAGCCATTTCATACATAGGCTTCTGCGGCATAGAGGTCACATCTAACATTTTCTCAATCAGGGTTGGCTCCTCAAGGCCTTGGCCAACAAGAAATAAAATAGCAGTCATACATCTAACTTGATGCCATAAGAATGCACTGCCTATCAAATCAAAACAGTAAAAGTCATTATATACATGTTTAATATTAGCACTTATCATGGTTCTATTGTAGTTTGTGATTTGTTTAGACCCATCAAGCTTGCAGAAATTGCGGAAGTCGTGCTCACCTTCGTAGAGTTTTGCAGCTTTCTGCATTCTATCAAGATCAAGGCCATCCTTATGGAAAAGATACTTATAATGTCTATACTCGCAACTAAATCTAGCGTCAAAGCTGTTAGGAGGTCTCAAACATACTGCTGATATTCTGATATCGTCTGGTAGTAGTTGATTGAGTATTGCGACATATTGTATCTCTTTGTGATCGTTTCTGGGATCTTTTTGCTCTTCATCAGTGAGATTTGATCTAACTCTTAAAGAGATGACCTGGTTCATAGCACTGACACCTTTATCAGTTCTACCACATCTACTGAATTCAAACTCTTGCGGAGTGATACTAGGAACTAGCTTGCATTTGTTTAGTGCTTCTATAATGGTGCCTTCAATTGTAGGCAATGGAGTTGGATCCTTCTGTATAGCTAAACCATTGTAATTCCAGCCCAGATAGGCAAATCGCAGAGCAATAAAACGAGTATTGTATTTTGAAAAATCGAAAGTCTTCTGCTTTTTAGCCTTCTTGTCTTTCTTGAGGTCTATAACTTCGTCTGGGTGCTCTCTTTTTTTGACTTTCGAAACCTTCTCTAACTCCAATATTCTTTGTATCAAATCTTCTTTATTCCAGCTCTCATAAGAACTATTACGGGAAAATTTCTCGACAATATCCTTTTGAACTTTTGTAGTTGAAGGAGGTGGATGATCTATAAACTTTTTTATGAAACTCCACATAGCCAGACTTTTTTATTTCAGTTATAGCAATCGATTTGCTCGGTTCTATTGAAAGATATGGTTGTCTCTAAAAAGAGGTAGTTAAGACTGATCTGGAGTCTGTAATCATATAGGAACCAGTTGCTGATTCTTTATACAAAAACAGGTTTGTGCAAGTAATTGAAAAATTCTCATTGTTATTGGCTTTACATTTTCAAACAGTTTGCATTTCAGTTAACTTTAGTGTTGGTTTTTATCGTACGTCGTTTTCAGTGGAAGAGCAAATGCATGTTGATAAAACTAATGAAAAAAATGCGATGAGCATTAATGAAAATTTGACTTTCGATGCGATGAGATAGATGAGATGATTTGTGATTCTGTTGGAAATGAACATTGAGTACAGGAGAGATCAGGAACACAATATTAGCATCTGTCAAAATCAAGCTAAAATTGAGACAGTTTTCAATTGTGAAGGAATCTATTTACTCTTTTTGTTCTAATTAATAAATCAAAACGAAGACTGGAACAATGGGGAAGTCATTAGAATGGGCAGATCTCGACTATGAACTTCAACCATGGATTAAAAAAGCAATAAATGTCTCTGGTTTTGATAGTATGACACCTGTACAGGCTTCTACTATTCCAATGTTTGCCAAGAATAAGGATGTTGTTGTTGAGTCTGTTACTGGTTCTGGTAAAACTATCGCATTTGTTATACCTATTTTAGAGAAAATCATATCAGAAGGGATTAACAACAGCAAGTTCAAGAAAGGTCACTTCTACAGTTTAATTTTAGCTCCTACCAGAGAGCTTTCAATGCAAATACAGAATGTAGTTAGCTCTTTCCTAGAGCACTACCCTGAAGATCAGTACCCAATTAGAAGTCAATTAGTGGTTGGTACAAATGAGAAATCGGTAAGAGATGATGTTAACACTTTATTGGATGAAAGACCTCAGATATTAATAGGCACACCAGGTAGAGTGCTAGACTTTTTACAATCTCCTTCAGTTAAAACTAGCTCATGTGGAATGGTAGTCCTGGATGAAGCAGATAGGCTTCTTGATGTAAGTTTTTTCAAGGATGTTGAAAAAATATTGAATGTTTTACCAAAACAGAGGAGAACAGGCCTTTTTTCCGCTACTATCAGTAGTGCGGGTACCCTAATATTCAAAACAGGTTTAAGAAACCCTGTAAAGATTACGGTGAACTCACAAGGCAAGAATGCTCCAACAACTTTGAATCTGTTTTACTCTGTAATGAAGCCAGAGGAGAAATTACAAAATCTGATACACATTATGAATAATATCAGATTCAAAAAGTGTATAGTATATTTTTCCACATGTGTTTCAGTAACATTCTTTTATCAATATCTAAAGTATTTGCAACAGACAGACAAAACATTAAGAGAAGATCTTCAGGTTATTTCTATTCACGGTAAGCTTACTACGCAATCGAGAAGAAAGGCTTTGTCGACATTCACTGAGAGTCTAAGTGATTGCATACTGTTGACAACTGATGTCGCAGCTAGAGGTATTGATATACCTGATGTCGACCTGGTTCTTCAGATTGATCCTCCTACTGACGCTGACATATTTTTGCATAGATGTGGTAGAACTGGTAGGGCAAATAAGATTGGTAGAGCTATTGTTTTTTTGAATGAAGGCCGTGAAGAGGATTATATTCCATTTATGGAGGTCAAAAATGTGGACATTGAAGAAACAGACATAAACAAAAACAAGATAAGCAATGACAACAATGATGAATTCTATCAACGTTTCACAAAATGGCTGTTATCTGATAGAGCAAATTATGATTTAAGTGTAAAATCTTACGTTGCATTTATACGCTATTACTCAAAGCATTCAGCTACCTCGATATTCAGATTGCAAAGTTTAGATTATGTCAGTCTCGGAAAAATGTATGGTTTATTCAGACTGCCGAGGATGCCAGAAATTACCAAGTATTTACAGGATAAAGAAAAATCAGGTGAAACTGTTGTAGGGTATTATGGTGAGGGTTGGTTGATGAATCCTCCACCTATTGATATGGATAAATATGCATACCAAGATAAAAAGAGGGAAAAGGCTAGAATCGAGGAATTAAAGAATTTAGCACAAATAAACGATAAAAAGAAGTTGAAAGCAGAATTGAAAAAGAAAAATATGGCCTGGTCAAGTAAGACCATGACAAAAGAGGAGAGGCAAGAGAGAAGGAAGAAGTTAGATCTCAAACGTAAAGCAATTGAACTTGAAATAGCGGCTGAGGCCGAAAGAGATGAGAGTGACACTGAAATAACTCAGGATTGGAAAGATGAGATTTTACAGAAAAAGAAGAAGAAGAAAGTTGGCAGCGAGATGCAGGGAAGCTTCGATGATTTGTAACTTTATAATAATGTTCTGCCATTTCCATAATTAACTGTTTGGTACAGTAGCTTTCATTAGTTAGTCTATTGTGTAATTTTTTTTTTAAACGATCATTACTACCTCTTAATGTTTGTATATTCTAATCTTTATGGAATTTCTATCAATTCCGTAGTTTGATTTGTTGCATTGTAAATAAAAATATTTTTGATTGGTACAAATTGGTGCGTGATTAATTTGAAAATCTCTTGGGAAGCTATACTCCCTAACATGGTTGTAACTGAGTAGGATTCCAATTGCAAAGATGTTCTGAGTGAGTTGTCGATGTTGTCGATATTTGTCTCGCCATTAACTAGCTTCAAGTAAGAATTTGATTCTTCAGAATACTTAGTATTTGTAGTTGTTATTGTTTGAGGCATGTTTGGTTCAACCACAGCAATATCATCAAGATTTTTCAGGAATTCTTGAATTTCGTTACTATTTAGTTTCTCATCACAGAATTGCATGTCATATAATGTAGAGAAATCTTTACAGTCACTGCTAAACTTTTCGATAAATATCTTTTTCAAGCGAGCATAATTTTCAGAGCTGGACTCTAAGTCTGGCAAAATCCCCCTAAATGGAATGCGCCCATATTTAGAGATAAATTGTTCTGTAGTTAGTATCAGATTTAGTAATTTTTTGTCATACTTGGATAGATATTTACTACACTCTCTGGGACTAGTAATTAATTCTTTAACAAACTCAAATACAGGAACGAACTTGGTGTCATAAATATTGTCGTTGGCATTTATTAGGTAGGCATATTTTTTTGCTTGCTCGTAATTTAGGTCATAAAATGCATCTTTCTTATATCTAGTGAGATAAACTTCTTCTAGCCTCTGTTTTATTGCCTTTGTTGAAGGATTAGTTACTCCATCTATAACCTTGTAGAGTATAACAGGATATGGAACCGTTGCAGCTGCAACATCATTTTTCAAATCATCATCGAAGGAGTTTAAAAAACTTTTGTATTCGGGCCAAGGATCCTTTAGTCGTAGATCAGGGATATTTCTATCACTATGTGTATTTGAGATAAAATGTGGACTTGGGTAATACATTCGTATATGTCCTAACATCCCGTTCACATGTGTAGCAATTGATTTTATCTTGAAAGGGTTGTTTGTAAACAATGCCTCTGCTTTGTTATCTAGGTTAAGAAGAAGAAATAAATCAGTCTGAGGGGAGGCATTCATGAGCGATAATGGATCTGTGGTTTGATCTATATGGACACCATCGTTTAATGGTAGCACATTGCGTATCACATTATCTAACTTGCAGTCACATAAATTATTGAGTGTTATGTTCTTTACACCAACAAGTATCACATTTTTTAGAGTTTCTTCCAGCAAATCTACTGTCTTATTGGCATCATTGTCAATTACAATTGTTATGTGTGAATTCTCTAAAAGGTGTTGTCCATCATGTCCCCACAATCGTAATTGTCTGTCATATCTATCAAATATCTGCGACATATTTGTATTTGTGTTTAGAGTTGACAGTTAGGCTAACCTCCACTTCTATATAAATGATTCAAATATACTATTTGTTAACAGCCTGATGTTTTTCCCAATTTTCAGTTTTCATCTTAATCAACTACACAATAATACTTGTACAATAGTCGTGTATTGCTACTTTTGTAAGTCATGAATGCGTATCCACAATATAAAAAAGACAAACTTGCTTTCAACAGTAAGTAGTAGAATGAGTGTTAGTGTTTTGATATTGCAATTCGTTTTTTATTCTATACATAATAGCTGGTCAACATACCTTTTCCTGAGTATAAAAAGAATAAGTTCTATTACTACTCTGGTCAAAACTTAAAAAGGTGACTGAAATATTCAAAGTGTAAAGTACGAAAGGACAACTAGTAGCAAGATCCTGGCAGTTTAAATACTTTTTCTTTTCCCGTATTGAGTTTTGTAACCCCCAACTCTACCCCGATTTTTCCTTAAAAATTGCCGCCGAACTGGAAGTGAGACCTCAAGAAATACTGAGGATCTGTACGTCAATTTCTCAGCCCTGGCGTTCATAAGTATTTTTTCTTCTTCCATAAGAAACCTTTTCAAACGTATTTATAATCTAATGGGAGTTTTGACTGTGCAGTTAAATAGAACGATAAGGTTTCTCTATTCCTAGGGATTTTTCTTCGCTAAATTTTGTCATTAAATCTAGGGCGGCTACTTGGTGGTCATAACTCTTAGAAACCTCGTAGGAACTCTGAGATCTGGCAACACCCCCAACTTACTTCTATAATTGGGTGTACTGGGTGTACTGTGTGCATGGTGCTAGCCGCTGACCTTTACTAAGGGACAAGTAGCGCCTTCGAAAAAAATATAACGTCTAAAAATGGTGAGAGGTATGGGTGTATGAGAGATGAGTCCATTTGTTTACCAATTTACCCAAACTGGTAAATTTGTATACGCTCTTTTTCTTCTTGGTTTGTTTTCTAGCGTGAAGAATCAGAGCAATTGCCCCATCTGGACATGAAGGGTATGAGAAAGCTCATCGGGATTTCTCAGAAACCAATGAACAAAATACTTCCATACGCAGAGATATACACGTAGCAACAACGAAATGATATGTCGACCTCATGGTTTCCTTCAATGTATGCCCCCCACCCCCCTTTTTTTTTGTTTGGTAAGAAACGAAGCTGCTGTGAGCTTCTCTCCGCTGCTAGTCTACTTTCCAACATGTAAGGGCAAATCAATCCACACAAGTACCAGTACAAATAGCGCGAAATACTCAAGCATTCACTCAAAGTAGTCGCTAAACACTTCAGCTACGGCACAATTACTGGGGGAAGTGTATAATTCTTTTTTTCAAATGGCTGGGTGCATCCCTTTACACTGCTATTTCTCTGGGGAAGGCGAGGGTTTTCACCACGTAGATAGCGGACTGAAGATGAAATATCTAAACGCAGAAAAACACAAATATTGAGGGGGCGGGTAAGAATAAAGCATCTGAGAAAGAAACGGCGGGGGGGAGGGCACAGGGACGTAGATGGAGCCCGAGCCCGAGACCGAGGTAAGGACAAAGACGGAAAATAGGGGTGCTTTTCTAAATCTCTGCAACAGATCTCTCCGAAGAAAAGAGGGCTGTTGCACAACACATGCTCTTCTCCCCCCCTCCCTTTATTCTGAGAAGCACAGGGAAGTGATCTTTACATCTTCCTGTACAAATGGCGCAGAGAGATGGGCTTTCCCATTGGCTTGCTCATCGTTTCGATCGATTCCCAAAAATCAATTTCCTCAGAAAGCACCGCATGTAATGTTCCTTCACGGGCAATAAAATACATGATTTGGAAGGACCATCAGGACTATCCTTGCTCAGAAGCCGTGGCACGTAGTTGAGCATCAATGAGCCTGCGCAATTTCTCTTAATGGAAGAAAACCAAAGTTTATGAATTTTAGGGAGGATAGCGGGAAATGAGAAGGTCTCCTTCAGTGCTCTGTAGTGCACTTTCTGTGTGTTATTTAAGGTAATATAGGGAAATTGATCGGGAAGACAAAAAATGTGAGTGCGAAGCTGAAGCTTGCAATAGCTTGTCTTTAATTAGAGAAGGGGAGTTCGAACAGAAAATTGGCGATTTTTTTTAAAAACGTTTGCTAGGGCGAGGAGAGGGGCTAGGGAGAGAGCAGGAAGGGGGGGGGGGAGGAAACCGACGACACTCCCTAGTCGTGTGAGTATAAAAGGTAGCTTCTTATCCTGGCCAATTCCTTAAAAGTTTTCTATTGTCGAGGATTTATTATGCTGAAAGCACCATCTAAATACTAGAAAGAAAACCAAAATAAAATGCATAGAACATACTCTTTGAGAAGCTCTAGAGCGCCAACTGCTGCTCAGATGCAGTCCCCTCCACCTCCACCATCATCTACCAAGTCTAGATTCTTCGGTAAGGGTGGTATTGCCTCTACTTTCAGAAAGAGCACTGCTGGTAACTTCGGTCCAGAATTGTCCAGAAAGCTATCCCAATTAGTTAAGACTGAGAAGAACGTTTTGAGAGCTTTGGAAGTTGTTTCCAATGAAAGACGTGCTGCTGCTAGACAGCTATCCTTGTGGGGTTCTGAGAACGACGATGACGTTTCCGATGTTACCGACAAGTTGGGTGTCCTTATCTTCGAATTGGGTGAATTGCAAGACCAATTCATCGACAAATACGACCAATACCGTGTGACTATGAAATCCATCAGAAATATTGAAGCCTCCGTCCAACCATCCAGAGACAGAAAGGAAAAGATCACTGACGAGATTGCACACTTGAAGTACAAGGACCCAAGCTCCACTAAGATTCCTGTTTTGGAGCAAGAATTGGTTCGTGCCGAGGCCGAATCTTTGGTTGCTGAAGCTCAATTGTCCAACATCACAAGAGAAAAGTTGAAGGCTGCTTTCAACTACCAATTCGATTCTATCAGAGAATTGGCCGAAAAGTTTGCTTTGATTGCCGGTTACGGTAAGGCTCTACTGGAATTGCTAGACGACTCTCCAGTCACCCCAGGTGAGACCAGACCAGCTTACGATGGTTACGATGCCTCCAGACAAATCATCATGGATGCTGAGGGTGCTCTAGAAGCTTGGACTTTGGATGTTGCTGCTGTCAAGCCAACTCTATCCTTCCATCAAACCGTTGATGATGTCTACGAAGAAGAAGATGGCGAAGAAGTTCAGGAAGGTGAAGAAGGCCAACAATGGGAAGAAGAACAACAGGAAGAACACCATGAAGGTGAAAACTAAGGATCCAATCTATAAAAATTGGATTGTACCTTTATACTCTTATTTTAGTGGACTGTTGAAAACTCTTTCTATTGATAATAATTTTAAATTTTATCTTTAATTCCTAAGAAACTTAATTTCTAATAATATTATTCTCTTTGCCTCATCACATTTGGATCATTCCTCATTTTCGAGAAGACAGCTATGTAATTACTACCAACAGAAATATTCACTTTATTAAATCATATCCGAATCTTTTTAGTTTTCTGTGTAGCAAATTGGGGACAAGTAATAATTAATCTTATATTCTCTTATATCTCATCTAAGACACATAATATTTTTGTAACCTTCATTAGTAATTCTTTGTAACTTGTAATAGATGAGTAATGAAAATTACCAAATTTATGAATATTGACATATATATATATATACAAAAAGCCGTTATTTGAAATGGGTAAACTATGTATAAATATTAATGCTACTATGAACAGGAATTTTAATATTAATATTACAAAAAGGATATCGTGACAGCATCACCTTTCAGAGGCTAGGAGGCCTCTTTTTGTGACTTCATCTTTGAAACTTTGATGCCAATTATTAGCATATGGAATTCTTCTTGCCATTGCATTTCCAATTGCAATATATTTTATTCGATTTCGATAGGCTTTTTTCTTCTCTGAAACACTTCTATTTTGAGATCTATCAACAGTTTCTTTGTCTCCTAGTTTTCTCGATTTTCTTAAAGGTATTGGAATAGAACCTAGCATTCTACATATCTTCCTGACTTCACTATTGCCATTCTTCCAAACTTTTGTTGTGAAAAGTGGTAATTGTTTTCCCCAAGAAAAATTATTCAACTTATTCAGAAGCTCGGTTTTATTTTTTTCACATGAAGATGATTTATATTGGAATTTAATAATTGCTTTGCATTTGAGGCTCCAGTAGCCATCATTCCTTATCTTTATACCATATCTTTCTGACAAAGCACATATGACCTCAAAGACCGTAGGTAAAGTTTCCGTATATCCGTTCTTTACAAGTGATTTCATAAGCATGTCAAAGGTGTTAACATTGGGTCTTATTTTATTGGGGCCTACGAGGTCTTTGACAAAATAATTATATGTAAGAAAACAAAGATCTATTCTGCCTTGTTCTGCAAAGTATCTCAGGAAAGTATTCATCGTTTCGCTATTAATTAAAAATTTAGGTTGATTCACAAATTTTAATTGTTTAAGCTCAAAATATCTCAACACTGACCACGCCCTTTCAACATTGTGGTCCAGAACTAAGTCGCTTATAAGTAGATTCACGAACTTCAGATTGACAAAAGATTCCCCATCTTCTCCAAACATATCCAGGATATATTTAGTTTTTGTTGAAATGTGCGCTTTTGATGAGTTGCGCACAACAGAATATACAAGTTCACTAGTAAGAGGGACACCACAATCAATGAGCTTTTCAATATAGAGATCTCTAGACATTTCATCATTGAGGAAGTTATAACAAGTGTTCCAAGTAACAGTATCACAAAATATTCCATTTTTCTGCATATTTCTCAAATAAAATAAAAGTTCATTCTTTATCGATCTGATCTTCCTCATGTGTACCTTCTTCACGAGATTTAACAAAAGTATATTGTATGTTGTTGTATTTGGTTTGCAGCCTTCTACCTTCATTTGTGCAAATAGCTCCCTGCAGGTAGCAAAATCATATTTTTTGCTATAAAAATACAATATGTCGTTATAGCACTGGACACTCCTAAGATCTATAGTGTTTAGATTACTTGGATGAATTAAAACTCTCAGTATCTTTGGTATTATACCATTGCTACTAGATGAGTTCTTATAGAGAAATTTCGTATGTGTGAGAAGTGCAATATAATCTTCAAAGAGTTTCATATCTCCTTTAAAATCGGGGATTGGTGGTACTTCTTTTGTATAATATGGTTTGAATAATCTCCTTTTAGCTGGTTTAGTTACAGGCTTCTTTGTAGATTTTATAAGTAACGGCAATATATCAACTGCGAGTTCCATTGAACTAAAGGCTTCCCTTTTTCTATCTGTAGGAGTAATAATGTGATCAGTATGGGATAATTGCTTATTGTAATCATTATGGATATCTTGCCTTCGCAGTTTATGACCAATCAATGGGCTTAAATAATGTTTAACCACCTTTCTTTGATATTGTGAACCTTTCCCAATCAAATGTGCATTATCCTTGATCAACTGATTAAAGTTCAAACGTGACTTATTAGATGATATGGATACCAAGCTTTTTTCATTATTGCTCACTCTAGTGTTTCCTAAAAAGTACTTTACCGATATTTGGTCTAGTTCCTTCGTACCCTCAATAATTTGATCACCATTCTTAGCAAGCGTAGTTCCTAATCTTTTCAATGCATTCATAACATCTGCACTGTTATTACAGAGTTGTTTATATATAAGTTGCAGCAATCAATATGATAATGCAAAAGATCGGAAAGGTTGGTATTATATTGTGTTCGGTTGGCAAATTATTACTCAGTTAGAAATTTCCTTCAACTCCCAGTATACAGCCCACTTTTTTTTAATCCTAATGGTTTTCGAATATAATTCTTAGAAATTAACAACAAAATGCGTATCTCCTTTTGATATTATTATTGTGTAACACTATATCTCCTTAGTTTCTGTTTCGTTCCTATATGGAATATCAATTTTTATTGTGATTTTTGCGGGATTCCCAATTATTTCGGCCTTTGAAAGCTGTAAAGGTGACAGTTAAGGTGATGAGCATGTAAATATGAAAGGCTTCATTGTATATGAGCAGTTGTTGCTCACAATGGTATATATTCAATATTAAGTATATAAAATTCTAATTTCTTTCAAATAGAGATACCAGACTTGTTGACAAATGATTTCCCTCCCAATGTAGTTAGTAATGCTGGTAAAAATACTAATGCATGAACAGAAGCAAGACATATCAATGAAAACCACATTCTAAAGTAATAAACTTCAAATATCTTTGATTGTGCAAAGGCGATTACAGTAACACCAATGAATTTTGTCAAGGTGATCCCATTGAAAACGGTCTCACCAATTGTCTTCATAGCATTTTCTACTCTTGCAACTCGCGTATTTTTAATATCTCTGCCTATTAACGTGAAAGCCCTGACAATATGAATACAAAACTCCACAGTAAGGCCAACACATATAATTAAATTAACCAGACTTACTGCATTCAAATTAATACCTGTTACTGCCATCACACATCCTATATCAATTATCACCATTGTTACTGTAAGGGTTAGTAGGAAAGCGGTTTTGCTGCTTCCTAATAGAAATGCAGAAACAGCGAAAATCAGCAAAAGAGCCCCAGATATCAATTTAATTGATAACACCCCCAAACCTGTGTATTGAACGAAATATATGTAGAATGGCGAGTACGCAAATATGTCTAACCCATCGAACGACTTTGATATCCGATTTGCATCATTGTAAGCTCTAATATAATCAGCTTGAGACCTTAATGGGTTATGCGCTGATCTAAAAGCAGAAGATATAACAGTTGAGTCATTGTATGAAATCGAATTAGAATAAGGAGCTTTCCCTCCTAATGGACAATTATCACTCGGAGTATTTATCCAGATATCAAAATATTTCATAAATTCACCATTTTCCGGGAAGCCTGTCATATCATTACTCCATTCACCTTGGCTATAGCATGTTTCACATCTTCTAGGTGGAAAATAAGGTGGACAAATTTCATTGGTACCCTTTTTAAACCGGCAACATTGGTCTAACTCAGGATTTAGGAATGATAAATAATCATCCAACCAATTGGTAACTGGCTCTGTAACAGTGGATCTAGACCTTTCGACCTCCAGTATGTTCGAGAGTGAATTATCATCACAGGTAGTGAACCTACCGCAAAGTCTCCGTTGATTCTTCCTCTTAGTAACATCAAGGTTTCTCACAACAAAATAAACAGGTGGTCCAACGTTCAAAAATTTATAAACATCATTGAAATAGTCCACAAGATATGACGATTGAGGAACTGCTAACTTTTGATCCAAACCATATTCTATTGCCGGTAAGAATATTATTGCAAAAAGTGTAGAACCAAGGAATATACCCAATATAATCTTACGGTATGATAGTATCCAAGCAATACTATTTTGGAAGAAAGACTGTTCTTTGACCAAAATATTCTCTTGCAACTGTTCTCTGCTCTGCGTTACTGATTTATTCGTTTTATTTTCATATATTACCAATATTGCCGTGAAGGCCGTCAACTGTAAGAAAACATTGAATAAAACAGCAACCGCGGAATACAGTGCAAAATTTCTAACAGCTGGCATGTCAACGGTAGCACCTATTAAGAAACATCCTGCTTGACAAATCATGGAGGAAAAAATGGAGGGAGTTATCTTAGAAATAGAAGTGGTCACCCTATCTTCAATTAACAGTTCTATGCTACTTCTGAACGTTGAATCATAAGCATGGGTAATTAAAAATATATTGTCAATACCAATAGCTAGAATCAAAAAAGGGATGACCTCTGCAATAATCAATGTTGATTTTACTCCAAATATACTCCAAAAGCCTGCCGAGCAAATAACAGATGAAATCACAATTAAAATACCAAACAAACCCAATAAAAATCTGTTATTACCAGAACTATCTTTCAGTGCCCAGGAGGCATACAAAAACATCACAAAATATGAGATTATGACAACAATAACGTCATTATTCTTATTTAACTCCTTTTCTAATGAGCTCTCGGTATTAAAGCTCATACGGAGGCCTGTTGGTAGTTTCAAATTTAACAAATAATTTTCTAGTTCATTTTCCCACTGTATGGCTCCCTCAGTATGATTTGATAGAAGGTATGTAGCAACAAATGCATTGGTTCCTAACGGGTCCTCATCACTAAATAAGAGATTGGATTTTAATGGTTGTTGGAAAGTGGGCAAACAGTTAACAGGATATTTAGCGCACTCTTCCAACTTATTCCTCCAAACTTCTTTTTCGGGTAAATAATCAGGGAAATATTGTGCATAAGATTGAATAACACATGCCGAATCTGGTGTTGGTCTAAAACAGTAGTCTTGATACGACAATCCTTCAGTGGATACCAGATGTTCAGTGATATTTTTCTCTATTTCAAACCACCATGTAAAACTATCATAATCAGTGAAAACCGGACCAGTATCGTTGACTATGAATATTTGTTGAATTCTATAAAAGGGTCCGAAATGGTCATCAAAGTATTGCTTTTCTTTGAACTTAGGTGAATTTTTACTAACCCACAGATTCACAGGCTTAGTTTCCAAATCACCCCAACAAAACAGGAGAAGTCCCATAGATAAAATAAGGGTTCCAACCAATAACAAAGTGACACATGGCTTTGATACAATCCAGCTCGTCCAGCGAGCAGAGCAATCAGCAATCCAGTCATTAACAAAATAAGTTTGTGTCTCATAATTATTGAAAAGCATACCATTATCCATATTTTCATTATTTTCAAACTCTGAAAATAAATTGTCGCTTGATAGAAAAGCACTTGACAGTTTGTTTGTATTTTTCATGAGGGCATACCACATAATAAACGCACTAAGTAACGCAAAATATAATATTATTACTGTAAAGGAGAAACATGGTACAGGACCAACACTACATTTCCTATTCTGTAAAGGTTCTAGTGTTGGACACGAAAGTTCACAATCTGAACAAGCACATTTATAAACCGTATCATTACAAGCATAAACAGTTTCATTGAAGTACCTATAATTATCCATATCACCCAACTCGTATACAAAGTTAATTTGAAAAGGCGACCCGCCTAGAGCAGGTTTCTTATCTCCTAAAAATTTCAGGAATTGGGTATAGTTCTTAGCACCACCACCAATTAGATCCATAGCATAGCCATTGGTTGCAGAAAATTTGACTTCTTTACAGGAATCAAAAAAGGATGACGCCCATGTCTTGTTCATGTATACTTCTAATTCATCTACTACTGATCTACCATCAGAGGATTTACCTTTTTGGGTTACTTTAACAAACTCCCTTTGCTCAGGGGAACAGGTAAAATGGCAGAACAACCTATTAAAATTCTCTAAACAGGCGGGACAAGACGAAATGATCGTCTGCGCTTTCTGTAAATTGGTTTTCAAAGCCGTAATTTGGTCTACTGTACAACAGATGAAATCTTTATCTTCCCATTCTTTACCGCAAGTGCTTACTAAAAGCTCTCTGGTCTCCTCATCAATCATGGGTGGACTGAAATCCAAATCATCAACTGGACAAGGTAACTGACTACCAAATATTGACTTCTTACCACAATTGCCATATATAGTACACTGTGCACCGCCTTTATCTTCCTGAATACTAGGCTGTTGAAATTGTATAGACTCTGAAAAGGGCCATATTAACCCTACAAGGATCACAAGTATTGTGCTCCTCATTGTAAAGGCTTTGTATAAAATACACAACACCAGTCCAATCCTACTATCACCTGTTTTGAGGGTAACTAGTCATACACTATTTTAGCTAAACAGTTAGGATTACAGACTAAAGAATAGTGAACGAGACATGTATTTTGTTGATAAATAATTATATTATTAAGGGTTATGATAATTTTTTCTTCTTCAGAGCTCATCGCGAAATCAGAAGTGTGATTACCAAAAAAATAAAAATAACACAAAAATAAACGAACGTTCGAAACTGCAGTAGTTCCATCTTAACATTTGCAAATAAGTCCGAATAAATGGAAGGACTAAAATAAGCATATATAAGCAATTAACTCTTCATACTAAGTGCTTAACAACCAACTGCAACCAGGTTTTTTAAAAGTGTAAACTATTTTGTTAGGCTTTAATAAAATATAAAACTCCCAAGATAGAATAAGGACCTAAAAATTTAGAATGAAAATACTGAAGGACCTAGCGGTAACTAGACGTGACATATCAGACTGGAGTCATTCTCTCAGCTGGACTAGAGATGGTTCCCTCATTATTGAGACTTCGCCAGAGTTAACACTTGCTCAACCTATATTCAGAACGGATGTGGATAATACTTTGAAAAATATGTTTCAATTGAAGTCAATAGAGTTGCCAATGGGTGACAATGCCTTTGAATTTGAGCAAAGTGGCCGTAACACTTTGATAAATTCAGACCCATCATCAACAATTCGTATTTGCAAGACAAGTAATATCATGAGTTGGAAAGCGTGTATTACCAGTAACGCTAATTGCTTGATCTATGACAACAACAACAATCTATATAATATAACTCCCTCTGAAGGAAGTATAGAAAGTAGATCTATACATTCTATTTGCTGGCATCCCGAGGACAAGTACATCTGCTTAGGCAATGAGGTTGGTGGCCTATTTTTTTATGAGATTGCTTTCAATGACGGCCCCCAACAAAATGTTATCTTTAACTTAAAACATACTATTTCGTTGAATAGTAAAAGCCATGACCAATGGGTAACGAGAATCATATGGAATGATGAAAACCACTTAGTATGTTCTCTTTCTGACAATTCCCTATATATAGTACGTGACTACACCAGTGTTACTAAAATAAAGGAAGCAACAAGACATCAAATTTTTGATATGGTATTAGCAAAAGATTCGATACTAATTACGTGTCCGGGAGAATTCTGTTGTTATCAAATTGCCAACCAGATATTACTACATCATCCTTTAGAAGATTATGAACCATATTATATAATTCCTCTGCTACACACTAAGGAACAAAACACGCAAGCAATTTTACTTTCTCATAATAATGGTAAAAGAGTTATGATTGGTAACAGAATTCAAGTAGAGACTGACTCAGAAATAAGCCCTATATTTGCCAAGAAGGTGAAGAAATGGTCAACACTCTACAATGAACTACAAAAATATGATGTCAATTTGAACATTTTCGGAGTTGCATTATCTACAGATGGCTACTCTGTAGCAATTCTCTATAATATTGAAAGGGTATCAATAAAGTACACAATAACTTCCGAAAACAAGTATAACATAATATTGCTACCACTATACAAAACATGGAATCTATCTCGTGCTGCTTTAGGCCTTTCATGGTATCAAACATATCAAATATATGGGAAAGAGCTACCAAAAAACCTCTGCAGCTCCCAAAATAGTAGGATTGACTACCATCTTTCTTTTTCTTTCAAAGATTTTCTCTTTTTTATTATTAACCATCAACTGACCATGCAAATGCAGTTTAACAACTTTATCAATGATAGTAGTGATATAAACTTTGTTTCAAGAGGTTTATATGATTTCGGTGTATCAAAAATAGAAGATTTTGAAAATGAATTAGACATCGCATGCTTGAATGGAATTGCCGGTTCTTTAGGATTAGAGTTACCACATAAACCAATCAAATTCACAATGAAGGGCGAACACATCTCTGAGACTTTCATTAGCAATAACAGATCATCACCTGAGTGTATGACTTCCGAGGAAAACCACACATGGAGGGTCTGTGCATTAACATTTTTACCTATTTTGACTATGCACGTCAAAATTTGTCCTGTAACAAACAAACGTATCATTAATATTTCTAAGGATCAATATAATGAATACGGTTGGTTTACAAGAACCATACTTGAGGTATTTTCGACAGAAAGTGTCTATAGCGGAACACCATATTTGTCACCATAAAGCGTACAGACAATGGTTAAGAAGTAACAAGTATATCTGATTTGACTTCAAGATCAAGTATCCGCAATCTGATCAAAGAATTCTTTAGAAGATGCCATAACATCCCTGACAGTACTAACTGATTGAATCCTGCTCCTCACCCATTGAGACAATTTCGATTGAATATTTGCATTTGCATATCTCTTATCTAATAAGTAAATTAATGAATAGTCATTTATGCTTCTGATTGATCTTCCTACTGATTGATTAACGGCCTTCATACATATATTCTCAAAAAATTCTTTCGCAGCCATATTAGCATCAGTTTTACTTCCACCACCATTTAGCACCTTTTCCTCCAAATGCTTTCTACTTATTATAAGCTCTCCACTGAATACATTTGGATAAGGTAACCCAGTCATTACGATTGCTCGACACAGATTTCCACCAAAGTTAATACCTTCCGACAGCTTGCCGCCTACAATAGCAAACAATATTGCTCCTTCTGAGTTTGCAACAGCAGAAGTATAGTCTGGTAGTGGATCTGGACCATCTTTCATTTCATAGAATACTTTTCTTTCTTTATCCAACTTTTCAAATAACCCAGCCTTCCTCCATGATACAATTATTTCATCTAGATACTTATAACTAGGAAAAAAACCAATAATACCACCTGTCTTAGGAATAGTGGTTGATAACTCGAGATAAAAATTGAATAAATGATTTTGAACCAGATTAACGCTATTTCTCTTCTCAAAGGTAAACTCAAATTGTGGTTCATTAACAATATATGTGCGTAGGTGTGAATCCGGTATGACATGATTACAGGAGAATTTTGTGATAGAACTGTCATCAAGTTTTGGAACAAGGTATTGTAGCAACTGAGAGACAGGTTCCATGGTACCACCAGCTAAAATCACACATCGTGCAGAGTCAATGATATCCTGAAATATTCTACTGGGCTCTAGCAACATATATCTCAGAGATGGTCCTCTCTCGAAAAAGAAACTCCCCTCTGATGATGTGTTATTGAGGCATTCAAGAAATTTGGAAATCTTGTATAATAGCGGTTGGGATGATGGCTTTTGATTACTGGGGGATTCTTTTTCTTGAAGTTTTTGTATATATGTATCAAGCTTATACGCAATGTGGGAAGTCTTAATGTACTTCAGAACTCGATGTACATTTAGCATGTCGGTATTATTCGACTCTAATATTGAAAATGCATCTACCTCTAGTCCTGGCTTTTTGTAATGAGTGGTGATGAAATTAATTAAAACAGTTATCAATTTACTCAGTTTCAATAAGTTAACTCTATTTCCCGGATTTAATCGCGACTTGAATTTTTTCATATATAGAATGATGCTATTATAAGACTGCTTCAACTCAGACAATGATATTTCAGCCGAATGTATTGAATTGATGGTGTCAACTAAGTTATGAGCTTCATCAATGACAACAATCGAGCCCTTCAGGTCAAGTCTTAGTTGTGACCTTGTTGACTCCGAAAGTAAATATTGATAAGGTAGTGTCACTATTTCACTGGATGGTATAAAATCTCTTGCTGCATAATACGGACAAACAGCTAAGCTCTCACCTACTTTAGCAATATCTTCAATGTCGTGGATGTCTGAAAATACTTGATCCCGAAAATGATTGGTTTCTTTACTATTATGCCACTTTGGGGTATTTTGATAGAAGGGACAACCCTCCTTTGATCTCCTTACCTCAGAACATGCATCGTTAATACCCTCCAGAGTCTTCCATTTTTTTACATCTGGATTAATACACAATTGCTTTTTAGACCCTAAAGGCATATATTTCACCCTTTCATGAGCAACTTTATCTGGAAAAGAGGATGGAAAGTTGGTTAACTTCAGTTGCTCAGCGAATTGGTTCAACTGGGAGTGCGTTCTAGAGGAAAAAAAAATTCTAACCTGGTTTTGAGATGCAGAAGCAAACCTACCCAATTCAACATTATCTGTATTCTTTTTTGAAGAGTCAAACTTAGCAAGAAGCTCCTGAACTTCTTTGCTTAACGCTTCCTTCTTTTCCAAATCAGTAGTTTCCTCGCCATCTGATTCATAAGGTTTTGCGACAAATTCATCTTCATCCTCAATTGAAACTTCAATTTTTGCCTTACTAGAAGATGTAACCTTTCGTCTCTTAACCTTCGACTTATCTTCAATTGATGTTCCAAATTTGATAATTTTGTTTTCTTTTAGATGTAGTTCTTCCAAGTATTTTTCGTACTCATCCAGTAGTTCTAACTTATCCTTCAATATCGATTCCTTATAAGTATCTTTAACCCATTCTGGTTCGCTATCATGGGAGTCATCTTCATTACTGTGCAGTGTATCTACAGAAGATAGAATATCAGCCTTATTATCCCTAAGCCATGTCAACGTGGAACAGATCAACGACAGCGTCTTACCTGTTCCTGTAGGACTTTCAACTATGGCAACTTTCTTTACTGGATTGGCAAGCGTATCATATACACACTGCATTAGATCCAACTGAATATCATACGGGCTATAAGGATGATGAAATTTTGTAGCATTATCCATTTTACCTAACCTAAATGTTTTTCAATTCATTAGCATTAATCACAATTTTCCATTAGAGAGAACCTGCTTATTTCCTTAGGTCTTGCAACAGTTATTTATGAACACACCAACTTAGTCCAACTTAATTGAGAGTATAATTCTAAAGATTTGGTTGGAAAGGCTTTTCAACATAAAAACTATAGTTTGCTTAAATATCACACCTCATCACCTGCGTTTTCATTCCAAGTGGCAATGTCCTAAAAGGGAAGTTTCTTTAATTTTTCACTTTTCACTAACAAAAATCTTTGAGTTCATTATAATGCAGCATTAGCTAGTTGGTAAAAAAAAAATATAGATAAATAACTTCATATCAGCCATTGTTACATATACACTTAACTTATGTATACGACTACTACGACATATTACTAACTACAAGACTTCTGTTATATTTGAAGCAATGAAGCAAAGAATTAGTGCATTAGATCTGCAGATCCTAGCCGTGGAGCTGAAATCCGCACTGGAAGGATTCAGATTGTCCAATATTTATAATATAGCAGATTCTAGCAGACAATTTCTGTTAAAATTTAACAAACCTGATTCCAAAGCCAATGTCGTAGTGGATTGTGGTTTAAGAATCCATCTTACCGAGTTTAATAGGCCAGTACCACCTACCCCTTCTGGCTTTGTCGTCAAGTTAAGAAAGCATCTTAAGTCAAAGAGACTGACTGCCTTGAGGCAGGTTACAGGTGATAGAATTTTAGTACTGGAGTTTGCAGATGGTCTATTCTACTTAGTGTTAGAGTTTTTCAGTGCAGGTAATGTCATCCTCTTGGATCATGAGAGAAAAATTCTTGCATTACAAAGAATTGTACATGAGCATGAGAATAAAGTTGGTGAAGTTTACAACATGTTTGATGAAACCACATTTGATGAGAACATGAATGATACTCAAGATGAAAGAGAAAGAACATACTCATTAGAATTAGTAAATTCCTGGATGAACGAATGTGAAACGAAATTCAAGTCAGAGCTTTCAATTTTATCACAGAACGAATCCAAGAATAAAAAGGTAAAGGTTATGTCTATTCATAAACTGCTACTAAGCAAGGTCCCGCATTTATCTTCTGATTTACTCTCTAAAAATTTAAGAATACATGGATTTAATCCATCATCGTCATGCTTAGAATATATCGGCAAGAAGGATGAAATATTAAACTTATTGTTAGAAACTGAGAAAGAATATAAAAATTTATTGAACGCTGACGAAAAAACGGGTTATATCATAGCAAAAAAAAATCCTCTTTATAAGATTGATACACCAGGATATGATCTGGAGTATATATACGAGAACTTTCACCCTTTTATTCCTCATATTCCTGCTACCGATGAAGACAAATCAAAGGTCATCAAAATTGAAGGTGATTACAATAAGACCTTGGATGATTTTTTCTCTACAATCGAGTCATCTAAGTATGCATTGAAGATTCAAAATCAAGAACAACAAGCAAAGCAAAAAATTGAAGCGGCAAGACAAGAAAACAAAAAAAGAATCGATGCTTTGCGTGAGCAACAAGCATCTAATGAGACAAAAGGTAACCTTCTGATTGCAAATGTTGATTTAGTGGAGGAGGTTAAAAGTGCAGTTTTAGGCTTGGTAAACCAACAAATGGATTGGAATACAATCGAAAAGCTTATCCAAAGCGAGCAGAATAAAGGCAACAAGATAGCAAAACATGTCTCACTACCTCTTGATTTGAAAAATAACAAGATCAAGATACTTCTACCGAATACTGATGAAGAAGATAGCACATCATCTGATGATTCTGATAGTGACAGTAGTTCTGATGACGATTCAGAAATAGATTCCAGTGAGGAAGAGAACAGCGATGTTTCTGATTTTGAAACGGAAGAAGGTGTTGAAACATCAACAAAGAAGGATAAGAAGAAAGTCTCTCAAAAAAGAAATTCAAAGGTTGATAAGTTCAGTTTGAACAAAACAGTTGTAGCGATTGATTTGGGTCTCTCTGCCTATGCAAATGCGTCTACCTACTTCAATATGAAAAAAGACCATGCTGAGAAGCAAAAGAAGGTGGAGAAAAATATTGAAAAGGCTATGAAAAATATAGAAGACAAAATAGGGAAACAATTGCAGAAAAAACTTAAGGAATCTCATGATGTTTTGAAGAAAATCAGAAAGCCTTACTTCTTTGAAAAGTATTTCTGGTTCTATTCTACTGAAGGTTTTCTAGTTATGCTGGGCAAAAGCAATGTCGAGACTGATCAGATATACAGCAGATATATTGAAGACGATGACATTTTCATGTCCAATAGTTTCGACACTAAGGTTTGGATCAAAAACCCTGAAAGAGTTGAGGTGCCTCCTAACACACTAATGCAGGCTGGTATTCTATGTATGTCTGCGAGCCCAGCATGGCAGAAAAAAATTGCATCTTCACCATGGTGGTGTTTCGCCAAGAATGTTACCAAGTTTGATGATGTTGATGGATCGGTTTTGGCACCTGGTGTATTCAGGTTGAGAAATGAGAAGCAAATCAACATGCTGCCACCAGCACAATTGGTTATGGGTGTCGGATTTATGTGGAAAAAGAAAACCCAAGAAAATGAGCTTGAGAATGAGCAATCAGAGACTGACACTTCTGAATCTGAAAGTGAGGAAATCTCGGAAAGCAAAGAAATTCCATCAACTAACGAAACTGCAGCAGAAGTTGACAGTTTAGATAATAAAACTGGTACGGAATTGACTGAAAACTCTGAAGAAACAAATATGAATATCACAAATGCATCAAAACAATCTTCCGCTGCATCATTAAAAGATATAGAAGGAATATGTGATGATGAGTCCGACAATAGATCTGAATCTGTGATGTCAGCAGAGAAGGAAATGTCAGAGTTGACTTTGTCAAGCAAAGTTAAAAAACAGGTTCGTGGTAAAAAGGGTAAATTGAAGAAAATGCAGAAGAAATATGCTGATCAAGATGAAGATGAGAAAAGAATAAGATTGGAGGCCCTAGGAACATTAAAAGGTGTTGAAAAGCAGAAGCAAAGAGAAGCAGAGGAAAAGAAGAAGCAAGAGTTACGAGAGCATAAAAAGATTAGACGTGAAAAGCAAAAACAATTACAAGCACTAAAGTTTAACAAGAATGAGAAGGTCAAGGTAGATTACGAAAAGATCAGGACTGAGCTTGTTCCAAATTTGACAAAAGAAGAAGAAATTTCAGATATAGTTCCAGTATTTGCACCATGGCCAGCCATGTTGAAGTACAAATATAAGGTCAAGATCCAACCTGGTAATGCTAAGAAAACAAAGACTCTCAGTGAAGTATTAAACTATTTTAAAAATAGAGAAGTGGATCCAACAATGAGCAATAAAGAATTAGATTGGCCTAGAGAGCACGAATACATCAAAACCATGAAAGAACAAGAAATGGTTTTGATGATTAGTGTAGATAAATTGAAGGCAACATTGCCATCGCAAGGAAAGAATTCCTCTAAGTCGTCAAAGAATGGAAAAACTCAAAAGAAGAAGAAATAGTGCTTCTAATAAATTTACATAGACATATCTGCTTTTCATAAAATTTTCCTGCATTAAATAAATGCCACTATTAAAGGAATGCAGATGTTTTTCCTCTACAAATGCTTGTAATACTTGTATGTTTTTTATTTTTCTTAGGGCTGAATGCGTGTGCTGCAGTTGTGCAATATAATTTGCCCACAAAGAGAATGGCCATTGCATCTACAAATTTAAGAACGATAGCACTTTATTGCGTACTTTGTAGCCGCATTGAACACCATTTAAAAATTATCTCACAAATTGTTTCTGTATAAGAATTCCGTGTTTATTTATAAATTTTCTTTGCGTATTTATATTGTTCTACAAACCTTGTTGCAATCTTTCCTGCAGCTTGCTCTTAGCAAAGCCCCATGCACCGAGTAGACCCTTATCGAGATCCAATGTCAATTGAGTGTCGTTCTTTGGTGGCTTGCTTACTCTAGCAGCTATTGTACTTGGGTCAGTCTCCAAGACCACACCGTTGTCAATCATCTCATCAATGGCGAGGACTACCATGTCGTAATTCTCCTGAATGTTCTTTTTGTCAATGCCAGAGTTCAGAATTAAATCTAGAGAGCCCTTAAAGGCAGAAAACACCTGCTGTAAAACAATCTCGTTCTCTTCAAGAGACGCTACCAGACACAGAGTCACGTCAATATATTCTTTGTATAGCACCAAATGGTCATCAAACAGCAAAATTTCAGAGTCCTGCTTATGTGTCTTTGCAAACAGCTCTTTCTCAAACTTCCTCTGCTTCTTCACATCGAAAACATTGTCCTCCACTCCACCATGTGGGGCCACATAGTATTTCGAGAAAACTCTCTCACCTTGCCCATCCAAAATTAAAACAGCTTGCACAGAATACAACGACAGCATCCTTTAAATTCCTTAATCTAGCTTCCTTATAGCAAAACTGTATACACGATTGACCCTGGGAATTCACCTTGTTCAACAAGTACACTATTCTTTATATGCCAAAATTTGAGCATTAACCTGGATTCCTGGCGAGTGGATCCTTGATTGAAGGTCGAAGCTCTGGAAAACCCGTGTCGCAGCACCACACCCACTCGACCTAAGCTATAATAGCCAGTATGGCAATCCACGTATGCCCAGATGGATTGTCACACACACACACACTCGCTAGATGTGAATAATACACAGAAATGGATTTTATCTGATACATACTAAATATCGAAGCAGCTTACCATTGCTACGAGAGTTCGTCACGCTAGTGATACCTAGTCTCCATTTCATGGACCTTCTACAAAAAGCAAAACCACGGACGCATATCTCTAAATTGCACATTGCTCTCAACATACAGCTAACAAGCACCGGCATCGTGACAGCTAAGCTCATTCCTCGCTGATCATCTCTTAGCTTTGCAATGCTGTTTATACTAGTTGATATTTAAGATCATACATAACGACGCTACAAATTCTGTAAATTGGCCTACAAAGCTCATCAAAGCCTAAGTGAAGGAAGCTGTTTAGTGATTATTAAAAGTAGCATTACCTTGGAGCGCTGTAACTGGGACATGCTAACGAGTCTACCTAGGATAGACGAAAGCAATTTAAACTAGGTAGCCATGACCAATAATGAGGCCTTTTTCTTTGGGCTGCTGCGGGTGTCAATGTTGCAGCTGTTGAAGTCGCATGGGTTTGACAAAGCGCTGCCGAGCACCGTTGATGCGTTCACCGATCTATATGTGAAGTTTTTGGATCTGCTGGTAAGTGAGGTACAGGGTGCCATGCAGCTCCGGGGTGATAAATACATGGAGACCGTAGCTATACAGGATATAACTGCCGGGATGGAGGCTGTGGGTTTGCTGAAGCCGATGAAGCTGCTCGATGTTTACGGAGAGCGCGTGCCTGACGATAGCAACACTGGTGCCGAAGCGTTTAAGAAGTGGTGCACAGATGTACAGGTAAGAAACAGCCGGCAAGTTGCACTCCCTTCTGTGGACTTGCTTACCGCAGAGGCCAATGGCAGTAAGTCTACCAAACCGTTGAATGCGCTACCAGACTATATTAACCAACTACAACAAAAGAAAGAACCATCAAGGTCTAATAGTATAACGAAACAACCTATGCTGCCTGATATGGCACCACAATTACCTTTTCATTCTCAGGATGAGCACGTTCACGAACTAATAGAAGAACTTATAAACAATGGCGAGACAGATGATTGGATTAGAATGGTATTGGCAAGACAGCGTATTGAATTAGGGAAAAAACATTCAAGAAAGCCTGGCACATTGGAAAATCTACCGAATATACCAAGTATGAAATTCTCTGCACTCAGCAGTTTGTTACCAAGTGAGGAAGATGCTAAAAATGAATTTCTCCCGTCAAATGGAGAAGTTGATGAGACGAATTCCGGCAAAGACTTAGAAACAACTGCCAGCGAAGTAACAGCTAGTGATAAAACAAAGGACAAATTATCTCAACTCACCCAATATCTCCCGATATCAAAACCCGAAAATAGACTTCAAAATATTGCATTATCATATGAGAATGAACAAGACGATGCTGATGAAATAAATGACGGTATAGATGACTACCACTCCGAATCTGCATCACCAGCTACCTTGACGGACGAAAAACTCATTGATGACATCCAATCTATGGGCCCTATGCATTTACAAAATGACATAGCTGTTGAAGATGACGACATGATGCCGATGGATTACCAGTTTGATGATCCCGACGCTATGTTTGATGAACAAGAAGACATGGATAATACTTTTCAAAGAAGAGCCTCCTTAGATTTTGGTAGTCATTTCGGATAGAAAGGTCATTCAAATAGAGCATATATATATTTCTAATGCATAATTATACTACCAATTTTTGAATTACCAAAGCTTACACTTCAGACGCAGAGAGTTGCAAAACGCAGATACTTAATCTTTTTTATAATATACAGTGTTTATATGAATGAAATTAAAATTAGCCATTACCAGTAAATGGCCTGATTAACATTTATTGTTTATGCCTTGAGGCAAGCTAGAATTTTCTCTTGTTTCTGAACTTGCCACCCTTCTTACCAATTCTACCGCTCTTGTTATTTGGATGGGATGCTCTCTTTGGAATCATTGGTTCATCATCATCGTCATCCATATCGCCATTTTTATTCTTTTTAAATTTGAATTTGTTTCTTTGACCTCTAACTGGACCAGATTTCACAGCATCTAAGTAAGCGTTAATACCACTAGTCACTGATTTCAAAGGATCCTCATCGTCATCATTTTGAGCCTTGGCATTTTGCTTAACAACTAACTTACCCTCATCATCAAAGGCAAAAGAATCGTCACTAATCATGTATTTCTTTGAACCTTCATTCTTCTTGAATGACTTAGGTCTAGTAGAGGAGACGTGAGCAAGTATATCCGAATCTAACAAATCCAAAGGATTTTCGCCAGATTCCACAATATACTGCTTCTTGTTGTTCTTCTTTCTGCCTGTTGAAGCAGAAGCACCTTCGTCATCGCTAGGTTCACCTTCAGAATCATAAATGGCTTCATCGAAAGCATTCATAAAGTTTGAGCTCTTGGATGATGTAGTTGGAACAATATCTTGATCATCAGAACCATCCTTACGCTTTGATCTGTTCCTGATTTTCCTTATATTAGCCAACAACCTGAGATCAGATTCTGGGAAGTTTTCTGCAATATAATCATAACCGAATCTTCTAATCAGTCTTTCAATGATATGCTTGACTTTAGATTTGAAGTGACCTGCATGCTCATTAGACCAACGGAGAAGTTTTGGAAGTAGTTCTGGAACCTTTGGTCTCATCAACTCTTCAGGTAAACCCAAAACACACACTTTAGCAAATCCAATAGCACTCTTTACAATTTCTCTGGAATTAGATGTCAGATATAATTCGATCGTATCGTATATTTCCATCAAAATAGACTGGTCTATCTCGGATTTAAATTCGTAGATCAAAAATGCATATGCAGTAATGGTGGCGCTAACCATATACTGAGACTCACCAATCAAACCAGCAGAGATGATCTTGAAGAACTCAGTTACTGAAGACTGCTGATCCGGGGTATCATCTGGATAGCCTTCAATATCAGCTAATCTAATTATACCATCTGGAGATGCCATCTTCTTGGCCATGTGAATCAAAGTGTCAAACGAGGCTTCTCTAGACTTCTCATTGACATCTTTTGTAGACAAAATAACCTCAGGTATTATTCTAACAATAAAATGGAGATGGTCGTGTGGCAGCAAATTCACCAAGATTTTGATGGCCTGTAATCTGGTAGCCTTAGCAGCAGTTTGAACAGTATTGGAGTTATCTAACATGATTTGTTCTATGTCTCCGACAAAGTTGGCAACAGCACTAGAACCACTTTCAATTTCAGCAATTCTTGTTATAATACGATAAGCTCTCTTCTGGATAAGAGCGTTATTCGATTTGACCGTAATTCCAAAAATCGAGAACAATGCTGAATAGGAAGTAGCCGGTAGGTATTTTGTCATACAGACGACAAAATCCAGTAGGGTGGCAGTGACTTGTGGCTTACCCTTTTCATGTTGTGTACTTTCCTTTTCCATGGCATCCTTTAGAAGAGTACAAACATTGTTGAAAGTTTTTTCCAAATCTTCTGGCTTGGAGATCTTAAAATACACTTCAATAGTCTCCATGATATAACCTCTTGAGTTTGGAGCGGTTTCTGTATAAACATTGAACAACACAGCCAAGATGTTGGAGGACATGTTGGCCAAGTATTCCAAGTTCTTCTTAGCCTCTTCAACAGGGAAATGTTGCTGCAGGAGAACATCATCAGATAATGATCCATTTACGTATAGTTCATTGCTTTCAACTAAAACTTTTAGGGCATGACATAAAGTTGTTCTCAAACCAACCTCGCTGTAAAGTAGAGAAGAAATATCAGAGGCAAATTGGGTAGTGAAGGATTCTTGCAAATCAGTTGGAAGTTCACAAAAATGTGGAAATGTAGACCAAAGTTGATCCACGATCGTTTGATACAGCCTCAACTGAACAGACTCCTTTGGAAGACTTCCAAACATTGACTCAAAGTGCTTGATCAATGGCATCATTTCCTCAGAAAAAATTGACAACTTAGCATTTCTAGTATGGTCTCTGATCAAAGGAATCATCCAAGCTCTACCAGGTTGATCATCAGAAGGATTCTGTAGATTTAAAGGCATATAATGTAAAACTTGATCTGGACCAATACTTGAAATTGCTGAACCGATGACATGCTCGGCTTCATTTCTCAATTCCAAGTAGTTTTCTTCATTAACTCTCCATTTATCTACCACCAACAGAGGCTTGATCAAGTAAGGAGAAGATCTATATCTCAATTTAACGAACAATGAAGCAAAGACGTTAAGAACCTCCTTTGCGCAATGAATGAACTTAATCGAGAGGAAGTCTTCCATTATTTTAGATAACTCCTGGATGACTTTATTGATGGCTTGGTCGTGTTGCTCGGACACAGCAGGTGGGAACAGTAGTTGGTCATTTTTGATAGCGTCTGAAATAATAGCCATCAGACAGTTAGATGCACTAATGTATATCTCAGTAGTTTCACTAGCCATGTAATGTGCCATAATTCTGAAGACTTCCGGTATCTTTTGGAAACATTTTAGGGGCTGATGAACTGCATATGTTGACATGGCCTTCACTACAACAGCAATCCATGCACCAGCTAAATGTGTGTCAGCATTTGATGGTTTCAAAGTAAATATAGTGTCCAACACTCTTAAGAACTTGTTGTCTGCAAGGCCTGAGGTGACAGTTGACTCTGCCATAGATTTGAACAACACCTCAAAACATTCGAAAGAAGCAGAGACCAAGTACTGATCAGAACTCTTTGTAACTTCTAGTAATGAGTCACAAAGAGGTTCGATCTTAGTGGCAGGCCATTGACCAGTAGATACCACTGCATTTATCAATCTCAACGCTCTTATAATCCTGGAGCTGAATTCTTCCATTGTACCCTTAGCCTTCAATTTCTTGTTAGACATAGTTGACAGTTCTTGAAGGATCGATATGAGAGAGTTTAGAGAGTAGTCTACAATAGTACCAGCGGCAACATGTTGGGCCGTTGGAGCCGGTGGAGGGTTATTAAGGATATTAGATATAGAATCCAATGCTCTCTTTCTGACCTTAGGTCTTGGGTCAGTGCTCAACTCCAATAGACCTTGTAGACCTCTTCTTGGTGTGATTGCTAGATCGTGAGTGTTATTCCACGCCTGTGCATCCTGAGCAATTAGTAAGGCTTCCAAACAACCGATGGCGGATCTGATCAATGGTGCCTCTGCAGCCTCATCAGTAATGCATGGTGCAATCTTAGTTAGAATTTCAGCAAACTGTTTCCTAAGAAGTGACTTAGGACAATAGTGGAAGACCATGTCTAGAATGTAAGCAACAGAAGTCGTCAACTTCAAGTCCTTGATGGCGTGCGTCTCTCTATCGGTAGCTTGATCCAGCAGTGTCATCAAAGTGACCATATACTGAACAATATTCTTAGACAGATCATTAGTGGTATCAATTTGCTCTTCAACAGCACTTAGTATGATAGCTACATGTTTTTGATTGTCAAGCTTAGAATTTAACTGAGCCCTCACTTTAGCCAGCTTGTCCTCCAGCTCCATCCAATAGGCAGCTTGTTCAGGATCCATTGTACACCTTCTTGCTTCTAATACACTTAGACCAAGAATTATAGCGAGATCCCATTCAAAAATACTCTTCTGTTATATTGTAGAGCCCATTATTATGCTATATTTTGCGATGAGCTCATCGCGATGAGCTCTGGTGCTAAAGTGGGAGGACACACAAAAATCCGGCAGACATCAAAAAAATTTCAAAATTTCTGAAAAATTTTCCATCGTGCTGTGATACTATGCATGTGACTAGAGGAAAGTTGCTCCCTTCGAAGCCATAAAGCTCTTGACATTCACGACTGGCTCACAGCAGTAGATTTGTATAAGATATTGGACTCGCAGAAGGTGGTGGTATTTGACAGATATTAACCGCTAAAGAGGATCAGTGAAACAAAGATATCATGGCTTGTGGGCTTGTGCGGATTAGATTGGCCAGATTTGGAAGAGTTAATTCTCCGTTGTACAACATAGTTGTTGCTAGATCGCATAAGGCTAGAGATGCAAAACCTATTGAAGTGTTGGGGACATACAATCCTGTTCCGAAGCCTCTGAAGAAGAGCGAGGTCAAGAAAGGAGTGATACCAACCAAGGAAGTCGCTTTGGACTTCGATAGAGCTAAGTATTGGATTGGTGTTGGTGCACAACCTAGTGACACTGTGGTGAGGTTATTTCAAAAAGCTGGTATTCTGGGACCAGAATGGGGTAATAAAAAGAGTACACTACAAGAAAGACCTACAATACAACCAAGAAAGGAATTACTAGAATAATCGGTCCAAAAGAAAAGCAACGAAAAGAGACAATCCAATAGATGTTATTCATTCGATATCTTTTCTCTCATGCAATCCTCTGGTAAGGATTCCATAGATCATGTATATAATTGTGAACAAAAAATTACCTTTTAAGCTTGTGAATGAACTTATCACATTAAGTTTCACTTGATATGAAATTACTATCATATTCGCTAAGCCATGCTGTCATGGCAACATAAATAATGTATATATATTAACCACCAATAAAGCAATACTAATATGAATAGAAGGCGAAAGATGAATTCTTCCAAGTAGAGAATTTGGCATTTATTCTAATGAATTCAAATTTATATAGTACATCCGTAAAAAAGGTATATCGTCATAATGTAGTAGTAAAATCAGTGGATGAAAACGGTATCATTCTTTCCTGTTACACGACTAAGTGGCTTTAAAGTCTAAATAGAAATTCAGAGTTACTTCAAAAACACTAATCCAACATAGTTAGCACTGAATATTAACTAATTACAAAGTTTTCATTGCTCAAAGGCTATGAACTCATGTAAAAGCTCGAATCGTAACGTTTTATCATGAAAACTATTGTGTCATTATAGTTAATAGAAATACGGGATGATAAATAACAACACCCCTATTAAACCAATAAAAAAAATCACCATGCTGTAGTTGAATAAAGAATAAAAAATGCGGTATCGGGATAAAGTTCATATTTAACTCATACCATGACCTTTATATTATTTGTTATCATTTACACAACAGTGTGTAATAGAATTAGAAATAGCAGCTTAGCACAGCACGAGTTATACTTTAATAACCCATTGGCTATAGCCCATTTATTTTCAATTCGAACAAATATTAATGAGAAACACATAGATTCTCCTAAGGTCATCAATATGATTAAGAAGTCGTAACAAATAAAATTAAAGTTAAGCTGTTCACAGAATCAGCTTCAGCGTATAATATAGGGGTAGTAAGTGGATCTTTTAACCAGTAGTTAACATTACCTTTTCAGTCTCAAACCGTCTATCCTCCTCTTGAAGATATCAGGTATAGATAAAGTAGAATCCTCAGGGATATTAAGTGAGGATGGCAGTGGAGAAAGTGTACTACTACGTTGTCTCGTTATCACATTTGCAGGGTTAGCAAAATTGAAGTTGACATTATCCATGCCCGTTGGCGTGCATACAAAATTGGCAGAGTTGATATTGGCATTGTTACCATTGTAATTGGTCATCGTAGAGTTATTCTGGTTAGCCATCTGAGCAAAATTATAGTTGAAATAATCAACACTTGCCTTATCGTTGCCTAATGCAAACCCGTTCTGGTTGTTTCCGAATTGGTTAGGAGCAGTGGTAGAGTTTCCTCCAAGCATTTCAAACATAGGGGCTGCCGGAGGCAAAGAGGAAAATGATGCATTTCTAGATAGGTATCCATCTTTTCTCACCTCTTGTAGCAGTCTGTGCCTCACCAAGGTTAACAGCCAGCTGTTCTTTTCATACCCTATTTCCACTTCGCGCGTAGCAGCGGAGTCTATGGCAACCTTTGCCACTCTGTTGAGTATTGCGGAAGGCGGGTTGACAGTGTCGAACGGCGTCACGGTAGGGTCCATGCATATCACTTGGTAGGCTTCCATCAGCAAGTTGATAAATTGTGGTGTGAAGTTAGCGTTACCACCGGAAACACCATTTAAAGGGGTATTAGATAAAGCTTGCTGTCTTAGCGAGTAATTCATCGGAAAGTCAGAGACGGAGCTAGCCAAGGAGGAGTTACTATTCTGTCTTGTTCTTGAAGAGGTCAAGTACGGTGGCAAAGGTGCTATTGGCGCCATTGATTTACCATTTTTGAAGCCCAGCCCACCGTTCACATTATTATTCGTGATTATCCCGTTAACCGGGGTCATCATAGGGGTATGAAGATCTCGCAGGTCTTCGTAGTCACCATATTGCATAGGCTGCGGTTGCTCTATATTAGACATAGTCATTATAGTATAGTGTATGTATCTGTCCTTTATCTTCCGTTTCAATCAAATAATTTTAGAATAGAAGTAGAGAAGTCTTCTTAAAAATCTGGAATACCCTTTTTAATAAGTGTATCCTATAATATTCTGTTTAATGTGATACTAATTACGAGTTCCCCAATCAAGAAATTAGCTTCCCTTTTATATAGTATTAACGTAAATTACCCAAAGAGAAAAGTATAGAGAAAGGGTTCCCTCGTTTCCAAGTTTTTCCTACTATTGCGTGTTCCAATATTTTTTTCCTTTTCGTGGAATTAGAAATTAGACTTCTACAACAAGTATTTCTGTACCTTCTTTTCTAGTTACTCCATCTTTCATTGTCCCAAGTCCATCTAAAGAAGCATAGTTTAGCAAACATTACAACTTTGCTTCGATTGCCTTGCAAATGGAAGCCCCTTTTGAGCACAAAAAATTCTCGCGAAAACGCGTGCTGCGAGTATTTCCATTTCATAAGTGGAGGACGGCACTTGATTCTTGGGAGACACCTCTCTTAGGACTTCCTTCGGGGGGGATGGAAGGATGGAAGAGAACTCGGAATTTCGATTTCCAATTCTCTGCAAAGAACCCATGAATCATCCGCAAGTCCAAATGGAAGGAAACCCGATGCTTGGACTCTCCCAGTTGCAGAAGGAAAGCGGAAAAACTCTTTTGGTTCTTCCGCCGTCTAGTTTCCGTGCGCTACGGGGGAGGGGGGGGGATAGAATAACTCTTGGGTGTAAGAACACAGTGTGCGAGATCTCCTTTGTGCTCTACTCTCTTGCAACCGTTCTTGCAGAAGACAGGGTATAACTGAGTTTGTCATGGCTACTGTGCAGTCTTAGGATGTGGTGGGGGAGGCCCCTATCCGTCTCCGTGATTTCTCTATGTTTCATATTCCATGTATTGTACAATTAATGAAACAAAAGGCACAACTGCGAACTTATTCATAAGCGGGACATAAAATGCCGCAGGTGCTTCAAAGGACCAGGCAAAGAAAAGTATTAATTACCGTTTTGGGAAATTAAAATCTCTGATTCTCGAGGACGTGTTAGTCGTACTTCCAAAAGAGGAAATCGTGGACATGTGAATGATTTACTGTTTTCTACTACGGGGTTTCATTGTTACCAGGGCTAGGACCAGATGAAAAGTGGGGGCTGCTGGTTTTGGTGTCTCATAGTGCTACACTTAACTGTTAGCTTAAGCGACTGCTAATGTGTGTGTGGGGGGGGGGGGGGGGGGCTAAAGGTAAGACCGCTCTGTTTACAGTGTTTACGGTTACAGTGGGCATATACCTAATCAAAGGGGAAAGCCAGCATTTGATAGGGGGGGTGGTATCAAATGATTAACGTAAGACTCAGTGTTAATGCAACTGTACATATCCCACTTATTACATAATGGCTGTCTATCAACACAATAGAATATGTAACGAACTGTTTAACCTGGGTTGAGAACAAGGCAGTTGCAAGATGATAAAAGTCCAGAACATTTCTGTTTATAATTTCATTAATGAATCCAAAGGATAAATGCTGCCCTGAATTACATTCATTAAATTGTTGAGCGCATTGTTATTCTTGTTATTTTTTTTTTTTGGCAACAATGCAGATGCAGCCATTCATAATGAGCAACATCTTTTAGTCAAAGTTTACAACACTTGAATACTAGAACAGAAAAGACATGCATTCAATTCAACCATACTTGATTAAACGAGCTCTGCTGCTCCAACTTCTTCCATATTTTGCCAATTCTTGCAACCAATCCTGTCTTATTTGACAACATTATCCCTATTATCCACAAATAGGAAATCAAGTAATCAACCTTGAAAATTTTCAAGGTAAGAAAAGCCAAAGACAATAGAGAAACAAGAAAGAGATTGTGATGTGAAACTGCGCTTGGCGGTCAAATATTTACCTAATATGGTTGCCAGATCAGCGATTGGTAGCAAATGCATATTACATGACTCCGTGGCCAAGCTGGTTAAGGCGTGCGACTGTTAATCGCAAGATCGTGAGTTCAATCCTCACCGGGGTCGGTATCTTTTTTTTTCCCGCCTTGTGCCAGAATGTCCTTTTCTTCAAAGGCGAAGAAATTTAAGTTTTTCCGGCATTTCTACAGAAACCAAAGATCCGTTCTATGCATAATTAATTTTTGTTTTTTCTTCTATAGTCAGACCCTAGGCACATCCCCGTCGGCTTTTCTTGCATACCTATTTCCTCGAGTTTTTCCGTTAAACATGTAAATCATAGTTATTAAAAAAGAAGTATGAACCTTTGTTAAAGAGCAAGTTGATTTCATTTAAAATAGGACAGTCGTCTCATTTAGATGGTCAAATACTGACGGGACCAGCGTCGCAACCCAAAAGATAATGGAACAGGTTAAGGTAGTTGCAGAACACTTGAAGAAGTATCCTAGTAGTAAAGTTATTTTCTTGGTTGGTGCAGGTATATCAACTTCGAGTGGTATACCTGATTTCAGGTCACCAAAGACTGGATTATACCATAACTTATCCAAATTGAAGTTACCTTATGCAGAAGCAGTTTTTGATATTGAATACTACCAGGAGAACCCCCAGCCCTTTTATTTGCTGGCTGATGAATTATATCCTGGTAATTTCAAACCTTCAAAATTCCACTACCTGATGAAGGTGTTGGAGAAAAACGGTAGATTGCGCCGAGTGTACACGCAGAACATTGACACTCTGGAAAGAGAAGCAGGTATACCTGATGACTATCTGGTAGAAGCCCATGGTAGTTTTGCCAAGAATCATTGCATCGGGTGTGACAAGGAGTTCCCGCTCGACGATTTTAAGAAAGCTCTATTGAGATATAACAAGTATAAAATGAAACATAATAACGACATGAAAGAGTTTGAATATTTGAGATGCCCTGAATGTGAAGCATTGATTAAGCCAAAGATTGTCTTTTTTGGAGAAAACTTACCAAAGCGTTTCTTTGATTCATGGGATACCGACTTGGAATGGTTAGAAGAAGAGAGCAATAGCATAGTCATAGTGGCTGGTACATCTTTGACTGTATACCCATTTGCCTCTTTACCTAATGATGTGCCCAATAACGTGCGCAGGGTACTATGTAATTTGGATGTTGTGGGTGATTTTCTGACATCCCCAAGAGATATGGATTTGAAGTTTTCCGAACATACTGATGACTTCGCAAACCAGCTTGTAAAGGAATTAGGATGGGATAAAGAATTAGAGAAACTCTCATTATCACATGGAAAGGAAAGTATAATGGAGAATGAAGTAGATAATGTAATTGAGGAGATTAAGCAATTATCTTTGGATAATAATAATACTTCACTGAAAAATGATGGAAACGCTGATAGTGAAAAGCATGAGGATAAGGCTTCGATTAAAGGTGACGACAACCAAAAAGACATGAATAAGGATACCCACACAACAGAAAAGGTCAGAGATAAGAAGTCCATTGATGAGAAACTCTAAATTTGTTTAATCCTAAATGGTATTATCCGCTGGTATGGAATGGAAGTTCAGTTTTGTTTGGGTAATTCCATCATATATTAGATAAGCACTCCTTTACTAAAAAAGAAATAGAATATTCTTGTTCCTATATGGGTATTGCAATTGGGGAGGAGCGTAATGAAGCTTCTATAACGAATAGTCTGTTTGTATTGAATTAAATACATATACGATATTAGTGCATAGTAATTATTTAACCAATCCTTACTTTAACGAATCGCTTAAGATTAGGTGGCCGATATATGTTCTCATTGAAACTGCTTCTTTGTAGTCATATTGTAATTCATTTTCTTTGCTTAAGTACAAGGTGTTCATACAAACATATATTCCACAATCGTAACCATTCGGTTGCTGAGGTGATTGTAAATGTACAAGCTCAAAGTCGTCACCAAGTTCTTTCTGACTCTCTTGGATAACATAATTCTTTAAATCAGCTAAAATCGCAAAACTCATGGCGTTCGGACCATTTGATAAGGAATCAGCAAATATTATGCGCTTGTTTTCTATATCTATCATGCCCAATGCCCAATGTGATTGGTTCAAATTAACAGGAACAAATATTTTATCAAGTTTAGCAATTTGTTTCTTCTTCCTCTTCATCCATCTTCTTACACCTTGGTAGCCTCTCTCGGACAGCGTGGTATAGAAAAATGAGTTGAAGGCAACAATATTTGCATTACTCTTTTCAATATTTTTCATGAAGAACTCAATAATAGTATCATTTAGCCATCTTGCTTTTCCAAGGGTCTTAAAATCTCTAACAAATATTTCAAGATTTTCTCTATTCATCAGAAGACCATTATCGCTTCTCTGTAAAACTTTCTTGACTTCGTCAACTTCTTTCTGGGTAAGATTCGGCACCAATCTTTCAGACTTTTGCTTACTTCTATTTTCTATCTGTATTTTTCTCCTTTCCTCTTGCAATTTTTTATAGCTAATATGTTCTCTATCAAAGATTAGTTTCATTTGATTGAATTTCGTCCTTTGTCTTTCAAATTCTTGCCTCTTTTTGTCAAGCTCTGAAACGTTCTTCTCCTTTAGTATTATTAGATCATCATTTCTCGCCCTCGGAAGAGTTTCTTTTAGAATAGAGCTAATACGATTCGTTAGTTCCGAGACAGATGCCCTCAACATAGCATCACGACCTCGGTCATCATGTAATAATTTCAGTTGCCTCTCTCTCTCTAGTTTAATTGTTTCCGGAAGGTCATATTCACCATTATAGATCATTCTCAAATATTCAAATTCTTTGCCAACATCATTCGACGTTCCGATTCTAATAGAGGCAGTCTGGGAGCTTCTCTTCGTTTTTGTATATTTGACAAATTGAGTACCATATTGACTTTTAGTGGATGTGCTTGCTTTATTTCCAGACCTTTTACTACTTGTTGGTAACTCACATTCCCATTCGTGCCATTGGTAAGGATGGTTTTTAGAAAAGCTTAGTAGTCTAGGCATCATATTTGCCGAGGGTGGATCAAAGAATGGCATAGATTTATGGTCAACGCAATTTAGCTTTCTTGATTTTGTTTTAGTTTTATCCATCAGAGATTCCTGATTCGTTCGCTTATGACCTATTGGCGACTCGCTGTTTATAGTTCCACTTGAATTACTTGATAATGATCTTTCCTGTCCTGTACTACTATCTATACTTGAGATATCTTCAGTACTCTTATTATTGTCATCAGTATCATTCTTGGACGATCCCATTACATTACTTATCCACCGTAAAATCCTAGTTGCTCTATTCATGCTCTCACCATTGCTTCCTTTAAGATTTGAACATTTTCTTTCTTCCATATTTAAGTTCGATGCTACCCTTCCAGAGGCTTTATTAACGTTCTTCTTTAAGTTCCGCTTCCTACTAAATACAGTATTTGAGTCGCTCATAACCCTCGCAGTGAGAATGGTACCATAAATCGGCGTGTACTCTTTGCTGCTTCTCTCTAATGTATGCAAATCTACTGACATGGGCTTCAACTGTCCTTCAAAGCACTATAACTGCTTTGCCTAAAAGCCTTCTAGTTAAGCGCTTACTTCTGATTACTTGGCTGTGCTATAAGGATGTTAACAAACATTTAAATCTGAAGATAGCTAATTTTAATTCTTTTGACATTCTCATCTCAACATTAAGCCAGCCCTCTTATTTCTTTCAGTCGATACAATCGGAACAACCAAAATGTAAAAAAATGATAATAGCAATGGGTAATATAATTCTGAGTAACATGACTACAATCAAAAGCTAAATATATGCTATGTTATTATATGTATGGGGTTTATAGCTAACGGTAATATTAAATGTCACAGTTTAATCATGCATAATAACTTCTCCAGAGAACACCTTCTAAGTCTTCTAATTCTGTAGATGTAAAAGACAATCTATCGAAATGCCATGTATCTGCACGCACTTTCTTAAACTCATTTATTGTATTCTTAGCAGCCATACCAGATATACCATTTGTCCTTGCCCAGGAAGATATTGTGCTCAGCTGCTTTGGTATCCACTTAGGAAGAGGAAACACATATGGGAAGGCAGAGATGATAGCACCCAGACCCAATATATTACCGTGAATGACAGGGTCATTTTTTGATAATTCTTTTTTTATTTCCCACGGATGGGAGCCTAAGCCTTTTTCAAAGGAGTTAATTAACGTCACCAGATCATTCTCTTTCAAATTATGAACAATATCAGATAGTACCGCTGCTGCTTTAATTCTTACTTCCACGAAGTCCGAATTATACAGATTCTCAGTGACAAACGTTAGAATTCTATTACTCTCATCAGAAGACAACTGCAGTAATTGATTTGAAAAAAAATGCTGCATGAACGACAATTGAATTTGTAGTAAGTAAGAGGAATCATTTTGCTGTTTATCACACAGTGCATTAATTACAGGGGTTAGATCACTTATTCTATAGGGCATGTAAGCAAGTCCAACGTAAAGCTTTTTTAAGTCCAAACCAGAAAGTTTACTCAATTCCTTTTGTCTGATTAACGAGACTAGAAATGGAATAACAATTTCAGAAATGTAAGGTATCAATAAAACTCTATTTGGTCCTCTAGCCATTTCTCTAATCCAATAATAAAGTGTGGATGCAATGTAGTAATACCTGGATTTAATTAGTTTTTGGCTTGAAAGAGTTCTATCAAGACTATGATACTCGTTGTCTAATAATGCGAATTTGTCTCTGATGAAATTGTCGATATCATCTGGAATAGATTTTAATGGAACCCCTAAACCACCATATTTATTGAAGTTGACTTCAAGTAGCTTTTGAGCTGAAGAATAAGATGGACAACTCTTATTTTGGACAAGAGTTGCAAATAACTTAGCAATAGATTCTCTCACATGTTCATAAGGATGATCAAATACTAAGTTCAATAATTCTTTTTCGGCATCTGGGCTTCTATACTCCAAACCGATAAGGAAGCTCCTAAACATTTGAATTTTGAACACCTGATCAGTTGCTGCATCAGAATCAGTACTCAATGTTTCAGTAAATTTCCTAAAAACATCATAGAGTGGTGGGCACCTCCTGATATCTACAACAGTTGGTAACCACCAGGTAAGTGTGCTCCATATCTCAAAGGCATCATGATTCAACTCTGCGCCTAGTTTCTGGTTCAAAAACTTTTCTAAAAACCGATCTCTTTTACCAATCATCTCTGGTACCATATACTTAGTACCAGTTATCAAACCTGCTACTATTTCAACAGACATTATCATCGATGGTTTGTCGTTAGTGTCATAGATATCATTACACAAACCAAAGATATCTTCAACTTGTAAACCACAGAAACCATTATTAATCAGCAAAAGCAAGAAGGAAAAAAAGGAGACATTACCACTGCTGAATACGCCTCTATTTTCATTATCATGAATTAGATGTGTACAGACTTCATGTAACCAACTCTTTGTCAGGATAGACCCAATCATTTTCAGAGTTTCAGCCTCCGATGGTTCCAAACTCAATTGAATAGGTATAGTCTTCATAACTTTCATTTCTGCTCCCCAACATAACCAGCCTACATATGACCGGGAATCAATATAATAAGAGGGCTTCGTAAAATTCCCAACTTCATCGGTAAATTGGACTTGAGCATCTAAGTTGTCTGTAGCAATTTTTTCAATATACCCTGGATCAAAAGTACTTTCATAGGCTTTGCTTATATCATACTGATAATCAGACATGGATAAAATCTTATTGGCAATTCCCAGGATGGACTTTATAATTAAGTGAATCATTTGTGGATGACGAGTATCAGTTTGGTTCAAAACAGCCTCTACATATACACTTTCAGGCTGAGTTTCTAAACTTGACTGCAACTTCGTAATATATTGCACCACAAACATTGGTATTTTCCAACCTAAATCCTTGTTATTTTCAATGTATGCTATAAACTTCCGTTGTAGTCCCGTTAATAAGTCTAAGAAGTAAGCCCTTTTCCTTTCTTTTGCTAATTTTACTGCTTCTACTTGGAGATGTATAAACTCTTCTGGCGGTTCGATAGGTTTATAGGAATGCATGTTTAACACACATACGCTGGATGGGATTTTAACACCCTTACCAATGGATAATAGAAACTGTTCCGCATACACAGCGATTTCTAATTCATTAATTTTACAACAGTCAATGAGAAGGAATAACAATCTTTCTAGGTTCTTGTAGTCTGACATTAGCTTTCTGTATATTTTCTTGACTAACAGTAGCTTCAAAATGACTTCAATCTTCATATGATCGGCTAATTTTATCGAAGTTTCCAAACTGTCAAGAATCACATTCAAAACTGTATGGTATGACCCAACAATTTGTTTCATACAGTAAACTAAGGTCGTTTGTGCAGACGTGAATATGTCAGGATAAATTGAAATTGACAAATGTATTATATCACGTAACAAAATGTTCTCCAGTGCAGATGGTATTCTAGTAGTTGATTGAAGAAGAACACGGCTTTGATGAAAGTAATCTGACTTCACTGCTAAGCAAGTACGTGTAAAAGGTTCTTCAAGATGTGATAAGCTTTGAATATTTTCCAGAAAGTCTAAATCTAAAAATGCATTTGGCTCCTCATTAAAGATAACCTCTCTTCCTACGTCTGCAAACCAAACCTTCATACCATGAAGCAGAATTTGAAACATACTCGTATTGTTTTCGAAGTGTTTACCCAAAAATAGATATAAGTTATGGAAAAAACTACCAATTTGTGCCCTTAATTTATGGATATGTAGATACTGAGGGTCATTAAATCTTTCCTCCTCCTTATTTCCAAAGTAATAATTACTTTTATAAATGTCGATTTCCCTAAATGTATTTTCAAATGGTATACCTTGCGTATGGCTTTCAGTACCAAATGATGGAGTTACAGGACCCGAGGGAACCTCGGAAGTAATCGAGTCTTCCATTATCAAATTCGTTTCTTCTGAACTTATGTGAATAGAATCATCTGATGTAGATTCAACAGCTAAATTTTTTTCAGGGTGAGGTTCTAAACTAATTTCTTTAGTCTGTTCTTTGGAATCGTCCTGTTGATTCTGGAAGTTAGCTAGCTTCTCATCCATATATTTCCAACCGGTACTTTTAGAGAGCTGTCTGTTATAGTCAGGATCAAACAATAAACTTGAACCGGATAAAGCATGCGTGATGATCAGTACATATTTCTGTATCTTATCCCCGTAAACCGTATCAGTAGACGGTTCTTTCTTCAAATCATCAACTGCTTTATGACAGCATTCGACCATCTTATCTACCAGTTCAATAGCAAAATCAACTTCATCTCTACTTGGAACATGCCATGTAAAATCGAGGTTGTGGGATTGGTATTTACGGTTGTCAAATTGTAGACCACCCCACATTTCACTTAGATCAAGATCACAGTACTGAGAAAACAATCTAGTGTCAACAAGTTCCGTTGTAGTCAAAGAAGATAACGTATTGTGAAGTAATATAGAAGTCATAACGTCAAGTGGAGGGTTTGTGATTTCTTCAAAAATAAATTCGAAGAATTCCATCAATTGTTTGCCGTACTCAAGAATTGATGCATGCGATTGTCTTAGGACATCATTTAAGGTACTTAAATATAATACCAACTTCACGTCCCTCAATTGAATCTCCGATGCGCTTCTTATTGAACCGGCTCCTCTCTCCACCTGCAGCTTTATGTTATTGATGAGAGAAATCACAAGCTCTTTGCTTCTTTTCGAATCTCTCTTTATTATTGCTGCTAGCGGAATTGAAATTATTTCATAATTGGGATTTTTTTCTTTAAAAGAGTCATTTTCCCAAAACATCCTTATCATTAAATCAGCGTAATAAGAAAATAGAAAATCATCCATAGAATCCTGCATGATCATAGCTGTCTGATTAATTTTCGTAATCAAACGATCTTCTAAGTCGACGTCAACTAATTGATACAATTTATCCACAAAAATTTTGAGAATGTTTTCGAATGCCGTTGTCGAGGCTTTAAATGCCTTATCAAGGAATTCTGGTTCATATTCAAACAAGGAACCCGCTGCTGCTGTTTTCAAATAGTAATAATGTTGTTCAATGAAAGGTATAGTATGTGATTCGAATGACAGTATCTCTTCTTTAGATTCAAATGTCTTCAGTGGTATGAAAGAAACAATGGAAACAATACCATTTATAAGATTGCTGGTTAATTGAACATCATTCAAATCAATTTTTGAAACAAGGATCAGTAATATGTTTGAAATATGTGTCCGATATAATGGATCCTCCGCCATAAATCTTACTACCCTCGTAAATTGTTTCAGAGAGGCGATTGTTCTATGTCTCGAATTGATATATTCACCGCCTAATGAGTCATATAAGTCAAGTATTACGCCATCATAAATTTGACTGCTATTTGGCGGTTGAGTGCTTAATAGGTATGCTAACGAGGAAATATAAGAGTTAGTAATATCTGAATTTTTATTCTGAGAACCAATTTTGATAAGAGGAAGAAAGATATCAACAATATCTCCATGGATATCACCATTCAGAAATATCGATGATTTTATGTCTTCAAGAACCATTTTTTTTTCCTTCATCACTCTTCCGTGATACATTTTAATAAAACCATGAATAAATTTTGAGATTGGTTTAGTCCAGAAACCATTGTTAGATGGATGAACAAATGTCTCAATAGATTTGGCTAATTTTTTTAACAGAACTAGAAACGAATCAATGTTGCAGCCATTCATCATATAAACAAAAGGTCTTACAGTTCTGGAATATGAGTGAATTTGACCATCTGTCCTTAAATGACCTTGAAGACTGTTAAACATAAAGGATGCTTGATTTTCGGTAAAAATCCCAAATTCGCCAAAAGAAACTTTATCATTTTCTGTAGGACTATTGTTTGAAATATACTTGTGAACATCCTCTGAAACGTTACCCACTAGGTCATACATATGGGTATCAACAGCAATATTAGCACTAACTGAACTCCACATGCTAAACAGAAAAGTAAAGTAATCTATGATATTAGAGCCTTTCTTATACTGAAACGGAACAAAGGAAGTTATCATTGGCAGTATAGTAGACATAGTAGATGGTGCTAAGCTTGAGAGTAGCTGTGACATGATTTTAGAAAGTAAATCAGTATTCTTTTTATCGTAAAACGGCTTCGCTGCGTGAGCCAGTCTTAAAAGTAATCTAAATAAGAATAAATCATCCTTAGAGGTTAGGTCATATCTTACAAAATCCGAATCAGGATATGGTAGGAACTCACTTAAAAAGTCGTACATGACTTGATGATCGAGTACCAATCCTGAATTCAATAGAAGATCAGTAAAATTTGTACCGTCATCATCAGCATTAACTAATGTTTCAAATATCGATACATGCAGTTGTCTGTAAACCTTTTGTCCTTGTACTAACGATAGATAATAATATACCTTTGCCAATGCCAGTCTAAGTGATAAAGGAAAATCAAAATGCATACAATTTTTCAGCTCATTAGTCCAATAGTTTACATTTATAATATTCAAGGACTTATTAGTGATTTTACCTGTAGCGTTGAAGTCTGGACCTCCAATATCTATAAAATCATTATCATCCAGTTGCTCTTCCAAATCTTCAGTCTCATCGAAATCTCCTATATCATTCGAATGAGATTCAACATCTCCATACCCATTCGAAATCTTAAATAAGTCTGTTTGTAATACTATGCTATCCACCTCATTTCTCAAAGCAGCTAAGTCTTTGCAGCTGATTGGTATCAAACCTTGAATATCTTCCGATGTTATTGACAAATACAGGTTGTACACAACATAACACAAGTATCTTCCTTGATCGAGGTGACTTTCTATTTTGTATGGTAGTGTTTCAACTATTGGAAAGTTAGGTTCGACAGACCGACTGAAATATCTTGACTTAGGGTCGTATATATTTTTGGCATGAATGTTGGCGTCTAAGTTATAATCCAGATTGTAATGTTTCAAACGATTTTCAAATAATTGATCAATCGATAGAGTGGTTCCAGAAGATAAGCTAGACCCTTCTAGTCTTGGTTTCTTGTTTTTCCTTCCTTCATCGGAAGATGAAGATCTCTGGGGCGTCATCAGATCACCTAAGATATTATGCAAACAAACGGACTTTCAATTCCAATTGGAGATGTAATGAAATAATGCAAGCTTGAAAATCTGTAGTTATACAACAGTTCTCAATTAGATTGTAACAATGCAAAGCCTTAAACAAAAGTGCCTATTAACTGATTGATTGCCAATGGGTTGTCTCTTCTAGTTTCAAATAGGCCAAGTCTCAAAGAGCGGCAGCTAATCGATAAGTCGTATTGACACTGGATTTAGTAAGTTAAATCTCAATAGAATAAACTTAGCGGCTTTACTAACCTGTAGGCTGGTCCTAAATACAAAGCTCGAGTGATTGGAATACTCCGATGAGTTCAGCTGGTGCAGTTCTATATTTTTTTTGCGTCTGAAAGTTTTCAAAATTTTTCAATTCACAGAAAATTCCGTGGGAAGAAAATTTCGATGCCCTTAACGCAAAGCTTCGGGGACAATGTCAAACTTGTTATCTAGAGACATATAAATAGCGCATCTTAGAACTGACAGCTAGTCAATTATTTTAATTGTGTGAACATTAGCATAGTGACAACTATTGTCGATTATACTTTGCGCCATTCTATTGCCAAAAAGAGGATTCGAATAATAGAACATCGTTGTGTAATCATGCCAAATTTACAGCAGTTCCTTAAACAATTGCGTACTGTGGAAATTCCACGATTGATAAAACAATCGGTTTCAACCTTGAATATAGTCTGTGGTAATGAATCTGCCGATTTTGATTCTGTTGCTTGTGCCATTTCATATGCCTACTTCGAGCATGCTAAGAGTGCCCAAAATGTTTATGTGCCTATAATCAATATCCCAAAGGAAGACCTTATGATGAGGAGAGATATAATGTTTACTTTGAACAAGCTAGACATCTCACAAGATCTTTTGTTTTTTAGAGAAGACCTTATGGAATATAATAAACAATTCAACACAATCAACGCAGTGATTGTTGATCACAACGAACTTCCAAAACCAACCAAGCAGCTAATAACAGATGTTATTGGTATTATTGATCACCATGCGGATAAGCAATTATATCCGAATGCCAATCCTAGAATTATCACAGTTACTGGAAGCTGTTCATCGCTGGTAACTAACTTCTGGAGTAAAAACTTAGAAAGTAACAAGTACCATGAGGCTCTCAACGACTGTGCACCGCTACTTATTTCTGCTGGTCTTCTAGATACTGCAAATATGAAATATAAAGTTGAGAACCCCGACGTAGAAGCATTCAAACACTATGGTGATTTGAATATTCCTCTATTTACTCAATTCGATAGCGCTTTCCGTGAGTTAAGATCAGCCAAAGACAATATTGATGGTTTGACAGTAAAACAGTTAATCAGGAAGGACTATAAGGAATATGATTTAATCCCTAAGTCTTTGGAATCCAAAAAATTAAACTTTGGTGTGACTTCAATTGTTGAACCGGTAGAGGAACTATTCAAACGTTTCAATAGTAAAGATAATTTTTTCAACAGTTGCTATAAATATAGAGAGGAATATGATTTAGATTGCTTAGTATTACTAACTTCTTGGAATGACCCTAAAGAGGGCAGATTCAGAAGAGAGTTGATCATTATTCCAAAGGATGGTCTTTACGACACTGTCGAAAATTTGTGCAATAATGCCCCCAAATTGGAACTCAAAGTTTTGGATAAAGAAAGCCAGAAGTTTGTAATCTATGAGCAATTCGACTTGAGCTCAAGTAGAAAAAGAATTATGCCTTATCTGCAAGACGTCTACTCAACAATTTAAACACCTTTCATATTTATAAAATCAAAATATCGACACTACAGTACTATTTTAAGTCTTCAACATAAGATCCTACTTAAATATAGAAAACAATAACTTGAGAATCAATGATATATAAATTTCATTGTTTTAGTTTACATAATTTTCTATTATGTTGATAAATGCATTGGCATAATTTCTACAAATCAAAAGTTAGGATGCAAACCCGACTTGCAAATGCTAACTTCAATATTATAACAGCTCCCCTTTAACACTCTCAGTTAGTTATTAGATTCATTATTGTCTTGTGGCTGCTGTTGTTCTTGCCTTAGTCTTTCTTGTCTCTGTTGCTCTTCCTCCATTGACAAACGTAGAGCCATAGCCAACTCTGGGTCCATGGAAGGATCCACACCAAAATCCATTAGTGAAGAATCCATGCCGTTTGCAGCACCGAACCCATCATCATAACCACCCATCCCGCCGTTTTCCAGGATTATTGGAGATGAGGCTATCACTTCGTATAGCAACTTGATATTGTTTGGAGACACGGATAGTAAATGACTAACATCTTCGTTCGAGTCACCTTGAGGGTTACCTTTGTTTGCCAATTCAATGAATTCATTCAGTAATTGTTCATTAGTGTCACTTTCACCAAAATTAATTATATCAATAGCTATATTGTTCTTCTTTAACTTTTTTGCTTGCTTTAACAGGTCGTCTCTGTGTTCTTCAGGTATAGGACTGCAAACAAATGCTATTATTCTTTGATGTTGGACTTTATTTTGACGATGCTTCAAAGTCAATGCTGCTACCTGAATGGCAGTACATAGTTGTATAGACCCTTGAATCAAGGTCTCGTGCAACCCAGACAATATCTTACCGAACTCAGTTGTGAATGTAGAAAGGACTCTTGGATTTTCACCTGCTGAGGACAACAACGCTACTGTATTTTCAGGATTACTGTTCCTCTTGGCCTGGAAGATAAACTCAACTGCATCAATCTGAGCTTCAAATCTTGTCCTTGGGAAATCACCATTTCTGGCATACTCAGAATTATCAACTATCAAAACTGTAGCTTCCAACACCATTTTTATTTTATTGTTTATTTACTTGGAGTAACTTTTGGTTTCCACTTGCTCTTAAAATATGTTATCCTAATATAATAGTGATGCCTTTTTCAATAAACTGTATTGTATTATAGCTTCCCGTTCTATAAGGCCTCGGCTCTAAACTTGTACAAAGACCACACCTATTGCTCGAGAGATGTAAGTGGCCGCTAATAGTCCCCAATTGAAACAGTACTGCACGCCATACATAAACCAATACCAAGTAGGTTTCACGGTATTATTCAAAGAATCCTCTCCCTTTGCTTAAAGCACTGCTCAATGGGAGAGGGATTCATTCCGGAATTGCCACCTGAACGATCCCAATGGACGGCCTCCTCTAAGTGTGTGTGTGTGTGTCTGTGAAAAGAGACACAATGTTCTCCCGCTACATGTGCGGCCATTTGAATGTCTCACATGATACAGGTATTTCAGGATATAGCGGTGCACGAAATGATTGAAATGATATGCCACTGTAACAAAGCCACAACTACCAAAAACAACAACAACAAATCACAATGGTCTCTTGGCCCAGTTGGTTAAGGCACCGTGCTAATAACGCGGGGATCAGCGGTTCGATCCCGCTAGAGACCATTTTATTTTTTTTCACGTATCAATCTTATCTTTTGAGTGTCATTTATGACGTAACTTTTGCTGTTTACCTGATATCAAAAGTCATGTGAACAACCCCCATGCCATTGCAGTTAGTTTTTTTTTTTTCAATTCTTTCTTATTCTATTCCCTCTTTTAAAAGTAGTTTATGAATCATACTTTGCTTGAGGATTACGCATTGCAATTGGGAGTTTTCTACAGTTATTTGTATAGATACGTGCAATACAATTTAGTTGTATAACATCCCTCTGGAAACAAGGTGGAGTCAATGAATGATAAAAATAATAATTGAGGGAAAGTTTATGTGTCTATCTAGGGATAATCATTCTCTACCTGAGCTTTTTATTCCATGGGTGTGATACATCTACTATTCCTAGTTATTAGTAAAAAGATATTTCAATTTTTTATTTGACTCTGTATTCCTACGATTAAGAGGGTATAATAAAATTAGGATAGTAGCTGCTTTGTAGGTATTTCCTTCCGACAAGCGGCTACATTGAATTTATCCTCGAATTTGCAAAGGTTCTTTAGTTCTTCTCCAAGAGAAACTTTTAATAGAAAAAAACTAAAGATCAAGGAAACAAAACGAGAATATTCAAACATTGATAAATATATAATACAAAATGCATTTATTTAGAATACATTAGAAGTAAGGTGGAATAAAAGAAACCTCAAAAAGACAACAACAAATCAAATGGTTCAGAACAAAAATGGGAAGGAATAATTGATAATTGTAGAAACAGCTGGTTTTTCTTGTAAAAACGGAGTAAGCATATCTTTAGTTTGAGTATTAGCTGTAAAAACACTTTATCATGCAAATTATGTGTTATTATCAGTTAAGGGAATAACAGAACGGTAGTATAAGTGCAGTTTTTTTTTAGTACAATTGAAACCAATACTTTGGCTTCATTTTATCAGTTGTAGCAAAATAGAAAAATAAGATAAGATCATTGGGAATTTGATCTTGACTTAGAGCCAGGATGCGATCGTGATCGCGATGAGGATCTCCTCGATCTTTTGATCGCATCGTTATGCCCATTTAGTAGATCATGCCTTGTGACTACGGCATGGCGCTTTTGCCATCTCTCCGATGTCCTGTCTACAGCTTTTTCCTTCTTCCATCCAAAAAATATATCCTTAATCTTCTGTAAAGTCTGATCCATGTAAATGCTGTTATTATTCATAATGAGCTCCAATAATGGTTATTTTAAGTGAGGAGGTTTAATGCACAAACTTCACGTCAGGAAAAGTAGTATGGCAGATCAACTGTGGTATTCTTCAGTATACAACGAGACTACTGAAGGTCAATATCTTTATTACTGTCTTATAGCAAAGAAAATAAATACATAAACAAGACATGCTTATACAATTTGTAAATAACTACTCACATTTTATATAAAATATATGACCTCTTGCAACCAGCATGGATTATAGCTGTGTGAGGAGTTACCAAGGATAGCTTTAGATAAACATAAGAATACTCTCTTCAATAGGCTTACTGCATCAAAACTTGGTTTGAATACTAGAAAAAATGTACAAATATCTTGAAAACTACAGGTCTCTATGGATAAGCTTGTGTTACAAACAAGAACTTGATCAGAAAGGACATAAGAAGTAGGCACAAGCCCTTTATTTTTTTTTAAATTCTTTCAACTAGAGGAAAGTCTCAACAATGGCAGGGGAAGACTATGGTCTTCTGCGCAGAGTTCTGGTATTCTGGCTATCCCTTTCCAATTGAGTGCAAATATATGTGCCAATTGAGCAGAAAACTGAACAGAACACCGAGCTACATACTTGTTCTAATAGAACGGATACTGCTTTCTATACTGTTTTAGCCTCCAATCTCGTGAATTTACGAAAATCTATAGCAATGTAAGAAGACTACTAGAGGAAACTGAACATCAAAAAACGAGGCTTCGTTCAGATACCTGGCACTACGTATAAATGCGAGCGATAGGTGCAGCTAGAGATGTAAATCCAGTTCTAACACGGTTGCTCCAATTCTTAGAGAAGCGAACGATGGAAATATTGACTACTCGAGACAACATTGTAAAAACTAGTAGTTCCACTGTGCTCATTTCAATCAAATCTAGCTGGGTTCCGCCTCTTATCGGTGTGTGCTTCAGGAATCTGAGATATCTGTATGGGATTTTCATAATAAACAAAGGTGATTCACTGGCTTTTCATCTTTTTCTTCGTAAAAGTGGGCTTATACTTGTTGTCTGGTTGTTCGTATCTCGAATGGAACAGTTTATACAAAGAGGTGTAATCCAGTCCTGTGCTAAGATAAACTAATCAGTGCGGGGCTGTTTCTTACCTACATTGACATATACTACTTAGAATTTTTTCCTTTTATGTTTTTTAGCATTTCCTGTTTGAGCAAGATACAAGAATGCGTAATAGTGACACTAAGGTGGTTATATCCGTTTTACGTGTCTTTCCTTATATTTTTCTATTTCTGGTATCTACAACAGCTTGAGTAGGACACCAAACAAGATCGAATTTATGTTCCTTATTAGGTAGTTTGACCTTATTGAGACATTAGCTTTGGATATGGTTTAATATCTGGTCCCAATCCGCCCAGAAAAGGTAATTCAGATCGTTTCAGCATGTCTTGCATCTTTAAAAGATCTAATTTGGGAAGTGAGGCTTTGACCGCATTGAACAGTATACAAATGCATCAATGAAGACGGTCATGTATCAACATAATAACTTGAGCTTTGGTCCAAGCCATGTCTGCTTTGAACCGAGCTTGTAACTTAATATGTTACACAATGTACAGTTATCTAGGTAACTCATGTAAAACCAACTGTAAAAGCATGTATTGACATTTACTCAATGATAAATTGCATACAAATGTAAATCATTACTTCTATTATTAGTATAATTTTTTTATAGTAAACAGAATACATGTCTATGTCAAGCGTTTCAATAATAGTAGATAACGTAAGACCTTGTTATTTCATTCTCTATAAAATTTGCTATTTAACAATAGATAGTTTCCAGTGTACCCGCCATTCAATTACGTATCAAAAGTATCTTCTAGTCACGAGATCAACATCTTTGACCACAAATGAATGCTTTATATCTTTGTCCACATCAACTCTGAGCAATAGTTCCGGATATCTGTCTTTCAGAAACTTTATCAACTCTGCTTGAGTGTGTTGTGAGACCCAGTGGTCATTATCGCTAAACAATAACCACAACTTCGTACCGTTGTCTTTACACTTAGTTAGTAAATTCTCTTGAAAAGCCCAATCATCTCTAATTTCTAGCATTTCATGCGCCGCCAATCCTAACACTTGACGTAACGTTTCCCGTTGGGTTAGTAGCAAGAAAGTACCTAGGATAATATGATATTCATCAAAAGAACATCCCATAGCGAACGAAATTAAGAGCTTTGTCCAATATGCTGGTATAAGCTTGTTAAATATATTCGAGCTGATAAATGATAAGTATTCATTTACATTGGAAATATAGTTGAAAACTCTTGTGAATATCAGACCATGCGATGATTTATGTATGTCTCTTATAGTAGGAGTTATTAGACCAAGTTTAGAGACTCGACCCACTAAATCAGGCGAGCTAACGACATGTTGTGCAATATAAGCACCCACTGAATGCCCCATAATTACAAGCTCCCTGTTGGGATCATTGTTAATCTTATTGATTATATCAATCTTATGTTGTGTTTGTTGCTTCAAGTCATAAATGGGCAATGGATTCTTTCTAAACTTCTTTAATTGGCTCGACTCAATTACGGTACCAGCATGAGATATGCCTAGAATCTCCCAGGTAGGGTTTTTATCATGAACTTTAGCCAAAAATTCCTGATAGTACTCTAACAATCCAGGGTTACCAGGAATCCAAACAAACAATGGTGAACTTTCATCATTATTAGTCACAGTTGGTTTTATATGAATGATACATGTAGGTAATGCCGAATCATGATATCCTTGAACTGACATATGTGACAAAGTTGTACCTTCTATCGGGGTATGACTTCTTTATTTGAGACCTACGTCTACCAACAAACAAACTAAACTGCATTTAAACGAATTAAGATATTGCATGTTAGTTTCGCTTAATTTTTTCAATTTCCCGAGTAATACTGGCCCATCTGTTGTTTTCGAAAAAACTGACAATGGATAAATAACAATAGATAGAGCTTACGAATTATAACTACTGTTTAGCAATATAGTATTTTATAATTTAGTAATTATCTCAGAGTAGCTATTTAGAAATATAAAAAGCGCTATCAAAACTTAAAATACCTTTCATCCACTTTAAGCAGTACTTGAATCTGTTGGGCAAATCATCCCCTTGATGCTGTGATGATGAAAAAAAATACTAAATCAAACTTGTTTTACCATTTCTTTGTCAGTACCAGTTCAATTATCGATAGCATTTAAATCTTTGAGGCTCTGTTCTAAACTTTTTACACAATGTTGATGATAAGATAATTGGAAAGTTTGAAATAACTTAATGAGGCTCAGCAATTCTGAATTCTCCGATACCTCAGTCATCACTTCTACAGCCTCGGTAGTATTAGATACAAATTCATCTTCCAGTTGTTCTAGCAATTGGCCATCAGTAGAAGTCTTACTATCCTCCTTCAAGTCCTCACTGTCCTTGGTATCCTTGGTCTCCTTGGTCTCATCAGCAATTGTTGCATTTGTTTCAGTTTTTTCCTTTGTTTCAACCTTATCATTCGCTGCTTCTTTTTCTTCAGTGTTAGTCTTATTTGCATCCATCGAGGATGGTTTAGTTTCGTCTTCATTACCTAGTTCTTTTGAATCAGTCTGTTTTGATGTTTGTGCTACTTCATATCGCATAGTGTCGAAATTTAGTCTTGATTCTTCTACTTTAGCCCGAAGAGTATGAATTTTTTGGAAATTTTTCTGCAAATAGTCTTCAAGTTTTACATTAAACTCCTTAATCATCATTTGATCCATCTCTGTCTTACTGTCACTTATCTCATAGAAGCAGTCGCTCCATATCTTGAATATCTTGACCAATTCATCAATGTCCTCCTTTTCATCTTCGTCCTTTGTTTCAATAGATTCAAATATTAGTTGTGAATCCTTTCCTGCCCTCGCAATAGCAGAGGCAAAACTAGGAGGACCCTCATGTGAGACTTCTTTGTCGGTTAGAGTTTTTGATGCTTCTGTTCCAGCCTTCTCCACATTGCCATGTTTTGGAATAACGTTCTTTGTCAATTCACTTATGTTGAACCATTCTTTTGTCTGCCACCAGCTGGACAAAGACTCGGATATGTTTGGTGGATAGTCATACCCTTCAATTTCATACGTCTTTGTCACTATCAGGATTCGCTTCAAGACTTTCTCGATAGAGTCACACTTCTTCTCGAGCACAACGTACTGTGGCGGTAGCTTACTGATATCCCTTTCATTGCCAATAGCCTCCTGCAAGAACCTAGTCTTGGCCTTAATCGATAGTTTGGTCTTGGGGTCATTGAATTGCTGTACTAGAGACTGCGTACCTTCTGAGATAGATTGCGTTATCGACTCCAAATTAAACTTGAACATTTCCGCTCTATCCTTAATGAAAAAGGTATTTTGCTACTTTTATTTATTTTATTTTATTCTCAATAATGCTTTAAAAGATGGATCCTTACACTCCGATATTGCATACCCATTAAAGGGCGTCAAATAGAATATGTATGCATCCCAATCCTGTTTTGACCTTTTCCGGTGTGTTGCTAGTTACGATGTGGAAACAATGGAAAATGGACTACACATCACCATCCACGTGAGACGCAAGTTCAATGAGAGCTTCGAATTTAGACTTCTTAGCGGCATAGTCGCACAGCAGTCTCATGCAAGCGGTGGTGTACATTGCCTCAACCACCTCGCTGTTGATCTGGATGTCTCTGCGCAGGAGGACCAACTCCTCCCGGCAATGTCTGTCGTACACTTTTCTCCAGGTATAGTACCCTTCCATCATACTAGTTTGCACATCACTGTAGAATCAAAAGACGTTGTACTGGTACATATTTGTATGTATTGCCGTTATATACCGTTTACACATGGCAATACTATTGCTATGGGATGTGAGTCTAGTGATCCAGATATAACCGCTGCGGATCGAGATTGCCATGGGAAGAACTCCGGCGATTGGAGATGTGGTAAACGCCGATAGAATGCTCCTTCAGTTTAGAACGGACTGTCCATGGAGATGAAATCGAGTCGATGGGGGGGATGAAATAGGGGTGTTGTGAAATATGTACCTCTCTCTGTGGTTTGTGTGTGTGTTTGTGTAAGTCCCTATATAGGTCTGTATGGGCAAATATAGTAAGATGAAGAGCATCCCTGAGTGCCCGGAACGGGTAATACCAAAACAAGGATCGCTTCTGTTCAAAGGGTGGTTTGATGTCTCTGACAAGGACCTGTACGAATGTAAAGTTGTAAGTTCCAAAATAGATTTTCCTACAAACGTCAGCAGCAAAATCTCAGTCACGGAATAATCTGTGTGTGTGTGTGTATTTGATGTTTTGATGTCTCTTCCTCTAGGCCTGTCTGTGCTATGGGTACTCGTATCCCTTAAGGACAGCGCACGCTAAGACGGGGCCGTATAGATTGTATATTTGCCATTCCCGGTTGTGGAACATCCGAGATGATTTTCTCCGAGGATTGTCGGTCTTCTAAAGCGGGAGAAGTACTCAACACATCCCTTATAGTGTTACGGGGAGGATTTTCCCGCGAAGAACCCACCGCACACCTATCCCTTCCTTCTCTCACCCCTTCCCTCAAAATGCCTTATGTCATGCGCACGCAATATTCTGAGAACTCATCCTGTCGCAGAGAATCCGAAATCCTATCCCTATTTCAGTTTTAATTTTGTCTTTTTTTAGTGGGCTCTCAATAAACTCCCTATTACCATATCACAGTACACCACGCACACCAGAGCATTTCCTCTTCGTCATCGCCATTTCCCAAAACGGCATGCCATGCCATCTCTGTACTCTGTACTCTGCACTCTGCACTCTGCACTCTGCACTCTGTACTCTGTACTCTGCACTCTGTACTCTGTATTCTGTGCCTCTGGCTCAAAGAGTTCCACCCGAGAAAGAAATCACCCTCTTTATCCTTCTTCGGATATATGCATCGGCACACGCCATTATCTAAGAAGAAACCCATCCTTCCTGTATAGCCCTCCCCTATTGAGATTTCTCTACTCTTCTGCTATGTGTTTTCTCTCTGGGAAATTTGGGTCTCACAATAACAAACCCACAGAGAGTAACCCACGTAGCACTGACACTATTGGACCAAAAAGAAGTGGTCCCTACAGTGTCTCTCTTCCCTTATACTCTTTTTGATTGCTCCCTTTTCCAATAAACAATAACATTATGAATTGCAAATTAGCTGAAAATACTCAATACAACTACAATACTCAATAAACATAACACTTTACATACAAGAACCTCCTTTTCACCCTTTGCCTAATCATCCTTCCCCGAAAAACCAAATAATAAAGCTAAAGGAGAAAGGAGGAAAGAAAATTTTTTCTCTTTCAATTCATATATAAGCGTTACTTCCTAGGGAACAAGGAATTGGAATTCTATTTTTTTTCCCTCTTCTTCACATAATAGAATTAATCTTTAAATTACATTAAGAAAACAAAACAAAACAAAACACTACACAAGAAAAAAAAATATCATGCTAGCTGTTACTGACAACCTATTACGTATAGTAAACTTCGTGTTTATGGTCATCTGTATTGGTCTAATCTCTGACCTAATCGCTACTAGAGACCGTCACTCCTCCCGTGTCAACTACTGTATGTTCGCTGCCGCTTATGGTATTGCTACAGACTCCCTATACGGTGTGTTCGCTAACTTCTTCGAAATCTTGGCATGGCCTTTGATTTTGTTCACATTGGACTTCTTGAACTTCGCTTTCATGTTGACCGCTGGTTGTGTCTTGGCAGTCGGTATCAGAGCTCACAGCTGTAACAACGCCCACTACAGGGAAAACAACAAGATTATCCAAGGCTCCGAGAGAAGATGCCGTGAATCCCAAGCCGCTGTCGCTTTCTTCTTCTTCTCCATGGCCATCTTCTTGGCTAAGATGATCATGTCTCTATTGAACATCTTCTCCAACGGTGCTTTCGGTACTAAGTTCATCAGAAGAAGAAGAAACAACGCTGAAGTCGGTGTCCCATCCGTCTCTCAAGTTTAAGCCCTAAGTCTGAGTTTTTTTTAGTGGATAGAAATAGTGCTGCCGCACTGTTTCTTTACCCCCCACTCCTCGACTTTAATTTTATTTCTTTTCCCTCTTCGAACAAACCATTTATTTTTAATAAAACAAGCATTTTTATCATGAACATATTCCCCTAACCAAAGAACAATTGTGTTAACCTCATCATATGAAATTATACATGAAACTGAAATACAGAAATTTTACTTTCTAAAGAATTATGCTAGCCGCTATGTCTCATCTGGATGAAAAAAAAAATAAGTATCTTGCAAAAGAAAAGCATTTGTTTTGGTATTTCCCTTCTCATCACTATTTTTTTTATTGCATCCAAAAATTCTTTTGAAAAAAACTTTTGATGAGTCTTTTCTTTTTTTTCATTTCATATGAGATTTTTTATGCCTTAGCTTTTTCTTTTTCTTTTTCTTTTCCATTGTCTTAATTTAATTGTTTGTGATTAACACGGTTGCTTATTTTGTTTTTACTCTAATTTTTTAACCATACCCAATCCCCCCCCCCCCCCCCCCCCAAGAATTGAGAATATCTTTCATGCGAGTACACTTTTTTTTTTTGCTTATTTTCTTTTCTCAATTTAGAAATAACAAAAGTGTATTTCTATTTTATTCGATTCAGTTTCCTGTTAAGTTATTTTATTTGCCTAATAATTATTAACTATCTTTTGTTTTTCTTTTGACTTGTATGTCATGAAAAAAATTGAAGATACAAACATGAATAGGAGATGAAACTTTTTACTCTCCATTACAATTTTCCAATACCTATACTGTATCTCTTTATTCTACTTAACAACCCCACACCCCCTTCTTTTTTCTATAAGTAATAATAATGAATTAATATCATTTTCTATAATTAATAATTTCTCTAACACAATTCTTACTATCAAAATCATATCAATCTACGCAAATGCGAATATGAAAATAATATGTATTTCATGTAACTTTTCTTATGAAATTAATATGTTTATTGCAATAAAATATATCCCTTATTTGAAAAATGCTAGCGAAATGAAGATGGCCTATATGCTTTATGTTACATACAGATTTGTTATACATACGAATGCTTACACATTCTTTTTCACTTTCATAACTTCATATGGCTTTATCCGTTTCACCACATCCCGTGGCACTTTCTCCCACTCGGGGTAATACTCCATCCCCATAATGCTATATGACAAACCCAGCTTGACTTTACTGGGATCAGCCATACGTCGTACACCCATGGTGGATATACCACCGCGGCCTTCGGGCCCATACAGCAACTCGTTCACGGGCTCCTCATCTTTCTTCTGCAACTCATTGCTGCTCTCCCCATAGTAATGCGTCTCCCGCACATTGCTGTGGCACAACAGCGGATTCTCCCTCATAGGGTACAGAATCGGCCTGTACCCGTTGTATAACATGTCCTCGCTCAACAACCGGTTCTCCAAGTACCTCGTCATGGGCACCTTTGGCAGTTTCCTAAATATCTCATTAACACGTTTCATCAGTCTTCGTAGTCGTTTCCACTAAACCAAGAGTACACAAACATAGAAAGTAATATTGCTTTACCTATATATACTTAAAGAAAAAAAATAACTAACTTTATAGTCTTAGTCCTTGATTCCAAAAGGTTATACATATGCTTTTACACATTTACGTGCCTGGTTCCACCCATAGCTTGTAGTCATCGCAAAAGATATATATTGCACACTTGAAAAACCCATTGTTTTAAGGGAGGGGAGAGCCTCCGCTCGGTAATGAAAACATCGGAAAACGGGGTTTTCGCTCTTAAACCGGCTATCCCCCCTCCTCCCATTCCCCTACCTCACATTCAAGCTCTCTCTTGAGCCATTTCCGTCTGTAAAGAACATCGACATAACCACAATAGAGTCGGATCTATCGGTGCACCCTTCCCACTCACAAAGCATGCCCACACACCGTACATGCCGATAGCCCCCCTCCCTCCATCTGACAAGAACAGCCCAGCAAGCTAAGTTTCAGGATAGGTCTAGATGACTATCGGTTTCTGGATCAAACTATGCTAATTTACTCACACATACCAACATAATTGATAAACACATTCTGTATGAGTTATATGCGATGGAGAGAGAGAGGCCGATAACGCAGGCCATTCAAAGTTCTCTGGCCTCTTCTTAATCTAACCGAGAAGCCTGGGTAGAGTACCTATGTACGGTCACACATTTGGGCCTTGTCCGCTGGTAAACTTAGTTTTAACCATGTTTCAAGAACTGGACTATTTGCCATTGACACGGTTCCTGATAGTCGATAGCAGTATGTCACGCTTGGACCGCAGATCAATACAATAGTATTCCAGGTCGTTTTCTGAAGTGGGTATCCCAAGCTGATTCTCTAGCTCCAGCAGTTGCGACTCGACGTCCTCTTGGGCATCGCTATCTATATCCGTATATTTTCCTACTGGAATGCGATCTATATATGTTTGAAACATCTGCTTTCTGTCCTCTAGACTCATATGCTTATACCAAGCTAACATCTTGCTTAGGAATTGTCTTTGTTCAGACTTGGTGGTGTAGTCCTTGATCCTATATTTCTTGATCAACTTCTTGTCCTTGATTATATCTTCTGGTATCGTATCCGGCTTGAGATCATAGTTGGCAACCAACTGTGACAAGTAGTGATACTTAGTGGGCTCAAATTGATCATCACCAGGATCACCGCTTTCTTCATTAGACTCAACAGATCCCGCATTACACCATTCTTCAAATATATTCTCACGCACCGCATCATCTATGATTTTGTAAAACTCCGGATCTTGTGATACTTTCTCACTTTCTATGCGCCATGTAGAGTACTTGTTTAATTCATGTTTCGCAAACAAAGCAAAGTAGCTATCCTTTATGTCTTGCCCGAGTTCCTGGGTGATATCCGGTACTTCTAATGTATTCGTTTCATCAGGCTCTTCAACCACTGCTTGTTCGTCTCGCTTTGCAGGTTCTTCCTCATCATCAGATGAATAATATCCTAACAAGGCATTCTTAGTGTTCTCTAAATTGTTCACTGTGCTACCCGACTTCATATCTTCCGAAGTCTTGGCAGCATTCATATCTTCCCGAATGAAGTCAATGTCTTCACGAATCTCATTAACCAGATCTTTCGCATTGGTTCGACACCTGTAGCCTCGTATAATCCCAATCAGTAACAAAAGCCTGTCCTTATTAAGTAAATCAATTAGCTTGAGACACTCGGGATGACTTATTTTCCTGGACCATTGGCTCTCATTGCAGTTGTAATATTTCTTGGAACCATCTGAAAATATAATAAGAGCCCAGCCAGCCAATAACTCAAAGGCAACTAACGGTTTGATTTCTATCTCTTTGTCTGCAGTCTCGTCCTTTTGCTCCGTATCGGGCTTAGTCCAGGTGGTTTCCTGGGTCTTGGTGTTATAGTAGTACTTTAGTCCATTGGGCGCAGTATACTCCTTCCACAATTTACTTCTGCTCCTTTGCATATTAACCTGTACTAAGGTGAATACTATGGATAATCAAACCACGGAGTAACTTTCTCAGTGAAAGCTTTATATACAGCTTGAAACAATGTGATTAATGCTCATCGCTTTTTGTTTTTGTTTTCCAACTTTTTTTTTTTCATTTCCTAGGTGCTCTTCTCTTAATTAAAAAGCTTAAAATAATAGCCTTCAACAGCTATTAGTTTCACCAAAGTTGAATACCGTCCTTGCACTTGCTGTCCAACAAAAGTTATAACAACAAATATTGATTTGTATTGGATTGCTGCATATTGTTTTGAAACTGTCACCGAAGCACTGTTCGCAAAAGAAAGTTATATATGCTTGAGGAGAAGCTCTGATACAAGAAACAAACGAACACCAAATGAAATCATTCATCACAAGTACTGATGTCCCAATAGGTTACAAGACACCTTCTTTCCCCTCGTTATATTGGCCCATCAACGACCGGCGCTATGACACAGCTTTTCTGTATTTCATAGAGGACATTTGGAAGTTCACATTGTACTGGACTTTCATATTTAATGGAGCATTCTACGGTGGAGCTGGTCTCTATGCAAGTTTGACCCACTGGAAACGCGGTGGAGGCCTGTGGATATTTGGCATATATATGCTATATGCGGGGGTGCAAGGAATGATAATAGGAACTGTGATGGGATTCCTAATCGGTGCAATATACAGAAGTGGACTATTTTCTATGTCTACATGGGTGCCCATGTGCTGTGCAGTGGTCCAGATATTATTGGATGTTACTATGAGTTATTCCATGGTAGGATCAATTATGTGACTCTATTGAAAGCCATTATTTTGAGTTTCTAGCTGTTTGAATTCCAACTTGGTTTACAAAACCATGCAAGTGCTAGAGTACCAGTAATGAATATAACACAAAGTGACAATAAAAATACTGATTTTGGCCTATCAATTGTGCACATATAGGCTTCAACAAGATAAATTTGTCATGCTCCACCAATGTATACTATTTTTTGTTTGTATTCTGACTGATCGCCATTTTCGCCAAGTTAGAAAACGCAGCAACACGGATATGCGTGTTATGAAAAAAATGCAAAAAAAAGATGAGTTGCAAATTATATAAGTAGAGTGGTGCTGCAACGGTGGCTAGATTTGTTCAAGAGCATCAATTAAGCCAAATTATAACCATTCAAACATTGATCAAGACATTAAAATGGAGGAGCATTTGTCTATGGGATCGGTTTTTCCCGTACACTATGGATTGCAGATAGAAATCGACCCTGCTAAGGCTAACTTCAAAGGTGAAGAACAATTGCAATTGAATGTTAGAAACAGTGATAATATTAACTTCCCTAAACAGTTTACCTTACATGGCACAGATCTCGTTGTTCTGTCTGCTGAACTTATGGATGATTCTACTGGTACTAACTTTGATCAATTTGAAATTACCTACAAGAAGGAAGAACAGGAGATCGTGCTGAAATATGATATGGATAACCTATCCATCTCAAACAATGCAGCATTGAAAATTAAATATATCGGTAAACTCAATGATATCAAAACTCACCAGGATAAGACTACTGGTGTATTCAAGACCAATTATATGGGGGGATATCACGATGACCAAAAGTCTAATAACATTGTCATCTCCACTCATTGTCAACCAACTTTTGCAAGAAGTATTTTTCCATGCTTTGACGAACTATCCTCAAAAACTACATTTCAGCTGAGTTTGACTTCTTTAAGTCGGTTTAGTGCAATCTCTAACAGCAAAGTCTTGAAGACAGAGGAAAGAGCCGATGGTGGCCAGGAATTGAAAACGACCCATTTTGAAAAGACACCATTACTTCCAGCATCTCTTTTTGGATTTTCTATTGGTGATTTTAGAAAAATCAATACTGTTACTGAGTTTGATGGGATTTCTACTGAAATTGGTATATATTCACCATGGAGAGTAGAGGAGGCCACATACTCATTAGATATAATGAAGAAATACATCCCATTACTGAGCAGTTATTTTAATTTTTCTTACCCCTCTTCCAAATTAGATATTGTGCTGCTACCATTTCTATCCGATATGGCGATGGAAAATTTTGGTATGATTTCAATACAGGCAGCACATCTATTGATATCACCTTCTATGCTAGCCAACGAAGAAGTTCGAAAGCAGCTACATCAATTGGTTGTACATGAATTAGTTCATCAGTGGATCGGTAACTATATATCTTTTGACTCATGGTCACATCTGTGGTTCAATGAATCTTTTGCTACATGGTGCTCATCGCATATATTGGAAGAAAATGGAGATTTAGCAGATTATTGGAACTCCATTGATTATATCGAAAACCAATTGCAACCTTCAATTGAAAGAGACTCTGATATTGCGGCCCAGAGTATTGTGGAGATGGCAAAGCATTCTGAGAAAAGTTTAAGAAATGTATACACCCATGAAATTTTTGATGCACACTCATATAATAAAGGAATTGCATTATTAAGATGTTTTCAGTTAACTGTGGGTTCAGATATGTTCAGAAAGGCCTTCCAAGAAATTTTTCGTGAGATGAAGGAAGGAAATGAGCATTTCCATAAAAGTGCCATCAAACCTATTGATATATTTAACAAGATTGGTTCTTTTCTGAAATCTGAAAATATTCCTAAATTTTACACATCATGGACCCGTACTTCTGGTGTACCAATTGTTAGTGTTGAGGAACTTGATGGTAAGACCAAACTGATTCAACATCGTTATATTCCATATTCTCATGGTAGTGAAGCCGACCATGAAGATATTCCATACTATGTGCCTATGTTTAGCATTTTGGCCGACGGTTCAAAGGATAAAAAAAATATTCTATTGACTGATAGGTCTTTAACTATAGACAATACTATCTTAATGTTAAATCACAATGGACAAGGCTACTTTCGTGTTTCATATGAATCTGAAACTATATATGATACAATAGTTGAAAATTTACAAAACTCCAAATTGGATGATAACAACCTAAAAACAATACTCATAGACCTAGCTTATTTCATTGGTGATAAAAAGTACCAAAAAGATGTCCATATTAAAGGTTTATTCAAGATTCTGTCTGCATTTGCCGCTAATTCATCAGTGATTGTAGAGGATTACTGGTGTGGTCTATCGACTGCACTTGATATAGTTCGTCGAATCCACTCCACATTGGGTGCCGCACAAAAGGCTAAATTAGCGAACAAGATAGTTGATCCTCTTTTCAGGGCAATGAAGTGGCCACAACAGAATTTTGCTACGGAAATGGCAAGCATGGAATCTAATGAGACCAAGGTCAGAGGTGATATACTATATCTACTACAAGATGTAAAGGATATAAACCATGGTGTTTACAGTCTTGCAGATAACTACTTTAAAGCTATTATGACTGGCCCTGCTTCTTCAATTCCTATTGGATTAATTGGAGGTGTTTTTTTGCTGGTATCGAAAAGGTTTAAAAATGTAAAGCAATGGAAGAAACTATTCGAACTGGTCAAGTCAAGTAGAGGAATTGCATCTCATATTTTTCAAACATTTGATTCTAAGACTCATACCGATATTTCGGTAATTATTCAGAACATTGCTATCGAAAACCTAGCATGTTCTCGTAACGAGGAAATAATACGTAAGGTATTGAATTTTGTGGCTACAAATATCGAGTCTAATGGTGTTAGCAGAGCTCTTTACGGTTTACACAATATTGGCACACGCTCTACTATTAATGATAATGGTAAAGAGGTTGGACAACAGGTTCGTGATGTTGCATGGCAATGGCTAGAATCAAACTACGACTTATGGGCTAGAAAGGCTATGCGCGAAGGTTCTCAAACTGCTGAAAATCTATCTAAAGAACTGGACGGTATTATCTTGTATATATTTGAGATGTTTAGAGATTCTGAGGGAAAGGTTGATAAATTTATTCTTCGTAAGGAAGAATTGTTAGGTGTGGAGAAGATTCATTTAGCTCAAATTTGGCTAACTGTGAAGGAAACTACGAGCTCAAATAAAATCATAGCTGGTTCAGTGAAAGCATTGTTATAATCTATAATCTATAGAAGGTAGCTATTACAATAAATACTATAATATTTTTAACAGATGCCATAAGGCTGCCACAGTATAAGATCTGAATATATCAAGTATGTTGGTAGTCTCCAACGATCTACATTTAAAGGGTTGAATCATTTGGACCCTAGCCAAAGCCATCAACGCCTGTGATCAACACTATTTGTTGATAACAAATTGCAATTTCAAATCAAACGATAAATTATTGTCAAGATCTCCTACTGCATTATTAATCTATTTTGTATTGAAACATAAAGCCACCCTGTTCAAAAATACTAACTCAAAATGGATAAGGTTAAGGAGAAACTTACAAATTTGAAGCTAGAAGCTGAAAGCTGGCAAGAGAAATATGAAGAATTAAAGGAACAAATGAAACAATTGGAACAGGACAATATTCAAAAAGAGAATGAAATCAAATCATTGACTGTTAAGAACCAACAACTAGACCAAGAAGTCGAGAAGTTGGAAGATCAGATCAAGGAAACAAAGGAACTAGCCGAAGAGTCAACTACACTTAAGTCACATAACGAAAACTTTAACAAAAAGAACCAAATGTTGGAAGAAGAATTGGAAGAAACTGATAGGAAATTGAAAGAAACATCAGATAGGTTGAAAGAAATCGAATTGAATTCTGAGACACTAGAAAGAAAGACGGCTGCGTTACAAGAAGAGAGGGATGAATGGGAGAAGAAGTATGAGGAAGTCGCTGCCAAATATGAGGACGCTAAGAAAGAGTTAGAAGAATTTGCCAACTCACTTGAAAATTTATGAAGACAGATGCTGGTAAACATTGCATTACTACACCTTTTGAATCAGAAGTGTTACGTGATCAATCTCACTCTAAATGTCGTGAAAACACCAATGGATTATACAATAAGCCTATGCAATTCAGTATTGAGTTAGTATGTGGTATTGTATTGCTAATAATTTTAGTCATTCTATCTAAATTTGATGTAGTTTACCAGCATTGATACTGCTTTACACACACATGATGTTCAACTGCATTTCCAAAATATCAAGAAGTTGTACTCGATTTACGTTAATTGGACCAGATATAGAATTAGTATAAAGATATTCTAACTGCTAAATATTAATAATTTTAAGAAGAAAAAAAAGAAAGGAACCATAATCAACAGGAATAAAAGAGAACTAATAGCATATATATATATATATACTATCAGGTAATATGTCTTAATGTTATATATATATTCTGTAGTGACACACACATCATCATAACCTACGTTTTTAGAACTAATGTGGTCTAATACAAAGGCTTGACCATAAAATATTATAACAATGTCAATTGCTCACGTCTGCCATTGGTTGCAACAGCCAATATGCCATACTATTAATGTCTTTACTTGGAAGTTAAATGAATGAATTATTTTATAGAAAAATGGATTAGAGTATACTTGAAATGCTTTATCAATTTGATATTGTGTCATAGAAATGTATATCCGAAATCATCATTCACTTACACTACATATCAAGGGTTTAACCTTCCTCAGTATCTGCCAATTACTAGACATCATGGATTAAATTCTTACATAGAGGAATTCATTTCGGATTTGCTAGGAAAGCTGGATCACGTTTATCATTTAAGTTTATTTGTAATTTCAAAGCATAATGGTTGGGCCATAGAACGCTATGTTTTGGATTTTGGCCAGTTTCAGCACGGCCAACCAGTTGATAAAGATATTGTGCTTAAGGAGGGAGAAGTTTATGACGAGTTTCGATCTAGTTTGAACAGTTTAATAACATACTTAGAGAAACAAACACCAATACGTGATGATACTGTAACATTTGAGTTTGTAATTGATACGATAGAAATGGCATTGGGTAGAAAATTTGGTATTGATATGGATCCGAAAACGTCAAAGTCTCAGGTAGTTGATTTTGAGAGGGATACTAACTGGATAAGGTATCATGAGGATCAGAATGTTCCAGACGGCAAGGAACATAGTGGCGCCTATAAACCAAAATTAAAGGTAACTGCCTTGATTGGGTGCGACTGGGGCCCTATATGTATCCAACAATATAACGAAAGACTGATAGTTCCAAATAAGGGCTTGAGTCAAGTATATTATGATGACGACCAAACAAACAATTTTGAACTCACCTTAGGCTCTTTACAGTAGGCCATTATGAGCTTGTAAGATATGTTCTACTAGAATAGACATTTGCATCGTGTGAAAATTACTTTTTTGTATTAATATTACATGTAACAATATTTATTTTAATCATTCTATAACTAAGATAAAATTCATATTGGTATATTAAGAGCTGTTGGAAGGTCAATATTGCTTTTTGTTTTATAATAAAAGCTGGCTACAATCCTTAATTGTTAGGGACCCGCCCTATATGGTTACAATTAAGATATGCTATACTAACAAAATTAGTATTAATGACAACTTTTGATTATTATCTGTTTCTGCATCCAGTATCAAATATGTTCTGGGCTATGTCCTTCAAAATTACCTGCCTGGCTTACATTGATATTACTGCTGTTAGAAATGTCAACAAATCTTTTAACGCTTGGTTTTCTATTTGGACTATTCTTTGACACCCATTCATACGATGTACCGTTTTTCACAGGGACAAAGTCATCTGTGGAAGAGCTTGACACAGTACCCGGTGTATGCTTGTCACTGGCCTCTTCCTCTAATATTGGTCTCTCAAAAGTTCTCATACTAGTATCATGAGGTATATTTTGACTAGAGTGACCACTGCTCTCGGACAGCATTTGACTAGAAAAACTATTGCCTTGTGAAGATGTTAAATTGCCTTTTTTCTTACTACCCATATCCAAGAAAACAGAATCTCTTAAACCGAGAGTAGATTTTCTGGGGTCTTTAGGGATATCAGCTTCATCAGAAATTGTGGTATTCATCAACTCTGCTGTTGAAACAGTATTCAAAGAGCTGTAACTGTCTCTAATGTTTCCTGGTTGGTGGCTAGATCTAGCTGAAGCCAAAGTATATCTCCAGGACTTCTTGTGTGCAGGAATGCTGTCCACGTAAACGGAAGACGATCTGATGTTAGGCTCAAAGAAGGTACTATTTGTGTCTTTATGTTCTAACAGGAGGTCTCTACTATTAGTGTTATTGGTATCATAAAATATATCAGACTTATTGCTGCGCTTTTCATCCATAGTGGAGGTATCTGAATCAGTAGTTGAAGCATCATCGAGTTTTAGAGCGTTTAGCATGTCTAGCCTTCTCTTAGCAGAATCGGCATCACTATCATCCTCAAAAGGATTCTCCAATGATGTAGCTGCCTTGTTTGGATTATTAGCAGGATTATATGGGTTTGGTGGACTAATATTTGGTGTCTTTTCTTCATCCTTTGGCTCGGTTTTCTTCTTGGATCTGTAGAATAAAAATGCCAGGACAACTAATATTATTACTGCAACAGGAATAGCAACACCACAAGCAATTGCCGCTGTCTTAGTAGAATGTTTTTTAGAAGCTTTAGACAAAGGTGCTACTGCTGAACTGGATTCGGTTGATGTAGAAGTCACTTCTACATCACTAGTCTTAGAATGTGTTGCTGATGTTCTAGTTGAACTGTACAGCGTAGATGAATTGGTAGCATTGGCTGATGTTGTTATATTTGTGTGGTTGGTAGTTAACTTATCCATTCCAATGATGGTGAATGGTAATTGTTGTGATAATGAATTTTTCTGAGCCACTAAATCAATGGTTAGTCGTTGGAAGTTCTGAGGAACCCTTCCCATGAGAGTTAGGTTGCTCGAAACAAAGTTCAACCAGTCATGATCAGTGTCACCCTCATATTTTACACTAACATTGGTGTTATCGAAGTCAGTAAATTGTGAAGGTAAGAAATTATAGTAGAACCATTCACCTCTAGTAGCATTTAGATTTGGCAAGGATGAAGTAGCAAATAACTTTGTTGTTGCCTCGACTTCGAAGTTTAGATAGATAACATCTCCATTAATATCATATATAACAACTGAGAAATTACCAATAGGGCCATTGGCAGATTTGATCATGTCCTGTGGTACAGTTCCTTCAATTGTGTCATTGTTCAATCTAATCCAGGCCGGATTGTTTACAAGATTGAGACTTCCTAGATTATTTGTTGTTATAGGAGCATCATCATAGTAAACATAATTTAAGGGCACTTTGTATGATATATTACCAGTCTCTGTAACATTAATCACTAAAGTATTTTGAATGGAGGTAGTCAGTGTGTGTGCACCTATAACTAATTCAAAAGGAACCTCGATGCCTGCGTAGCCATCGATGTCTGTAGCTATCAGCGTTAGATCGTACGCAGTTTGAGGTGCTATTTGTGAGTTTACCACAGGAGCACTACCACTGAATTTCAAATTGGCCGGATCGAAGAAAACCCAGTTAGGAAGAGGGGCATTGTACTGGTCAGTTCTGCCATAGTATGCGACTATCTCATCAGAACTATCAAAATTTGATCTATCGAATGTCACATTAAATATCTGATTAGGTGTCAGAATGAGACCATTTTTACCATTAGTGTATCCGCTATTTTTCAGCAGTGCCAGAAGATTAAAGTTCGGCGAAAGTGTTATGGCTGGTTTATTTGTCACAACAAGCTGATATGTGTTATTGAGCTTGCTATTATCGGACTCATCAGTACCTTCTAAGATGAATTTGAAATATTGAACCTGGTTGTCGCCGTTAAAGAGGTCAGAAGGCGGCAGTCCTTGTATGGTTCTGCTGTCTGTATTGAATGTCAGCCATTTTGGCAGGTCATATGTCTGATAACTTATCTGCACAAGGTCATTGACATTAGATTTGTATGTATCATTAGATATCTGAAACACGAACTGCTGGTTCGTCCTCGCTACCGGCGGTATCTGTTTGGGTATTGGGTAGGCTTCGTATGGCGCACAAAGAGCTGTGCCCAATAGTGCACATATGAGGTATATGAGCTGTATTGTTTGCATTGTGATTTCCGGTCTATCTTAGTTGCTGATAAAAGCGGGTTTTCTAAAACGGTGAGATTGATTATAGTAAAGTAAAGTATTCGAAAACGTGGATAGAGGTTATATCGATGTGTAAAATGTAGATATCTTAGGCGTAAAAAGGACCTTGTGTGGTGTGGTGAGTTGAAGAGAAACATCTACCAAGAGACAAGAAAAGCTGTTTCCTTTTATTTGATTTATTTTTAGACCTCAAGTCATATAAGTCAATTGCATAAACAACCACTTTTCACTTTTGGTGTTGACCGTATGTTCTATTTAGAACTTCCATGCATCTATTTTTGGCATTTGGTGGTTCTAATTTCCTAGATTAGAAAAGTTCAAGACCAAATGTGAAAAGGGTCTATATCAGCGTATCTATAGTGAGAACTAGGCAACATACACACTGTCAACACGAAAATATCATAACCTTTAGCTATTCGTTTGCTGCTAAAACTGCCAAAATGTAGTGGAAAATTCGAAAGGAACCCAGAATTTCGAGGGAAATTGAATGAAAATCCAATACCTCCCCATTGGAAATAGGAATTTTCCTGTTTTTTGCCAGAGAAAAAGCGTAGGAAATTTCGTGAATTTTCAAAAAAAGAGAACGAAAACCAGAAATCGAGTGCAAAAAAAGAACTGAAATGAACTGTTCCTGTTTCGCGTTGTGTAGTTGGACAAGACACTCAGGTCTCCCGAACTGGAAGTGTTAGTGGATATGATAGAAATGGGGACTACAGTAGCTATGTAGTACGCATAAGTGAGTTTCGCGCATTGACTGGATCTGCATTAGCATTATAAATAGATCTATGACGTAGTATACAGGAATAAGAAATGGTCTTTATGCAAAAGAAAAGAACTGATTGACATATCAGGTAAAAAAAAATCACTTCTTTCCTAATTAGTAAATGTTATAGCTACATTTATATGCTTTTAATAAATGAGGGAGAGAGAAAATATAGCGGAAATTATAATTACATATGTCTATCAGCGGTTCTTGGCTTTGCACGGATGATGTTGTCGACTCTCAGCAGCACTTCTGCGGCTTCTGAAGCGGAGCTTACGACGGCTCTTTTCAGCTTGTAACTCTCCACAATACCTAGTTCTCTCATGTCTGCTATGGTACCGTTGTCAAGGTCAAGGCCTGACGTGGAAATCCCGTTGTATATAGATGATCTTAGTTTTGACACAAGCTCACTACTGTCGAAGCCTGCGTTGTCAGCCAAGATGGTTGGTAGTTGTCTTAGTGCTCTTGCAAATGCCTCTACAGCTAGTGCCTTCTTACCGTCAACATTTTGGGCCTGGGTATCTACGGCTTTAGACATAATCATTTCTGCACAGCCACCACCCAAAACGGTACGGGTCTCCTTTGTAGTCTGAGATAGCACTGATAAAGCATCATGCAGGGATCTTTCAGCCTCGTCTAACACCTGGTCAGTAGCTCCTCTTAGTACAATGGTACAAGCTTCACCCGCTTTACAACCACTGAACTTCAAGAAAGTCTCTTCACCAATAATAACTTCTTCAATCAAATCACACTCACCTAATTTGCACTTCTCAGGATCGTCGAATGTAGAGACTACTTCACCACCAGTGACTAATGCCAATCTCTCAATACCTTCAAAGTCAGCGTGTTCAATGGAATTTATGTTCATGTCAGTAAAAAGTTGCTCTGGATAGTCGTAGATCAATTGTCTGTTTATGAAGGTATTAATACCAAATTTAGAGATCTTGTTTATCTTGCTGGCCATCTTATCACGCTCCGCTTTCTCCAATTGGGCTAATTTGGATGTAGAGTCAACTTTAAATTTTGTTCCGAAAATCTTAACTTTGTCTGTATCTAGTGCCGTGTTGGCAAGTAATATCTTGGCTTTCTCAACTCTCTTTGGCTGGTTGTTACCAAATTTCTTCTGCAAGATGAAACCTGAGTCCAGGAATGAGTCAGATAGCTTCCCACCTAAAATCTTAATAATTTGGATATGTTCTAAGTTTGTTGAACCCTTTAGTCTTAGTATGGCATCCGTCGCCATGTTGGAGAAGTATTCCTTGTCCTGAGACAAGATCTTAGAAGATAGAGTTGTCTTGGCTATGTGAACTAGGTCGGAGTGAAATTTCTCTGAATCGCTAGAGTTATCCACAGCAGCAGAGTCCAATGCTTTCAGTGCCGCAGCGGAAGCAATACGGAACCCCTCAATAATCGTTTGTGGATGGATTCTAGCCTGATCAATCATTTTTTCAGCTTCTCTCAGCAATTCTGCACTTAGAACAGTGACACTAGTAGTACCGTCACCAACTTCATCATCTTGCACTTTACTGATGTTAACCAGCACCTTTGCGGCAGGGTTGTCCAATGGAATAGACTTCAAGATAGTGGCACCATCATTGGTGACAAGTGAATTCTCACTAGAGGCACTCTGTAACAGCTTGTCCATACCTTTAGGACCCAATGTACTCTTCACTAAGTCACCAACTGCAATGGCACCAACAAAGGCTGACATACGTGCATTTTCAGCACGCTCTTCGGTAACCTGATCGCCAAAAATTTGGACACTCATTCTTTAATATGTTTGGATTGTTCCTAACACCGGTAAATTTAAAGAATTGGCACAGTTGGCAATTATAACACACCCAGTTCTTGTATCAGATTCCTAATAAATAGCTTGAAAGGCATCGAACTTGCTTGTTATTTTGTGATTTCAGTGAAAATTTTTGGACGAAGGAAGCTTTTTGCCACAATGCGGGCGTGTAGTGTGATTCCAATCTCTGTACTGGAAATTAGGAAATTATATAAGAGATGAGCTCGAAGGAACAACTTTATTTCTTGATTCACTGTCAAGAAAGTGTTGCCGCCACCGACTGGATACTGATCTTTTTGGGTTGGGAGAGAAGTTCACTGGTATTAGCTTTCCTTTAGTGTAACGTACAGGTAATACCATTAGGGTAACAGAAGATGACTGATACTGAAAAGCATGTTCATAGACCTGATGAAGAAGATGACGAGGAGCAGGTAGTTGCCAAGCCTAGAAGAGTTGTTCCAATGATGGAGGGATTCTTCTCTAGTGACGATGAATCCGCTGCTACAGATGAGAATGAACCTGATGAAGACTATGATCTTAATGAAGATGATAAACTGACTAAGGACATGACCAGTAAAGGTAACGATGAGCCAGAGGAGAAAGTAATGAGTACTGTGAGACTTACAGAGAAGCCTCGTGGTAGAAAGAAAGGTGCAGCAGCTAAGTCGAAGATTGGAACTGCCAGTTACGATAAGATGAAAGATAGGGATTTGATGGCTGATGCAGATAATGATATTCCTGCTGACTTTGTCCCTGATTCGGTCTCAGCAATGTTTAGGACACATGATTTTAGCTACTTGAAGTTAAAGCCAGATCACGCCTCAAGACCAATTTGGATCTCCCCAAGCGATGGTAGAATAATATTGGAGAGTTTCTCACCCTTGGCGGAACAAGCACAAGACTTTTTGGTCACAATTGCAGAGCCTATCAGTAGACCTTCTCATATTCATGAGTATAAAATTACTGCATACTCTCTTTATGCTGCAGTTTCTGTAGGTTTGGAAACTGATGACATCATATCAGTTTTGGATAGACTTTCGAAAGTTCCAGTTGCCCAATCTATTATAAATTTCATAAAAGGAGCCACCATCTCATATGGTAAAGTGAAGCTGGTCATCAAACATAACAGATATTTTGTGGAGACAACACAAGCTGACATTCTAAAAATGCTGTTAAGAGATCCCATAATTGGCCCACTTCGTATAGATGGTGAACATCAAGCACAAGTAGATGGTAATAAAGGTACAGGTACATCGTCAGTGGATAAAAGTAGTATAAATCCTAATGATGTAGAAGCCATGTTTTCTGCTGTTGTTGGAGAAGGTGCAAACGGGGAGGAAGATGAAGAGAATGAAGATGATATAGACGCCGTGCATTCATTTGAAATTGCAAATAGCTCGGTTGAAATTGTTAAAAGAAGATGTCAAGAAATTGATTACCCCGTCTTAGAAGAATATGATTTCAGAAATGATAATAGAAACCCAGATCTAGAAATTGATTTGAAACCATCAACACAAATTAGACCGTATCAGGAAAAATCGTTAAGTAAAATGTTTGGTAACGGTCGTGCAAGAAGTGGAATTATTGTGCTACCGTGTGGTGCAGGTAAAACACTTGTGGGTATCACTGCTGCTTGTACTATCAAGAAATCTGTTATTGTCCTTTGTACATCATCTGTTTCGGTTATGCAATGGAGACAACAATTTTTGCAATGGTGTACATTACAACCTGAAAATTGTGCAGTTTTCACTTCTGACAACAAGGAAATGTTTCAAACAGAATCTGGTCTAGTTGTTTCCACCTACTCTATGGTTGCAAATACAAGAAACAGATCCCATGACTCTCAAAAAGTTATGGATTTCTTAACAGGTAGAGAATGGGGCTTTATTATCTTAGATGAAGTTCATGTCGTTCCCGCAGCTATGTTCCGTAGAGTGGTTTCAACAATCGCAGCACACGCAAAATTAGGTTTGACTGCAACATTGGTCAGAGAAGATGATAAGATTAGTGATTTGAACTTTTTGATTGGACCTAAGTTATATGAGGCCAACTGGATGGAACTATCACAAAAGGGACATATCGCAAATGTGCAATGTGCTGAGGTATGGTGTCCAATGACAGCAGAATTCTATCAAGAGTATTTACGTGAAACTGCAAGAAAAAGAATGTTATTGTATATCATGAATCCCACAAAATTCCAGGCATGTCAATTTTTGATTCAATATCATGAGAGAAGAGGTGACAAAATTATTGTTTTTTCTGATAATGTTTATGCGCTTCAAGAATATGCGTTAAAATTAGGGAAACCGTTTATTTTTGGTTCGACACCTCAACAAGAGCGTATGAATATTCTTCAAAACTTTCAATACAATGATCAGATTAATACAATTTTCTTATCTAAAGTTGGTGACACATCAATCGATTTGCCAGAAGCAACATGTTTGATTCAAATATCATCTCATTATGGTTCCCGTCGTCAAGAAGCTCAACGTCTAGGTAGAATTTTGCGTGCTAAAAGACGTAATGATGAAGGTTTTAACGCATTTTTCTATTCATTAGTTTCAAAAGATACCCAAGAAATGTACTATTCAACCAAAAGGCAGGCCTTTTTAGTTGATCAAGGTTATGCATTCAAAGTTATTACTCACTTACATGGAATGGAAAACTTACCAAATCTTGCATATGCATCGGCTAGAGAACGTAGGGAACTACTACAGGAGGTTTTGTTGAAGAATGAAGAAGCTGCTGGTATTGAGATTGGCGATGATGCCGACAATTCCATTGGTCGTGGTGGTAGCTTGTATAAGAAAGCGAGATCAAAGGCGATGAGAGGAGAGGGGTCTCTGGCAGGCCTTGCAGGTGGTGAAGATATGGCATATATGGAATATAGCACTAAGGCAAAAGATCTTAAGGAACATCATCCATTAATTAGAAAAATGTATTATAAGAATTTAAAGCGATAATGATGTTGCATTATCTCAGATTACACATCAATTTTTTTGGTTAAACCGATGCACATTTAAATATCATAAAACTCAAAAAAAAAGTTACTAAGAATCAAACTAAAAAAAAAAAAAAAAATCATTAAAAGATTGAATAATCCAGCTATCTTTCATAAAAATTATGTTGACATGCGTTGACTTCTTTTACGATAATACAGCCTTCACATCATTATGCTTTGGAATACTCTCAGCAGCACCGTTTTTTTGAATTGCCAACGAACTACTAAAAGTGGCAAACTTGATAGCTTCTGACAATGGTTTTCCTTCATAAAGTTGGGTTACTAGAGCACCCAAAAAGGTATCACCTGCACCAGTACTATCAACTACTTTTACATCATGTATTGCATCCATGTAACCGACTTCTGGGTTTTGTTTAGATACGTATAGAACACCTTTCGAACCCAGGGTAATAATTACTGCCCTCTTTCCTTCTGGATTTACATATTGACTCTTTAAGCGAATAGCTATATTTTTGTAAGTGCTAATAAAATTATCATTAATCATCTCTTTGTACTCTTTGACTTTCTCAGGTCCTTCTGCATCTTCTATTACTTGAAGAGCTTCAATCTCATTAACCACTAAAACGTCAACAGCATTCCAATGTGCTTTTGCAATAGGTTGAAATGGTGAAGGATTGAATACAATTACAGAGTTGCTAATATTATCATGAATCCATTTCATCACACAATCGGCATTAGGAATTTCTTGTTGGAATACCACATACTCCTTTTCTTTTGTTTCTTTGAACATATCCTTCAATTGTTGGCTACTATATTTACTTTCGCCATTGGCCCCTTTAACAATCAAAATTCTATTTTGGCCACCAAGTTTCTCTTCCACCAATATTGTAGCTGTACCAGTGCTGACACCTTCTAACACCTTGACTTGGTCAACATCAACACCATCTCTTCTCAATGTATCCAGTAATTGAGCACCAAAGGCATCATTACCAACACTTCCTACCATTCGGACAGTATAATTGTCTTGAGGGTTTTTCAATCTGGCAATAGCTATACATTGATTGCAACCCTTACCTCCTGTATGAGTCTCGAACGAATTTGCACGTATTGTTTCCCCTCCATCCGGAACTTTGTCAGTATAGGTCACTAAATCGTAGTTCAAAGAACCAATAACAGTAATACCCATATTCAAAGTATTTTTATTTAGAGAACTAATATGCTATTATTTACTTTACAAATTTAAACCACTTGGTCAATAGACTTACTATGTTTCTATTACTTTAACATCATTTATATTTGTTTCACTTTGAAATACCGTACGAACACTTTTTCACTCATTGAAAATTTAATGCGATGAGCTCATCGCAATTTTTCAAATGAAATACTTCTTATTGCAGAATAGTTTTCTACTGGCTGACTGTTAAACCCAGAATAAGATAATAAAGCTTTATACATTTTATTGAAAATATACCCTCAATTTATACGCTGTACAACTAATTGGAAACCACTGGTAAACTTGAACATTGGTACAGAATGACTGAAACAATTAGTGTGCATCCTGTTTCTTTTCCACCTGAGGTACTGGCTCGTATATCTCCTGATCTAACATTACAAAGACATTTATCTTTGGGAATTCGACCAAGTTTACGTAAATTTGATGAATTTCGAGACGTGCAGATAAATGAAGAAACCTTATCAAGATACTCCGAGCAGTGTCAATTTGATGCCAACGATACTAGCAATGGGATTCTTGGTTCAAATGTGCTTAAGAGTGGCAATACCATGGTTATTACTACGATAACAGGTGGTATTATTGAAGATGCATATAATAACGAGTTTGGGGATTTAGACATAGGTGAGCAAGAGCTCTTGCATTTGGAGGATGCACCCGCTGATTCTTTGAGTAACTATACCTCTATATATCCTGTGGTTGAAGTTGAAAGAGGTAGAGTAGGTGCATGTACTGATGAAGAAATGACTATATCTCAGAAACTTTATCAATCACTACTGTATTCAAGAGTGCTACCGAAGAGTTCATTGAAGGTTAAACCAGGTGTAAGATCGACAGATGAAAATGGTATTAGTACTATAACTTACCCAGATGGAAATGTAAATGATGATGAAATGAGCAACGTAGTACAGATAAAAAAGAAATGGTCCTATGTTTTATATGCAAAAATAACCGTGTTTGGTAGAACTGGTCCAGTGTTCGATCTTTGTTGGAATTCTTTAATTTATGCTTTACAATCTACAAAGCTTCCAATGACATTTATAGACGAGAAAGCAACCGACTTAAGGGTCAGTATCAGAACTAAAGGTAGAAGCACTACAGTTAAGGAAACTTATGAAATTTTTGCTGATCCTAAGAGATATTCTGATCTAGTTATTAAGAAAGAAAGGATTGCATATTCATCAAATTTTGGTATTATTGAACTGAATCCAGAAGAACAAATTCTAAATGGTGAAGAGAGCTCTGAAAATTCTGCTACTCCGGATGGGACAGATGCAACAGATGTTGAAATGGATGTGGTCAGGCCTGAGCCTGAGACGGTTCTTTTGGCAGATATAGATACTGAAGCAGAAGAGGCAACAATTAATAGCACTGTCAATATTTTGACTGACGAGCAAGGGAAGATGTGTCATTTTTCAATAAACGGAGGTGGCGCTATTATTACACCAGAATTGATAAGGAATTGTCTCACATTAGCAAATGAGAGATCATCTGATTTATCTAGGAAATGTTTGAGAAATTAGTAAGTAGAGGGTTATTTAACTTGTAATTCATATTGTATAGTCTACTGAGAGCATAGCTGTAACAATATTCTCTTTACTATTGTCACTCTTGGAAGTCTGTTCGTGCTATGGTCATAGTAAGGCAGAGGATTACTTAAAAATAACGATTTAGTTGAAAACAGTTAATTGATAACTATACAGCAGGTATCTGTTGTGATATTTTACATATTTATTGGCTATTAAGTGATATTTTCTTGTTTAGTAGTCTTTTTTATTTTTTTATCCCAACATGTGAATAGGTCTATTGAAAGGATTATTACTGAGACCAAATGCAAACAATTTCATATAACTAGTAAAAAGAGTGTTCATAAATAATTTTTAAAATATGATCATTGATTGTAAAAATTTACTCTGATCTTAGATGCAAACTCCGAGTATAAGAGAAAAAGAGGTTATCACTTGACCTCAACGAGCTTATCTCTTTCTTCTTCTATCTTTGGCAACTGGTGAAGGGGATGGAGTAGAGACATTCTGTAGATCAACATTAACGTACTCATTGACCTTAGCGGCAACACCACCGTGAACCCTTTTGACCACTCTGCTTGCCTTGGAACCCTTACGCTTGTAGACATTGATGTAAAATGAGATGAATAAGACCAAGTAAGATGAGATGATGGCACACCCAGCAAAAGTAGCGGTTGTAGAACCAACACATTCACCACAATGTGGCAGAGTTGGGAAGTATAAGTGGGTAGCTTTCTGGTATACTGCAAAGTAGATAAAACCAATATCCAAAATGAATTGGATGATCTGGAATCTAGTGACCCATTCCTTCCACCAGACTCTAATTCCTCTAGCGGCTAAGAAATAATACCAGTACATAACAACGTGAACACCCAGATTCAAAGAAATTGGCACCCAAGAGATGGAGGTAGTACCTACCAATTGAGTATAGCATAACAAAGCTGTGGCACCATGATGGTATGTGTGCAAAAAGGTCAATTTCTTGTGTTTTAGAACCAAGAAGAGGGTGTCAATAAACTCAATAAACTTAACAATGTAGTTCATGTAGTACAAAGTAACCATGGGTTGTGTCCAGGCACCTTCGTTACAGATGGCATAGAATAAACCGTGATGGTAGATCATTGGAGTCAATTGCTCTACCATCAAAACCAGCAATGTTAATGAGATGGTAGTTAGAAACAAGTTATGCAATTGGAACAAACCGTTCAACTTGAACGGTTTGGAGTAACTTAGTACAAACTTACCACCAAAGATGACGATGTAGTAAGTAGCAATAGCGATAAGTACTGGTTGTAGCTCACTTAGAGGAAGTTCACCAGCGACAAATTGGAATTCGCTTGGAATAAATTTGCCATTAGTTGCTAGGGTTACAAAATGGTCGAAGTTTTCCCATAAGTTGATGTTGAAAAAGGGCTTCTCCACAGTGGGTACATAATTGTGTAACACCGGATAACGTTCGAAAACTGGTGCTGAGTATTGCTTTAGTAGTGGAATAATGGTAGTCATAGTACTTATAAGTGATTATCAGTTCTTATTGATCAGTGAAATTACAGCAAAGGATATGCTGGTTGCGTAGCGTACAATTACTCTTTATAATTGGAGAATGATTTCCAAAACCTTATTTAAAAAGTTGGAAAATAAGTAGCGAGTGTCGGATTTAAATTCAGAAATTAGCACCGCGCTGAGATATTGAATTAACAACAGGGGTCTAAGTATTGGTAATCTATTAGTTATACAGTCCTTATACGTTGGTGAATAGATACTTCAAAAGGACGATAATTAGCTTCAATTGAACTCGTAACGATTTTATATAATTTTTGTTTTGGCGAAACCAAAATTTTTCACAAGTTTGCCTTTTGCGATGAGGGAAACGCGAATTTTTATCTGTTAGGTGCCGGATTTTTATTAAGAACGGTAATAAAAGCCGATTTAAACTACCTAGCAGTATAGCATATTTCACATGTTCAATTGACGTCGCCGGTATATGATGTGTCATTGAGCAAGGGAGGGGCGAATCAACTTATTTTCAATCATGCCAGGATGACTACATTTTCCTTATTATGTATTGTAGTGGTTTCGACAGAAGACTTGTCATTTGGGTAGAACATTATCAAGTACCTATTAATATTACATATTTTTCCTCCTGGAAAGTCTATATTAACATAGATTGTTTATAGCTAAGAAGTAACTGAATAAAAATCATAAAAACAAGGTTAGAAATGTCTCATGTAAAAAATTTTACTTCAAAAATAATCTAGCATGTGAATTCATATGAGCAACATGACGTTTACTATTATTGTTGCTCTTTGTCCTTTGAAATGAACGAGGATACTGTTTCCGGTGCTGAAGCAATAGCAGCTAGTGCTGCCAATGGGTCATTGGCAAAATTAATTGGTGGTAAACTATTATTTTGAAGACTTCTATCCACAGCTTGACCGTTACGTATTAGTTGTGGATGCTGGCCTATAGTGGGTGAATCATTAGATAAAGTAGGGGAAACAGTGGTGGTCATTGGAGGTAATTGATGAAGTTTCAAGTTCCCTTCTGAAAATATTCTAGGAGTTGGTACACTAGTGCTAACTGTGCCATTAATTGTACTTCCAACAAATTTTTGGATTGGTGGAGGACTTATGCTTACAGCTTTATGGCTTATTGTAGCTTTTGGAGGGGGTTGGCCACTGTCAGGGTTCAGTAATGAGGAAATAGAGCTTGATCTAATAGTTGTAGATGTACGTGAATCATCATGAGGTCTTGGTATTATATTAGGTCTGTTGTCAGGAGAGGCATTCAGTAAGCTGTTAATCGAATTATGCCTGTGATCTTCTGTTCTAGCACTGATATTGGAGGACTCCTCAGCTTTAATATCTTGCCCTGGTGTTCCACCTGCAGTTCCATTGATAGGTTTTGTAGACATTTGAGCTATATGGCCAATAGGACCCTCTGTGTTACCTTGAAATTGAATTGTTGGAAGTCTGGGTGGAGGTAGCGTGCTGGTAGGAGTTGTGACAGTTGAGAACGCATCCTTGGTATTCTCAGCATTGAAAGGTTGGGCAGTGATGCCTGAGTATAATTGGCCAGTCTCTGACTTAACTTGGGTGCCGAAGTAATTCATTGCAGGTCTTGTTTGTGGAGGGATTCCATTAACTATGTTAAAAACAGGTGGTTCTGGTGGTAACAATATTTGGGATTGTTGAACCAAGCCAGAACTTTTGGCATTACGTTTAGCATCGGCTTCTTCCACAATTGACTTCCATCCAAATTGAGCAGCATTCCTTTGGTAGTAATTTCTGACCATTGTTGTTGATTTAGTGGCTAGCTTTTGGGATATTAGAGACCATTGTGAACCGAATTCATTCAGCAGATCTGGAAAGGCTTGTGTCTCTTTAACACTCCAGTAACTCGTCCGATGGTCATGAGACTGCTTTTGTTTCTTTCTCAGACCTCCGTCTTCAAAACCAAGGTCAACTGGACTCATATTTGGACTTGGTCTTGGCAAAATTGTTGTGAAGTCGCCAGTATGTTCTGTAATAGCATCATTATGTTGCAGTGGGTTAGATTCATAAGTATCATTTGAGGGTTTCACATTATGTACTACTTCTTGAGAAATCTCCTGTGTGGGCTGTACAGGTTCTACTAATGAGTCTTGCACAGGCGGTTCGGGTGAATGGTGGTCAGGTTTAACATTAGTGTTCTCAGGTTCATGTTTGGATTCGGTGGGGATGATAACTTCTGTATCTACAGCAATGTTATCATCCTCTATGGGTTCGCGTACTACACCTACTTCCACATAATCAGTTTCATCAGTTTTTGTTATCTCGATTTGTTGTTGGCTATCACCAATATTACTAACCTCCGCGGCATGTTCAGTTGTGACTTCTTTCACGTCAGTTGATTGCTCTGTATCTAGCTCTAGTTCTGCTTCACTGCTACGTTCCTTCTTTTTCTTCTTTTTGGATGTTATACCCTTCCTCTTCTTGTTTCTTTCATTCACTAGGGATTTGTAATCAACTGTTCTCTTTGTTCTATAATAATGGAGTACACATTCCTCAGGAGTTCTTAGCCCTCCCATAAAATTTGATATTCTACTAAACTTCTTTGGGTTCATTAAGTATCCTTCAACAAAAAGTTCGTGTTCATTTGGTGTAAAGTTATCAATACCATCTAATAATACCCTTGATGCCCATTTATCCTTATCTGTCTCTAAATTATTGAGATCACAAAACTTGTAGCTACTTCTTTTAAGTGGATCTGTTATCATTTTAGGAATTACAGCTGCTGCTTGATGAAATTTGTAGTCAGGATCAATTTGCAGAAGTACAGTTTCCATTTCTGCATCATCGACAAAATCTGCTCTATTTCTACGCCTGGAACTATTATTATGGCGTCTTTTCTCTTCAGCTATCTTTTCTTGCTCCTCTCTTTCTTGATTTTCCCTCTCCAGCTTCTCTTGATATTCAATTTCCTTACTTCTCAGTGATTCGCTAATTTTTGACATCTGTCCACATTTATCCTTCCAATCTTGTAATGTCTGAAAGCACATTTTCTTCATCATCAGTTCTTTGTACCTGTTTAGTTGCACTAGTTCACCTATCGTGTTAGCAAGTTCTCCTCGGATTGCTTGTTCATGAACTAAAAGGTTTCTCTTCCAGAATGGATAAGCTTTAAACTCTCTCAGAGGTTTCTTCAGTAAGTATTTTTGTTTCTTGACAATCTCCTCTCTACTCTTATTTTTTAACTGCCATAATTTTGTTTCAACTCTATTCATTGGAAAAATATACTCGTTGATTGGTTTCAAAGGTATTGTGTAATGATCAGGCTCATTCTTAATCTTAATATTTGAGAAGTTCGTTTGTAGTTCAGTAGGATCATAAATATACTCATAATCAAGCATATCTGAAGGTCTCATTTCAGTAAAAACAGTGTTGCTAATATCGGCAAGTCTGTCATCTTCATCTGCTTCTCCTTCATCGTCTTCATCCTGGATGTCATTTGTATCATTATTATCATCGTCGTCGCCGTCAGGGTCATCAAACTCATTAATCGTTGTTTCTCTATTCGCAACGTCGGGTATACCTGTGTCTTCCATAATATTGTCCTTCATTGAGTTTTCGTTTTTATCCACAGAGGTCCACAACGTACTTTCACCATTATTGGTGGCAACTGCTTTATGTAGAATGTTTTGGGATGGTTTATTTATTGATGTAGAGCGAACTTTTTTTACACGGCCTTCTTTTTCTCTTAAATCTTTCAACAATTGCGCCTCTGTTTCTCTGGTTGTTTGTGATACAGAGTTAATCAAACTAGAACCAAGGGAATGAGGGTTTGGAGATCCTAAAGGTGATCTCGTCTCGTCATCTTTCTCGTGTTCCTCATGTTGGCTATTTGCAGATTTACCACCCCATTTCTTTTCATTTTCTTGATACTCGCTAAAACTTGGGCGATGCTTGTCATAATTCATGTTGATCGATGAATTGCTATCGTGTCTTTGGCTATGAAATGATTCACTGAATTTGGTTTGAGGTGATACAGTTGATGGGTATTTTGGTGTAGAATGCTTCCAAAATTTATTTCTTGTTGATGGATTACTAGGTGCTGTTAAAGGTTGTCTGTTCATAGATGGATGTTCATGTTCGTTTTTCAAATCTGGATTTGAGCCCATTCTCCATTTATTAGCTCTAGTAAAATATGAGGTATTACTAGAAGGATTATTTGAATTTGGCGACCTATAACTTGACATTGAATACTCATTACCAAAAACACTTGATTCGCTAGTTCTAGGGGATTTGTTCATCAATAATGGTTTGTTATTACTTGCAGGACTGCTTACTCCGTTTTTGATTGACTGTGCAACAGTTGGCGCAGGATTTGTGTGAGAGTTGTATCTGCTCAGAGAGCTTCCAGAATATCGGGATCTTGGGATATCAGCAATCTCGCTCTTATGCGGGCTTGTCGCACTAGGATAATCTATGCTGGAGTTGTAACGGCTGGTTGATTTTCTTGATACCAAGCCTGTGGGTCTATGAGGGGCCGAAGATGATCTTTGGATGGGAGAGGGATCATATCTTGACGTTCTCGGTACATCGTTTTGATGTGCACTTTGAGTTTGATTTTGACTCTGAGTCGGTGTTGATGGTGAGGAAGTATTAGCATTATGTCCACTTGGCATAGTTGGAGTTCCTGTTCTATCAATCATTGATCCATGTGTATTACTTTCGTGGGAATACGGGTTTTCTCTAGAAGGTTGCCCCCCCTGGTATGGCTTCTTCGGATAAGCCATTTGGGAGGAATGTCGCCTATTTGGATTATTGGAGTAATAATACCTTTTACTATCACCCATTCGCCGGGCAGAAGGTGGATAGCCCATTTTCTCTTGTTATGTAATTCTTATTCAAATATTTTCTTCGCTTTCAAGATTTATATTATCTTAATGTCTTGGATCAATAGCCCCGGGTGTCACTTGGTATAATACAACTTTTCCTCTTAAACATAGAACTTAACACACTATGAATTGCAAAATTGGTTAACAATGTATAATCGTGCCAGTAGGAAAGATTGGAAGAAAGCCCAAAATGAAAATATTTACTTATCTTTGCGTCTTATCTCCAATAGATACGGATACAAAAAAAATAAGTTCCCCTGCTGAATGCTTGTTCACCAGGTATGTATATTTGACCTTACCTATCCGAATATGTTGCACTTGTCGATATTTCACGTTCAGATTCCTGTTAGATAGCTTGAATTTTTTGAGTTGCTAAACTGGAAAGACAAAAAAATTAATAACCAATAAAGTGCAGGATGGGGAGCTTGTTGAAGTATAAGCAATGCGTTTTCTATTATCTGTATAATGTTATACTGTCATTTGGAGGATCCAAAGTTTTCTTCATTAAAGGTTGTACAAGAGGAAGAAATATGATTATTGAGATTGTTTTCCTATTTTCTGAATTGTTCCTGTTTGAGATTTTTGTTTAGAGAAAAAAATGAGATTGATACCTTTCGTATATATTGATTTCACGCTTTTAGATATATAAGCCATTTGAGTCATTAGATAACAAATTTTATACTAAAGAACATGATATAATGAAAAAGCAGACAAGTCGTAACTTGGTGACTATTATTTACCAATCTATATTCCATATGCTAACATTTGATATGTCTAGTGCTGCAATTTGTAAGATTCTGGCATCATTAATTCTAGTTCCATAGTTACCGACAGCTAAAACAGGTGAATGCACACTTACATAACAAACCGGAGTGACAGTCCAAGACATATTGCTAAAATCCAAACCAAACTCATAGAATCTTAGTTTGCAATCAGATGTACCAACGATCAAGATTTCTTTTTCTTCCCAGTACCTATGTTTCGCAAAGCCCTGCTCCAAGTTGGTAAAGTCAAAAAAGTCTAAACAGGTAACTTCAAGATCTCCAATGTTTGGTATTTTCCCCGACCAATATGTATCGCCATTTATATTCTTCAGGTACAATGTATTATCCAGTTTCAGTAAGGCTATATTGCCCTCAAGTTGTGAGATGGCTATATTCTTGATATCTGTACCTAAGCGCCTTATGAACATACCTGAGCATAAATCCCATTGGAAAACTTGTCTCTTCTGATCGATTGAAATCATTATGCTTGAACTATACATGACATTTGTTGTCTTTATTTCATTCATATGTCCACAAAAGGTAGCTTTTAGTTCCACTCTCTTCTCCTTCCAATTGCTAATACCCCATAATCTCAATAAGCCATTTGTATCACCGGTAATAAACATACCCTCTCTTAGTATCTTTAAATATGAAATAGTTGTATTATGCAGATTCCTCAGAATTTTATCTTCTATTTGAATATAGTTACCATCTTTAATGCTTATATTCATTGGTTTCATATTTTTCTTTTCAATAACACTATGCCCGACAAATGATACATTCCAACACTCACCATTCTTTGCTCCAAATCCATTTGCTGAAGGCTCTAAACTACAATATCCAGTAGCTGAACTATCACTATTTACATGCTTGATATGCCTTTCAATTTCAGGGAGCTTAGCAAGAAATAGCTCCTTTGCTTGATAAGAGTCAATATGTTTCTTTTGTGGATGAAAGTCTCTGAATATCTGTAATGGTGTTTGTCCAAAATTATGAATGATACCAGTGATTGCCATACGTTCATTCTCATCATTAACATTATCTAAATTGATTGTCCCTGGGTAGCTTAGAGAATTAAATACGTTGACAGATTCTATAGCTTCTTTCCCTCTTTGTTTTGCACCAAAAATGAGATCAATCCAATTATGGAGATGTTCTGAAACATATCGACTTTCTAATGCTTTTCTATTGACTTCAGTAAATATTTTGGGATCACCCTTCGCCCAAGGAGGAAGAATAACATCTGCTACTTTTGATCCATCCTGGCGAGTTCCCAAGTTATAATCATTTATATTTTTTAGAAATTCGGGTAGGTAAAAAAACTCAGGGATAAGCTCTCGAACATCAGTAGTACTTTCGGAAGCAGCAGATCTCCATGTCCTTTCTACCGAACTGAATAATCTATCAGCATGACCAAGATTGCCATCTTGCAGTGTCATAAATGTACTATGAAAAGGTTCAAGTCGTAGCATGTAATTTGCAGTGATCATAGCAGAGGAATAATGAGTTCCATAGTGAAATGGTAAGGATCCATCGGAGTCTAGTTCACTCAATAGTTGATATCTCTCTATAAATTCATTGCATCTTTTTTCAGTTTGAGCGCCCATTGGTTTATCCAGATCTCTATAGTTTATTGGATTTGTAGTTTGTAAGGTATCAGTTGTATATTCCTTAATGACCCAAGGAAAAACTGGATATTGTGTCAGATCGTTGCAGGATCTACCTGCCATCATATTTATCATCATTAGATAGTGAAAATTAGAAACCTCTCCCTCTTTCCACAATTTGGTTATTTTCGATTTGTCAAAAAGTTCAATGGGTCCTGAGAATGCATTAGAGAACATATACCTAACAGAGTCTTTTGCAATTCCATTCTGTGTAGTAATATTGCTACTGTTACGGTTTATGTCATTTAAAGTAGTCGCCAAGGCAATATCAACTGTATCCCTGCAAGCAATATATGAAAGTAAATCATGTAATTCATTTCTCACTAGTTTGTTTTTTAAATTCAAAAGAAAAGAGCGCCCATCGGTAAACAGCATTTCTAGGGCTGTGTCCCTTAATAGATAAGGTCTCTTTGTTACAAATGCTAACTCATTTTTCTCAAAGGTATGAATGCCAGTATAGCTTGTAATTGAATTGGTATTTCCCTCCATACCCTTCAAGTATTTTATATTTATGTCCCTAACATTTTCCGGAGCGTCTTCTATCCTTAAAACTCTCCGTTCACTCGATAAGTAATAAAAACCATCGACAAAATATACAAAAGAACTCCCAATAATTAACATCCCTTCTGATATGTTTAAACCCTTAATTAAACTACAGTTCCAGATACTTTGTATAGAGTCGCCTGCTTTCAACAGCTTCAGTATTTTTCTATTCTCATTTGTTTGTAAGCTGTTTACAGTTCCTACTTGTTCAAGCTCTGGGACCATATCAAAAGATCTGATACTTTCTGCATTGCTATCAGTTATCTTGACGCCACGACTAAATTTATTATAATAATTACCTAAGCCTGTTTCATCTACTTTGTATGTCTGTAATATTCTTTGTCTTTGTTTTCCGCAATCCTCCAAGAAATCTAGATTCCAGGTCTTATTGAGCTCCAGTTCGTCTTGCGTGTCTAGTATATTCTGTCTTCGCTTGAGCAAGTTTAGTAATTTTGAGTGTGATAAAAACCGTTCCTCGTTTATATCTGATTCATAAATTTGTGAAATTCTTGCTTGCATTTTTATGATATTAGGTGAATAATTTGCATTATCATTGGCAAAAAGTACTGTCGTTGATTTACAATTTTTTAATAAAGCTTCTAGGTCGGTACTATATATATCCCTTGGATATATAGTAGTATTGTTATCTTCTAATTTAATTGCCGATAAATTCTTTGTGTGGTCATTGAGATAATCCTCTAGCCTATATTTTTGGTTCACACTAAACAAAAAATAGCCGCTTTCGGTAAGCATGCTAATCGCTTCGTCATTGTCCATGGTCAAAAGATTCTCTAAAGTCTGCATTACCTCCATTCGATACTCATGATTAATATTATTCGCTAAGTGAATCAAGTCATAGGATTGATGAAGTATCACAGATCGTAGACAATCTAATGCCAAACTGTCTGCCTTATTTTCGTTAATTTGTAATCCTATAAGGATGATCATATTCATGATTAGTATTCTGTCACATCCAAGATATTCTTTCCCAAATAACATTAACTGGTAAGCCAATAAATATTTATAAAAAAAACAATTTTCTTCTGTTTTCTTGTTCAATTTCTGAAATTGAATAGCATACATTATTTTGATCAGTAACTTCTTCAAGCACTTCAAAAAGGCTATTTTCATTTTCGAATTGTGAATGACTTTATCACTAAAAAGGTCAGAGCATTTCAAGAACAATTCTAACCAGAATCTATGATCATTTTCAAGTATATGATAGCGCGATGTTTCAGAATGGACAAAAAGAATCAGTTCACATAACCTAAGTGCAGCTTTTGACCTGGCTGGCTCGTTCTGTTTATACTTTACAAAGAAATGATCCACTAAATTAGGAAGTAGCTCCTTTGAGAAAAAGCATAAAAGGTGGTTTGGTTTATCAGAATGCATTCTCCTTAAAAAGGATGAATTCATCGCTTCCACTCTATTAATACAATAATGTTTATATGAGTCATGTTTGCCAAGTTCCAAATCTGTAATTAGAAAATTGTTCAATAAACCTTTTGCCAACTCTAAAGCATTGAGAGATTTTTCGCCCGTAGCTATTTGAGTAAGTGTCAATGCAAGATTTTCGATAGCAAGAATCAAATTGGTTGTTCTGTTGATATCCAGTGATTGGATATTGTCAAATTTTATCGTATCATTAATTGTCGCCAGCGCACGGCTTATGGTTGTGTCGAGAAGTTGAATATTCTTAGTATCTAGCATAGATGGGTCATGTAGTCGCCACTGCATGTATGTGCATAGTAACTCAATAGCTTCGTAACGTATAACGTTCTCTTTTTGGTTATTAGTTGTTTGAGTGTTAAGTGCAAAAGTTTCTGTATTGTAATGGTCTAAATCATTAACAGCAAATAGTAGTATAATTTCTGTCAATGATTCAAAGTAACTTAAATCTAGATCTGTAATGTATGTCAAAAGAATATCCCAGCCTCCATTTTTGAGAGTTTTTTTCCATACATTTGAATTAATTGAAAAGTATCTAAACAATAGAAAAGTAAAATCAGAGGGATCCAGCTTATGAGTTGACAGTTCTTCCAGTATGATTAGTAGGATTTTGGGTGTGATAATATTTACACCAATTGAAGTGTTATCATAATCTTTTGTCATACCGTTCAAATATTCATTGAATGCTTTTGTCATCATTATAAAGTTTGTATGGCAGTTGACCTTTAGATTATAGTAAATGGTGTTAATATACCAGGTGAATGTAGTGGGGTTATGCGCATTTGCTAAAAGGCAGCTAAAAAGTTTAACTAATTGTGTTGTACACTTATTAGTTATTCTTAGCCTTTTACTTTTTTCTAAAAAGCATAAAGTATTGCACATTGTTTGGAGAAGATTGTGCGACTCAAGTATGATACTATTTTCTTCCTTATATGTTGATTCCTTGACCAAGCTCTCCAGTTGATATAATTGATAACTTACTATTTCGATCATATTATTTTTCACAGATTCGGCTTGGCAATGATCCTCTTCTATCAATTCTTCATAAAATCGCCAAAAATTCAAGTTAAGATAAAGATCAAGAAAAATGTCATGATCTGTTATATATGATTGTGTTGGATCATTGGTATTCCAGCAGCACAGTTCTGATATGCCCTTAATCAGTGCTATTGATGGCAATGTTTTCAATCTTTTTAATGGACCTTCGAGTAGTGTATATGCTAAGAGGTTAATATCATAATCTTTGTAGTATTGTGATCTAATTGAAGGGTGCTTGAGAGTGTATAAAAGCAATAATACTCGGTCTTCTATGACAGATAAATTCTCTGATTTGTAAATTTGTTCCATCAATGTACACACACCATTGAGTGCTTCAAATGAAGCAACAACGTCGGCTTCCTTATAAGCATTAAAATTACCACTGGTGTATTCAGACTTTTCTGTATTGTCGAAAACCATTTTCGTTGTTGATTTATTCTGGGATGCCAATTGCTCCTCAAAGGTATATTGGTATATGAGAAATTTCTCAAGGTTTTTGCCGATTGGAATCCTGTGATTCCAGTTATTGGTTTTTCTTTCATTAGTTCCAGCATATTGCATAAGATCTTCATTGAACATATTAATAATATTGAGAGTGGTTAGTGAAGTGATAACCGCTTCTGGGAGTACAGTATCAAATACGCAGAATTCAAATAGTTTAAAAGAGCATATTGGTGAGCCTATATCGATTGCATCAATTGAAGTAAATCCTTCTGTAATTATTGTTAATTTGTTGATGCTATCACCGTCTATAAAAAGCTCAAGATCTTGAGATTTTAGTACTAGTGTAACGTTGTATTTTTTACCTAGTTCAAATTCAAATGATTCATACATTGCAATAGTATATTCATCATTTGAAACACAAAACTTTCCATCTCTGATCTCCAAATACAACTGATTATTTAGAGTTGCAATTCTATTAGAGAGTATATCACTTAGCTCAATCACCATATGGATTGTTGCATTGAGATGAACATTGGGTTTGAACTTAAATCCCTTATATACATTTTCATATTCATGGAAATTTCTCAATTGCAAAGAATTATGAAACAATTTCTTGAGTATGTTTGAAGTTACCGCATTCTCTTCGCTGAGCAGCTTATTTAGGTCATGTACAGAACACGATATTTTTAATATGTGATAAAATAGGGCAGTAAACCCCTTGAGTTCTTTTTTATTCTCGCTTAGGACTTTATCGTGTAGCTCTTTCATAAATTTTGCATCCTGATGGCACCAGTCAGCTATTCTTTGAGCATTTACTGATGAGAAATCTATCAATGCCAGAATTATCTGCAACTCTATGCTGCTTGTTTCAAGGAGACGCATAGGACTGTTCTTTTCATCTATAAATTCAAATGAATCCATACTATTGTGGATATAAAACTTCTCGTTCAGTTCGACACTGATATAATCCTCCAGGGGCTCTTTTGCAGCTCGATCATTGGTATATCTGTTCACTATATCGTTAAGGATATCCTTTGTGTGTGTTCCTGTGCCATCATCTTCTTCTAATACTTCCAGTTCTATTTTTGAGAGTAGATCCATGTTGAATATTTATTTTTCGACCAAGTAAACTCGTTGTATAATTCACGCCATCAAGGTCTCTAAAAGAATTTTTATCTCTGTTGTTCGAGCGGCTTTTCGGACTTGTTTGTCTATATACCTCACAAATTAACCCTTTCTATTCTGTCTAAATATATTGCAAAAATAGTAGTTCGGCCATGGGCTTTACAAAAAATTACGATCAAATTGAATGTCTATCAATTATCTTTAGGGATCTATACATTCCAAGCAAAGCGTAGATGTTCATAGCAGAAAGAGTATCTCATCGCATAGCTCTTATAGTAATAGAGGATAGTAAAACCCTTAGGTCTGAATCATCGTTTTTAGGGTAAACGAGAAGGCTCAGGAGAAATTAGGGCTTACTTTTACCACAAAGCACAGCATGAAAATTCATAGAGAAACCCTAAAAGGGATCAAACCTTTGGGAGAAATGAGCATAGTCGTCATGTACGTAAGACATTAGCACTTTGAATTTTTTTTTGCGAGTGGGTTTGCAAGTTTCCGTGTGAACAATTGAGAAACTTAGAAAGTATAAAAGAGCTATGAGGAAAGCCCAATTGGATGTTATGGGTATGTACAATACGTGATTTCTGTCTCTTATTTCATCTTGTATTCCAACTTAGCTCCCCGTACTAATTCTAAGGACCGGTATTATTGTAGAGGTTGTTCAGGCTAGTTCTGTGGGAGCTATTCTATTTTGATGACACTCTCAGCGGAACCCTCACCTTCCAACCTCTCTACAACCGATGATCCGAGAGTAAGTTTCGGGTATACTTTTGCTTATTTCTTAAATGAAATGTGGGTGTAGGCTGGATTTTTCTATCCATAAGGTTCCTACCCCCATTCAGCACACTAGAAATCCAAACATATCTTCTATATAGCTGGTTTTGTCTTCTTAGAGTAGGTTGTCTGTATGTAATCTTGCTGATAATAAAGATATCGACATAGCATTGGATGCTATTGAGTGCGAGGGAAATCAGAAATACTTCGATGGCGGCTCTTATGTTGTATGGAAAGATCACACAATTAATCAAATCTAGTAGTCATGTACGACGGTTCTCATAGTTTACGTATATCATTATAACGCAAACACTTTACTGGAAAAAAAATTTTTTTTTTCACACCAAAACTGGTGGGAAGGACATCGAGCTCAGCATCATCTCTTCTCAATTGAATAAATTATTTGAATAGTAGATTTAAGAGGATTAGGACTGTTGCCGCTGTTTATTTCAATAAAAGAGGGAGAAGTATACAAAAACACATACAGCAATGGTTGTTCAAGCTCGTGACGCTTCCCAAGTCTTTGGTGTTGCTAGAATCTACGCCTCCTTCAACGATACTTTCGTCCATGTTACTGACTTGTCTGGTAGAGAAACCATCGCCAGAGTTACTGGTGGTATGAAGGTCAAGGCTGACAGAGATGAATCTTCTCCATACGCTGCTATGTTGGCTGCCCAAGATGTTGCTGCTAAGTGTTTGGAAGTTGGTATCACTGCCGTCCACGTTAAGATCAGAGCTACTGGTGGTACTAGAACCAAGACCCCAGGTCCAGGTGGTCAAGCTGCTTTGAGAGCTTTGGCTAGATCCGGTTTGAGAATTGGTAGAATCGAAGATGTCACTCCAGTTCCATCCGACTCCACCAGAAAGAAGGGTGGTAGAAGAGGTAGAAGATTGTGATTTTATATGTCATTCTTTGGAATATATACTTTTATTACATTGCTAATGTGGAATTGTTGTTTGAAGAAAGTATGTTATGGTTTCGTTAGCGATGGCCTCATATGGAAACGTCTGATAGATTGGCCAGTTTGCATGAATTGATAAAGTTTGCCAGTTGTTTTCTGAAATTATGGTGCTTTCACTTTCTTAGCCTATACAAGAATCGCAATAATTTCTTCGTTCTAGTTTCCTTAATTTGCATATATTATTATAATTACTCTTCACATATAGTTTAAAAAAATAAACATTTAGGATTATCAAGCTTTTACGCTGTTTCTCTTTAACACACTGCTAAGACGTCAAACACGATGGCGGATACTGTCATCGAGGTTTACTTGGTGTTATCAGATAGCAGTAGCTCATTTGGGGATATAGAAAAGTTCATATCCAATTTATATATTTCTGATTGTCGGAAGCTGTTTTATGATGAAATGTTTCTAAATTTCTTTAGAGTATATATGCTATACATTATATCTAGAGATAATTGAAGGGGATTTTGGATATTAAGTATAAAAAACAATGGAGGTTTAAATCAATAAAATGAGGTCACTATCCCAATAAAGCAGAGAGCTCCTCTTCTATTTCAAAAACAATATGTGTGTTGTCTCCATGCTTAGTAGACGAAACCCAAGATCTTACCAGAGACGTGCTTTCTTCTGGCTTCTTCGTGGTCCATAATACCGGCGGAAGTGGTCAAGATAACGTAACCGAATTGTCTGGCTGGCAACAAGTTAGCAGTCCACTTTTCAATGTCACCGATCTTAACGTTGAATCTTGGGGAGATAACACCACACTTGTTCAATCTACCGTTCAATTGAACGACAATCTTACCGGATCTGTGGTCATCGATGTATTCGAATTCACCAATGTAACCGTGTCTTTGCATGACTTGCAAGAACTTGATGATAACCTTGGAGGAAGGTCTGATCAAAACTTGACGCTTACCGGTCTTTTCAGCGTTGTTAATAGCGTTCAAGGCATCAGCCAAAACAGAGGATCTAGTCATTGTGCTTGTCTATTTCTTGGTGTTACTGCTCTACAAACTAAAGTTAGAAAAAATTATAAAGAAATAAGAATGAAAGCTAATAACAGAATAGAGAAATACGTACATAAAAGAAGCCTACCTGTAGTAATACTGTTGAAACACTAAAATTAACCGCCATACCTATTCCCATACTACTGACCCAAGACAGAAACTCATCGCACCAAGTGAAGCGTGTGCTGACCAAAGTGGGCATCCAGGTCTTGACAAACTAATGAAAAAAAAAAGCTGAACTGAAACTTTTGTTTTGTGACTGCTATTTCAAAGTACTCTGCGTCCACCCGTAACAACTTTCGCATGTAGAAAGTGATTAAGTAAACATCTGAAACTGGTCCTCCAATAATGCGACCCGGTACGAAGTTTGTTTGCAAACTTAAAGGGTGTTTGGGTGTATTATACTTTGTTGGATAATTGTTAATTTTTTGCGAGCAACTTATAATTTCCTAATAGGGTAATTATTTTGTTTAAATTCTTTTTTCAAGAGTTGTTCTCTTACAGTGGCACCACTAAAACATCATCTCCAGCCAGTTCGGCAGGCATTGGTCAAAGCTCAGTTCCAGGATTCAGTTGGATGTACGCTACTGGAGACTGCTAGGCTGGTAGACTGCTAGGCTGGTAAGTTGGTGGGACAAGGGAGCTTGGCCATGTCTGTCTAAGGGGGGGGGGGCCATTCCAGCACCGGTGCTTGCTAGAGGGTAAGCAGATCCGTTGAGGTGGGAGAGGCTACTGTACTGTGAGTGATTCGGATGAAGCATGTTTGGTTGGGAACTAGATTGAGGGTTTGGAATCTGTTCAAACTATGCGAGTAACAACAATTTCAGGGCGTTTAGTGTGTTACAAAGTATTATAGAAATTGGCACTATATATTTATAAGGTGCTATTTTTTAGATTTGAGTTTGTTATAATTCTTATCTTAACTGACAACAGCGAAGATAATCAACGATGCCAGTATGTGATATAGAATGAATTTGATAATATACTCAAAGAGTTTTTCAAGAGATTTCTTGAAAACCAGATGAGAAGTAATTAAAGAGAACCTATAATACTAACAGTATACTTATTGTTTGTTGTACATTTCGATATTGTTTACCTATGTGATTTGAATGAGCTTTTATATATGGATTGAGTTTCACCTGGTTGTTACGGATAACGTTTTGACTGAACCAAAAAGTTTAAGATGAGTGCAAATTTCCGTTTTGGTGTGTTTTAGAAAAATCCTGTTGACCATTAGAGGAAGTAAATAGAATATTACGTTGAGGACTTGATATGGCGTTCAAGAAATGAGAAGTTCAGCAAAAAGGAAACTAAGATGTGGTTGTGATTGAAACTCTTGGTGAAGTAAATGCGTAACTGCTGAAGACTTTAATGATTGATAATAAAAGGAGAAACGCCAGATCTATTCCAACACTCTCAAGGTAAACTCATGACAGTTTTCTCATAAAAAATCGCTCAAGGATAAACGTATAAATTTGGCTCTGAACAAAACTATTAATGACAGGCTCAAAAGTCCTTCAAGATCAAGCAAAAGTTGGCTAAGGCCAAGAAGCAAAACAGAACTTTGCCACAATGGATTAGATTGAGAACCAACAACACTATCCGTTACAACGCTAAGAGAAGACACTGGAGAAGAACTAAGATGAACATCTAAGCTTGTCGGAAAGTTATTTCTAATTATGTCAATAATTTTTTTACAAATTCCACAATATTAAATTATTTTTTACATATATACTAGCTTAGTTTTCATCTAATTATATTATCTTTTCATCATTTATTTTTTGCATTGAACCATGTATTATTTCAAACATTACTGTGTAGAAACTGTGCCACCGCGCTATCGAGCTCATCGCTCTCAAGATTCATGTTTATCATTAAGGATTAGCATTACATAATATAGTTTACATTACAATGGCCGAAGCATATATCAGAGAGATTCCCATTGTTCAAAAACACCGAAATCATTTTCTTTTTAATTAAAAAGATCAGATACTATCTAGCTAGAAAAGTGTTTGATAAGCTCATCACGTATAGCTTGGCCAAGTAATTAGTTTAGTGAATAAACAAGATTAGAATCGAGTTAGCAAATGTCAATAGTTATACTAAATTGTAGTACAACCAGAACGGCCTCGTTCGACAAAGGCGTCAAGCTCAATTTGGCGGTGTAACATTGTAACATTTCAGTAGCATATTCCAGATGACCGTTAAAAAGTTAATTGAAAAAGTATCTTCACGATTCAAATTAGCTCTTGTATTTATACTTTCCTCACAGAATGATTTTTCAGAGAAAAAAACAATATACATTTATACGGATGTTTTATGGTCGAACCAAGGCTTGTTAGGGCTTTAATATGGCATTTAGGTATACAGTATGCCATCCAGTATTTTTAGCCAGTGCTCAAGTGTGATCTGATATAAAGCGTTCAACTAGTATCGATGTACATGTTAAGAGTGTATTTAGCTGGTTAATTGAATGTAGTGGCCATTGATTGGATATTTTCAAGATGCAATACAAGTGGTATACAGATGCTAATCATGCGTCACCTACAGTGTTGCGTTCTGCTGTATAACATTCATGTGTTGGCAGTATCAATATTTTAAATAGAGAATATCTAAAATAATTGGATGATTTACTGCTGCAACACTGTAAACGTTCATCACCTCCGCATTTATTTCTATTTTCATTATGGTTGTACTTCGTTTATACAGAGAAGAGAAGAGTCCGCGATGCTCGTGGATTTGACTCGAGAGAAAAAAACGCGTTCTGCAAGCGTTTCTATCATCTAGGGCATCTCATACTCATCGAGAGCGGTGTCATTTGAGTATGAATATATTAAACAATTGTTGGGATTTATTTACTATAGGTATACCTGAGGCAAGAGGTGCCTAAATCGATGAAGAAGAATATGTGGGTGCCTTTTCTAGGAAGAGCGGGTTGGAAGTTGTTGCTCGCAATAGTTGGATTAGTATATGTGGTAAGCAGGGTACCCAGAGAAAATTCCAATTTTCTTATAAAAGAGAGCATTGTGGAGACAGCCGATGTTGAAGGATTGGATGCAGCTGTTGAACAGTTTTATTTGGATCTGTTCAGGTCAATTAATCAGTATAGACCAATGAACCCACCGGCTAAGAAACAGAAACTTGTGTTCAAGGATAAATGTACACTGGTAGCACCAATAAGTGTCGAAGAGACATCTGATGATACTCTAAAGCAACTATCATACATGACTTTGGACTATTGCTTTCATTTGTCACCAACTCAGACAAATAATTTGAAGACCGCGCATAACGGCTATTGTAGAAGAGTAGAAACATTATTCGGTAGCCTGGATGAGTACCTGCGGGACTCATTGATGCCAAGATATAAGGGAATAGTAACGTTAGGTGGCAACGAAAGAACTTTGTCACTATTGGCGTCTATTCCTCGTCTAAGGAAAATGGGATCTACCTTGCCTATAGAAGTTATATTTCCACCATATGTGTCAAATGAAGATAAGTTTTGTGATGACTTCCTGCCAAGGTACAATGGTAAATGTATTTATATGTCAAAGGCGTTACCGGAATATGTGTTAAAAGCTCATAAATTTGATGAAAAGATGATTAGAATGTTTACCCCCTTGGTTAGCACTTTTAAGTCAATATTATACATGGAATCCAATGATTTTGCCAATACAAATGTTGATAAAGCTTTTGACTCTAAGTCATTTACTGACACAGGTTTAGTACTGTGGCCGGGACGGTCTCGGAGAAGCACTTCTCCTGCATTTTATCAAATTGTTAATCGCAAAATCGACTTAAACAATAGAACTAGAAACCTAGCAGACGACGTTTCAAGACCCACAAGGTACACATCACAGGCGTTGGAAAACATACAATTCAATCTACTGGCACATACCCCCATGCACGACCTAGATGGTGCGATCCCTGACGCTGTTACGCACGTAGGTCATTATATGATAGACAAACAAAAGCACTTCAAGACATTAATGTTGGCCATGTACTATGCAGTACATGGTGAGATGTGGTTTGATATGATGTTTGCGCCCGAAAAAGGATCTTCTGGATATCGTGAAAATATAGTTGCCGCAGCGCATGCACTAGAGTTGTCTTACTACCAGGTTCATTTAATACCGCGTTCGATGAGGGGTGGTAGCAAAGATACTTTACAAAGTGGTGAAACTTTTATGCATTTTGATCCTGACTTCGATTATAGAAAACATCAAGCGCTTGCAGACAAAGTTAAGAGCAAATTAATTGACGTTCATAGCTTTGACAGGAAATATACCGCAATAAGGACGTTTGAGAAAGATTTATTGGCTGGCAATCAAGACGTCAAGTCCATATTCATAGAAATGCCGTCACCTCAATTTGACCCATTGGCATTGTTCTTCAAGGCAAAGAGTTTGCAGAAATTAGATCGAAAAGACAAGGTAGATGACCTCATGGCTTTAGAGAGACAAAACTATTCCAATTTAATGGAAGTTCTTTGTAGAGACACGGACCCTCTAGTATTACAAATGATGGTAAATCATCCATCCAAGTACAAAATGAAGGATATGTGTGTCTACTTGAAGAAGATTGTAACGTCTCTCAAAGTCTAATAGAACCAAAACGAACTGTACACTAAAAAAAAGAGCTATATATCGGCTCCCCATATAAACATTGCATGTTATTATTAAACGCTAGAAAATACATACACTTATTTGCAACTAAACATAGATCGTTCACACAAAATTATAGCGAAATGTAGACATTGTCACATTATACATCTGAGTAAGTCCATGTCATATACTACGTCATACAGTAGTTGAACGATTTGCCAGATATCCTTTTGCAGGTTTCAGGAACCCGAAAATCGCTCTTAATGGCTAAAAGGGGTGTGGGGGGAGAATAGAAGATATGCATAGCAACTAAGAAGTGCATAGGCATAACGGCGGAAGATATTTATCTCATAGAGAAGCAGAACCATTGTCGCTTAAATTTTTGGGACGATCGTTGTTTACTACTCTGGTGTATCAGTGACAAGTTCCTGAAACAATACTATATAGAGGAAAAGAGGGTTATTTGTGAATCTCGTTATAAGGATATCAAAACTATTGTTTTCTAGAAGGTGCTAAAAGATATAAGGATTTGAAATTTTTATTAATAATTGTGAAATGACAAAAGAAAGGACGTTGTACGCTGACCGTCTACTGACAACCAAGACCCCCTTTGAGGCCACCGAGGTTATGAGGGTTCGACTTTCCGAGAGCAAATTGGTAAGTAAAGAATTTCTCGAGTTATTTGCTGAAGTCAGTAAAATTAAGAGAAGCTATGTTCAGAAGTTGAATAAAATTGTTTCTGAAAAAGAGAATTTAAAATCTATTATTGATAAAAAAATAATTCAAAATAATGTTTACACATCCGAAGAATTGTCTAAATTAGACATGGACTTGCTAGGTAACGTTGTTCCTCTTTGGGATATTGTAATAAAAGAATTGAGAACAGAGGTAAAAGCTAATAAGGAATTTTTAGATGTTATTGAATCTCAAGTGTTATATGAAATAAATGATAGCATTGATACTGATAATAGATGGCATCAGCGTGAAAAGCATGCAAAACTTAGTAAGATAGCTGCAATGATTGAAAAAAATGATCCAAAGGATGATATAGCCGATGCTAGCCAACGTTGGGATGTCGAGAGCCCTTATCTCTTTGAAATGTTTGAAAGAATTGATTATAATAGATTAGATGTTTTAAAAAATAGTCTATTAAGGTATCAAACCGGTTATGGTGATTTCTTACAGCAATTTTCAAAAGGCTCGGAAGACTCAATGACAAAACTATTAGAGTTTAGTCCTGATGAGGAATTGGAAAGATTTGCTACAGAAGCAATCAATCATAAATTTAATATCAAAACTGAGAAATCGCATGACTCGCCTCAAAAGATTGAGAATTACAAATCCTCGCCACAGAAGGACAAAAGAAGAAGTACGTTTGGAAACATCACTCACAGATTTGCTTCCCACTCTTCTCAAAACAATTTGATGAACAATGAATTTTCAGACAGTAATAACAATGCGACTTTGAGCTCAAAAAAATCTCCAAATAAATTAAAGTCTAGAGTTGGATCAATTTTTGGCAGAAACAAATTAAAAAAGAAGAATACGGAATCTACTTTGAATTCTGCAATTTCAGAGGAGTCAGACTTGGGTACTTCAAGAAGTATGTCTAACAATAGAAGAGGTTCGGAAATTTCTCATGGAACTCCATATAGCGTCAGTAGAGGGCATGAAAGAAGTAGAGCACATACAGAGAGTAGTAGGGCAAATCCAAAGAAATTCCATGTAGAAGAGTCTCCATCAAAACCCCCTAAACCAGTATCTCAAAGCACTGAAATGCATACACCTATGGCTTCTGCTGCTGGGAAGGATGTCTCACCTGTAAGAGGCGTTCCCTTAAGTGCAAGCTCACCTCCACTACAACCGCATCCAAGATCAGATAGTATCAGTCGTTCAGGACATCAATTAGGAACTATTAATCAAGGCCAAACATCGGCAAGTAATGTTTCTTCACCGGCATTGCCCCCCTCCAGGAAACAAATCAACAATTCAACAGCTAACACGGTTGCTGGTATGCATGACTCTATGATGGGCGTCCAACAAACCCAGTATTCTCAGCAACAAAATTATGCAATTACCCAGCAACAATATCAAAGTGCGGCTATTATCAATCCACAAATTACTGGAGAACTAGGAGAGTTAAACCCACAGGAAACAGGTTCGTCAACTTCACTAAGAGGCCAATCTATGTTCCGTCACTCCACTCTTGACCAGGCAGGAGCGTATGGTTTAAATGCTAGTGTTGCTGAAGTCATTAATGCGTCATTTAAGGATGGTGTTGTGGCAGATTCTCAGTTGGTTGGTGAAGTGGCTTTGAATTATACTGCGGCTAACCCGGCTCAGGCTTTGCCGATTGGTATCAATTTGAAAGTTAATAATGGTTCACAATTTGAGAAAGTTATTTTAAACCAAGCATTTATGGAGCGTGTTAACTCGGAAGAATTTAAAGTCAACCCTGTCTTTATTGCTTCGAGAACACTGGGCGCCATTAAATACTCGATTTCGCACGTCACACCACCTGTGGTTGTACATCCAGTTTGGAGGTTTGAGCCTCACCAAGCTAGTGTGGTATTGAATGTTAAAATGTCTCCCATGCTACCAGATAATGTCAATCAAATTGTTCTGAATGATTTTGCTGTCTTCATTTCGATTGATGGTGCTAATACCACGAGTGCGTTGTCTAAACCTCAAGGTTCATTCAACAAGGAGAAGAATAGAATCAGCTGGAGGTATACTCAACCATTGGTATTGAATCGTGATAGCGATGGAGAAAGAATTATTGCCAGGTTTATGACTGACCAAATTGCTCATGAGTCGCCTAACGGTGTTTTGGTAAGATTTACAACAAATCCACAGTTGAACTCTGACATAGGAAGTGGTATGTCAATAATTTGCCAAGAGCTTGATGAAGAAAATCCTTTTGGAGCTGACTGGAAGCCAATTGCTTTAAAGAAAACCCTGGCAACAGGTAAATACTCGGGTTTAGCATAACTGGTATTATTAGACACTTTCTTGTAACCTAGTAGAAGGATATTGAAGTGAAAATCGGCATGAGAACCTTGTTACTAAAATCTCTGAAAGTTAACAAGTTGTGGACAAGAACTTTTTATTTTTTAAGTAATGATTCCGCTTTGGATATAAAGACGGAACCTTGTAATATTTATGTACTAAAATGTATTAGCTCAAATCATTAAATTGTATTGTATTAGGTAGTCATTAGTTTAAAGTTAACTCTGGCGGGCATCGCTACAACACGAAAACACGAGAAAATAAAAAAAAAATACTGAGGTTTGGGAAACTTAAAAGTGAAGAACTAATGTTATTATCATTTTTCTGTTAATCAGCAAAGGTGTTACAAAGAGCATATATCCATTATACTTATAAACAATGTCAATGCTACGTCAAGTTCGTCAATTTCATGCTACCGCTAGAAAATTGGACTTCTCCAAGATGTCCATTGTTGGCCGTATCGGCTCTGAGTTCACAGAAAACACATCAGCCAATAATCACCGCTACTTGAGATACAGCATTGCCTCTCAGCCAAGAAAGGATGGGCAAACAAACTGGTATAATATTACTGTTTTTAACGAGCCACAGATCAATTTCCTTACTCAATACGTAAGAAAAGGGTATGTATATCTTCCGAACCATTGTTGTTAATTTGTGAAAAGAGAAACTCTACTAACATTTATTTAATTCATCCCGCTTTTTTTAAGTTTATGGTACTGAATGCAGTCATTTGAATTCGATCAAAACCACGGGAACTAGAATTATAAGACTTAACACAGTGCTCTAGTATATGTTGAGGCCGATGCTGCTAATTTTACTTTTGAAAGACAAGATGGTACTAAAGGTACTACTCTAAGCCTTGTGCAGAAGGATTTTAACCTATTGAGAAATGGTAAAGCTGAAGAAACCCCAGAAGGGTCCTCATAAGATATCGACTAGTTCATGTATTTCTTGAAATTGGAGACCACCTAGGTATCACTTACCTTCATCAAATAGTTTAAGGAGCTTTAGACGTTTGCCTATGCCAATATATATTCTCGTTAATTTTTGTAAGGATAATATGTAAGAAATATGCCAAAATTTGTGTCAATTAATATGTATTAGTTTCGATGAGGTGATCAAGAAAGCGAACAGCTTATTCGTATCGTGTATGGCTATACAATTGGTCATCGCCATAATGGCTGCTGAAGGAACGTCAATTCGAGAAACCTAAGTGATGAGCGTTGAACCGGACTTGGTCTTTTGGTGGCTTAAGAGGTCGGTACATATTATGGTAATACATGTGTCTCATGTATTATCTATACCACTTTTTTATATTGTTAGAGTTTCTGTAGACAAAAGGGCGAATTGCTGTTCAATATATTTCGATAATGAGAAAAGAAATTATTGAAGTTGAGAGGACAGATGAGTTCGACCCTGAATCAAAGAAGGAGCCAGTTAACAAGAGATGGGTGATTGCTAAGATAGATCTATTTGTATTATCTTTTGTATGCTTGCAATATTGGATCAACTATGTTGACCGTATCGGTTTTACAAACGCCTACGTTTCCGGAATGAAGGCTGATTTGAAGATGGTGGGGAAAGACCTCTCGATTGCCAACACATGTTTTACAGTAGGATATGTGGTCGGCATGATTCCTCATAATTTAATCTTATTGAAAGTTCCTCCTAGAATATGGCTCAGTTTTTGCACATTTGCATGGGGTATTTTAACGCTAGGAATGTATCATGTGACTCATTTCCACCAAGTATGTGTTCTAAGGTTCTTTCAGGCTCTATTCGAGAGTTGCACATTCTCAGGAACCCATCTAATACTTGGTTCCTGGTATTTAGAAAAGGAGTTGCCTATAAGAAGTGCAATTTTCACCAGCAGTGGTCTTGTGGGGTCAATGTTCAGTGGCTTCATGCAGTCTAGTATCTTCCATCATTTGAACGGTAGAAATGGCTTGGCGGGCTGGAGGTGGTTATTCATAATAGACTTCTGCATTACGATACCTATAGCCCTCTATGGTCTTTTATTCTTTCCAGGTATGCCAGAATCTACCAATGATAATTCAAGGTTATCCATGACTAAAGTGATTTTCAATGAGCATGAATTGCAATACGCAAGAAGAAGACTACCGCCTCGTGACGAGACTACTAGCCTAGACAGAAGTGTGGTATTTAGAGTCTTGAAGAGGTGGCATTGGTGGATGTTTTCACTCGTGTGGGTGCTTGGTGGGGAGAATTTAAGTTTTGCATCAAATGCCACATTTGCCCAATGGCTCCAGCATCAGCAGTATAGCATTACTCATCGTAATAACTACCCATCCGGAATATATGCTGTAGGTATTGTGTCAACTGTTGCGTCTGCAGTGTATATGACTAAGTTTCGCAAAGCACGCAACTGGCACATTGCCGTTGTGATTGCCGTGGTAATGTGTGTAGTTGCAATTATGATTAGAGTTAAGCCAATGGATCCACATGTACAGTTTGCAGCACAGTATCTAGGCGGTGTAGCATATGCTGGTCAGTCTGTATTTTTCTCCTGGGCTAATGTTGTATGCAGAGATGACTTACAAGAACGTGCTATTGTGTTAGCTTCCATGAACATGTTTTCTGGTGCAGTGAATGCATGGTGGTCAATTCTTTTCTACTCCTCCGCAATGGTACCAAAGTTCCAGCGAGGATGTTATGCATTAATAGCTACAAGTGTGGCCAGCGGTATAGTCTCTATACTCATCCGCTCCCTACATATTCGCAGCCAGGACAAGAAGAAGGAAATAGGATACATTGATGCTAATGATATTTACGATGACGAAGATGATGAAGAAGCAGATATTTAGTTACAGAGATTCTATGATTCTATGATAAATTGATATATAAAACAAAAACTTAGATAGACCCCATTTAAGGTTATGCATACAATTTTATTGTGATTGTTATTTTCTTATTGTTGTTAATATCTTTTACAATCTTCACCAATGTTAACTTTAAGACCTAAACGTGAATAACACAAAAGCCTGAATGGTGGCTCACAAAAGAAAGACCTAAAAAAATAGGGTTGGACAGCAACCTCAGGTAATCGGTATCGGGTTCAAATCATCTCTAACGAGACGACAAGTCCTACAATTGCACTGAATAAAGCCTCACCACGATTTTGACACCTCGCCTCACACCAATGCACTCTCTTAAGGGAGCGGAAATGGCAGGTTTAAAGTGACAAAGTGTGTGAGCCAAGCCGTGAAACTAAGAAGAAGACGCACCACATGATCAAACTAAGCACCCCAGAGAACTACGGAACATCTCTGAAGAGAGGAAAGCTCCACCCTTCATAGTGATGTAGGAATATGTGGAAAGAAAATACGCAGGCCTTCTCTACCCAATGCACCTGCGAGAGTTTTCAGTGGCTTTCTTAATCCGCTGCCATTCCCAGCCGTTGCCCCTGATGCATCTTCACTGGAAATAAATCTCCTGCTCAGAAAACCAGAAGCGAAACGGGTATATTTCTTATAACAGCGCGAGGTCCACCACAGAAACAATCGCAGACATACTGGGCCGACATCCTTACGTAGGGCCCTCCATTAGAGAGGAAGTGTGCAATGGAGAAGTGTCGCACAAATCCACCGTTAATAGAGAAGTTGCTTCTCAGAAAAGCGCATGACAGTCACATCCCTAGACAGGCCCATACGTCTCTGCCCCACCCTTATCCTCCTTATACGATACAGATTTCAGCAGAAACTCCAATGCACTTAATCTTACCGGCCGGGTTCCCCCGAAAGCCGTCCTCACGGTCGACTAAGAATAGCACTGGATTTCTACAAAACCTATTGTACAAGCAGAAAGGTGAAGAGGAAAACGAACGGACAGCCAAAAGACATAATCCCCACGACTTGCTCTGAGACGCAGACAACTCCAAGTGAAGCTCCACGACAATTCACCGACACACACAACTCCCGTAACCTCCAACAGAAAAACCCTCAGAAAAGATCTTCAAACCACATGTAACCAACCGCGTAAGAGTCAGAACTCTCAAGAGTACCCAGAGGCTCAAAATGAACTCAGAGGAGCACCTATACTCCAAGCTCCACTAAGCTGTAATCCACCGAATTTCCCACCTGCTTTTGTGAGCGTTCGACTCCCTTTGACAGAAGAGGACCGTTCCTTGTGCAAGCAGGTAATATAACTTGCAGGATCCCGGTTGCTGTCCAGGTTTCGAACTCTGGATCGTTCCCTCTTTAAATAGTGGCTTCAAAAAGTTAACACTTCCATTCGTACAATGGCCCTGGAAGTCGCCCCTATGGAAGGGGAAGCTTCAAAAACCACTGAACCACTGAGGGTCCTAACAGAGCATCGTAGGGACTTTTTAAGATGGCCCCAATATCTATCTAATGGTTTTTGACTCTCATTGGCGGGAATTTAACGCAATCGAGCACAATTCTTGGCTATTACAGATAATCGGTCAATAGTAGTTACTAAGAAAGTATTTATTGTAGTTAGGAAACTGGGATCTTGCCAATGTTTGCATGTATCCGCCCTTATCATTGACGGCCGTGCATGCTTTGCGAAATTGCTGAACGTAAAGTAAGAATTAATTGAGTTATATTAATAGGTATGTGAATAGGATCTCTGTATGATATATTGATCTTATTCATTAATCTATTTTTGTCTGCGCAATATTGAAAGGAGCATGAAAATTAAACTACTACAAAAGAGTGTGCATTCAAAGTTAGCCCTTTGATGACAGTATTTCAGGATTCTGGAATAGGTTTGTTTGAATACTAAAATATATTAGTAATTGAAGTGTACCTTCCTTACATCATTGATATGTTGTCATAGTTTTGGTAGATTTATAAAACAAAATAAAAGATAGTCCACAATGCATAGAACGCCGTTTATATATTCATATGTGTGTGTGTAAACAAAAATATGCCAGATACATAAGTTGTCATGCTTAAATTATTTCCAATTGGTTAAAGTGTTCGCCATGATATCTTAATGCAAAATTTTGGCATTTCTTGATAAAAGGTCAACATCTGACAGTGTCGACTTGGATAATGGTATTAAATCCATTCTTATTTCAAAGTCTTCTGTCTCAATGTCTCCATCGCAAAAAAAGTTGGTGCGTTTATATATCACAGTCTAATGTAATAATTATTAGTCTTTTTTATTTTGATATTGGCCTGATTTTCATCAATACAATACTGGAAATAGGATATGAGGTCACCCATTCGACTAGATTCGTCTCAATACTCAGTCAATATTTTTTTAATGTAGGACTCAAAACGTCAAGATTAATTACGAATTTATACATGGTATTTATCTTTCTTATTTACAGGTCTATAGATGAACTGGCACTTCTAGGGAATGGAATGGTATCCTTAATATTCTGAATGCCCAGCAAGTAAGAAATAAATCTCTCAAATCCGAGGCCAAAGCCGCCGTGTGGTGCCACACCTTGTTTACGTAAGTTAACGTACCAATCCAATTCACCTGTATTATTCATGCCTCTTTTTTTGATCTGATATTGTAGGGACTCGTAGTTATCCTCCCTCATACTTCCTCCAATGATTTCTCCCATTTCGGGGACAAGAAGGTCAAAGCATGCCACAGTCTTACCGTCTTCGTTTGACTTCATGTAAAATGCTTTACAGTCCATTGGGTAATCAGTAACAAAAACTGGACTCTGGAAATATTTCTCAGCTAGCCATTTTTCATGTTCAGTTTGTAACGCTTCCCCCCATTTAGGCTTGTATCTAGGGAAGGGCTCCTGTGAATGCTTCTCTTTAAGAATTTGTATAGCGTCTGTATATGTGATCCTTTTCCAATTTTCAGAATTCCTTAGCATTTGCCATCTTTCAAGTATCTTTTCTTTATTTATGAGGGTTGATATATTGTCCGGCAATAAATCCTCTCTATTCTCGTAGCACTGAGTAACCATACTTTGTAAAAAGTTTCTTGTGAAATCTAAAAGCTGGTCTAAGTTGTCAATGAAGCTCATCTCTGCTTCCAGCATCCAGAACTCCATCAAATGTCTTGGGGTAGCACTCTTTTCTGCTCTGAAGCATGGTGATAAAGTCCAACAATTTGCAATTGCCATCGATAATATTTCAAGGTGTAATTGCGTAGATACTGTTAAGAAAGCCTTTTTATTCTCCAAGACACTAGATTTCACTTCAAACTGTTCACCTGCACCTTCACAGTCATTTGTGGTAAAAATTGGTGGACTAACTTTCAAGAAGTTCTCCTGTTTGTTGAAGAAGTTAATAGCATATTCTTCCATATGCGATCGAAATCTTAGTATTGAACCATAGAATAGTGACCTATGTTTTAAAGTTGGTAACGTCCTGAGAAACTCAAGTGAGTGGCTTTTCTTTTGTAGTGGATAGTTGGTCTCTACATCACCCAATAGCTTCAGATCCTTAACAGAGTCCTCAACCAACAGTTCAAATGGTTGAATCCTAGACCCTTGAGTGATTTTCAGCAACGGTGAATCGACTGATATACATTGACCTGTTTTAAGGTGCCTAACCAAAGAAGATTCTTGTGGATTCTTGATCACAATTTTGACATCCTTATTTGATGAGCCGTCATATAAGTCTACAAACGCAACTTTCTTCATCAGTCTCACCGATCTCACCCATCCGTTGACCATATCTAATTTCTGGCCATCTTTGGGCACTGAGTCATATAAGGTCTTAATCGATACATGCCGCTTGGCAATATATCTAATCATCTTTGATATGGTGGTTGGCACTTGCCTTGAAGTCTTGTATTTACTTTTCAGTATTGGTTGAAACCTTTGAATGTTTATTGAGTGCTTTAAGGTTTCGATTTAAGGCCTTTGTTTTTCATCTCGTCGCTGGTATAAGAAAAGAAGTAATAACAAATACAACTATTAAAAAGTCTATAAAAGGTCTAATTGTATTTAGTTAAAGATAGTTATTATAATAAAATGTTTATTTTTTTTTTGTATCTGTATATAGCTATTTCAGTTAAATTACAATTAAGAAATAACTAGTATAACGGGATTTTTTGGTTGAAGGTATCTATAGTAAATTTTTCTTCTTCTTCATATTGAACTTTGTGGAAGCCAGTAAATTAACCTGATTCATAATCCTGAGAGCACCATTTGAAGATATATCATGTCACTTCCGGTGGTAGCAACCACTATCTTAACGGCCTCGATGTATCATCGTGGGCCCCAAAACCTCTTAAACCTGTGAGAATGGTGGCTTCAGTAAAACTTCATTCAAAATCAATTGGATGAAAATAACACACACAAAACTGAAGACGACCAAAGGGAGGTAGCGGAAACGATAGCGGAATGGTGCGAAGCAAAATTGATACTCTGTGTGAAGGTGAAAGACACCCGGGATATGAGATCGGCTTAATATAGGGAGACCAAAAATGTAATATTCCAAAGAAAAAAGTAAAAGACAACCATAATTAATAAACTCAATTAAAATTAAGCGGGAGAAAGGTAATGGGAAAAAGTAAATTGTATACGCATCGTAGAGTTTGTTGTTTGACATCGTTAGTGAAAGAATAAATACAATTAATGATTAATCAAAGTGTAAATTGAAAAAAAAATAAAGAAACAAAGCACAATTAAAAAAGTTTCTTGTTTTATCATAATGAAGCATATTATTGTTGAAAAGTAAAAGTTTTAGAAGCAGCAGAATATTAAAAAAAAGGTTGAATTGACATGTAGGAAACAAGTTGAGACCAATAGCTCACAGCCAAAAAAGCACTCGCTATCAGATCATACACACACATTTGTTTTATTTCTATTATCCGGGGTATCATGTAGACGATAGTGTATGAGACAATTGGTTCAGAATTGTTATCCTAATCAAAAAATTAAAAGTGTTTGACAAAAGATCATTAAAAGATTGTATAGTAAGTAATCCGAATTAAGTTAGAAAAAAAAGATATGAATATTCTTTCTTAAAAAATAATCAATTCAGGATTATCTTAGAATCTTTGCAAAGATCTTTGTCTTTCTTGCCACTTTCTGTAGATGATAACAGCGACAATAGCGCATGCGGCTAGACCGACCAAAATGAAAACTAGAATAACACCACCTGGCAACATTTCTATATTCTTTTTTTCTTAGTTTTGACTTAATATTTCTATTAGTTCTTATTTAAAAAAGAAAAAGAAATAGTAGATGGAGGAGTCCAAATAATAACAGAAAAGAGGTTCCTCTTTATATAGAAAAGGTAGGTAAAAGGGAAAAGGAGGTTTCCAATGAGTGGGTTTTGGAATAATTATATATACTACAAAAAAAAAGAACTGAGGAAATTACAACTTTTTGATATCTCCATTGAAAGGTGTGAGAAATTTTTTTTTTCTTTCCTTCACTATTTCCACTCTTTGCAAATTGTTTATTATCTAAAGTACAGTAATTCCCTCTCTTCCTCGCAGTAAAGAAGAAGTAGAAATCATATACAAAAAAATGTGCAAGTGATAAATTCTGTGTGAGCGAGAGTTGAGCTCCCTCTAGTCTGCATGGATTTGCCAGCAAGATAGTGAAAAAGTTAGACCCGGAAGCTGAAAAGATGAGCAATGGACTTCCTGCGCAGAAGATAGGTAAGGTGAATTGAAGAAGAAAACTTGTATAAGCACAAGGGTTTTGAGGGATAAATAGAACATTTTCTGTATTACGGTGGGTACCTTTTTTTCTGCCACACAGTAAATAACTAGTACTGACTTCCAGGTGGTGGAAGGACAACGGAACTAGTATTCTTGGAAAGCATAAGTTATTCCGAATAAGTAGGAGCCCAAAAAGAGAAAAGTTGTTGTTGATTTGTTTGTTTACAAGAGAGAGAGATCACAGAGAGAGAAAATGTTATTTTAGCTGTTTTCTTTGCTACTCAGCAATTAGTGAGAAATTGTCTTTCTTGTTTTCATTTTCTTTTTTCGTTCATTTCTTCTTTGGCAAAATTTGTTGACAAAAGCATTGAAAATGACGATTTTTGTTTTGCATTTGCCCATGATAGCAAATAAACAAACTTCCTAAAACAGCAAATGGATTGTATTTTGTTTTGACCTTGGTGTGCCCACCATCTCCAAAACTTCGGAGAGATTGGGGAGCTTAGCCAGATGGAAGGGACTTACGTTGAAACTGGTTTAGTAAAGCAGGGAAAGCAGGAAAGTAGAGTGAAAAAAGAAAGAAATTGGTGATGTTACTTTAACGAAAGAACGGAAGAGTGCTATATCTATGGAGGGGCATGGCTGGTTCTCAGTTCCTTCAATCTGGAAAATACATACAACAACAAAAAAAACTCGGGACTTAACTCCATTTATTCTAACTCTTGTGTGCGAATTCTTAGCATCCAAAGTGAGTGAACAAATAATTAAAATACCTCGCAACAACTTCTCTCTAGACTAACCTGTCATAATCAGCACTAAAGTTATGGTATATGGTGGGATGAGTAGGTAAGTTCTCGAGGCCTGCGTATTAGTTTAAAGTGGAACTATCTCCAATTTCTAACTACTGTACTGCTACTATTGCCATTTCCCTGCATCAAAATAACTATTGAAATTGTACATTTGAAGGAGTTACTGGATAAAATTACGTCATATGAATATTTTTTGTGTAAATTATTTAACGCTACAGGGTTTTAACTGCGTACAGCTTCAAGATACAGAAAAATTCTAGAAAAAAACTCAATTCATTCTGTAGATAAGAGATTAGCTATAGATGGAAGTTGTACCGTTATTTGGATTCCTATCTCGGATAGACACACCATTAATGTCGCATAGCAAGTTATATATGTCAAGATTGTTTATGGGTCCGATCTCTTGATCTTTGAAGTACGGGCCCGTGGCGATGAATAGAGCCTGCAGTCTTGCATCGTCAACTTCGCTAAACGTATGAGATCCTATGACATAAGGTCCGGTGTCACCATGGTACTTCTTCTTTTCTTTCTTCGCTTTCTTTGCTATAATGTCGTATTTTTCCTTCAGCATGATAGAATTGCCGATCTTTGGCACTATCCATATCGTGGGAAGCCTTCCCTTGAGCTGCGCAGTTCCCGTATCAGCAGTTCCCGTGTCAGCATTAGTGGTAGGACCCCTACCGAGATCTTTGTTAATCGAATCGTAATTCCATTCTTTTGGGAAGTTGCCGGCCAAGAAAACGTTGTACCGCTCAAGATCTATATGCTTTTTGATAATCTTGTACACAGGGTTAATGTGTGCCGCCTCCCTCACGTAGATACCGAGACTTGCCCCCTCCATATACATATGAGAAATCACATCGTTTTCACGTAAATACTCTCTTTCATTGTGAATCAAATCCTCCCAAATAGTCACATTGTTGTCAAAGTTAATATCTGCCATACCGTGATTGCTCACTAACAGAATATTAGTAAATGCGCTCATATTTCTTTCATGTAACCCAGCGAATGTGTCGTTAATAAATTGGTCCACGCTTTTCAGCTTATCTAAGAACTCCACCTTGTGAGGAGAGTCTCTATCTATAGGATACCCATGAAGATGCCCAAATGTGTCGAGATCATTCACGACACTGAGAATCATCTGCGGTCTTTGTGTTATATCTTCAGTGTCAATATAGTTAAATATCTTACTCTTCTTAGTTTCCATTGTTTCTTGCGCATCAAAGACATCCATATAGTAAGGCTGACGTTCCAGTTTGATATAATTTAGAGATGTATAATTTACGTCACTACCAGGCCACATATTGGCATAAACTTTGAAATTCATATTGTCGTCATGATTATAAGCCCTTTGTACTGTTTCCCATATAGGTTCGCTATTGTTCACCCATACTCTGGGATCGATGATGCCAGGTCTATATTCTACTTCGTTCTTAGAGTCCCAAAAGCTATTGGCAATCATCTTATGCATGCTGGGATACAACCCAGTTACCATCGTCCACATATTAGGTATAGATTGTAGTGGAAATTGCGGTCTCATGTACGGACTTGTGGTAATATTTTGTTTCAGTATCTCATTATGTTCCCGTTTGAACAAAGCACTGATAAATGGCGTGCGTTCATCTGATATCAGTCCGGGATAGAATCCACTCAAGGAAATGACAATGTTCAGTGGGTTGAATTCATGTGTACCATTTGAATAAGTAATAAATGGATCAAACTCGGTGAATTGGTGATGTCTATTAAGATCTGGGTTATCATTATTGGTACTGGTGAGAACTTTCATCCATAAAAATGATAGTATTACAATTGTCAAAAGTAAAACAGCTAGTTTCTTCATGCCCCTTGTTAGTCTTAGTGAATCATAGTATTTTGATGTGTTTAGCCAATCGCCAGTCATTTGATTAAACCATCTGGTCTCGGATATGTACTCGTCCCTATCAACATGTCGGAGATTTCCTTCATGATCCAGTTCATAAAGCGGTACACCTCGTCTCTCAATCTCTTCAAGGTTTCTTACAAAGTACCTCGCATACCAAGGTATACGCTTAGCACCTGTATTGGCTTCAGTGTCTGCCTGATCTCGGTATTGCCATTCCGTAATTCTGCTCCATATCCCTTTCTGGTCATTCAAAGCGTCATCAGTGTTCATAAGGTGATCATCTTCTAATGGATCCTCAATCTCAAAATCCTCACTCCTAATAGACGCAGCTCGACCTTCCTCCATTCTTATGAGTCAATGTTTTAATACTGCTATGTTGCGCTTTATATCAATTCCTTAGCACCATTTAACAGTTGTAAGGCGTTACAATAGTTGTCCCCTTAATGTCGGTAACCAAATAAAAGACCTCCCAAAACAAAACTTAACCAATGCTAGTTTCAAACAGGGGTATAACTATTTTTAACTAATGTGGATTCAACTATGCAGTATTATTGGAATCCCTCATGGAGAGGTATTTTGATTTGTATTGGTGTATTGTTATACAAAAAGAGAGAACTCATTTGGCATTATGTGAATGTTTCGCAAAAAAATAAAAAAATAATAGGTCCTACCCGGATTCGAACCGGGGTTGTTCGGATCAAAACCGAAAGTGATAACCACTACACTATAGAACCATAAGAAGTTCTTGTTGTCAGTTGCTTTTGGGGGTATCTTATATTGGCTTTTTTTAAAAATTTTGATAGGGCACACATAATAATTCTCATATTAAATGGAATAATTGGGTAATCAGTTAGAGAGGCTATGCTCAGTTATTGAGCTTCGAGTTTTGTTTAAATTTTATGCAAATTTATTTAAAGTAGCATATCTTTTTAGAGACAATTATTGTATATTGTTACAACGGTGTTGGTCTGTCACTATACAGCCCACCTGAGGAAATGTCAGGTACCAATACCTCATGTGTATTTAGCATTTGCTGAACGGTTATTTATGTCAATTGAACAGTTAGTGGATATGCATGATATCCTCCCACTTAGCTATTGTTATTGTTTTTAATCATGATTCATCTACTCTTATGACAAATCCTTGAGCAACTCATCTATTTCTGCAGCAGTTGCCTTCTGTCTCTTCTCATTAACTACTTTGGAATACCTTTCGCTATCATCAATAGCACCAAACACTTCCAGCATAGATTCCCTATGAGACATTAGTTGGTACGCGGTCAACGATTTAAGCGTTATATTGCTGTACTGTTTCTTGTACTTCAAAAGGTCCTCTTGTGTTGTCATGTCTATACTTCTTTCTTACAATAACTCCAAAGAGATTACTACAACTGTTTGCAATAAGTATTCTCTCTCAAGTGTAAATGTACTTTAAAGCAGGTTTAGTTTCAGTATCCATTGTATTACATTCATTTTTGCAATTAGCATTTTGTCAAGAAAGTGCCAAAAGGAAAAACGCCCGAGAGCGTTTTTCGCACAGAATGTGAATAGTACAATCCAAGCACTTGTACAAAAGACTCGATTAGTTTACAACCTTGAGAGAGAGGTCAACAAGTTTCTGCTTAGCATTGCAAGTAGTAGTAACGAACATATATCTCAGATGGAATACAAAGACTTGCTAAGAGTGTCTGACTTTATCGGGAGCACTTTATTCATAGAGATCGATGACGACAGATCTCTCCAAGGAATACTAGTCGCGGTCGACTGCCAGATGAACTTATTATTAGACCACGTCCACGAGCATACAAAGTCAATTGGTTCAAGAACACTGGGGCTCGTCAGTGTCCCACAGTATACCATCAAAAATATCAAGATATCGCAAGCAAAGTTCAACGCTCTGGTGGATTTCAAGAAAGAACTACAGCGGAACATCGTATAGTCCTGATGACGCCCTCTTAAGCAAGTTACACCACCATGGTTTACGTCTACACCTTCGAGCTTGTTGGTAACAGTTGAGTTGCTGTGAGGGCCCTTGTGTTCAATATGAGCTAATAAAGTGGATATCAGATTGTTCCGTGTAAATGAATAAGTTATGCATCTCGATGAGCCTTCTGGATTCACAGCCATACGGCCTTATGGACGCACAAGGGACTAATATTTTGTAATAAAGAATGTTTGCTGAGCACTCTTCAAAGCATAATAGAGCATTGGTTGCTCAACAAAAAGGGCATAAGTTTTTTCATTCGGAGATGGAGGCAATGAGGTATAAATAGGGCATTAGAGATTTGATTTCGTCATGATTCTCTCTTGTTATGGAATCAATTATCAGTTGGAAGCCCGCTGTACCACGACCACTTAACCAATTGTTTGTAAACAATGTCTGAATCAACTTCTCAAATCCTTTTGGACAAGTATGCTGACCTGTACAAGAGAACTGTTACACATCCTTTGCCAAAGGAGCTATGTGAGGGGACTTTGCAGGACAGAGCATTGTATATCTACTTGACTCAGGATTTGGAATTCTTTGAGACTGGTCTAAGATTGATTTGCCGTGTTACTTCTATGTGTCCAGAAGTTCCAAGTTTGATTACTTTGGCTAAGAAGATCGGCTTCTTTGCCAGTGATGAGAATGATTACTTCCGCAAGTGTCTAAGCTTCCTTGAATCAGAGTTGGACAAGGATACTGTAAAGGAGATCAAAGATAAGAAGATCATTCCAGGCGTCGACGCATACATTGATTACTTGGTCGAGTTGACCAAGGATCAAAGATATGACTACCCAGCTCTTATTTCTTACCTGTGGTGCGCCGAACAATGCTACTTGGATTGGGCCCATGGCTTGCCAAAGAAAGAAGGTTTGCACTGGAAGCATCAAACTTGGATTGATCTACACGATGGTGAGCACTTTATTACCTGGTGTGAATTTCTAAGAGCTGAGGTTGATAAGTTTTCTGTCAGACAAGTCGAAGAGGTGTTTGCAAAGACTTTGCAACACGAATTCAACTTTTTTGACAGTTGTTACAAGGCATAAACCTCTCGGACTAGACGATACATAGAGTATTTATATGAGTTACGTTTATAGTTTAACCACATTTTTTAGATTGTTGTTAAAAGCGATGCATTACTTCTCAATTTTACGTATGATCTCTTCTATTGTAGCTTTGTAATCATTGCCTTGTAGATAGGACGTGAGTCTATCTACAAAAGTAGTACCATTCCAAGTGTTTTCATTCTTCTTATACTCAGGGATACCTACTTGCTCAATTGCAAAACTAGCTGCGACATTAGCACAAATATTTGCAATATGATAGTCCTTAGTCGTTTCATAAATTTGAGCAAAACCGCCTAAATATGTATTGCCACCACCTGTAGGATCAATTACTTTATCTGGTGTTTTACTATGATATGCTGGGTAATGGAGTAATTTACCGTCAATCGGTGACCTGGTAACTGATCCTAGTTTACCACATCGGATTATGACCTGGTTACCATCAGCTAATTGATAAATTGAGTTCAACAGCTCGGTACATTGCTCTAGAGTTGAAGGCTCTTCTGAATTATTCGTAAGTAGCCGGCTAGCCTCTTCCGCGTTGGGAGAGAATATAATGGGTATTTCTGATTGAAACACCTTCTTAAAATCTTCAATATGATCGTTGTCGCACAGACTAGGAAGTGGTTCCCATACTATTGTGTATCCCATGTTGGGATTCGATTTGATTACTTTCAGATCATTAATTATAGCTAAACACCGTTCTGCTGAACATACCAGGTGGAAGCAGTTTATGTCCTCTCGTACTTTATCTTCTCCAAATGTGCCTACCCAGTCTTCAACATTGATTTGTATTTTGGGCGTCAAAAATTTGAAGAGCCGTAAATCTCTATCCTTGCCCTCGGCCTCCAAGTTTGGATAGTAATTGAGGCCTCTTATAGTCTCCCTGTTAGAATCGATCCGATATTTCGTAGTGACACCCCATTGATCAAATGTTTGCCTGATAGAATCGGGAAAGTCATGTCCTCCATCGACAATCCACAAAACTTGTGATCTAACGTGAGCGCTTGGTGTACATATAGCAGCTCCTAAGACAGCGTACGTTCCGCCACCTCCTGGAATACCATTGTAGGTTACTTTACCTTCAATATCATCTAAGATAAACATACCATTAGTAGTGATCATAGCTCCTTCACTGATGTTGGACGATATGTAACAATGAGATACATAAATAAAAAGGTTTTGTCCCAATACATCATCATTAAAGCAATTATCCCATACAAAGGGTATTTATGCTTGATGACTTCATTGATATGCTTGTACTCGAGTCATCTCATCGCAAAATGATTGAAGAAAAAAATAAAAAAATAAATAAGCCCTGTAGGGGGCTCGAACCCCTAACCTTATGATTAAGAGTCATACGCGCTACCGATTGCGCCAACAAGGCTTATTAATTGCGTTGAAATGAAAAGAAGCGTAGCTCATGTAATTCTATAGTCTTCAATCATGAAACATTTGTATCCTATAACCAAAATCACTCTTCAGAGTTCTGTTTGTTTAAGATCCAGGATCTGGTTATTATGATTTCTATAATCTTCAATGTTTTCTTGATGATTATCACAACTTCATGAGTTGTTATTATAAATCATTTGAAATTTAATGTTTTGGACAACTGTGACATACTTAAAACTAGATCACAGGTAGCAAAATAATAAATACCCAAAAATTATTTATCGTTCACTTCGTCTCAGTTGCAGTACAATAGTAATAGTGTGTGAAAGTATAACGTAGTATAATAAAAGAGTACTAATATAATATTCTAGCCGGTAGTCCAGGAAATATATTAGATGTGGCCAATATATATGTAAGTGCAATATTACCACGTGATCCATCACCTACTCTCTGTAATCAGAGAGTTCCTCTTGTCTCTCCACCCCCACACTCAACCAGTGAAGTGGCAGCACAAGGACCCTGTAAGGTACGAATACGAAAGCCTTTGCCCATTGTTCCTAAACAATTCAAAACTCTGAAAGTTTTTGCAACAACGTTTTGAACCAGACACTACATCTGTACTTAGAGTCCGCTAGCAGCTTTTGAGTTATATATCTGATCTGGAGTTACCAGTGCGGGCTCTTATCTTAAATAATTCAGTGCTAGGTTCTTGAACTATCAATTCGGACGCATCGCGCAATAAGCAATACCGTTCAATAATTAGCAGTATAAGATAACAGGCTTTTTTTTTGTCAGACAATAGGCCAGACTGCCAACATTTAAGTGAGTTCAGTGGATCTCATTTATTATATAATTACACTAATGGTGGAGCTCAACGCAAAACTTATAGTTGCTGCACACACAGTATGTGCTGCCTCAGCCTTCCTTGCCGCGTTGGTAACTGGTTATAATCTACATTTCCATAAGATTGTGGAGAATGCTCACTACGGATACCCTGATGAATGGTTTCCAAGTGTATCAGCCACCATTGGGGATAGGTACCCAGAGAGGTCCATATTTCAAATTCTAATTGCATTGACTGCATTTCCTAGGTTCCTTTTGTTATTGTCTCACTATTATATCAATGGCTCATTGACAACTTTCATTATAGGTACAGCAAGAACAGTAACGTGTGGTGGTTGGGTATACATAACAAGTACCGATGACCATGACATTCACGACATTTTCATGATTGCTTACATTATCTTGACTCTACCGTGGTACATTCTTGTTACGAAGCACTCAAATTACAAACAAGCCAAGACCATTGTGGGAACTACATTTTTTAGTACTCTTGTACCAATGATCTATTGGTATATACAGCATCAGGTACATCATGTTGCAGGCGCATATTCTATTTATGCCTATTTCGAATGGTCATTGATTATTTTAGATATTACATTCGATGCCACCGCTTATAAGGATTTTAAAAAGCTCACTTTTACATTGAAGCACGATGCAAATGAAGCTGGTAAATGGTTTTTCAAGATTAACAACCAACAAAATGATACTATGAAGAATGAAACAATTGTAGAGATTGATGATGAAAAAATTGAAAGACCGATTGAAGCTGAAGTAGAACTTGATGAAATTATCAGAGCTAAGGGTATCGCTGCAATTGAAGATCATTTGATTTCACCAAAGATTTTCACCTATGATTCATTCGTTTACATAACTGTTAATATTATCGAATCATTCATCTTTTGGTCTAATCTCACATCCCTAACATGTAGTGTATGGCATTTTCCTCTATGGTACATGGGTATTTCGGGATACGAAGCAGCTATACTCGGATTTATGGGTCCTGCAATCTTAGCTATTCCTTACATGTCATCAGCAGTAACTCAGTATGGTGCTTTATTAGGCGGGCTTATCACCATTGGGGCATATTTAATTGATACCCCAGAGCCAAGATTGATAACCATTTGTGTTGGTACTATATTTTCCATGGCCACTTTTGCTCAATACTTGAGAAAATTAACAAATGCACAATTGAATTTCTCATTTGCTATTACCTGGTCGCTTGGTTTGATTTTTACACTAATAATCAAAATGTGGTTCTTCTCCAATAACCCCACTTGGGCTATCATGAAAGAAGAAACTGGCGGCTACAACAAGACTGCCATAGTTATTTCAACAGTCATAGGTATGATATATCCTTATATCAACTCCATCCATATGAAACAGGAGAAACCAATGGTAAGTGGATGCTTCTTTAAGAAGTTTATGTTAGCTACTGGTTTTGGTGGACTAATATTTAGCATCCATCAATCATTGACTGATGCCTCGACTTTGATCTATTGGTCATGGGAGGGATACTCCAAGGAAAACCAAGGTCCACTAGCTTGGCCTTGGGCATCGTTAACTATCGTGGTCATGCTTTTTGGCGCACTGACCTCCTTGAAATTCATCAATAGACCAGTATTCCCTTCTTTATTATTGATTATCGGTACAATTGTTCTTTCAATTCGTTCCATAACAGGATGGAATAAATTCATCTTTGGGGGTCTCTTTTATGCCTTGTCAATTATGTGGTTAATTCCAACGTATGTTTCTGCTCTTGGATATCTAGGTAGTACGTGGGTCTTTACATTGGCGTTTTTCTATCACGTTATTGGTATCCTAGCTCACGTTTGGGTGGTTGCTTACGCTTTTGTACCAATGGGCTGGATTTTAAGAGAAAGAATTGAGGTAGTACTTTCTATCGCTACTGGAATGGTTATTCTGGGTGCGTTGTCTGTTTCAAATAGCTTTTTCTTGCCAAAATCAATATCTTTCACGAAGAAGTTCGGTACCTATTTGACACTATACGCATTTGCCGCCTTAGCATTGACTAGTTATTGCACTTATGATCTGAGACCAACAGGAGTCCCAACTCCATACCACCCAGATAAGAAACTAATTACCGCTGGTATCTGGACAATTCATTTCGGCCTAGATAATGACATGTGGGCCTCAGAAGAGAGAATGATCGAATTAATTAAAGACCTAGAAATTGATGTTGTTGGTCTTTTGGAAACTGATACTCAACGTATTACAATGGGTAACAGAGATCTAACCAGAAAGATGGCATACGAGCTGAATATGTATGCTGATTTTGGACCAGGTCCAAATAAACACACATGGGGTTGTGTGTTGCTTTCCAAATTCCCAATCTTGAACTCAACACATCATCTCTTACCTTCCCCTGTTGGGGAACTAGCTCCCGCCATTCATGCCACATTAAAAACATATGATGATGTTTTAGTAGACGTAATTGTCTTCCATAGCGGTCAAGAAGAAGATGAAGAGGATAGAAGATTGCAGTCACAGTACCTAGCTAAGCTAATGGGATCTACTAACCGTCCAACATTCCTATTAAGCTACTTAGTTACTGACCCTCATGAGGGTAATTACAACACCTATGTGAGTGAACTCTCAGGTATGCACGATATTGACCCAAGTGATGATGACAGGTGGTGTGAATACATCCTATACAAGAACATCAAACGTACTGGTTATGCCAGAGTCTCAAGAGGTACTATCACCGACACAGAATTACAAGTAGGTAAATTCCAAGTACTAAATGATAGGGAACTTCTGGAAGCAAATGACAGCCTTTACACCGACGAATACACCGAAGAAATTGACGATGATGGATTCAAGTTCCCTTCCATGTTTGAAGGTGAGGGAGAAAGAGACCACTTTTACCATGTTTTCGACAGACCACGTTATTTTGGGTTCAAGAAAGATGAGGAGCAGAATGATGAATAAACCATCAGTGGTAATATCTTGTCCTGCTTTATCTGACCATTGATCTTTTAATAAGGAAATAGTACTTTATTTAAATGCAATTTTAATAGTTTATGATATATATGCGATAAAATAAATTAGAAATTCTCTTACATTGAATCCTTCATAAACCTCTATAGGAGGAGATAATCAACAACAAATCGTGTCTGAAAGATTTATTTCAAGTCTTCTTCAGGGAACTTTTGTAGAATTACAACCTCGAAATCTTGCTCATCCTCATTTTTATTTTTCTCCCAGAGACTCAACAGCTTATATGAGCGACAAATAACAGCTTTATTAGGCATTGGTAATTCTTCTACTTTGTGCTTCTGCTCTTCATCTTCTTTGTTCTCTTCGTTTTGTTCTACATTCTTATTATCTTCATTTTCTTCTCCGTTTATAATTTTTTGCATCTTTTCTTCTTGTTCTGCTATATATTTGTTCCAAGTTTCTAGTTTCTCATTACATAGTTTGATGAGCTCGTATTTTGACCTACCTTTCATATCCTTGAAGTAATTCAGTAGTAGCTCATCATATTCTGCAGGAATTTCATCAAAGTTGTGAAAATGCTTCAGTAACCAGTTCTGTTTCTGTTTAGAGAATTTCCATACATCAACAACCGCACTTTCATCTTTCTTACTTTTGATATCGTTTTCGTCATAGTTGGATCGTATGCTTTCTAATTGATATAATTTGTCTGGCAACTCATCGGAATCTTTCAGATAGAATTCAATTAAGTATCTTAGCTGATCCTTAAGAACTCTCTGTTTCTTTTCTAAACGCTCCTCACGTGGTAATTTAGCCTTCTTTTGCTTCTTATCCTTATTCTTTACCTTCTTAGGCAGGTCATTATCAGTACCATTTAAAATAGACTTCTTTTGCTTTTTGGTCAAAGAACCAGTGGCAAGATGGGTAGTAACATTCAATGGATCATCCTCAATCTCCCTTTTACCTTCATTCTTGTTCTTAATAGCAAATCGCTTCCATGCAGGTACGTGGTCCATGTCTTAAAGCTTCTATCGTAGTAGTAAATACACTCAGTGTTTTTGCAATTGCTTAACTTCTAGACCTACTAAAATCCAATTTAACACATAAAAACAGTATATCCTAATTCTGGAATGAAACAGAAGGCCTTTACCACAAGTGATGACTACCTAATATCCCGCTTTGTTCATATGAAGCTCATCGCGATGAGCATCAATAATGTGGGAAAAAGTTACAATCCAGTACAAATTTTCACCAAGTAACCAAATAAGGAAGTTCTTCATTCTTACCCGGAGTATTTTATGAAAAGCTTTTCGGTCCACTCAAGTTACCCGGAAAACTTACATTATCACGTTACATGTGCCGTAGAGAGGAATCTATGTTTTTTGGATATCTCGGCGTCAAACGCTCATACTGCAGAATTTAAGCTATAAGTTTGGCGGCTATCAACCTTGAACTTGCTAAGCTTTCCAATAACAAAAATAAAAGCGCGGATAAGAACCAGGTTCCACCACTTATGGTTTTAGAAAATAATATCAGGGGCAGTTAGAATTTCTCATAAGAATAGATAGACGCTAATATAGAATTTATTGCATACTATCCGCATTAAGAAAGAATAAAGCTTTGAGATCCTACTATTCACAGTTGCCACACAAAAAAGCCATTTCTATTGTACTGAAGCTACGTGGCTATTCATTCAATTTTAGCGAGGATACTATAGTCTCTTTATTTTTGAGGAAATACGGTTACAAAGCCACCAAATTATTAACTGTGAGCAAGCATATTATCACAAAAGTTGGACGCAATAGTACATGCTGAAAGGCAAAATTTTACAAGCTACTTGCCAAAAATAAAAAAAAGCTTAAAATCAAAATTACTTGTGCCTTTCTGTCGCTTTTGAGTTTTTCTATTACGTTTTTGACAATAAGCTAAACGACAATTACAGGATACAGGAGACCCAAAGATTGTATTATCGGTTCTACGATAGACAGTCTGCTACTGTATAGTCATATCAATTCAAAAACCCACAACTTGCACCTTAACAGCAAAGTCTGTTTACACTATATTGCCCTTTCTTTTTAGCCTCTTTCGCAGTCACATTTACGCTTGATTTATCGAACAAACCCATTTTGAAGAGAAAATCTTTCTTCAGAGGTACTCTTTGGCTCTGTCTCATCCTTCCCTGAAGGAGTGAAAATTTTTTTCTGTGAGTTCCGTCGGGTAAACTTTCAACGATTGATAGAAGTCAAACAACACTGCGAAAGGTGCCCTGTCTCACACCGAAATATACAGATGTCAAAAAGTTTGAGCTGACTTTCGGGAATTGTAAATAATTTGCCCCAGAACAACAAATAGAGGCAATCAAAAAAATCACGAAGGAGGAAAAAAACGACTCTGGATCTCTAAGGATCGGGGAAGATAATATTGAAAATTTAAGTGATAGAGAGCAATCTTTCTCTCCCTACTTTCGCACATCTTCGCCTTTTTTGTAAAGCTAACTGTTCGAAAAGCGCACTGAGAGAGAGAGAGAAAGGAAGAGGTTCAGAAGTAGATCTCATCAAATACAGCAATAAAGGCTTTGGTATTTGCTTGCGTACTTCTTTCCACTCCCAAAGAAGATCTTTATTAACCTGACATATTTTTACTTATAAGTGGCAATAAGATCAACTTAAGCAATATATATTTAGCTGTCAAAAGATATCATAACCAAAAACAAATTAAAACAGGTCTTTCCACAGACACAAAAAGATTTCAAGAAACAAGGGAAAATTCAAACACAAGCGGTTTGCACTTTGAGTGTAAGGTAGCGGGAACTTTTAAAGGTGAGTAAGTCAGTTTATTTTGGCTATACTTTTATTTAGCATTTGCATACATGTCGAATAACAATAGCAGCATCTCTAATAAGGTAATAAACCTTTTCAGAAGCGGCTCCAAATCATCAAAGGCTGTGAAACCTACTGATAAAACCGCAATCAAACAAAATGCCAAGCCAACTGTTGCGGCTATAACAACTAGAATTAGCAGTGAAACTGGTGAAGGTTCATCACCCCCAAGATCTGGGTCTTCAGAATCTATTTTATCTTCTGACATCCACAAACAAAAATCATCACCAACAACTAGATCGTCCTCATCGCTTGCTTTGGATAACTCAGCTGCTGTTTCGAATACTGTGCAGGCCGGTGCACCAATATCAGCCAATGTACAAGCAAGTAGCAGTACAGTAAAACTTTCAACTATGGACTCTAGTAGATCAGAATCTAATACGCATCATGATAATAGCCACTCTCATACTAACTGTATGAGATTTATGGTGCATGAAGATGGCAGCCATGAACATCATCTAAAGAATGCCAGGAGACAGGAAAAGCTTACCAGCATGATCAAGAATATAATGAAGACTAATAATTATAGCACAGCCCAGAAAAAGCTTAGAAATGAAGCTAAGTCAGCTGTTCCAGATATTATTACTTCTCCGGTAGTCTCAACTCCCATAACTCCTAAACTTCAAAGTCCTCTCAACCCTTCACAAGGTGGTCCACAGTATAAGGGCCCCCCTAGTTTGTTCGCTGGATATATGAAACAAGTTGTAGGGAATGATGGTCAGGTTGCTATTAATGGCCCAGTTAGTGGTGCTTTTAATGGTGACCAGAAAGTAATGTATCAAGATAATGAAACTAACGAAGACATTCAACAGGCTCCATTAACTCTTCCACCACATTTTAACGACTCCTTATCTTTTGCAGAAAAATATGGAAGTTGTAAGGAGATTCTCGGAAAGGGTGCTTTTGGTGTTGTCAGGATTTGCCACAAGAAAGTTCCTGAAAATCCTAAAGTTGAGAAACTATATGCTGTAAAAGAATTCAAAAGAAAAGCTACTGAACCAAAAGAGAAGTTCGCTAAGAGACTTACTTCTGAGTTCTGTATATCCTCATCTTTACATCACACTAATATTGTTGATACATTAGATCTATTTCAAGATGCCAATGGTGACTACTGTGAGGTGATGGAATACTGTGCGGGTGGTGATCTTTTCACTCTCATTATTGCTGCCGGAAAGTTGGAATATATGGAAGCGGATTGTTTCTTCAAGCAACTATTGCGTGGTGTAGTTTATATGCATGATATGGGCGTTTGTCACAGGGATTTAAAGCCAGAAAATTTGATTTTGACACATGACGGTGTATTGAAGATCACGGATTTTGGTAACAGTGAATGCTTTAAAATGGCATGGGAAGAAGATATACATTTAAGTGGGGGTGTTTGCGGTTCGAGTCCCTATATTGCTCCAGAAGAATACGTATTAGAAGAATTTGACCCGCGCCCAGTAGATATATGGGCTTGTGGTGTTATTTATATGGCTATGAGAACCGGCAGGCAGCTTTGGACTGCCGCTAAGAAGGATGATCCATTTTACAATAAATATCTACAAGGACGCAGACAAAAATCTGGTTATGAACCAATAGAGTCATTAAAAAGAGCTAGATGTAGAAATGTCATTTATTCAATGCTGGATCCTGCTCCGCATAGAAGAATAAATGGTAAGCAAATTCTAAACAGCGAATGGGGTAGAGAGATAAAGGTATGCTATGATAAACAGATAGCAGTTACATCACGCAGTGATAGCCAGCAATCCAGAGTACATGCTCCTATTACTGTTAAGTAATTCAGAGCATGATAACCACTGTTGAATACCTGTAATGCATTTCAAACACTCCACCATTTTCAGTTCACTCTCAGTATTCCAACATTTTATTTATGAAAACATATCTCAAGATATTGATTTTTCTTTTCCTTTCTAATGCATTTTTGAGCAACCCTCTTGATAGAAAACTTGGTCCCTGTCTGCAATTTCTCAATTGCAAAATTGGTAAAGAATTTGCTGGTTATGTAATTCCAGTAAGGGTTTGACCACTACTATTCATATTCTTATACATTTGTTTATGTCATATGTCTTTTCAGATAACATACAAACTTGTTGCAGTTTGTTTTTCTATTCGATATAACATGCATCCTCATACTTTCTATAGTGAGAGTTCCAAATAAGTTTTGAAATGTCCATTTCTGATGTGCAACAGCCGTGATAAGTTGAATCCTTGGTATTTGATTATTATTAGCATCATAGAAGGTATAATACTTCTCCTTGACCTAAAATTAAACATAGTGTTTACATATTTATCATTACATTAGTGATGAAAGTAGCTATATTATTTTCAAGTCGGAGCCGAACATTATTTTCCTGGGTTTCCTTGAAAACCTGAGTCTTATTTCATTTGATGGTGGACTGATAAGTAGTTGCCCATACGCTTATGGCTAGGACTATTTTAGACCAAGTGCACAGATGTCTAATCCCATCATTTGGTGAAGTAACTCTTCTATCTTGTCATCTAACAAACCATTAGCATAATCATCTCTGGACTGTTGGTCTAAATATTGCTGAATTTGTGCAAGCCTGGTATAACCGTCTGTACAGAATCGTAACTGTATCTTAACTAAAGCTTCAAAACTAGGGTCAAAGTATGGTACTCTCAAAGACACCAATTGTGGAAGCTCTGTCTTCAACTGATTATTCAAATTTTCGTATATGTCTTTGGCTAATGCCATCTCCTTCTCGGCTCTTGGCAATTTAGATGCATCCTTCGCAGGCTTATCGATCATTCGCCTTACCTTTGCTTTGGCCGCATCGTAGTCCTTTTTCTTATGCTCTCTTTTCTTAATTGCTTCGTCTATCTCCTTGAAGTATGTAGCGAATTTGGTCACAGGATCCAAAACAGTTTCTCTAAATGGACCATCAAGCTGTTTAACGGTCTCCGTATCAAAATCTTGGACACATTGTAAATAGTAGTTACCCACATTGTAGCCTCCACCACTAATGTACTTGGAATCGTCATATAGGTTGGAAATAACTTCAGCAATAGTTACTTGAGAAGCCGTCACTGCACGTAGTGAATCCAGATAGCCCTTGGCTTCCTTTTGTAATGATTCACCAGCCTTCTGCAATACACGAAAACGACGCTCTTCCATATCATACTCCTTGTCTATAGTCTTGTCAACATTTTTAATGATAACGCTGTTACCGGCCCTATTGATGGCCTTCTTGAAACCTTCCCAACTCATGTCCCAAAAAGTATACTGAACAAACACAACACTAAACAGGTACTCTCCCAAAAGGAAGTAACTCGTAATTAATTGAGACTGGTGTATGTATACTCATACACAAAGTTGAATATATTGCCATTAAATACCTTACTGCTCCCATCTTCCCCTTTGCTGTTAAATCCGGGATTTCAGCTTGTAACAAAACTGGATTTTTTCTTTTGTGTGTATCAAAGTACTTACCCGGACATACTGCATACTGTTTTGGTGTGTTACTGTGAGCGAAATATGAAGTAGTATCATTCACAAATATGGTTTGTATTGAGTGTCTGACAGCACAATTCGATTAGATTCATATCTATTATATATGTCAACAGTTCCCATAATTTTGTAAAATTAATTGGGATTTTTCTTGTGGCTTTTTGCACATCTTAGAAAAGATATTTCAATATTTGGAATATTAATTAATCATTGAAGGTGAGAAACTTATGTAATGGTTAACAAAATAAAGATTAAACAAATTTAATAAATAGTATAGTGTATAAGGATAAGAATATCTAAAACTCTACCTTGTGTTTTGCAGTCTTGAAGCAAGACCAATAAATAATTAACTGAAAATTCAAAATCAGGTCAAAATTATTTTTAAGAATATTAACAATAACTGATGCAGAGCTTAAGAAATGCACATAATGAAAAAAAATAAATCGCTACTTTACTGTATGCAACAATTTAAATTTTCCTGAAATTCTAAAAAAACACCTTCTCGTTAGTTGGCAGTGGTATCTTCTTGACAATGAAGTACGTGTTATGCTTCGTGGCTACACCTGCGTAAGCATCATACCACGCTATAAATGCCACTACTACACCTACTACACCACCAGCTCTTGTACATCCCTCATTATTGGCAAAATTACCAATACTGAGTAACAGGAATGTTACCGCTAGCAGAAAAAAAAGAGCGAAGAATGCAACGGTTGATTTCATGGTACAGAGTGTTAAACCAAAGGTAAATATAGACCAACCGAGGAGATAAAAACCTAGTGCACTTCTTAATTGATCTTCATGGCCTTCATAAGCCTCAAGTATACCGAACCATGGAATATAAATGGCTGCAAAGCTCATCCAGAAACCACCAAAGGACGAAAGTGCAAGCCCACCAAATGTGTTTTCCAGTGCTATTTCCCAAATACCTGCCACAAGTTGAACAAGACCACCGTAAAAAGCAGCAGGACCGACTACTACATTAGGTATAACAACACCTTGTGCTCTAGCGTTAAACATAGAGAGAATAAATGTGGTTAAGGCAAATGCTGACAATCCCAATGGTGCTGGATTACCAAATTTGTGAGACGATGGTGGGGCCAAACCTGGATTCAAAGTACCACCGAAGGCATCATATAGATCAGAGATCAGGAATCTCTGTCTCCCAATGTATATATACTTCTCATTATCAGCAGTAGTGTAAATCCTTCCTATAGACCCTTCAGAATTACAGTCCTGTGCATTATAAGGAGCAGTATTGTTGCTATATATAGACCTACCTTCTTCATGGTGGGAACTACCTCCACCAACAGTTGTACCGGTACCAGTGGTCATAACTGATGAGCGTCTTCTTTTATTATTAGGATCATTGATGTCCTCGACTTCTTCTTGCCGCACTAACTGCTTAGGGCTAGTATGTGTGTTGAAACTAGTAGAGCTAGAGTTTGAAATACTGGAGCTAATAGAAACCATTTTTTTTATGTTTCTTTGATTATTCAACTGGTATATTACCTATCCAGCAAATATCTATACCTGTTCTACAAGTAAATTTCAATCGAAACCACATCAAGTCAACAATTAATATCAGATACAGTCAAGGAATCATGGCTATACTATTTCACTATATATACCATTTTTTGTTGTTTAAAGTCAGTGTTATAGGTATCCTTCACCATGCGTTGACCACTTTGAATAATATGAAAGCATATAATAACGTCATGGCGTAAAGACAAATCTATCCTCGAGAGAAATGCAAGATGGAACATAGCCGGAGGTTGGTTCAGGGCCCCTCATTTTTAACATACTTGATTGTATTGAACTCCTTTCAATGAATAACCAGTATAATTACGCTAAGTATCTCCTATCGCTTAAGACATTGTCCCATATTGAGTGCAGTCTTAAACTAGATATCTGGGAGATGCGATTTTCAAAGGGAATACCTTATACCGGAGATGAACTCAATACCAGAGCAAGTGCTGTATGCAGAACTCAACTTGTAGTCTCATCTGTCAAACAGCCATAGCAAGGCCTAGTTTTAGATGGATCCGTTATGAATCCCTCACACTACTAAATTCTCAGTAAAAAAGTAGGAATCGGAATAGAAATTAGTAAGGACAAATGCTGAAGGTCTCTCCGAGTGATCTTGTCTTGTGCAGGCCTTCAACTAATGTAGCATTTACTTGAACTCCTTTACCCCGGACCTGACATCGACGGTTGATACGAAATCCTCGAGGATCAATACATAAGATGACTGAGAAGTCCCTCACATTGTTACACAGTACTCTAGTTTAGGCAGAGAATCTGCGAATGAGTACTGAAATAGGGACCAGTTAACCAAGAAAAGTCCCTTTACATAGCAGGCTGGTGAAGATTTTGCTTGGATCTAACAAAGCTTTTGAGTTCCCCCGTAGTTGTTAGGACCGATAACTCGGATTGGTCCTCTAGGGTGATATGATAGTCAAGGCACGTCAAGTGCTACAGCCAGTAAGATCATTGTGCTTACACACTTGTACGACCATAAGATACGAACCATACCAATATGATAGTATGAGATAGAGATGCCAGCAGAACTATAACTTCATTGCGTCTCTTTCATTTAAAAGAACTTGTATCACTGATAATTACTTAAAGACAAATAACTATTATGCTTATGAAAAGAAACAGAAATTTTGAAGGAGATATGCGGGGCAATAGGCCACTAATGAGGGGTGTATGCCATACCACGCCTATTTCTACTATGTTACGACAAAGAGATCGGCTAGTATATAAACTTTCCTTTGAAACCATTGAGTAGGGAAAAAAATTGACGTAATTCTATTGTGAGCAGAGTCCTGATCTATTTTTGTTCTACTACTATTAATTTCAATGCTAAGTAGCCCAACACCAAGAAAATGGCGTTGAACAATGCCAGAGTTTTTATGTCAAATACAAGATTTTGTACTTGGAATCCAAATGTGCTTAAAATAATGGCTCCGGGCACCTCAATATTTAATCCATACTTTCTTTCTCTCAACATCAAGGTTTTTACCTCATTTATCAACAGAGCTTCGTATGCATAATAGAACACTGAAAAGTTTTTGAGATACTTGAAAGCCATGTTTGTAATATCTTTTGTGTTAATAAACAAACCGCTGAAAAGTAATGAGGCTAGTAAAACCAAGACACTTATGACAATCGAGTTATTTAGGTCTTCAAATATTATACCAATTGTCAAAATCTCCATCGAAATAGCAAGGTTGAAAAGAACCAGAATACCAATACATTTGAAAAATGCATCATCTCTCATATTCAAACCTACTAGTGGGTAAACGATCATACACAACAGGATTGGAGGAATCACTCTCAATGGAATAACGTCAACAAGTATTTTGCTGCCGTAATATGCCAATGGGGAATAATAGTTATTCGATCTCTCCTTAAGGAAAATAATTCTCTCCAAAGCAAACGAACTTAAGCCTGTAAAAGTTACAAAGCCAAAATATGTCAGAATAAAGAAGAACAAACCCATACGGTTCTGAAAACCACTGATATCATTTTCAACCTTATAGTATAATACTCCTAAGAAAACACCTAGCAAAACAGTGAGTAAGTAATTACCGAGCAAAAGTTTAGGGTTTCTATATATATTCTTGAATGACCTTGAACAAAGAATGGACAGCTGCTCAGAAAAGGAAGCTGCCTTCAAAGTAGTAGGAATCTCGAAAGATGTGCTACTGGTTTCGGATGTAGTGTTTGTTTCTCCAGTTGGGTTTGCTTCTCTCTTAATCTCCTCAATATTAAACTTTAATTCTCCATAATATTGGCCATCCTTAAATTTCTTTGACAATATTATGGTGTTTAAGTCCCCCGCACTTTGTATTTCATTTTCTAGATTTTCTTCAGTTTCATGACGCAGTAAGGTACTGATTTCTTCTCTGTGAGTTGCATAGTGCTCCCATTCCCTCTGGGTAGCAGTACTAATCGATCCACTTCTATCGTCTCCTCCACCGAGTATTTCTGCTGCATGATCATGACCATCTTCGTTCGCTGGTGTTCCAACTTCTAAGTCAGGTAATATTTCGCTTAGAATATGACTAGCTTTTGATTTCTTTTTCTTCTTGTCTCCAGACTCAAAAGTTATATCAATAAGGTAATCTGCAATATTGTAATTTGATGGACATTGGTAACCATTGTTTTTCAAAAACTCATTAACTCTTAAAGCCTCTCCAGAATAAACCAATTCACCACGACTCAATAAGACCAGCTTATCGAACCTGTAGAATATGTTAGATCTTGGCTGATGTATTGACATAACTAATGTTCTATCATAATTTCTTGCCAGTCTTACAAGACACTCAATAACATTGTTAGCGTTGTTTGCATCGAGGCCAGAGGTAGGTTCATCCAAAAACAGCACTAATGGGGATGTAACCAGTTCACACGCAATAGATACACGTCTTTTTTCACCACCACTGATACCCCTTTCAAAGTCATTACCAACAATACGATCTTTTATATCCATTATCCTTAGTTCTTCCAATACGTGGAAAACACGAGCCTGTTTTGCTTCAAAGGACATTGTCCTTGGAAGTCTCAACAGGGCGCTATTTAAAACAGTCTCGTAAACGGTTAAAGTTGGCAACAGATAGTCATCTTGGTCTACAAAACCAATGAGCTTTGTATAGTCCTTTCTCGACACTACCTTACCATTGACTCTTATGGAGCCACTGACATCACCGGTTTTCCTTTTCATTGCTAGGATATCTAGCAACGTGGTCTTACCAGCACCTGATCCACCCATAATGGATAATATCTCACCTGGTTTAACCAGTCCGGATATATCATTCAGCACTCTTTGCTTTTCATCAGATCTGGAGTTGGCAGATGCTGCGACATAATAATTGATGTTTTCGAAGGTAAGCGTTGCGGATTTACTAGACTGCAAGAAATTCTCAGTTTCATCTGCCGATCCATTGACCAGTAATGAGTCAGCATTTAGCAATTGAATACTACCTGCTTTGAATAACGGTGATTGAGACACATACCACGCGACAAAGCTTACACCTACCAGGACAACCAGCGAAGTGAAAGCCAGCATGAGTCTTCCCTTGAGGGTCATATCGGGACTCCTGGAAGGTATCTTATACCCAGGAATTTCGCTGTGGTGTACACATTCCCCTGAGTTACACGACAAAGTGATGTAGCGGTCGCCGAACACAGTTGATATCAAGTCGTTCATCGAAGGCTCGCTGAACTTACAGTTCTGTACAATCTTGTCGGAGGCCTGGTCTCTTTCACAAGCGAAATCTGCGGGTCCCGTGATGGTTTCGGTCAAGAACTCCGAGATGTCAATGGAGCCCTTGAGCCCGCACAGCAAAGTCCCTGGGACGCACTTACACTGTGCGTTGGCACACTTGTAGTGGGTGGTGTTGTCGTTTATGTTGTGTTCGAAAGTACAGTTGTCGAGGCCACAGTAGAAACTCTCAATCTGGTCGACCCAGAACTGGAAGTTGCACTCCTCTTTTGCCCTGTCGCAACTGAAGGTGACCTGCGGCTTCTGCCCATGCAGCACCTGCAGTATCTTCTCGTTGGTCACATCGCAGCCTTGGAATACCTTGTGCACGAGGGCACCTCCGCGGTAGCACGTACCTTTCAAGGACGAGTCCGGCATGAACGAGTCGCACACGTCGTCTCTCTGACACAGGTTACAGTTGATGCCACCCCAGCCGTCCGCACACGCGCAGGAGTTGTCCCTGCCGTAGGTCAAGTTCTGGGCCCTGGGTGGCCTATCTCTGTTAGGCAAGTCCAGCGCCCCGCACAGGGCATCGGAGCAATTGAGCCCGCCGAACCCGGGGATACACTCACACTGGCCCGTGTACGAGTCACACTCCGAGAACTGGCTGCACGCAAACATCGGCAGCATACAGTTGAAGCAAGGCGGACATGAGTCCGGCACTGAAGTATCTGGCACTGAGGTGTCCGGCACGTATATCTGGTTCCCGCTATAAGATGGCCATTTGGCCATCACCTGCACCAGCAACAACCAAAGCACGATCATGTTTGAAATTGTAGTATTCTATTGTTTGTATCGTCTTGTATCGTAGTATCGTCTTGTATCGTTGTAATTGTTATATCGTACTCTGACAGTTCAAACCCACCAGCTAATAATATATATTACAAGCGCCGATAAGGGTAGTAAAGAGGGACAGAGAGGGGAGGGTAGGGGGTGCAGAGAAATTAGACGGTTAGCCATCATATACGCATATACGAATATTTATAGTATTACTTTACACGGCTGTGGTCGTCGTGACGACCACAGCCGTGTATAATAACAAAAAGCAGTTAACAAATAATAGCAAACGGTACACATGTGACTACCACGTATTGTATGCTTTACGGGTGACAAGAAAAGGAAACCCCGCCAAGATACGTGCAAGACGAGAATACCAGCTTTCTGCTTTTCTTTCTTCTTCCTCGATTTAATGGCTGGGGGGGAACTGTGAGATTACCATGACACCCGTGCACCCCCGGACTCCACTAGGGGAAGCATCCAGGTCGGGTGGGAGTGAGAGGGGGAATCGGGCAACTGCTCTAGGAGAAGCTCTAGGAGAAGCTCTAGGAGAAGCCCTAGGAGAAGCAAAGGGGAAGCCCAAAGAGGGACAAGCGCAGGCCACTACAGTAACAAAGACAGGAAGCCCAAAAGATCGCACCTTCCAGTCCATCGCCTTCCCCCATTGTCATATGGCAGTTTATAGCAGTGTGGCAGTATGGCAGTGTGGCAATGTGAAGCAGTGTGCAATACTTCCAAAGTGGATAATGTGATGCTTGCAAAAAGTTGGGACCACCAATGCTGTAGAGACAATGGGATACCCTAGCGAATGAAGAAAAAAAGGAAAACGAAAAAAATTTGTATATAAAGCAGAGGCAATTTTTGTAGCGGCATGATTAGTTGTCAATTGGCAAGACGGCATACATACATCTATTCGATAATGTCTCTATCCTCTAAGCTAACTGTTCAAGACCTTGAATTGAAGGACAAGCGTGTCTTCATCAGAGTTGACTTCAACGTCCCATTGGATGGTAAGAAGATCACTTCTAACCAAAGAATTGTTGCTGCTTTGCCAACCATCAAGTATGTTTTGGAGCACAACCCACGTTACGTTGTCTTGGCCTCCCACTTGGGTAGACCAAACGGTGAAAGAAACGAGAAATACTCCTTGGCTCCAGTTGCTGAAGAGCTACAATCCTTGTTGGGTAAGCCAGTTACTTTCTTGAACGACTGTGTCGGTAGCGAAGTTGACTCCGCTGTCAAGGCTTCCGCCCCAGGCTCCGTTATCCTATTGGAAAACTTGAGATACCACATCGAAGAAGAAGGTTCCAGAAAGGTCGACGGCCAAAAGGTCAAGGCCTCCGCTGAAGACGTCGCCAAGTTCAGAAAGGAGCTGTGCTCTCTAGCTGATGTTTACATCAACGACGCTTTCGGTACCGCCCACAGAGCTCACTCCTCCATGGTCGGTTTCGACTTGCCACAACGTGCTGCTGGTTTCCTTTTGACCAAGGAATTGCAATACTTCGGTAAGGCTTTGGAAAACCCAACCAGACCATTCTTGGCTATCCTAGGTGGTGCTAAGGTCGCTGACAAGATCCAATTGATCGACAACTTGTTGGACAAGGTCGACTCCATCATCATCGGTGGTGGTATGGCTTTCACCTTCAAGAAGGTTTTGGAAAACGCTGAAATCGGTGACTCCATCTTCGACAAGGCTGGTGCTGAAATCGTTCCAAAGTTGATGGAAAAGGCTAAGGCTAAGGGTGTCGAAGTCGTCCTACCAGTTGACTTCGTCATTGCTGACGCTTTCTCCGCTGACGCTAACACCAAGATCGTCTCCGACAAGGAAGGTATCCCAGCCGGCTGGCAAGGTTTGGACAATGGTCCAGAGTCCAGAAAGTTGTTCGCTGCAACTATCGCTAAGGCTAAGACCATTGTCTGGAACGGTCCTCCAGGTGTCTTCGAATTCGAGAAGTTCGCTTCCGGTACCAAGGCTATGTTGGACGAAGTTGTCAAGTCCTCCACTTCCGGTAACACCGTCATCATCGGTGGTGGTGACACTGCTACCGTCGCTAAGAAGTACGGTGTCACTGACAAGATCTCCCACGTTTCCACTGGTGGTGGTGCCTCCTTGGAATTGTTGGAAGGTAAGGAATTGCCAGGTGTCGCTTTCCTATCTGAAAAGAACTAAACTAGCTTGAGAACTCCCCCTAGTTCTTAGAAAGGTGTAATTTGAGCGCATGAATAATATTTCTCCACTCCCGATACTTTTAATAGGGTAGTAAAAAATTTAACCAGTTCGAGTGCTTCCTAACAAGATGAACATAAACTTGATAGAGTCTACCTTTTGATAGGGTATAAATTTTATCTTCCTGTTTAGAGATGTTTTCTCAATGGTTAATGGAAAATATATGCTATATCTTGCCACGCAGTACATCCTTTCGAAGCTTTTTTATTCTATTTCAACACATCGATAAATGACGTACATAAAAATTATAAATAATTTAATGAAAAAATTATTATTATGACTTATACATTAATTAATTATCAGTTTATTTTTTTTTTATTTTTTTTCTTTCTCAGTTTAATTAGTTCAAATAGGCATTTAATATATTCGAAATCATTTCGGTATAGGAATGTTTACCCAATCTGTCTTGTTACGATCAACAGGATTGAGATAAGGTACGTGCAGATATTCAAATATTTTTCTTTCGTCAAAACTCTCTAAAAGAACATCATCTTTAAAGATACCGTGCTGAGTCAACTTATACCCCATATCCATGGCGCGGACCCTTAACCACCTATTATAATCAGTATTACCGGTATAGTGTATGCGAGCAGCACCAAGTTCAGACCATTTGCAACAGAAGAAATCTAATCGGCGGCAAAAATGGTCAGCATCTTTGCTCTTAGACATAAACTTGTCCTGCGGCTTTAATTGAAGTATATCCTTATCATCGAATGGATAAATTGGATAGTCCCCAGGAAGTTCTACCCCGAAAAACAATTTCTTGCCGCGATCTGAATTGCGGAATGTGTGCTCATTACTGATCTCCGCAATTCCACATTTTTGTAACCTAGAGAGTATGTCTGGCCTAAACATTCGCTCTAGTTTATCTGTCAATAGCAGGAAGCACTTAATATATCCTTTCTGATATAGACTTGCAGCGACATTTTCCATACCAATAGTAACTTCCTCCAGGTCATCGCAATTCTCCTTATAAAACATTAAGTCAACATCTCCTGTATCTCTCGCCCCACGCACATAACTTCCTTGCATCTCTACACTACATCCATTTCCTACTCGTCTTACTTCCTCTTTTACTAGCTCAAAATGGGCAGTTACTTCATCTCGTGGGATTCTCTTTGACCAATCCTCATAATATGTCCAGCCGTATAGTATTGGCCAGTCGGAAATAAATAGTTTAGGATGCAGTCTGACGGCTCTATAGAACGTTGATATATTCAATGTAATCCATTTCTTCGCCATAGGGACCCCAATTCCGTAACATTCCGAAAAATAGCCCAAAGAGCTTTCATATTCGTCTGTAGCTGGGTCTTCCAATCCCGGAAGCGTCCCAGTGTCTAATAAAAGCTGAATTTTCTTAGCGATGCTAGACCCAATGTTAGATAACTGCCGCTGAGCTTGCGATCCGGAAGTAATTTTATGAGGATACTTCTCGACCGCTTGCTTTGCTAATCTGTAACTTCTCGACCTATACTGGTCGCCCTTAACTTCATACTTTTTCACTAATCTCCCAAGGGCATTTATTAAGACTTGATTATCTATGTCTTCTTCTTGCTTAATATACTTACTCAGTGGTGAACTCTGTAATTGCGGCGTGGCTGTGTCTGACACATCAGTCATATCTCCCGTTGATTCTTTATTTCCTTCCACATCCGTTTCATCGTCGCTACCTGCTTCTTCATTTCCAGCACTATGAAATTGAACGTTCTTAGTATCCCGCTCTTGACTCTCACTGTCTAAAAGTATTATTCTTTCACTATCACTGAAATGGAAAGTTCCGTTTTCCACCCATGAGGGTACCAAAGATACTCTTAGGCACACCAGCTCATTTTCCAATACATAAGTCCAAACCACAGAAGCATCCAACTCGAATTCTTTCAAGAACAACCCGCGATTGACTATCTTATTGGTCTTGTCAACAAACGAATCATTAACTAATACCACCACATCGTTGCTTAACCGATCTGCTGAACTCACTAGAAAACCTCCTTGTTCCTTCACTATCCCAGCTAAAATATTCACTGATGCAGTATGAGAGTTCGGTAATATCAAGAACTTCTTGCCAGATAATATTCCCATAGTCCTATCTCTTTCAGCTGCTATATAATCAGCATAGGATAACCAATATTTGAGTTACAAATCCTTTATTTTATGACAGCGAACATGAGAATATTACACTACGTAGGCTCCCCTTAGCGATGAGGTGAGATGAGATGAGATGCGATGAGCTTTGAGTTTTTCAATGATTAATAACTAGAAAAGAGCCCGGTTCTACGGCTTTTCTTAGGAGTGAAAAAAATTTATGAAAAAAAACAACAATTCGAAGCTGAAAAATCTTGTAAATTCACAATGAGATGAGCTCATCGAGATATATTATCGATATAAACCAAGCTGAGGTACACAACTCAAGTACAAAATAACTGAAAAAGAGAACAACATTAAAGAACATGGCTAAAGCTGATAAGAAGAAGTACTCTGGTGCGACGACAAATAAGCAAGTTGCGGCTGAGAAGCACTTGACATCTGTTTTCAAGTTCAATACTGATCTTGGTCAGCATATCTTGAAAAATCCACTGGTTGCACAAGGTATTGTTGATAAGGCTCAGATCAAACCTTCTGATATAGTTTTAGAAGTTGGTCCTGGTACAGGTAACTTGACTGTTCGTATACTGGAGCAAGCTAGAAAGGTTGTTGCAGTGGAAATGGATCCCAGAATGGCTGCTGAACTAACAAAGAGAGTTCATGGAACCCCAGCTGAGAAGAAATTAGAGATCATGCTTGGTGACTTTATGAAAACAGAGCTACCTTACTTCGATATCTGTATAAGTAATACACCATACCAAATCTCTTCGCCTTTAGTTTTTAAACTGATCAACCAACCAAGACCCCCAAGAGTTAGCATTCTGATGTTTCAAAGGGAATTTGCTATGAGACTACTGGCAAGACCAGGCGATTCGTTATATTGTAGATTATCAGCCAATGTTCAAATGTGGGCCAATGTTACACACATCATGAAAGTAGGTAGAAACAACTTCAGGCCACCACCTCAAGTTGAATCAAGTGTTGTAAGAATAGAAATCAAGAACCCAAGGCCACAAATTGATTTCAACGAGTGGGATGGTCTTCTGAGAATAGTGTTTGTGAGAAAAAATCGTACCATCTCTGCGGGTTTCAAATCTACAACAGTGCTGGAGATCTTAGAAAAGAACTATAAGACATTCCTTGCAATTAATAACCAATCTATAGACGAGACCGAAAATCTACAAAGTTTGATTAAACAGAAGATTGAAACTGTGCTAAAAGAAACAGGGCTGGCTGAGAAAAGAGCTGGTAAATGTGATCAAACTGATTTCTTGAAACTTCTTTACGCATTCCACCAAGTTGGTATTCACTTCTCATAATCAACTAGTATCAGCTATAATTGCATCATAGAATTATCCCCATATAACTGTATATTAGAACCTTAAATTCATATTATAAAAATGATAAAAGGAATAACCAAAAATACAAAATATGACGATCATTATCAAAAAATGACGTACACACCACAAAGGTTACCTTGTGCCCTGATGGAATATACTTATCGTCTATATTCCCATTATGAAGCAAACTAAAATGTATGAATAGATAAGCATTACTATTTATTATTAAGATATGATCATATAAATATTTATTGTCTTTAGATCATCAGGAAACTGCTGTTGATCAAACAATTAAACCATGTGGGACAACTTCGATAGAGTATCCATCTGGGTCTTTTAGGAAAGCGATGTTCTTCAACTTTCCTTGGTTAAATTTAGGAGCCCATTGAATCTTATCGCCATACGTTTGTTCAATTTCATTACATAACTTAGCTGGGTCCTTACAACTCACGCAAATGTGACCATAGCCCTGAGGCTTGTCATTGCCGTTATGGTATTTGAAGTCTGCCTCGTTTTCAGTACCCCAGTTATGGGTCAACTCTAGGACACCTTCATGAGAAAATTCATTATCCTCGGAGCTGACTTTGTAGCCTAGGAAATATAGCGTGAATTTAGCAGCCTCATGCTCACTAGTTCTTAGCAGCTTCATACCTAGAACGTTTTGGTAGAATTCCAAGGAGGCCTTTGGATCCTTGACACGAACCATGGTATGGTTGAATCTGGAACCGACATCCTTCTTTGGAGAGTTTTCTCTGTCATAACGAATCAATTCAATCCAATAACCATCAGGATCTAATGCAAAGGCGATATCTTTCATTCTACCATCTGTCAATCTCTTCTTGAAAGACACACCTTCAGCTTCTAACTTAGAGCATGCAGCGTTGATGTCAGCATATGAGAAGCAGATGTGACCAAACCCACGGTGTGGTTCCTCATTACCATTGCAGATCTTGAAGTCGGCATCGTTTTCAGATCCCCAATTGTGTGTTAGTTCAAGGATACCAGAAGTGCTGAACACATCGTTCTTACCTTCGCTATTCTTAGCGACGTTGTCCTTAGGGAAAGACAAGAAGAACAAACTGAACTTCATCTCTGGGAAGTCAAGCTTGTTCAGCAATTCCATACCAAAATGTTTTTGGTAGAAAGGAATACTTTTAGCAGGATCCTTGATACGCAAACATGTGTGGTTGAACATCAAGGTTGGGTCATCGTGAGCAGCAGCAATCTTGTGTGGGTAGGACATCTTGTACAATTAGATACTTTTATTAGCACTTCTTTAATGCTACTAACTATCTTCCCAACCCAATTAACAAGATATAGGAAAGTATTATGCAGCTTATATAGTTTCCCTAATATCACCTATTAGCTAATAAGGCTCCACAACGTCATTAATTATTTAGAGTTTTGGCAAATTATCTGTCAAAGCACTGAGGACCCTTCTATGAAGACAAGGCACGGCACGTCGGTGATATATTTGTAATGCTAACTTCTCTTTTAATCCCGAATGGTAGTCAAAGTAGACATTCTTGACTTGGCTGGTACTTCAATTTTCCTTTAGCAAGACAATTGGCAATAAATTATTATTCTGGTAAGTAATCTTTGACAATTATTGCAAGTAAGTTTACTTGCCAAAAAAAGCCACCTAAATTTATCTTAACCGTTTAGCAAGAACTATATAAGTAAAAAATATGACAAAAATTTAATTACAAGTTCACAATTATAGTTAGAATAAGCTGTCCTGCTTGCTATCTGTTTACTAGGTTTACAATTGGACCATATTATTTTTCTAACGTATATAAACGCTCCTTATGCAACTTGCGCTTAAGCATAGTAGTTGACAAATTTCATTTAATAGTGAATGAGTATGTAATACATAACCAATTCACTACTTGATAATGACTACCGACAGTACCTCAAAGTTGCACGCACCACTTCCAAGGGCTATTTTGGAGAGACAGCTAGAAATCCTCCAATATGAGTCTCTTACTAAAGAACAACAAGACGAGTACTTAGACTATTGGCATAAGAAATTCAAAGCTGACTTGGAGGAGGTAAGGAGACAGAAAATGATGGAAACCTGTCCCCAAGAAGCCAAACAGAGGGCAATGGAGGAGTTATCAACCTTTGATTTTATTACAGGATGGCGCTTCACCAGAGCGTACTTCCCAACAAATTCTCGCTTCAGAAGATAAATATTGCCATCCATTGATTAATTTTACATAGATTTTTAAAATTAGTATTCCTTTTATGTATTCAATTACTCCTAATTAATATTCCAATTGAAACTGATCTCCTGATTTTAGGGTTCCTATACGAAATTTGATGGCTTTTGTTGAATAATGAGATGAGCTGAAGCATTGAATACAAATATTAGGAGAATACTTAAAAAGTGTCAGTTCATCCCTAACACAATTGACAGTTACACGATTACGAGGACTTGGAAATCAAGCCACCTCTCTGTTATGACTACACATTCCAACTTTCAACTCCCACCATTACTCAACCCACTTTTAAATGCGATATGTAATTGCGGTGAGCCAAATAGCTCTCCATTAAAGAAACTGTATACACAGCTAGGCAAGAAAGACAAATATTTGATACTTGTGCCCCCAACTGAATTGCTTTTGTATTACAGTGACAAGGAGTCGAATTCTGAACTACATGACTTGTGCTATACACCAAATTTCGCTAGTGCTCACATATTACTTTTAGATGCTACTGATACCGAGGTCAATAATGGGGATGAAGCGGTTCTAATTAAAAACATTGAGAAGAGGTATGATGTCCATTTTATCAAAGCTATGGATCAATCGTGGAAATTCATTAACTGGAAGAACCGAGTTATATATGAGTTCAACAAACTGGGTGACCAGATAAAGAATAGGGCCAAAATTCTTGATATTGAGTCAATACCGATATTTAATAACTACATGAAAACAACAGATAATACCATAACAATTATGTATATTGATGATGTGTTTTTAAATGGAACTCTAGAGTGTAATTTACGTTCCGATATAGATCTCCTGCGAAGTCCATCAATGAGATCGATACCAACTGCAAAGAGGCCATCATTAATTAATAAAAAATCTACTGATTATGAGAACTCTAAATCTAAAGCAACCTTTGACAGTATACTACGAGTAAATAAACATTGGAGCTCAAAGTTTGAACAGCATTTTCAAAAGTTTCGTTTATTAGCCAATCAAGATGATCTTCCAATTGACGTATTCCATAATATTATTGAAGAGATGCATGAAGAAATGGTGTCAGACAATCTGTTTAAAAACATTGTTGATCTTCGAAATATCATATATGAATATGTTGAACTGAACTTATTTGACGATATATGGAAGATGATTTTAAGAATGAATAAAGAGGTTGAAATTGATCTCAATCCATTTGGCAATATCTCCATTTATCAAGTGGATTCAGAGTTTTTGAGTACAGAATATAGCAAGTTTTTTTTGGAGAATGTAATTACCGCAGAAAGAAATATTAAAGAGGCAAGTAAGTCTCTACAGAAAATAGAAAGTGCTAGTAACTATAAGTCAAAAGCTAATATTTTAATATTAACTCTCAGAACTCTAACAGGTAATAAGGAAAATGACGGATATTCATCTAAAAATGATGATGGTAATTTATCATTTTTTCCATTAGCAATTGACGCTGATCGACTTATGAATCTTTTCGTGCTTGTTACTTGTCGGGCTCAAATTAAAAATCTAAAGTGCCATTTATCATATTTACAAAATTTCTATAACAATGATAGCGACACAAAGTTTGGTATTTTAGGGTATGCATTGTCGACATTGGAAGCAGTTGTTTGCTATTTTGAACAACTAAAAGAAAAAGAAAATTATAGAAAGCTTATTGACTTTTGTAATTCAAATGAAAGACTAGTTAAGGTACTTTCGTCTACAAAAAAGTACGAGACAAATGCGGCCTTATATTTTTTGAGGAAATACGAAGGATCGTTAAGGTATAGAGATTCATTAGGTCAGTCTTTGCTTGCACTTTGTATCATCCATGGTAGGAACGATTTTTTATACCACATTTTAAATGAATACGAAACCTTATTTCCTATCGAGGATTTATTGGCTGATGAATCTATTGATGGTTCTACTTTATTAATCCAAGCTGTTAAGCACGATAATCAATATTCTGCCTCTCTCCTATTAAATATCCTGAAAGATAACTGTACTGAAATTGAGCTCATAGCATACATTAATAGACATGATATTAACAAAAGAACTGCTGGCCATTTCTTAACGAATGAATTGGAGGTCTTGAAATTAATGGGAAAATATATCAATTGGGTTCAAAAAGATAATGCAGGTCAAACGCCACTTTTTACAATATTTAGAAGCTATGATCAAGATAATTATGATGAGATGGTATCACAGAGCATGGAATATGCAACTAACTGGTATGGACTGAATGGGAAAAATTTCAATTACTTGGACCATGTTGATAAGAAAGGTAATACTCTGTTGCATATTTTAAAGTGCAACTTACCTATACTGCTGGCAGATAAACACATAAACGTCAATGCAACAAATAGATCAGGACAAACGCCACTAATGACTAGTATACGATACAAGAGAACTGAAAACATAAGAGACTTGCTTTGTGATCCTAGACTGAGAGTTGATATTACCCAAAAAAATAACGCGTTAACAGCTTTCGACTTTTCCAAGGATGACGAAATAACTCATTTATTAGGAGAGCATGAACTATTAAACTCACCTTGGCTAGCTGTTTATGCACACACATTGAAATATACCAATTCTCGCTGGAATCTTTCGCTTACTGTTAAGCTTAAAGACGCTCCTAAAACAACAAACTTTACACTAAAAACGTTAAGAGGAATACTAAGAGTTGTGATAAAGAACAACATGACCGTATTTTTACCTGTACAGGAATTAGTGGAAGATTTGATATCTTTCAACCGGATTAGATTTAGTGAATTAATGAGAATAAAAGTTTTAGAAATGTTGCCTTTTATTTCATTCTGCTTGTCGGCCTTAGTGCATATTAAAGTTCTTGATCTGAATGTGTTTCAAACTGAAGAGAATGCAATAAAATGGGTAAAGATGAACGGAAGCGTGGATAAAAAGACTAATCAAACTAGTGATATAACACCAGAAGATATCAGCATGATACAAAACTTCTTGAAGTTCAATATCACGGAAATAGAGCGCACAAAAAATAAACTGGAAATAGCAGAAAAGTTGAGCCTTTTTTCAAGATTAAAATCAAAAGATTTGCTTAACAGTAATGAAAATTATGTTACTATAGTCTCTCAATTAAGTTCAAAAAGATTTAGATCTACGCTAAAATATTCAGCAGAAGATACCAAATTACTATCTGTTAGAGCTGAAAAAGCCCTACTTTCAAAAATAACATATTTAAAAATATGCGCACAGAAACTACACAACCATATACTATCAATCACAACGACTATGATATCTAATTGGTGGCATATCTATGGTGAATTACTAAACGCCCATAAGCATTACACTAGAGCTTTTCCTGAATTAGCAAATGTGACCACTGAAAATAGAGATTTGGCTTTACATAGAATGATTAGCAATCCTAAGCGAATTAAGTTGGAAGAAAGACTTTCTGAAAAGATCAAAGATATTACCGAACAACTGAACAGTGTAGGGCATGATATAAAACAAATGCATGAATTAGCTGCCGAAGAAGTGAGTAGATTTATTGACCTAAAAACAAAGTTTACCCTAGAATATGCTCTCCAATCTTATTTGACAATATCCAAACAGGAGCACATTGAGAAAGACAGGTTACATTGGGAATTTCAGGAAAATAAAACAGTTTTTAAGCAGTAACTTTATAGACTTTAATATATTCAAGAAACTACTGAATGATAAATAAGTGAATGCTAAGGACGAAAATTTCTATCTTAATACTGGCATTGCAGACAGTGATGAGCTCCATTTATTGCAAAAAAAATCTTCCCCGCCAGGACTCGAACCTGGAATCTTCTGGTTCGTAGCCAGACGCCGTGACCATTGGGCCACGAGGAACAAGATTTTCGTATTTTATTATTCTATTGGGAGTGACTTAACATGCTAACTATAATACACGTGATATATATATTTAGTTTTATCGAGTGTTACCGTTTCAAATCTTTCAGTGAACAGGTAGAGTTCATAACCTTAGACATCGCTAAAGAAAACACACAGTATTTGCAAACCACATTTTAGGTATCTGGAGTATTTGGTATGTTTCTCTTGCTTTTATGAAGATGATTTCATTGTGAATGAAAAAAGCACGATCATGTACAATAATTATATGCCTATATGCTAGAGTATGCAATTATATGATTTTTCATATGATTTTAAATAGGAACTTCTATTCGTTTTATTTTGTGCAATCATTTAACAATGATTTACAGTTTAACCGCATTTACCACAATTATTTTATTAGTGTTCAGCCAATTCTATAATTTGTTGATATTGCTACCTTCTAATATCTTTCATAGAACGGTGTTATTAGAATTGTCTCATATATTAAAGATGATTACTATATCAAAGAAAAATTGCCGTAAATCATTTGAATTTGTTCCTCAGAAAACCTACGTAGAATGACATATTTGAAAATTCTTCTGTAAAACCACGCATTTTTTCCTCTTTGTTTCACGGGAAATTATTTCAGCTCTGCATGCATTGTAAGGAAGCCTCTCAAGGACACATATCGGTTTGGCAACTTCATTATAATGGGTCAATGGACCGTCCCAACGATCACGAATCTCAAAAAAGAGGACTTAATTTGTGCCATTGATGTTCAATTACATTCATTTCAATAATGAGATACAATAGTTTGTCTTTATCAAAAATCTAAAAATAGACTGCTCCATTGGTTATCGAAGACTGGTATGTGACGAAATATTGCTATGCTGGAAAAATGTATAATAGCAATGGTTCCCCTCACCCTGTTTAAAACTTTCAAAATTAAGTTATTAATGCTGTATTTCCTCCTCAATTGTCCGGGACAATACTAGTTTGCCGTTAAACATCTGAAAGTAATTCTTTTTTTTTTAAAGGCATTTATATTTTCTTGCTATTTTTGCTGTAAGTTTCCACTTTGAAGTAAGGATAAGCTCTGCCTTGCCGTAAGGCAATGGGAATAAGTAAATATGGTTATTTAGTGTAAGAACTTGAAAGTATGTGGTATTTTTGAACAAACTTAAACAACACTATTGTGAGGAGAAAGTATATACAAAAACAAAAAATTAAGTGGAGAATATAATACTTTATGTGAATTGGTTCAAGAGAAACCGATAAATGCATTTTTTTAACTTGCTAATAAAAACAAAATCAGATTTGCTTCTTTACCAATGATGAATTTGGCATGTTGTCAAGATTGTAATGCCCTATTAGGCGTTTGGATTGGTCATTGCTCTATTTTTTCAATATCCCGGAGTGCACCATCGTGGAGCAATAAACGAAAAGGTTAGAAAACGTAGATTCTTGGCAAGAAATTATCTAAAACTTTTTAGCAAATCAACTAAGGCAACAAGAAATGCAAATGGAAATTCAATTACAAAATAGTTTACCAGACAATTATTCTGGTGGTATATAATTACTCGAATAGCCCATTGGTTTCTATTCTTGAATTTAAGATTTCTCATATAAGAAACATGTATAAAGTGGTAAAAATTTTAGTTTTATTCCCATATAGAGTTACATGAATATTAAAGATAACTGAAAAAAGTTCGGATCAGTTCTAGTTCAAATGATATCAAGAAGAGACACAGTTACGTTTCAAAGATCAAGAGCCCCATCTCCATGTTCACTTTATGATATCAAAGAGAAGGAAGAATCTACAACGGTTGTTACAGAAATCAAAGAGATGGAAAAACCGGCAGTACACCTATATAATATTTTCTCCATACCAATGAAACGAATACCAGAGACAGAGGATAGCCCTTCAAACAAGTAATAATTGTAACAACATTTGATAACTTAGCGTCTACATTTCAAAACTAAGACGATTTTATAGTCTCATAAGTATACACCTTACATACAGATAGCATATATCAGAATGAAAATACCTTTTACTAATCATTACAGTGTACTCGAGTCAGAAAAGTCAAATTGAGAATGTCAAGCTTGTTTTGAAAGTGTCAAAATAATAAGAAAAGACGATTGTGCCTGTTTTTCAAAGTAATGATACTAGTCATGAAAAGAGGAAGACAATGGATGACTATATGGTTACGAGTACGAGAAAGTCTAGTTCTGGAAGTTTTAACCCACCTCTGTTTAACTCTGAAGAAGGGTGGCTAGCAGCTAAAAGAAGAAGTGCAACTCAATGACTCTCCATTCTTAACATTGGCTTTGGTAGGTCAAGTAGTCACCGAGGTGGCTGCTGCACTGAAGGAGTCACCGAGGTGGCTGCTGCACTGAAGGAGTCACCAAAGTGAATTGGGTTACTAAAACACGTTAAGCGCCTCCACAACTTGGATGACTGTGTTTTGCCAGATCAGTTTTACGTGGGTTGTACGAGGTTTTCTAGTTGCAGATGTTCCTTGCAACAGTTAATCACATGGTCGACTGTGCAATTGGAGTGGGAGGTAAACCAGGCAGCAGAACGGAGGGAAGCACTTCAGTGGAAATGCCTACAACGGAGGACGGTACCGGCATATGTGGAATGGGATCCGGCGAAATAATGCTAAATAACGGGCCTGAAATATTTGTCACCTCAGAAACATTAGTACAAGGAGATACATTTTTTTCTTATCTCTACAGGAGAAGCTTCTACGAGATCAAAGAAAGCCGCCGGAGTCACTTTCCCAAAACTTACCAAATTGGGACTGATAACAGTTTCTGCATAATGTTCTAGGGCAACTTTTATGACTCATTGAAGATGGACCGGCAAGATGGGCAAGGAAATTTAGCCGGTTAAACGATTGCTCTTCGCCTGTTGTTGGATGGCAGAGAGTAAATGGCCTAGTGAGGAGAAGCTAAATAACGCACTACGTACTCTTCTGAGCACTAATGTGCTTCCCTTAGAGTTACCAGTACAGCGTGGTTTGACCTATGCCGGGGATCCGGGTGTCCGTCTGTAAATTACTATTAAGGTGAAGCTGAACCGGCCAATCCATGGCTACTAAATAGCTCCTGTTCGGTAATCAGGAATGCCGATCTTCACAGTTATTGCCCAACATCTGGGAGGGCAGGTTCAGTTTCAGGTCCACATTGCCACTATTTTAATTGTAGCCCTGTAACGGTTTTGGTTTCGCCTCTAAATCACTATAATTCAAGCAGAAAAAAAGATACCTGAAATATAGTAGGTGCCGTTAAAGGTCTAAGTCTCGGAGAACTTTGAATACGTATAAACGTCATGGTATGCGGATTTTGTTATAGTATAAGGCTCTTTCTGCCCACCTCTTTTGCATACCCCACTTACGCTTCACAAGATAACTATAGAAATGAACTACTGAAATCACCTTCGCCACATACCTCAAAAGTCCCGCCGGTGCCAGAATATCACAGAATTGGCCGTAAACAGTAATCTCTTATCAGTGGTACATCCCACTTTCTTCCAGTAGTTTTTTGACTCTTACCGCTGAACTACCCCAGGATCCTACTAAAGATCTTAGGAAATGCTGAACTCTTCCACCTCCCCCCCCCCCCCACAGTTCTGCACTCCCACGGCTATCGCCAATACGTTAGACTTCATCCTGCACTAAAATTAGAGGCTCTGTAAGAACAAAATTGTGGCAGAGAAACTAACGTAGTATCCTCAAAATGTGAGAAGAAGCAAGCTCCGGCTACGGGATTCACTTCTTCTTCCAATTTTTTTCTTACCTTAGATTCAATCCCAGGCAATCACGCAGAGAAGAATCCAAGTAAAGAACCGGCAAAGCAAAAGAGCGAAAGAAAAGAAATCTAACCTCACTGCAACAGTTTCTGGAGTCCAAAGGGGGCGGAAGAAGCGATGTACAATTTATGTACTTCTGCGCGTTCTGTGCATCGCTCTGATCCTTCCATATACTCACAGACACACCCAGTGCTGACCTTCCCCCCTCCCTTCCTTCCTTCCTTTCCTCCCCCCCACTCCCACTGCGCTTTCTCAGTTCAGCAGATACGAATTCCTTTGTAGAAGCTCTAAACAGCTAACTTTAACCCTCATCTCACACTTGTTACCAAGCTTCGCTTTCGCCCTGTCTTCTGAGCGGGGGGAGGGCCCTTTTGCTCACTTTCCATCTCTTCCTCGAGAACAATCCCCGATTTCAGCACTCTAAAAGTTGAAGCTTCTTCTTTTCAAGTTATAGCCTTCTTATAAATGCTTTTTCTTGCAGCCGGTGCGTGATTTCTCTGTGAATTACGTGAAACTTTTTTTTTCCATATAAGACAGGTTAATTAGTTCTTAGTATATAAAGGTGCCCCTTCTCATGGATTCCATTCCCCAGGGTAAATCATTTTGCTAGTCAAGCATTTTGATAGAAGTAGCAAAAACTTTCTAACTGGAAACCTAAAAAAAATCAGGATAAATAATATTGCATAATGTTTTCCAAGGTGAAGAATTATGGGTCTTCATCTAAGAAGGAATCCACAGCGGAGGAGTTCACCATACCGGAGTACTCCAGGGATGACGGCGAGAAGTACGCTGGAAATAGTAATGACTACAGCCAGCGCGACAGCGATAATACATCTATAGAGTCAGAACCAAGAACTAAGCTTGTACATAGGTTTGTCGACTCTTTCAAGAGAGCACAGGATGTGCCCACAGGCCGTAAGAGCAAAGAAATCGGCAACAATGGCGGATCCAAGACTAAAGGTGGCTTTGAAGAGGATTCTCTTGACCTAGAAGGTTCTGACCATGACTCCATAATAACTAACACACATTTGAAGAAAGCGATGAAGTCCAGACATGTTATGATGATGTCTTTAGGTACGGGTATCGGTACTGGTCTGTTGGTCGCTAACGCTAAGGGTCTGCACTTCGGTGGGCCCGCTGCGTTGGTCATCGGTTATGTTCTAGTTTCCTTTGTCACATATTTCATGATTCAAGCAGCAGGTGAAATGGCTGTCACATACCCAACTCTTCCTGGTAATTTCAATGCATACAGTTCCATTTTTGTCTCAAATGCGTTCGGTTTTGCCACAGTCTGGATTTTCTGTATCCAATGGTTAACTGTCCTACCGCTAGAATTGATTACTGCCTCCTTGACTATAAAGTATTGGAACGACAAAATAAACGCTGATGTTTTCATCGTGATTTTCTATGTCTTCCTGTTGTGTATCCATCTATTCGGTGGTGTTATCGCCTACGGTGAAACTGAATTCCTGTTCAACCTATGTAAAATTCTCATGGTCATTGGTTTTATTATCATGTCCATTGTTATTAACGCAGGTGGTGCAGGTAACAGGGAGTACATCGGTGGCAAATTCTGGCACGATCCAGGTGCTTTTGCCGGTAAAACTGCAGGTTCAAGGTTCAAAGGTATTTGTTACGTTTTGGTCAGTGGTTACTTCTCTTACGGTGGTACTGAACTGTTTGCCCTATCTGTCAATGAACAATCAAATCCAAGAAGATCTACTCCACAAGCTTCTAAGAGTAGTTTATACCGTATTTTGATTATTTACTTATTGACAATGATTTTGATCGGCTTCAATGTGCCTTATGACAGTGACGAATTGATGGGTTCAGGTGGCTCTGCTACTCACGCTTCTCCATATGTCTTGGCTGCATCATTGAATGGAGTTAAAATTGCTCCTCATTTTATCAATGCCGTCATCTTGATCTCCGTTATTTCTGTTGCCAATTCATCTCTATACGCTGCACCAAGATTGATGTGTTCTTTGGCTCAGCAAGGTTACGCTCCTAAATTTTTGGATTATGTGGACAGACAAGGTAGACCTTTGCTTGCGTTGATCGCTTGTTTGCTTGTTGGTGTCATTGGTTTCGTTGCCGCCTCTCCTAAGGAAGAAGAAGTCTTTACTTGGTTGGCTGCCATTGCAGGTTTAAGTGAACTTTTCACCTGGTCATCCATCATGTTGTCTCATGTTAGATTTAGAATGGCAATGAAGTTACAGAACAGAAGTTTGGAAGAATTAGGATATAAAGCCACTACTGGTATCTATGGTTCCATATATGGTGTTTGCTTCAACTTGTTAGTCTTCGCAGCCCAGTTTTGGACCGCTCTGTTCCCATTTGGTGGCGATGGTAAAGCTAATGCTAACTCTTTCTTTGCTAACTATCTAGCTATGCCAATCTGGCTAGTCTTTTACTTCGGTTACATGCTGTGGACACGTGATTTCCAATTATTAAAACCACTTGATAAAATAGATCTTGACTTTCATAGAAGAATTTATGATCCAGAACTAATGAGACAAGAGGATGAAGAATCTAAGGAAAGACTAAGGAATGGCTCTTTTATGATGAGAATGTATCATTTCTGGTGTTAATGTACTTCAATCTGTTACCTACCATTTTACTGTCATAGAATGGCATGATATTAATATACTTCACACCTATTCATAATTTTCCTTAAAGTGGCTTGGCTTATACCTCACGTTCAAGATATTAACTAATATGAAGGTAATATGATGAAAGGAATAACTTTAGTAGTGTGTATGACTTACTATTGGTTGACCTATTATTTTGCAAATATGAAGGTTACAATCTCTAGATACAATGTTCATCTTGCACAGCTGAGTTTTCTGAGTGTTTTTATTATGAATACAAACTTTTTTTTTTTGGAATATCCAATTATTACCTTCTCTAGCATCCTATTTTTTTATTATAAAGAATTGATTCATTGTTTAATGCCTATGAATGCATTCTGAGTTTTTTTTATTCCTAATTGTAACTTTTCCACTATACTGCCTACTTTATTTCTTTTATTTTCAATTCCACAAAGCAGAAAATTTTGCCCTTTATTCATTATTCTAATAGTGGCATATTTTTTACAAATAACAAAGCATATTTCTTAAATAGAATTAAGACATGAATATAGTTAAATGATTTAATAATGAACAAATAATTGTACATTTTATTTTTCTTATGTAATAGTTTCAAAGCATCTAATGATGTATCACGTAAAACTTTCTTACATTTTCTATTTACATTAGATTTAATCCTTGTATATGTTTTGTCGTTGTGAATTAAACTTATTATCAGTGATAAGTAAAAGCCACGGCCGAACGACCTGCGATTGTAAAATAAGAGAAAAACAAAAGTCGTTGAAGAGGAGGGCACATGACTCTCAATGTTGAATCATAATATATTGTTGCAAAAATAGGTAATAACGCTTACTTTAGGGGGCTTTATGCCATTAGTTAACGGTGTGCCATAGCAGGATTGAAAGGAAGCTCCCAACAGAAAATGTCATCACCGGTTTGAGTTATTCACTGCTATTGTAATTTCTTCTATGACTCAATACCCCTAGATTTTGAAATGAGGAAGCAGAGAACGGGTAAAGGGTAATATTTTAGAGATACATACAAGGGATAAAGGAGGTCATAGTACCTTTCTATTGGGTAAAATGATGGGTGTAAGATTATGTGAAGAACACGGGGTGAGGAAGAGTACTGATAAATTGATCTACGCCCTTTTCTACCATACCTCACACCTTCCTGCCCCTCCCTTTCATCTTGTGTACAAACAGATAATGGAACATATCGTACCTTCCCAGTTACAACAATGAACTATTTGGATGAATATACAAGCATTGCTTGGTGTTAAGATATGAAGACGACTTTAACTTAATTTCTTGGTAAACTAAATTCTCAGAATAATCGACAATCAAGGGGGGTTTACTAACAAAGTGGGGGAAGGGGGGAGGATGGAGAAGGGGTGTACAAGGATAGGAAAGGCGGTGCGGTGCGTTCAGAAACCAAATAGAATGGCAATCAAGAGTGTCAATCACTATAACACACGTAGATATTCATTTTGTAAAAATATACAATTAAAAGCAAAAAGCAGCACAGCTGACCTAATACTTGATGTTGCCCCTCCTTTCATTTTGAGTATGGTTTGTGATAGATAGATTCAGATGTGTTGTCCATTAGGCTGATAATATAGTAACACTAGAGAATTGAAAATGCCGTATTGCTTCACTCTACTAGCAATTTTTTAAAGGAGTACTCAATAAGAGCACTCAAAAAGAAAATTAACAAAAATACTGGCCAATGGCGGCAAGACAATTGACTACCCTCTTTTACTTATTTGAGGTTTCTGATAGTTTGAGTGTTTGTTGCCTAAAAGCAGTCAATGGAACTCTTACCAAGAAGGACGTAACGCGTAAAATTCATGACTTTAATTTCTTGTAATATCCTCACAATGATGGGATATTTTCATGTTCTTGAATTTCTGAAAATGCTACTTTGTAAGATTTGACACTCAATCGCACTATCCAATGACAAGTCATACCTTAGTTAGCAAAGGACGGAGGGGGGGGCACGAAAAATATGCCCTCCCTGCTATTCCATGCTTTTTGCTGTTCTGTTGCTGTTCTATTGCTGTTAATATCATTCAGGATTGCACGCTCTTTCCGTAGCTTTCCAGACCGTACATTTGTCCATTGTCTTATCCCTTCCCATTTCTCCCCGCTCCTCTCTCTGAGCATCTCACACCTTCTTGAAACTCTACTGGTACATTAAACTGGGTCGGTTCTGTACTAGAGTTCCATCTTACCCTTATCTGCTCCCTTCACCATTAAGCTTTCGCGTTAGTAGGCCTCTTGTTCTTCTCATTGCTAGGATTCTACGTAAGGATCTACGGCAGGGAATATTCTAAGCTTTAGTGAAGATCAGTCCCAGCACAGTTCTGCGCTCCTTTCTGTGATAATCCAAATGTCGAACTTTTTTTGTTGAACCAATTGTGAATCGGTACAAACGCCAACAGAGTTTACACCGTAGAATGTTGTGGCAACCAACGTTTCAGAAATCTTATTGTTGAGGAAATGTCAAGAAGTAACAATGACTACAAAAATAGCGCGGGAGGAAACGGTGGCGATCTCTGGAAGTCTGCATCTATCACTGTCAAAAACAACAACCAAAATTTCAGCTTTCACCTCATCTGTACAGGGTGTTGTTTAGGTTCTCTTCTTTCTTCCATGATCTTAGAAAGCCATGCAGTTGTCCTCGAGGAAAAGACTGTAGGACTGGTTTGGCGTCCGGACATCTCTGCCATCAAGATAGGTCACGGAGACAGCACAGATTGGCACGTACAGAAAGTCTTTTTTGCTTGTTCCTTCAAAAAAGAAAAGAAAAAGAAGGTTTGGAACAACTCATTCAAATTTCTTTTTTTTTGCCAGATACACAAGTTCCACTGTAAAATGCCGTACTATTGCAATTCTACATGGCTCATTGAGTAGTGGCTTTGTCCCAACAAAACCTTTAAGCCAACGCAAAAAATGATAACGAGCTTTGTCTAACTTGTAATGGGCTAGGATACATCCAGTTGTCATCAGCCATTGATGTAGATGATGTAGGTAAAAGAAGCGTTGAGATCAAAGCCGATGCGATGCACCAGGAAAAGAAATCAAGGGGATAGAAGGAGAATAACGACAAAAAAGAAAAGTAATGCGAGACCATGAGCCTAGCAGACTGTTGACGCGTAGAGGATTTGGAATCTGAAAGAGTCAGTTGTAAATTGTACAGAGTCTGTGGGATTGCTGTACAACAGAGGAAGAGCGAAAACTTAGGATTAAAAGTATATCCTTAGAGTAAACTGAGTGTGCGGAAAAAAAAATAATGGCACTTTCTCTGCTCAGACAAACACGCTTAGGCAAGAGTTTCAATGCGTTTCTTCGCAACTCAACCCTTTTTTGCAACATCCTCGGCACGGGGTTGTGGCTCGAGTAGAACTGCAGCGACAGAGGCCACAACAAAATCAGATTGACATGAGGAAAGTTCTAGACTCCAGCGGGTACACCATTTTCCTGAAAGATAGTGCATACCCCTCCCCTTTTCTTTCTTTAATGTACACTTCCATCATCAACGTTCCAAGTTTCCCATTTAGGAAGTTTTATTTGAATAATGTAAGCTGGGCCCCTCCCCTTCTTGACGCTATTTATCCTATTACAGTCGAAAATGATCCGATTTGGGACACCAGGGAAGAGGAGGCCTCCGCAAAAATTTTGCGCGAACCTGGATTAACTCCCACCTGCCACATACAAGTAGGCGTAGGAAGGTCGGCGTAGTGAGAGTGGGCGTAAGAAGTAGGCGCAGAGAGTGAGCAGGCTGTCGGCACAGTAATTAGCAAGCTGAACAGTTAAGAGGAAATGCATTTGGTGGCTGCCTAAAGATAGAAAATGGGGTCCCCTCTTGGTTGCAATGGCCCCTCCCCTCCACCAAAAGTAAAAAGAACCATCGGAGGTAGATATGATGGTACTATTACGTGTATCTGCGCCATAATTCTATGTGCCGAAAGAAGAAGCTTGCAATGCTGGAAATAACCCCATGTAATTGGCCACAGAATATACTGCTAGAGAGAACAGAGACACCACTCGAAAAGCATCTTGACAAGAACTATTTCTTGATGACCCCTCTAAGTCTTCCTGGGCTTTGTGACGGATCGGGATATCGGGCTCATTAGAAAGAGGTAAAAAAGGGAGGGAAGGGGGGCGAGAGAGATAAGCTAAGAATATCAAGAAGAAGAGGCAGAGGACACTAATTCCCTAAAACGGGAAACCAACAGGAAAAGTAGAGTAGTGGCGACTCGCACTATATTTCGTAAGTAGAAAAGGCAGTACTTGGTTGTAGCAATGGATATCAAAAGCTAAACTTCTTTAGTTCAATGATTTTTTAAGACAAATAGTGTTTTTTTTAATGTAAATGGGCTAGAAATGAAGTGAATGGTGGTGGAACTGGACAACAACATGAGTCTAGTCCCGAAAATACATACCGTCTTGACAATTGTGGAATAACATGTTCAAGAAAAAGAACGGAAAAGAAAAGAACTTGGGTCTTAATGGGAAAATGGCTTCCATAAAAAAAAAAAGTATAAATATAAACAATTGACCTAAGTTTTCTTATTCTTAATTGTAGCTCTTTTCCCTTGTTCAGTTAAAACCTTTTCAAATATAAAGTAGACAAGACCAATCTTCAATTATAATTTCATCGTTCCCGAGTGTATCAATAACACAGACCTTTGATTACTAAAGAAGCCTATTGTACTATTACTTTATACAACACACACACTAATAATAATAATAATGTCTAAGTTCGCTGTTCTAATCGCTGCTATTGCTGCTACTCTAGTCAACGCTCAAAATGCTGTTGAAGTTGCCGAAATCCAAGTTTTGGTCAACGACATCAACTCTAACTTGGCTCAATACTTGTCTCTAGAAACCAACCCAGACTCCGGTTTCCAAATTCCAGACAACTTGTTGTCTTTGTACAGAAACGTCGCCACTTACACTGACGACTCTTTCTCTACTTTGTTGAGCGGTGTCAACTTCGATGAAATTACCTCCACCATTGTCGGTTTGCCATGGTACTCCTCCAGATTGTTGCCAGCTCTAGAATCTGCCTCCAGTGCCGCTGCTGGTTCTGGTGACGCTGCCGCTGCCCCAGCTTCCGCTAACGCTTCCTCCGTCTCCGCTGCTGTCACTTCTTTGTCCAGCGCTATCAACTCCACTTCTTCCGCTTCTGCTTCCGCCACCGGTGCCGTCGTTACCAGCGCTAACCTAACCTCTGTTTCTGCTAACTCTACCCGTTCCGGCAGCAGATCTGCTACCAGATCCGCTTCTGCTACTGGTGGTGTTGCTGGTGGTAACCGTACCAACGGTTCTACCAACGGTACCAAGACCTCTTCTACTAAGTCTAAGAACGGTGTCGCTAAGGTTGAAGCTGGTCTAGCTGGTGCTTTGCTAGCCGGTGCTGCCGCTATGTTGCTATGAATATAATTGGTTTTCTTTTCTCCCTTTGAAATGATAAAGATACCATTTTTATGAATTTAATAAATATTCTGTTTCATCCATTTTATTTTACCCTTTTTTTTATTTTATTCGTCTCTTGATAGAGGCACTTTAGTTATATTCATACATCATTAGTGCAGTTGTTTTTACCTTACTTCTTATACATACGGACCAATTTTTTTTAATATTAATACCAAGGAAATTTTAAGTTACGTATTTCAAAGGTTCTCATAATGAGTGACATAGCATTTTTTTTTACCAGAATAACGGCTATAACTTGTATAGTGCGCCTGTATGCAAGTTTAAGACAACACATTTGCAACATTTAAATATAAGCTGGTGCAATAGCTGAACTTGTCAAAATGTAAAAAGTATAGTCCCGGAAAGATAGGTATATTTGTTTAATTGAATGTGTTATTATTGATAGACAACAAAGATTCCTATAAAAGCTCACTCCGAAAAAAGTTTCGGCTTTAAGCTAATGCCTGGAGATGAGGTCCGTTTGTGAAGTTGACTCAATTGAACCCCAAAATCACAGATAATAATCACCATCCCCAATAGTGTCACGAGGGCAGACCTATATCGTTATAGATTCTCATCGGTCCATTCATGGCAACCTAGCTGGGGTTGGTACTGAGACTCGTATACCAAATTTGGTAAAGTGTGGTCCTTCGTATATTAGATGCTACTATGGGTGAACAGGATCTTTACGAAGTTCTGGAGGCACTATTAGTAAAACGCCTTATGATTTGCATCTCAAAATTGAACAAGATACTCGTTCAATTCCAGATATTATGTTTTACACCCTTCAATCCATCAAGTCAGCTCAATCCCTTGACGCCAGAGAAACATTGAGCATTCGTATACTTCATTGTATATTCTAAATAGGAAAACCCTTCCTTTCCCTTTTGAGAAACTCGTTTGAATCCCTCTTCAGGTTGGGGATACCTTTCGAAATGTCTCGTACATTTGTAACTCGTACACTAGCATTCAACCTTTGGGTTTTGTCACTTTAACGATTTCTTTGAAGGAGGAAGTGACATGAATTAAGGGCAATGTAATATTCGGCAACATTTGTCAAATACACCGAGATTTCATCCCTTGATATGTAGCTATACGTTGATTCACATGTAATTCGATATACGCCAGAGTCTCCCTAGTGGGAGCATCAATTAGCTTTACTGCTTTTGTTTATTTGTTTACCAAACACCATTTCTCTCAAATATCCACTGCTTTTAACGGCCTTTACGAACAGTAATCACATTGTCCTCGAGATATTTTTTTTTGTTGAAATAACATGTTTACTTGGAAAACAATCATCAAGGTAAAAGGGGGTGGCTTAGAATAAATGTTAACACAATGCAATATCGTGAGGTGTTTATTTCCTTGCGAAATACCCCCCCTCCTACACAAGAATGGAAACCCTCTAATTCCTAAACTGTCGTGAAACAGTTGTATGATCTTGAAGCCTATATTTGCTATTTACGGTGGTAGAAATACTCTAAATCATTCTATTACACTATGAGACAGCAATAATATGCGCTATACTCTTATTTAAAAATATAGTAGTGCTCTCGAATAGTATTATTGCTGCTTGTATTATCGAATTGTAGTATTTTAGCTGAGCTCCGGTTTTTCTTCATTTGATCGCTACGCTCTTCGGTTACTGGTTTCTGATCTAAAACGGAAGGGGCTTCTCAAAGCTTCGATGGTAAGCTTCCAAGGAATTTTAATCTTGTCTTGGGCCCGCGTTTACCGAAACGAGAAACATTTACATTGTACAACCTACGTCGTGGCTCCCACCACATCAATAACATTACCCTTTCCCGTTTAGATGGCTTGTTAGAGTATTGTTGAATTATGATACAAGGGACACTCAGATCTATCCACACCTCAGAAAGGCACGCACTAGTCTTTTTTTACATCAATTTTCTTTTTTCTTTTGTTCATTTATTTTCTAATGGATCGAGTATTCCATTTCACCAGAAAATCGCAGTAGTGTCTTGTGTCTTGTGTGTGTCTTGCAAGAAACATCTCGGCTGCCGAATGTAACTCTGCAGTGCGGCCCTCGGGTGTTTACACCTCTGTGGAGTTACACTATAGTACCCACCCCACCATCCACCGTATCCGGGGCGGGGTGGAGCACACTTATATTTTAAATGTGTTTGTTGAGTCTCAAATACCGTCCTCACAAGAACTGAAAACGCCAAACGGCTTGTCCACTGTAATCGACCTCGAACACAGAAACACCCGCACTAATCATTGCAGAAAATGAAAAACAAAAGAGCAAATCAAGGAAATTGCACTATCGTCTTCCTTCTCTTCCACAGACAACACGTAGCTGTATGCTTTTCTTTTAGGATTGGAAGCAGATAACATGCACACGGTGGCACTCGTAACACCCGTTAGCAACCTTGCCGGATTAGACTGGATAGACCAGCTATCACTTGAACGATAAATTGCTGATTTCGATTTTGTTGTTCACTGAAAAGTCCCCAACCACTTGCTCCCCCCCTCCACCAAAGTGGTAATCCCTTACAGTTGTAGTTAATCGAATGCTTTTGACGTATAACTAGCAATCGTTGCTACTGAACATACAGGACACATTTCGAGGTTAACTACCCTTGCTTTCTCTCCCCCCCCCCACAATACACTATACTCAGGACACAAGACATTGTAGCTACAGTATGTACTCCCTCCCCCCCTCCATTTCCTAACACCAATTGCTAAATGACGTACCTAGCACTCTTTGAGTATTTTATTTTCGCTTCTGAACAAGTGATCCTAAGCACTACCAAATTAAGTAGAGGAAAGTCCTGAATCAAAGGAAGCTCGTTTCTATTCTTAGTTATATTGTGCAAGCTCTCCAGAAAGTTAATCTTATAAACCAAACGAGGGCTGGGTTTCGGGGGAACTTGCGATATTGATTCAACAATTATACGGGTTTTGTTCATAAAATTGGATCAAAACCAAAATCCATAATTAAGAAATACGAATAAAGCCCTTCGAGACTGCTATATATAAGAACGCATAATGTACATGTATCAAAGATCAGCAAAATAGAAGGAAGGAAAGTTACTGCTATACTTTATTTAAAACAAACACACAAGCCTCATTTGCATTAAATCAAATAGATACCCTTATAAACAAAAAACAATTTTCACAACAATAGATCAGAACATGTACTTGACAGCACCAATGTATTCTCCAAGCGCTACTTCCACAATGAACATTCAGAAAGTTGTCTCCCAACTGAATGTTAATGAACAGAACAACATCTTACTGCCATCCCTGGCTACTTGTGGTACTCATCTCAAGTCAAACACTGATGATGACATGAAACTGCTTCTAAACAAGTTCGCATTCCACAACAGTAACTACTTCCTGCAGCCCACGATCCACACTTCTAACTCCAGCTCTGCATCAAGTACAGCGGTTTCTTCACCAGTGGTAGCACCAATGTTGCAAAACAGTTTGCCCTCACCCTCCCTCTCCCCACAACAGTTTAAACTAGACAGTGAATCTCCAAATAACATCGTCCCACCAAAAATTGTGGTAGAAGAAGCAGATCAAATTCAAGAGTCACCTAAACCTAAACGAGTGAAAAGACGTACGAAGAGTGCCTCTTCTATGAAGAAGGCGCCAATAAAAGTAGTGTTTGACTCATCGAATAGTCATAATATGTCTACTGAAGCTATTGTCAACGGCGTACCTTCGCCAGCAACCTCGCCGAAGCCCAAGAGAAAGAACAGCACAGGAACAATGTCTCGCTCTCCATTCAAAACTTTCAACGGATGCTTGAATGTCAATGGCAAACAGGACAAGAAAGTCCTACTGGGCCACATCAGCAAACCGAGCAACAAAGTTTACTCAAATAGATCATCTGTTATCAAGTTAAAGGATAACACTCAAAAGATAGAACAAAGGCGTAAGCATATATGCCAGATATGCTTGACTGGGTTTACTACCTCGGGTCACCTCTCGAGGCACGCCAAGATCCACACTGGTGAAAAATCACACGTATGCCCTCATGAGGGTTGTAACCAAAGCTTCAGCAGACACGACAATTGTCTACAACATTATAGAACTCATAGCAAGAAGAAGGAGCAATCACAATCTCCATAATACATTTGAGTACGCAGTATTTAATCTTCAATGGGAAACGAAAGTCACCTTCACGCATTCGAGATACGGAAATATATCTCGCAGGATTACATTATAATTCAACTAAATCATACATTCTTATAAATAAGTTACGTTTTATTTTTTATTTTTTTTTTTTGTGCTTCAGATAGATTCTACTATTTGTTTATAGAACTTCTTATAGATAAATTCTTTTGATTCTTGTACATTCTTATTGAAGTGTAGCTGAGTGTTGCTATTACTACTATCATCCAGTGACTCCATAGTCTCGCGAGCTCATCGCTTTTTAGAATTGAAATCGAAATTTTTCAGTTCGTTTGCAGTCATCTCATCGCAAGGAAATTATAGCTTTCAAGTTTCTATTTCAAATCTAGTCAAAAACAGTTGCAATATTGCAAATACATGGTCAATAAAACCTTTAGTAATATATAGGTGCGTATTGAAAATAGTTATATTTGTCATTACCGAAATTAATTATTGTCTAGCCTTTAGATTCAGTGATTTATCATCTATTAGGGAATGAATAAGCTCATACTAGGATCGGAAGAGGTTCCTCAAATATGTGAAAAATGTCTTGGAACCAGCAATACTAATGAAAACATCAGGATGAATGAAGTACCGAATGGTGCAGCGTGCAAAATCTGCACTTTGCCGTATACACTCTATCATTTCAAAAAATCTCATAGGTCCGCAGATATTATAAAAACTCTTATTTGCAAGAAGTGTGCAATACAGAGGAATGTCTGCCAATGTTGTATGCTTGATATGAAGCTGCATATATCTATTCAGCTGAGAGACAAACTCATGTCAATAGTTAGTGGAAAGGAAACGATTACTGAGGAAGCTAAAAACATAATGATGAAGAAGTTCATTGCAATGAAGGGAGGTAGTCTTGGGAGCGCTGACCTGACCAGGAATGTAGATAGCATTGAAGACATATTATTAAATCTACGAGAGAAGTTGGAAGGAAAGCCCCTGAATGATGAAAATGAGCCGATTTCCGCGCTTCAAAATAAGGAACTAGGTGACAATCCTCACTTAAAATCGGTGGATATACAGCCGTACTGGGATAAATTTCCTTTACAAGAAACATTTCCCAATGCAATACAAATTCCAAAAGGTAACGACAGCTTCAAATCATTTTTCATATATAATATCGATTCCTCTGTTCCAGAATGGAAAATATCGGATAAAATAACAGAATTGCTGGGGTCAGATAGCTGGAAGACGAAGGAATCTATACCAATAATTATAAATCATAAAGCTATGTGTGGTGCTTTTAGAATCGGCAATAATGAGCTGAGTGAAAAATTCTTGCAGACTATTAATAATAGTGATAACATGATACGCATTAACCGCAGTAATGGCTTAAGAAGAGGTATTCTTAAAGTAGACCATTTCCAGCTTTTTATTATCCCTTGGAAGCAAGGATTCTCTGTAGAATCTTTTGGTAGAACTCCAAATGAGAGTAAGAAAATAGCGTTTGCCTTAAGAGAAATTATAGTTGAGGAGATGGGCGGCTTTAAAGATAAGAATGATAGATGCAAGGCCAAGGAGAAACCCAAGAAGATAACTAAAAAATCAAAAAAACGTGTAAAAAGTATTAAAATTTGATAAAGTTTGTTATTTATATAATAGTATAAAATAAAATAAAGATACACAATAGTCCCATCCAATCTTATCCGGTGCAGTTATTAACATCCATGTAGAATGAAACCAAACCAAATCTTTACCAGTTAAGACGGCCTCGGAGCGAATTACTAATTGTTATAGATATGCAGAATTTCGTCAATCTCTCAAAAATAAAATATTAACGCCTTAATAAACCTTCCTAAACAAATGCCAATAAAAAAATGAAAAAAGATAAATGGAATCTTTCTAGCTATTGTCCTCAAAATTTACAACTGACAACCGTAAAAGACTGAGCCCAAGGTGAGATATTAAAGTGGTAAATATAGGCGTTCATTTTCATGGTGTAAACCACCCTTTAAAATGTTAAAAAAATAGAATTGTCTTGTCGCTATTATAATAAGATTTTTTCAGTGAACATGAAAGTAAAAGTAAAAGTAGTATTTTATCTCGTTATCTCTCTTTACTAATATCTGTCTGTTTTTCCAGTGGATAATAGTTAAAATAAATTTTAATGTACATGAATATTCGTAGCTTATATCCAACGGTTGTCTTCGTTTACTTCTGAAGGATTTCTTAAAAACTCAGGAATGTTGTTTGTCATGCCAGATTCGTTGGTAAATGTAAGCATGCTTTCTGAGTTATTGACAGATGGCACACCGACAAGCATATTGTCCATAGGGTTGTGAGCATATGCACTATTTATGATAGGATTATGGTTAGCCTGTATCATGCCTTGCATTGCTGGCGGATGTTGCAATATGGTGTGACCATCATAGGTAGATATTGTTTCTGGCCCACTCATTATATGTTCATGAGCCACTGGTTGTGGATTATATTGATTGAAAAAATACGTGCTATCGACAGACGGTTGTGGTTGGATATGTGGCAATGCAGCATACGGCCCCCCGAAACCTGGAGGGCTGATACTGCCACCTGCATTAGCAATACTATGTAGAGTTTCGCTGGTATGCGAGCTTGGAGCCATTTGACCGGACATACCTGCATTGTAAGCCATCAACCCGTGAGGTGCAGGGTGCATCTGTGGATGTAGTATATCTGAGCCAACATTAGTTGGTGGTGGAGGCAGAGGTGCGCTTGTAATTGTATCGTTAGTACTTATGTAGTCTAGTATCAATGAGTTGAGTATTTTCAAAGAGCTCTCGAGACCTTTCAAAACGTGTGGGACGTTTGAACCGCCAACGAACGCATCATTGACCTGCTTACCCTCAGAGAAATCTTCACATAGACACCACTGATTGGTATTATTGTTCTCGGGTTGGTTTAAGAAATAGACGGCAAATTTTGGAGGTTTGTTTACTTTCAGTTTCAATTCTGCTTGTTTGTTAGCCGGGTCGGTTCTATTGTTTATCTCTTCATCGGTCTTGTCAAAACTCAAAGAGCACGACGCCACAGTGTTGATTCTAAAAAAGATTCTGAAAAGAATTTTTGTGTTGTTAGCCATGGCGCTAAAGAAGTAGTTTATTTCGAAGTTCTTTTTGGATATCACAACCATTAGGTCGGTTGCATCGGACATGAGCTGGTTCATGGACACAGGCGAAAGGTTCGGCAAATCCTTGACCACAGGTAAGCTGTTCGCGGTCAGCGACCCACTCTTCATTCTGTTCCAGCTCCCCACGGTTATGGAGAACACGTCTATGAAATAGTAGTTGTTGTTGATGTTCAAGGGTAACTTGTCAAAGTATGGCGGACCGCTTGTATCCACCGTGGTAACATCTGTGGTCGCTGTCGTCCTCGTTGCGGTGCCTTGTGTCCTGGTCACACCAGCACCTGCACCGGGGCCTGCTGTCGCAGTCCCAGCACCAGCACCAGTACCGCTGACCACCCTACTTTCGCCATCATGCAACTTGGGCTTATCCCCATCCAGCTTCCCTTTCTTCCGGACCTTCGCACGCCTGTTCTGAAACCATATCCGCACATTCTTCTCCGGCATGCCCGTCAACTCACTGATCCTGTTTCGCTCTTGCAGGCTAGGGTTCGGGTTCAACTGGAACGAACTCTTAAGTATGTCCAGTGACTCCCCCTTAGCCCGCGTCCTCTTAGACTTAGTATGGCCATCCATCGTCTCACTCAGCCTTGCCCTGTTCCCCCCCTCCATTCCCATCCATTTAACTACAAAGTTGGCAACTTATTTATTTATTTTGGGAGGTCCGATCGTTGAATTAAAGGATTTCTTGGAACCCACCGTGGTAGGTTATCTGGAACTTTTCCATCTCTGCCGTACTTCCGCGGGGTTTATGAGATGGCCCGAATAGCCATCCCCCCCCCAAGCTTTGCCAGCTATGTAAATGATCAATGGCTATAGTTATCCCTCTTGCATTCATATAATCCCCTTCCCTCCTGAGAACTGCTTATCCTAGCATTATGTAACCCATTATGTAATTCCTAGTGCTGCACGGCCCTCACCCCACCGCTCTTGTGAAAGAAGCTTGCGGACAAAACGGATTGACAGTGCATTAAATAAATAGTTGACAGGCATTGCAATATTATGCTGGGGTATAGTAGACGTCTACAATAGGCAATGGAGAGCGAGCATGAGGTGCAGCAGCTGTACCGGGACATACAGAATGAGATTACGGTGCTGAAGACGCGGCTGAGCAAAGGCGGGGACGTGGCTGTGGCACAGGATGTGTATAAGCGGGCGGAGGCGCTGTTTCCCAAGGTGTCCAGTCTTAAGAACAACCGACTGTTTGCGCAGGACGCCAGGGTGGTTGCTGACTTGTCTGAGCTCACGCAGATATGCATACGGAACCTGGACTTTGACGATGAGTTCAGCCTGGTGAGCCTTGACGACGTGGTGCAGTACTCGAAGGCATATATGCTAAGGGACTACTTGCAATTGAGCGGAGTGGAGGTGAAGACCGAGAAGACATTTGACCTCAGTGCCGACTCTGATGGGACAGGCGGTGGGACAGTGGAAGGCGGCAACGACGCCGGCGGTGAAACATCAGATGCGGCACCACAGAGGCCTGAACACATCTCTGAGATGTTGCAGATTAACAAGAAGAGGAAAGTACTTCGACAGTATGACCAATATACACATTTCACGCAGTTCAACTGGTATAGGATGGGCACTCTGTTTAATAAAGTGAGTAAACTGCCTCCAACCACAGATCACTTGCTGGGTCCATTTGGTTTCGAGAGAAAGAAAAGAGTATTGAAGGAGAGAGCTGCTAGAGATGGGCTCGCCGAAAAATCGACCGCTGAGAACTTGAGTAAGGAGACACTAACCTCAGGGCAAGAGATAACTACCCCAGAACAAGTCCAGCGATGTTTTAAGATTCTAAAGAGAAAGAACGGCATGAACAGTATCAATCTATTCCAGTTTGTGCTGGACCCGAATTCTTATTCGAAGTCTGTGGAAAACCTGTTTTACACTAGCTTCTTACTCAAGGAAAACAAATTACAAATGACAGAGGGAAATGATGGAATGCCCGAGATAGCGATATACAAGCACTCTAAAGATCGCACTAACGATAACAACGATGGTCAGCGTGGAAGAGGTGACCACCAGAACCATATCATATTCCAGCTAGATATGCCTACATGGCAGAAACTTGTTGCCAAGCTTGGTATCAAAGAACCATTTCTGGATTATTGAAGAATATATATTTACACGATTACTCCCCTTACATACTCTAACGTAAACTTCCTGACTTATAGAAATCAAAATAATTGTATTAATAAACTTGTGTTGTTCGATAGTGTTGAATTTTACTACAATATTCTCTTCTTCCAACCAGAAACCGTTAAGAGCTCGTTCATTGGCCATTGGCGTATCGGTGTTATGGAATAATCACTAATTAGTCCTAACTTTTCATAAATTTCTATTCCTGCCCAGCCTATCATAATCGAATTATCGGTACAGAGATCATTTCTTGGATAGTAAAAGTTTTGGAACCTCGACGCTAATTCTCTTTCTAAGGTTTCTCTCAAGGTCGGATTGCCACTAACTCCACCAGAGCAAACAAAACCTGTTACGTTTTTTAATTTATCAGCATTTTTCTTCACTACATATTGTATCTTCGTTATCAGATGCTTGAAGACAGCATTTTGTATCTGAATTGACATACTCCTTAACTGGGCGTCAGTTAGATTATTGTAGTTTTGTATGTTGTCTTTTATAACTGAGACAAATGGGGAAAATGAAAATGCTTGTACATGGGCGTTATTAGGTCCATGCAACGGATTCGGAAGTTTCTCTAATATGCAATTGTGATCCACATCATTTTTATCTTCATTTATAAAGGCATCCATTTCTTTTGCAATCATATTTCCTTTGAATCCCAGTTCGCGGCCACATTTATCAAGAGAATCGCCGATGGCAATATCTAACGTATTGCAGAGTATCTCATGTTTGTCAATGCTCTCTGATAAAACCAGCATACTGTGGCCACCACTGACGAGTAAGCTAATAAAAGGGTACTCTGGTGCAGAACCATTGCTTGCCATTCTCGGTATAAGAAGATGCCCAAGCATATGGTGAACGCCAATGAGCGGCTTATTCAGGCCAACGGATAAACCTTTGGCAAATGTCAGTCCCGCCGATAGTGATCCTGTCATGCCTGGTCCTCTGGTAACACAAATCAGATCGATTGATGGGTTTTCTTTAGGAGAAGTACATTTGTGTGCAGTTAAAGCTTCTTGTACTAGTGAACCTATTTTCATCTGATGGTGTTCATGTGCCATAGTTGGGATAATACCACCATATTCTGAGCTGTTTAGTGTGCTCTTCAGATTAACCAACACCCTTGGTGGTTGAGTTTCTGCAAATCTATCCAGGATTGACACACAGGTATCATCGCATGAGGTTTCAATCGCAAGCACTTTGTAGAATCGGTTGATCCTTAATGGAAGACTTCTAGTTAGGTTTCCTGTTGATCTCCACGAAGTAGACAACATCATATAACCATTATTACTATGCAGAGGTCTTCTTTTGCGCTTTACAGATGGTAGTGTGACCTATTATATATATAATCATTATAAAAGTAATATCTGCCTATATGCAGCGAGGCTGCACTTTACGTGTGATAATAATGACATTTTCCACATATGATTAACATGTAAGTTGATCTCAAGTATTGAGTGATAGACTATACAAAAAGATAAATAGTTATATCAGCCATTTCAAAAACATAATGCATGGTCAATTCGACATTTTACGATACTAGTGTTGTTATTTTGTATATAAACGACTCTTGTTTATAGAACTTAATCGCGGATATCATTGTATCCATTTTTCATGAATAATAAGTTATGTTTATCTATAATATATATATATATATATTTATATGCATTCTAATGATTGAAATTGAACTGTATTACTCAGTTATTATTCAACATAGGAGTTGTTCTTGTCAAACTTGTAGCCCTTAAATTGAGACAAGTTTTCTCCTTTGTATGTTGTAGCACTTGATACTTCTACCAGAATATTATCGTCAATAACTGCTCCAGCGCTTCTCAACCACGAGGTCCCTAATTTTAAATATGCTGTGCGGCTTGTTTCTGGGTTATCATTTGCTGAACCAGGTCCGTTTTTCAATGGTGAGAACTCCTTACTTCTTTGCACTTCCAAGCAGCCAAATTTCTCCATTGGGATTGTTGGGAAAACATCGAAAATGAATTGTTCTAGTTTAATACCATTTGGTGTTTCAGGTTTTTCAAATTCACCTGTTTTATTGTTGTATATAGGAATCTTCTTCTTCGCAATGTGGTAGCTCATGTTGTCACACCAGTTATCTAGCTCTCTTTCAAGTAGATTAACAGAATAGTAGTGGTTAACAATGTTAGCTGCCCGTAATTTCAAAAGACCTTGATTGTCAGTAGCTTCAGCCAGTTCTTTGGATATTTCAGAATATTCGATGACACAAGGGCGTTTGTCTTTCGTAGCAATAAGACCAACAGATTCGTGCGCATCTCTCTTCCTGACAGCCTTGGTGGCAAGTTCAAACTTGTGTTCAATGGCATAGCCGATAAAAGTTGGGTCTGCAGCAAGAGATAGTACATTATCAACACAGTACATGTACAAGTGCTTAATACCTCTTTTATTAAAATCGTCGACCAGATTATTTTCCTTAATTGCTCTATAAAGACCACCGTTACCGTCTGGAGATTGTACCAAAGAAGTTGGGGATCCTAGTAGCAATTTTTCTCCCTTGAGGTCAAATGCAGGTAAAGTACCTTGATTAAAGAAAGTAATATCACCGTGATTCAAGCCAAAATAATTATTCTCTTTGAAGAATTGCTCCGTGGCATTCCTTGTAGGTTCGGATGTCATAATATACCATGGGATCTTACAATTCTTGCCAACTAGTTTCTGTAAGCGATATATTCTTTCAGCCTGTATTTGAAACAAAGATTTACCGGATGGCAAGCCAATGTCATAACAACCCTTAGGTGCAGAAGAACCTAGTCTCGTACCTTGGCCACCAGCCAGTAAAATCACTCCAACTTCACTTCTTTCTAGTGATTCTACACCTTTATTAAAATATCTGGTCTCAGCTTCTCGATTGTCGATGATAGATTCATAAGAACTGGATGGCAGTGGTTGAATATGTGATCCAGCCTTAGAGTTCTCCTCTGCCAATTGGATGGCCTTCTTACAATCACTAACAAGCTTCTCAGGACTAACACGGTTAGCTACCTTTTCCAAGTTATCAAGAAGCGTTTGCTGTTCATTCTTCTCTAACGATTCAAAATGTTCAAATAGCTGATCTTGGCCAGCAGTCTTGTATTGCTCGCATACACCCATCCTGTTTCGCTAAATTTCTCTTCAATTGGTTCAATCAGTACGAAGATCAAAAGTTACCCATCTGTTAGATGCCTGATTAAATAGTTTCAGTGTTGATTAATAGAGTGGTACATTAGCAGTCGGGCCCATCGCGTGGGAACGAATTTCTACTTTTTTGCAAAACCCACGACGCGTCAGCCTAGGTTTGAAGCTCATCGGATGGGCAAGAACATTTTGACACACCTGAGAAATACCGTTTTAAAGTTTGTTAGACCAATAAATTATCAGTTACTCTCCTTATCAGATGTGTAGATTTTAGTGCACCAGGTTTAAACTTATATTGAAATTTCTAAGATAGCTAAATAATAGACAGCCGGTGATCATAATGACAACTACACTGAAGAGGCCTGGTGATGAGGAACCACTGGATGGTGAAGTCCTATTGCATGAGAAGAAGATGAAAGTGCAGTCACAGGATCATAGTGCTGGTAGTGAGCCTGTTTCTACCATAGAGATTATACCCACACAAAACTTCACAAAATTTAAGCAGAAAGGCTACAAAGCAGCTGGTGCTGACAAAGAAGGGAAACAGATGGAGTCGATATTTGAAAGGGAATTATCGCTCATGGAGCATGAAGCTGCGCTTAAGGATGAAACGGATACTTCAAACTATAACAGAAAGCTGATCGCAGAAGATTTCAATCCGGAGACCCATGACATATCATTTCAACAAATCGAAGCCGAGCAAGCTACCATCAACGGATTCAAAGATGAGAACACATCTGCAGTAGTAAGATTATTTGGTGTTACGAGTGAAGGGCATTCCATATTGTGTAATGTAACAGGGTTCAAACATTACTTATATGTTCCAGCTCCAAACTCCGCTAATGCACAAGATCCACAGGAACTTCAGAAATTTATATCGTATGTTAATCAAATGTATGAAAATGCAATTGATTCGATCGAGGTGGTAAAGAGGCAATCGATATGGGGCTATTCAGGTGACACAATGCTTCCTTTTTGGAAAGTTTACACTACACATCCTTCTGCTACAAACAAATTGAGAACTGCGTTTGAAAAAGGGCACTTTAACTACAATTCGTGGTTCGCTAATGGTACAACAACTTACGATAACATAGCATATACTCTGAGATTAATGGTTGACTGTAAAATTGTAGGTATGTCCTGGGTCACTTTGCCAAAGGGCAAATACAATGTAGTTAGTGACAGCCAAAAAGTTTCTACCTGTCAACTAGAAGTTACAATAAACTACAGAAACCTAATATCACATCCAGCTGAAGGTGAATGGTCTCACACTGCACCTTTACGTATTTTGTCGTTTGATATTGAATGTGCGGGTAGACCCGGAATATTCCCAGAACCGGAGCACGACAGAGTTATTCAAATAGCAAATGTGGTGAATACTGTTGGGGAAAAGAAACCATTCATAAGAAATGTTTTTACACTAGATACATGTGCACCTATTACTGGTTCTCAGGTTTTTGATAATGAAACTGAAGAAGATTTATTGAGAAAATGGCGTGATTTCATTATTCAAGTTGATCCTGATGTTATCATTGGTTACAACACCACTAATTTTGATATACCATATCTATTGAATAGAGCAAAAGCACTTAAGATTGAGAATTTCCCATACTTCGGTAGATTAAAGAATGTCAAACAAGAAATCAAGGAATCTATCTTTTCTTCCAAAGCTTACGGTACCAGAGAAACTAAAAATGTTAATATAGATGGTAGATTGCAACTAGATTTGCTACAATTCGTTCAGAGAGAATATAAGTTGAGATCTTATACTTTGAATGCGGTTTCTGCTAATTTTTTGGGTGAACAAAAGGAGGATGTTCATCATAGTATTATTACCGATCTACAAAATGGAGATAGGGAAACAAGAAGAAGGCTGGCTGTTTACTGTTTGAAAGATGCATACCTACCTTTGAGATTGTTAGAAAAGCTAATGGCATTGGTGAATTATACGGAAATGGCCCGTGTCACTGGTATTCCATTTTCTTACTTGTTAGCTCGTGGTCAGCAAATTAAGGTTGTGTCTCAATTGTTCAGAAAATGTTTAGAAATTGATACAGTCATCCCTAACATGCATTCACATGGTAGTGATGAGCAATATGAAGGTGCAACTGTTATTGAACCTATCAGAGGATATTATGATGTTCCTATTGCAACACTGGATTTCAACTCTTTGTATCCAAGTATCATGATGGCGCATAACTTATGCTACACGACATTATGCAATAAAGCAACAGTTGATCGACTGAACTTAAAAAAGGAGGAAGATTATATCATAACACCGAATGGTGACTATTTTGTTACAACTAAAAAGAGACGTGGTATTTTACCTATAATTTTGGATGAACTGATTAGCGCTAGAAAGCGTGCAAAGAAAGATTTGAGAGATGAGACAGATCCTTTCAAAAGAGATGTTCTTAACGGTCGTCAATTGGCTTTGAAAATTTCTGCAAACTCCGTGTATGGTTTCACTGGTGCTACTGTCGGCAAACTTCCTTGTTTGGCTATCTCTTCCTCGGTTACTTCTTTTGGTCGTGTTATGATTATGGAAACAAAGAAGGCTGTTGAGGAGAAATATTCTATTAAGAATGGTGCCAAGCATGATGCAGTAGTTATTTATGGTGATACCGATTCAGTCATGGTTAAGTTTGGTACAACAGATCTGAAAGAAGCAATGGAACTGGGCGCAGAGGCCGCAGCATTTGTCTCAAAGCTTTTTAAACACCCCATCAATCTAGAATTTGAAAAGGCTTATTTCCCATACTTGTTAATTAATAAGAAAAGATATGCCGGACTGTATTGGACAAATCCAGATAAATATGATAAATTAGACCAAAAGGGTTTAGCTTCTGTTCGTCGTGATTCTTGTTCACTTGTATCTATCATCATGAATAAAGTTTTGAAAAAGATTTTAATTGATAGAGATGTTGATTCGGCATTGGGCTTTGTAAAAGCCACTATTGATGATATTCTTCAAAACAGAGTAGATATTTCTAAACTAATCATTTCAAAGACTCTGGCACCAAATTACACAAATCCACAACCACATGCCGTTTTAGCAGAGAGAATGAAAAAAAGAGATGGCTCTGGTCCTAATATTGGTGATCGTGTGGATTATGTCATCACTGGTGGTGGTGATAAGCTTTATAATAGAGCTGAGGATCCATTATATGTACTAGAACATAATATTCAAATTGATTCTAGGTATTATTTGACAAACCAACTTCAGAACCCAATCATTAGTATAGTGGCGCCTATTATTGGTGATAAGCAGGCCACTTCGATGTTCACTATCAAATCGATTAAAATTAATACAGGAAATACCAAGGGCGGGTTGATGGGCTTCATCAAAAAGGTTGAAGCATGTAAAGGGTGTAGAAGTCCTTTGAAAAAGGGAGAAGGTCCATTATGTTCTAATTGTAAGTCAAGATCAAGTGAACTTTATATTAAGGCCTTATATGAAGTACGGGAATTGGAAGAGAAATATGCAAGACTCTGGACCGAATGTCAAAGATGTGCAGGCACCTTACACAATGAAGTGCTATGTTCAAACAAAAATTGTGATACTTTCTACATGAGAGTCAAAGTTAAGAAAGAGCTTCAAGAAAAGGTTGAACAACTAAGTAAGTGGTAATGCTAAAAATAACCTGCCTGATGTCAGATATACCATATCTACGTTTATATAGTCTTATGATAAAAATGTTCTAGTCATTAGATGGCATTATAACTCTATAAAAGTTTACGTAACTAGTGAAGTGAAGAGAGTTCTGAGTATGTTTTCGGCATTCGATTCTCATCAATTTGTAATCTCTTCAGATTGTGTGAGACATCCAGATGAGATACTGAATCTAACCAAGGATGTGCAGCTGCGGCATCGACGTCGTACCTATTTTCTGGGTCCAGAACAAGTAAGTTTGAAATCAAATGAAGGGCTGCATCATCAATTTCATCCCAGTAAGGGGAGTAAAAAGCATATTTCGCGCTCATAATTTGTTCTTTTAGTGAAGGGGGGCCTAATTGATCACTAAATGGTGGGAAGCCGCATAAGCAAACATACAGGATTACCCCGGCACTCCATAAATCAACCTTAGAAGTGTAACCTTTTTTTACTAGGACTTCTGGAGCAACATATGATGGTGTACCACATAAAGTATTGGTGAATTGCATTTCACCAGTAAATTTGGCTAAACCAAAATCAGCTATCTTAACCTGAATGTCAATTTCGTCCTCATCCCATGGTCCTAATTGTCTTTCATCTGGAGATTGGCGTCTTCTTATGTTCAAAAGAATATTCTCTGGTTTTATATCTCTGTGAATGATATTTTGACTGTGTAGGTATTTTAGACCTGTTAAAATCTGTTTGAATATAGCTTTCGATTCTTCCTGTGGTAGGCTGGTTTTCTTGACTATTCTATCAAATAGTTCACCATCATCGATCTTTTCCAAGACCAAATATTTTTGAATCTGAGTTTTGCTAATGGGCTCTACGAAACTGTCTAATAGATTGACTATATTGGGGTGATGGATTTTCATTAGTATAGTAGTTTCCTCTCTAAACTGTTTATTTTTCTTTTGATCATCATTCTGCTGAGGGTGAAATATCTTTACCGCCACTGTTTCCCCTGTAGTTTTGTTTTTGGCTTCTTTTACAATTGCATAATGCCCTGAGCCTAAATCCTTGCCTAGCAAGTATTTATCAAAAAATGACAGGGGTTTTAACTTTGCGAATTTTCGCACCTGAGATTGACTACTAGTAAAACTAAATTGCGGTTTCTTAAATATTGAACTCTCATCTTTCCTATTTTCATCACTTATATCAGAAGCCTTGTCTTCCTCATTTAAGTCTTCGAATGTGGTTGATGCATATTTGAACAAAAAGGAACATCTTTTGCCAAACACAACTCTATCACCGTTCTTCAAAACATAGTCTCTTTTGATAAGTTTATTGCCGTTGATATACGTTCCGTTTCTGCTCTTGTCCACTATATTTATCAGTTTCCTCTCAGAGTTATCTAGCTTCATGCTAACAATATACATTTCACAATGAACTGTCGAGATATCAGGCTCCTGTAGAACTATGTCACAGGATCGACTCCTACCAACAGAAGTAACTGACTTATCTTTAATTTCATAGCTTTGTTCCTTTCCAGGGATCAGACTGACCATGGTGGCAACTACATCATACACCCTTTCTCCAGTGGCATCTTTTAACCGCTTCGAATTCTCCTCATTTTCGACTGAGTTATTCCTCTTTATAGTCAGGCTCATAGGTATTGTGTTAGATATATTAGCTGATTCAAGGTGCTCCCAATGTCAATACGTCCTCTTTTAAGTGTTTTTAGGTAATATACTTCTCCGAACGCTTACTTCCCGCAAATATCAATTCAGTTCTGGGTTTTATATATAAGATGGTTGCAAAATATATCCGATTTTATTAGTGGATCAAAGTCCAGTTACTATCGATGAGATAGTTTATTACTTTCTATGAGCCACTGTCTTGCCAACTTTACTGAAATTTCATGAAAAAATAATGAAAATTGGTGTTGTTTACATGTGGACGCGTAAACATTGGTTGGAAGATGTAAATAAACAGATAAAAGCAGGATATAATGCAAGTTGAACTGAAACAGCACAGGGAAGTGGGCTCGCAGGTTTGCTTGTCATGAAGAAGTGTGGTATATTCAAGGTTTAAACTTTTATATAGTAATATATATTGCTTTTTTGCAGCATCTATGCGAGAGATTGAGGAATGGCTAGGAGATAAAATATTTCAGTTCTTTTCTTCTAGCTCGTAGATGACTGTGTTATCAGCGACTGGGTCGTATTCCTTGAATAGAAATTGGGAGAACTTCTTCAAGTTATTTAGACCTCTGATTTCACCGGCACATAGAGGCATTTTGACAACATGGAAATCCTCGTACAACTCATCAATCTGGTCAAGGTACTTCTTTTGCATTTTCCATCTCGATTGACATCTCTTACAGTTATGTTCTTGGTCGAACTCCGCAAATAACAATTGGTTTACAATGATGGAGTTAACATCCATGTCATAGGAGATAAGTTCCTGGATTAATCTTTCAGTTTCGTAAAGGGATAAAAATTCACTGATACAGACACAGACAAAAGTGGTTAGGTCTGGGTCGGTGAATTGCTCTTTAATGGTTTCAACATTGGCTTTCAGCTCATTTAGTTTGCCAGCAATGTCAACGTTACCTGAACCCATCATGGAGTTCAACATAGGGCCTAGTCTACCAGTGATCTCGCTAAACTTGTCCAGTAGTTTCGATAGAGTTGTTGGCAATTGCAAAAATCTCAGTGTGTGACCAGTTGGAGCCGTGTCGAAGATAACAGTGTCGAAACTTTCACCGTCACCTTGTTCTTGCTTCTTAATGTGTTTCATAACTTCCATAAATGATAGAGCTTCGTCAATACCTGGGATAGAACCAGTCAAGTCGGCTAGAGCGCCACCTTGTAGCAGTCCTCCCAAGTCGTCGTTACCGTTTTCGCCTGCGCTGGAGACAGCCATGTCGTTCATGTCCTTCAATGCAGCAGAAGGATCAATCTCCATACAGGACAAGTTGTCCATACCGGTGACTTTCCTGGCATCCTTGTCGAACTTCTCTCCGAAGGCATCACTCAGGTTATGCGCAGGGTCAGTAGAAATCAACAGAAACTTCTTGTGTGGTTGAGCAAGAGCCATCTGAATGGCGATCGAACAAGAAGACGTCGTCTTACCAACACCACCTTTACCACCAACGAAAATCCATTTGTGAGTAGAAGAAGTAATCAGAGACTTCAAATTTGGTTCAACAGTCAAATCCATTATATCCTTTGTAGTAATTCAAGTACGATTTCGTCGCTCTATCTTATAAATGGTAAAACAATTACTTTGCTAGCTTCAAATTATAGTGGAAGCAGTCGAATTCAATTTTATTTATCAATTCATTGTGATATAGCTTCGATTTTGTAAACGGTTGTGTTCGAACTTTTTTGTCACTAGAAGAAAGAGCCGAGTTTTGTCAAAAAGTTGAGAAACCAGTGAAATCAAGATAAATAAGAGCAAAATACTAGAGGTCTGGAGGTCTGAAGGTATGGCTATAAGTAGGAATTGAAATTCATTGTAACAAAATTAAGCAATTGAGGGATATGTCTGATACAGAAGAAGATAAGAGGGCTAAGCAGTTGGAAGAGGCTAGGAAGAGGGTTGAGGAGTTAAAGAATAAGAAGAACAAGAAGAAGAACAAGAAGAAGAAGAATAAGGACAAAGAAGGAGATGACAAAGCAGCTGCTGTAGAAGCTAATGATAGCGCAAACGAAATTACAGAGGCGACAGAGACTGCTGACAGCACGGAAGCTTTAGAAGTTCCTGATTCCAAAGAAGCCACCCCTGCAGAGGAAGTTAAACAGACCGAAGATGAGGAAATAGAAACTAAAGATGATGATCTTCAAGAAGAATCTGTTGTGGCTGATACTAAAGAGGAATCAATTCCGACAGAAGAAGCTAAAGTTGTGGATGAAGCCCAAAAGACTATTGAAGACGTAGAAGAGCTGACAAGAGAAGTTGAAACAAAACTGCAAGGTGATATTAACGAAAAAAAGGCGGCTGAAGAGGAATACACTGATAAGAAAGAAGAACCAAAGGCTCAAGATGGTCTAGATGACATGTTTGGTAATGATGATAATAGTAACGATTTCATTTCGACTATAAATAAGGAAAAGGAAGCCGATGAGATATCAGAATTGAAGAAAGAGATAGAAAAGCTTATCGCTGAGAACAAGACTTTGAAGTTTGCCAATATAGATCATGAAACTGTAATTGAGGAATTGCAAGAGGAAAATGCCAAATATAAAGAAATGTTGGAACTGACTCAAAACGATCTTCAGCAGGTAAAGAACGAACTTCTACAAACACAAGTTAAACTCAATGAAGTCTCGCAAAATAACAATAAGCCGGTCAATGCCTCACCAACTTTACAATTTGCAAAATTCAATTCAAACTCTGAGACAAGTAATTATGCGCCTTCTAACTCAACAGGACAGACACCAAAACTTAATACATATGGAATTGCTCAAACACAAACAGTGGATAGGGCAATGTTGCAGAAATGGAGGAACTGGAATATAGATATGACGACATGGAGAAGCATTGGGTCCGGACCTATAGTAGAATTTTGATCTATTTCCGTAAGGAGTTAAGCACAGATGACTCTTAAGGGCTAATAATAGCATATCAGTTTGTTAGAATTTATTTTGCCATATATATGTATTCTTAATAGTCATTTATTGTATTTTCTTCTCGATAATTTATGCCTTATATATAGTACTATTTTGTACAATGCCGACTGGTATGCGTGAGGTTATCAAATTGAAAATGATCAGTTTGGAATAAAATAGGAATCTCACTCAAAATTTGAAAACCCCATTACTTTTTTGATCGTGTCATCATCATTATTATCATTATTACTAATATTGGTTTTATTGTTCCTCTTCTTCTTTCTCCTTGAAGTGTCATCTTCATTGGGTATTGCAACGACTCTATTAGCCTTCACAAATGATCGTATTTTCTCCTTATACAATAAGTTGAACTCTTCAATTGGAATATCATCGTTATCTCTGGTCTCTGTAATTAATGGCTCTTCAAATAAAGCCTCAAACTTCAATTCGTGACTCTTGTGGTTCAAATGGTCAACGTACTGTAAACTATCTTTTAGCGTTATATTACATAACTCGCAATAGAATCCGTATTGTTGACCTTTTTTGAATGATGACACGTTTGTAGCTAATACACGTTTATTAAGGCCTGACATAGATCGCTTCAGAAGCATGTCATAGTTTGTATATTTCTTCTTCAATTGTTCCAATTGGACATCGGAAAGAGTATCTTTTAGACTTTGTAGGTGCGATAGTTCAGGGACAGTATCATACTCATCTCGGTCCCATGTTCTCCTACCAAAATTTGACATTGCTTGAGAACTATCTAATGAAGAATTTAGTTTTTATTTGGCATATTAGTTACTAGTGTTTTCTATAATTGTTAGTCACTATATATAACGCCCTGTTTTTTACATAAAAAATTTCAAAGAAATTAGCATACAATGGTGATTTTACTCAAGAAAGGAATAAATTAAATGGCAATGTTATGGGATAAGAAATGAGTGCATTAGTATATCTAAATAATAGTATTTAAAATATGTGAAGATTTTATTGGAGAGTATTTCATTTTAGGTGTCTCACCTCTGCTCAATAAAGGACGCTCGCTTTGTCGAAAAGTTGATCAACAACCTTATTTAGTTGGCCAACTAATTCTAAAGCGGAATCATATGTTGCATCCTGGTGTGGAGTGTCATATATATATAGCCAACCATTACCTTGGTCTAAGACACCGGAAAATACCTTATCTAGAATCATTTGAGATAGTTTCCCTTCTACATGTTGGGCATCCAGTCCTATCATCTTGGAAATATGAGCGATTTCAACACATTCAAATGGTTCGATTATTTTACACAGGTTGGATTCCAGTAACGTATCGTATAAAGCATTGAAATGAGATCTGGTCAATTCGTCGCTCATCAACTCCGTTCTATATTGCTTTAGCGCTGTATTAAATTCGTGCAAAGACCTGTTGTTGTATGCTTCTGCAACAGCACGCATAGCATCGATACCTCTTGACTGGTATGTCTCTTTTGTGTACTTGGCATTTAAAATACTCTTTACATCGTCTATTAGATTGAGCATGATCTTTGATAGTAACATGTATTTTAGCACCTGGCAGGCTTTGTCGTAGGAGTTGCTTGTGGAGAGGTTGTGGAAACTCTCAAAACTTTCAAAGAAGTAGGAGTATGCGGTTTTATAGTCCTTATCTTCACAGTGCAGGATACCACTCATCAGATCCAGCTCAGCAACAGTAACAGTTGGGCAGTAAATTGAGTTGGCAGCTGTCCTCGAAGCAGTCAGAGCCGCTTTAGATTTCGCCAAGTTCCTCAGTTTATGATAAACTTTGCTTTCCAACAGGTGTACATCAACAAGGGAAGGCTTGTCATCCAATTTCTTGAATTCTCTCAATAAGTTTTCAATCAACGCTAGGGAATCCTTGTATTCTTTTGTCTCGTAATGTAAAGTAGCCAACTTGATCTCCAAAGAGTGCTTCAAGAAAACCCTCTTCTCTCTCTTGGCAAAGTCAATGCTTTGCTTACAAACGTATATCTGGTCCTCTAAGGAATTAGGAACTAGACTAAACTTCTCGATCAGGGTCTTCAACACTTTTGCAGTCTTGGACTTAGCAAACTGCATCATATACTCCGTCGAATGTGGTATGAATTCCCTTAGCTTGGCCTTGTCGCCTTGTTCAACGTACATATCGCCCATCGCAAGGATAGCCTTCTCACGCTCATCCTTCTTCTTCTCATCCATAGGAACCTCCTGGTTCAATATACCCAGGTAAACCTGCTCTGCTTCTGCATACTGCTTCTGTTCCACAAGCTCCTTGGCTCTCTCCAGTGATATCATCGCAAAAAAAGTTATAGTGTGTTGACCAATCTCTATAGCTTCTGCCTAAACTACGAATTGATACCAATACGTATCTACCGCCTAGTAATACCCTTTGCAAGCACCAACAACTACTCTTTATAACTGCATTAATGGCGCTCTTAGTAGCCCTCAGTCCCTCCCAAAGGGCGAGCTCACTGAAAAGTGAAAGTGGCAAAGTTACCTTATACGTGACGTACATCGTTACATGGGATATCCTACTGGCTGAGGGGGCCGTGAATCGGCGCTTAAAGTCTGAATAAAACTTGTTTTCATTTATTTCTTGGGTCGTTGGAATGGTTAACGTTAGTCTAGGAAGATCATACAACTATGTTCAGTAGAATGTGGCTTTCTTTGTGTGGTGTGTGCCGTCGCTTTTTGTTAGGTCTAGGATCCGAGTTTATTTCTTTTGCCCGACGCATACAGTAACCCTGGTCAGGCAAGGAGCAACCTACTTGTCTGATCTCTAGACAAGAAAGATGCGACGGTTTAGTTGTATTTTGGCGGGTAATCTTGTGGTGCTCACGAATGCTTTTGGGTTGTATGCAAACGCTGTGCCGGAGGGGTCCATTTCCCATATATTTGCATACAGACACAGTTGATCATGTATGTGGTGTCTGGGTTCTCACGTTACTTGGCTTTTTATTTTAATGCTTTCTCTTCGTGGAGTGTTTCATCACATGACGTGTTCTAACTAGGCCAGACATTTGACATGTGATTAACGAGGTGATGACCTGCATTCTCTTGCTGTCGGTGCTGCTCAGTGGGAAAAAGTGTCGCAAGACAACGCCAAAAATATTTGCAAATTGGGAAACGAGAAAGAGAGCGAGAGAGAGAGACTTGCGTTTTTTGCTTCAAATAGAGGGAAAGTCGGTTAAAAGGGCCTCCAAAGTAGAGATTGGTTCTCTCTAAGTTAAATATACCGACGACAAATCATATTACCGTTCTGCCAATTCAGTCAAAGAGGACGTTTTAGTTGTTCTGCCTTATCAATTGAGATAAAACCTTTCCCGGTTTCTGTTTTCTCTATTTCCTCGAAAGACTACTGATACTCAAAAAGATACTGATACTAGATACTCCAGGTATTTTTTGGCATTGAATTGAGCTCTGGTATAGCTTTATAAGGTTAAACTGAGCGAATTATTATAAAAAAATACACATAAAGAACCAATGTCGGACAAAAAAGCGGAGAAACAGCTCCAACCTGTGAGCACAGCGGATTCTCTTCTCTGCATGGATGTTGACCCTGTGCCCGAAGTAAAGATTAACAAAGGCCCTTTGAGACCATACATTGACTTCGAAGGTGACTATGATACCGCTAAATTACGTACGGTTAAGACACTGAAGGAAAAATTAATGGTTGCTATTTTACTAATCATAACCGCCTTTGTCAGGCTTTATAAGTTGTCATGGCCAAGCAGTGTTGTATTTGATGAAGTCCATTTTGGTGGATTTGCATCTAAGTATATTAAAGGTGACTTCTTCATGGATGTGCATCCACCTCTGGCGAAGATGTTGTTTGCTGGTGTAGGTGCATTGGCAGGTTACACCGGTGATTTCAGCTTCAAGCCAATTGGTGAAGAATATCCAGATACTGTTCCATTTTACACCATGAGATTATTCTCCGCCTCTCTTGGTGTTTTTACAGTCTTGATGCTTTACTTAACTTTGCGTGCCTCTGGTGTCAGATTGGGTGTAGCTTATTTGTTTGCTTTGGTTTTTGCATTTGAAAACTCATTTGTAACTATCTCACGTTACATCCTATTGGATGCACCATTGATTTGTTTCATTGCTGCAGCTGTGTATTCATACAAGAAATCTGAATTATACCCAACTAACTCATTTAGGGCTTTGAAATCATTGTTAGCAACCGGTATTGCTCTGGGTTTGGCCAGTTCCTCAAAATGGGTTGGTCTATTCACAGTTGCTTGGGTTGGTCTTCTATGCGTTTGGAAGTTGTGGTTTATGATCGGAGATTTGAATAAGTCACCATGTACAATTGTCAAGGCTGCGATTGGTAAATTAGTCCTTCTATTAGGTGTTCCAATCTTGTTATACGTTGCTTTCTTCTATGTTCATTTCCAAGCCCTTATCCATGATGGCTCTGGTTCTAGTTTCTTCCCATCTGAGTTCAGAGCTACATTAGAAGGTAATCAAATTCCAAGCGATGTAGTTTATGATGTAGGCGTTGGTTCAATTGTAACATTGAAACACTTGAGCACTGAGGGTGGTTATCTACATTCTCATAGTCATGCGTACCCAACTGGATCTGAACAACAGCAAATCACTCTATATCCATTCTTGGATGATAACAACAAGTGGGTCATTGAAAGAAGTCATCTTCCAGGTGCTAGTTTGAAAGATTTTATTGGTTTGAAGAATGGTGAATCTATTTCCCTGCTGCATTTGGCTACTGGGGTAAGATTACACTCTCATGATCACAAGCCACCAGTATCTGAAAGTGCTGACTGGCAAAAGGAAGTTTCGGGTTATGGTTACCTTGGTTTCACTGGTGATATCAATGATCACTGGACTATCGAGATTGACCAAAGTTCTTCTAAGCCTGGTATTGCCCAACATGAAGTTAGAGCTATTGACACCAAATTCAAGTTGAGACACGCCACTGGCTGTTATTTGTTCTCTCACGAAGTTAAGCTTCCAAAGTGGGGTTTTGATCAACAGGAAGTTACTTGTGCCACTCAAGGTAAGCCTGAATTGCTTCTGTGGTACATTGAAGGAAGTGAAAACCCACAATTGCCTGAAAATACCCCTCGTATTTCATACAAGCCAATGAACTTCATTGAAAAGTTCATTGAAAATCACAAGAAGATGTGGAAGATTAATAAAGGTCTAACTGGTACTCATTACTATGAATCCCTTGCTTATGAATGGCCTTTGATGAGACGTGGTATTGGTTACTGGGGTGAGCATCACAGAAAGATTTACCTTTTAGGTAATGCTGTTACATGGTGGGCTGTTAGTGCTTTCATATTGGTATACGCTGCTATTCTTGCATTCGAAGCTGGATCATTCTTGGTCGGAAAACCAATTCTACAAGATAAGAATGTTATTAACTTCCATGTTCAGGTATTACACTATTTGCTGGGTTTTGCAATTCATTACGTACCATTCTTCTTGATGGGTCGTCAATTGTTCTTGCACCATTACCTTCCAGCTTATTACTTTGGTATCTTAGCTTTGGCACATGCATTTGATATCATTATCACTTTTGTTTGCAAAAACAGAAAACAGGCTGCTTATGCACTATTAATTCTATTTACTGCTGCTTCCATCTACTTTTTCCATGCTCATTCTCCAATTGCTTACGGTACTGACTGGACAAAGGATGTCTGTAGAAACTCAAGATGGGTATCTACTTGGGATTACGACTGTGAAAACTATTTCAATGACTTGAGTGAATATGCTAACTACACTTACGTTCCAAAGATCACCACTGATGAAGCTACGACAGATGTCCAGAATGTTGTACCTGCTGCAGAACCAGAACAGCAGGAAAAGAAGGCTGTTGTCTCTGATGTCAACGGTGCTGCATCACCTCACAAACGTGAAAAAGTAGAAAAGAATGAAGCTGAAAGAATGCTAGATGATCTAAGTAATAAAAAGTTTTTGGATGGGAATGGTAATGAGTTGTCTCCGGAACAAGTTAAGAAACTGTTGGAAAAAGAAGGCATTGAAAACTTAAAAATCGAAAAGGAAGTCAATCATGTTCGCAAACGCGTAGCTTAGTTGAACTACAGCAATCATAAATACCTTTATTTACTAAGATTCATAACTTATTGCTGGTATTACTTGTAAAACTTTGTATTATCAGCATGTAACGCTCAGTATATACATACATAATTATACGAATAGAAGATTTGTTTCACTAAACAAACTAGAAGGCCTCTGTCATTCAGGTAATATAGTAAAATAGTCAAATTCAAGTCTAATCCTAAAGTAGATTTGATTGCATCCAATTGTGACATGCTAAGGAGCTTTCTATTAATGATTGACATGGCAATCCTCAAGAAAATGAGATTTTCCAAAAAATATTCAATTCGTTCTCGAGAGGACAATCTTTTCATGTCACTCATTGTATTCCAAGTACAAACAAAATGCTTTCGCACATGAAGACAACTTTGACAAAACTGGTAGCTGGAACCTGGTGAGCTGCATTCAGGGTTCTCTGCCAGTGCCAAAGTGATTAACTGAACTCTCTTGAGCTGAAATAGGTAATCTGTCGAATTGTAAACGCTTGCATTCTCATATATTACAGATATCGAATTCAATTGTCCATCACCCAAAGAAGCCATCTTCACGATTCTGATTCATTAGCGTATCAGCAGAAGCAACTTGACCGAATATTGAATATCTTTAGTGTTTGTCTAGAAATAGAATTCTTTTAGATTTGCACTGAGTGTTTCCAAGAGGTTTTTATTGTTTTTCGACTTAAGTTTGGCACTGAGATTCAATTGTATTCTACTACAAACTCTTAAGTTGTGTGAAGCTCGAATTTGGTTGCAGGTTCTATTTATTTAATAGCCATTTCCATTTGTGCAATAATTGAAAACCAATTGCAACACCAAAAATGGCAAAGAAATCTGCTGCTAAGAAAGAGAAAGACGCTGTACAACAGAGAGCTGCCACTCCAGAGCTTCTCAAGACGGTTCCACAAGTTGAATTGAAGGATGGTCCAGTCAGAAAGTACATTGTGAGCGACCCTACTCCAGAGTTGTTCCAATTCCGTACCATTGGAAGCAAATCCGATGGTATCCTGATGGCCATTGTAGCGTTGTTTGCTATAGTCACCAGGTTCTATGACATTGGTTTCCCAAAGGCCATTGTATATGACGAAGGATTCGTGATTGCCGAAGTAAGCAAGTATTTTAATAAGACCTTTTCCATTGATGTTTTTCCACCATTAGGTAAAATGATTTATTACTTTGTTGGTAAATACACGGGATTCGATACATCATATAAATACCATCCAGTTGGTACCCAATTTGAGAATGCGAGTGTCTATCTACCTGAAAGATACCTTGCAGCTGGTTTGGGTGCATGTGTTGTCGTGTTCTTCTTCATGACATTGCGTGCTTCAGGTGTTTCTCGTCCTATTGCTGGTATATTTAGTGTGGCTCTTTCTCTAGAAAATTCATTCATCACAGCATCTCGTTATGTTCACTTGGATGCACCATTTTTATTTTTTGTTGCAGCTGCTATTTATTTCACAAAGAAATCTGATAACTTAAGAGCTGGTTCTGGAAGGTACATCTTTACTTTTACTCATGCAGCTTGTTTACTTGGATTGGCAATTTCAACTAAATGGGCCGGTTTGTTCGTATTGGCCTGGGTGGCTATTGTGACTCTATGGAGATTGTGGTTGCTGGCTGGTGATTTGTCTGTCCCAATCTGTAGAACAGTTAAAGTTTTCATCTTTAATTTATTGGTGTTGTCTTTGGTTCCGGCTGTAATTTACTTCTCTATTTTCAGCTGGCACATTGGCAGCAGAACTGTGGATGGCAACGACAGCATTTTGATGAAACCTGAATTTAGATCAGAATTATATAACAATACAGTGATTAAAGAATCCTTTGCCGATGTTGTTGTTGGTGGTACTGTCAGATTGAATAATATTGGTATGGATGGTGGTTTTGTTGAAGCTGCTCCAGCGTATTATGAAGCAGGTTCTAAACAACGTCAAATTGATCTAAGAAAAAATGAGAGTGTGACAACTGATTGGGTTGTGGAATACTATAATAGATCTGGTTCAACTCCAAAGAGCTTTGAAAACTTGAAGAATCATGAAAAGATTAGACTTTACTCTCCAAAATACAAATGTAGATTACATTCCCATGACCATAAGGCACCAATCTCTCAACATGTCGATTGGCAGAAGGAAGTATCCTGTTATGGTTATGAAGGTTTCATGGGTGATCCAAATGATGACTGGATTGTTGAAATTGATCAAGATCTTTCAGAACCTGGAGAGGCTAGAGAGTTCGTCAAGGCAATTGATACTAAGTTTAGATTGAAACATGCAATGTCTGGTTGTTACTTGTTCACTCACGACGTCAGAATGAGAACTCCGGAATTTGTTATGGACTATGAGATTGCATGTGCTCACTCGGGTAAATATGAATTAACTCTATGGAACATTGAACAGGATCAACCTCATCCTAACTCGCCCAAGAATCCTAAGCGTGTCAGTTACAAGCCAATGAGCCTGAAGGATAAGATTTTGGATTTACATGCTAAGATGATTGAGAAGGCGAAGGTTAGAACAGATAAGAGCTCTTTAATAACTTTCCCAACTACATGGCCTTTATTGGAGAAAGGTATTCCATTTTGGAACGGATTTGCAAGACAGATTTATTTCCTTGGTAACCCTGCCATGTGGTGGTCAGTGAGTGCATTTATTGTTTTATTTGTTGTTGCCTTTGTTGGTGAGTTGATTTTCTGGCAAATGGGTTTCGAGATATCCTCAAATCCTCAGTTTATTAATTTCCATATTCAAGTCCTCCAATATGGTATTGGTTTTGCACTAAACTATGTCCCATATATCTTGACTACGGACAGACACCATCTGTATCAATACTTGCCTGCATACTACTTTGGTCTATTAGCCCTTGCTCATGTATTTGAGCTTGTATATTCTTTTGCATTCAAGAACAAGAGAGTTGGTCTAAGTGTCGCTGCATTCTTCCTAGTTGTGGTAGTTGTAGCATTCTTCAGATATCTCCCATTAACTTATGCTACCCCTTGGACTGTAAGTGAATGTAATGCAACAAAATTGCTATCGAGTTGGAAGTATGGCTGCGAAATATACCCAGAGAATTACCGGATTTACCAGAAGATGGATTTAACCAACTACACTAAAGCTGGTACAAAGGAACTAGATAAAATTGGTGTTGTGCTACATTAAATGGATTGGAGTTATCTTGAATTCATTGGCGTAATAGACATTGACTGATCTGTTATCTCGCTTATGTTCAATGTAGGAGAAGACAAATATTTATCAAATACGACTCATTAATAAGACAAAGTTCGGTCGATTTCATTCACCTTGTTATTATAGTATCCCTGTTTTTAACATTTCTATTATATAGTATACACGAATAATTAATGATTTTATTCTATCTTTTTATCGGACCTAACATCATGCGTCGTGGGACACTGGAGTGGACAATAGCATTGAATGAACTAATCATCTCAATTTCGCTAATTGCTATTACACTGAAAATTGTTTGTCGTATTCGACGATATGCTACCTTGGAAACTTTCGAAGTTCAATACGCTGAATAGAGCTGAACAAGACATTGAAAGCGCAGAATGGCTTATATATCAGTGATTGTGATGCCAATGGTGGTTTTTGCACCACATATAGAGCATTATCTGTGATAGAACAATAAAACAGGATTTTAATCTAGGGTGTTGTTGCTGCGTGAAACTTCTTAAAGGAAAGGATTTTCTGTTTTAGTTTTACACGGTTTGATAGCTAAGCATATAACTTACAGTTCCTGCGAGGTAAAGAGATGAGTGAGTCCAAGGCTGTGATAAGTCCTACAGAATTTTTGCAAAAGGCTGGTGAGCTTTTCAAGACTGCTAATGAAAAGAAGGTGACAGTTCACATCTCGATAAAAAGGTATATCAAGGATGACCAGGTTGAAGGGAACTTGGAAAAGGATGCTACCAAAGCACCAGAGTATGATGTCTCCAAAATGGCTAGAAATATAGCTACGAAAGAAAGTTCCGATAAATCTTACCCGATGGTTGTCAGGATATGGTGCGGGTCAAACGCCAAGAAGACAAAATATTCAACAATTGTGCCTACACTTGAACTTGACCAATTTTGGCAAGATTATAGCTCTGTGGTAAAAAGCGGGATGAATGGTTTGATAAAGAAGAAGAAAAAGAGAAAGACGGCTGCTAGTAATAAAGACAAAAAGAAAAATTGATCTAGACTAAACTGGATAGTTAATGAATAAGTTTGTAGGCTCAATTTGAGATTTCTACTCCATTATATAAAGGCCAATGAAAGTTGTATAATAATGAAATAGCATCAAGTACTATATTTTTCCTTTAAAATGCAAAACTAGGCTTGCGACTTTACAAACCGACTAGACCATTGTTAGTAATAATTCTATAATCGTTATACAATACTTTTGACGGTAATTAAGATTTATTGAATATTTCGAAGTTTTAATTATTATCTATTTCGATTATAATGGTACCAGATGGATAAATTGAGCTTTCATCACTAATAGTAATTGCTGGGTTTAGTTCCTTTCTTGGAACAGGTACTATTAGTGTAAAGTTATATGAGTGGTGATAATTAGAGGGGGGATCTTCAGCATCATACTGCTCTTCTGATTGCAGCAGATTAGTGGAATATAGCTCAACAAAAGCATATATCTCCTCTATTGGCAATCCTGCATCAAATTTGCGTACTATTCGAGAGCCATCTTCCATCCTGATTGCTATTCTACTGCTATCCTGACTGGAATTGGGCTCACTCTTCAATGATTTTTTTCTCCATAACAACCATTGCTTTCGTAATACAGTTTGTTCTGCCTCATACGCTGCCCTATTTTGTTCTTCCAATCTTGCGCGTTCCCTTTCCTGATCTCTTCTCAATGAATCGTTAAATCTAGCGTCTTGTTGTTCTCGTATAAACCGTTCCACTTCGATATGTTGTTTCTGTTGTCTTAGTTGTAGTAAAGACGGGTATTCCTTTGATAAAATATTTTCTAGACTTGCTGCTGTGAAATTGTGGACAGGTCCTTCAAATTTACCAAAGAGTTCTATCTTTTTGTTATTTTTTACAGTGAGGACACCTAGAAAGGGAAATGATCTTACCTTCAGCGCATTACTGACTTGCATACCTTCTGAATTCGTCACATCTCCGAACCATAGGAGTATTTGATATCTCTTTAGCAGTTTAACGAAATCTTCCGAGCACAGAATTTTGTCTAAATAGTTGAGACTGTCATCGAGCAGAGGATCATGTAAATAAATCATGCCAAATTTTAGTTGATCTGTGCATGTGTCCAGTAACTGTGTATAGCTGCCTTGCATTATTTCCTTGCTTAACGACCCCGAATCTGTCCCATATAGTGACCCAAAACTGTAATTGGAAGAATCATGATCTCTATTCAGTTCTATCTTTTCTGTTTCCTTTTCTAAGTATTCTATCAGTCTTGCTAGAACGTCCCTGTGATTCATTTGGTTAATATGTTTTTTATCATAAAATCGAAGAAGATTCTTAAGAGGTTTTATAACCTTCAATGCCTGGAGTAAAACCGTCAAACTATAAAATAAAATCATCAAAGGAAATTGGAATATATAAGCCAAAATTCGTTTGATATACCTAGAAGCCTGTGAGTCCTCCACTGTTTCCTCCGGGGAAGCAGAAATTGGGTTGACATTGGTTTCAATTGGGAAATGGCCCGGAATGTGGTCATAATTGCCACCACTTGATCCACTCATTTATATAGACTATCGGACGCTAGCTTTAATGCACAGTAGCTTATTTTGACTACTGGTTGATCCCTTGAATACGCCTACAATTATACATTTTAGTATGATTTCTAAGTTTCCCATTGAAGTTCATCTAAACATGGCTAAGAGAAACCCTTAATTGATACATGTCGGCCATAGTGATTTAGGTTTAACGTCAGTATATACCGAGTAAGAAGTTTAAAGTCAAAGATACCTATCATCATAACTTCATTTATAGATATGCTATATGCATATAATTATACATTTAATTCATTAAAAATGCAATGTAGATTAAATACAGCCCTTATTCTCGGAATTTTAGTGTGTTAGTGTTCGGCTTGAGACAGATGGGCTTTTACTGCCTCGCCGATCGAAATGCATCCGCAAACCTTTTAAAATGTACTGTAACTCTAGCGAGTGTCTGCAATAATAAAATTTTGAGCAGTCCACAGTAGTAAATATAGTTTCTGTTGAATAAGTGTCCTCCATTGCAGTGATGGAAGAATTGATCTGATTATATTGTCTTAGCTTTGAAATATGTGATAAAGTTCTTGAAATTATCTTCCGGTAAGCCATATACTGGGTTTATTTTGCTTAAATTAGAATTGACGTTGTTATTGTTTATCTGTGAGTCTATCATCTCAATACCGTTACTGTTTGTTGAGAAAAATGCGCATTCTGAGACAGCTAAACCCAAGAGCACGTAGTTAGTATGGTAGAAATCGGAATGTTTTCCTGGCTTATCTCTTAAACCTGGGTGTGTTTCAGTTTGACAACAGGCCAGTATGTAGTTCCTCAAAGCATCCTTGTTTATACATTCACCATAGTTGTATGATTCTAATATGGCAGCTGTGGCACCCACCCAAAAGCTGTAACAGCCATCAACTAGTTTATTACTTCTACCACATAGACCTAGCTCCTCGTTGTACTGACGAGCACTACACCATTCCATTAGCTTCTCTGTGTTCATCTTGTCTAATGCATTGAGAATCGCAAGACTACCTACTGCACAAAATGTGTACCCACCATGGGCTTCATCACAGAATGGTCCACTGCCAAACCCACCTTCATAATTCTGACAAGCAATCAGATACTCTACTACACCTTCTGTAAGCTCATCTGTCAGTATGTCTAGCATTGAGGCGATTGATAGTGCACAATATACACCACGGGTGTCAACTTCTCCCACGTCTAGACATGTTTTAAATCCTCCATCAGGTTGTTTTAGAGATAAAAGCCATTTGTAAATGGCCCCGCGGTTTATACTCTCCCAGCATTGATCAATATTGTCGCAGAGCGATAATGCATTAATAGCAGCATATGTACCAGCTAAATGAGGTAGTTGTCCCACGCCACCACCAAATGGACCATGATCTGGTGATATGTGAAATAACTTCTCAACAATCAAATGCTTGTTTGTTTCTGATAGCCAGCTTTCATCTAGAACTTTGAGAGAGTTGGCAATCCAATATAAAAGCCATGGCTGCGACGCATCCAGTGCTGCCATTTGTGGGGGTAAAGCAGAATCAAAGGCCATTTCTAGATAAACTTTATGAAAGTCCTTGTTCAGTTCCAACTCTAGATTATTCTTTGTGGAGTTGTTCGGCTCGAGGCATAAATTCTCCAGAAGCTTATTTATCGAATGCAAGACATCATTTCTTGCTAAAGTTGTGTCTGTTTCCAGCTCCTTCATTAATGGAGCTACTTCTGCCATGTTAACGGTTGTATCTGTGATTTCTCTTTCAATGATTGCTCTTTTCCTACCTAGTAACTTTGATATATACTTAGCTCTCCTAGCAGTAGACATTCAAAAGTTAACGGGACTTAATTGCTCGTATTACTGTTCAGGCTTTTCTTAAAAAGTATTCAGTATATATAGCGAAATGGGTTTAAAATCGGAAAAGATAATTTATTGATGTATATGAAAAACTCCTTTAGAACGCTATATTACCTTCTCCCTTATATTATATTGCACTAAATTCAACTGCTGAACGACTATAAAAGTGGGTGGTGATTGCTAAGATTTGATGAAACACTTTCTGGCCAATGCCCTTTGTACTGAAAAAAAAAAGTGCCCCAACTGTCTGGTTCCTGAATTTAGTCCTGCACTTCCCACGTCGAAGAACCTCATCACTGCAAGTTTTCTATGCTCTTTCCCCCCAGATTTTAAATAGAGAGTAATTTACATTGGCAAAAATTGGAATACGTAATTGTCAGTGAACGGAGGTCAAAATTGTTCTGTAAATAGGACAATGGAGTGGGGGAACTCTTCTATTGAAGGGGGGGGGCAATCATAGAGTTTATAGAATCCTAATCGGTACGGGCCACTGAGTCAGTGCTCTCTATGTTCTCCAGCTTGGCCATTTGGTTTACTACAGATGAATGAGTCCCCTATGACTTACTGCAAAAAATAATATCTACTCCCTCTCCATTCGCCCCCCTCCCCCACACCAATAACCCCTCTTCAATGACTATTGATGTCCAATATCGGACAATTGCGAGAGTACTTATTACTGAGTCATGGCCCAAAGAGCATTTCCCTTGACTAAAATTGACTAAGTAGGTTACAGCTTGTTTCATGCAGTGCGAAATGATTTTACCTATTTACAAACTTGCTGTCACCTAACTAAGCAAAATTAAGGCAATAGTAGCTATACTGTTCAAGAGAGATCACAATACCATAGTTGCAAAAAGTCACCTGTACTTTCAACTTCGGGCAAACATTATACAATTCTATATTAGTTGTGTAGTGTGATTCAGTGTTGTGAATAGTACAGGATTGGGGAAACTCTTCCATACATTTGTTGAAAACCAATAAGCGTAAATCACAATTGTTTGAGAGTTTACTGCAGTTTCTACGACGTATTCTTGCGTTGGTTAATATATCTATTTCTTGGCGAGCATATATTGCTTAGAACTACCTGTAGGGGTTTGTAGAATAAAAAAGTGTAGCGGCTATTCTTTGAGATTATGATCTCTGGGAGTAACTACAACAGATATTCTTGTAGTGGTAACTAAGTAAATCAGTGCAAAATGAATCAATTTAAATTTAAATTTATCGTGCCTTAAGATTAGTAATACGTTATAATAAAATTATGATTGATTTCAGCAGTAGTGGATGCAAATAGTGACTTTGCGTGTTTGAGGGGTTACAGGGCGGAATGGTATGAACGGGAGCAAATGGAATCTCTACAAGCCAACAACATTATGTTCAAGAATGAAATTTCATTTGATATTTCTCCGCCATATCTGTGGCAGAGTTGATCCAATAGCATCTGGCTTATCTTTGTGAACTATTACATAAAATATAAGATAATACAATCAATAGTACTTTTATGGATCGACTTTTTAACTTATCTGATTTGCTTACAATTTCATATTATATGTGTTGATAATTTATTTTATGTTTTTGTTGTGAATTGTTTACTGACGGAAAGAATTGAAGGTACTAAGCGAAAGCTTCAAATTACTGCACAAAACTTAGACTGATTTAAATATTAGGAATTGACACTAACCATCACTGCTATAAATCCCACAGGCGTTCTACTTCTCAATTAAATAACCAGGTTAGACCTAGCTTACATCAAATGTTCAGTTGGTTAATCCCTGATATCCCAGAGTTATTTCTTACTATAAGTGTTTGGTTTAGGTTGCAAGGATGGGAAGATAATACAAAATTGGGATTCATAATAGGTAATACACTGACGACTATCTTTTACATTCTAAGACTGGCACAAGATACACTGCTGGCTGGTGTATCTCGCAAACTTATAAGAGATTATGAATTATTTGATCTGAGTAAATCTGAAACGTTGCTCAGCGATCCCGCATTCTCATCTTATCATGATGTTTTGTTCAATAAACATCATAGCACAGCTAATGCCAGCTCTTACAATAAAAGAGTCAGGAAGGTGACATCTACAGTTTATTGGTCAACATACTTTTTACTACTGCTAAGTTGTTATACATGCTACCGACTATTCAACACTTACAAGGTCTACAGAATATACTACTTAAAGGATCTGAATCTAGATAAGCACCCATCTCTCAAGAAGATAGAGCCAGATTACGAAGTGGATGAGAAACTATTGAAAACTTCTTTAAAGTCTAAATTATTGTCCCGGTTTATAAGACTGCTACAACTACAAGACGAAGTGGAAACTGAATTACCGAAGGTTACGGAGCATTATACCTTAAACAAATGGGATCCATCCAAGTTAATTATATCTCTGTCAACATCATTTTCCCCCACCATTATTATATGCTTAATGTATACAAATGTCACATTTCTCACAGTGATACCCATTATCATACATCAGGGAATATTTTATTTTATGATTTGGAATAGATATGAAGAAAGATTCAAAGATGATGCCCTGCTTATGCGAGAAAATTACCTCCAATATGATACTAAATATGTCAAGCCACTGAAACAAATAATGTACCAAGATGTTATGACTGATACAGCGACCATATCTGATGGTGGATTTACAAAGTTCTTCCCTGTATCAAAAAGTACGCTCTTTAAGCACCATGAAATGAGTGGGGATGTTATTATTGAAAGGTATAATAAGAAATCTAGAGAATTTGAAAACGTAACAGACATTATAAAGCCACACCACCATATCAATAATACTGTGAAGATACTACCACCAACTATTAGGAAGGATCATAAAACCAACAGATATGATCACCGGCAACAATCAATTCTCAAGGACAGAAAGTTCAATATAGATAGTAATGAACCGCAGATAATCAATGCCCTAACAACAGCAATTCCATCGAGGTCATTTTTCAATAACAACCCATCAGGTTCTAATGATGACAACTGCAGTGGTATTAAAGTACGTTCAAGCCCTACCCGCGAAACTTTCTTTCCAGCAACACCGTTACGAAAGAAGTAACTGCATACAAGCCATAATCCCAGTATATTAATACAATTGAATTTTGAAAGATGAAATTGTATTATTGATATATATTTATGTATCCATTGTTGTTCAAAACGAATGCTATAACACTACTGTTCTATATATTGTCCCACCCAAATACCCAATTAGTCAATCGGCCTGACCAAGAACCTGACTCATTCTTATTAGCTTCTTTTTCCTTGATCTTCTTTTCAATGTTATCAAGAAATTGTGTCTTATGGTGACTCGAGTTATGAACAAATAAGGATTTACCGTCCTGTATATCCAACTTATGTCTTGGATGAGCCATTATTGAATGATCCAAGTACTGCTGATTATTATTTATTATAGGTGTTCCAAAGCTTTTCATGTTAGCTTCCTTTTGCCTTCCATTTATGGGTTCAATATGGTCAACCGAACCTAACGAAGGATATACCTTACCATTGCTACCTTTATTCCTACTGTCTTCGTTAACTGACTTATTAATTTGTCCTAAATCTATACTGCCAATATCATCTGACTTATCAACTGAGATTAAGGCTAGCTGCTCGACAGCACTCTTACTGTACGGGATACAACCGATCAAATGCCCAGTAAATACTGTACCGTTTTCTTTCAATGCACGCAACGCAGAAGTAGGAGAGTCGTACGTTATTTTTACCCATCCTTCACCTGTAAAGATAGGCAGTTTTGTACTCATACTGCCTTCTTGTAATGCGTTCAAGTTGGCGTGTAATCTGAAAGTATTATTGTTTATACCTGTTGAGCTCCTAAGAATTTCAAAATCTTCCAAAATATTACCAAAGTGAGAAAAATGTGTGATGACTTGATTTGATAAATATTCTGGATAGCCGAACACAATAACGGCACTTTCACTGTATATCGCGGAATTATTGTCATTCTTGTTAACATCCGTATTGTTTTTACCAATGGTGGATGATAATTTGTAACCACTGCTTTGGCCACTCTTGTCAAAAACATTAGGGGTTTTGATTAACCCACCATAACTGTTGTTATGATAAGACTTACTGTTGGGCTCACCATAATTCGATGTATTTGAAGCTGTTTGAACAATACCAAACTCGTCTTCTCTTTGCCAGTCATGCAAGGATGTAGTTGGAGGATAGTCTGTTGTGCTATTATATATATCAGTAGCACCGAGATTATCTTTTTTCTGTAATAGATCACTTGAGTCTTTCTTACTAAAATCAGCCAAGTTAAATCCATTGTTCTTTAGGTGTATACCGGAAGAAGTTTCAGATTTATTCTCATTTCCAGTAGATCTAAGCAATAGGGATCTCTTAGACAAGTTATTATGTAGATTAGACTTCTTTTTGGGGTTATTATACCAAGAAACAGATCCCATATCATTTTTGGTACCAACGTCTGAGTTTGTGGCCATTCCCATACTTGGAGGAGGTAACATAGATAAAGATTTCAATGCATTGTAGTTTCCTGTAGTAGATAAATTTGATTGGTTTGAATGAAATGATTGGTCCTGATTGGTCTGGTATTTATCCTGGATTGAATACAGTAAATTAACATTTGAGAAGCGATCCTGTTTAACCGAGGCTGTCATGTTATAGGAAAAATAGAAACAAATAAATAACTGTCTGACACTTTGCCTTATAAGTGAATGCTGATTCCTTCTTTAAAATAGACCAATAACTCTAAGTCTTTCTAATAAAATCTAGGGACTAAAAGTTTAAGGTTATTTCTTTAGTCTGATAAAAATGAAGCTATTATCCTTGCTGTAAATGTGAAACAACTCTAATAAATGATATTTCAAAAGTTCAAAGCCAAGGTGTTAAAATTTATATATTTTTATGATAGAGGGTTTAACTACTTGTAGCTAAAAGAATATTATTTTCTGATATAATGCCTATGTGTTTTCCACTTTTATCTAATGATAACTTTTTGAGTTTTCATTTTTGTTTGTGATCTCGCGATGAGCTAAAAAAATGCGATGACATGTAAATATAATCAAACTGTAAAAACGATAATTCTGGTTATAATTTATCTAGCTAGACGCAGATATCATTTTTGTGTTCCTATTAAGAACGATTCAATTTTTGTTTATAGTACATGTATTGTTCTCTCATCTTAGCGTATCCAATATGCACTTTGCCCAGGAAATGGTCAGCAAGTCTTCTATCAGTGTCTAGTCTGGAAAGGTAGGCACCACACACATCGCATACCTGTAATTTCTGTTGTGCACTTTGGCCCACATTTTCTGTAATGTTTCGTACCTTTTTGGCTACTATTTTTCTCTCTTGTTTAAGCTTTTGTAGTTTTACTGATTGCAAAAGGGCCTTTGTGGTTTCATTATTATGGGCCAGAATCTCAATTTCCTCGGTCATCAAAGCAATCTTAGTATCTATATTGTCAAGTTCTGCTGTCACTTGCTGTATAAGTTTCTTTTCCTCAGGTGTGTGTTCTAGTTTTCTAATTGCCACCGATATTTGATTGTCACATTCACTTACGAATTTTGATAATATCATAAAATACTCTCGTTCGAATTCTGGATACCTTTTCCCTTCTATTTCGGTTTCTCTTTCATATTTCAGCTTGTGTTTTGCAAGATGAATCTGGGGGCAGCGACCTAAACTTTGCTTAGTACCTTGAAATAAGTCATAGGGACATTCACCAACCAAGTACGATTTACATACCCTTGGATCCGTCAGCTCATTCCTCAAATATCTATCTTTATCAAATTGCCCTCTATTGTAACGGCTGTAATGCACCTCATGGCCTCCCATGAGCTGCCGAATCTGTTTCCTTTGTTCTGCAGCTGCCGACATCGCTAGTTAGTTCAGTTGTGCATAAAGCGAATATGCGTTTCTTGTGTAAATAATTAGAAAACCACAACAAAATACTGTTACTACTATACTAAACTGATGGATAATCGGTTATGTAACAGGCTTGAAGTGATGACTATTTATCTACCGCCCTAACATGCACCAAAGTGCCAAAGCAATTTGAAGAAGGAAATCACATAACGTATACAATTACATTTATAGCATTGATTGATATACTATCATTAGATTGGTTTTATAGTTTTTGTGTAGGGTAGAAAGAGTAGTGATCCTGTAGTTGTGAATTATCTTAGCCATACGCCAAGATCCTATGAAATTTATACAAGCTTTGATAATAAAGTTAGCATTACTGGGAATATGGTTTTAGACCATTGCCATTTGAATCTGTGATAGCAATATGTACTACGGATAATTTTTGTAATATTAGTACGGAAATAAAATATATATCGCACCTTCAATAATGCACCTACGCAGTATCATCGGCTTCCTCTACAAGTACATCGATACAGGAAAGAAATTGGTTCCTGGGCGAGATGCTGTGCTTATTGTAGGAGGTACAATGTCGAAAACAGGATGGAATGTGTGCAATTTATTAGTTAGAAGATATAATGTCGAAGTGATCAACATTGACTCAAAATGTGCATATTCACTACTGAAAAAATTTTCAGTTATTGATTCTGATCAATGTGAAGCAATGGACCTACTGGAAGAACAAATGATAAACGAAAATGATTTGGCAAACCAAGAGGAGGCCCAAGTTGATGATTCACTTGCAGAGTTAGTACTTGAGGGTGGACTGGAACAATTATACTTGGAGGCTGACGAAGCAAAGTTACTCCATCCGTACAGGAGCAGTGGTAATTACACATTTATTGAATGTAGAGACCTGGCAGATTCTAAATGTGTAATAGATGCTATGCTTATGGCACTGGCAACAGGAAAACGTATTACCGTCTTTATCAATAACCTCCAAGAGGGCTTGTATAGCAAATGCCTCGAAAACGGTGGTTATGTGGACTCATTAGAGTTCTTTGAGAAATGTACCAATACTAACGTCACAAATGCAATAATTGCAACAAAATATTTTATCTCAGAATTTATTCCAACTATAAATACAAACTTTGGGCCTGAGAATGATTATTATATTGTGAATTTCACTGTCGATCCTAGAAATCAAAAATTGCTCTTACCAGCATCTTATTTCACAACAAAAGCGGCAATACGGCAATTACACGATGGATTATCTTCGGAGAAATCCATATACGAAACAACTTCGAAGATCAAAACATTGCTGGTAAGAATACCAGAGACTCCAGCAAATGTTGATTTACATATGGAGCGTTTTGAACAAATTGCTGATCTTTTAATTAAGAACCTGAAATTGGGAAGAGCTGGAACTTATAATATTACTGCAACAATATTTACTAATATCCTTGCAGACTTCAGACAGTTTTTGGACCAATTACAATATTAGTACTCTGAATAGGGGGTTACAGTCATACAATGAAAATAATGGTTACTCTATGCACAATAAACGAATTTTAACCTGAATAACAAAAGGCGTCTATGGTACGCATTACTGAACTTAAATCTCTGATTGGTAAGTGAAACCACTCAGTGTGCCTCTTTTGTCCCATTGGGTCACATCCATAACAGTAAATGAATCCTTTTCCATACTTTTCCCACAGAAATCTATGTATCCTATTCTCTACTTCGGATAAATTCAGATTACTTGTTCCATCTATAAAAAACCCACCATCTTTATACGTCAATAGATCCAAAGGGGATTCTTGCCTTGACTGCGGCTTCTCCTTCTTCAATTCTAATTTTGTCAGTAGCGTCGATATACTGTTGATTTTCTTTGTTTTTGTATCATACGCATATATCAATTGCTCGATTCTGTCAGGTGTTAAGTTTATCACAGGGTTTTTACAAGTATTCTGCCATTCCAACAGTCTAGTAGACACCATTGGCTTAGTGGTCATCCCTATTTTGCAGAGTATATTCTCTCTGTCATTCCACAGTTGACGCTTCTGGTTCTCTTTCTTCTGCGAAATAATAGATTTGTCAATATATAGCCAGTCCAATTGGCTCTTCTTTTTGTCCTTATTGAAGAATGATTCATAGAGATGCATATATGTATATATGTATATGAAACCGGCCTTCTTACCAACACTCATCAGCTTCTCTGTATGATGGTTAGGCGACTGCCACTTGTGGAAGTGGCAGTACTTCTCATTGGGATCATTCAACTTGATCTTACACGGTAAACCTTTCTTAGTAATGCCTAAGGCATCGAACCACCATAGTCTTATTAGTCATCTGCAATAGTACACTGTCACACCAGATTCACGCCAAAAACTGACTCCTGGACAACAAATTCCTATTGAATAACTGGTATGACTATGTGAAATACGCCAGTTTGACATCAGCTCATCGCTACTCAGTATATTTTTTGGTGTTTATCCCAGTACTCAGAAATTCGATTTTTTTCCTAATTAGGCGATGCCCAGTGCTCAAAGCAATGCTCTGGACCAATTTGACCTAAACGTTAAATATATAAGGTAGCCAATTGGGTTGTATAGAATTCGATACCTAGTAAGACGCCGTTGATAACATAGCACATATTAACAGCTCACTGATGACATTGCTTTACTTTAGATATCCTTTCAACTCGAAGTATATGGCAAGCCCTCACACAATGAAGTACATAGAGCTAGACACATTCTATACGTAGGACATTAGGGGATCGCTCATCTCAATGATGTGCAATGAGCGATCGACAATGGGGGGGGCAAGGGAGGACACTGGGATGTTCACAACCCTGCTAAGTTAGAAAGTATATAAGCAGTGAGGAATTTGGTGTTAGTTCAAACAAGCTGTTTTGATGCCCTTGAGACAAAGCTGGCAATTGACCTAAGAAGTACTGATAACATGCTAATCACAGAAAGCTACCACGACGTCAAGACAAAGGAAGGTAACACCTTGCGTATCTTTGTCTTCAGTCCAAAGGTGAAGGGTTACCCAAATGCCAAGTTCCCAGGTGTAATTGTGTACAGTGAAATCTACCAAGTCACTGGCCCTGTCGCTCGTTTTGCTCAGAAGATTGCCTCGGAAGGCTATGTTGTTGTTGCCCCTGCAATTTACCACAACTTCATTGGGCCCGAGCCTTTGCCATATGATGTGAAAGGTACTGACCTTGGTAACGAGTACAAGATTAAGAAGCCAATTCCTTCCTATGATGAGGACAACAAGCTGTGTTGTGACCTGTTGTACAGCTTACCACAGTTTGACGGTAAGAGGATCGGGGCTACTGGTATGTGTCTAGGTGGCCATTTGGCCTTCAGAGCCCTGTTGGACAAGAGAGTTAACTGTGCAACATGTTTCTTCCCAACAGATATCCATTTGAAGAGTCTTGGTCTTGGCAAGAACGATGACTCTTTGGAGCGTGTTTCCCAGGAAGCCTCGAAGGACCAGGAATTGGTGCTGATCTTCGGTACCGCTGACACACATGTCTCTCCAGAAGGCAGAGATTTGATCAGAAAGACCCTGAGAGACCAAGGTGTTAATTTCACCTTCTTGGAGATCCTGGATGCTCAGCATGCGTTCATCCGTGATGAGTTCAGCAAGGGTAGATACGATGCTGCCATCACTCAGAGCTGTTTAGGTTTCCTATTTGAGCAATTCAACAGAAAGTTGAAGACAGACCTAGGTGAGTATGTCCCTGACAATAAGCCTTTGGAACATGTGTGTTAAATCTAGGCACGCCCACAAGCGATCGCACAATAGTAACCTATATTCTCGCATAACCTACAAGTAGAACTATAATTAACAGATATAGTCTCACTTTTCCATCCTTCTCCATTTCAAGTTCTGTTGAGATACCTGTATCTAAAGCGAATATATACACACCCTAAATAGAGACTTGTATACAAAAACATGAGAGACTCTAGCAAACAGTTCAGGTAGTAGAATTGGTCTTATTACTGTGGAGAATTCAAGATAGTGTTACACGTATCTAGTGTGACTGCCATCATCACGACTAACAAATTGAAAAAAAAAAAATTTTCCACTCACATAGTGCTGGAAAGCTATTCAGAGAAGAGATGGGAGCAATAGCAATAAGAAGCATTACTATAGCAAGTGGTACTTTTAAAGATAGTTATAGGTGGACTAGGCCGAACCGCTACTAGAAGTACAGCACACAACAAGACTGAGATGAGACCTATCGTTTTAATGGGACACGAGCGTCCACTGACGCAAGTTAAGTACAACAGAGAAGGTGATCTACTATTCACATGTTCTAAGGATATTTCTGCCAGTGTCTGGTACTCAAACAACGGTGAGAGATTGGGTACGTTGGATGGCCATATGGGTTCTATCTGGTCTATCGATTCCGACCACACTTCCTTATACTGTGTTACCGGTAGTGCCGATTATACCATCAAAGTGTGGACTCTAATGAACGGCCAATGTGTTCAGACATGGAACTGTCCTGTTCCAGTGAAGAGAGTCGAGTTCTCCCCATGTGGTAAGTATATCCTTGCGATCTTGGACAACGTTATGAAGAAGCCAGGTTCCATTGAAATTTACGAAGTTAAGAGAAATCCAGAAACTAATGAAATTACCGAGTTCGTAGAAGAACCAATTCACTCCATTGTGACACACGAGGGTCTCGATGCTGCCAGTGTAGCAGGCTGGTCCGGTGAGGGCAAGTACATCATTGCTGGTCACAAGGACGGTAAGATCAGTAAATATGACACTCAGGATGGCTACAAACTAGTGGAGTCCCAGCAAGTACACAAGGACAGTGTGAGTGATCTACAGTTCTCCCCAGACCGTACTTATTTTATCACATGCTCAAGAGACTCCAATGCTCACATTATAGATATTGAAACGTTTAAAGTGTTGAAGACATATGAAACAGACAGTCCTCTAAATAGTGCAGCCATCACTCCTCTAAAGGAATTCGTTATCCTAGGTGGTGGTCAAGATGCCAGTGAAGTTACAACTACCAGTGCTAGTGAAGGTAAGTTTGAAGCCAGAATTTACCACAAAGTTTTCGAAGAAGAGATCGGTAGAGTTGTTGGCCATTTCGGTCCTCTGAACTCCATCGCCGTTTCCCCACAAGGTACATCCTACACATCCGGTGGTGAAGAAGGTCTTGTTCGTTTGCACCACTTCGAGAAGAGCTACTTCGATTTCAAGTATGATGTTGAAAAGGCCGCTGATGCTAAGGAACATATTAGCCACGAAGCCTAAGTACAACAGTAACCTCTAGCATATGTATATAAAAAAGTTATATATCATTATACAACAAAATGTAAACCAATGCAATACAAGTGAAAAACAATGAATTGTGCATGTACGTCAATCACAAACAAATATACATAGAGCATGTAAAAACGAGAAAAGACCAATGGGCATTATAATCGTCTTATAATTAGTATATTTTTCTCTCTAAAAATATATAAAAAGGGTACAATCAAAGATCAAGTTATAACTAGAGCAATTGCCTATTTATCAAGGAAAAAGTCTGTTTATTCATTCAATTCATTATTTTTGTTTCACAGAGCCAAGTTGTTTCGAGAAAAAAGCATTCAAGGTTATTACAACTAAAAGTTTTCTATGGTATGGCTGAAGTGGAAACGTGAGCAGCTCATTTTTTGCCAGCTTTGAGCTTCTCTAATCTCTCGGCTTCTTTTCTGGCATCCGCAGCAGCTTGCTTCTGTCTCAAGATTTCAGCATCAGACTCCATTCTCTTCTTGGCATCACCTTTCTTTTGATGCTTTGCAGCTTCTTGCTGTTTCTTTAAGTTCTTTTGGCGAGCCAATTCTCTCTGGTTACCTCTAGCCATTGTTTCAAAGTATATCTGCGATGGGTCTACAATTCTAAGTTTATTACCTACAGTGAAGAAATATTTTTCTTTATCTTGTCTCTTAAGAACCACCTGAGTTCCTATTTTTTGATCAGTTCTGTACCTGAATCAATTTTCAAAGCACATTTCATTGTGAAACATACGAATACGAGAGATGATCTACTGCAAAAATGTCAGGAACAATAGCAGCACCAACGCAATTTTGTTTTCTACATTTGTTCCAGTGCGGTCAAAAGAAAATGCCCTTCCAAGACACATGGAGCATGTCTAATATAATAAGTAGAATACAGGGTATACATGGAATACAGGGTATACATGGAATACAGGAGATACATAAACTACTTACGCTCAGGATATTGGGTTACGGCTTATATTTGATAAGAAGGTGAAACTCTGGCTTTGTCTTACAAAAGCGTACAGTAACAGGCAGTCTCAAATAGAAGAAAGGAGCGGTGAAAAGCAAGGGTAGTTGGAATAGTCACGTTATCAACTAGTAGAATGTGACTATACTCAATCACATGATCAACACTATTCGTATATAGTAATAAAACATATCATCTTATACACATACTGCATGTGATTTTTGCGAGAAGGGAAGCCGGGTAAATATTGACTTCGTTCAGCTCACCAAATCAAGCCCTAAAGAGAAACCCTACATAGCAAACCCTACATAGCAAACCCTAGCGTTCCACCTAGTCATGGCTAAACCAGGGACAATACCCTCAGAGATTCGATAAAAGCTACATTTCACATTACAATAAAAGACCAAAGACCAAAGCAACTTGGGTTCCACTTACTATACAGCAATGGGAGGGGGGGGATGACATTGATTGCCACCATGCACGGAGAGTGCAGTAGTCAATACCCTTGTACGTGCTATCTTTGTCCCTCTTTATCTCTTAACACACACATTTCGTTCGTTTTTGCTAGTTTTGCAAAAAATTCTTTGGTGCTTGTCAATCCCAAGGAAACAAACACAAACACAAACGCAAACGCAAACACCAGCAATCCTTGTGTAATGTATAAGATAAACCTTTGAAATGGGTTATATATATTGGTATGCCTGTGTTTTGAACGTGTTCATTGCCCAGAGGAGTTAACCACAATTGAGTTTATTTCTTGGTAGTATTTTTCAATCAGGAGGATTTTTACGTTACTTCCCTAAGTGAAAAAGACAAACAAACTATAACAACATCTTTGAAGTACAATTGCCAAATTGCTATAAATTTGAAATTACATACTTCAATTGATTCAATTTAGGAGAATAAGCTAAGTACTAAACATAGAAAGCAGCGCAAATATGTCCCACGAAGGTGAAGAAGATTTATTGGAGTACTCTGACAACGAGCAAGAGATCCAAGTTGACAACAAGGAGACTGCTGTTGAAGGTACTACCGAAAATGAAGCTACCCAGGAGAATGGTGAGGCTGACAAGAAGGGTTCCTACGTTGGTATCCACTCTACCGGTTTCAAGGACTTCTTGTTGAAGCCTGAGTTGTCCAGAGCTATTATCGACTGTGGTTTCGAGCACCCTTCTGAAGTCCAACAGCACACCATCCCACAATCCATTCACGGTACAGATGTGCTATGTCAAGCCAAGTCCGGTTTGGGTAAGACCGCGGTCTTCGTCCTGTCCACATTGCAACAGCTAGATCCAGTTCCAGGTGAAGTGTCCGTTGTTGTTATATGTAACGCCAGAGAGTTGGCTTACCAAATCCGTAACGAATACCTAAGATTTTCCAAATACATGCCAGACGTCAGAACCGCTGTCTTTTACGGTGGTACTCCAATCGCCAAGGATGCCGAACTACTAAAGAACAAAGACACCGCTCCTCACATTGTTGTCGCTACTCCAGGTCGTCTAAAGGCCCTTGTTAGGGACAAGATGATTGACTTGTCTCACGTCAAGAACTTCGTTATCGATGAATGTGACAAGGTCCTTGAAGAACTTGACATGAGAAGAGACGTCCAAGAAATTTTCAGAGCCACTCCAAGAGACAAGCAAGTAATGATGTTCTCCGCCACCCTATCCCAAGAAATCAGACCAATCTGCAGAAGATTCCTACAAAACCCACTGGAAATCTTTGTCGATGATGAGGCTAAGTTGACTCTACACGGTCTACAACAATACTACATCAAATTAGAAGAGCGTGAGAAGAACCGTAAACTTGCACAATTGCTAGATGACTTAGAATTCAACCAAGTTATCATCTTTGTCAAATCTACCTCCAGAGCTAACGAACTAACGAAACTATTGAACGCTTCAAACTTCCCAGCCATTACCGTCCATGGCCACATGAAACAAGAAGAACGTATTGCCCGTTACAAGGCTTTCAAGGACTTTGAAAAGCGTATCTGTGTCTCCACTGATGTCTTCGGTAGAGGTATCGATATTGAACGTATCAACTTGGCTATTAACTACGATTTACTAAATGAAGCCGACCAATACTTACACCGTGTTGGTAGAGCCGGTAGATTCGGTACCAAGGGTTTGGCTATTTCTTTTGTCTCTAACAAGGAAGACGAGGAAGTCTTGTCCAAGATTCAAGAAAGATTCGACGTCAAGATTGCTGAATTCCCAGAGGAAGGTATTGACCCATCCACTTACTTAAACAACTAAGCAAGGAAGGACTCTAGCTTACGTAAATAAACCCTAATACCACACCAAACAATCCACAACAAATGCTACTTTTTCTCTTTTAATTCGTAGTTTTGTTAGCCAGATATCAACACAACCGCTGAGGTCGGAGTTTTGAATTATCTGAATTTTTTTTATTAGTAACAGATGTAAACATAGCAATTTATCTATAGTGTCTGTAATAGTTATTATCTGTAATATAATGTATTTTTTAAAAAAACAGACAATACACTTGAAACACAAGGCTGATCACAGCTGATTTTTAGACATTCAATGGTAACCTGATAGGAATCTAAACTAGATGGCTAAATAATTTTCCTTACGTTGGACCGGTTCTCACATAAACGCACTATGTCTCAGTAATCACTTAAGTATTCATAAAATCACTGAATGAATTTCCTATAGCATACTAAATAATAGCAAGAATGTGGTCTTATTTACAAACAACACATATACCAGATGTGACCATATCACACTTTCAATAACTTCCAATTTAGGTATGCCAGCAGTAATATGAATCATATGATGATAAAGAGTCTTACCTAGCTGCTCCTCATCGCAATAACAAACACCATAATGCCATGGGCATCCCAATCCCAAGGCCTGCCATTTGTTGTGACGTTTATAAAACCCACACACCATCCAGTAACACCCATACAGAACCATTCTTTTTATACCGTCTGACGAAAAATTCATGCCGTCACAGTTTCTGCGCAATTTTACTGACCACTTGGAGATAAGAAAAAGAAAACAGGATCTGCCAGCTGGAACAGCAGCACAGTCATTCTACCGCAACTGTAGCGAACCTTCTGGTGACGATGTGAATGCCGAGTCTGTTAAGGCAGGGTGTTTTACTCACCAGTGCTCTGCCTAGCCCATGGCACACAGCCTCAGCAGCTACGGGATGGGGTGGACAATGGTTACTCGACATTCTCGCTCAGATGCGACTGAGTTTAGGCTTCCTCTGCCTGGGGGCTTTCGGCTTTCCTCCCTGTACCCCCGTCCTCCCAGCCTGAGCTACGCCCCCATCGTTGGATACCCATGGTAGAGGAGGGAAGGCTGTGGGAGCGGGCACATCGACTGTAGTGCTGAGGGGTCTCCTACTGGGAGGAAACCCACACTACCAGCCGGGATATTCTGTTCCCAGCCACTGCCTAGCGTGGGCAGCCTGGTCCTCCTACTAGGATGCTAGGCTGGTCTCTCCGTTCCCCAGTGTAGTGTTGTGTCACTAGCTAGCGTCACAACTTCTCCCTCTTTCCACCCGGCAAACTAAACATTCACTCCCACAGAGAAACAACGGAACTTTCCTCAGTGGGAAGGAACTTCCATCACTTCCAACCAGTGACCAGCCTGAAATTTTTCATCGTAACTATGCCGCTCGGGCACTACTCTTCTCTTTAGATATTCATAAAATAATACTGCTTAGTATTTAAATATCAATATTTAAAACTTGTTCCTGTATTGGCTGAATAAGGTGTTAGCACGTTAAAGCACAGACCAGGTAAACACAATGGGTATGTTATAATCAACCATAATGGAGCGCATATAGAAAATTGAATACCATCTGAAGAAACCAATATCGGCTAGAACCAAATTACATGAGACATGAATCAGTTACCAGTATTTCCATATTACAAATGATGTGAACGATGCGATGTTAATAGACAGTATTTGATGAATCCGGAAGAAACTCATTACTTTGATCGATTCTAATGAAAGTACTGGGAATGACATAAACAGCAAGACACACTATGGATCCATCAGCGTCGGTTAATCATGAAATTATTAATAGCTTCAGAAATTGGATTATAATGGAGCCATCAAATGAATTTGACTACGTATTTGAACATACACTGGATGTCGGGAGTGTGATGTGTGTTGCACATTCATTATCGTGTACTGAAAGTAGTTCAATTTGAAGTCATGTGCAGTTATATGAAATATTGGTTGAATCTGATATGGATGGTCCGATTACAGTCGTTTTATATTGGTTACAGATCTTCAGTTAATATTCTGACAAGATCCATCACATAATCTCAAGAGTTTTTGTTACTAACATATTATATTATTCTAATGTATCTAACATTTCGACGAGTTTACACATTCCATTATCGACATATGAAAGTGAAACTAGCTGAGATTAAGCAATACATCAGTATATTCCCAACATTTTAACAGCTATCTCCAAGAATTTACCAATTTTGAAGAACCACTTCAGAAAGCACTGGCAAGAACGTGTCAAGGTGCACTTCGACCAAGCTGGTAAGAAGGAATCCAGACGTTCTGCTAGAGTTGCTAAGGCTGCCAAGATCGCTCCAAGACCATTGGACCTATTGAGACCAGTCGTTAGAGCTCCAACTGTCAAGTACAACAGAAAGGTCAGAGCTGGTAGAGGTTTCTCCTTGGCTGAAATTAAGGCTGCTGGTTTGACTGCTGCTTACGCTAGAACCGTCGGTATCGCTGTTGATCACAGACGTCAAAACAGAAACCAAGAAACTTTCGACTTGAACGTCCAAAGATTGAAGGAATACCAATCTAAGTTGATTGTCTTCCCAAGAAAGGGTAAGGCTCCAGAAACTGAACAAGTTCTATCTGTTGCCGCTACCTTCCCAATTGCTCAAGCTTCTACTGAAATTGAAACCAGAGCTGTTGAAGACAACGGTGAATCTGCTTTCAGAACCTTGAGATTGGCTAGATCTGACAAGAAGTTCAAGGGTATCAGAGAGAAGAGAGCCAGAGAGAAGGCTGAAGCTGAAGCTGAAAAGAAGAAATAAGCAGCATTAGTATAAACTGAATCCATATCATAATACTACATTTTGTTTCTTTTTTATAAATATTTTATGTACAAGGTATAATGGGAAGCCATAACTTATAATCATCTCACATATATTACCATCTAAAACACCAATAATTGCCCTTTAAAGAGTTGTCTTGACAGTGCTGCCTTGTCTGAGAGAGACCCCTGGCTATTTTTATTTCTAAAATGAACTTTAAGATATACCTGAATGCACATAAATATATCTAAGACGCAAACAATATATAGTTGCATGCACTATCTTCTTAGGTTCATATATATTTGATTTAAACAAACTAACAATCTCCTCACAAGCAACAATTAATGGCAGTACTCTTGATAGCGTTATCAACATAAATTTAAAGCATATCAATTAATTTACATGAGCACTTAATTTTCGCATATTTAATTTGGTCTAGACATATTAGACTCTTGAGCTATAATCGGTATTGTATTGGAGAAAATATGGGCTGCGCTGTCCTCTACATGACGCAGACCCGTTGATTCATATCCCGACATCGACTGTGAAACAGAATGGTTATTTTGATCCTCGTGATTGGCTAGTCGTGCTAGTAAGTCTCTTTGATTTAAATGAGTACGATAAAGAACTCTTGTTTGTTTAGATGCTAATTGCCAGTACGGCCGAATATCATCACTTTTAACACAGGTAATTCTATCAAGTTCACTGATAATATGAGATTTCCTATTACTATTGATAAACGGTTTGACATTAGGATCATAAGTAGCAGGTGGTACACCACCAATGCCTGTTCTTCTGCTACTTGGAGGATTGTAAGTAACAGCAAAATCTTCCTGAGTACAATATGGACATTTTGCAGGAGTAGAGTTCACTTTTATTGTTATCCTATACCGAGAGCCTTCATTATTATCGAGTTCTGTATAGCTGAATATGCCTCTAGCAATGTCAATTTCTGTGTTATCGGTTGTTGTCAATGTCCTGCTAATCCTGTTTAATTGCGGTCTTTGTCTTTTCATCAAAATAAAACACTCTGTACATAAGTTCTGTTTACAGCACTTTGTCTTATTCAGCGGCGCAGGCATATTGAAAAAACAAATTGGGCATTCTTCCACATTACTATAAATATCAATTTTTAGATCATCATTAGGATAATATTTTTCTTTTATTGATTCGACTTTCGATCCCTTCTTAGGTATCCCTGCAATAATTTCTGTCTCTTCCTCTTGTAATTTTATTCTTAGGCGTATATTCCTAGCATGAAATATCTTCTGTCTTAACTTCTTTTGCTTCTTGAATGGTAATGATTTATCAATATGGTTCATTATTGTGTCTCTACCTAGGTCTTCTACAGGTAAATTACTGGTCTCTTCCAGTTCCTTGAGCACAGGATGGTCCTTTGGCAAAGAACTCATTCTTTCATGAAGCGGAAGTCTGGTAACAGCACTTAAAAGTTGCTCTCTAGACCAATTTTCTTGAAACTCATCTAAGGGCACATAGAATGGTGCTAGTTTTCTACCTATAATTAAAGATCTTACAGTATGCACAGAATAATCATACTTATTCACGGGCAAGTAATGAAATGGCGCCAAATACCCGCCGTCCACAGATTCGTTATATCTAGAAAGTAGGTAAAACATCTCGTGCTCTTTCTTTTTCTCTAATTCACTAACTGATTTCCAAGCTGTCGATTCCTTCCTGAATGCAAATGTCGACACTAAACTATTTTTGATACCAGATACATACCTTGACCCTATCGATATTCCTGAACCTGCTCCCTGTATATGATCTTGGCCATTAGCATCTTGTGCAACAAACAAATAGTCATCATCATCCTCATCCTCATCCTCATTATCTGAAGAGTTAAACAGGTTGTCGTCAAGGCCATTACGATCATCCAATCTAGCTGGTAAGCGCATACTAGTAAAATCATTATCTTGCAAATTCCCCACACGGGACTCTATGTTCACCCTTTCTCGTAGCACATTTTGATCTGAATCAGTTGTCTCTGAGTTTTGAGCCTGAAATGGAGGGCTACTCCTATTAGTCTTGAATAGGGACTCACGTAAACCTCTCAGAACCATACTTTCTATGGCCTCCTATTTAGGTATCAATTCAAGTAATGCACCCTTAGTCGACTTAACCACTGCTAACCTATCTCGGAACCAAGTCCAACACATGCAACCTTGGAACTTCGCTGAAATAAATTGATAGTGTGATTTGGCAAGAAACCAAATAATTTATATATACAAGTATGTAGAGGTTTTTGTGCCAAATATTGTGTATTTCCCACTACAACAAAACGGCAAACAGCTACCAGTATTTAAAAGAAGTGGAAAGATAAAGCTTAAGGCAAAGAACTCTGAAGCCCAACTAGCCAAAGGTTTAGTATATCTATGCTGATCGGGCCTAAGTCTGTGTTTATCGAAATGCTTTACGACTGACCCTTACTTACCCACATTCCACCGTTGAATCATCACACTTTTACATGCGATGACCTTATTTCCATGAAAAAAAGACTCCGAAAATGGGAAAAGCTGAGTGATTTTTGATGAGAAGAATAAGAAAAAAGAGGTGTTGATGAACACCCGGGATTAGACTTCAAGCACTAGCAGTGACTCATGTCGCTTGCCTTTACCATAAAGGAAGTTTAACTCCGTCTGTTCTAAAGCACTATGAGAAAATATGCAATTGGGCACATACGACTCTCGTGAAGTGTTTGCCAGAAACAGATTTTACATATGCACATGGGCATGTTCCTTCTTCTGCCACTCACTTGCTTGACTAAGACTCTGATTGCTCGTTAAAACCAAAATTACAATAGCTTGCACATCAGTAAAATATGTAAATTAAGTATATGCAGTTATTTTGATATTAATATTATAGAGTGCAGAAGTATGTGTACTACGTAAATCTCATATCTAGTACAAGCTATGCCATGGCGAGTTACATGTCTTTTTACAGTCATGGCTTTGGGTTCATAAATACATTTGACTCCTAGAATGCAGTTCAGTCGACAAGCTGCTTGTTGGTGTCACAGGCCCCAAATATTGCTTTTTGACCCAGTGTGGATCTATGGTAGGGGATGAATTCTCTGATGAGTTTTCACTGAAGTCACCAGCTCTCTTGTTTGATAGCTCCTTCTCTGCTTGCCATCTGGCAATCAGTGTCTTTGGAACATCGCTTTGAGGTAACATGATCTCTATCATCCGTATCTTATCAGGCTTGGCGAAGGATTCATCGGCTAGCAGTTCTTTAAAATCACTTACTGTTACAATCTTACGGGTTTCGAAAGATGTACAGCCAAATAATTCTAACAGGTATAAATAGTTCCATGGTTGCACATCATAATAAGATGCATCCGATCTATGATGCAAAAATCTATCTACAGAGTAACCGTTGTTGTTCATAATAAAAATATAAGGTTTCAGTTTCCACCTTATTATCGTCGATAATTCTTGTACTGTTAGCTGGAATGCACCATCACCAACAAATAATATAGTCCTGTTTTCAGTAAAGATATTTCTATTATAATTGCGAAGTTTAATTTCAAGATTGTGCTTCACTACTGTTTTCTCTTCCACGGCAAATAAAGCTCCTAAACATGAACATAAAGCAAACCCAACGGACCCCCAAAGTGCCTGGTTAATACCTATAGTGTTAGTGGGAAATCTTGTTTGGTTGATACCAAACGCTGATGAACCAGTCTCTGTTATGATAATATCATTTTCTTTGAACCAATGTGATATTTCATTCCAGACCCATTCTTGTCTTAACAGATTGGAATCTGAGGGTTCCATCTTTGGTGCAATAATATCTACTTTGGCTTGATGCTTGTAGGTTATCTTGGAAGGCTCAATGGTGTCAACTAACGACTGTAAAGTTCCCTTAAGAAGCATATCAGGAAAAGTAGCCTTCTTTATCTTTACAGATGTTGGGAATAATATACAACAATTCTTTTTCTTAAAGCCAAAATGAAATGTACTTGTACTGAATTCTGGCAATATAGCACCAATAAATAATACAAAATCGGCAAAGTCTGTTACTTCTCGAACCTCTGGAGAAGATAAAGATCCTGAATAGACACCACCAAAATTCTTATAGCTTTCATCAATGGTCCCTTTACCCATAGGAGTTACGAACACAGGAAAGTTAGTCAGTTCACATAACGCATGCGTTTCTTTCAATGCATCATGCCGCCTAACACATGCATCCACTACTATTATAGGTTTTGATGCGCTATACATTTGTTTCAATAAGAGATCTATCACCTGTGCGTCTGTTTCTTTTGTCTTCTTTAATATGCTTAGATCTATTGGGTTATTAAGTCTACTCGAGTCAACTGGAATATCGACTTGGTTTACGGGAACTCCTAGATATACAGGCTTTTGGTAGCCCCATGCTGCTCTAATACAATTGTCGACTTCGTCAGCACACAGGTCAGTATCATTGATAATTGCTGTGTGACAGGCTATATCATTTGCTATTCGGTAAAATACAGAGTAATCTCCGTTACCCAATGTATGATGTAGCAAGAGTTGCTTGGTTTGTGCGCTTGTTGGAGGCATCCCTACTATGTGTAGAATTCCCACATGCTCTGCGTATGACCCAGCAACACCATTGATAGCTGAGAGCTCACCAACACCGAAGGTAGTTATGAGACAGCCCAGATGTTTTAGCCTTGAGTAACCATCTGCAGCATAGGCTGCGTTAAGCTCGTTGGTGTTACCTGCCCATCTCATCGTAGGAATCGAATACAGCTTATCCAATAGAGGCATATTAAAATCACCGGGCAGACCGAATATGGTCCATATTTTTAGCTGATTCAGTCTATGAAATAGATACTCCGATATGGAAATCTGACTTGGAAGCCCATATTCTTCAGTATAATTCATCAATTCCTCAATTGTCTTGCTAAGTGCTTGAGTTTATGTTCGGATAGTTAAATTGATAGTCTCAATATCTAATGACCTGACTTCCTAAGTTGTCAATGCTGATAAAAATTATATTAATCTTATCACACAAGACTGATTTGATGTAAACCAACAAAAGATATTATGAAATCCTGGGTAAAAACAATATAAATTGGCAACTGAACAGAAAAAGTTGGGATAATACTCTCTGTTCTTTTTCACTCAAGTTTAATAACTATGGATTTGAAGAATATGATAGTATAGTGTAAGAGAACAGATGAATAAAATAGAGTAGTGTGAAAATGTATATATTCTAGTTGAAATTTTTCGAGTGATAGTAAAGATAGAGCAGAAAGCTCATGGCATTCATTGTAGTACAGTTACTCTAATCTAAAAATACGTAATCACTTGCTCAACTGTCAAACGATCACAGGCTGATTGTTGGAAGACAGAAGACTCATAGAACAAAGGCCAGATATTGCAGAGAAGACAAGGCAGGGACAGCGATGAGAAGTTCGGGCATTATCGAGAGCAATAGTACCTGAACTATGTGATGCTCTTCTCATTTGGCAGATGATAGAAAATTTTTGCAGCTGACAGTGCCAATTCGATGATTTTTCTCGGATAGTGGTACCACGGAATTAGTATGGAGTGAGGACTATGTAACCTTAAATGAAGTCTCAAAGGTTAATGAGATTAACTATGTGCATGCTATGCTGTATTGAGGTACCAGGGAAACTTAATGCAATGTTAAGGCTATAAGGCAATGCTCTTCTACCAACTTATATTATGATGACAGCAAGTCTATCGTTAGATAACAGCATCTATGTTCACTTATTTTTAATTTCAGCTATCAATTCATGCATTTCTTGGTAATCTTTTATAGGGAATGACATGGCAGCTATTTAGAAGCGTAGAAATAATATTTTTACTGTGACGGCAAAGGAACTATCTAGATAATCATCTATCATAACTATATGCTTATTTATAATTATGGTTGAGGCTTTTTAGTTATTGAAGTAGGATGAACTCTGAAAAAATTCCTGGCATTCTTTCTTACTAAATAGTCACAGAGACAGCGTTGATAAATGGGATATATTATCGATTGGATTTCAAAGGGATTGCTTTAATGCACATGTTAATTACAAAGAATACCTCTTAGTTAATAGAAAGAGAACAAGAAAGAAAAAATTATTGAAGGAATATATATGCATTCATAACTCATAAGACTATTTTTATATTATTTAACATCTTAAAAATATTCTGTGATCGATAGCACTCTCCCCTCTGCTACCGAAAAAATCGGTACATTATCCAATCCATAGCGGTTCCTTATAACCGCCTGGCAATTTGCAAGATGGACAATAACATCCTAAGTGTATCATCCAATTATGGTGGCCTTTGTATTATATATATACATCTCCAAGCGGTTTTTCGCATCGCCCATTTCGTTCATATGCCACAACCTATATCATCCATGCTACTTCCCGTAATTGCAAGTTATCCAGTTTCGTCGCATCGGCCTCTCCTCAACTAACAATCAAGTTTATCCGCATACTATATGTACACAACATCAGCCATTTTTTGCTCGCACTAACATAAGTAAGTATCAGAAGGACAGGTCAATTTGATTATATTACATGCACTTCTCTCTCGAAAAAGAAAGAGTATAATCGAAAAAAAAAATATGAAATAATATGATAACCACAGGACGTATTACTGTATATGTAACTTTTGCTTTACCGCTCCTCTTTCGTCGGGACCAAGATGTGCTAGTTCCATCTGTTCATCAAACTCTAGTAGTTTCAGATCTTTTATTATTTCTCTTATCTTTCCGTCGCCAAATCTAATTTCATCGAAGTACGGAGTGCATAAACATTGTAAAGAGTGGTATCTTTGAGTAGGGTCATACTTGAAAGTATTCGATAGGAAATCCACCGTTACTTCGTCTTCTTTCTTGAAGACTTTAGCTAATGGGATTGGTTTGATTTGAGGGAACTTGTGTTCCATGTAATTAGGGTTCATCACGCAAATTTCTTGTTTCGTAGGGGTACCCAAGATTTTAATAATCTCTACTAGTTGGTCAATGCCGCTCTCACCTGGGAACATCGGTTGACCCAAGAGCAATTCCGCCATCACGCAACCGCTTGACCATATATCTATTTGATTTGTGTAGTTAGTGGCTCCGAATATCAGTTCTGGCGCTCTGTAGTATCTCGAGCAGATGTACGATACGTTCGGCTCTGTAGGTTTCAACTGCTTGGCGCTACCAAAATCACATAGTCGCAAACACCAGGAGTTCGGGTCTACCAGCAGGTTCTGTGGTTTTATATCTCTGTGGCATACGTTAGCTGTATGATGCAAGTAGTTTAGTGCTTTAAAGAGCTGGTACATGTAGATTTTTATCTCTAATCTGGGCATTGGTGTCCGCTGATGCACAAAGTGGCGCAGCCTCTGGTAGAGGGATTGGGGCATGTAATCGAGTATCAAGTTGAGGAAAACGTCCTCTCTCTCGTCTATTTCGTAGAAGTAGTATTTGAGGTCGATGATGTTCCTGTGCTGCAGCATCTTCATGATCTCCAGTTCTCTGTTCTTGAACCGCTTGTCCTGGAGAACTTTCTTTATCGCAACTTTCTCATTGGTCTCCTGTATCACAGTAGTGAACACTACACCAAACGACCCGTGGCCCACCACCTCGGTTGCCGGAAACGATATCGTAATCGGCTCGCTGCTCTTGGCGGCACCATTAACAACCTCGTGCCCATAGTACACCTGCTTCTTGACAATCTCGGGCCCAGTAAGCTTCTCGATATTCATCTGTTAATGTCTCGTAGCTTTTTTCCAAATAATGTACAGGCGGCGTAATGCTCTCTAGTTCCTTATCCTTATCCTTATCCTTATCCTGATCCTGATCCTTTTATCGTTCAAGTACTGGCACAGACCATTCCAATTCAATTCCAATTCGAATGCTAAGTCGACTCGATCCGTTCTGTTGGGAAAGAAATTTTCCCACAAAAGGATGCTTGCAGTTTAAATACTTTGGACCTTATTTGGACCAGAAAAGTCTGTGGGGGGGGGAGGATCGGGTCCACGAAGGGATGCTGAAGGGATGTCAATGGATTTCTTAAGCTTTAGAGTAGGGAAGGGGAGGGGCCGTTAGAGCAAGGGCAGTTAGCCAGATGTAGTAGAGCCAGAGCCAGTAGTGGAAGTAGTGGAAGGGGATGAAAGGCGAAGGAAGGGGGGGCAGAGAGACAAATGCCGACGCAAAACAAGGACATTTACATACGGGGGAGGAGAAACTAAGAATATTAAATCGGGACAATTCAAAATGCCCAATATAAGTACGTAGAGGCCCAGACTGTGGGAAGGACAAATCATCCTCCTTTTTTGTCGGGCTGGGCGAAGGATCTGTGCTGACTTACAAGTTCGAGAGACAATTGAAGAGGAAAGAGATCGACACCCACCAGAGAGATTGTGCAGTGGGAAGTCAAGGCGAGATAGCGGGGGTCAGAATAGTAAGGGGGGGGGAAGACACGAGAAAATAGGGATCGTGGATGGGGATATGCGGTGTACACGGTGGCAGGCGGGAGGGCACACATTTTCCGTACTGCAGTATTACTGTGTGTTCCGGGTAAGTATGAGGTATGGGGTCTGATGTATGTTGCCTGGTGGTGGGAGGCAGGGGAGAAGGGGGCTAGAGGGGCATACGGAAGTGCTGTGGTACGTTATAGCACGCAGTGTGACTCTATAGTGATTGGCTCGTTGCTCTATACTCATGGCGAAGTAGCAATTCGGGACTCGGTTTCCGAAGTGAGCTTGTTGAGACTATTAGTGGAAGTGAAGGCGAATAGAATATATGACATAATTTTTTTGACGTTAAGTTAAAGGACTAGAAAGAATGTGAAACACGAACACAGACATGTACATAACGGAGATATATAGTAATTACAGATCTACAACTTCATAACTTGGTTTGCCCGGACACGAAGTCCTTTCCTTTGTTCACGTTCTTCTCTAGCTCTTGGATGGCGATCTTGACCATCTCTTTCTCCTTTGGCGAGATGCTGTCTAGGATGCTCTTGTCCACGCGCGTCACACGGCCGTCCTCTAGCACTACGGGTAGTGCAAAGTACTCACAACGCACGCTGGCGTCCCTTATGCCGGCCAAGTTCTTCAGTTTCTCCTGTACTTCCTTACCGTTGGACAGTCCCGGTAGATAGACGTATGTGGACGAGATGGTGACGTTCTTGCGGTCGCTGGTGCGGTTCACACGCTTGCGGTGCTCGTCACGGCGGTGGACGCTCTGTAGGACCTCATTGACAAACTTGGAACCCGCAAGGGCCATGCTCAATGTTGCGGATCCGCTGCCGTCTTTGGCCTTGGCCTTCACAACTTCGTCACCACCGTACTGGACCCTGTTGATGAACTCGTCGTATTTGTTGGTCTTTTCCAGTGTCCTGGTCATCATGTGGTTGAAAACCAAGGGGACAATGGTCTCTCCAGAATGACCACCGATGACACCTACATATTTGTACATCTTGCTCTTGTCATAAGTCCTCTCACCTGCAATACCGCCAATTTCCTTGGCCTCGTGCGTGTTCAGGTACTCTGCAAGGAACGTCTCCGCACGTACAAGGTCCAGGGTAGTGACACCCATGACGTTGCCTGCTTGGAATACCCCACATCTCTTCAGGGTCTCCACGGCAACAGGGATCAGACTGTTTACTGGGTTGGAGATGATCAGTAACCTGGCATTTGGACAATGCTTGGCAACATTGGAGACAAGGTTCTTCACAATACCAGCATTCAACTTGAACAGGTCATCTCTAGTGATCCCTGGACGTCTAGGAACACCGGCTGGGATAACCACCACGGCAGCACCTTTCAACGCCTGGCCTATGTCATCCGTACTGTACCCAACACAATCAGCATTGGTGTTGATATGCGAAAGATCAGTAGCAACACCCTCAGCGAGCTTGATATCATAGAGAGCCAGCTCAGATATCATTGTGTTCAACTTCAACAACAGCGACAATGGCTGCCCGACACCACCAGATGCGCCCAGAACTGCAACTTTTACCATTTTCCAACCTATTTCTGTATCAATATTATTGTACCTTCTGCGCAATACAAACACAACAGATTCAGAGCAAGAAACTCACCACCAATTGCCCAGTCTGAACCCACTTGTCCTTTATATAGAAGCCTGAAATTTGCTCCAAGTGCTTCAGTGTCAATGTAAAATGGTAGCCCTACTTCTAGCACACAACACAGAAAAACCCGCACACCCCTCATCAATAGAGAGTGCGATTGCTCATTTTCCTCTAAAAACGGACTCTTCCCAACTCCCCCCCCCACCCGGGCTAAGCTCATCACAATCCACCCCTCCATGCTCCTCCCGCTTCTTCTCTCTTTCCTTCCCTGTGCGATACTGCCCGCGCGCGGTTTTAACATCCCTATGAGAAACTAAACCCGACAAAGGGTCCAACCCTCCCGTCTTCAGTGTGCCCTCATCTCACTTGATATCAGAAGGGAAGGGGAGGGGTTCCAGAGAAGCTAACCCTAATCTTTTGCAGTTGGTAATTTCATTTAGGGTAATTTTAAATGGAAACCCTAATTATTGGGGGGGGGGGGGGGGTGTACACACAGAACAAAGAGGTATGACTTCTTTCCGTAAGAGGTGTTGTCAGCTGATATGTTCTTTTGAACAACTGGTTTATATGATTTCTAAAGATATACATTATAATGAGTACTGAGAGGAGGCTAATGTTCCGACACGCTATCTCTAGGTATCTGATCCAATAGTAAAATAGTTGGAGTCGATGTTCTGGTCCAAATCAAATTCTCTGACTATATCTGTGGGGACATCTAGAACAAGTGGTACCCGGCGGTCTAAGGGTGCTTGGATCCTTCTGTATCTCATGTACAGGTTTCCGTATGGGACAGTGAATTTCTTGGTTAATTTTCTGTAAAATAAGCCACAAGCGTTACACAGCGTTCTACTGCCATAGGGTCCTCTTCTCCACTCTGGTGTGTCTGATTCTCCACAGTGATGGCATCTTAAAGTGATTTCTACTGTAACTTTTTCACTGGAGGAAGATGTTGTGTTTGACTTGGCTTCATATTGCCTCCTTTTTGTCAAATTTTCTTTACTTGGTTTTGTTACTTTTCCGGTCGTTCTTATAGAGGATTTATCGCATTTTGATTGGATTTTTGCATCAGCAGCGCTCTGGTCCTTCTTTGTCACCCGATTTTCTCTACTGGTTACCTTACTTTTGTATTGGGATCGTTCATTCTTGGATGGCTTATCAGTCGCATTATCAGCACATTGTTCGACATGCGAGATGTGATCTTGGTGAGAAACTAGATTTTCTTGCTTTTTGCTGTTCGGATTTTCTGCCTTAGATATATCTGTACGAGAATCTTCACCTTCTGTCTCTGAACCTTGCAATCCTACGCTAATTTTAGTGGATGTGTCTCGAGTAAGATTGGGTGAGCCAAGCCTTGGTAAATTAAAAGTCTTGGCATTTAGATCTCTTGAGTATACGGACTTCTTTCTCTTTTGAATATAAGCTTTTCGACCATTTCCTTTATCGATATTGTCAACTACGTCAGTTCCTTCATAAGTAAAATTTGAATATTCTGTGCTTAGGATATCTCTAGATTGGTTTTGTTGAGGCGGCTTAGAATCTAATGCTCGTTGCTGATAAGAATCTGAGTCATCATTATTCTTGGCCATGTATCTTTGTGCTAGAGGCCCTATTTCGTTTGAAACTCTAGAGCTTCCTATCTTAGTTTCTCCCATACTCTTAATTTCATTACTAGTACTTCTATTCTCAATAATATTTATTTGCTGATAAACATTATCTTGATATTGATTATGTGTGCACCTTGGCAAAGGCTTACCGAGATATGTTTGTGGAATGAAACCGGATGGCTCAGGTAAATTGCGGCTTTGATAAAAAGTTTCATCGATGGATTGGTTACGAGGAAATGGTAATGTGGGTAATGTCGAGCGATGCATCGACTGAGGTCTTATTCCACTTGGGTCCGATAAATTTGGTCTGTGAAAATAGGGAGGTTGTAGTAAAACCCTCCTGTTATATGGATCTTGTCTAGAGTGTATTGCAGGAATCATTGTATTTTTTTGTAGTATCTTTCCATAAGGAGATCGTATTAGTGGGTATGATGACATTGAACGTATATTAGAAGGTCTGGCTTTATATGTGTTTATTGATCCATCTCCGTTAGCCCTGAAAAAAGCACCACTATTTGCTGTATTTCCAGGTGGAAACTTATAGTCATTCAAACTATTTTTATAAGCTCCACCACTACTATGAAATTGACCTTTACCTTCCAAATTATTTGGTTCAAATTTATTTGGTGCGCTATCAATTTCGGTGTCATTTAAGGTCGTAACTAGTCCTGAACGCCTTCTTTTTGTGGATTTATAGCTATCCTCATGACCAGTTGTTGAATATTTCAAATTCGTATTATTATCAAAAATTTTGACCAGTTCTTGTTGCAGCTCTTTAACCTTTCTTATTGTTTCTATCAATTCTATTTTTATCGTCTCATATCTTAAATTTTGGTTATTGGTCCCATAAATATTCCCAGAATTATTTTCAATACCATACCTCTCCAATCTGGATACTAAGCTCTTAAGTCTATTACTAACATCCTCTCCTACTGATTTAATGTCTGATGTATTGATTCTAGTTTCAGAAATGTCATCATTGAAATACTGTTCATCACTTTTCTCTGTGGGACTTGACAATAAAGAATCTGTACCCCAAGATGGTTTTGGACCATGCTGATTCCCTCTAAATGATTCATAATAAGCAGGTAATGTATTATTAAGATCAATTTCATGATCATAGGGATGTGAGGGTGGTTGGTAAGGAATTTCACTGGCAGCTCCAATAGGCGCCGAACGTTGAAATTGTTCTGCGGCTCTATTTTGTCCAGTGAAATACTGTGGTACGTTTGCACGTGAGTTATTAGGAGGTTTATATTCACTGTATTTCTGGGTTAAGTAGGACCTGTCTTGAATCTCACTGTTCATCATATCTGGTGGTCCCGAAACTAATACAATTCTTTCATTGTTGTTCAATACAGAAGGATTCAGCTTTCCCGCTATTCGTTTTTTTATAAAGACTCTAGGAATATCGCTGGGGTTCTGCAATTTGACTTTGATTTTATTTGTTTGCAAACCAATTTCCTCTCGAAGCTCTTGCACCGGTGTATGCGTTACTTCATTAATAATTCTCATTGTTTAAAAATTAGGATAGGCGTGTTCTAAGAAACTGTAATCCACACTTGAGATTACAGTAAAAAAAAAAAATTCCGGTCTCTATGTTTCAACACTAGCGCCAATGTTCGGTATGTAAAAAAAGCACCACAAAAACAAAGATTAGTGGTTGGACCGATACAGTTACAGAGCCATTTATGTACAATTATATTTTTAATCAGGAATTTAAAATACTTGATAGCCTCCACACCCATACATAACTTATGTGGTTGAAGGTAAATCTATGACACTTAATATCCTATTTCAATTTAAGAAGTCATTAAAAATAGGGAAAAAAGGGAATTTTTCCTGTTTTGATAGTAATGTGCAATTACTTATTTTATTCTTACTGTCAGATTTAATAATTTGATCATTCAAATCTTATATTCATCATTTACCATCTGTCATTCCTCTCTCGACAATCTTTAGTAGGAGAAATAAGTAGGTAGCAGAAAAGTCAACGATTACTACGGTTAAACTAATGATCAGCCCACAGATACTTTATTAGAATAGCTCAACCTAAATGACAGTGGAGCATTAATAGGTAAGTTACTCGAGAAATCTTTTTAAGGTGAATTTTCCCAACCTGGACTTATTATCGTTATTTTCATTTTTATTATGGCTCTGCAATGACGTGATCTTGCAGCCTTAAATTTAAATATAATTTTGAAGATAATACAAAAATTAGTTAGTAATGGTATTTATTCTAATCTATTAGGTCCTACCCTCTGCTGAATTTAAATAGACACTTTACAAAGTCTTATATCGGGACAGACTGACTATCTGTTCCTCTGCAAAATTTCCACCAGTGTAAAACAATGTAATATTGTTCTGTAGTACATAAGTTCCTACGTGAATTAATGTGGTACATTGACAAAAACCAATAATATACATAAAATTAAGAATTATGTAGTAAATGAAAAAAAAATTACTAAAAATGTACCTATCTTACAAGTGAAGGTTTTAAGATTGCTACCATATTTGTTCTATTGAAAAAAAAGTTAAATAATGTGTAGTAATTTCACCTCGAATGCTTCAAAAAAATTTAAAAATGCCTTAAAAACCCCTTAGATAAAGTCATAGTCAGACTCAACTTCATCATCATCATAATACTCGTCTTCTGATTCATCGACAAGTTGTTCGAAGTTGACCTTATAACGTAGAAGAGCACCAATACCACCAAAACCAGTAACGAATTGGGAACCTTCTTGAGACTTATCAGTGATGAATTCTAGAGCAGCACCGAAGTTCTTGTAATTTTCAGCTAACCATTCAATTAGAGGTTGTTCAGTAACAACTTCCATTTCTTGGCCGGTCGCTTTGTCCACAGCGTATGACTTATCCTTGGCCTTTGGCTCAGCGAATCTAATAACTTCATTGTCCTCTGAATCCTTGAAAGTGTATCTAATAGTCTCTAAGTTTTCGAAAACAATCAACTTTTCCACAGCACCTAGGTCAAGAGCTTTCAAGGTGTCGTCAATACCGTAACAGAACTTACCAGTATCTTGGGAGATCTCGTCGAAATATTCATCCAGCAGTTTCTTTTCTTGCACGAACTTAACGTTGGCCAAAGCATCAGCGGACAATTCAATGGCTTGGTTGAAACCGTTTTCACCACCGTAGGAGATATCCACGATTTGAACAACTTTAGCGGCCAATCTTTGGTCAAATAGTTCAGATTTAGCCAAGTCGGTCTTGAAATCTGCGGAACCTGCCAAGATTAAACCCTTTACGTTAACTTTATCGTTAGTGATGAAGTTCTGTACTGCGACTTCAGCGACTTTTCTAACGTAGTTATGTCTCTTTTCTTCTCTCAAACGGGCGAAACGGACGGCAGATTGACCACCTCTACCGTGCTTCTTTGGCAAGTCGACAGTAAACTTATGTAGAACGGATCTAGTGTTACCTTGCAGCAGACCGAACAGAGCACCTTGACCATCCATGACAATGAAACCAAACTTGTCATCAGCCTCTAACAGTTCAGACAGCACTTCAGTGTGGAACTTGTTGTCACACAGGTATAGAGATGTGTTGATAGGCTTGTATGGCTCAATGTCAAATGTAACCTTCTTTTCCTTACCATCTTCTGTAATAATGTCACCACAGTACAACACAAGACCATTTGGTGGCAAACTGTTGTAAAGCTTCAACTTCTGTTGTGTAGATGTAATGGCAGACAACACAGATAGACGATTCACACGAGACTTGATGTTAGAAGCAGTACCATATTCTTCAGTCAACATTTTCTGCACTAGCGGAATTTGACCCTTTGGTGGGATAACCAAAGAAATCATAGAAGTACCATTACCTCTGGCCTGCTCCAAAGACCTAACTAGCTTCTTCACCTTCCAGATTTCAATATTCTTCTCAGCGTCAGTATCCATGATTTATAAAAACTGCTTGTATCCTCTTGCTAGCTGTACTATATTGCTTAAATGTAAAACAGAAATAAACCCAATTGATAAAATAGAAACCTGGGAATAACAGCAACTTTTAAAGTGTATATTATGGGTGATGAGCTTTCCAAAAATTTTTCAGCATCTCTTCTCGAAAAGAGATAGTGAGAGCCGAGAAAACAAAAACTTTTTCAGAAACGTTGGTGGTGATTGTCATTTGGTAGACACCCAGTTCTCAAAACCTCGAAACATTGCTTGCGAAGTGGGCAGTACTATGGGGTGAGGAGGCAATCGATCTATAGCGCTGTGTATATGACCACAGCATATTTCTTTGGAGTGGTGATGATGTATAATTGGGGAGAGCATCTTCAACTGCACCTTTTATATTAGTTATAAAGAATTACAACCCGAGGGTGATTATTATTTGTTGGAAGATGTGGATGAGAGTGAACCGGATGCTGGGAAATGTGTCTGTGAGGCAGTTTTCCAATGTCAGGTTGGTTGCTCAGGAGTATAGTATGCGTGTGCAGCAAGCTCGCAATAGAATTGTACCCAAATCACTGACTTTCTACTCTGCGAACCCGTTACATGAGGAGAAGATATCGCGACTTGAGAGTCTTTTGAAGAAGTATGCTTTACCTTCCAGTCAGAAACTGCCCGGAGCTGATATTTCTGCCGAGGAGAATTTGAAGCAGAACCCTAGACCTTCGTGGATTTCGTTTTCGGATTATGCGCTGATTGGTGGTGGTACTAGACTGAAGCCGCGTCATTACGAACATTTTATTCAACTGTTGAACAAGTTAAATAATATTGACCCTCAACTTGTCAACACAGAGATCAAGAATGAACTTTCTAAATATATTAAGAAGTCGAGTATTCAATCCCAGAAAACGCAACAAAAGGAGTTAGACGAGTTTGGTAGAAGTGTCGCCATCGGTAAGAGGAAAGCAGCCACGGCCAAAGTCTACCTTGTTAGAGGAGAAGGTAAGATTCTAGTCAACGGTAGACAACTCAATGACTATTTCCTCAAGATGAAAGACAGAGAATCCATTGCTTATCCTTTACAAGTGGTTGACTCATTAGGGAAATATAATGTGTTTGCAACATGCCGAGGAGGTGGACCTACGGGACAAGCTGAAGCCATAATGCATGCCATTGCCAAGGCCCTCCTTGTATTCAATCCTTTGTTGAAGCCCAGACTGAGGAAAGCCGGAGTTATTACCAGAGACTACAGACACGTTGAGAGAAAGAAACCAGGTAAGAAGAAGGCCAGAAAGATGCCTACTTGGGTCAAGAGATGAAGCTCCCTACTCATTATATTTATTCCTTAAGACTATCCTTGTACTTCTTGGTTCGTCTCCACTTCATAAAACAATTTGAAGTTAAAACCTAACCTGTATAAAGACATGTATATAATAATCAAGAATTATAACGAGCTCATAATCGCCAGAGCTAAACCCTAAATATCCAAAAATTAAGCATATTCTGATAACTACACATATCTCTTTCATAATATCAGTTATGCAGCAATGATTACCTTATTGGGTCATCTAATGAGTACTTCTTTTATGATGTACTTTTATAATTATAAAGATCATCAATCATGTCATTAATAATAAAAGGTTTGCTCAGACGAGTTCGCAGGAAGGCCTCTCAGTACCGAAAACTTTTCCTGAACTTCCTATCAGAAGTCGATGAGTAGCCTCAGCATTTCATAAATAAAAAAATTAAATAGGATTATACAGGAGTATTGGGTTTGACACAATTATACTCATCTATTATTGCCTCGTCAATAGTTCAAGTTAAGCCAGCTATTGAACTCGTTGGATACTGAACAGAAATAAAAGCGGGCTTGTCTTTTCTTATATCATTATTGATCGTCATGCACTTGGAGCCTATTGAATTGAATAGGAGGACTGTCAGCGAGATAGCAGGTTCTATATCTATTGCCTGTTGGGTAGTTGTATTTGCGCCACAGATATATGAGAATTTTCGAAGAAAATCAAGTGATGGACTTTCACTGATGTTTATAATTCTATGGCTGATTGGAGATATCTTTAATATCGTGGGTGCAATAATGCAAAACTTGCTGCCCACTATGATTATTCTTGCAGCATACTATACTGTTGCTGATATCATACTATGGTTTCAGTGCATATGGTATAACAAAAATAATGCCAACAAAAAGCCCTCCCTGAATAGGACTAACAACACAACACATATAAACTCTACAAACATTCAAAGCAAGATTACTTCAAACTCGGAAAATGACACAAACGATGGAGATATTGTTGAGAATACTACTGAATGTGAGCCTATGTTAACTGGAGATTCTATCGAACATCATTCCAGTGCTATGAGAAGGCATGCTGATACTCCAACAAAAACACCGGAAATGGAAGATATAGAGAGTAGAACTACTAAGGCTAAGAAGAAAGAAAACTATATTAATGATCTTTTTATAGTTACTGTCGTCATGTTTGCTGGGTTTCTATCGTGGTATATATCCTACTGTAACAATACAGATAGCAGGAAGTCGCCCAAGACACCACCCTCTCTTGGTGATTCAGAAAAGATGAATATCTTAGCCCAAATATTCGGGTACCTAAGTGCGGTTCTCTATCTAGGATCGCGTATACCTCAAATATTACTGAACTTCAAAAGAAAGTCTTGTGAAGGTGTGTCACTACTGTTTTTCTTATTTGCATGTTTGGGGAACATAAATTTCATTTTGTCCGTTTTAGCGGTGTCGGTAAGCAAAAAATATCTTTTGGTTAATGCTTCATGGCTAATTGGAAGCGCAGGTACTCTTTTGCTTGATATGACTATATTTGCCCAATTCTTTATCTACACTCATAGCAAAGATTCATGATTATCGTGAAAAGTTTTGATCAAAATACAGCTCGTCAGAGAAAATTATCCGCTACAACATGGAAAGCCAATACTAGGCTTTTGTGTCAAAAACTAACAGTATCATTGCCAATCCAAATAAATGCGGTGTCTTGTGGTTATTATCGGTTAGAATGAGATTATTATGTTATGTTAGGGTTATTAGTGTTTATTGCCATTGGATTATGATTCGCATCTGAATTATGCCGCGTAAAGCTGGAGACGATTATAGTAAATTAAATGACGACTGCTGTGAATTAGCTAAAAACAACATGTTGCATGATGATGAGTCTAATTATTATGGAAGAACTAACACACCAGATGAGAATAGTTTCGTAACCGCCAATGAAGATTCGTGCAATGAAAGTTCTGGGATGCTAGGCGGAATAGAGAATGATAATAATACCAATAGGAATAATAATAAAAGTAATAGCTCAACTCTATTTACTGACTCTTTCAGGAATTGGTTTCTAGGGAAGGGCAACGATAATTCAGAAGTAAATACAAGACAAGTTAAGGATATCGGTGCTGATTCTACTACAATTCATGAAACTAATAATCCAAATACGATAAGGAGAGGAATTAAAAACTTTTTGAGAATAGTTGATGTCGGTTATGAAAAGGATTCTATAGAGAGTCAGAAATTACTTCGAACGTCACGTATTGGGTGGAAACTCGGTTCCAAGATGGAAGATCATCACACTAATGAAAATTTTGATGACCAGAGTACGAAATCAGATAAATTAAAGATGATTAAGAATGAAGGCAGAGTAAATGTTAAAAGATTAAATGACGAGTTGGAAGGGTACTGGAACGTACAAAACAATAGTAGTGCTTCAAATTTACAAGATTCACTTACTTCAAGCAGTGAATCTAGTTCAACTGAGCAAGTAAGCACCATTAGGCGTACATTATCAAAAGTTTTACATCCTTTGTGTACCAACAATGAACTTTTGATTGAAAAAGCACGCAATCATAAAATGTCAGCCGATAGTAGGAAGGAATTTGACAATACTGGTGTTAATAAGCCAGTGGATAGCACTAGCTTGTCAAGGGTATCGGTTAGCTCTTGCATTTTGAGGAATGACAACAATCAAAATTCTTATGATAAAGATTTAATGAAAAGAAAATTAAATGGGTCTCTCACTGCTGGTGTAACTGGTTGTGCAACTTTGAAAGGTGAAATTAGTGATCAGCAATTGAACTCGCATAATGGAATTGATACTGGTTCTCAAAATGCGGTAATTTCGTCGGAGGATGATAACATATCCAAATATAAAACTATTCGTTTAAAGGATATGCGCATATCAGATCCTAAACAAAGCTATTCGAAAAATATATATAAGCTGCGGTCTAAGAATGTCAAGAGAGTGGATGAAACTGATGTGAACCCATATAAATTTGTTTTCAACTCGCCTAATCAGTACAATCTGGATGGAGAGCAAATTGATAACATTCAGTTACCAATGGAAGCTGCATGTTATCATAATTTTAAGGAATGCCTCGAGATCCTACAAGCTAAAACATTACCAACGCTAATCACTTTGTCGATTGAGGAGTTTAGTATTCGTATACTTGAACTGGTTAAGATCAATTTTAATGAATTTGATAATGTTAGTGGTAATATAAATGATGGCAAACAACCTGGAGCAAGTACCGGGAAAGGTGAATGTATATCAGATGAAATTCAACAATTGAAAGAGGATAACTTTCAGTTATCAACTAAACTGAAAACTGCTAACTTTGATTTGGAGACTTTAAAAACCAAGTTGGAAGATCTTGAAAAGAAGCAAGACTTTAAGGTTAAACTAAATGATTTGAAATCTTCTCGCTCCGGTATACATGAACGCAACCTACAAATAATTAATATGAGCAAAAGATTGAAAGTTACAAGTATTGTTTCTGAACATCTTATTTCATTGCTTGGAGAACTAGTTGATATAATTCGCTTTGATTTGCAGTCTTCAAATTATAACTTTCTTACTAATAGTTTAACTGAAATACTTAGTGTAGTTTCCCTGAAGGATACGACAAATTTGAATATGGAAACATGGAATTTACGACTGACCTACATAATCAACTATTATCTAGCTAGCTTTAGAGACTTGATTGAAGCTATGGTAAGACAAAATGCTGGTAATGAGAATGCAGTATCCTTTATGTCAAGTGCATTGCATCAACTACGTCTAGAAAATGAAAAAATAAAGAGGAGAGGCGGGCTGATGCAGAAAAAGCAAACCAGGTCAAGCATAACAACTTAAAATACAACTAGTGATGCCAATTCAATCAATTCAATGACTAATTTTAATCTTACTTATGCTAATGCAAATATAAAAATAAATCTGTAAAGTAGTTCCTTAAATTTGTAAAGATTACTACGAATTTGTTAGTACCTTTTTCAACTAACTACGTGACTAAAATAGCTAATATACGACCCATTATAGTAAATCAAAGAAAGAACAGTTGAATTCTAGTAGTTTACAATGACGATTTAAAACATTTATATATATATATATGATTAAAACGTATTAACACATATTTACTTTCATAAACATCATGAAAAATGATCCAGGCGGATTAAGCCCGGAAAATAAATAAAATTACTTAGTAATTTCAAAAATTGTCTACTGAAACAAAAAATAATGAATCAATCATTACCGATCAGAAAACAATAAAACTATGGCACAAATAAGAATAAATCAGAATCTTCTCTATCATGAAAATCAGAATATCATGATCCATCTTTCTTAAACCTTAACGGTGGACATCTTTGGACCGAATGGTTCGTAGTGAATCATATCGTTTTTGTGTTCCAAGACTTGGAAGTGGTCAATCATAGATTGCATGAAGTTCAAAGAACCACAGATGTAGACGTCAGCGTGTGCTGGGACATTCTCCTTCAAGAACTTGTCGTCGATACGTGGTTGGCTGTCAGTCAAGACAACAACCTTCTTTGCGTCCTTAGCTTGCTTCAACAAGTTGTCGACATGGTTCTTGAAAGCCACATGTGGCTCGTTGTAAGCGGATTGGATCCAGACAATTGGTCTGCTTGGGTTTTCCTTGACTTGAGCTTCCAACATAGATACAATTGGAGTGACACCAACACCAGAGGACAACAAGACCAATGGGATGTCGTTTTGGTTGATCAAGTCCTTGTTGACAGCGAAGTCACCAGCTGGAGCACTCAACTTCAAGACATCACCGACCTTGACATCCTTATGCAAAAATTCGGAGACCAAACCGTCTGGGTTGTTAGTAGAGGTTTGCAACTTGACAGCGAACTTCAAACCGTTAGTAGTGTCAGCGGAGCAGATAGAGTAGTGACGCAAAGCATCGTACTTGTTGTCTTGTCTAACTGGGTGTGAGTTAACGGTAATGTATTGACCTGGGATGATTGGCAATTTAGCTAGATCGACACCAGAGTCGCCAGTTGGCTTGACGGTAAATTCGTAGATGTCTTCAGCAACCTTGTCCTTACCAACGACTTCAAATTGCTTCCAACCTGGCCAAGCAGCTTCTTTGTACATCTTAGCTTCAACGCTGATGAAGACATCGGCGATTTCTTGGTAGGCTTCACCCCAGGCAGTAATGATTTCTGGAGTAGCAACGTCACCTAGGACTTCCTTGATGGCGATCAATAGGTACTTACCGACAATTGGGTAGTGTTCTGGCAAGATTTGCAAAGCTCTGTGCTTGTGACCGATTTGTTCAACGTGAGGTAGCAAAGCGGCCAAGTTGTCAATGTGCTTGGCAGCAGCTAGAACGGTGGTAGCCAAAGCAGTTGGCTGAGCACCGATCTTTTGGTTAGTTCTGTTGAAGATGTTTAGTAGCTCTTCGTGTTCAGTCAACATGTGACCGTAGAAACACTTGGTAATTTGAGTACCTTGCTTCTCTAGCACTGGAACAGTGGCCTTGATGATGGTACGGGTTTGTTCAGATAGCATCTTTTGTTGTTTGTTGTTTCTTGGTTTAAGTAATTATTGAAAGTTTTCAGGGAAATGTTAAGTCTCTGAAAGTTATCCTTCTATTTAATTTACTGGTTATACCTGTAATTTAGAATAAGTTATACAGAAGAGAACAAATATCTACTGAGTATTTGGATATTCCAGTCCTTTATATATAATTTTTTTTTTGGTTGGTCTAGGAAAAAGCATCTCTTATTTGGTTAATTCCTTTAGTGTGTTATAGCTTACAGATCAAACCCGATAACATTATTTAATCAGCTTGGGATAAGTTCTCTTCGAGAAAACCCCCCCTGCAATCCTAATTGTAGTTGTTTTTTTCTTTTGTTTCAAAGAAAAGACGTATTTGTTATGATTTGTTAACTTTAGGTACTTTACGATGGTATTGTATGGTCTGTGTTTCTTTTTGCGTTGTACAGCACTATTTGCCATAGTGAAGATGATTACTAATCAGTGGTGTTAGTACTAAAAAGCCCATTCTACCTTGGGACTTACATGTTCATGTTCATTGTCCCGAGAGGTACAATGTGTATGAAACTGGCTTTTGCGCACTTATCGGAAAGGTTCGTTTGCAAAGTAGACATTTTTAACTGTTGTGTCCCCCTCAGCAAGTAATAACTACACCTCTACACCAGCACTAAATGTAGAAGATTTGCTTTCCTCATTGTCTCCTTGTCTCCTGGTTATTTGCCACATCGCCCTTCCCATTGGCTGGGAACGAGGTCAGTTGGAATGTGTCAGCAGCGGTATTGCTCTTTTAGGGAAGCTATTTGTGGGCCCAACATGTCTTTCGTGGGCTTGTTCTCTTTCAAGTTAACGGTACCAGTCTTTTGTCGTTGAGCAATTTTCCCTAGTCTCTATCGGGCAATGGCAGGGGGGTGTCCGATATATCCTTGTTCCCCTCAGAAAACAGCGTGAAAGGGGAATTTCTGAAATGCCCTTTCTGGTTTCTGTTAGCCCGGTTTCAGGGAGGATCTGTACGCTCTTGTCTCAGGAGACCTCGTATTTTTCTTCCTCATTTCTTCTTGTCAGTCGTCTTGTCGTTTTTTAAATGTGGGGGTGTTAGGGTGTTGTGCGTGCTTTTAGTACCGCGACGGGATTTGCTATTATACCCTCTGGGGGCCACCGCTCTTAGCTCTTCGCTCTTCTGTTCTTGTGCTTACACAAAACTTATGATTGCTCCCGTGGGGGAAGGGGTAGTACCATGGGTGGTGTTAGCCCCTACACCAGGATTTTAGTAATACTAGGAATTACCGGTTAAGGTAATTTTGGTGATGACAAAGGGGGAGGTTGATAGTCCCGCACTTCTATTTTTTTCTCTAACATCGTAGGGCAAACATACCAAGAAAACCCGGGTTTAACTTTATTACAGACCGTGTACGTACATTTCAGTATGCTTTTAGAGTTGATAGCCACAGACCGTCTGTGACAATCGAGAAAGGTTATTTCTATAGAAAAGCTACAGACAGAGAACAAACTAAGACTTAATAGAGATTATATGACGGAGGAAGGGTACTTAGACTAAGCAGTGTACCGGAGTATTCCCTCGGCATTACCGGTTAGCAACACTTGTCCCGTAAACATACAGTTGACAAGCCAGTCCCATTGTACCGCAAGCACGGGTCGGTTGTCAACTAGTTTTGATAGTCGGTGTACTTGCGAGGCTCTATGGGCCACCAGGATGTACCTGATCTTATGGTCCATTCCTTGAGCTTTCAGGTCTTCGAGGGAAAAACGAGACGGTAAGATATTGGTGGTGAGACCGTGGTACTCTAGTATTGATCTGATCTGGTTTGTCCCCACGGGGATATCGTTTACTAGGTTTATCGTGTATATCCCAAATTTCTGAAACAGCCCGTTTCTATTGTTGACACCCATGGGTATATCGCTCAATTGGTACTGGCCAAGTTTAAGTTGGGGTGCCTCGTGTAGTTTTTCAGCTTTGTGCAGTTTCAACACTCGCTCAACGAAACCAGGGGTGATGACATGCGCCAGTGTGGGCAGCGCAAGCGCTTTCAAAAACTTTTCGGTTTTAACCCGACGGGGTGCTACAATTGTGTTGATATCATCGCTCAACGTGTCTCGTATATCAATCCCAAGCTGACTAAGCACCTTCTTATCGCGAGCGCTTAGTGTCTTGAGACAGTTCGTGCACACCGCACGTATGTCATACATTTTGTTCAGTGATCTCTCAGGCATTTTAGATCTCTTAGATCTCTTAGTCGGACGATTGTCCTCCCTGTCCCCTAATTGATCAATGGAATTGAAAGAACTATAAGATTCTTCGGTATCTTCTGGGCCGGAACTACCGTTTTGACTGGCATGCCCACTAGTAGAGACACTTGCAATGGTGCTTGGAATGGTACTCGTAGTAGCACTTGCAGTAGCACTTGCAGTAGCACTTGCAGTAGCACTTGCAGTAGCACTTGCAGTAGCACTTGTAGTTGCGCTGCGGCTTTCATTTGAATCAGGAATGATCCTTCTCTTGGTCCTGTGTTTAGTGATTATTACATCATCTGCTGTCTCTACCTGAGTATCTAGCTGCGTTCCTTCTTGTTGAGCATCCGTCGCACCCAAAACCGAGCCCGGAACAGAGCCCGGAACTGCATTCGATGAAACCACAGCCTTGTCTGTGGGCACTACTTCAAGAGACCCCATTGTGCTCGCTCGTTTGTGTAAAGAACGGCTGGGCAGTAAACTCCGATGCACATATCGATATTCAGTGTACCTGTCACTTGGATTTTCAGTTTCGGCACTGCTGCCGTTCAATGTGGACAATAATGGGTTTCGCTCAAGGCTTGCTAAAACGAATTGAGTAGTGAGCTTCTCTCCCTCGTATAATTGTACTTTCGGCATAAGCGAGCCGTTCGGACCGAGTCTATCCGCCAGCTCGTTTACAATCAGCAATGACGTATCCGACGTGACACAGGATGAACATGTATAGCCCAACCATTCTAGCATGCGATGTATATACCACCTGCGCATGCCTAGGAAACATGTATAACTCACCTTTGTCTTGGATGTGTCGGTATCGTTGTTGCCGCCATTGTGTCCATATAATAATCGATTGGTTCTTTGTAATCGCAGACAATCATCGAATTTGTCCAATGACCATTGGTAGAATAACCATGTAATGGTGAAGCTGTTTTGGTCGTCAGTAGGGGTGTCCTGGTAGTCTATAATTCTATAACTTTCCTTGTCTTCCGCAGTGACGGTACTGCCGCCATTTGATCGTACGAACTCGGATAGAAACTGGCGTATGTCCCCAGGTATGCTATCGGATAGATGAATCGATATGTTCTGGAACACTGGAGACAGTGGATTACTATTGTTACAGGTTATTGACATATATGGGCCTGGGCTAGAGTATTTTATCTCATTGGCCCAACTAACAGTCTTGAAACAGTCGAGTAACCATTGGTAACTGACAATCTTCATGGTGGGGTTCAAGACCTCTTTCAGTATGACATTGTCATCCATCTCTTTTACTAAGGGGTCATCGAACGTCTTGATGACTATGTGTGTAGTCTTGTCACTAATGAAGTTCTGTGTAATGCCGCCCAACGTCTGCGTGATGTCCTCTAAAAACTGTCGTTCGGAACTGTCGATGGTAAATGGCGATATATATAATTGGCAGTATCGGAGTATATGTCTGGCATCGGGACTATACTTATGCACCTGTGGAATGACACGTTTCTCCTCAATGCATTTGTATAGCCATTCGGGGGTGACAACGGGCACCATATACAAGAAGGCTAATTGAGAATACTCCTCAAAATCAGTTGTGTCCGTGATGACAAAATCAATGGTTTGATAAGTTAGGATATCTGCACCTATGTTGTGAATGTCATCTCGCTGTAAAGGGAAAACGTCTAACCCAGGATCGTCTATCTGTCTCTTGGACAATATCGTAGCATCCCGAGAGTCATCTCTGATCACTTGAGCCCATCGTTTCACTTGCTGCTCTTCGGATACAAGGAGCAACGTCAATGACCCAAATAAGCTCATCTTTCCCTGATGCCATCGAGCAGGTACATAATTTGCACTACAGCGACCCCTACACCCAGAGGATGTTTTTTTATTGTTCTATTGTTTTTTTGATTTTTTTTATTTTTTCACTTTTACAATTGACTCTTTGATCTGCTCGTTTCCCTTCTAACATACACTACTTCACAAGAGGAAATGCAAGAAGGATATCCTTATATTTGCTAGAGCAATGAACAAGAAAATCGGATACTTGTTATGTTTAATCTACGCATATTGCTATCAAATTGCTACATAAGATAAGTCCAGTATAGCTCGTAGGGACGGCTATCCTAGTTTTGGGCATCTTAGCAGTTGGGCAAGAGTCGCAAACATCTTTAATAATCCTACAAGCTCACAATCGAACAACCTTTTCACAAGTCTCTTTTCTTAAACAATATGAACTGGCATTGGCTCCATAAGAGACCAAAGAAGTCACAGTCACTAACCACTGCAGTTATAGGGTATCACCACGTGGGTGATTCACCATTCCCAAGTCCCTAATAGAGAAGAGAAGAGATCATTAAGAAGGGAAAAAAAAAATAGAACGATTTCTGGGTCTTTAGGAAGGTCATCTTCTTTGAATAATAGCTAGTTCTATGGCATTATTTTGAGAAAGGGTAGGACAATCCATTCTAGTTCTTATCGATTGGAAAACCTGGAATAAAGACTGCTATCCTGCTCCTTTTTCTCGTTTTCGTTGTCCCACTTCCTCCGAACAGCGTTTGATTTGAGCTATAGAAAGTAGCAAAGAGTTCATACTGGTACCTTACTGCTAGGTGGGAAAATATTATCTGTCCTGGTCTTGGTGTGGCAATTGCTTTTAGAAAATTACAAAAATTGGTCTTTAGTTTCTTCGATTACCAAAACATTGACAAGACAGTCAAAGTGGTAAAGGGAAAAAAAAACAAAATACAGGACACACAGATCCTAGGATCTCGCAGGACTTTTTCTTTTGCATAATCTTTTGCTTTGACAGTTGTCAGCATCTTTACATTATTATCCAATAGTGTGTCAGATTTTAACAGAACATAGAAGCTTGACATTTTATTGGTTATATTTCAGACATATAAATACCCTTTTTTTTTTTAGGCGGTGCATTTTGTTCTTTATAACACTGTTGTGCTCGTGGGAATAGAAATTTTTTGGTTAATTCGCAAAGAATAGTTGTATTATAATACTTTTCTTTATTGGAGAAAGAGAAAAGAAGTCTTTTTTTAAGATATATTACAAGGTCATCAAGAAAAGGTGAAATAATTAGAACAAATACATCTAAGAAATGAAGTTTGGTAAATATCTGGAGGCTCGCCAGGTTGAATTGGCGGAGTATAATACACATTTTATAGACTACAAGGCTTTGAAGAAGCTTATGAAGCAATTGGCAACTGTTCCCATGATTAATGACGACGATTTGAACGCTAGTAAGAACTTAATCAATGTTGATATTGATTTCAATGAGGCCTCGGTTTATAGAAGTCTCCAGGCTAATAAGGCATCCTTTTTCTTCAAATTGGAACGTGAATTGGAGAAAGTCAACCTATATTACGTCGATAAGGAATCCGAGTTGAAAGTTAAGCTTGATGTGATCGTCTCAAAGATGAATGATTATAGAAGTAGCGGAAGGTTGAATTCGAAACAAGCAGTGGTATATAAAAATATTAGTGCAGTCATAAAAAAATTCCTCAAAGATGTACGAAACCTAGAGCAGTATGTCGAATTGAATAGGACCGGTTTTGCCAAAGTATTGAAAAAATGGGATAAAAGATCACATTCGAATGAGAAAGAATTCTACCTGGCTACGGTGGTATCAGTACAACCCATTTTTACTAGAACAGAAGTAGCACGTTTATCTGATGAGGCTTTGAATTTGTTGGTTGATTTGAATGATCTCGTGGAGTATTCTGTCGGAAATGGAGTTAATTCACCTAGTACAGCTCTCGGTCCAGGCTCTTCATCCAATGCTGTTGCCATCAGCATGGATGGCGGCAAGAACAACTCTAATAATACAAAAGCCAGAAGGTCATCTTCATCTACTGGGTCAGAGAAGGGCTTTTTCAAAGTGTTAGGTTTTTCATCTACGGATCTCGACCTGGAGATAGAATATTGGATACAGGACATCATCAATATTTCCACGTTAAAGGATGATCAACGAAGGTTAGCTACAATATCTAATTTTGTCCCAACAAAAGTACTGCCGAGACTGGAGGAATTATTACAGAATAACGAACAAAAAGAGCAAATCGAAAAGGAATGTATTACGAAACTATTTTCCTTATTGATAGACTCTAACTTGGTGGACGAGTGTTTATCAGTGGTATATTTGGCATGTGAACAATATATTGATTTTAATCATATAGACGAAGATGCCGAAATTTTTTCTAACGTAAATCTATTTCATGAGGCATGTGCATGTTCTACTGCACCACGTTCATTTCTACTTTATGAAGCATTGAAATTCAAAAATATAACTTCTGCAGATTTGAAGAATTTAATGAATATGAAAGATATACATGGAAGAATCCCATTACACCATGCTGCTGAACAAGGGAAAACGGAATTTGTGGAACTAATACTAGAATCGAACTTAGTTGATATGTTGGATATTCCAGATCAAGACCGTAAGACTCCCTTGATACTTGCATTAGAAAGTAATGACATAAAAGCAGTTAAGCTACTTCTTCAACATGGCTCTAATGCATATCCAAACGCTCAAGATAAGGTACTAGATCCACTCAGTGTTGCATGTAAGAAAGGCAATTTTGAAGCTGTTAAATTAATTTTGGATTTTTTGGGAGATAAAATTGAAGGGCCAAGTCTAGACAAAATGGAGTTACTTCATATAGTATCGAAAAACTCTAATAGCAGTGCTTTGGCAGAACTATTAATATCTAAAGGTGCTAATGTGAATTATGGAGATAAGTTTCTTGGAAGAACGCCATTATTCTATGCGGTAATGAATGGTAAGGATAATATTGTATCGCTTCTACTGAGGTGTAATGCTTCAATAGATGTCATGGATGATGAAGGGTACACACCATTATTCTATACAATATGGGAAAGTGACGTTAAAGTTCTCAATGCTATGCTTCCGAGTATAAAAAGTATCAAGCAAAAAAAGATTCATAGCGACCTTCTTCAACCCAAGAAATTGACATTACCAAATAATGACTTGTTGGATTTAGATTCCAGTTCCATAAATGACTTAACAGATTCGTTTGAGAATATACCAGCATTTTCCTTACCTCCACCCATCATTCCATTAAGGAAATACGGTCACAACTTCTTGGAGGATAAGATTTATGTGAAAGTGATATTCAAAGCTGGCACAGAATCTATAACACTAGAAAATGACAATGACTCTTTGATAAATGCACCAGGTAGAATAATGCTATCCTCTGGTTCTTCAGATATAATACCAAGAAATGTACTTTTCCCAGTTGGTGGGACCTCTGTAACAGCTGTAGATGATGACTTAGATGAAGAAGGAGAGATAATTTTTTACCCAGATACATTAGAGAACTTTTCAATTCAATTCGATGTATTCCCAACTACTGGTAATAGACTTATAGCTAGAACTGTCACACCCCCATCATTTCTGTTATCTTCTTCTATGAATGGTACAAACTCATTGAAAATACCATTAGTCGACTTGAAGCTCTCTGTTATTGGTACGCTCTCTGTTGAATATCAAGTAATTCAACCATTCAGCGGTACATCACTAAAAGTAACTGAGTGTGAGCCTTACTGGAAATCTACTAATGAAGAGAAGGAGCCACAGAATTCGGAACCATCTAAAATTGATAACGGCTATATTACTGAAACCTCTTTATGTGGAAGTTTTGAAACAATCAAAATCTATTATTTAAATGATGGCAGGCTGGTTGCATCGAAAGAAATGTTTGTCACAGTTAATGGAGCCAAGATATTATTGATGGATCTCACAACCGAACAGCTTCAAGCTATTTTACAATCGTCTTTGTTTATCGACAACGAGATGATAAATACCAGTAATGATCTGAAAATACTTCTTTGTAAAGGTGTGTTCGATTTCAAAACTCTCCTCGACTTAATTCCATCGTCGATAAAACTTAATATTCAGATATGTTTCCCAACTGCGGAGGAGATTGTATCTATTCCCGTGAGACCATCTCCACTGATTGCTGTAGACAAACTAATAAACAATCTGTTGGAAATGATATTTTCCAACGAAAGGTATTTAAAATCGACTACTAACCACTCCAGATCGCTAGTGTTTAGTTCTTGTTGTTGGGAAGTATGTGCAACGTTGAATTGGAAGCAACCAATTTTTCCGGTATTCCTGAAATTTGATAATTTGGTATCGTATGTGGATCCTGAGTCGTCTACTGAGTGTTATAAATATGATACAGCGCATCATATTCTAGATCTTGTCCAAAATCAAGAGGAATATAAGAAACTCATTAAAAAGATTGATATATTCGGTATGGTTAAATTTGCTATAAAGTCACATCTACTTGGTTTAATTTTGCCAGAGAAACTGCTCCATATCTGCGATACTGTTGTTGACTCGATAAGGAAAAAGGGACTGTTGGTTATCAGTTTTTCTGACAGTCCCATCAATGAAGCTGAAAAAGAGCTTAATGCAAATGGAGTAAGTGATGAGGATGAAATAATATTCTTGAAAAGTGGCGACGATAAAAACCTGATGCTTTAGACTATTTTAAGTATGATATAGACGATTTATACATTAATAATTAATTCATGGCATGTTAATGGCGTAATTGTTCACCACTTCAGTCCCGCCTATTTCGCTACTGCTATATATTCTTTGAGAAATATTCCTTCACGGACTCACTAGGAGCAACATCGATTGGTTTTTTTCCATCAGAATCTTCGACTTCGTAATCAGCAGAAAATTTGTTTACTAATAACACCGCTATATCAGCATGGCCCTCTGCAATAGCATGGAATAATGGTGTCCACCCACTGGCGTCTTTCCAATTTACAGGGCTTTTGGCGGTCGAGCACAAAAACTCTACAACGCCAATAGATCCCACAGCAGCTGCTCTGTGAAGAGCAATTTGACCTTTCTTATCTTTTATTCTAACGGAGGCTCCTAGTTTAATCAAATACTTGCAAACTTCCAAGTGTTTCTTCGCTACGGCTAGATGTAGAGCGGTCACCCCTTGGGACGTTTGAAGATCTAGATTAGGCCTAGCATCAGGGTTGTTATTGTACAACTGGTCCACGATGTCTAGGTGACCAATAGAGCAAGATATGTGGAATGGCGTCCAGCCAGCCTCATCGGTCAGTGTGTCAATATCGACACTCTTCATATATGGCAATAACAGCTTTATTATGGCATCACTCTGGATAGATACAGCCCAGTGCAGCGGGACCCTGCCATCGTCATCTCTCTGCACCACAGCCTTGAACGGATCAGAGCTCTCTAGCAACTCCTGTACTTTCCTGGGCTCGTTATTCAAGCAAGCTTTGTGTAATGGGAATTCCATAGTTACTGAAACTTATTCGTCCTAATCTTCTCAAAAATTCTTGTGTTTTGCGCCTTTATTATCAACTATAATCTAATATAAACCTGGCAAATTATTTTTAAACTCTTTAACTCATTTTAGTGTATCAGCATCGTGTTAACTTTTGACGTTTTGACCAGTTTCATTATATATTATGTATCCCATCCCCCCTCCGCAGCTCATCGAGCCATTTTTGCTCTCCATAGCACAACTGAGGAAACAGGCAATAGCTGTGTATCCCTTAAAAAACTCGAAATCAAACATAATATACGAAACTATCACATGGTATACTATAATCGTTATATACGTATCGATGGGCGGCTAATGCTATTTTTGTCCCTATTATATCCTTTTCAGGAAACTGGTGCGCTGTTTACCCAAACAGGAAGTGGACCCGATAATTCTCAGATCTCGAGAAATATTTTTCTTGGGGGCGACGGGGGAGACGGGAGGAACAGTATATAAAGGGCGGCAAAAAAAAAGAATATCGTTTGGATCTTTGCCTTTCTTTCCCAGAACTTTTATAGTTCTGCTGTATTGTGGAAAAGGTGTATACACCAGTGCATATAATAATTTACATTTCATAATTGTTTTTGGAACACTAATTTTTATTTTTTTTGCCTTTCGAGTGCAAAAACGAGAGAGAAAAAATTAAAGAATACTTACTTTGTGGTTGGCGTTAGTTTTTGTTTTCTCAATCTTTTCAAAAATTCGGTATTTCTGAGTGGTTCTCAGGAAAACCAATAATATCTTCATTGCAAGCTTTTTTACAGGTTCCAAGAATTTGCTAGTATATTTTTTATTTGTTTTTTTTGCTTAATCCCAGATTATTTTAAAATAAAAATACAAAAAGAGAAACTTAATATAAAAATACTTTCAGACAAAGGAAATTCATTACTGCTCAACAAAGGAGAAAAGCAAAGGCTCATAACCTCCATAAAAAAGATAGCTAAGCCTGTTATATTTTATTTTATTTTATTTCCGGAGTTTTTGATATTGAAAAGGAATAATCCATTGTGGGAACAAAAACACAAACACAAAGTGCTTCATTTATCATATATCTGTAAATATAATGGACAGGTACATCCCACTGCTTACTTGTAAGAAAGCATACAAAGCTTCAAACTACAAAAGGAACTTTGATCTCAATGATGTAGAAATTATGGACTCCTCGTCATCGCCAGAAAGATTGTCCTCCCCAGAGTTTTTCACTGATTTGAGATACACTGGAAATTATGAGCACATAAACTATCGAGGTGACAACTTATCCGGGCAAGACATGCAATTGTCTAGTGCCGAGTCCTCAAATTCGACCAGGAGCTCAGTGTCAACAATGACCTCATCAGCTTCATCGTCATCTAATTTGCATGCTAATGATCGATCGCCTATTATGAGGTATAGACTAAGCCGAAAGAAAAAGAAGAGACGTGCAGGAAAAATAAAGGAAAAAAATATTAGTAAAGAGGTGCAAAAACATAAAGAATATATTGCTCGATACTTAGATTTTAAATCCCCTGAAAGAGTCCTGAAATTTGAATATAAAACCCACATTAAATCATTAAAATGTAATCTTACAAGTGATGAAACTAAATGTTTGAATACAGTACCTTGTGAAGATTTCTTATCCAAGATAAATCCATTGTTGCAAACTTTGCCTCCTTTTGAAGCAAGATACTTATTCTCTAATTTGCTGATTACTGATCAGAATGATGGATTAGCCATATTTAGAGATAGCAAACGGCCTAAGTCACTCATTCCATACAGAGTATTGGATGCTCCATGTTTGAGAAATGATTTTTACTCAAATCTTATTTCATGGTCGAGAACTACAGGTAATGTCATTGTTGGTTTGGGATATTCTGTATACATATGGTCTGAGAGAGATGGGGCAATACCTGTTCTAAATCATAGTTTTCTTGGACTAAAGCATGACTTGGTAACTTGCTTATCATTCTGTCCGTTTAATGAACTGTTTCTTGTCGGTACGAAACAAGGTAGAGTGATGCTATTTGATCAAAATAGATGTATTGAATCCTATAGGTCATTAGGTAGTTCAAATCGATCAGAACCTTTGTATGAATATCAATCATTATCATGTAAAGGAGTCAGTTGCTTTGAATGGTTTCTTGAGGATAAAATATGCTGTGATGGTGCTAATTCTGCACAAATAGCAAGATTATTTATTGGGGAGGAGACAGGAGAGGTGGCATATGTAGAAATAAATTCAAAGATTAGCAACTGTAATGTAAGAGATGATTACTCGAAGAAGGGATTGGATGATTTACAAATTTTATGTTTATCAAAATTCCAAGCGCAATCGCAGCAGGTTTGTGGTATGTGTAATATTAAACTTGTTTCAACATTCAATTTTTTTGACTAATATACTAACAATAAGCATCTATTATTCGATATTTTTCTGGCGTTCGAATAACAGTATTTTATAATTAGGACTATCCCTAAATCAATACTCGAAAAACCTCGCAGTTGGCGGTAATGACAATTCATGCACGATATGGGACATAAGTGATATCAGATCGCCACGACTAGTCCACACACTTCCCCATAATGCTGCAGTTAAAGCAGTTTCATATTGCCCATGGTCAAAATCTTTACTAGCTACTGGAGGCGGCAGTAAAGATAGAAAGATAAAATTTTGGCACACACTAACGGGAACTTTAGTTAAAGAAATTCAAACGACCGGTCAAATAACTTCCCTTATTTGGTCCGTTAGATATAAACAACTAGTAGCCACATTTGGTTTTGGAGACATTGATAATCCAATATTGCTAACAGTATATAGTTATCCTAGTCTTGAAAGACTGATACATGTAAGGTCTTCAACACCATTAAGAGTATTAACTGCGGTTCCTTCATCGAATCTAAATGCAATCTGTCTTGCTACCAACGATGAGACTATTCGGTTCTATGAAATTTGGGGGGAGGATGAAAACACTATAAGTGAAGTACAGGAAGCAGGGATATACAATTCGAAGTTGATAGACTTTGTGGAGGGCATTTCAACACATTCAGAGGAATACATAAGATAGTATCACTAAATCCAAGGTAACTTTATCAACAATTTCAAACAATTTACGTTTTACCATTGATCAACCGAAATGAAGCAAAATTGATATTGATAGCATAATAAACTCTTTCCACACAAACGATTTTTATATTATTTATGTACTTTGTATATATCATATAATAAAAAGTATTATATATTCTATGTTAAACAGTTTATCGATAGTTCGCACTCATATTTGCGTATCTAATGACGGTCGTTATTATCGAGGAAGTAGCTACTCTAATTGTAAAGGGCCCATTGAAACTACAATTATATGTCATAATGACATTTAATTAGCAAATGCTTGAAGTTTCTCATTAGTAGTTGTTGATGCTACTATTATAATTTACAGTTGTTACACAATTGTTGTTATACATCTACATGGTTCACGTACAATGAGTGATGCAGCAGCCCCAGAAGAGCAGGATGAGTTGTCAGGTGGATCAGTGCAGGAGCTTCTACCTGGATTGCAGCGAGATTTAGAAGCAGAGGTAATACGAGGGTTTATCGCTAATATAGCTATATATCCAGTTTTGCTGTTATATTTCTTTGGCACATTTGCGTACGTCACAAGGAATGTTGTTCCATATGAATTTATTGATGAGCAATTTCACATTGGACAAACAATAACATATCTGAAAGGGCATTGGTTTACATGGGACCCCAAGATAACAACTCCCCCTGGTTTATATATATTGGGCTGGTTAAATTATAAAGTGCTAAAACCACTACTCAAGAGTTGGAGCACTTTAACTATTCTTCGGTTAGTGAACGCGTTTGGAGGTCTAGTCTATTTCCCACTAGTGGTCCTAAGACCAATATTCCTTTTCAATGCCATAAGTTTTTGGCCAGTAGCATTGATGAGCTTCCCATTAATGGCAACTTACTACTACCTATACTATACAGATGTGTGGTCCACTATATTCATTATTCAGTCATTATCTATTGGTTTGACAATGCCCTTTGGATTATCAAAGAGCATATGGTTAAGTGCTTTATTTGCAGGCATTAGCTGTCTATTTAGACAGACAAATATTGTTTGGTGTGGTTTTATCATGTTAATTGTCGTTGAGCGTCAAGCCATTATAGCTAAGCAATTTAATACCCACGGATTAAACAACTACTTGAAGCTCTTCATTCACTCGGTAGAAGAATTTCAGACATTAGTTCTACCATATGCCTTGAATTTTGTAGGTTTTTTCCTATACTTGATCTGGAATAGATCCATTACGCTGGGTGATAAATCCAATCACAATGCAGGTATTCATTTAGTACAGGTTTTCTATTGTTTTGCATTCCTTACTGTCTTTAGTGTACCTCTGTGGTTCTCTAAAAACTTTCTGAGAATGTATTTAGAAAGAACTAATAGAAAGCAAGTTCAGGTATTTTTCGAAATATTTTTGATTATGATGGTCATCAGATATTTCACAAAGGTCCACCCATTCTTACTAGCTGACAACAGACATTATACATTTTACTTATTTAAGAGATTAATCAATCACAACAGAAGGATAATCAAGTATGGCTTGATGGCACCAATTTATCATTTCTGTACATTTGTTTACTTGGAAATATTGAGGCCTAGTGAACTTTTATTTGACCCAATCTCTCCATTACCAATAAAGGACCCAAATTTATTGCCTGTGCAATTAACACATATATCATGGACAGCACTCATCCTATGCACTTTTGCTACTGTTGTTCCATCGCCTTTATTTGAACCAAGGTATTACATCTTACCTTACTTTTTTTGGAGACTCTTTATTACATGTTCTGCTGAGCCCATATGGGGTGAAATTGTACCAGGGAAATCTAACGAAGAACCTGTAACAATAAGTTCCACGTCGAGATTATTTTTGGAATTTGTCTGGTTTATTCTTATAGACATTGTGACACTTATTATTTTTGTTAGATATTCCTTCCCTTGGGCTTCTGAAGCCTTCATGCAACGTATAATATGGTAGTTATTTGTTTTATAGAAATACGGCATAATGTGTAAATACAGCATATATTAGAATATAATATTATATTTTCATAGTCTATATTATATGAAAAACGTAAAAATATGGAAACTTCGTGGAAGGTTTTGCGTACCTATTAAATCTCTTCTTGCGAAAAGTATGGGAAACAATTATAGAACAATGAGTAGTAGTAAAGGAATGGCTCTCAATTATGGGATAAATAAATGTGGAATAAAAGGGCGATGCAATGCTTATTATAGTTGAACAGTTTCGAAATCATGACTTAATTCGTTAACGTTATCGTCTTGATTAGCTTTGTTTTTCTTCTTATTTTTCTTCTTATTCTTTTTCTTCTTACTTTTAGAAACTGTTTCAGCTGGTTCTGCTGTAGTGGAATCCTCCTCTTCTTCGACTTGGGGAGCTTCAACATTTGTGGATTCTTCTTCCTCTTCTATCGGTTCAGCAGGGGTCTCCGTTTCTATCTCTGTCTTCTTCTCTTCAACTTCAGGAACAGCTTCCGTATTGGCATCAGCGTTATTTACGCTATCAGTAACTTCATTCTCCAAAAGTACTTCTTGTTCTTCGACCTGCTGTTCTGGTTCTTCGATGTTAGCGTCAACCGTTACTTCTGCAACAGCTTCTTCAGGTTGTTCTGATACCTCTTCTTCTTTGGTTTCTGGAGTCTCTTCAATAATTTGAGTGGATTCTGGAGCGATTTCTTCTGTCTTAACATCTAACTCGTTGGATTCCTCCTTGGTCTCCTCGGCAGTTTCATCTAATTCTTCCTTCTTCACAATTTGAGGGATATCGCTATTGGTCTCCGGCACAGAAGATTCAATGAATTCATTACCGTTATGTTCTGTGGTGGTGGTTGTGTGATCAAAGTCGTCATCTAATTCAAAAGAGGATGTCTTCTTGTGAGTTCTAGTGGAGGTCAAAGTAGGTTCACCACTTTGCATAGTTTCCTGGTTAGTCCTTAGTTGTTCTTGGTATTTGTTCCATGATCTTTTCTTCAAGACTTCCAAATAATCCTGGATAGGGCCGTTGGATTTCTTGTCTCTAAAGACAAGTTCACCTTCACCTGCAAGGTAATCATCACTGTCATCCACAAGCAACCAATTCCCAGCTTCCAAGTCATTAGCAAAAGACAGTAGGAAATCACCCCAGTTCTCTGCTACAACGTACTTAGTATCGAAGTCTCTGCCGAACATGATCACTTGGCCGTGCTTACCCAGACGGGCTGGAGACAGGTCGATACCGATGTGGTTACCGGCGTTATCAGTAAGCACTGGAATCCACATAGCGTGTGCGTACAACGGAAGAACAGTCTCTGGTGGGATAGATTTCTGTTCTGGGATGTATGGTAGTTTAAACTTGTTTCTTGGTTTTTCTCTCTGCTGTTGGCTGCTTGATCCAATAGAGGCGGTCGAGCCCATCGAAGAGCCGTTGGATACACCAACGCTGGAGTGCTTTGACATAGTTGCCTGCTTGTTTAGTTTATCGGCGACGCTTCTCCACCTTTGGGTCATTGCTACTATTTCATCCAGGGTCATTAGTTGCAACCCGTAGATCAGACCTGAAGTCCCGGTCATCGATTCCAGATCTTCTTGCCCATCGTGTATTCTATAGGATGCCTTCAGAGCCTTTGGCAAGACAACTTCCAGGTCTTCCTCGGCGTGTTTTATGTCGTTTGCGGTGCAAGGATCGCTCAGAGTCGCGTTTAAGTCAGGGTTATATTCGCTGGTCCACGTATCAATGTGTCTCCAGGCCAGCAGCACTTCAGAGACACCCTCGCTGGGAGTGCCGTCCATGCTATCCAGATCGATGTCATCTTCCATCGACAAGATGTTGTCGTTAGCGGATTGCGCGTGCGCCTCCACATCGTGGTGAGAGGCACCTTGCGACCTCATACCCATGTTGAACTGGTCGTTGCTGTTGTACTCGGCATAGTGGTCCTCGGTGGAAAATGAGTACACCCACTCCTTCACTTTCTTCCTGAACAGATTCATTCTTTCCTTTGTGCGAGACACGCGTTATTTTTCTTTTATTCTTGTCCCCACTATTGATAGCTTTGCTCTGGATGAGTTTGTGTAAGTATCAGCGGCAAGTATCGGCGGCTAGGTAGTGGTTTTATGCGTTTTATGGGTCTTGTGGGTGTTTATGGGCCGAGGGAGTGGGGCAGGTGGAAGGCCTCCATTTTATAGTGGGCGCTCACGCTGCGCTTCCCAATTTGCGATTCAAATTTTTTTTTCGTCCTTCGTTCTCGACCACAAAATGTGTAGAAAGCCCAATGCAGAGGACAGAGACGGACCCGCACGAATCCCCATCCACCACGAACCCACAATGAATCCCACTACCGTAGGGGTATTTCTGAGGAGAAGGGTGAAATCCACGGGATTAATCGGTACGGGAATGCAATTCACAAAGAAAAGGAATTTGTGCGTGGTTTCTCTAAAGATGGCGGGGGGGAGGGGGGGTGGAATCCATCGGCTCGCGGCTTTTCTTCAGAGCACACAGACTTCTACGCACTTCCTTCCTTTTTCTCTTGTACGGTCTTCCTGCGGGTGTTTGTGTACAATTGTGTGCAATTGTGTGTGTTTTTTCGAGAATCGGTGGGGGGGACGGGGGGAAGAGCGGGAGAGAGAGAATACGCGTAAAGGACCCGTATATCATGATACAATTTTACGCGTTTGTGTTGTGCCTGTGTACGTTGGTGTTCACATGTTACTCGTTAATTGTTAGTTGGGTAGTGTATGTGTTGTACGGGTGTGTCACATGAATCGTGGTGGTGTGGGGGTGGAAAAGCACCTTTTAGGGTTGTTCTCCTTTTCCGCCTCTCTCTGTTCAAGCCCTAGTCAAAACCCTAAGATTACCAGAATTCTTGCTCGCATATCCCCCCACCCCATTTCACTCAGAAAGGAAGGTGTGGGGGGTGGTAGATTTGGGGAAGCCAGAAGGGGCGGAACAACCTTCCAAAACCCTTAATAGGGCAAAGTGTCAACAATGGGGGGGTTAGGGTTTCAGGGCTGTACATCATAATAGCATACAATATACAATGGGGGAAGAGGATTGATGGACACAAAACATACCATCTAACAAGCACTTATATTGGTTGATCGTGGGTACCACGGTGGGAGCAGGAAGGCTATTGGTACCTGCTACTGTCCATGATCGAGGTTGGGATCGGGAATATATATAGGTATATATATCAATACACAAATAGCTCTTTTCTTTATATGCATTATATCCTAAATAAGAAAGTACATATATAGCAGATATGATGGATAATGAGAGCAAGAGACGTGTGGATGTGACAGTTCAGAAGAGACTCAGGAGCATCTTGAAACAGAGATTTGTCTCGCCGACAGATGCCATGCTGTCGCCTTGCTCAAAGCGGTTGAACTTGTACAGGTCTAAAGTGTATGCTGCAAAAAAGACTCCGAGGAAGTTGCAGTTCTCAGAATCTGCGACCAAGACGCCGAGCAAGAAACATCAGAGTTGATTATTTGTGCCGTGAACAAAAAATATATTCTCCTACATATTCATATGCATTATATATTCCCTTCAGGAACAAAATATAAATAATTCCTGTATTAATAAGAAAAAAAAATCAATAATAAAAAAAAATGAGAATATTGACCTATTATTTACATATAATGAAGAAGGAAAATAGAGTATAGAGCAATAGATAAAGATACGATCTTGCCCTACTCATCGACTAACAATATCTTTTATTTATTTCTTGGAACCTGTAGCTGATCTGGCATCGACCAATGTGTTCAATAGCAGGGCTTCGTTATCTAGAACAACTCTGTTTGGCGAGTTGGCTAGGATCTTAGCAATGTCCTTTGCTGTATCTAGTCTCTTCAATTCCACATAGTCCCTAGATTTCTTAATGGCATCACCGATCAACTCGGCGGACTTGGCTTCACCTTGGGCTTTCACAACCATACCTTGCTTTTCTTGTCTGGCTTTATCCACAATAAAGGCGGCCCTTTGGGCATCCTGTTGAGCAATCTGCTTTGCTTCAACAGCCTGGGTGAACTCTGGAGAAAATGTCATATAAGTGATGGAGACGTCATCCAGTAATATATTGAACCCACTAGCACGACGAACCAAGTTGTCACGGATCAGTCTAGACACTTTTTCTCTTTGGGTGATCAATTGAGAAGCATTGAATTGTGCGACAACTGCCTTCAAAACTTCATTGACAATGGAAGGCAGAACTCTTTCGTCATAGTCCTGGCCTAATGTACGGTATATAGTGGGAAGTTGGCCAACGTTGGGTCTTGATAACACTCTGCATGTGATATTGACCATTTGTAAATCCTTGGTACCCGTCAAAGAGGCAACATTACGTGGTTTAGCCCTCACATCATACACTATAGGTGTCTCGATCCATGGGATAATAATATGTGTACCTTCTGAAAAGATTTTCTGCGAAACACCACCAATACGTGAGTAGACAATGGCTCTGTGACCACCGTCCACATTAAATAACGCATTATTGAAGAAAAGCGCACCAGCACCTAACACCAACAGACCGCCAATACCTGCGAAAGCACCACCAGCACCACCTCTTGGTGGGCCACCAGGTCTACCACCTTGCTGTTGTACCTTAGTGATTTGTTGTCTCAACGCTCTAGCGAACCTCTGAAATTCTGGTGAGCCACTCATTTTTTTTTCAAAATCTTGCAATCTATGTTAGTTCTGTTGTGCCGTTACTTAAAAACACCGACTGATCAAACTGTATAATGTCAGTAGTTAATATGAGACTTGAAAGATATATGCGCCACGGAGCTATTTATTGCTAGCCAGGACCTGCTTAATGGTCTCATCAGGCATCATGTCCCCCATCCTTGAAAACTTATTCCCTTAACGCAAAAATTGGCTGTGTGGGCATCAGACGTACTTAGAGACTCCGCTAGAATATGTGGCAAACAGCGTAACGTTGTGGGTTATGACATAATCATGTGATGTATAAACGTTGGCTTAGAAAGTTGGTTGAAATAGCGTGAAATGTCACAAATGGTATTAAACATAATAGTAATGGTTACAATAAATAATATATATGGAATAGTTCATTAGTGTCGTTATGCTACGACGGTTGTAGTAATCTATATTAGTCATAAAATGTGTGTATTTAAGCGACATTGCTTAACTAAATAAGGACTCAGCATCTACTAATTCATAGAGCTGATTGCTTTCGTATCCTGTGGCGTGAAAGATAGGTATATTGCATCTTTGATGTTCATCCATCTGGACTATAGTTGTGGGTAAGTCGTTAATCGTCAAGTATCTCAAGTTTTGGAAACGTAATATAAAATAATCGTAGGTTCTTTTCATTGAGTGTAAATAGTAATGATACAATTTCTTGATATCATCACCCGACAGTAAAGGCAAACGTTTCATATTTTCATCATCCTGTCTCATTCTATTCTGAATATTTGCATGGTCATGTAAAGAATAATATCTGAATCCCATAGCTGGATATACATCACAATAATGGGCATGCGGTATTATGGGGTATACTTTAATCATTTGATAAAATATTTTGTTTAGCTCAAGTTCTTTGTATGAGGGTTTTCTTAAAGATGCAACAGTGGGGAAGTACTTCTTTATTATTATGTCTTCGTATACTCCTTTGCAAAAATCACATTTGCACATCAATGTCAATTCGAATTTGGGTTGTAATCCAACTGCAACTGATATAGGTACCCCTTCGAATTGATTAATTCTAAAATCAATGTATTCAAGAGTCTTGGCACATGGGGAAGATGCAAGGAGGTCTAGGAATTCATTTTCCATGGTTAGTTCGAACATGTAGTCAAGCTTTAATCTTCTTAAGTGATGCCAATGGCTCACTGCTTCAGTAATAAAAAAATGATTGTCTGTTAAAGAAAGCAGTGATAACTCTTCGATGTTATGAAACTCCAGGAATTCGTATAATCCCCACAGTTGATACATGTCGAAATTCATATCTTTGGGTTCGATCCAAGATAGTACTTCTAGTTCTCTAAGTTCATTCTTATCTAAGATTTTGTGATATGGCAGCCTACCTCGGTTATAATCTTCTCCTAAAAGCATATCTTTTCTTAAATTCAAAGTCAAATTTCTAATTTTTAATGGTTTGTCTAGGTTATGGAAATAGTTGCGCAGATCCATATGTATATTTAGTGTATTCAAATTTTCCCAGCTGTACTGTTTGCAAAATTTGTCGAGGCTATCAACGAATTGAATAGTAGGAGGATCAGCAGGTGTTCTACTTGATGCAGTCATCGTAAGGGTTTGTAGTTGTCCATAAATACTGGTTAATTGGTCGTTTATCTCTCCACCGATGAAGTTATCAAAACTTTTAAGATTATGACCATGTCTTGTTAGCAGATAAATGAATCTCTCGAGTAATTTAGGATCTAAATGCCAGGTGCAATGCACACTTTCAATTAGAGGGCATAGTTTACCAGGCCTCTCCTCTATTGACCTTATAAGACAATTAAACTTGTACATTGCCCTTTCACTTCCTTTGAAGAGATTGCCCAGTTCTGCCAGGTCTAGAGACTCGAAATCTGTTGATATGTTCCTATAGTTGCAGCATAATGTAGACCAATAATGTGTGCCAAGCGAGCCGTCGTAGTCACTCGGTATATAGGACGTGTTAGCCAAGTATATGTTCCTGTAAAGCGACCTTATACCATGAAAGTATGCATTCCTGGATACATAGGTCAATGCAACTTTGTCATCTTGCGATACATTCGATAGTATCTTCTGAACCACTTCCTGGGGTAATTTCTCAAAAGGCATCGATAGCCATAGACTGCCCGATTGTAATATTTGCTCTAATCTACAATTGAGTTAAGCTAATTGAGGTATTTATGTAAGGTGGGTGCTCTTATAGATCACAGATGAGCGATGAGTTCATTGAAATTCATTAATTTTTCAAAAGAAACGGGCCGACGGAATTAAGGCTGTTGAACCCTTAGTTAAGTTTTACAAATTAATAATAATTATGTAAATGTTAGTCCATCAGATAGTTAAGTATTGGGAGCAATAAAGATGCTGTCAAAATAAAAGGAGAAAACTTATTAAAAACTAATATTAAAGTTGAACTAAAATAAAAAAAATATAAAATATATACTACTGTAAACAAGTTTTGTCACCAATTGTGTCTATTCATAAATTAGAATTGGGACAGGTAAACGCTTCATGTACTCATTAGGTTTAAGGTAATCTGAAATGAAAAATGGCAAGATCAAATGGATATGAATTCGAAGAATTTTAGTTCGCTAATGCTCGGTTTTGTTTGCTCGTTTGAATATCGATGCATTATATGTACGAGAGACTCTTACAGTATTCAGATGTTCCCGTAATACTATCAGCCTTTAGCAACAAAAGGATTATTCTTCCGTTAGTCACACCGATTTTCCATAAAGATTTGTGTAGGAAAAGTTGGAACCCTTGTGAGAATTCATTAGGAGAGTATTCCGAGCCTTTTGGTCTAACATCAAGATTAGGAATTTGCTTTGAAGCAATTCTTGGTTCATCTATCAAAGATGCAACTCGAGGGTACCTAACCCCATCGATAGAAAGATCACCGAGAGTTAAAAGTGCAGGTAATACAAGGTCGGGATGTGGATTTGGCTTGTAGTTTGAATTATTAGATTCAACAGGTGACATCATATTCATGTCGTAAAAGGAAGGTGCCAATTTGCATTTATAATGGTTTAGATCAATACCACAATCGGGGCTATTCAGTAGCTCCTTGTAGAATAGGTTGAAGAAATTTTTTGCCGTCTGATCAATGAAGTCGATATGAACTCGCTTTGTATCCCTGTTGAATATTAAGATAGCTTCTCTAGAGTCAACTTGAAAGATAAACTCCCTAGAATATTTATCCAAGTAGGGTCTCTTGTAGCCAACAATATCCCAGCTACCAACCTGTTGTTCATAGAGTTTTTGTCTTTTGACCCTAGGATCCATACCTCCAGAATTTTGAGAAAAGTCAAGACCTGCTTGGTCAAATTGTGACTGCATTAATGAGGGTACATGTTCGTTATTTTGGTTCATAACAGTAGCAGGTTGAAACAAATATGAAAGGTCTCTTTTTGTTGTCTGTGATATAACAAGGCCCTTTCTGGAGACATCTTTGAGATGCAAGCATATTTCTTCTTTTCTTGTTAGGGGATTGTAATTGATGCTGCATTTGACTAAGCGTTGTTCCAAATTCAAGAATCTGTAGAACTTGCACTCTCTTATTAGAGAACTCCGTCTATCATCATCTAAATTGATGGAACCACCACCAAGAAGAATTAGAAGATCTTCAAAAAGGACGTTTGACCTAGCTACATATGGAGCTGAATGTGGAGGCGGTCTGAGAAGTTTTCTAGTCAGAATTAGTTCTTCAACATCAATGTACAGAGTTCCAGATGTGATTTCGAAATAGTTAGGTGAATCACCTTCTCTTTTGAACAAACTTTTGGCAAGCTTGTATGACTTACCACCGATATTGGTATAGTAATAGTCACAGTCCTTTAAAATGGCTTTTAGTCTAGGTAGGTTGTAGTACATGGCGTCTGCAAAGAGCATCGTGTATTGAACTTCGTCTTGGATTTCGATGAAGTAACCCTGTAGGTGCTGATATATGAGTTCGAATATGTCGGCTGATCTGTCAATAAATAGCACTTCATTGTCTGAGCCGTGGTAACTACCGCCAGATGGAGGACTGTTGGTGCTGTTTACAGAGGATGGGGAGAAGGCATTGTTATTGTTAGCTGCGGCGTTATTTGCGTTGTTACCTGCATTGTTATTATTAGAGGTTGCTCTGTTTGTCCTTTTCAGAAAGTAGTTGGTGAAAAAACTTGGTCCATCCGAATTCAAGGACGCACCACTAATCTTAAAGAGCTGCTTACCCACTTGTATTCTGTACATTTTTTCATGTGGTAATATCTCTGGGATATTGGGGTCAAACTGTTCAGGCGATAGAGCACTGCCAGATGTTACGCTCATGTTGTATTCTATGAATGAGTTTCTTTACAACGAGCACTAGTGCCTTAATAAATAGAACTATCCTTAAAAAATGGTAATGTCAACAAATATGATGAACAGAAAGATATGGAAAATTATTATCAGTTTGAAAACGACTGAAATACAATAACTAGAATGTGTAGACTTAGTAAATTCCCCGGAGTTTTATTCTCTTAACCTTCTATATGATATGCCTCGTAACCTAGTTTGATGGATTTTTTTTTTTCAGGTGGAATTAACAGCTGATGGCATACAAGTACAGTCTATGATGAGTCGAAGTAGTTTTAGTACGATTGTTTTTTGAGGGTATTATTCTAGAGAAAAGCTAGATAATAATTTAACAATATGCTTTAAGGCATTCTATGTATAAGAACGTAACCAGCATATGCCATTGTGAATTGTCTTTCCCATTATTAATTTTTTTCTATGTCATCTCTTCCTTCGCTGGTTTCTCTTTTTTTTCCCTGAGCTCGCCATAGTTAAAAAGGTGTTCAATGGGTATTAGAGACTAAACCCCGTGAGCAATTTGAGAACCATTGCCTGTGGCTGAATATAGCAAAGTTAGTAAAGCCATATATACCCTTGGGATGGAACTATAAGCTCACTAAGCTCTTAAAGCTAGCACCATTTTTTATGGTAACATAAGGTTTTTCGTTATGTTATTGGAATAGAAAAAATATGGGATGTAGTAGAATTGTTTTTGTTATTTTAAGAACATAGGGTATTTATTTGCGAAAGTATAAATGATATAGACAAGGGTAGTATTATTACTCCCTTCTCATTAAGAACTTGATTGAAACTATTCACATAACATTTTAATAGTCTTCGATAATACAAAGAAACAAAATATCAATTATCCATGATAAAACTTTATGTAAAAAAAAGATTTACTTAGATCAATCAATTCATTCTGAATGAATATCGAAGACTATTTAAAATTCAAAATAGAGTCGCTTGAGTAAAGGTTAACTTTATAGTGCACACCTTGTCCCCTTTGCAGCAATCCATTTTTTTAGAATGTCTTTTCTCAAAAATTTCCATGTCATCTATGTCTATCAGAAACCCTAGTAATGTAATGTTACAACTTTTCTCTTTATAAAAAAAACCCCCGGATAATAGAAAAATTTTCGAAAGTAGTGTGTGTAAGTGTTTCCTTTATTAAATTAAAAAAGCATAGAGTTCTTCGAAAGAGAAAATAGGTGACAGGAAAGAAAAGAAAATAAGCAACCAAAAGAAGAAGGGACACCAATAAAAGTTAGAAGCCTTAACAACTCTAAATTGGATTTAGAATAATCGTGGAAGTTCAATAAAGCAGATTGGAAAGATCAGTAAATCACTTTTTTCTACATTTCTTTTAGAAATTGTAATTCAGATCCACTTCGTGAGAAATGGATCTCAAAAGTGTTGAAAAAGAAAACAGTTTATCATTAATAACAGAATATTTTTTCTTTATATTAGAGTAATAAAAACCATAATGAATGCGACAGCCGTAAAATAAAAAATTTAGATATTAAGATCGTGATGAATAATAAAAACGATTCAAAATATAAATGGATCAAAACGAACTGTAAAAAAGAAGCGATATTCTTTTTACTTTTTTGTTGTTTTTTCTGTATACCATAGAATTATTGAATCAAAATGTGGGGTGTAAAAAATCAAAATACAGATTTTGATATTAAAGTTGGGAAAGGGTTAAAAAAGAATTTATCAAAAAGAAATTTTTTATTTTAAGTTGCTTACAACAACAAAGCGGCAGCACCGGCAATCAAAGCACCAGCAGCTGGTAGAGCCTTAGCGGCAGCACCAGTGTAAGAGGAGACAGCGTGGGTAGATGGAGCAGCCTTGGAAGAAGAAGTCAAAGTGGTGGTTTGAACGAACTTGGTGGTGGTGGTAGTGTCAGCCTTGGAAGATGGAGCTGGCTTAGCAGAAGATGGAGCTGGAGCTGGCTTAGCAGAAGATGGAGCTGGAGCTGGCTTAGCAGAAGATGGAGCTGGAGCTGGCTTAGCAGAAGATGGAGCTGGAGCTGGCTTAGCAGAAGATGGAGCTGGAGCTGGCTTGACAGTAGAGTTGGTAACTGGCTTTGGAGCTGGAGCTGGAGCTGGCTTAGCAGAAGATGGAGCTGGAGCTGGCTTAGCGGTGGTTGGAGCTGGAGCTGGCTTGGTGGTGTTGTGAACAGTGGTTTCAATTGGGCACCAGGTGGTGGTCAAAGTAACGACGTCGTTGACAGTAACGGTGGCAGTAGAAACCCAAGCTGGGGAGACCTTTTCGGAACAGATGTGTTCTTCACAGTCAGTGATGGTAACCAAAGTGGTGGTGTGTTGAGTAGCAGTAGCGGTGGTAACGTTAGCTTGAGCGGAAGCGACAGCGGCGACAGCAGCAACGGAAGCGACAGTAGAGAATTGCATTTCTGATTAGTATTAAGCGAATGTAAGGGTTATTTGTTTCTAGTTATAAAACTCGATGGTTCTTTTTTTCTTCTGTATAGGAAGGTAAGGATCAAATACTCTTGTTTTCTAAAATCCGAGATCTTTATATAGTTTTTTTTTTCCTTTTCTCTGGATAGAAATTTTTTTTTTGTCCTTTCCCTCCCGGGTATCTGAGTTTGTTTTGTTTTGTTTTGTTTTGCTTTGCTCATTGCTCATTGCTCAGTGCTTTTAGACTTTGTACTTTTGGTCTTTGGGCTTTTGGGCTTTTTGGGCTTTTTGGGCATTTCCCGCTGCGTGCTTCCTGCGCTTGTATCTTGCCATTTGGTTTGTATTGGTGTTGTGGTTTGTCCCTGGTTTTCCCAATTCCCAATTCCCAGTTGTTTATGTTTTTCTCGATTCTTCCTTTTTCATTTCCCATGGGTCAGATTAGATCTATACAGCGTCTTCTGTGTACTTTCTTTTTTTTCCCACCAGAATTTACTCTTTCTTCTATCCACTTTCCTTTCTTTTTTCTTGCTTTTGTCGGCTTTTGTGCGTCTATCCTCTGTGGGGGGATGGGAGTTATCGAGTTTCACTGCCTCTCCCCTTCTTGTCCCGCTCTTTCTCTTAGATTTCGAGTGTCTTTTTCCCAGTCGCACTGGCTTTTCAACACAGACAAGTGGAAGTAGCAGTATTGCATCTATTGCCGCGGGTTTTGTCTGTGTGTAGTTTTTTTGAACCTGTGCTATCTTCTTCCTCTGGAAGTACCGTTTCCCTGGCTTACCCTTTTGAAACTTGGGAATACACCCCGGCGAGGAGACAGAGGGCGTGTTTGTCTTGGTGCTGCGCTTCTTCTCTTCGAGTTCTTCAAGTTCTTCAACTTTCTTCTATTGTTAGCAAGCAACTTCCTTATCCAAAAAAAGAAGTCCTTTTCGCTCTTATCTTGTGCAGCTGTTTCTTCCCTGTGTATACACTGTGGCTGCAAAAACAAAATTCCTTCTTGTTTACCTTTCCCACTTTCTTTGTCCCGATTTGGCCTTTCCTCGGTTCGCTCTCCTGCTGCAACTCGCGTCGCTAACCCTTCGCCTATCTTTTCTTTTCCGTTGGGCACTATGGAAGTCAAAAACAAAAAGCGATACATACCAGTTCTACAATTCCTTTTTCTTCTCAGAAATGAAGGTAGCTGTATTTCTTAACCATGGCGAGGACTAGTTATTCCGTTTTTTCCTCTTTGGGACATTTGGGGGGGTGGAACGCACACTCTGATAACCCTCCACTCTTACATTTCTTACTGAACTACCAAATTTAGTATTGTTTTGGTAGTGTTAGTGAAAGAAAAGGGGAAGTGTGAGTGAAGAGATGCGGGAATGTTTCACTCTCTTTTCTTTCCTCTTCTATCCAACAATGAAGCTTGCCCTTCTTTTTTTGGTACCTTTCAGACCATTTTTCGATTGCTTTTGCGTCTGACTAGAGATTCTGAAGCAACCACGGATCTACGCAGGAAGAAATCCCACCCATATACTTTTTTGCCCAGAACGGGACGGAAGAGAGATCCACTAGCCCCTCCTATCCCCCCTCCCCTTCAGTTGAGCAGAATAACCTACGTACAACCTGAAAGCTGTTATTGTATGGAATCGAAATTCCACTTTTAGTTGCAAGATTTGTGATGCCTCATTGCACATCTCCCATACCTACATATTCTGAGTACTTCTCTGATCATGGAAGCAGAAGCTTACACAGCATATTCTAAGTAATCTACTTTCTTAGTATCATTCGTCATTTTTCGAGTTCTCTGTTATCAGTATCAACTCGCATATCCTCTAAGCCCTAGGCCCCCCCCTCCCCCCTCGATCCTTCCTTTGTTAAGGATTACCAAATGTTGAGTTTAATGTTACTCAGTGGAACACGCTCCTCGTTCTCAGATGTCTTTTGCCCCCCTACTATCCCAAATAGGAAATGGGTCGATACGTGGGAGACTACACGGTATCGTGCTCCTCTTGCGACGACTCTTGGCTCGCTGCCCCCCCCCAATGGTGGGGGCACCCGCAATTGCGTTTATAGGAGTCACGCTGGATATATCGATGTCCCACTGTACTCCCAATTAGGAAATGTCTTGTTTACCATTTTGTGAAGTCATGCCTCCTCGTGACATTCCTCTATGGCAGATGCCCTATTCTGTTCCATAGTCGTGTTTGATAGTGGTCGGGTGGGAGGTCAAGCGTCAAGCGTCAAGCGTCAAGCGTCGGGATAGAGTGACGATACCCAAGACTCACGTGGTAACCTCCGTAAACATAGGGGTCCTCTGTATATTTCCTAATCGAGTAAGACCAGCATGAAACTGGGAGTTGAATCCAGGACCAGCGGGGTGCAACAAACGCAACAAGAGTCATGATATACGTATTTTAAGTTTCTGCCCTTATGTCTTAATTAGGAATTGTGGCAACAGTAGATGCGGTGCAGAGAGAGAGTCACAACCCGCACAATCAGTGCCAACGTCTGTCTTACCCTTCGTAGCCTTTCAGGAGTCACCGGACATTTAGTGCCCACGTACGTACTATTGATCTTTTAATGTTTAGGTTTCTGTAGTGAGTGTTATATCGTTGCATTAGCCACGCAAAGGTACTAGTAAACAAATAAACATGTGGTGGTTTGTGATTGATAATTTTCATAAACAAAAACTTAATTAATATTAAGTGCCATTATTTACTGTTAATTCAGCGAACAATGGAATCTACTTTAAAGCAAACATAAACTATCTCCCGTCTCATACGGCTATTTGCTTTCCATGAGTGGTGCCTGTTCCTTGCTTTCCTTTCCACCATTGAACAGAAGTACCAAAGTGCTATCCCCAAGATAAACAATGGGAAGCATTGTTGTTAGCAATCTTTTGCCCTAAATAGGTAAATATTGGCATATATATTTGGTTTATTTTTTTAAAACTAATTAGTACATTTTTCTGCGTTGTTTCTATATATCATTTGCGGTATTATACACATTTCTTTAATGCTGCAAACCAGCTTCTTTACTCAATGAGTAGAAGATGGAGTTTGTGTTCTTCAGTAGAGCCTCTGGAGTGTCGAACTCTACAACTTTACCTTTGTCCAACACAATAATACGGTCATTGTCCATAATGGTGTTGATTCTGTGGGCAATAGTCAAGATTGTTCTGTCTTTGAAACTGGTACGTATAGTCTCTTGTATAACCTTGTCTGTCTCAACATCAACTGCAGCAGTGGCTTCATCAAGAACAAGAACCTTAGATGGAACTAACAGCGCTCTGGCTAGACACATTAGCTGTCTTTGACCAACACTCAGGTTACTACCACCCTCAGTCATCATAGTCATTAGACCATCACCACCCATCTGCATTATATGCTCCTTCAAGTGTGATAGCTCTAGCGCTCTCCATATATCGGCATCGGTGAACTGATTGGTTGGGTCAATGTTCTCACGGATTGTTCCTTCAAACACTTGCGAGTCCTGTGGGATAATAGACAGATGATGTCTCAAATCGTGTAAACCAATCTCGTTGATGTGGACACCATCAATTAGAATACCACCAGAAGTCGCTTCAATAATTCTAAATAGTGCCAAGGTCAATGACGATTTACCTGCACCAGTACGGCCAACGATACCGATCTTCTCCCTTGGCTTAATCTCCAAGTTGATATCCTTTAGAACATAGTCAAGATCCTCTCTGTAACGTGTGTAATAGTGCTCGAACTTAATTTCACCAGCGACTGGCCACTCCTTTGGAGGTCTATTGCTTTCGATAACAAGTGGTGCCTCACTCTTTAACTCACTGTATTCCTTGATTCTTTCTACAGAGACAATATTAGTTTCAACTTCAACAGTCATTCTAACAATCCAGTTCAATGTCTGTGTTATTTGTAGAGCATAACTTAGAGACAAACCGATCATACCAGCAGTCATTGTACCTGCTCTCAACTTGAAGATAGAAAGCGTGGCAGCACCCAAGATAATAACCGAACCGATAAATTCCAACCTGTAAGCTAACCAACGATTGGCATTGATAGATGGATAGAATGCACTCATGTTATTGTCAACACGACATTCATTAATATGTTCAAACCTCTTCTGTTGGCCATAGCCTCTAATGGTAGCAAGGCCACCAAGAGTTTCTTGGAAATGAGAAAAGATTGGAGATCTTGTCACAGATTCCAGACGACGTAGCTCTCTAGAGGTTCTTAGGTAGTATTGTTGATAGTAAATGTAGAATATACCAAGTGGCACGATAACAAAAACAAATTGCCATGTAGTGTAAGCAATAACACCGATAGTGAATAAAACCTTAACAGTGTTGACAAAGAATTGAGAGAAAGTTCTACCCAAAATTGAATCAACCTTGTAAATATCGTTGGAGAATCTGTTCAAGATACGACCAATTGGTGTAGTTTCAAAGAAAGACATTGGGGCTCTAAAAACAGCATTTGTCATTAGATTATGTAGATAGGTGGAGCCATGGATGGTACAGAAAATCCAGAGAATGACTGTTTGAATCAAAGTTGAGAATGCGGACCCTACACCTAAAGCAAAGTAGATTGCCAAGTAACGAATAGCATGTGGGTTATCTCCGTGGGCAGTATTAACTTCAGACCAGTGCTTCAACCAAATATTACCTGCAACAGACAAGAACATTGAAAGAATAATGAAAACAATGAAAACACATACGTATTTTGGATTACAGGCCTTAGCATATTCCAAATAAATGTTCCACTTGACTTTACCTTGTTCACGATGTTCCCTGGTATTCACGTTCTCCTCATCATCAAAATCAATACTGGTCAAAGTTGCATCACTAGCCTTTCTTAAACTACCGGCATCATTTTCGTTGTACACACACTTATCCAACTTCTTTAGCTCTTCAAGCTCATCTTCCAATGGAACAGTAGGTTCCTTATCACTGATTGAGACAGCAGAAGAACTAGATGTAATAGTGTCATCATTCTTGGATTCCTTGCGGCCAAATTCCTTCAAAAGTTTACCCAGTGCAGACTCCTCATCCTTTCTGCAATCAGCGTATGTGCCTTGTTGAGTGATTTCACCGTTTTCAAGTAACGTGATAGAATCAGCAGCAGATAACACTGATATTTTATTGGTGGCTAAAATTCTAGTTTTAGAGTGAAGCAAACCGTTTGGACCCAAGACGTGTTCAACCAAATGTCTGGAGACATGTTCATCAACAGCAGCCAGTGGATCATCCAACAAATATGTATCTGCTCTCGCATATACTGCTCTTGCTAAAGATAAACGAGCCTTTTGACCACCAGATAAAGAAATACCCTTTTCACCGACAAGAGTTTGATCACCATCAACTAATGTAGCCAAGTCTATTGTTAGTGCACACGCCTTAATTGTCTTTTCGTAAAACTCAGGGTCATACTTATGTCCAAACAAGACATTATCCCTCACAGTACCATTCATAATCCATGCCACTTGAGATACATATGCAACAGAACCATGAATTGTAGCAAATCCTTTAACTCTAAACAAATCACCAAGTAAAGATTGCAAAAATGCACTCTTACCACTTCCAACTTTACCAACAATACAAGAAAGTTCACCCTTCTTTGCTTGGTAGTTGATGTTCTTCAGAGCGACCTTATACTCAGGCTTACGTTTCCACAAGAAAGTAGCGTTGTCACCCACATTAACTGCAACATCACCAATCTCCTTAACCTTTGGCAAACGCTGAACTGCATCCTTTTGAAGTTCTTCGTTGGTCAAAAAGTTAAACAATCTGGATACAGAAACAGATGATTCAATGATGGCTGTAATCACATTTGGAATGACCATTAATGGGAATGATAACAAGTTGAACAGAGTCAAAGCAGGGAAAACTAAATCAGTTGTTAGAGCCTTGTCCTCAGTGTATACAAAAACAGCGAATGTAGAACATGAGACCAAAAATGGAACGATATTGAATTGGAAACTAGTACAAGCCATGTACACACCTAATTTTTTCAGATTTTTCAATTCCTTCTCGTTTCTAACATACTCCAGTTTTTCTTTATATGGTTGTTCCCAGGCATACAATTTCAATGACTTCATGTTGTTAAGGATTTCACTAATTACTCTAGTTCTTTCATCCTTGAACTTCATCTGAGATTTTTGAAGATTTTTCTGAATTTTCATTAGGAATGAGTTCACTGGAATCATAATAGTCAAAATCAGAACACCAACCCACATAGAATGACCTAAAAGCTTATATAAAGAAATCAAACACAATACAATTTGTAATGGACCAGACCAGATTAAGTGAATCCACTGTGTTAAATCTTGTAGTTTCTGAACATCCACACTCATTAAATTCACAATATCACCAGTAGAAGAGGTATTTGATGCTTCATTTGATAATACTAATGCCTTTTGATAGATAATAGAGGTTAAAGCACTCTTCACATTCATACCGGTATTAAAAGTGTTCAAGAAATATTGATGAAGAACTGAAGTTTGTGTGAAACCGACCAAAAACATCGAGACAGCAATGTAGAAACCCTTTACAATTGGAAGTTGCCTCTGCATATCCATCATAACATTCTCTTCTTCCCTTTCCTTGTTATACATCGTCACAAATCTGATCAAAATCTTCAATAGTTGTGGTTGTGTGAAGGCTAGAACATCATGAATAATCTTCAGGAAACCAGCTAATAACATCCTACCACCAAAGGTTCTTATCATAGCCCAAACCAGGGATGGATTGGCTTTATGTTTCAATTGGTTTTCCCATTGTGCATTCAGTTTTCCTGAAAGTTCTGTACTGTTAAAGCTCTCTGGCAACTTGTATAGGTCAGTTTCAGTTAGGTACTTTTCATAACCGGTCTTCATCAACCCACTCATCCATGTAAATGATATTCTTGAGAAAATGTTAGCTGTATCGTAAGGATTTTCCTTTCTTCTACTTACATGACCTTGAATATCATGTAGTGACTTCATTGGCTTACTTGGGAGGGCTTCCAGTAACAGAATTGCTAGCGCATTAATGGCCTGGAACATTGTTAGAATAAAGACCTTGTGGCCTAGTTCCCAACCTCCTTCATAGTTATGTCTCACAATAAAATTTAAAGTCTTCATCAAATTACCTGCAAAGGTGAACAACCAGTAGAAAAGAACAACACTGTTGGCCACTCTACATCTGTGATACTCAATCCAGTGCAGCGATACTGCTACGAATAGAGATAACAATGTCAAGGTGTATTGGGTAATAATTGTGTAATCAACAGTCTTTTGTTTGGGTATAGAGAGACTAGCCACTGCCAAAAATACAATTTGGAGTAAAACCAGGGCGATTCTTGAGATGATCAACCAATTTCTTCTGTACTTAATTCCTGGATGTTTCATAACACATAGTCTCCACAGATCTCTGGTACCAAATATGAGCATAAAGAGTGCAACTACATTAAGTAACACTCCATCTATGAAGCAAAGTGTAAAATCACCATAGAAAGAAATGGGACCAAAACCTTCCGGCGATTTGCACATTGTACAAGCCCAATCCAGCAGCGTACCATTATTCGTATGATTGTGGCCGCCATAGGTTGAATTAGAAGATAGCAGGTTATAACCCTGCATGGAAAAATGCTCCATTGTTAAAACCCAATAGGAATATATTAAGCTCTATGCTGTTTTTAAGCTTCTCCTTGCTGGAACAAAGATCCAACCGCACGCAATTGTTATTGTAATGTACCGCACTAATCCTTTCCGGCCTGTAATATTATTCTTCAGGGCCAATAAAGGGAACGCAATGAAAAGTGAAGAATCCAGCAATTGATAATTTGAATCAAATTAAGGTATATTGCAAATTACACTAAAATCTTGATATATGGAGTAGCCTATTACTTCTTTTTTTATTTTTTTGCAATCTATGAGTATATTATCTAACCACTTTATTTTCTACTCCTCCTATATATGGATTTCTACGGTCGAAGTATTTAATTAAAAAGAAGACTTCCAATCAGAGTTCTAATTGCTTAAATGCTCAAGTGAAATAGTTAATCCATCACTTTTGGGAATGGTAATTAGTAATGATAAATTGTGGGAAGTGATTACGAAGCTCATCGCCACTTTCTGATTGTCTCTTAACTTCGCCACACGAAAGAGACCTCATAGTTAAAGGTAACTACTACGCACCCATTCGATAAAGAGTGGAATTTCAATGGCAACTTGGAAAAGCTATTGAAGAGAAAAAGAAAAAAAATACATACAGTGGGATATTTCTCACTCTTCGGTCTCTGAACGGTTCAAGAGGTTATGCTGAAGAAAGGTTGGATTGAACTGTGGGAAGCACCTCTCACGCTGCTTAGTCAGCTGCTTTCTGCTTCAAAGTCAATTGCCACTAATGATTGGACTCTACACCTTTACAAGATAAACATTATATGCCAAATACTTACATGGACATCCCGACCAATTCCTGAAAATAATATGTGGTTTACCAAACAAGCACATATAAGTTCCTCGGCTGTCCTAGTTATCATATTAGTCCTCTTATAGAGATTTAACTTTGTAGACGGTCAACATCCCACTACCCACTACTGGTTCTTGAAAGCGCAATTGTACGATCTCACTCAATACGTTGTACATTCCGTGATTAAATACGCTCGTAATAGCTGATCTGTATGTTCCGAAAAACCATCAAATAACAATGGTCTCTTGGCCCAGTTGGTTAAGGCACCGTGCTAATAACGCGGGGATCAGCGGTTCGATCCCGCTAGAGACCATTTACTTTTTTTTTTGGGGACTCCGAGCCCTATTTTTTTGTCGTCCTTTGCCATCACTAAAGAAGAGCCCAGCGTTCAGTCGTTATTGATGCTTTTGGAACATCCTCTAGGGGTGTTTCTCTGGTAACTCTCGTATGTGAGATGAGCTGGGCTTCAAATTACAATTGAATGGGGTTGGCTTGTGCGTATAAGCAGAGGCTATGCTATGGCATTGCTGAAATAAATCATCACTGCTAAAATTGCAAAAGATAACTGTCATAACTCTGTTTTCAGTAGAGTATCTTTGGTGATCATTGAGGAGATAAAATAACAGCGAAAGTTATAGATTTTAAAATGGATAGTCAAGACACAACCAAGAGTAATTCTGAAATATCAAAGGAACAATACCAGGAGACTAAACTGCTTCGGGATACTCTGGATCTGCTTTGGAACAAGACGTTGGAGCAGCGGAAACTATGTAACCAGTTGGAACAAGAAAATGAGAACTTGAAGGATTACATAAATAATCTCATGACCTCAAGCAATGTCCTAGACAAGTGAAAAACTCCTACAAAGTTATGTGAATTTCTTACTATTATAACGAATACGAACCAAAGCTCCAAGATTGGTATGTGCTTATATCATTCAGGCATAATAAAACCAGGCTGACAAATAATAATTTGCAGTACTTCACACAGTAATTCATGATTATCAAGCATTACTAGTGGTTAATATACCAGGCTTGTGAAAAAAAAAGGGTTTACTCATGCTCGAACAACGCAATGCAGTGTCCAGATGTTTCTTACTGTGTTAGAATAGCTGATGAGCATGCCCTTAGAGTTACATATGACTATACTTTTATACTTGATGGCTATCGGCCCTTTGTTCGGATAAACCAAAGGGCGAAGTGATAAAGGTTAAGCCATACTTCAGGAAAAAAAATGCAAGTATGAAGGTCTGACTCTAGTAGTTTGGTAGTGTAGGCTATATAAATCTAAGCTATATAACGAATAATCAAAACAATAACACAACGAACTGATAAAACCAAAAGAGGACTATACTTCTATTTGATACTAATTAGCAACAACTTGACCTTAACTGAATTCAAAACATTTGTGAATTCATCGGTTTAATAAACAGTGTTTACAAAATGGGGGCCATTATTTCTCTTCCAATATCGGCTGCGAGCACCTTCACATTCTCAATGCTCAGTGGATGCTGCTTCAATTTGTTATCCAATATTGCTTCAAAAGTAGGCTCTTCTTCGCTAGGGGTGAGATTGCTCTATGCCATTTGGTTGTTAATGAACTCACTTCTGTCGTGGATTACACTCTCGGCAAACAAGTCGCTGCTATTCCCTGGCAAATCATGTACGAGCACAGGAGAATGTGGGTTTTTTACCGTGCACAGATTGAACTTTGCTCTCGGTATGCTACATTTGATCTTAGCCGGAGCCCTGATAAAAGTGAAAAGCACTAAAGATGCAAGAGCTACTATTCAAAATTCTTGGTGGTCATTGAAATTCCTGACTTACATCCTATTGATAGTGGCCTCATTCCTTATTCCAAATGAGTTTTACATATTCTTTTCTAAATGGGTATCTGTACCTAGTGGTGTAATATTCATTCTGGTTGGATTAATATTGCTGGTCGATTTTGCACATGAATGGGCTGAGACGTGTATCTTCCATGTAGAACAAGAAGATGAAAATTCAAATTTTTGGAAGAACTTTTTGGTGGCAGGAACGGCTTCCATGTATACAGGAGCTATCGCTATGACTATCGCTATGTATATCGTGTTTTGCAGAGATAACTGCAATATGAACAAAGTGGCGGTCAATATGAATTTAGTGCTGATTCTAATAACTTTAATAATTGCTATCCACCCAAGGGTACAACAATCTAACCCCAAGAGTGGGTTGGCACAGAGCAGTATGGTCGCATTCTACTGCACTTACCTAACAATGAGCGCAATGGCATCGGAACCTGATGATAAAATGTGTAATCCTTTGGTAAGGAGTAATGGTACTAGGAAAGCCAGTGTTATTTTAGGATCCTTGTTCACATTTGTTGCTATTGCTTATACTACTACAAGAGCTGCAGCAAATAGCGCGTTTCAAGGGTCAGCTGCTGAAGGACCCATCTACTTACCTGATGATATCGAATATGAAGGTTTAGGGGGACAATCTAGGAATCAATTAAGATATGAAGCTATTAAACAAGCGGTTGAAGAGGGATCACTTCCGGAAAGTGCTCTATATGATCATAGCTGGATGGGTGCCTCACCATCCCTAAATAATAGAAATGAAACAGAGTTAGATATTAATGATGATGAAGTTAATGGAACACAGTATAACTACTCACTTTTTCATGTAATATTCTTTTTGGCAACACAATGGATAGCAATTTTATTAACAATAAATGTTACACATGATGATGTTGGTAACTTCGTACCTGTCGGTAGAACATATTTTTATTCATGGGTCAAAATTGTTAGTGCATGGATATGTTACGGACTTTACAGCTGGACAGTGCTTGCTCCTGTCTTTATGCCTTACCGCTTTGATTACGAGGATTATTATTAGTTTTTTGAATAAATTTATGCAAGAAAAGTAATAAAACTACAATCTTTGGGTATACATAACTGACTATACTCTTTTGCTATTGCCTGACAAATTTCCAGCAGAACCTGGACCCCACTGAATTGGAGAATTACTCACATAAATACATTCATTGTTAATCCTACAATCATCATCCTAGATATTCTCTGACGAGTGGTTGCCGACATTAGTATACAAATGGTCATATTTGAAGGGTGATTCTATTTCTAACGTTGTAACTGAATCTGCTTCTAGACTATTTATATCATAAGAAGTTTCATATGATGTGTAATCGTCATCATAATCCAAGCTAAAAGTATGGCATAGCGCCTCTAATAAGTAATCCCAACTTTCAATTTCTACCAATTCACTTACGACGTCGGAATAGTCGTTATTAGAATATCCAACTTTAATCCGTATCTCATTTGGACGAAGCCGCCCTTTAGAAATTAGAGGACTAAAGTTTTTGAATAATATAGACGTTGTTTCCACCATTGCTGAATTTGACACAGCTACAATGGCCAAATTTTCTAATATTGAAGTGCCATAGACATGCGTCCTGATTGATGAAATCTCTAACCGGAATGGATTTTTTGGCTCTTCACCAGAAAGGAGTTGGTTATCAAGATTTAACCTGTCTATTGAATCCATTAATAACACCTCCCCAGTTGCGGATAAAATCACTAAGAAATACTCTGGATATTTCAATTTGAGAGCCATTAAAGTGTTTTTGATAACTTGCTTGATTTGATCTTTTTGATCTGTGATCTTTTGTTCATCAATCTGGATCAACAACAGTATATCTGATGGCTTTTCCTTTTTGATAGAAAGAACTGATGAAGTTATGGTATTATATGTACCCATTATGTCAGTTTCCATGCTGTTTCGTAAATAAAAACTTCTCCTAAGGATTATACTATTGTGCACCGAATTTATTGATCCCATCTCTATCAATCGATTGGAGTTGAATAGTCCCAAAATCGTACTTTCATTTTCGAAAATTTGCATCACAGGAAGCTCGAGACAATTTGAAGTGAAATATTTAGCATCAAACATTTGCTTTTTGTCATGAAAACCTCTCAACCAGTTTAGAAGTACCCCATTTTTTTCTGTTTCAATTTCGAACATTCTAAGTGTGGTATTTGATAGAGAAATTCTCAGCTTATTTCCAGTATAATCAGCTTTTCTAATCTGGCAGTTAATATAGTCTATCTTTTGATATTTCAAGTCAGCTCTGGAATTTTCTGTATGATACAGATGTATTGATTCTGCATGAATTTCTGAAAACTCATTGCATTTAATGGACTCTCTTTGGACTTGAACAATGGCCAATATGTTTTCAAACAAAAGACAAACAGCCAATTTTTTTTTGATGAATGGATAATAAGAAATTTCAAATTTATCGACCAAACGCAGTAATCCAAAATTGTGATCTAATTCCCATGGTGTGATGGTTGTGTATTCTTTACTTTGATTAATAAACCAATCGCTGAAAAAAGTTCTCAATAAATGAATAGGATACTCTTCTTTATTTTGAGAAGTGGAACTAGTATATTTCTGGTTGGAATGTTTATCAATTGATTTATGACTTGTTTCATGCACAGGACTATTCATTTTATTATTAACCAAATACTGTGATATGAGCGTATCTTTCAAGCAGTTTTCTTTTGGTATACATTCTTTCGCCCGGTTGTTGAACTTTTTACAATATTTACAGATAGGTAATGCTGTACTATTTACAAATAGCATCAAACAGTCCATATGACACATATGCCCACATTCCAACTCTATGACTTTCTCACCTCCTGACTTATATGCAATTGGTTCGTCACACAGTGTGCAAATGTGATTTATAAAAGAACGTTTATCGCTTCTAATAAACTTATATTCAACCTTTGCCTCAGGTGAAATCTCATGAGAAGAGACTTGCTTCTTTCGTAAATGGAATCTATGGAACATCAAAGGTTTTGACCACCAGTAAGGATATGGCGCTGATCAGTGTATTTCATCTACAAACATCAATAGACACAATTTACCAGTCTCAACAATTGGCCATTAAAGGAATCCAGCTTAATTGATTGATTTTTATACAAATCTACATTAGGACAGCCCCTTTTGTATGAACTAATACTTAGAAGTCTAAATTCGTATTGCGTTGGTTTGACCTCAAAATCAATCAAGAGCATTTAGGTTAAACTTGAAACAAGACATGCATAACTGCCATTCTAGTACCCCAATTCACTTGTCTATTCGCTTAGAGAAGATATAAATAGCCAGGACTGTAAGTAAGACAATGAACAATGTAATAGGCTGGGCTTCTATCTGATCACGTATGGAACTGATATGAATGTTTCACTATCAATTTAATAAGGGTATATAGACATACTAACAGCCAGGCTAAATATAGCCTGCTATTCAAAAAGGAAAAGAAAACATATTCAGGCGTTATATATAATAGACAGGCAGAATGCAATACTATATTATGCAGCTTATCTCAATATGGATTGATGTGGGATAAGTGGTATGATGATGCCCTATATTTAAATGAATATATCACTTTAGAATAGTGTATCATGTGGTTGAGTAAGATCAGTTCCTATTTTCTTGTAACTGCGGGTAACTTTTGAAAAAGTTTTCAAAAAATTTTAGGCGATGAGCTGAACTGGCGATGAGATGAGATGAGATGGGTATACTGTAGTTTCTGTAGCGTAACAGTTATACATTGAGGACTTCAATCTATGGGAGGTATAGCACTTTATTTTGTACTTATATAATTTCTAGATTTAATAGTAGCTTCACTGTATCAAGCCCATTAAAGACCAAGACATCTATCTTTACTTTGCAAAATGGATTTAGCTGTTTCAAATGAAGATTCTCAAATCTTATTAAAAGATAAGAATGTTCTACAAGAGACTGTTTTGGATAAATACAGAACAAGTGGACAGATCACACAAACTGCTTTGAAATTCGTCACTGACCTAATCAATGATGTTTACCACTACAAAAAAGTTCAAACTCCATTGAGTATCTCTGAACTGTGTTTGATGGCCGATTCTTTTATCGTGAACAGACTAGAACAATACTACAAACATAAGGTCAATGAAAGAGGTATTGCCTTACCAACTATGATCGATGTTGATGCAGTTGCTAGTGGTTGGTGCCCAGAAGTCGATGATACCGAAAACATCAAGAAATGGAACAACAACAGTGATGAGACGTCTCCTTTTGCCTCATCAATTACCGGTTACTTGAGACACGGTGACGTTGTGAAGATCTCCTTGGGTTGCCACATCGATGGTTACACATCTCAGGTCACCCATACTATGGTTATTTACCCAACTGACGAAACTAATACCAAACCAACCGGACCATTGCTGGGATCTAAGGCCGATGCTGTTGCTGCAAGCCATATTGCCTCTGAATCTGTTACTGCTCTATTAGCTTGTAGTTTAACTCCCGAAAAGCTACCACAGTCCTTGAGAAATGCCAACACTAACTCTGTCACTGGCCACCAGATCAGAAGTGTTGTTGACACCATAGCAAAAGCCTATAACTGTGCTGTGGTCCCAGGATCAAGGGTTAGAAGGATAAGGAGATTTTTAGCTGGCCAAAATGAAGGTATTGTTGCCGAGAAGGATTACAAGGGTGTTGTCTGGACTGAAGCTCATCAAGAAGCTAACTTACTAGCAAACACTGAAGTTCAAGATATTGTTGTGGCTAATAACCAAAATAAATTAGTGGCCTCATCTGCTATTCCATCAGATGATTTCTCAGTTGATGTTGGTGAAGTTTACTTAATTGATTTGAAGTTCTGCCCCCTCACTGACTGTCAAAAGAAAGGTTTAATAACTTTAGAGACTGTCGATTCTTACACAGGTAAATCTCATAAGAAAAACCAACTAATTGCAAGGTCTGGCGCCTATGTTAGAGACTATGCTCAAAGTTACACTCTAAAGTTAAAGACTGCCAGACAATTACTTACAAAAATTGACAAAAACGGTGTATACCCACTAAAATTGAGTCACTTGTCAACTGATTTTCCTCTAACTGAATTTACCGCAGAAGAATCAGATGCAGTTAAAAAGGATCTAAGATCTTTTAGATTGGGTATGAACGAAATCACAAACAACTTCCTATGTGTTGAAACACCAATTCAAGTGGCAAAGTGGGTGCCATGGGATCACATTTTAAACAGTACAAACAAGAATGGTGCTTTAAGTTATGATGCCTCCGCAGCATTGACACTACCAGGCCATGAGATACCGTTACCCAAGCTTGGTATTTCTGGTATAAAACTAAAATCCTTAATGAATTCAACCAATGAAGTCATGACACTACCTGTTGCACGTGAATGTAGCACAGTTATATTGTGTGGTAGCGATGTTAGTGTCAGCGGTAAACCAGAGCTGTTCAGACTAACTGGTGGTTCCAAAACAGCTCAACCAAGTTGGGTACACTCTGCCCGTGAATTAAACCCTGCTGACCCAGTCGTTCAAGGTATATTCAACCTAGCAGAACTATCAAAGGACAAGAGATTTGGTTTGACTATGAGAGAAACTCAACCAATGAAGAAGAATATCAACCTAGCTTCAGACACTACTATGGAAATGTAAAATCATCGCATTTGCATCAGAACCTGAAGCCAACTATCAAATATTTCTTACTATCCTTATATTCAGTCTAACTTCTTCTCAAACCAAGTGAAAGCTTTTAAATTCAAAAATTTAGCATCTATATATTAAGAATCATAAAGTAGATATTGTATAATAGTGAATCGGACATCGTTATTCAAAATTGATCATGAATTATATAGAGGAAATGCATCATTGACTATTGTCATTATATAATTACAAATATCGAGGTGAACGGTAACAATGCCAATTGATACATTATGAGAGAGTCCGTACCTTAGATAATGTCTTCCTCATCATCAATATCGTCATTGAGTGCAATAGATGCATTTTGACCCTTGAAGTTTTCTGGTTCATCAATTATGGAAGAGGCATGCAGGAATAGATAAACAAGCCCAGTTAGCATTAGGAGTACTGCATTCAGTTTATTAAATAGAGAACCGTACATTGTCATTGCACTAAGCAGCAGATATATTATAGCTCTCCCCAGGAAGCTGAAATATGTCGAAGCATACTTATACAGCTTTGGAGGTACACGGAACTCTAACCAAATAATAGGGATTGTTAACGCTAAGGCATACAGTCCTAATAGGAATAACCCAAATTGTTGGAAAACGTAAGACAGTTGACCAATTGCTGCCAATGAAGTAGTAGCTCCAAAGAATAAGTTAGAATACTTTATAAGTTTTTGCGGTAAATCCATAATGAGTAAGTGATATATTTGTCACTAATGCCTTTATACTAATCAATTTAACCAGTGTATTAAGTGAGACCAGCTCTCGCGTATACAATAGTGCTCAAAAAATGGAAGCTTTCACCAATTAATACTAACTTTAGCCTTGAGTTTGTTTTCAAACAATTCAATTGCGACCACTAGCACTATTTTGAACTGCCTGTGAATCTTTTCTCCTAGTAGCATTTCATGACTTCGAGGTCCCTTTTTCTTCTACGGAGGGGCTTTTATCGTACGGTAGCTTCGACCCTTTGAAGCATATAACGGTCTTTCAAGTCGATACCGATGATAAGCACACTATTTAGTATGGATTATCTCGGTAAAGGACTAGAAATACTTCATCGAATAAGATAGTTCTTGCATGGCAAAGTTTCTGTAGATCAATATATAGTTTGCTCTGATTGAAGCTTGCTTTCAAGGAAATACGTACAAATAGTAACTATAATAGGTAGAGAAACCATGCCCAATTAGTCCTTGATGTAGCCTCTTGAGGGGGGCCATAATGGGACCTCTCTTGATAATAATAACATAACTCTTTACTTTACGATGTAACTGATCTCTAAAAGGAGTTACTTACAAGTGTAGATCGTCACTTGATAGAAGTGAACAGAAAGCAGTATATCTACAGATTCCAACACAAATAATAGTAATGGCAGATACAAAACTGATGAGGAAGTCGAGTATAAAAGAAAGTTATAGTATTGTTATTTTTTTTATATCATTTATTTGCTACTTTCATATTATTTGCCTTTGAGCCTAGCTCAAAGAAGCGGGGGGGAATGGATGAGTTTTGTATATTTAAAGAGTTAATTTGTTTTTTTTTATTGTTTAAAATTGTAATTATAGAATTGAAGATAAAGTTTACACTTAGGAGGGGGTTTTGTGAAACAAATTTCACTTAGATTCTTCATTCTTTTGGTCATCGGCCTCAGACATGTCAGAAGTCCACAAGGTCAAGTTATCTCTTAGTAATTGCATGATCAAAGTACTGTCCTTGTAGGATTCTTCAGACAAAGTATCCAATTCTGCGATAGCGTCGTCGAAAGCCTGCTTGGCCAAATGGCAAGCCTTGTCTGGAGAGTTTTGGATCTCGTAGTAGAACACGGAGAAATTTAGAGCCAAACCCAATCTGATAGGGTGGGTTGGTGGCAATTCAGTGGTGGCGATTTCGGAGGCCTTTTGGTAAGCGTCTAGGGAGGCCTTGGTAGCGTTTTCTCTCACGTCGCCTTGGGAGAACTCAGCCAAGTAACGGTGGTAGTCACCTTTCATCTTGTAGTAGAAGACCTTAGACTCGCCGGAGGAGGCGGATGGGATCAAGTGCTTATCTAGCACCGACAAGATGTCGTCGGAGATCTTAGTTAGCTCTGCCTCGATCTTGGCACGGTAGTCCTTGATCAATTTGATTTGGTGTTCCGAGTTCTCTTTGCTCTCTTCTTTCTGCTCAATGGAAGAGACAATTCTCCAGGAAGCTCTGCGAGCACCAATAACGTTCTTGTATGCAACAGACAACAAGTTTCTCTCCTCGACACTCAACTCCTGTCCAGCAGAGGCAACATCCTTCATGTTCTCCACCATCTCCTCATATCTCTCGGCTTGCTCAGCCAACTTGGTCAAAAACACACTATCCTCACGGCTCAAAGACATTATTTACTTTTATTAATTCCTGGTTTTCCTAGCTATTATATGTTTAGAAGTTAGGTATATTAGTCCTCAATAATTACAGTTTCTTTAAAGAAGCCTTTTTAAAAGTAACAATGGTAATAAGGAGGAAGACACGATTATTTGTTGTAGTCAGTGAGGGGGGGGGTGGAAGATTGTTTATCCTCTCCCAATACAACGAAGCAACTTTTTCCTCCTTCAAAACAGTACATTAATACGATATCACATGTCTACCGTTATCAGTTATTGCCACCAAGAGTAAGAGGACTCTTTGCATGGTGATGTCATTTGAGTAGGCGTGTACATCATCCACATCCCTCTGCACACCTTCGTGTCCTAGGATTCCCCTCCTGTAGAAACTACCTTTCCCCTAGACAGAGCGGGACACCACGCTTGCAAGAGATCGATTGAATCAGCTTTCTCTGGTCCTTCTTCTTATTTCAAAATGACGTCATTCTTCTATTTCCTTCTCTATGCACTCCATACGTTTTGGCATGTCATGTGATGGTAAATGTACATACGCACGGCTTGAGGTTCCGGGTAACTCCATCTCTGCTGGGAGTAATTATACACGTAATACTCCTTTTGTTTCTCTGCTGTGTAGTGTGTAGTGTAGTGTAGTGTAGTGTAGTGTATGTGGCTACTCTTCTAATTGCAGGATTATTAATTCTTTTGGTACGTGTGTTTCTCTGCATTCTGGGTGAAATACCGGGCTTTCCTTCATGATCAAGTATAAAACCCTGTTCCCCCCCCTCCAAGTAGAAGAGGGCTTCCCTTTGATCTATATATAAGAGTCTATTTAGGAGATTATTACAACTATACAAAAGATTGCAAAGATCGCTAGAAGACTAGATTACAAAGATCGCTAGAAGACTAGATTGCAAGATCACATAACATTAGACTGTTTTAAATGTACAAGACTGGTAATAACGACACTACACACTCAACTGGGTCTTTCCTACAGAGTGCCCCAGTAGAGCTGACCACTTTGAAAGGTTACGAGGAGTTCATGGCTAAGCAAGAGAAGCACTACGGTAAGGAGAACATGGGTAAGATCACCACTATCTTGAAAGAAGAGCCCACAGAGCCAGGATACCTGCTTAGAGACGGTGAAGTCGTCGCCACTGTGCAAGGCGAGTTGAAAGCTCACCTGTTAAAGCAAACAGAAGGTATGTAAATGCCGCCTTTAACCGACCCCCCTCACATTCCCACATTCTTTGATCTTTCCTTTCATTCACCTTAACATTCATATTTGCCCAAAGAAGTTTTTTTTTTATTTAAATGTAGCTTTAGTTTTTCAAATAAAGAAACAAAATTGTTTACTATACAAAGATTTTACTATACCTATATACTTCAATTCTTTCCGCCATTTCCCTCTACTGTTTTCACTACCATCAAAGCAATCAATGAATATCCCTAATAATATGCACTTGCTTATTTTATAATGGGGACATAAGAAACGTTCGAAGCTCATCGCATAACCTGGGAAGTGGGGGGGGGATAGCACACGGAACGAGCCATGCAACATGGATCAGAATGACGAATTAAACACGTCGGCCTTTCCAAATCGCCTGTGCAATCCGCAATGAAAAGCCCAGGAAAATTTGTTAACGAAGAGGCCATCTCATGGGAAAAATCGATGCTCTCTAACTCTGAAACAAAATATTCGGTTAATACGTCAATGGCATTGCATTCTTCATAGGCTTTGCCATTAGGGACAAATATCCTCTATTTTTTTTTGATCTTACAAATTATTTCCAACACACTAAGAAACGTCAAGAGCATATTCAAGTATTCATTTCACTCAAGGAAGAAAACAGGCACTGACCTATAGTTAATGTGGCCACGCAAATCATAGTCTACCATCATTAATACTTTTATTCCCCAACCGTTTTAGCCTCTACTCCATTTGCAAATAGACTCTGATCTACACATCACCGACCAGTCCTACTGCCAAAACTTGCTTTTGAAACACCGGTGGCCTTTTCTCAAACAAGATTACATATTATTGTGGAAAGCTTACTCCCTTATTTGTTTTTGAGCACACTCAAATACTGCACTCAGGTTCGATAAAGTGCACCGAAGTTTACGTCCAGAGTTGCATTGATCTACTCCAGAAAGCACATCTACTCTATCTTCCTGCACTACAAGTATTCGCTTTTTTCTTTTTTTTAGGCGAAGATCAATATAAGTTTTGCAATTAAAAAATTTGCCCGTGCGGTTCTTTCTCCATATCTTGAAAAGCTTATATCCATTACAACTGGAAAACACCATTTTTTTTGATCTGTACGCATTTTTAGCTTTCATTGCGTATTACGTCTGGTCCTTAATAGTATAGAGATCGTGACACAGCTCCAGCAATACCCACAAATCAAATTAATAAACCGGATCAAGAAAAGCATAAACTATAAAACGCAAAAAATACTTTTGGTTTAAACAGGTGTACTTAATAGTTTTTTTCCCCTACACTGAAGCCTGGCCTTATTTTAAAACAAACCGCTCCCATTATAAGTGCAGTCCAGGGTTCAAAATACCTGTGCGAATAAAGCTTAATCGTAAAAGAAAAAAAGGCAAACTTATAGCCGTACTGTGGGGAATAAATAACACCTATAGGAAAGCACCGTGTTTCCCTACAAATCCTCAAAAACAAAATAAGCCCGAGGAACACTGCGTCAAACGTTGTAGTTATAGCAAAAATATTGACCAGAAAACATATCGTATCAATTTCTGGTATTTGCAATCAAGTAGACAAAACTATCCTAACAAACCGCGCTAGTTTTACGCCTTGGCCTTTAGTCTCGTACTATTCACAATAAACTCATTACAATCACACTCTTTCTTTTCTAGCCTAGTAGTCATAATAGCATCACAGAAAGAAAAAAGAAAAGAAAGATATTTTATCATTGAGAATTGAATCCGCACTATACTCTATATTTGTTGTACAGATATGGATCTTGAGTCTCAAGTGCGATTGAGGTGTCTTTACTCAAAGGAAGAGTTCTATGCACTAAAGATCATATACCCAGATTGGAGGAATAGGATCAATAATATACCAAAATTTGACAATAGATCAAGGACTGCCAAACCAAACAGTATACAGACAGCCAAGAGAAACCATGAAGTACCTAATGGTAATTCTGTTGTGAAGAAGAAGTTTGCTTCTGCTGTCACTGTGAAGAATACCAAAGAAGATGAGTATCTTCGTGACTATGTCATTACTTTAACTGGATCAATAAATGACGTGTCCTTGGGACTTCTAAATCTTCTTATAATGGTCAACAATCCTAAAGTTACAAGAATAATAGATTCTGTTGAAAAACCCTTTTTAAAAAGACTTTTAATAAGAGCAGATCCAACTTTCTTCAATAATGTCAATGATATCAAGAAATTGAGCTTTATAAGGATGCTGGTTTCAAATACAAATTTATCGAAGGTTCTGGGATCAGAAGGACACAGGATAGCCGACCTACGTGATAAATATGACCTGAGAATGAAAGCTTCAAAATATAAGCTCTCTCAAAGTACAGATCGTGTTTTCGAGATTGAAGGTCTCGCACAAAACATAATCGAAGCGCTTGTTGAAATTAACAATATTATTTTGAGAGAGAAAACGACGAATTCTGAACAGGTATCGCAGGTAGAATATGAACCTACCCCTATAAAGCCCAATAAGAAGAAGAAAAGATCCAAGAAGAAGACCAAGAAACCGAATGGTGATTCGATACAAGGTAAGAGCTCAACACAGGAAGGTGTTGATCGATCGGAGTCAAACTTATCCGAGAAGAAAAGAGATAACTCTAACCAAAATAAAAACGATACCGGTAGTGATAGCGCTAGTATGAGCAAGACCATAATATCCCCCAAGGAAGCACATGATCAGAACAATACACCTGAGTTGCAAACTTCTAATCATAGCAAACGTGCGGTATCTAATGAACAAACTCAAGAACATAATACACTACAGAAGGTGTCCTCACAAAGATCGCTTAACTCTAATCATTCAAGGAAGACCTCTGACTCATCTACAGCTTCAAAAACACTCTTATTACATACTTCTGGTACCGATACTATAATATCTTCAGATCAACAGATGTTTGTGGATATAATATTGATCCCCGAAGGCTATGTAGGCAGACTTGTTGGTAAAGGTGGTAGCAGGTTAGCCAATCTGCGGAAATTTACAAGGACCAAGATACTTATAGATGAACGAGGTAGTAAAGACGAGAGCAAGTATAGGAAATTCACTATCACTAGCTCCGACGAAAAGAATGTACAAAGAGCTAAAGCGCTACTACAGGCAAACCTGGTTGAAGAGCAAAGAAGGGACAGAGAAAAGCTTGAAAACAAGATCAAGAAACACCTTCTCAACGAAAACAATGAAGAACACTTGTAACAGTACAGAATAACCTTGCTATAGATAAGAGTAAAATAATTTTTTTTATAAGCCACTGGCTTTTACTAAAGTCACATTACTTTAGTTGACCAGTAGATAGTACAATATATTGCATACATTTTCTTTAAAATCAACTGTTTGACACGGGAAGCCGGGCAGCTATATATGATCCTTGACCACCTGAGCATTCATCAGAATATATAGCACAGGTATCCGAAATCAATACATACGACTTCTGATTTAATTCCGTCGTACGCGATTTACCGCAGTTTTCGGCTGAACAGCCCTATCCCACCCGCTTCGCATCCCAAGTTTTTCGTCTTCCCTCCGCTTCTCACCACTGTTTCTTAGTGGGTTTGCTATCGGCGAATGAGATGGAGTCCCTTCCTCGAGTCGCACCAGCTTAGGGATTGGACAATCCACAACGAAGTGATGGCCTAGCAAATAATCATCAATCTTTCACTTCAATGGGAACAATGTCTGACCTATTATGCACTGGGGATTCTTGCTAGTGGTTTCACCGATATACTAGACAGAGAACTGGGAAAAGGAAGAAGAAGAGGGAAAAAAAAAACCTTGAAGTAATATATAATCGAAATAAACAACATTTCTGGCACTATATTTCATTATTTGTAGTTAACAACTTCAGTATAACAGACAAACAAACGATACAAACTATTTAATAATGTACAGACAAGCTTTGAGAAGATACGCAACTTTACCACCACATGCTTTGAAGCCAGCATTCGGAAAGCCAAATGAAGCTGCCGCAAAGGCTTTCAAGCAATCTCTAGAGGCTACCGAAAAGCATGCTGTTGGCACCACCAGCGTATGGGTTAAGATTTCTTTATTCGTTGCTTTGCCAGCTATTGCTTTGACCGCCGTAAATACCTACTTTGTGGAGAAGGAGCACGCTGACCACAGGGAACATTTGAAACACGTCCCAGACAGCGAATGGCCAAGAGACTACGAATTCCAAAACATAAGATCGAAGCCATTCTTCTGGGGTAATGGTGACAAGACTTTGTTCTGGAACCCAGTTATCAACAGACATATTAACCACGATGAATAAATGAACTGACCATATTTACCAAAAATGATATATTACGTTTAACTAAATCTTACCATAACCAGGTTATGAGCTTTTATAAAAAGGCCTGGTCAGTTTTTTTTTCATAAGAGGCTAGTTTACTCATCCTGTTTCCCCATGATTCTTTATTTCAAATTCTATTTCTATTCTTAACAATTACATTATTTTTCTGTCACAGAAAGTACACATTCTAATTGATATTCAAATAAGATAACAAATATATTTATTCTTTATCCTCACAATCTAATCAATATTCAATTATACTATATAAGACCTTTATTTAGTAAAATACATTAACAACAAATGAAAAGACTTCTGGTATGTCAGTTTAAACTTATTAGTTAATATAACAAATAAACGATCATTCTGAAAGTGTCTAAAGAATGCCACTCTGAACAATGCTACAACTTTAGCCAAACTAGACAACTCAGTGCAAATAAGCTATGCGTCTCAATTATTTAATAAGGGAAAAGATCAATTATGTAAAGAATCACAAAAGATTATTAATAAGTCAAGGAAATTTTGTCAAACAAAAATGTCACCTAACAAAGCTATAAAAGTTACAATGCAGAAAATATGAATAAGTTATTTGTTGCTGCTATAGCAATGCTGTTCTCTTTAGGATGCCATGAGAAGTGTAATATACTCTTCTTAAAATCAATGTCATCATCCCATTCCTTGTTTTTTATTGCTGCGGAGCTATTCATAGATGCAAATCTCTTGTTCCTGAAGGCGGATTTGTCTGCTTGTAAAACTATCTCATCAGTGTGCTCATTATTGATAGCCTGGTCGCGTAACCCGCTGTTGTTGCTATCATTTCTTCTTGTTATCGAGTTCTTGCTCTTCTGTGTGTCGAATGGCCTCTCATTATTCTTCACTTGTGATTCTGTGCCCTTAGCTGAATCCTGCATAGCATCATCATAACTAGTAACAACATTAGGGTATATCATAAAGTTGTTATTGTATGAACCAGTCATAACACTAGAACTATCACCGCTAAAACAGACTTCGAATTTATCAAAAATAGCATCATTTTCATAAGTATCACTTAATCTTTCCTTTAGTTGATCGTGGATGTTTATTGTCTTAATTGGCTTTGTATCCATATTGATATCCCATATCTTTACAGTCAGGTAATCTCTTGAAGCAATGTATCTTCCGTTCGGACTAAACTTTATATCTGAAATAGAGGACGTTATTTCGGTAAAGAAGTTGTGATTCATTGGATCCAGGTATTCTTCGAATATTTTACTCTTATTATCACACAATGCATTTTGTCTCATATCACATAACTTGATGGTACCCTTCGAACTTGAATACATAAATAAGTTACACTGTTGTGGATGAAACTCAGCGCTTGTAATGACTTCTGTTAACTCTTCCATATTAGCTGGTTTGATATCAACGACGTTAAAACTTTGGTCCGGTATATCCAAATTCCATAGGTTGACTCTCAAATCATCTGCACTTATAAACGTCTCTTGGTCCGAGTTTGGAGATATGGAATTAATGTGATAAGTATGTGCATTACCGTAGATACGTTTTGGTGCGGCAGCAATTATCTTATCATGTTGGGACAATTGTGGAAGTTTCAAACTTTGCAACATCAAGGAGTTGTTGCTACTCAGGCCTGCACCCGATCTCCTCCTCGAGTTCTCTGACAGATTGTTGGATGACACTAGCTTGATGTTCTTCTCGTACACTTTCCACAACTTAATCGTCTTGTCATTGGTGCTTAGCAAGAAGTGCGACTTATTTGTGGGCTTCAACCACTTGATTTGATTTATCTTCTCCTCGATCTCCAGGGACTTCAAGTAATCGAATTCGGCATCGTGACTCTGGAACTCAGTCAGAAACTTGTACTCACAATGCTTGGTATCATTCCCCCGCTCAAACAGCACTACACGCCCACCACGATCACCAGTAGCCAGAAAATCACCAGTGTGATCGAACTCCACAGCAGTGATAATGTCCGCCTCCGTCACCACAATATCCGCCTTGTCACCGAAACACTGACTAAACTTGAAATCAAAATTATCCTGCGCCATTCTTTCTTTCTCTTTTGCTCTCTTGCTCTTAGCCCGCCTCAGTAAAGTCTATCTCTCTCTCTTTTCACAGAACTTTATCGTCCTTTGCCGGCTCTAATTTTTTTTTTTCTCCTACTCTGTAGAACCCAGGTGCTACAATCTGTATTCCACCTTGTACTTTACAAGTTCCACTAGCGGCTCTCTAACAACAACCTTAAATACTAAGCTTCCCAATCCCTTCCCTTACAAATAATTTTCTCCCAAAAGATTCCCTCGTTGTCTTTAAAAGCTTGTCGTCCTTTCCTTTAAACAAATTTTTTCTTGTCCCTCCCTTCTCGCCCTTTATTTTTCCCTTTGGGCTCTTCACACAGCAGACTGATGCCCTTATACTGATCTTGTGATGGGAGGAGGTCATGTGATTTACCATATATATACTAAAATGCATAGTTCTGTGCTACTCTATTCTGTTTGCAAAGGAATATTTGTATTCTTGTAGATATTAAATAGGAATAGGTAGATAAGTAGTTAAAAAATAAAATAGACAGTGGGTCTCAGGAAATAAAAAAAAGATAAAACTAACAGTGGGTTGTAAACATAAAAATAATACTTGAGAACACTCCTTGAAAACACTGTGTAAGTCTATCACTGCTGAGAAAGCACTTGCACAGTAATGTATGAAAGACAAATGGTTCATTAGAGTTGGATTTTGTAAATGACCAATGGAGGGAAAAAAAAAACACAAACACAAAATCCTTAGACATGAATAATAATATATAAATTTTCTCTTACTGGTGGCTCACCATCTAGTTCTTCTTTTCATGGGGTGTGGATTTAGTGGTGGTCGTGCTCGTTAGGGACACCGACTGGGTTCAACTTGTAGACGGAGCCACATTCCCAGCATCTTGCTACTTGATTCACGGTTGGCTTCAACCACATGATTGTGTGGGAACCAGCTGGGGAACCTGTGCAGCCGACGTAACGGTAGTCGTCATATGAGTCGACCACGATTGGGTCTTGCATGGTACCTTTCCTGGAGGCGTCTAATGGCTTGGTGTCGAAGACATCAATACCTTCTAGCTTACCCAAAAGTTCCAATCTGGCTAGACCGGTAGCTTGTTCCAGTTCAGTTGGAATCTCACCTTCTTTACCACCTGGACCCAGCAAACTCTCTGGACCGTTGACGTCTGCTAACGACTGTGCGGTCTTGGTCACTGGCTTACTGTTGAATAGTACACGGGATGTCCATAGGGATCTGGTTGCTGGTCTGGCAAATCTGAAAGTGCTGCGTAACATCATCTTTATCTTCTGTTAATCTATGTCTTGTAGTTGTTAAAGTACTGGGTTTTATTAATTCTAAATTGTTGGTTCAAGTTAGCAAAACTGAGAGGGGAAATGCAGTATTGCTCTTAATCTGAAATAAATAAATGAAAAAAAATCAGTCTTTGGAATGTTATTAAGTCCTTTCTCAGTATATTTGTGATATGTATGAAAACAACAAAATACTTGGAATATTATGGTAGCTTCTTCTGTTCTTGAAAATCTAATAGAGAAACACACTCTTTCTTGGGTTGAGAATATGCTCGTATTTTTCTTTCTTTTCCTTGTTCAGCAAGTACTTTGAAGAGTTAGATACTATCTAGAAATGGATGGTTAAAGTATAACGGAAACTAAATAAAAACTTATATAACAGCGACTTGATAGAAAAATATTCTGCTGAGATTAACCAAAAACATAAGAACAAAGCTTCATCTTTAACAATATATATATGTTTTACGTACTCTGCCAATGAGAGCTGAAGGATTCCCATACAATGAAAAGCTATGAAAAAAACAAAGAACGAACAAGATATCAAAATTAATTGGATGTCTGTTGTTGCAACAATGAAAACCAGTACTAAGTGTATCAAAGAAAGGACTACATATCTCCCTCAGTCAGCTCCTGGCACGTCTACTTTGCAAGGAAGGTTGTGTCTGTTCACTTCTACTGTCTAATTCGCTGAAATTTCTCCATCCCGCAAACGCAGCTCAGTTACATTACCCGAGAAATCCAGAGGACTGCTGAATGGCTAAACCAACTCACTACTGCGATTGCAATGGGCTTCCAGGCATGTAACTCCCAACACATCCCAAGGGTTAGTCTCTACCCTTCCACCCTCAGTGATAGACACCATTCTACCCAATAACTGTCGAGAGTTTCTTTGTCATTAGACAGACATTAGAGATAATCTTCCCAATGCCTCGAGAAAGTTGAACGGCCTTGTCGGTGATTAGCATTTTAGGAACTTTCAACATAACAGAATCCCCTACTACAAGACAAGTAGATATATCCTACACAAAGGAACACTAGTCCCTTCCCTACCTTTCTTCTGTGACTTAAACCAAATGGCAGAAGGTGCAGAGACTCCTCTCACAATGGGTGATGTACATGAAAATCCAGCTCTTCCGTTTTCATTGTTCTGATTGGTCAGTGATCATGTGATGCGATATTGACTAGTACAAGACGATATCGTAACTTTTGACAATCACATGCTCAATTTGACTCGGAAGCGATGATTTTGAGAATCACGTTACTTATGACTCTTATTTCTGCTATCGCTTTGTGAACGTACGCTCTTGCTACACTTGAGATAGCTATCATACACCGCAACATTGTAGATTCTGTGATATATACTATATCTTTTTTAATTTGCAAAACTGGGCGAAATAATACTAACATATTCAAGGATTTATCGATTTCCTTATAAAATAAAATACAATAATAGTTAAAAAATATTTTTAAAGTTTAATAATGTATAAGAATGTGCATTAGGCATAATTCCGAATATTTGATCTATAATAACAAAAACATGGAAAAGAAGTAATTAAATAATAACAAAGCAATGAAAGTTAGATGTAATGAGAAAAAAAATTTTTTAAGGGAAAGTAAAATTTAAATCTAACCTTAACGAAAACAAAAAAGAAGGGCAATGTTTTTTAATCCGTAATGTAAGTACGGCACAATTGCCAGAGTCATAGTGAATTAACTCATCTACCATATCTAACCAATTCCCAGTATCTGAGCCATGGGTACACAATACCGCTGAATCCCATACTTAGCCACATGGCAATATCACCACCATATGGTCCACCTAGCTTTCTGGCAATTGGACCAACCCAATAGGTTTGAGCCATACCAACAACAACACCGGCCACACCACATAGGAAAGCAAATGTGGCAGCGTAACCGTGAGTTAAAACATCTGGATTGTCCCATTCATCCCAATTGTATCTGTGCTTAGTGTGGATATGCTTACGCTTTAGAGTATGTATATTAGTAGCCTTTTCACGCATCTTCATCTTCTCTCTTAACACTTGTGCGGTCTTAGAAGTCGTACCCTTAAATTTCAGTTCAGTATCTGAGCCTGTATCCTCCTTATGCAATACATTGATCTCTTCTGAGGATTGGTCTGATAACTGATCCGGTGACTGCTGCAAAAACTCCGGAAATTCCTTAGTGTATAGGTGCAAGAAATATCTTCTAAAGATGACATTCTCTTCAAATAATAAGATGAAGTACATACTAATCCAATAACCGATCATAGGCAAGAAGTTACCCAAAATTGTAGCAAAGTGATTACGACCAACTAAAGCGCAAACCAGATAGACGATGGTACAAACAATACACCAAAACCAACGTGGGACTCTAGCAGCCCAAACTGCAGATAGTTGAATACCAAATGCCGCAGAGTATGTGTTAATAATATTGTTAGAGATCAAACTCAAAATCAAAACCACAACCAAGAACTTACCAAATCCGTTCCAGCGTGAGAAACCAGCCCACAATAGACCACCCATACCATGCGTGTCATACTCCTCACCGTATGGCTGGTAACTTTTAGCGATGGAGGCAAGCGTCAAACCAAGGATACCAACAAACGTAGTTGGAATTAATGTACCAGCCAAAGTCAGTAAGAACACTTGGTAATGTGGTGTGTCTTCTGGGAACAAGATATAATAATCAGCAGTGATAGAACCCCAAGTAGATGTGATACTGTAACACAGGGAAAAGAAACTGATCCAGTTACCCTTTATTGTCTTGCTAGGAACGTCGATTGGCTTGTATTCACGGACCAGGTAATCTCTGTTCCCGGAAGAGATGTATAGTAACAAGAAAGATGTCAAAACGGGGACACTGATGTAAGTCTCGATTCTCAGCACTTGCTTGATACCAAAAATGGCAACAACGAAAGAGCAAACTGTGACGATAACGATACCGACCCATAATGGCACTCTGTCATTGGAAATAGCTGCCAACATCTCACCACCAACAACTGAGTTGGTAACAGACCAACCCATAACACCAATGATAGCAGCCAATGCCACAAATTTCACAAACCACCAGCCGAACAAGTATCTTGCGGTGACCATTTGTCTACAACCAGATTGTGGACCCATAATCGAACAGTAAGCGGCTACCAGACAGCCAACAGTCACAGAGATCATAGAGGATGTTAGAGCTTGCTGGAAACTCAATTCAAATAGTAAAGGCCCCAGTAGGAAAGAAGACATTGATGACAAACCACCGGTGGCACTCAACCACAACCCTGCCACATGTAAGAATTGCTTCTTTGTACCACGCTCATATGGCGGAACTCTTTCAATACCCGATGTTTCAACACCGAAAGAGTCCAGCTTATCGGAGAGCCATAACAAGTAGGCCAAACCTTTCATGAATATGTTCAAATTGGGGTCATGTCTGTCCAAGTCGAATAGCTTCTTGTTTCTTCTGTTTGTACGGGAATCTGGATCTGTCTTATGTGTGCTGCGCTTCTCCAAGTCGTAATCACTGTTGTCTACAGACTGGACTTCAAATTGCTGTACCACATTTTGCAAGTCTTTGCTGTCTTCATTCTTTGAAGACCCCAACCCAGCATCAACCATCAGTAATTTGTCTTTTTTTTTTAAAAGATACTTTGGTCGGTGCTTCGAAATTTCAAGTCTCTGATGTTAGAAAGCAGTCCAATTATCTAGGTTAGTCGAATAATTAAAATCTACTTCGAAAAGGTGTGCTTTTAGATCAATCCAAACCAATCTAATTATCAATTTTTTTTTTTAGCTGGGCTACCGATGACTAAGATGAAAAAAAATTGCAACTGTGATGATGAAAAGTGCTAAAAATTAGAAATAGTGAAGAGATAAGTAAAACAGCATAAGTAAAGACTTCAATACCTTATTATATATAAGAATTTCTTGGTTTATTTCAGAAAGAAAAAAAAGGTTTTTCATTATAGATTAATACTGATGGCTGCAAATACAAATGCTACCTAGAGACCAGATGACACATACAACACGCTCTTGTCAGTATAGCTCTTTTCTAATCTCCAACACCGGATGAGGTGCCGTATCTAGGCTGCATTAGCCATTGAGTGCTTCCCAATACCGTTGCAATCAATACAAGACTCAACAGTCCAAATTACTCATTACTCGGTTGCCCATCACGGCGCTATCCCTTTGGGCTCATCGCCAGCTATCTGAAAAAAAAAACACCGAGAAGCGTTGTCTTAACTCCTCGCTGTCTTATCTATGGGTAGGCTGTCAATTGCGTTTTGGCATACAAATAAACTGTGGGTGTAAGGTGCCAGGTTTTGCAGCGTTGGGGGTTGTGCGTGTGTATGCTGTTCTGCGATGCCTGTGTCTTGCACAAAAGACACCACCACCTGTCTTAACGCTTTCACATTGACTCCTTCCCTCCTCACACCACTGCGATTACACATAAGAATATGGGAGAAGTCAAACTTCCATCTCTTTGCTGTCTCTTCCCCTCCCAAAAGACTATCAAGTTTAGCTTTGTTGAGAATGTCCAGGGCAGACACCTAAAGTGCTCTCTGCCAAGCAGAAGGAGCTTCACACACAAAACGTGGCAGCGTTGTGCTTTTACTTTGATTGTGGTACAGTTTCGTGTGATCTAATCGTACAATGATATATAAAAGATACTTTATGCATTATATGGCAATCTGTAGACATCCGCATAGAAGTATTTGAGTCATGGTGGGATGACTCGCATGCTAGTGAAAAAAGTTTTACTGTATCTATACCTTGAACCATGGAAGACCAATAACTGATTCTATTTCCACTATATATTTTTGAGCTAAAGTTTATAAACGGTTCATGGCTTTTATAAATAACCTAGCTGCACTATAGCACACGGCAATGGTTCTTGGCTTCCTCGCCGTTTATACATTTGATGATATTAGTCAATGCCAGTTCACAACTTTGTTCAAAGACTTGTCTTGTGGCACTGCCCAGGTGTGGAGTAATGGTGGTGTTATGGTGTGATTCACGTAGTAAGTCGTCTACAATCGGCTCCTTGGGGAAAACATCCACTGCCAAATGTCTGATCTTGTTCTGTTTCAACAGTTCGTCTATATACTCCATGTCAAGAATGAAGCCACGTCCCAAGTTCACCAAGATCAAATTATGCTCTTTACAATGACTTAGAAACTTCTCATTGATAAGGCCCTTCGTCTCTGGTGTGCCAGGTAAAGCTATCACTATGGCGTCAAACTGCTTCAACACCGGGAACAACAAATCCTCGTCCATGCTATGATATACCCACTCTGGGTGCTCCCGAATGAGTTGCTCATCCTTAGTTCGCTTGCAGTAATGGATCTCCATCCCCAACCCATATTGTAGCTTGAAAGCAATTCTTTTCCCAATACTACCAAACCCTAAAATCAATACTTTTTTACCTCTTGGTGATTCGACATAAAGTGGCACAGATGACCCATCATGTGCTTGTATCATGCCAAGCTCATGACCAAATGCAAACTTATGAGGCTTATTGGCAGCTATCTGTCTCGCTTGGATACTATGCCCGACATCTCTCAACAGTTTCTGCTGATATGAGAACTTTCTAAAGCCTTCGAGAACATGCCATAGCGCACAATCAGCTACATCGTTACCAACTTCCCCAAGCTGGAAGTCATCGATATATTCAGAGATGCCCTCCTCTTCGATATCGTCCTGATAGTTGTACAGCTGTATACCGTGATCCTCCAAGGCGTCAAGGTCAAGCGCATTATATCCACGAGAGCACACAGAAATACACTTCAATGTGTCCAATGGAAAGTCAGGATGCTCAATGATCTCTCGAGTCAGACCATGAATAGTGTGGAATGCTGGATATCCTGCATATATACCTGCAATATTATCCTCTTTGTGATCGTGCAAAAATTGCATGAACTTATCCTTGTCTTCCAAAATATGATAAAGCACGTTGAATTTACCCTTCACATAAGTGGACTGTAAGAGCTTGGATGCCTCATTTGGTGCAGCAATGAAGAGAATGCTAGGTAGTGAATTAGCTGAGGCCATTGTCCTGTATTAGCTACGCTGAAATCGAAGCAGATGTATATTACACATCCCTACGTGTTGAAAAAGAATGAATTGAACAATACAAATGAAACGTATATACAAGTAGGGCCCATTGAAGCTGTTAAATGAAAGTATACACAATATGTGTCAAATAGTTTCGATATCTTTATTACGATGCATCTTCTCGACGAGAACCCTCAATTTTAGATTTTCTTTCTTTTTTAAACACGCATTGTCACTATACTAGTCCAAAGACATAGCATAGGTTTGAATAATGTCTCTGATATGTATTATTAGAGTAATTACATGAATAGGTAGGCTCTTTAGTATTCCAAGGACGTTTTAAGAAAAGTAATTACTCTCTCTACAGTAAAAGTAGGGTCATATTAAGATCAGTAACATAATTGTTAACATTCTTCAAACATGCAAATCTAATAAAATATACGAGAATGACCTAATTACAGATGGCAATTTTGGTATCTATGCATTAATGAAAACTAATGAAAAACTACAATTTCCAACTTCTGTCAAAGCTTTGAGAGTCTTTGCTTTGCTAGTAGGTTTTTTTCAATATAATTTTGGTAACTAAAGAATTGATCGTAGACATTCTTATGTTCCAATTCACTGTAGATGAAATGCTCACCAATGTGACCGTTCAAATTGTTGATCAAGTATGTTCTTCCGTCATGCTTTTTAATTGTTATCACACCTGCCTCCACGAATGCTCCTAAGAGATCTTCTTGTAAGGCCTTTACATCTTCAATACCACAACAAAGACGAATCAGATCTTCTGGAAACTGTCTTTCTTTCCTCAGTTCTGGGTCAATAGATGCATGGGACATTAAACATGGCATGGAGATCAAAGAGTTTACACAGCCAAATGAAACAGTGACATTCCACAGTTTCAGTAGCTTTGAGGCAACGATTTTCTTTGATATTGGTATGGAGCCTGTTTGTAAACTGATAACTGCACCAGGGCCTTTGTTGAAACTTCTATGCAACTCATAATCTGGATGTGATTTTAGACCAATATATCTTGTCTTTAGATTGTTGTTGTTATTATGGGTTTTGAAACCACATCCTTCCTCCAACCAGTGACTGATGGCCAAGGCGTTCAATTGTTGTTTGTGCAGCCTAATTGACAATGTCTTTAAACCTCTAATTAATAACCATGAATCCATAGGATTTAACCCAGAACCTGTTGAATTGATCAGAAAGTATATCTTTTCTGCCAATAACTTATTCTTTGCTATTATCACACCGGCCATAATATCATGGTGACCATTTAGATATTTGGTTGCAGATTCATAAACCACATCTGCACCAAATTTTAATGGATTGCAATTTAGCCCACTCATCATGGTGTTGTCTATCACAATTAGGGTTTCTGGAGAGTACTTTCTGATAAATTTAATCAAATGAGGAATGTCTATAATTTTGCAAAGTGGGTTTGTTGGCGACTCAAGCACTATTATATCCACAATTGTCTTCTTTATAGTGACCAAGTCATAGAATTTGGCTTTAAAATTTTCTGTATGAGAGAGATCAAAATGCATAGTATCTATGGAAATCTTCAGAAGGTTTAGTAGTCTCTGAGTACCACCATAAAGGTCATCACCTGCAATAATGCAGTGATTGTTGGTCTCAGAAGGTAGAAAAGACCTCAGTACAACGTCTAGAGCAGTCATACCACTGGAAACAGCAAAAACGAAGTTTGGATCGATATCATCATATAGTTTGGCAACTTGTTGTTGCAGGAGCGTTCTCGTAGGGTTACCTGACCTGGAATAGTCATATTGGTTGTTTTCATTTTCTAGATCAACTTTAAAAGTAGTAGACAAGTATAGAGGCGCTACAGATGCACCATAATGCTGTGACATTGTTGTAGACTTTTCCAAATGGTTAGAACTAGCGGATTGTGGTTTTTATGTATCTTTAATTTGATAGTATTTAGGTCTCTGTCAAGCAACCAGAACAATATATTCTAATACTAATATTGCACATTTATATATGTGACAATAATTATATTTTCTCATAATAGCTATTGACTCATAGTTGCCAATCCACAGTTTATTATTTGTCTATACAGAAAAGGATTAGAATGAGCATTACATTCAAAATAACATCACTTACCGTCTTTTCCAATACATAACTACAATGAGTTAGACTCAATTTCGCAAGTCAGTAGGGTCTTCTTCTTCACTCAAGCTCAGCATCCTACATATGTGACTAAAATTGTCAACTTTTTTTAAGGGAGGTGTATCCCTTCCTCATCGCAAAAAAGCACATCCCACCACATACACACTTGTACACATTGCACAACCAAATAATATGTAAAATGTGATAGCGAACACGAGTGTAAGTGTGTGTTCAACTGTGAGCGTACTGAAGAACGTTATCATGGCAGATCATTTCTACAAGAGCAAATTATATTTACATCCTATCTATACAGTAGTGTAGTGTGTAAAACTTCCAACAATGAAATGAACAAGGTATGGAGCTCCAAACACAGTTTATCAGCACTGGTACCACGAAATGGGATATAGGATCTTAGTATCATTTGAGACTGAGAATCCTGAACAGAGAACATCGCTCCGAGTCCCCCCGCACACACACACACAATACACACATCATACAAATCAAGTTGAAATGCGATTGTAGATAGCTAGATAATCAAATTGTGCAGTATGTACACATCACACAGTAGTATCACAGCATACAATCCACAGCGTGAGATTGCAAACTCTTTCACATAAAAAACTGTGTACATAGTATACTCTCACCCCACTGCGAAGGAAAAAAAAAGAGTCATCCGTTGTGACAGAGACTTGCGCACAAAATCTCTACTATGATTTCGCCAATGACATTTCTTTCATCTCATTCACTCACGATTGAGCCGAATTTTGGCACATGCAATACGTTAAATATGATACCCAAGGTCTGACTAGGTAAAACAGAATTGGCGGTTTAACGCTTTGATATACTACCAGACCTCTATTCCATGCTTTGTGGATGATCATTACCATTTGGTCAACAAGATTTGAGGTACTAAAGAAATGCTATTGTGAGCCACATAACTTATCTTGATGTCTCTAAAGGATTCACTAAAAATATTGGCAAGAGGCTTAGGCTAGTGTAAAATGTGATTGTAACTGAATATTCACATGACGGAAAGATAAAAATAGCTCAATTAGGTACTCTAAGATGAATTGAAGGCTTATTCAACACACGCAATACATAAGCCTCTGAAAACGAGCATGAATTTTATTGCCTTGAGTCATTTGGCTTTGCTCTGCTCGAGAAATAACAAAAAGGGCCACTCATATATGCACACAGATTATCATGAAGAAAGAGGATCTCAAATCCATCTATCCATGCTTAATGCATTTGCTAGACAAATTCAATCGGTACCTTACATATATGATTTACGTTTTTAGTCTTTATATTTTACTCCCCTGCAGCTGTTTTTTGTCCTTTTGCTTAAAGAGTGTACCAAAATCTACGCTACAGGACATCTCACTGAAAAAGGCGGACATTCTAAAAAAATATTTAAAGTGCCCAAAAAACGAATCGAGTCCATCAAAGAAAGGACAATTTTTCTGCTAGATTGCATCCCAGACATTTCAGTTTATAATGGAATACCGATTGTGAATAATATGAGTGTTTTACCCAAAGGCCCTCAAATAAAGTAATAATTACATCACCGACTCTCTAGTTTTACAATGTACCAAGTCTTTACTTTAGCAAGTGGGCTTTAGATACTGCTCACACAAGCATATTTTGCATTGAGGGTGAACTACAGCACGATTATTACCTTGCAATTGACGCGACCATCCAGGTTATAAATACCTCCTGAATCAAATTTTTGCGTCATTCCATTATAAAGCACAGGGGTTATTCTTTCATGCACATTAAGGGCATAGAAGTCCATTACACCTCAATGATGATCACTTCAATGCGTTTTAACGCTATCCTTAAACACTATTAATGAGCTTTCAAGTAATTGCTCAGTAGTAGTTTTCTTTGATGCGCTACATACTAACTCTTTACCATATGATTATTATTTTTAAAACCCTTTTTAAAGCTTCTTATGATCAGTAGAACTATTCTGAGGAAAAACACATCCCTTTGGATTGCTTGACTTCTGGAAAATCAATTCTTTACCCAATATATATAAAAACAGAATAGGGTAGTGAGATGGTCCAGCGACTCTAAACTAGGCTTAATGGGCAAAGCAAAATTTTGCCATTTCATATTAAAATAAACTATACGTCTCTAGTTTATTATTTGGCTTTTAATACTCTGTTATCACAATTTTCCCAAACTCCTTAAAATCTATTAGAAATATTGACAAATTCTTGCCCTTATATCAATTAATCAATTCTAAGCTAAGGACTATTCGAAAGACTTAAATTATGATTCTCCTCTTGATAGCTGCTATCAGCAACATTTAATGCATAATGTGCTTTTTCTGCTTTGTTTATCAAATATTTACCACTTATTCTTGTTGGAAGATTAGAGTATATGCTTTCCCAATATTTATATAACTATAACTAACACTCTCACTTCAACAAATAAAAACATTAATGCTTCTCATAGTTACTCAATTACAGTTTGAGCTAAGAAACACTGCGCTTACCACTCTCTCATTTACACAATCACATATAAATGAATAACCTATTTGAGAGTCCCATCGCATGATTATTTGTAAACAGACTCTCTCCTCATCAGCCAGACATGAGCTATAGTCAAATATATACCTGATAGAAAAGTCGTTCTTAGGACTATACATCCTAAAACTATTTTATGATTATCTACAAAAGTGACGGCTTAAGTTGAAGCTTCTTACGTGTTGAGTAACGCAGTACCACGTACAACTACAAGTTTCGTAATTCACCTACAGCGATTCATCATTCAATGCCAATGACGTGATACCAAAAATTCATTAGTCCAGCATAAACACCTGTTTAAACGAAAGTCATAAGTGCTAACCATGCAATATCAAAATGTGAAAGATGTACCGAAAACATCACTGAGAAAGTACATCAGCGTGAACAGTGTTCAAAGTTAACAAAATTTTCAAGCTTGCTGCTCAGACGGCTGTGCAGCCGAGAGATGATTTCCATTGTTCTAATTTTTTACTTTCGTATATCAAAATTATGTAAAAATTACATTATATCGAGTCCCAACTTCAAAGGCACCACGACTGTACGAACAGAGATCAATGATGCTCAAAATCCTATTCCGGTTTCTCCAACAGCAATAATATCAATTGCTAGGTTCTGCCTCGTTGTCGTAGCATATTTTGTTCGTGATGCTAACGCTCTATAATTAGAGAAACCGGATAAGTTACATAATTTTTATATAAGAGAACATAGTTCAATAATATTGGACCTTGTTCTACGCAGGTAATAGATTCTTTTAAGGACATGCGCGTAAACATGGGAAAAGAGTGGTTGACTAGACTACAGTATTAAGTAATACAACTTTCACATTATACATGCATAACATACATTAACTCATCTAGGAAAGGGTCAGCTATTAATGTATTCTTGTTGGAAAGGGTCCATTTAGTTTTAATGATCAGTTTATTTCCAAATGTAATTCAGTGGAGGATCAAGAGTAGATTGGTCTAGAATCTTCTCATCATAATCGGCGTTTGAATAACTTTCGTATTATTACAAAAATTTACGAGTAATCTTAATTACTAAATATAGGAACATTTATAATGTCCAGATTCCTTGATTACTAGCAGTTTTGATTTCACTTATTGCTTGGTTGAGCTAAGAAAATAGGCTTATACCACATCTACATACGTAAGATTAACATAATAACGACGTTCAGCTCCATTTGAATCTTTTTGCCTTGCTCATTACATTTAGAAACATGAAATCAGAAGACAGTTCAATATGATCAACCACTCTTAGCTTGTCACACACAACAGAAAATGAAAAAAAAACCAAACTATAAGCCATGGCTAGTGAGATGGCCAAATCAATGCCGACCAAAACGTGTCTACTTCTGATAGTTGCGAGCAATGTGTAACAGACCCAGTCATAACTTACATTGTATATTAGGCTCTAGAGACCAATGTGAAAAGATTTGAAGAAGTAAGATACATTGAGTAAAGGTAAGCTAAGAAGAGTTGGCGGCTTTAATTTAACAGTAACACTATGCTAAAAACATACACAATGGCTATAGTTTAGAAACTGGATACCTTAGCAGGGAGACATGTACTTATATTACTTCTACTTCTACAATTAAATGCAAGTCCAATACAATATTCCATGACTTGGGATGTTCTCGCGTTTTTTTCCTATTTCATACAAGCACCTGAGCAAATATTCCTCCCGTTGACCTCATTGAGATAAAGTCAACAAGTGTCTCACACATATACCATTGGACGTGTCCCGAGCGGGTTATTCTGTGTACCGAACACCTTTGTGGTAGTAGACTAATAATATCTGGGCCGGCAATTTCCCTTAGAGCATGCCGTTGAGGTCAGAACAATCGTTTATTCTTACAAGTTTTTGTATCTTTGTATATAGAAGAGCAATGCGTGACATTTGGCAAATCGCCACACTAGTAAATTGAAATTTCCAGTAAACCGAAATCCACCGCAATTTATGACTCCATGTAACGCCATAAACGCACTAACACCAAGAGACTTCCACGCTAGGATGCGTTTTCCCAAAAATTTGAAATCGCGTTTCGACAGCAAGATTAATCGGCTTTTTTTCACTAGTAACAAATAGTGCACAACATATCATATGTACCCATAAGTATAATGACAAAGGTCTAGAAACTCTGAATATTTATAATGCACTTTCTTATAACCTTAAGCTAATGACCGATAAGATACAACTTAAACCATAAATCG